GGGGGGGGGGGAGGCAAGGAATGCGTGCGAAAGGTTTGAGAAGGAGCGGGAAGATGGAAGCCTGAGATTGATGATTTAGCGGAAGAGAGTCATTGCGGGGCCGTCGCCGAGCGTCGATGCTCTATGCAGGGAGGGAGAGCGGGGCGGGGTCGGATTGAGCAATAGGATGATGGCTGTTGGACGATGATGGATGGAGGATGGATGATGAGAGGAGAGGAGATGAGCGGCGAAAACACGCCCGACGTTCCCCGATGAACGGGCGGAGCCTTGTCTTTGTTTAGACAGGGACACAATTACACAAGCCGCAAGCCGGGCAGACGCGTCCCCCTCATTCTTGTTTCTTGCTCATGGCGTCATTCATTACTCTGTTCTTATCTCCTCGTCATGCTCCGCACAACACTAGGTAGCCTCAACCTCATCGTTTGATCTGTGCATGCTGTACAGTCCTACTAATCTGGAGCTAATTTTCGCAAGGTGGCCAAGGTGGACAGGCTGTAAACAAAGCGAGTCACCGCTTATGCCGACCCACCCGCTCGTGCCGCTCAACGCCCACCGTTCCTCCCCTTGTTCTCCACCGCTCGTACCTTCCGAACGCTTCCAACGCTTCCCAAGCAGCCGGCGTTACGCGGCCCCATGGGTCCACCACATATCCCATCATCTAGTGCTGCAACTATTGCTGCCCAACATGCTTGACCTCCTGGCGACCTCCGCCAATCTTCGGCGGGAGCACCATCACCTGCGTGTTCCGCCTCCAGAATGTCACGAGCGTCGTCGCCAGCGTGGCCGGGTCGTCCTGCTGTCAGTTCGCCCTCACTACTCGCTCACCTCGTGCAAGTAATGCCCCACATCCTGCATGACCTCTTGCTGGAACTTGCCCTGCCTTGCCGTCAGCACGTTCATCACATACAACTCACATCTGCCCGACCATAAGGTCGCGGTCCAGGCGGTCTTGCCCTGCGAGGCAGAGGAAGCGAGCACACCGCACAGCGAGGAACTTCTGGCTCAGGCCCGTGTACCATTCTTCCGTCAGTGTGCGCGATATAAAGATGCCTCACGCTCCCAGAACGGCTCCGTCGCGAGGAGGTCAGTGCGCCACACCTGCTTGTCCCCCGATCCTGAGGGCAGGATGTAGCTGGGCACACTAACGCGCGCACTTGTCTCGTTCCGGATCGTCCCCGACGACACACTGGGTCAGCTTTAGTTTTTGTAGACGCTCACTGCCACCCGATCGCCTCTGGAACCGATTCGAAGGACGTGGGTCGCTTCCCCAGAATCGACTTCATGAGCGGAAGCGACTCGAGCGCCGTGCCTGCTGTCAGCTTGTTCACAGATTCTACCAGCCAGATGAGACACCTACCCTCTACGACGTCAAGCACGCCGACGCCGGCAACAGTATACCCTTTATCCTGCAGCATCGGGGCGGCATGCACGATCGGCGCGGCGCCCATCGAATGGCCGAGGAGCTGGTGTCAGCCGGAACTCCCACGGACCCACAACAAGCGCCGGCGCCGTCTTCGGATCGCTCCACATCTGCTCAATCACAGCGATGAAGTCATCCACGAGTGTAGACAAGCTGAGATCTCGCTCGTCCCCCTCCGTCCGGGACTTGCCTGGCGTCAGCCACCTTCCTCGAGTGACCCACCGTGGCCGCGCGCATCGTAGCTGAACACGCCGAGCTCGCCGCCGCTCCGCGCCGTGACCTCCTTAGCGAGCGCGGCGAAGCTCAGGCCACTCGCACCGGCGCCGTGGTGGCAGATGAGGTAGCTTCCCTGCTTGTTGCGCTGGTTCGCGGCGGGCGGCGCGGTCGGTGGGGACAGGTATGCGCGGTAGACGGTGTCGCGGGAGGGCGGGGATACCTCGAGCGCTTGCGTAAAGAATTGCGAGGCGCTTAGTGGCTCGAGCATCTTCTTCGGACTGGAATGAGCACCTGTAGATTACAGCTGGTGTATAGGTGTAGATGGTTGAGACAGGAGGAAGGTGCGGAAGGCGACGGGGATATGTGGAGGAAAGATGACTCACGCAGAAGCCAGCTCGCCGACGCCGTCCAGCTCCTCCTCCTCGTCATCGTCCGTCTTCTCGGCCCACGGCGCGCGCGTCGGCGCCATAGGCGGGAGCCTGTTGAGTATTGAGCGCCTAAACTCGTCCGACATGGTGATTGCAGCGTCGACAATCCAACATCGCGCATCATCTCAATGCAATTGCGGGGCTCCAGCACTCCTTATCCGGCCCCCAATTAGCAAAAGTCGGCCAGTTCGCGATCTCCGACCCCGTCTTCGCTGCCTCCACACTGTATCGGACCTCGACGGCGACGGCGCACGCTCGACCAGCGAAATCTCTTACCTCTCTCCATCCCCTCTCGCCCCTCCGCTCCCGCCTCCACCATGTCCGCAAAAGCCGCCATTACGCAGGTCGTCGTGCGTCTCCCCCAGAACCGAGAACAGCACTGATGCAGAAACTCATCGTGCCCGCAGGCAAGGCGACGCCGTCGCCGCCCGTCGGCCCCGCGCTCGGTGCGCGTGCAGTGAAGGCCATCGATTTTTGCAAGGAGTTGTGAGTTGCATCCGGCTGTTGCACGATCTTGTTGCTCTCCGCTCTCCGAATCCTCGTATACTGACCGCAGCAACGCGCGCACAGCACACTTCAAGACGGACGTGCCGCTCCCCACGCTGATCACGATCAACCCCGACCGCTCGTTCAGCTTTACGTTCCGCACGCCGACTGTGTCCTACCTTCTTAAGAAGGCGGCGAAGATCGACAAGGGCGCGGGCACGCCGGGGACCGAGACGGTCGGGACTGTGTCGCTCAAGCACGTGTACGAGATCGCCAAGATCAAGTGCAATGACGAGGCGCTTAAGGCGCTGGGCGAGGAGCGGGTCGCGCGCAGCATTATTGGGAGTGCGCGCAGCCTTGGCATCGAGGTTGTGCCGTGATAGAGTCGGATTGCATCGCATTGTTCTCGGCTTGGAAAGGGGGATCAAAGAATCAACCTCGGAGGCCGGAGGAGGAAGGAGAAAGCAGGAGCAGGGGCAAGGACAGCGCTCAGGAGACAGTGGTGGACACATGCATGCAACACAACTAACTGATCGCAGAATTTTGTCGATGGTATCTAATCCGAGTCGGATATCTCTATTATCTCGACGTCGTGCTGGGGACGTCGCTGAGAATGTCGCGGTGGCTGTGACCGCTGCTGTGATCTCTGCTGGCTCTGCGCAGCCGCCTCGACCGCTTCAATGTCTCGGAGGAACGCCTCGTCAATGTCGAAACTGTCGTCTTCGATCGACGCGTCGCTCTGCGGATCAGCAAGCGCCGCGCGCCGGGCAGCAGCCCCATCAGTGGCGGCGCGGCGGGGTGGCGCGGCACGTGGGGGCCGCGGAGCTGCAACGGTGGCGGAGCGCGCTGTGCGCACCGGCAACGTGCGGCGTGGTCGGACGGGACGCGGCGCAGCTGCAGGCGTGTAATTGCGCGCATTTCTGTCGTCAGCGCAGCCACCGCCTCAGCTCACTCAATGCGTGCCTCAAGTGCAGCGGCGAACTTCTCTGGCCCCTCAACTTGGAAAGCCTCGATCTCGCCGCCTAGGATTTTGCAGTTGTCAGGCGTGAGATGCACTGGCGTCAGCTCGTCGCGTAGGGACTAGACAGTAGACTCACACTTGCCTCGCAGACAACGGACGTTTCGCAACATGAGCTGGAGTAAGCATTGTTGAGCCCACTAGCCCACCTTCGTGCCCAACGGGGTATCAGCGAGGGACAGCCCCTCGATACGGCGATACTCGATTGCGCGAATGGCCGTGCGCCCATCGCTCACCTCGAGGGAGAGCATGCTGCGCTGATATGCAGGCACCTTGCCATCCTCAACCTCCTCGTCGCTGTCCATGCGCCGGATGCGCGTCGCTCCCGACAGCATCTCCCTGCGCTCTTCCATAGTCCGCTGCAGGTTCACTGCTGAGACACCGATGTCCATCATGCTGTGGATCTGGACCATGAGTGGGCCGGAGATGGTTGTTGTGTGACGCTCTACGTCCTCGGGAGTCGGCAGAGCGAGGGAAGGTGTGGTAGACGCGCCCAGATCGGAACAGAGATATTGGTGCTCGACGGAAGCGGCATCAGCGGAAAATCCGGCTTCAAGGAGGGCGGTGTAACAGTTGTTGACCCATGTCTGTTGTCAGGCAAGGCCTGGGCAGGGGAGGAGACTGCGAAACGTATGGAGCCGTATGGAGCCGTTATACTTGCCTGGTCTGGTGGTGGATCTGGGTAGCGTTGAGTAAGGTATGCGCGGATAGCCGTTGGAGTGGCCATGGCGTCGATGACGTCCAGGCTACGCCGACACGCTGAGGAGTAGTGTGTAGAGAAAGAAGATATAGGAAGATGGAACCAGCTGCGCAAGCCAAACAACATCTGGAGCAGCCCCAATCAACCTCCACCGACCTCCACTTCGCGTCACCCAGTCGCATCTACCGAGGACCACTGTCAGCTTGCCCACCTCCCCGTGACAGCTCAATGATCGATGAGTATGCATGCTACAACGTCTAGGGCGACATGAACTGGGCCATTCTGGAGTCAGCGGCGGCTCGCATCGGGCCGCCGCGATGGATCGGCACCTCAGCCTCACGGGTTGGCCTCAGCCTTCTTGTCCTTTGCCAGGCGAGCCTCAAGCTTGTTGAACTCGTCAAGAGCAATGCGCTCCTCCTCGTCGAGGAACTGCTCCACGCCCTGCACCTCAGGGACGTAGTGCATGAGCATGCGCTCGATGCCGTTCTTGAGCGTGACTTCGGAGCTCGAGCAGCCACGACACGACCCCTTGAGCTTGAGCTGCACAATACCCGAGTCTTCGCTGAAGCCGCGGTACTCAATGTCGCCGCCGTCCTCCATGATGGCTGGACGGACGCGAGTCTCAAGCAGCTCCTTGATCATCGCGACGACCTCCGAGTCCGTGTCGAGCACACGCGTGTCTTCGGCCCCGCTCGACTCGTGGCCCTCCTTGAAGAGCGGTGCGCCACTTGCAAAGTGCTCCATGAGGATCGCAAAAACCTCGGGCTTGAGCACGCTCCAGTTGTAGTTCTCGTCTTTGGAGCACGTCACAAAGTCGGGTCCGAAGAAAACACCAACGACGCCGTCGACGTTGAGCAGCCGCGTGGCGAGCGGTGAGCCGAGCGCGCCCCGCAGGTCAAGCACTTCATGCGTACCGCCGCCTGGCATGACCTCAACGCCGGGGATAAACTTCAGCGAAGCCTCGTTGGGAGTAGTTTCGGTCTGGATGAACATCGTGCGAACTGCGGGTGGTCAGCGCGGGTCCAGTAGGGACGGGTTGAAGTGGAGCCAAAGCTGGTCGCAGCTTAAGCCACTGCGAGCGCTATGCGCCCATCGATGCAAACTCACCCTGCTGCCCCGGGAGGCGAGGCATCGCAGCCCGTGCAAAGTCAACGCCGCGCGCCATGCCTACCCGTGGCGCTGCGAGGCAGGTCGAAGTAGACAGCGCGCGCACGGCAGGGCGAGCCCGTGGTGGGCGGAGTGCGTTGACGGCAATACGTGACGAGGAGGCTATGGCAGAACGCATGGTGAATGTGATGGTGGTAGTGGAATGGGTGGAGTGAGATTTGGGCAGTCACCGTGTGTCAGCAAAAGGCGAGCTGAGTGGCGAGTGGGCGGAAAGCGGACGGACCAATCGGCCGGCGCCTATATCCCATCCCGCCGAGCGCCGTCTGCACCCGCGTCATTCCAGCTCACGGGAAAGCGAAGTGTCAGCTCGGAGGTGTTCGCCGACGCAGAGGAATGCAGATGCATGCCAGCATCGGCGTGATAAATCGGCTTTCTCGGCTCGATCTGACCAGTGTCTCAGGCAGCGCGCAGGTGCCGTGCCTCAACGTATTTCGCACTTGACCCCCAGTTGCCAGCACATGCTCGTCGAAACTGGGTGGCAACTCAAGATCAAGTTGAATAGCAATCACGCTCTTCATCGGGGTAGACTTGGCTGTTCACGAGCCATAACATCGTTCCCTGTGTCCCGTCAATTCCATCAGATGAAGCGCAGCGTTACCGTTCTCCACAGGAGACAGCGAGTCGAGGGATGGAGGGACTGACGTTGCCAAAGCACATACAAAACAAGCGGAGCCATCGCCACGTCGGCAGCGTGTGGCGATGTATAACATATATCTTCTGTTAATCAATGGTCGCGATAGACAGCCAGTTCACACTGTGCGGAGCTAGGTAACTGCATGGCGGATGGAAGGTTGGAGGCGGAGACCGAAAGGGGGAGTGGAGAATGCACGAAAGCATCCGCGCCGTGCTTGGCCGGCATCACCGCGTCATCAATCCTCGTCGTCGCCTCACAACCGCTCAATCATCAACCATCAACCATCAACCATCATCCACTCCTTGTTACTAATCGTCCCTCCTCCCACTACCTCAGAAACACACTTCCAGACACCTCTATTCTACATTTACTCTCCCGCCAGGCCGGCTGCTGCGTCTCGCTCCCGAATAGACGCTGTGTCCCAGCCAAGTAGGCCCCCGCCCGCACCTCCTTCCCTCGAGTCACCCACTCCGGCGCTCTTCTTCTCACTTCTCCTGTCACCTCCCTCCTCTCCTTCCCCTCTCCCACCATGGCACCCAACGGCAAACGTCATCCAGACCTCCTGGTGCGTTATAGCAGCGCGAAGGAACTGACAGCAGAGTTGCAACTTCAACCAGGACTTCTCGTGCATCGCCATAGGTCACAAGAAGGGCTACACGATCCTCAACTGTGATCCATTCGGCAAAGTTCACTCCAAGAGTGGGTACAGGGGCGAAGAGATAGACATATGACAGCTGTGCGAGGGACGTTCGCTGACGCCAGATGATCAGGGTGCCTCGGGCGTCGTCGAGATGTTGTTCTGCACGTCGTTGGTCGCGCTTGTAGGCGCCCCTGACACGCAACCAAGCAACTCGCCTCGCAAGCTCCAGATTGTCAATACAAAGGTGAGTTGAGGGAGCGATGAGTCATCAGCCACTGACAACAGCGACAATCTACAATCTGCGAGCTCATCTTTCCCTCGTCCGTGCTCGCGGTCAAAATGAACCGGAAACGCCTTATTGTTGTGCTCGAGAACGAGATCTACATCTACGACATCTCCACGATGAAACTGCTGAACACGATAGAGACTGGGCCCAACCCCAACGCCGTTTGCGCGCTCTCCTCATCAAGCGAGAACTCGTACCTTGCCTATCCCTCGCCTCCCCCTTCCCCATCGCCTTCCGTGCAAGGCAATGTGCCGCCCTCCGCGCCCGCACCAACGACGGGTGACGTCTTAATCTACGACGCTCTCAACTTGCGTGCGGTTAACGTGATCCAAGCGCACAAGACACCCATCGCTTGCCTGGCGCTCAACTCGACAGGCACCATGCTCGCGACGGCCAGTGACAAGGGTACGGTTGTACGCGTCTTCTCCGTGCCAGAGGCGAAGAAGTTGTGGCAGTTCCGTCGCGGGTCCAGCTCAGCGCACATCTTCAGCATGAACTTCAACCTCACCTCGACATTGCTCGCCGTTTCCAGCGATTCTAGCACAATCCACATTTACCGCCTTGCTTCGGGTCGCAAGGCTAGCACGGGCGGCGAAGACTCGCCACCAGCGAGCGGGAGCAGTGGAGGCTTTGAGGCTGACCCAAACCCGCCGTCGCTCGCGCCGCACTCGGCGGCGTCATCCCTGCGCCGTCGGAGCTACCACTTTGGCAAATCGCTACTGGGAGGCGCGGGGACGTACCTTCCCAAGGGTGTAACGGAGATGTGGGAGCCGCAGCGCGATTTCGCGCACATCAAGCTGCGGCCAGCGCAGACGGGCGTCCGGACTGTTGTGGCGATGAGCGCGACTCTGCCGCAGGTGATGGTCATCAGTGCAGATGGAGTGTTCCAGGCGTACAACATCGACCTCGAGAATGGTGGCGAGTGCGCGCTGATGAAGGAGTTCAGGTGAGAGCCCGAGAATGCTACGATAGCGCTAACGGCAGCCTTCTGAACAACGAGGACACGCTGGGGACCAACGCGGAGTGAGACGAGTCTTTGGCAGTTGTAGCATGCATGTCTAATGGCGGTATTGAGCGTTCCGCAACTGGCTGGCGGGATCAGAAGGAGCGGAGAGCAGGATCGTGTCATGGCGTGGTCAGGGGAGGTCCGTGCCCTGGCAGTTGCAGAAGAGCGCGTCTACGGTGGACGCGCCGAGGCACCTTCCTTCCACCCCAAAGCCAGCAGCCAGAGCGCCAGGCCTTACCCCGCCGCCCCCTCCGACTCCGTCCCGCCCGGCTGTCCAGCCAAAGTTGATCCGACACAATGGGAGGCTGGTTCTCCTCACCATCCACCATGCGCGAGCATACCATCGTCTCCGCCCCCGGCAAGGTCCTCCTCGCAGGCGGTTACCTCGTCCTCGACAGGCTCTACACCGGTCTGGTGGTCGCCACCTCGAGCCGCTTCTTCGCGAGCGTGCGCCCCACGACCGACCCATGCCCCTCCGGCACGGCGCGCGTCCGCGTCCGCGCCGGCCAGTTCCCCGCCTCCCCTATGTGGAGCTACACTGTATCCGAGTCGGGCGTGGAGGGCTGCGATGCGCCGAGCCAGAAGAACAAGTTCATCTTCCTCGCGCTCGACAACGTCCTCCGCTACGTCCAGGCCAAGCTGCATGTGACGGGGCGCGACGGCGACTTTGAGCGCCTCATGGGCGGCGGACTCGATGTCGTCGTCCTGGCGGACAACGACTTTTACACTCAGCGCGAACAGGTGAGTCGCCGGGTCTGTGCTCTGAGTCTGGGTCATACGTCTACCCTTACGCATGACTGTCGCTCTCCGCGCTCGTTCAACACAAGCGATGGCTGGCCACGGCACCGCCGTCAGCCACTCTTAGAACAATTTCTCTTGTCCTCCAGCGCGCCGTGCATCTTTCTTTACATTGCCTTATGCCTTCGCCATGCCTCTGCCCCCCACCAGCGACGCGACTGACACCAGCTCGCCGCCGCAGGCCTCCCCGCGCGCCTCGAGTCGCTCGCCTCTCTCACCCCCTTCTGCTCCCTTCCCCGCCCCATCCAGCAGACGAACAAGACGGGCCTCGGCTCCTCCGCCGCCCTCGTCACTTCCCTCGTTGCCGGCATCCTTTCGCACCTTGGCCTAGTGGACGTCGCCACGCCTGAAGGCGTCGATATCATACACTCCCTCGCCCAGGCTGCGCACTGTCTCGCGCAGGGCAAGGTCGGGAGTGGCTTTGATGTTGCCTCCGCAGTCTACGGCACGCACGTCTACCGCCGCTTCTCGCCTACCGTCCTCGAGCCGCTGTTCGCGGAGTTCGAGCGTGGAGAGAAGGGCGACGCCGTGTACAACGTCGTGCACTCTGGCAAGTGGGACCAGGAGGCGCGCCCACTGCGCTTGCCACGAGGGCTGCGGCTCATGCTCGCTGACGTCGATGCGGGGACGGACACACCGAGTTTTGTTGGGCGGGTGCTCAAGTGGAGGAAGGAGAACCCAGAAGAAGGTGAGCTGGTCCAGGCGGCGATGTGGCGCCCTTCGTCGCTTTGAATGTTCCACAGCTCTAACGGCAGCATTGGCGCAGTGGACCAAGCTCGATGAGGCCAACCGCTCCTTGGAACATGCGCTCGCAGCCCTCGTCGAGCTCGAGTCATTGCCGGAATACGAAGCCGAGGTTCGGGCAGCGGGGAAGGTCAAGGTCGCCAACGTACGTCAAGCCTGTAGACAAAATCTGACAACAGCTGAAGCCTGGACGTGTCTCCTCGGCGCTGCAGAACTTGACCGCCGCCATCGAAGCCATTCGTGACGGAATGCGCAAGATGTCTGAATCGTCCCAGGTTCCTATCGAGCCACCAGAGCAGACACGTTTGCTCGACGCATGCTCTGCGCTCCCGGGAGTCCTGGGCGGTGGTGTTCCTGGGGGTATGTCCATGTCTCAGGTGTCTAGCTGACTGTAGCGGGTGGATATGATGCTGTTTGGTTCCTCGTGGTGGACGAGGACTCCATCGCCAACAGCGTGCAGGATGTGTGGGGTTCGTGGACCGAGATGAGCGTCTCGCCGCTCTCGAGCAAGCAGAGTGATGGCGGCCTCGTCCTGCACTCGTCTGCTGATGAGGTACCCGGTCTCGCCGCCGCACTTTCGCGATAGATATGATCGACACAGTTCCGTCACGACTGTTAATGGCACTTTCACGTGCTGACGCCCATGCATCAGCTACAGCATTTTCGACGCGTGGCCGACTAGTCACAGGAGAGTATCCGTGTAGTCGGAGTGAGGTGCAGTGTGTCCCTAATGCTGCGCTAATCCCTCACTAACTCATTTGCTCAAGCACAACTGTCGATCTCTGACCTAGCACCTAGTTGACACGAAGCAAGATAGTGGACAAGACTGAGTTTAGCGCATCTCTAGAAACGGGAACCCGGAGCCGTCCAAGGGCGTCCGGCCGGACCAGGTTGCCAGGTATGAATCGCTAATGAAGCGGTCAAACTTGGCCCGAGGTCGCAAATGTCCTGCGTGCCCCCTCCGTCGCATTCGCTCATTTGCGACGCCCCGCGCCGAGGCCAAAGCGCGCCTCGGAGGGCAACGATGCTGATCAAGGCTCGGTTGGCTCTAAGGGCACCCTTCTCGCCGCACCCTCACCTCTCACTGCACCCTCACCAGGCTCTTATATCGTACAATCCGATTGCTCGCCCCTCCATCTCCCCACCCATCATGGCCCTCTTCACCGCACTCTCCCTCTCGCTCGCCGTCACCATCTTGCCCGTCCTCGCGATCCTTCTCGCCCCGCGCAACCGCCCCTCCTCGCAAGACATGTACTTGCACGAGTCACTCCAGCACAAGCCGCTGGCGGAGGCGACGATGATTAGCGCCAGGAGGCACAGCATCGCCTACCGCGCGTAGTGACAATGCTAATACGCGTTGGTCGCTCCAAGCGCGCCGCTCGTCGCCCCGTCCTCCACGCCATCACAACACACACCATATCTACAGCACACTGAGGTGTCCGCCGCGCACAGCTCCAGCGCGAACAACATGACGCCTTATCCCGCCCTCATGATTCTCGTCTTCCTAATTCCCCTCGCACCTGGACCCGTCATCGCGCTCTGTATCGTGGTCGCGATCATCAAGGCCCTACGCTCATAGCACAACCTCGGCTCTCTCCCATATTCGTGGGTCACGAGAGGCGCACGCTGACGCTCAGTTGCTCTTCGGACACATCACCCGTCCTCTACGCCCGGCCTATGTAGCGGCTTGCAGTGCACTTTTCCTCACTGTTCTAGAAGCTTGACTCACGCTCGAACTCTTCGTGTCTTGGCCACTGACAACACGCCACGTCGCGACGAAACCTGCCGCGAAGCGGACTACACTTGTAGCTGACAGAACAAACACAAGATCGGGCTGTTGACATCTACAGCACTGGCGGTGCACCAGTCTGCCGTTAGCTGGGCATTCATGCAGCAAGCGGTCACGTACTGCCCCGGTTCACGCCTGTCCTGTCTCCGGGACACTTGATCAGGTATGAGCCGGCTCCGTTTCGCTGGAAGCTCGGTCTCCTGATCCACCTTGGGACGTGGGTGGGCATCCGTGAGCGGCCCGTTTTTGCGGGGCCAGTCTTTGGAGGATCCATGTTTGCTATCATGATGCTGATGTTCGCTTGTGAAGGCATCGAAGTGTTGAAGGTGATGAGATTGTTGAGAGTCGGGTAAGTTCTGAGTGGCGGCATTGTCTCGATAGCTGTAGGAGCAGTGACGGGGTAAAGAGTGGTGACTGGGGTAAGTGTGAGAGTGTACTGTGGACTTTACGAAAGAGAAGAGAAGCTTGGCTATATATACGGACCGAAGGGCTGTGCACGCGTGCGGCTGTCAACACTGTGGAATTGAGTCGCAACGACGTACCAATCTTCAGCTATGGAATTCATCCCAATTCTGTAAGTGTGCGCCAGGGTTGCCTAGTCCCCAATTCACACCGCGGCTACCGTAGGTGTACACGTAGCACCTTCCAGCATTTACGAGTTTCTGCGGAATCCGGCGGCAGCTGTGCAGTCACAATGTCTGTCGTAGTACTCAAGTTGCCTGCGGCCGCCCGTAAGTCAGTCGTATCCATTCAGCCAGGTACCCTGCCGCAGTCCAACTCACAACTTGCAGATGACAAGGGTCACTTGAAGAGTTGACTTGCAGGTAGTGCTGTCGCTCCAAGGGGGAAGGGGCGAAGTGGTATTCTGTGAGTCAGCTCGTGCCATCGGTGCGAAGGTGGTCACTACGGCAAAAGTCGTGAGGATGGGTCAGGGGGAGAAAAGGAAATCGACCATTAAACAAAGCTACCCTCGCGTCTCCGTTGAGAATGTGAGCGTAAGCAAGTCAGTACAGTGAGTAGTCCCAAAGCGTTGCGACGCGTGGCAACAACGACATCCTTTATCCCGCGGGATGGCTAAGTATGATGCACTACTGCATTTCGCGCTTGCAGAAGGTGCAGCGTTTCGGCTTGGGACCAGAGCAAGGCCACCAAGAGAAGGTGCTGCCCGGACGGCACGAGACTGTTGTGCGTTAGGAGCGCTGACATGAGGACGCACGATTGCGGTTGACGCCGTGCGCGTTTCCAGTGCACTTGGGCGGGCGGAAAGACATCTTCAATGTGCGAGGCGGCGGCGAGATGTCGGTGAGGTGGTTGGCGGGAGCGCGCAAAGATGGCTGCTTTATAGGTGCTCTGGCGCACTGAAGATGTCAGAATCGGCGCAGGTGCACGGTGGAGCTGGCTCGAGCAAGATCGAAGGAAGCATCATGTCGGGTAAATGCTCTCACTCCCGAATGGCCGGCAGCGTTGACCTGTGCTGTGCACACGGTGGAGGACTTGGGAAGTTAGCTGTACATCAAAAACGAGTCCTTGCAGCTGTAAAGCGTAATCAAGCAGCGGTCAAGGTCGACGATCGCCAATGTCTTTCCGCATCCACGGATCGACGCCTCCACCATGCGCACAGGCCTGGGATGTCCTCGCCATGCATGGGACATAAAAACGATGCTGTGCATGCTTCTATTCTCCACCAGGGAGTTGAACCCTGCTCTTTCGCGGTCATGCCAGCGACTCCGAAGAGCCGGCTTCAGGCAGCAGGCAGCTCTCGACTGAGAGGCGAATATACTACCCGATATACTAGTGAAGAGGAGTTGACAGCTCACTTTCTGTTGACTTCAACTGCGGGTCAAGTTGACACCGCAGATCTGAAGGTCAGTACACACGGTTTGACTCTTGATGGGAACAGGTCAAGCTCCGAGAAGGATGAGATCAACATCATTTTCAGGGTTTTGCGCCGTTTTATTTCGGAGAGAGGTGCTGACAGTGCATGAGCGCAAGTTGGTTGTCATGGCAAGTTGGGTGGTGTCCAGGGTATTTCTGATCCTTAACAACATTTGTGGGCAGTCTCACTTCCACGTTCCCCTCGAGGCCTTGACAGAAGTGAAGGGCGCAGATGAATCCCAGTGACAGGGGGGTAGGCTTGGGGCACTCCACGAAAACAGCCACGTATCTGATCGGTACGGCCTGCCGTCCGGCTGCATGTATATCGGATCTCCACGGGCAGGTTGTATAGACAAGGTTTACGCGAAGCCAAGTCCATACGACCCCATCTTGAGAGTAAGGAGGGTCATGCGCTGTCTGAATGAGCGCATTCCACGATTGAGAAGTTTCATGCCACATCCTACAGTGAACAATGGCAATGGCCCTGGGCTCTAGATGGCTCCAATCTTTCCTGCAGTTCATTTCCTAGTTTGTTTGATGTGATCGATGGGACGGGTTTCCCACCGCTTCTGCACTTCTGGCTGGGCGCACGTCATTTCTTCCCATCCTTTGTTGGGCAATTTAGCTCATGTGCGAACCCGCCGGCACCAGTTAAAGAGATCAGCGGTCGCGAACATGGTACGCGACGCCGATATTCATCATGTTCTCGGTCGTCATTGGCCAAAGTCCTCTACTCCTCACCTCTCGTTCGGCCCTCTCGCGCCTCGAATTCGTATATTACACATGTGAGCATTTGCGCCCTCCTACTGCTTCTCAGTCCCGCTCGATCCCAGCCAAGCACCTTCACTTCACTTCACCATCGAGACCGCTGGGCTTAGCAGCTTTGGCACCTCGGGGTGAGCGTTGTGGAAAACGATCGCTCACGCTCCGAGCTCGAGAGGGACACCGGCAAAGCGGCAACGGCATCAGCAACGGCAACGGCAACGCGAAACACGTGGTTTACCACCAGAGGACCGCGGCCACAGGCAGTCTCTCCAGCACTGTGGCAGCAACCTCTCCCGATTGTCCAAAGCCGAGCGCCGACTACCCAATCCAAAGCTCCACGCTGCCGTCTGACACCTGCAAATGGTGGCCTAAGCAGGGGAGTGCTACCAGCAGTATATCTACTCATAGTAAGTCTGAACTACATGTACAGATCTCTCTCGACTGCTCGCGTCTGCTCAACATGTCGCTCGGTTGAAACCGTTCTCGCGCTGTTGGCGCTCATGCCACAAAAACGACTGCACCACCTCCCAATATTTGGGAACACTTCCCATACCAGCTCCCATCTCTTGTAAACCGCACTTGCGCGTATAACAACGGTCTTCATGTAAAACTAACATGAAGGCCGCAGACATGGTCATCAACTATGCGGGGACCCCATGGGGCCCCCAAGCCGGTACTTATTCGACCCGGATTTCCGAATGGTCATCCCGTGTGGGGCAGCGGTTAGCTCTTGGTGCTTATGAGGATACCTGTTCATTCACCACTGTCGTGGGTTCAAATCCCACCATGGGAATACACTTTTTGAGAGAGATGTGCAAATACCATCTCACTCTTCGGGTAATGCATCCTGTGCTGCCTCCATCTCCGCGTGCTACGCAAGTGAGGACAATAACAGTGTGTGAATGCATGCTGGTGACAGTGGATCTATTTGGTGAACCATGCGATCGCCTTGCCGGCGACACCCTCCTTCTCCTTCTTCAACTTCTCGTCTAGTGGCGGCAACATCCCTGGGGCGCCTGCGTAGCCGTGCATCCACGGCGCGGGGGGCGGATATGGGTATGGGGCATACGCGGGTTCGCGCTGCTTGGCTCGCAGGTTGAACAGGGCCGAGTTGATGAGCGTGATGAACAGGGTGAGGGAGACCACGGTGAATACCATGGTCTTCCAGCTGATCGTCTCGAAGAAGCTGTTGATGATGCCCGCGAACGTTTCGGCGCCGACACGCGCCCGCCCCACCACCTTCGGGTCGCGGTTCATGCACAGCTCCCAGCCCTGACATGCCGCCTCCATCGCTGGCACGCGCGTCCCTGCTTCACACCGGTTGGTGAGGTACGACCTCGAGCACTCGGAGATTTCCTGGAGATATTCTGTCGTTAGTTCCGCTAATGCTGGGGCTCACCGATCGAGTATTCTTCAATACGCTCCTTGACGTCGCGCTGGACAGCCATGACGAAGCTCGTCACGACGTACAGGAAGCCCAGCACGAGCGATCCGTTGAACACGAACTGAACGTAACTGCCATCAGCCCAGGTCCTAGCAATGCGGCCGGCAGGCCCACCCACCCGAGGAGAATAGAGGGTATCTCAGAGTGCCGCGTACCCTGCGCCATGTGAAGGTTGTACGTGTTCTCGCTCCGCCCCTTCCGTCAGCGCCGCCGTCGCGCGACCCACCTCCTGCGCGAAGTTCCTGCGCCGCCGGCGCACTCGCGTAATCGCCCCCGTCGCAATCTTGCGTTCAGGCGATGCGGGGTCGTCAACGCTCGCCACCGACGCAGCCTTCTCGTTGCTCTTTTTCTCCTTCGGCTTGCCTGGCGACCCTGGCTGCTCGCTCGCGTCCATGTCCACGTCGTTCACTGGCGCGACCGTTGTGCCGAGCCCAAAGTCTGTGCGTGCCCACTTGTTTGGGTCGTACGGCTCCCATGGGCGAGTAGGTGGCGGGGGCGGCGCATGGAACAGGAAAGGTGTGTTGGGCCCAAAGCTGTACGGCGCGATGCGCGATGGCGGCGCAAACCCCCCACTTCCCAGCTCGCTATGCGGACCTGGTGTCAACATCTCGTTCAGCAACTGGTGGCGTGCAGCCTGCAGGTGTGCAAGCACTCACGTTTTCTCGCAGGCCCGTCGTCGTCAAGCGCATACTCGGCTGCACGCCCCAGAGGGTGTACCGAGTCGACTTCCATAGGACCAGAGGTGTCCCGCTTGAACATAGTCGCGATGGGTTGGTGATGTTGATTTGTTGACTTTCAGAATCTGACCCTGCGCCCAGACCTCCACGTCCGATCGGCAGGTTCCGACGCTGAAACCGACACGTTTCCATAACAACAATCATTCATTACCCATCTAATCACACCTCGCCGAGATACTTTGCGGCGCGACCTAGCGCCCAGATACAGAAGATATGCTTGAATGCGGGGTAGTCGATCGCACAGTTCTTGTTGAAGATTCCCTCCGTGTCCTCCTGCGCCCATGCGCCATCCGGCAGCTGTCGGCTCATGATGAGCGCGCACCCTCGGCGGATGGCGTCGTGGTCTGGGCTCTGGCCATAGATGAGGGCCAGCAGTGCCCAGGAGGTCATGACCACCTGGCTCTGCTCGTGCTGGCTGTACACGCCAGTCACGCAGCTCTGGCGGTTAACTTGCCTCCGAAGATATTGCTCACCATATACGTCTCGCCCCAACCGCCGTCTGTCATCTGCTTGCCGAGAAGGAAAGCACAGGCGCGGCGCACACGCTCGGAGTTGGCGTGCGTCTCGCCCGCAATTGCCAGCGACTCGAGCGCAAACATTGTCGCGTACGTGAAGCAGATGCCCCACGAGCCGTACCATGAGCCGTCGGGCCGCTGGTCACGGTGAATCCACTCAATCACGCGCTCGAGGCAGCACGAGATCTCCACGGCGCGGTACTTGGGGTCAATTTTCCGGAAGTGCTCAAGCGCCGAAAGCACAGACGTCGAGCACTCGGGGTACAGATAGTCAACCATGATCTTGCCAAAGACCTCGGCCGCGTTCAGCATCTCCATTCTCTCGCTTCCACGCTGGAGTTCGTAGCTCGCATAGCCTCCGGATGCGTTCTGCATGGACAGCAGGACATCCACGGCATCACGCATGCGTTCCACTGTGACGGGTTTGGGCGTATAGCTGAGTGACTGAAGAGCAATCGTCGCCTTAAGGCCCTCGCCGGTGCAGTCAGAAACGGTGTAGCTCTGCTCGGGCGTCGAGAACGGCCACGCGCCCTTAGACGACTGCCGGTACCCCTCTTTGTACCAGCGCGGGTTCTGGCGGATCTGACACTTGTCGAGCCAGTCGAGCATGCCGATGCATGTCTTCTTGTTTTCATCCTCATTTGCGAGACCCGTCTCCACCGCCGCTTGCGCCATGAATGAGATGTCCCACAACTGCGAGCCGTTTGTGCCAGTCATGAACAACCCGTCCTTGCTCATCCAAAGGAAGTCGTCGACCTTAGCGAGGTGGAGGCGGCAGGCCTCCGAGTCACGCCCTTCGTTCTCAAGACGGCAAATCATGTTAAATGCCTTTGACACAGGCCCGACAGTCTGATACCCGGTGTTCTCGTCTTCATAGACGATCTGGCGATAGGCCGCCTTGAGACCGGCGCGACGGAGCGACGGGACGCACGTCATGTACGGCAGCTTCTCGTACACGGCGAGGATGCGGTTGAGCGACTTGAAGACGAGGTGGTGCGGGTTGTACAGGTCCCCGGGGTGGATGTTCTCGCGCTGAGCGGGCCAGTTGATGGACGCATACGGCTGCGTGTAGATCTCCTGCCGCAATGCATTGACGAGCGGAGTGTACGGCCCAACGTAGCGCTTACCCCAGAGGTACGCCATGGGAGTAACTGCAGTTAGCATCGTCCGACGCAGAATCAAGGGTGCACGCACAGACTAGCCGAACATGGATCCACTGAATCGTCAGTTCGTTTCGCACCTCGAGAACTCACCCAGCGCCATGGGGCAAACGGTGCCCAGTCCGGAAGACACCACAGCTCCGGAGGCGTGGGGTTAACGCCTTCCCAGTCGTAGCATCCAAGAATTGACAGCCACACCTTGCCCCAAGTGGGAATGCCCGTCGCGCCGCCTAACGTCAGTGTCGCCCGCACGCCACTCACCAAGCTCGTGAATCTTGGCGCGGATGGCTGTCATCGGCCCTTCATCTGGCCCAACGCCGAGCATGCGCAGCATCACGTAGTTCATAACGGTGCCAAACACAGTGGGCGGCGCTGCTGTGTGCCTGCCGTTAGCTTCACTGTTGCACACACGTACAGGCCCCATCCCATCTCGGGGCGCAGCTTGTTGAACAGGTAGCGGATGAGCTCAGCCTTGCGCTCACGCGGGATCTCGACACCATAACAGTGCAATGCGATGACAAGGCCAGGAGTAAGGAACAGGGGACCTGACGTTAGCTCTGCACCTCGGCGTCACCCACCTCCATACTCTGAGGCAAAGTGGCCGTCCTCGCTCTGCAGCTCGCGGTAGAAGGTGAGGCCGTTCCGCGCCGCTTCGTACTTGTTCTGTGCCTTTGGAAGCTCCGGAAGCCCCTGCCGTCAGGTTTGTCCCCCCAATTATGCTCACTGTGGGCAGACCCATCGAGTACTTGTCCACGGGCGTCTGCGGCCAGGCATCCCGCTGTGGGCCGGGAGGGAGATACACCCACTTGTGCTGGCCGTGGCTGTCCTCCCCAACCTTCAGACGCCAGCCGGCAGGGTCGGTGCGATATTTTGCAGCAGTCTCTTTTGCGGATGCGGACATTGCTGGTGTTGAGGAGTGGGCAGATGCAGCAAGAGAACGGGAGGCGCCGAGAAGGACCTGACGCGACGCGGCGGCCGGAGTACGGTGACACGATCGACACGAGAAAGCCAGGTCCTACCCCACATCGCACGATTGCGGGGAAGCCGGACTGCAGCGTGATCTCCGCGCAAAGGCCATGGTATTTGATTTCAATACCAGTATTCGAATTGATTAGAAAGCTGTTTGCCCTGATCGGTGTGTTCCCAAAATCAACAAGCAGCGACAACCGATCGTCACTGACTCTCATCCCTCCACTCCATCACTTCCACCTCGCCCATCATGTCCGGTGAGTCTCAAGCTCATCTGCTGAAGCTGATGTCAGGGGACGCTACTCTTCAACCACCGATGGACGGCATCGCTGCCCTCTCATGGGCGCCGGACAGCAAGCGCCTTGCTGTCGCGAGCTGGGACTCGGTGCGCACCTTTCTTCACTCTGAGGCTGACCACAGCATGCGCATATCTACGACGTCCCCAACCCAGTGGCCGTTAGGAGGTGATGGTAGATGCTCGTACTGCAGCTAACAGCAGGCTGGAACATCCCGCCGCCGTCCTCTCTGCCGTCTTTGGGAGCTCGAGAGATACGTTGTATACCGGCTGCTTGGACCGGCGCGTGCGCGAGTTCGTTTACGATTTTGATCTGGCCCAGCTGACATAAGGTGGAACCTTTCCACAGGCGAGGCGCGCGTCCTCGGTGCCCACGACAACGCTGTTAGCGCGATGGCGTGGATCCCGGAGCATAACGTGCTCGTCACAGGCTCTTGGGACAAGAGCGTCAAGGTGTGGAACCCGTACGTCCCTTCACTGCCTTGCCCCGGACATCACTGAGATGCAGATCGGAGGAGGAGCCGCTCGCGTCGACGTTATCGCTTCCGGAGCGCGTGTACAACATTTCGTACACGCCAGCTACGGGCCGCATGTTGGTGTCCATGGCCCACCGCCATGTGTCGGTGTACACCGCGGACGAGCTGGCAGCGGCCGCACGCGAGAAGCGCGAGGCCAAGGCTGACCACACTCGCGAGAGCGCGCTCAAGATGCTCACGAGAAGTGTCGCGTGCATGGCCGACGGAAAGGGTGAGTTGGCCCCCGGCAGCCACGCTATTTCTGCTGTGAAGCATTGGAATTGACGGCAGGCTGGGCCTCCGGATCGATCGAGGGACGCATTGCCGTTGAATACTTTGACCCCGACCCGTCGGCACAAGCAGCGAAGTACGCGTTCCGTGCGCATCGCGCCAACGTCGACGGTGTCGACCAGGTGTACCCCATCAATGCTCTCGCTTACCACCCTGTGTAAGTTATGAGGTCGACGCCTCCCAGAGTGGCAGCTGACGGAAGCCACAACACGTTCGCCTCGGGCGGTTCAGACGGTGTTCTGTCCATTTGGGACCACAGCGCTAAGAAGCGTATGCGCCTGTTCCCCAAGTACCCATCTGCGATCTCAGCGCTGTCCTTTTCGCCTGACGGGACGCGCCTTGCCATTGGCGTGAGCTACGAGCACGACAACGCCGTCCCACCCGCGGAGCAGAAGACCGTCATGCTCTTGTTGAAGGAGACCGTCATGGACGACTGCAAGGTAAGTTGCGCTGCGTAACGAAGCTAACATGTAGCCCAAGGCGAGGTAGTCGGCACTAGAACAGTGATGCATGCAGTGTTGATATCTATGACCAGTCTCCAAAGCCGCCCCAGTCGCCTCCGCCGCCGCCGCCACCACCACCGTCGCCTCCGAAGAACCCGTCGTCGCCGCCGGGATTTGCCCATGGGTCCTCCATGATTTCCTCGTCACCGGGAAAGTCAGGTGGGTAGTCAAAGCCCTCGGCCTGCTGACCTGGTGCGGGAGGCTCGTAAGGCCGATCAGGGGTACTCTGGCCGGGGAAAGGGTCAGCAGTTGTCTGTCCTGGCGGGGGCGCGCGACCATATATCTCGTCATCGCTCCAGTCCCGCCCAGAATACCCTCCGGCGCCTCCCATGGCAGCACCAGCCGCCGCGCCGCCGAGGACATCGCCTGCGCCTGTACCGCCGCCCGTTCCGACGCCCGTGCCAGAGCCAGAGGGTGCTGGAGCTTCTCCGCCGCGCGAGTGTTCGCTCGAGCCGTCACCGCCGCTGAACAGCCAGAAGGGGAGGAAGCCGCCTCCACTACCCGAGTGTCGGGAGAAGTAGTCGAAGTCGATAGACACAGCCGTGGCGAGGGTCATGGCGCGCTGGTCGAGCGTGAGCCCCGTGCTCTCCTCGGGGAGCACAAGCGTCTGGCCCTGCACGCTGACCTGCGAGCCGGGGGGCATGTTGATCTCGCTGCCCGCGGCGTCGAAGCGGATGACGTACTGACCCGTGTCAGTGAAGATTTCGCGCCCGAAGCCCGTGAAATTGCGGTTGATGGTGGCGAGGAGACGCCCGTCGGCGTCGGTAAGCCAGAAGTCCCAAGCGAGGAATCCGCCGTCGATGCGTGCAAACTGGTCCATGTAGTTGTCTCCTCCTCCGACACGATTCTCGAAGAGATTGTACCGCCGCCGCCAGGGGTGCCACTGCTGCTGCGTCTCGCCGACGAGGGGGCTGAGTCCGTCGCCGCCGCCGACTGCGCCGAGGTCGGGGTTGGCGCGAACTCGGATGCGCGAGTTGATGAATGCGAACGGGCGCTCGATCCACAGAATCGGCGTGCCGTGCCGGTCCATGACTGTGCTCTTGAAGGGCCGGTGGGTGTGTAGAATCTGGCGAGTGAGAACGCCGGCGAAGCCCCGCTCCTCCTCAGCGAGGAAGCCGACGTGCGCGCCCTCGGGGGAGTAGATCGCATACCGGTTCGCCTGCTCGTATCCGAGGAAGACGTTCATCATCTCGAGCTGGCGGACGACGACGAGCGAGTCGTGCGCGAGCAGCTCGTAGGCCGCGTGGTTGCGCTGCAGGACGCCGCGCGGGTCGTCGGGAACGACGACGGCGGGGCGCGCCGAGTAACCCTGCGTGTAGCCCTGCTGGTCGAAGCCCATGCTGCCCAACGGGTCCTGTTGGAACTGGTATGCGCCGGGGTTGGGGTCATTGGTGTCGTCGCGGCGAATGCGGCGGCGGACGGGACGAACGTGCCCACGGGGTACTAGGGTCAGCTTTGTCGAGGAGGCACTCACGCCGATCGTCGTCTCGCCTGAGAAGTGGTGTGGAGGCGCTGAGTTGGCGCGCGAGTGTGGCACCAGCGAGAGGAGGCAGCGCGCGCCGTAGAGGAGGCTGGAGGCGCAGCGCGGGCCTCACTGCCGCGAGGCCGGTACGCATCATCATCGTGGATGTAGTGTAGTATGGTACGTTGTGATGCTGATGTGAGAGTCTGTCGGGCCGTAGTAATGTCCAGGAAGGTGGTGGCTATGGTGTATGGTGGATGGATCTGGGCTTGGAGGGCTTGGACAATGACGCACTGGCGGGAGCATTTCACGGCACGGCCTCGGTCTCGGCCTCGCCCAGGCCGGCGGCAAACAGCACACGACTGGTCGTTTGCCCCTGCGTGCCGGTGGATTGCGCGGCCTTACAATGAAGTTGATGCGGAGAACTGCCTGGAACAGGGAGTATTCAGATTGCGGATCGAGGACTGGCAGCCGCCTACGCTGTACTCAATCGCCGTAATCTCGGCGCCAGTTTGCCATGAGGCGTCTCAGTGGCCCAGTGGCGTAATCTCGTCGCCATTCCTGGTGGCTGGTGGCTAACTGCACCCTCGTGTTCTTCACTCCTCTCAGCCTGCGACTATACTGCGTCCCTCAAAATATAAAAAGCTGCATTGGAGTTCGGGCCTTGGTGGCCATTTCAGCCCTTCGTATGAATACTCACTACCACCCGGGGGCCGTTCAACCGTTGCCTGTGAATACTCACAACCGGGATCGAACCTCAGCTCTAACCAGCACGTCTCTCCGACGAAACGTGTAGCTCCCCAGTTAGACAATGCAGAATAATCCGTGAAGAACTGCATACGAGCCCTCATGAAGAGATGTGTAGTATGTGAAGGCTGCACCCCTATCCGCGACCGTACATACATCTCTCCAGAGGTTCTCCGTCAACCGTGCGACTCGTCACTCGTAACGATCGCCACACTGCCACAACCGAACTCGCGAAATACAACCTAATCACTCTGACTCGGCGCCGGCTCCGAAACCAGGCACCACCAACCGCTCCAACTCGAGATTGCAGCCCACTGGAGCTCCTGAACACGACCGCGATCACGGCTGCCGCCGGTGAGTCGGTCGGCAGGCTCCACACCTAGTGCTCGCAAACCCCACTCCTGAATGACCGCACCCAACACAATTCTGACTCTTTGCGCACTTCCTGACCCCAATGCCGAGCTCGTCCACTCCTCCTGACAATCACCCCTACATCCTGCTCCACATATGTCGAATGTGTACATGCGTCGTGCTAAAACCAAGTGAACCTGATCGCTACGCGGAGAACTTAGTTCTTCCGGCGGAACGAGGAGCCTGGCGTCAGCTTGAACGAGCGACTTGCGCGTTGCGAACTTACCCTCAGTGAGCTTGGCCTTGCCGCCCGAAGGCTGGCAGAGGACGGTGGCGCACGAGCCGCACTGGACGACAGTCGAGGCGTGGGAGAAGACGGTGGTGATCTGGAAGCAGCCGGGGCACTTAACGTCCATGAAGAACGAGTTGGGCTGGGGCACAATCTTCTTGAGCTTGTGGGTACGGGCCTGGGCCTCGGGGGAGGGGTGGAGAAGGTCGACAGCGAGAGTCTGAGGTTAGCAGTGTCGTAACAAGCAGGGCGACATGGCGGATGGCAGGCAGGCAAGCGCACGGCAGGGTATCGAGTCGGGAGGGAAGAGGGAGTGGCGGGATGGGCGGGCGACAGAAGTCGACTTCTGCGCACGCTTCGAGAAAGCTCTCGGCTCCGATGCAGAGAGCGAGCGCGGGCGGGTGGCAAAACTGCGCGGGGTGCGTGGTAGAGTTTGGCGCGGAGGTTGACTGCGCACACGACAGGTGCGAAGCCCACCTTCCTCACCGAGGCTCTAAACATCCAGCAGTCCGACGCTGACTCTGCGACCGCTAAGCGTTCGCAGCACCAGTCCGCCGCGCGTTTCTCGCACTCCGCTGCTAGCGGTTTCCCACCACCAAGGGTTTCCGCGAGAAGTGTCGACAAAGGTCGGTGTGAAAGTTTGTCGTCGCCACTGCCTAGCCTTGCCGCCACCGCCAGCCGGGCCGCGCAAGGCTCACCATTTTGCTGGTTGTTGTGGTTGCGTTCGGGTCGCGCGAGATTCGAAAGGAGAGAGTGAGAGGTGCGCGGCGCTGTCGCGTTTTATGTTACGAGGAGGGAGGAGGGGAGAGGTGGTCGCGAGCGACACATTCGAGACGCTCACCTGCGTGGGCTGGGCCGCGGGAGCAAATCACCCAGTGCGATTTTTTGATCCGTGGTGCCTCGGGTGCAAACACCGCAAAACGCCGGGATGGCACCGCATTTGCCGTATTTCCGCGCAGGCACGGGGTTGCGTCAGGCACATGTCAGGCTCATGGTGGGTGGCAAATCGACGATTTGTGGAGCATAGTGCTTTCTGGCAGCGTACAACAGTGCATATGTCTCTCGAAAGCCGTCTAGAAGCGCAGATGATCGCGCGGAGCTTGGCACGTCGATCGCGATCGGCGTGGGGCCGATCCGTCATTAAGGCCCCGGAGCGGAGCCGAGCGCAGCACCCAGCGCCGAGCGTCTTCGAGCGCCAAGTGGCGGAACGCCCTGGAAGGCCGTGGTGCGGAGCCGTTCTTACGACAGCGAGACCACGCCGCGCGAGCCCACCACCTTGTCCGCTGCACGTCCGCCCCCGACCGCCTTCTGGTGAGCGGTAAGCTGGCGCTTGCGCTCATCCTTGAACGTCAGGGTGTGCGCCTTCTTCTCCGCGCGCCTGTTCGCCTTCTCGGCCTTGGTCGCCTTCTTGCGCGCCTTGCGCTCCTCGGCGCTCTCGCCCTTGGGCCGTGCAATTGTGACCTTGGCTTCGCGCTCCGTCTCGGATCCCGAGTCCTCCTCCTCCTCGCCGTCGCGGGCACGCGCAGCCTCGGCGGCGGCGGCAGCCTCAGCTCGTCGCAGAGCGCGTTCCTTGGCCTGCTCGCTGTTGCGGACGCGAATCATGCCGGGGTGGTTCTCAGTATTTGTATATGTGGCTGCTGTTAGGTCGAATAATGTGCTGGCAACTCACAGAGAATCGTCTCCACGTCCCACTTGTGCTCCGGCTCAACCTCACGGCGGTCCATTGTCTCCTTGATGTCCCGGTACTCGCCGGTCTCAATGCGGCGCTCAATGTCGAGAATTCGGCGACGGTTCTCTTCCCGTGTCGGACCCTCCACTCCGTCCTCGAGCGCGGCACGGAGTACCCTCAGCTTCTCGGGGCCACTCAACGCTGTCCCGCCGAGCGACTCGCGCATACGCCGTCCAACCACTTCGTAGTTGTCGAGGAAGTCGTCCATGATAGCGTCAAAGTCGTCGCGGCTGATCTCCGGCGCCGGCCCTGCGCCCGTCGGCTCGTCTCCGCGCAAGAACGAGACACGGCTCATGCTGGACATGTACGAGGGGGCGATGGAGACATCGTCCTCGTCCTCGTCCCACTCCTCGTCGTCGTCCATGTCGTACTGGCGCTCAATGGCGTCGAAGCGGTCGTCCAGTGTCCGCAAATTGTCGTTGCGATACACGTTGGAAGAGGACATGCTCATCCCCGAGGCGTCGGACGGCCCGCGCTTCCCGTGCCGCTTCTTGCCGCCGCGGACCATCAGGTCGTCCATGCCGCTCACGAGACTGCCGACCGTGTCCGCCATCTCGGAGCGCTCGGCCGAGTCGGCGTCGTCCCATCCCCCATTGCTGGCCGGCTTGTGGTGCCCCCCGGCGGCCTTGAAGGCGCGGAAGCGGTCCTCCCATGTCTCCTCGCGCGGCTCGCCGTTCTCCGTACGCGCATCGTCGTCGTCCTCATTCACGCCCCACTCGGCGAACTCGAACTCCTCCGCCTCCTCCCCGTCCTCGAGCTGCCCTGACCCGAGCAGTTCGCCGAACACGTCCTCCTCCCCGTCCTCGTCCACGAACGCGTCGTCTTCGAGCGCCTCGAGCACCTGGCGGAGATGTGGGTCCATGTCGGGCTGCAACCCCTGCAGCTCGCGCGGAAGCGCCTCCTGCGACGCATACACGTCCTGCACGGATATCTCGTGCTTGGACGCCATGACCTCCTCGGGCATCCTGAACCCCTTGTTCTTCTGTTGCTTCTGCGGCGCCTCGAGGAGCACCGAGTCGGCGCCGCCGAGGCCCACGGGCCGCAAGTGCTGCATGTAGTCGTAGGCCGAGTCGTCGTATGTGATGCCGTACGTGGCGGCTTCGCCTTCGTTGGCGCGCATCGCACTCTTGTCCACGCTCGCCTCGAGGTCCGAGAGCGTCAAGGCGGCCTTTTCGTTACCGCGCTCAATGGGGCGGAAGACATGCTTGCTCGCGTCGGGGTCGTTGATGAGGGGGTCGCGCAGGGAGCGATGCACGAGCTGGAAGTGCTGCGCGCCTGGCTGGCGGAAGCGTGATTTTGGTGGCATGGTGTGAGTGGTCGAGAGCTTGTAGCCTAGAAAGTGATATAGTCTGTGTAGAGTGAGTGAAACTCGAGATGACGGCTGCTCTGTAAGATCAGTGTCGCGGTCGAGGAGATGTTGATGATGAGAGCGACCTCCACCGCAAAATTGTGGTGGGGTGGCGAGAGTCTGATTCCAGGGACGGAAGTATCTTGCGGAACGGCCTCGATTTCGGCGACGGTGACTCTCTCTGCGACTTCAACTTCACTAAAAACACGCCACAATGTCTTTCTTCCGCGGATCAAACCCCTCCACAGTGTCTCAGTCGGCGCCGAGTGAGTATGCGTGGGGTGCGGAGCTCGCGCTTGCGCCGGGGATCTCGGCGAAGTCTATGAAGCTCGGAGCACCTGCCATCTGACTGGTAGCGGGGTCATCTCCACATCACACAAGCGACCAAGGTGCTCCAGCTGGGCTTGCGCTGTCTTGGACTGCTCGATTCGCGGGCGATCACCGTATTCGAGTGGTGTGGGCTCCCATGTCTCCTGCTCTGCACAGCCACCGAGGTTACGATGGACCATCACTGACTCCAGGCATGCAGGCGCGCAAGGAGGAGGTCAAGCAGCAGATCCAGCAGGAGCTGGCTGTTGCGAGCGCGCAGCAGCTCGTCACCAAGATGACCGAGAACGTGAGTGGCATGGGTGTTGTTGCGGCAGGTGTAGCGGCGTGGAGGCTGGACGCGTCTTTTGCCGGACATGGCGGGCCGGAACGCTTGTCATTGATGGTGTGGCTACCCACGTCCTCTCATCGATCAGAACGACGGCGTATGACGCCGTCGCTGGCTCTTCCCGCCCTTCTCGAGTGCCCACACTCATTCCCTCTGGCACTCTGCCTCTCAACCCAACAACACCCATCCACCCTCTCTCCCCGCACCCCCTCTAATCCCAGTGCTTCGCCAAGTGCGTGACGCGGCCCGGCGCGTCCCTCTCGGGCTCGGAGGAGCGCTGCCTCTCGCAGTGCATGCAGCTGTACATGGCGGCGTTTGACAAGATCTCGCAGACGTACGTGACGCGGATCACGAAGGAGGGCCGCAAGCCATGATCTTGATCTAGCTATGTATATGCATGTCCGCGCTACTACTCGTCGTCCTCCTCGTCCTCCTCTGCGCGCACCAGCGCATACAGCCTGCGACGATTACTGTCGCGCGTGGACTCCTGCGCGGCCTCCGCGAAGAGTGCGCGGAGGAGGGCGGCGCGCAGCGCCGCCGCATCGACAGGGCGGCCGTCGACAGTGCTTTTCGTCGCGATATTCCGCATCGCATCCCCGTCGCTCTTCAGCGCGTCCAACAGCGGCGCGAACACGCTCTCCTGCAGCCGTCGGAGGAGGGTGGGGTTGCGCGTGCGCGCCACGAGCTCGATATGCGGCCGCAGCAGCTCGATGAGCGGCGCGCCGGCGCCCTCCTCGCTCGCCATCACCTTGTCCAGCTCGGCGAGGTACACGTCGCCCAAGTGCGTCGCGAGGGACATGGGCACGCTCGCGTCCTGCCAGCTCATGGGACCGTGTGGGCCGGTGAGGATCGCATTGATCCCGCCCACCGCGGCGGGACTCCACTCTGCGCGCGCCGCGAGCCGGAACGACGCGTTCACGTATCGCCGGATCAGCATGTAGTACTTGTCGATACGCAGGCGGTCGATGCCGTGCCACTCGCGGACGAGGGCCGTCCAGAAGCCCTCGAGGAAGGCGAGGGAGGCGTCGAGACGCGCCGCAGCCCGGTCGCCGGTTGTGCGTGGGTTGATGCGCAGCAGGAGCTCAGAGAGCTCCGTCGCAAGCGCTTGTTGTACTAGCGGCTTGTCGGACATCCAGAAGCCTGGGGTTAGCGGAGTGGGCCGAGCGAGCACGGCGAGCGAGCTGAGGCCCGCGTGGATGGAGGGGATGATGGTTACACCTTCCCACCGCCGCCGTGCGTCACACACCTACTCACAGTAAAACAAGCCCTTCCACAGCTTCGCCATCTCCTTCTCCTCGAGGCGCGTGTACCCGCCCTCACCCTCCACGCCATCGCCGCCGGCCGAGAGAAATGCCGTGAGGTTGCGCACGGCCTGGTCGCGAATCGCCTTGTCCGTGTGCGCAAACTGCTTGCCAAACGGCATGGCTGCCTCCGTCTTTGGTTCTGCGCGCTCCTTGCCCTTGCTCTTGCCGCCCTTGACCGTATTATTTGGTGCCATGATGTGGAAGGATGGGTGTTATGTTGCTGCGGCGTGAGAGATCGGCGGATGTCAACTTTTGGTCAGGTCACGTGATCGAGTGGAGGCGGGGTGAATGTCACCCCACACGCCGAAGGAAAGCCTCAATGTCCTACTTTGTCAGCCATCTCACGCAACTATCCCGCCTTAAGAACCGCAGTTCGCATCTATCCATGCTATGCTATAATGCTACAATGCCTATCCAAAGTCCAATGCGGTCGCGAGCGCGACAAGCTACTAACCCAGTGGTAGATGAGAGGAGGAGAGGATGATGAGGGGAACAAATGTTTAGTGGCTCAGCCACAGCCCAGATTACGAGGTGATACAGGAGTCGACGCCAGCGTCAGGTGCATGCAGGTCCAGCCTAAAGCGCGTGTCCGTGCGCTTTGTCGAGCGGGGCCGAGTACATGACTTCGGCTGGCGGCTCGCCGCGCAGGATGTGATCACGCGTAGGGATCGGTGATACGCGTGCTTGTGTCCGGCGCGAGGACGAGTGTCGGCGCGCTGGAGACGCATTCTTGGGCGGGCTGTACATCGGGTGCACGTAGCTGGGTACCACAAGGTACGAGACCGGTCGGTCGGGAGTAGTGGGTGTGACAGGATGAGCCGAGATGGCTGGGCTGTTACCGCCGGTGAGCGGCGAAATGTCAACGTCAAGGTCGCGGTCGCGCCCTCCCGTAAAGTCGATGACTTCGTTCGGCAAAAGCGACGATCGCTGCGTGTCGAGGCTCTGGCGTTGCGCGGTAGCAACCACAGCCTCGCCTGCGTAGCTGTCGTCCGAGCGGTTGAGGAGCGAGGACATGTTCGACCCCTTCCACCACGCGTTGCTGTTGTTCGACTGTGAGTTGTGCGAAAGACGCGACCCAGAGCTTGTGCCGACGATCTCGGAACCCTGACCAGCAAACGAGTCAAGCGAGCGCGAGGCGACGAGCGACCGCGAGCTGACTATGTTGCGGCTCGAGTTGTCCTTGTCAAACTCGGAGAAGTAGAGCGACACATCGTCGGATGAGAGTGGTGGACCTCTTTCACCCTTTTTGATCCACCGCGGATAGCTGGGAACGAAGCCTGCACGGGGACGTGGGATGTCACCTTGAGGCCCGGGTACGTAGCTGGGGTAAGGGCCAGAGCCCGTGCCCTGCTTGTCCTGCGAGGGACCAGCGCTGGTCAGAGTGGGTCCAAAGGTGGGTGTCATGAGTTGAGAGGCACCGGTCTCAGAGGGCGGAGGGGCGCTTGGGTCGGTGGTGGGCGACAGAGCCTCAAAGCCCTCGCTCTCGTACAAAGGCTCAAGGTACTCATCCTCGCCCGACCAGTGCATGGACGGCTGAGATTCCCAGCTGGCGAGCGATTCGGCACTAGGAGCGGACTGAGTGAAGTCAGAAAGGCGTCGGGGGCCGACATCGTGAGGACCAGCAGTGGCGAGCAGCTCCCCAGCGCACATGAACGAGCTGGCATTGGAGCCGGGGCGGGACGAGTGGAATGCCGAGTCTTTGCTGTTAATGGTCGGGAGGGAGGGCTCGTTGACGGTGCCGAAGAGACCCTTGATGTACTTGCGAGGGCTGTCGCTCATCTTCGTGATAACCGGGCTTGCGCCGTCGCCCTGGAGCGACTTCTTGCCGTTGGGGGTGTTGACGAGTGTCTCGGGAGTTCCCTCCTTGTTGTGGTAAGGTGCTTCCTTCGTGGCGGCCGCCGCCTTGCGCTTGCGGAGGCAACAGCAGCAGAGGATGGCGGCCAGAAGGATGAGAAGACCAACGACGCCGACGACGACACCGATAATGATCTTGTTTTTCTTCGAGAGGCCACCCTTGCTTGGCGCAATGGGTATGGGCGCCGGCTCACCCTCGCCCTGCGGGCCGGTGACGCCGTCGATGGGCATGGTGACATTGGTCGACGACACCGCCCCCTCGGCGTCCGCCATGAACGTGATGTTCATTGACGTGTAAGTAATGTTGGCAGGGGGTGTGCCGACGAGGGTGTAGTTGTCCGGGTGGTAGAGCAACCAGGCAGCAGCCTCACCTGGGACTACCGTCGCGTTGATGGTCGCGGTCGTAGTCTTGTTGACAAGGTACTTGGAGACGTCGAACTGGAAGGTCTGGCCCGCGGGGACATTTGTCGTCGAGAGCTGGAAGTCGGTGAAAGCGTAAGGCAGAACACTGATGTTTAGGTAGGAGACATAGGAGAGAGTGTTGGAGGAGTTGGCAGAGGAAAGAGTGACAGGCACGTTGAAAGGAGCGATGGTGCCATTGACGAGCGCGTCCGGAGTCACGCCCGAAATGGTGCGGGTGGTGTTGTCGTATGAGAGCCACCGGGTGCTAGACAGGTCGGGGGTGGCCTCAACCTGGGCAGCGTCGAGCTTTTCACCGTTGAGCAGCATACCCGAGAGGTCGAGGGCGTGATTGATGTAGCTGCGCGAGGTGGTCTTGATGCCAGGCCAGGCCTTCGAGTTCTCGATGACGGCGCCGTCGCCGACGGAGAAGACAAAAGACGCCGATGTAGCCGTGTAGTTCCAGTAGTCGGAAGCAGTCACGACGACCTCGTAAGATCCATTGGCGGGGGCGACACCGTTGAAGGTGAATGTCGTGTTGGACCAAATAAGCCAGTCCGGGAGACCGGCGGTGCCGCGTACATGGGCCGTGTAGAACAGGTTACCGTTGCCGTTCGTGTCAGGGCGCTTGAACATGTTGCCATTCCACCCCAGCGCAAATGACCAGTATGGTGGCACAGACACGCCGTTGCCGCCAGGCATGACCTTGGCACTCGCAATGTCTGCCAGGCTGGGGTCTGCGATCTGCCTGTCAAAGTCCATGACGAGGATCGGTGCTGAGTAGTTGGACACGATGAGCGTGAATGTCGAGTTGGCAGTGCCTGTCGCATCTGTGGCAGCCAGGGTTACATTGTACTGCCCAACGTCTGCGGCGGTGGGCTTGCCGTAAAACGCGGGGTTGGAGGGCGAGAACTGGAGCCATGGTGGTAGCGAGGTCGCAGCATAGGTGACAGTTGAGTTGGAAGCGAACGAGCCTGGGAGGATCGAAAAGAGGAAGTCCTGACCCACGCGCGCAACTGGTGGCTGCTGCGAAGCGAGCGGGATTGTGATCCGTGGAGCAGCTGCCACGAGGTTGAGCAGACCCAGAAGGGCGACGAGGAGAGCGAGGACGCAACGCATAGCGTTGGCCGACTGGTGCGTCAGTTGGTTGAACGAAACGGGCTTGAGGAGTGACTAGGGGTAGTAACGCGCGGAAAAAGAGCCCGAAAAGGTCGACAAAAGGTGACGGCCTGAACTGTTGCGACAGGTTCGGGAAGTGCAGGGGGAGGATGGAGACGTGCGGGAATCGGGACGACGGAGAATAAGTCGTGGATGGATGGACTGATGGATGTGGTGGAAGAGGTTGCAAGGCCTCGACCGACTGCACTCGTCATGAGGAGTAGTAGGCCGATGCGGCGGTGCTACGGGACGGCGAAGACGCGTCTTATCGTTCGCGCCTTGCCGTTATCGAGCCGGCGTGACTAGGGATAGCTCGGCGCCACTTCCGGCTCACCGGACATCCCACAACTGATCTTCCGCCAGCGCCACCCCGCAAAAGTCGGTGGAATGATCAGACGACAGCCGGATGCGGATCCAGGACGCCGGCGGCAAGTCACGCCTGCTGCTGGCTGTGCACTGCCACCGATCCACCAGTTCACCGATTGCACCAGGATATCGTGGCCAGTGCCATCACGCACCCCGTCATCGATAACGGCGGGCAAGGTCCTGGAGTGCGTGCACTCTCCCTCCCAGTCGCACAATGTGACTGCAGGCACTCAACTCACGCTTTGGTAGGATGGACCGGCGCCAGCAGTTGCGCTGGTCTACTTGGGCTGAGCGTTAGTGTTTGTGTATGCATGCAGAGGCAGGATGGGATTGACTCACGATGACGGGGTTGGGGGAGAGTATGGTGACTGAGTGACTGACAATCCAGCTGCCGGTGAAGGTCTGCATGTCAGCGGGGCAGATGAGGGAGGGAGTGTGGCACCGGTGCTGCGCCAGAAGCCGCGAGGAGGAGGAGCAGCAGCGTGGGTCATGCGACCATGAACGAGCAGACGGGTTAAGGTAGTGGACAGCAGCAGAGTCGGTCGTGGAAGGAGGCGTGGTGGTTGACGGCTTCGGTGCGGAATGGACATCCCTTGTCTGCACGTCCGCTGGCTTCGGCTTCGGCTTCGGCAGGCGTGACCTTCCTCTCTCGGCCTGATTGACAGACTTACGGAATGAGACAGAGGATGCGAGGGATGGGTTGACAGAGGTGGAAAGAACGTCGGCTTTGAAGCGAGTGTGTTGAGCGTAGGTGGTTACAGTGCAGCGTGGTGGATAGAAGCGAGCGGACGGAAAGAGAGCGACAGGAGGGAGAGGCGAGGCGAGGCGAGGCGGTGAGGGGGAGAGGACAAGTCTTGTTGTAACGAGAGTGATCAAGCGAGAGTGAGGAGAGTGAGGAGAATGAGAATGGCGAGAGCGATGGAGGAGAGAGTGAAGAGGAGAGGACTGACGATGATGACAAGAGAGAGCGAGGCAGCGACCACTCACTCTCGCCATGCTGCGAGGAAGGTCTGACGCGCGCTCTCCTCTCCTCTCTCTTCTTTGCAGACTCTCTCATCTCAGGGTCGCACACCAGGGCAACAATTTCATGGTCGCGACGCGCCCCCTGCGCCCCCCTTGCCCTGCTTCTTGTCCCTGGAACGCGTCGAGCCAATAACCACCGCCGAGGGCTCCGGCATTCTCAGGGTTCAGCCGGTGTGCCTGCGCCACGCACCCGGAGCAGGTCACGCAGCGTGTCCGTCCACCGTCGTCTCTGAATGGAAAGAGTTCAACGCCTCGATACCTCCAACAGTGGCATTTGGCACATTGGCATCCTCGTTCCACCTACTCCACAAGATGGAATGCACTCATGTTCATCCTCGTGCACCAAGAGCATCGAGCTGCAGGTCTCCCATGTCGAGGCGCGAGAAACAGTCAGGGTATGGGGCGGTACGCACGCCGCTCAGATTCGGGGTGCTCATACGAGTGCGAGTGCGAGGGCGAGGCGAGGGCGAGCGTGCGAACGGCGAACGGCGACGCGTCGACGCCGCTGCGGTTTGCGCGGCAAGCGCGGCAAGCTGGTGCTCCCGCGCTGCGCTGCGACGCGACGCCGCTCAACTGTCATGCGCACTGGCCGCCGTCACCATGTCACGAGGCGTCACCACCACCTCTTTTCTTCTACAGTAGTGGCGTGGCATTACAACGCAAGCTTAGGCTCAGCCGCACCGAGTGTGGGTAGAGCCGTGCGCCCCATCCAGCGCTCCTCGCTGCGAGCGACAGCCGGGCTAATGAACTCGGAGGCGTCTATTCAGAGGATCCTGGGGCGCACGCAGAGGCAATGGAGGCGATAGTGGCGGGCTGGGCGGTACGATGAGCGGGCGTTGGTAGGGAGGGTGAGCGCCGCCCACTGAGACGCTGGCGCCGAGGCCCAAATGCAAGGGGGTAGGGAGGGCATGAATGTAAGAGTGTAATAACGTATGAATGTGGCCGAGGATAAGGTTGTCCCTGCGACCGACATGAGCTATTGTAGATGAGCCATGAGCGACATGAGGCGACGGCGACGGTGGGCTGCAACCGCTTCGAACATTGCATGAGCATCGTTATGCGTGCACGCATGGCTCCTCGTGTCCCCTGGGCACCTCTTGGCCAGGCCATGATGGCCGGCGGGGGATGCCGTCATCTCCATCATGTTCATGTGCACGCGTACCAGCTTCTTTTCACCCAGTCGCACCCAGTGCACGATGGTGAAGACGACGACGCGCGGACGTACTGTACTTCTCTTACACTTAAACAGGGACGCCGTCGCCGACACTCGCACCATGCTGTAAGCGAAGGGAAAAGTCGGAGGAGCCGCCATGAGATGCGCAGGGACGCGCGGTCATGTTCATTTCAGTCCGCCCTAATCCATCATTTTCCCGTTTTGGTCGCCGAGCAATTAATGAGATAGAGCGTGCTTGATGAACTGGTCTTGGGACCTTGGGAGCTTGGGAGGATGTAGGGATCAGGAGACATTGAACGCGTATGACGGGAAAACGACCGCTCTTACTGCTTACTGGCTGATGCTGATGAGGCTTCCCAAGAGGCGGGGACCACACGGGGACCGAGCATTCGCTAGTCGAAACCTTCACGGGCGCGAGATTGCGCTCATGTATCCGGGGTTGTCGCCAAATGGCGACAGAACAACGCAACACCCGCACATTTAAGCACACGCACATGTGCTTGAGCCAATCTGTCTGCTGTCTGCTTGTCTGCTTGTTGAATGCAAGGCACAACCTCCAACCGCTCTCATCATGAGCCGCTCATGGCTCAATCAACGCAGACGCAGGCCTCAAAAGCATCACACATGACGAAGACGAGATTCGAACTCGCGAACCGAAGACTACAGCTTAGCTTTCCTAAATGTAGCGCCTTTGACCTCTTGGCTACTTCGCCGGGGCGTGTGTGTTTGCCAGAGTGTGCCCCGCGGCGGCGGTACGCATACCGGGGCGTTAATCGTCACAGGACGTGGTTGCACCGACGAGCATGGGCGCACGGTACACCATCCGCCCATGCAGTCCACAAGCAGAAGACTCGTCCTCTTCAGCAGCTTCGGATCATCTGGCCGTCCTTCTTCCACATCTGCCACTATACATGATACATGTAAACAACACTAAAGGCGCCAGCGCCCATTGTAACACTACACGGCGTATTCTGCGGTCAGCTCGCCCGATCCTCACACACTAGGCATGGTCTCGTACGGGCGCGAGATGACGGGGGGCTCCTTCTGGCGCCCCCAGGGGAACCCGCTCCAGCGCGGCGACGTGTCCCAGCTGAAGCGCTTGCGCCCGGGCCCGGGCGTCGGTGCGGCGGTGGGCGCGACAGTGGGCGCGGGCGTGTTCTGGGAGTAGAAGCTTGGCCGGGACGCCTCGGTGCGCGCGGCGGTCGCGGAAGCATTGCGCGCCCTCCAGTCGCGCACGGACTCGTGCACGCTGCTGCCGATGTTCCATGCCGCAGCGGCGGCACGGGTTTGCGGGGTCAGCTCGGCGGCGTTCTCCCAGCTCATGGCGCGGTGCTGCTTCGCCTTGTCCCGGAAGAAGATGCCGACGAGGACGTTGATCATGGCCACGATGAACAGGAGCCAGGCGAAGACCTGTGCAAACCGGCGGCAGTGGTGCGCTAGTACTGAGGAGGCGATCAGGGCCTGCAGCACGCCCAGGCAGCCGAGGCCGTACTCCTCTCCAAGCATGGGGATGATGTTTGCGAAGAAGGCGGCGGGGAAGCCGATCTCGGAGAGCGCGAGCAGGATGCACTCGCCGAGGATGAAGACGCGCGCGAGGACAGACCAGAACGTTCCGCCCGCCTGAAGCGGGACAGTGCTCCCTTTGTAGTAGTCGCAGGTGTAGACGGGGGCGGCGGCCGTGGAGGCTGACGCGGGGTAAAGGGCGGCGGCGGCGATGGCGGAGGAGCCGGGGGCAATGGTGTTCGGCTGGGTGGCAGTCGGCGAGACGACAGAGGGTTCGGGCACCTCGGCGAACACCCTGGAGTTGTCCACGGCCACGATGCCTTGCGGCTCGGCCTTGGCGATGGGTGCCGTCTCTGGGTCCTCGAGCGTGTCTCTCTCGTACCACCACGAGTCCATGGTGGCCTCGGGGCCGACGCGCGCGAACTCGACCTCTCGCTTGGGAGGGGGTGTACGCAGCTTGTAGAGAGGGGCAATTGCACCCGCAGTGGCGGTAGACTCAGCGGGAGGAGTGTAAGGAGGAATGATTAGGACTCGACGCCGCTTCTCGAGCGCCGATGAAGAGGGGGATGAGTGCGAGGAGGCGACATTGCCACCGGCCTTGTCTGCCTTGACAGCCTTGATGTCGCTGGAGTTAGTGGGGGACGGGGTAGACGGGAAGAGAGGAAGATTGACGATGAAGACGGCCAAATGGCGGCGCGGGAGTCATGGTCGGGAGGGAAGGGGAAAAGCAAGTGGTGTGAGGGGACGATGCAACCTTGAGTGTTTTGTTTCTCTCTCGCCCACCTGAACTCACTCAACGATAGTAACCACGGTGGAGGAAAACACGAGCACGAGAGCGAGGATACTCAGCGCGCGCAGGACGTTAAGCACAAGGAACAGCGGGCCACGGGTCTGCGGGAGGAGGCGCATGATGATGGGTGAGTAGTGGGTGGAGTGAGGACAGGATGAGTTGGAAGTACGTGAGTGGTAATGAGATGGAGCGAGGTTTGGGTCGCACTTATATGCCTGTGCGCTACACGGTGCAGCGATGGGACCCGCAGACCATGGTCATGGCCCCGTCTATTGTCTTAATGAGTGATGATGGCGAGATGCACAATAGGGTTAACAATGGTGCAGCTGGTGATGGCGATCAGTAGCACGGCCGGCGGTGCTGGTGATCTCATGCAAGACGCCCCGATGCACGCGGATCGCCAGTCGCAGATAGTCAAGCTCAGCGATGAGCCTCTCATTGTACATTCACAGAATCAACCCTTTTGGGTCGTTTGATACTCTCAGTGGCCTGCTCCCTGTAATCGCACTCTCCATCATCCTAGTGCACCCCCGCACATGCCTCGAGCACGCGCCGCACGTGCTTTTCGCTCGCGGGCCGTTTCGCCCCGTCTTCGATGCGCAACACGCGCTCGTGCTCCGTCTTGCCGTGCAAGTACCGCTCGTCCGGGTCGTCGAGGAAGGTTTGAACAAAATCACCATCGATGAAACCTGCCGTTTCCTTTGGCACGAGAATGCTGCCTCCCCGTCGGAATCTGCTGTCAGTACCGCGATGGGGGTCAGAAAGCCGCGCCAAATGCCACTCACGCCCGCCAGTCCACGTTGCCCGGTCCGCGCTTGTATTTCGCCATGTTGCGCTGCAAATCGCTGAGTGTGCGCGTCGCGCTCGCGCTCAGCTCACCGGCGACACCCAGCCGTCCATTAGCCGTCGCAAACAGCAGGTCAGGTCGCAATTCCTTCGGATCCGTAGCCACAAACGCGCCGTTGCGGAAGCGCGTCACATCCTCGTGTAGCCCGAAGCCGGCTGCCTGCGACAACTCCTCATCCATGCGGTAGGTGAGGAGGTTGCCGTTGCCGTCGGCGAGAATGATGTGCCTATCATCATTCGTGAGATTGCCAACGGTGCCGAGAGCGCGAACGGCGTGCGGGGACATGTCTCGAGCGTCTCTAAAGATCTCGCCGCTGCTGTTGTCCAGCTCAATGACGATGATAGAACGCATGGCGTCGCCAAGGATGAGAAGCTCGCGCATAAAGTCCTTATGCAGGACGGTGAGGTGATGCGCCTCAAAGGCGAAGGTGAAACTAGCAGTTTCTTGGAGTTGCAAGTTCTTGCTTAGTTTCATGATGGAGACCTTGTTGGCGGAGGCGACGGCCAGATATCCGTAGTTGACGGTCGCGTCAAACACCGCGCCGTTCGTCTCCACCGCCTCGACGACCTTGAGGCTCCACCTTCCGTCAAGCTCTGTCGCCTCCATGAGCAACAGCCGCCCTTTCTGAACACCGACAAACGACTGCACCTCGTCAATGTTGGCCTCGTCGAGCGCTGCCGCGGTAGGAAAGATAGCCGTGCCCAGGGCAATGAAATGCCGCTCGTTCAAGAAGACAACGTTAACGCTCGCCACGGCCTCACGCTCTGGCAACAGGTAGTCGGTTAGGACTGAATCAGCTACAGCGCAGAAATCTCAGCTTACATTCGAGTGTAGTAGGGTGGTGCAGGTCGAGGCTCGAAGCTTGGAAGACATCACCAGTATCCGCGTCTAGGGAGCGCGTGACGCTCCCCACAGCCAGGATGTCCTGGTGCGGGACATAGGCAAGGCGCGTTGCGCTCGAGTCGCCTGTGTCCCAGGTCAGCACCTGCAGTTTCTTGAGAGACGTGAGGCGCTCGAGCGTGATGCCGTCCCGCGTGGCTATCGCGAAAAGGAGACCTAGATTGGGAACCTGGAGAGGAGCTGCCGCGACCACATTCTGTCTTAGCTTCCTTCAGATGAGATCAGCTCACTTTCTTTCCGCTCGCTGAAAACTCGAGGTGTCTGCGCGACTCAAAAACGAGAGACATGTGATCGCTAATCCCGACCGCCAGGACGCGCTCCTCGAGCCCTTCGCATTCGACCTCGAAATCTGCAATGTCGAGGGGCATCAAGCCCAGCGCATTCTGCGTGCGCCCCTTTGTGAATCCACTCTGGCAGCCAACCTCGTCCACGTCGCAACTGACAAGTGTGCCATCTGCCAGTCCGGCCATCAGGCGCATCGTCTTGCTCTCGTCCGCGTAAAGCTTCAGCGAGACGGCGTAAGATTCCTCAAATGTCTTCACGAGGGGCGCAGCGTCCCCGTCGTCCATAGAATCCGGGTTAAAGACAGTGACTGTGCCATCGTGGTAGGCGGCGGCGACCCAGATTCCGCCTGCCGGCGGAGAGGCGTCATCGAGATTGTTCGGTTCCTGGTATAACGCGACCGCGGAGACCTCGTTTCTAGGCGCGTTGTCCGCGATATGTTCGAGGCCCTGTGGGCCGCAATGATACAACTTGAGCACGCCATTACGCTGCGCAACCAGGATCCTGTTGCCGGCGAAGGCAGCGGCGACAACCTCACTGTCCAAATTTATGGAGGCGTGCACATTGGTATTGGGAGTGAGGATGTGCCTTTCAAGCTCCCAGATTGTAAAGCCTTTAGAGGTGACCTGCACGAGCCCACAATCGTTCTTGTGGCAGGCAATAGTTGGGTCCTTGGCAAAGGATTCTGGCACGTCGACCTGTACAATGTTATCGCTGACATGGAGCACAGCTGTTGATGACGCAAAAGAGACAATGAGCATAGCGTTAAAGGCCTGGTCGATACTTGATGCGTCCACTCCCTGGCCTCTGTCGTACGCCCAAAGCCGCTCAATGCCCTTGACGCCCTCGATACTGAGCAGGCTCTCAAGGCCAACACCGCTGCGTACTATCCTCAGCGAGTTGGTATTGGCGGAGCCTGACGCGACCACCAGGTGCGACTGGTGTTAGTTTGGCCTCATTGTGGAACTGACCATAGGGCCGTCCTCATCTTTAACCACAGCGAGGTCCTTGAGCGGCGCGAGGTTCATCCAGCGCTCTAGAACAGTCTGTTCGGCGGTTGCCTCGTCGTCGAATGTGATTGACCATGCGCCGCTGTCGACACTGTCTTGCGCGCGTCCCTTACCCTTGATATTGCGAGCGGCGGTTATGCCCGCCGACTGGGCTTGGGGGTGTTCAGGCATGCTAAAGCGTACCAACAGTGAGTCCCCACATGCAGAAGACACGAACACGACGCCGTTGTCGATATATGTCAGGGCGGTGGGGGGCGAGGCCTGCCATTAGATGTGACTCGTCCGGCGACTCACTATGCCCATGTCTACCTTGCTGACGCGGACACTATCGGAGCCGTCAAACTCCCATCCAACAGCCGTTAGTCGTCCGCGCTCGTCCCCCAGGACGATGGTTGCCCGGCGCTCGTTCCCCTCGAATACAGTCGCACTTGAGTCAGCTGCAATCCTCACTCCAAAAACGTACGCTAGGACAGTGCCCCATCCTTGCCGTACGCGCCATACAGGCTGAACGACAAGCTTGCCCTCATTGTCGGTGCTGACCCCCCTGCCCGACACGCTGCTCTTCCGTCGCTTGCCGACACCACCGGTCTCGGTCTGTGGACTGCGTCTGGCGTTGGCCCGTTGCGCCTTGGCACCGCTCACGTCGTACAGGACGACATGCTCATCACCGAATATTAGCACGTGTCGCGACGAGACGGCGAGGATGCTCCGCGCCGCGGGACACGAGAAGGGAATGGCGTTGAAATCCGGTTCACGAGTTCGTTCGAGCCCCTCCTCGGTCGGGTTGACCACGTCGACAGGCGCGCCGCGCTCGTGCAGTCTCTGCTTGGACAGTGTGCGGGCTCCGAGCTGGATCTTGTGTTGCTCATTCATCCAGAGGAACATGAGCACCAAGTCAGAGGCGCCGGGCAGGAACGTTAGGCCGAGGAGGTTGTGTTCACGTATGCTTCCGTTAGCCAATAGTTAAAGGTCTGCTACGTACTTGACATTGTACACGGTCTTGAAGATAAGCCGCCGCCCGTCCCCCTTCCTCTCGCGATCCTCCGCCACACTTGCGCGCCGCTTGAGGTCGCGCACCTTCTCCATGTCCATCTCGGCGCATGTCAGCACGCCCGTCCACATGGACACTATGGCAGTGTTCCCATGAGCGATAACGCCCGTAAAGAACTCCTGCCTTCTCAGCGCCGGGGTTGGCGGCGCTAGCAGGTGGGAGGCCGTCACCACGAGTCCGTCTTCCCACGTGAGGAGGAGCAGGCGGCCGTTGGTCGGGCCGACGAGGACAAGGACATGAGGTCGTGCATCGGGTACGTCGACCGTCGCGAGACCGGCAACCGTGCCCCAAGTTAAGAGTTCGCCTCGGGAGGTGAGGCCTCTGGTGCCGACGTCCCACACTTCCAGGCGGTCAGGCTTGGCGACAAGGAGGGACTGTGTGCCAGGCGCTGTGAAGTTGGATGCTAATACGGTGTGCGACACCGGCGTCGGCGTGAGAGCCTGGAGTCAGAGTCCGAGTGCCTCTCCAACTCACCGAGGCTATGTACAGCATCTTGTGGACTGCAGACGCCTTGAATAATTGATATGTTTGATGTTGGAGGAGGAAGGGGGCTCGAGCAACGCGGACGTCATCTCCGCTGGGCCTCGCAGTCGAGTGGAGGTGGAGGTCCAAATCACGTGATGTAGATTTCTGTGTACGACCTCCACATTTCCGTCGCGCTCAGCTCTCTTCTCATCGTCACCACATCTCAAGCCATGCCCAACCCCCAGCTCAGTGCTATTTCTGCATCGCAGGCCGCCAAGCGCAAGTCCGCTCCGCGCGACGATGAGGGCGACTCGGACTCAGACTCGGATGTGGTGAGCTCTCCTAGCCTGTCATCCGCAGCAGCTAACCCCAGTCCATGATCGACGTCGACTTCGACTTCATGAATCTCAACCCCGACGTGGACCAGATCGCATTGAAGCGGCTTCTCCGTCAGACGCTGAGCCATGACCAGCACCTCGTTGACGTGCACCCCCTCGCCGACTTGATCCTTACCGAGGGCACACGCCTGAAGGCCGGCAGCACGATCAAGACGGAGGGCGAGGAGAGTGACCCATGGTGTCTGCTCGCGGCGGTCGACGTTAACAGGTGTCATGTAAGTTTGAGGAGAGCTCAGAGCGTGTTTGAGACGGGCCATATTGTCGTTGAAAGTTCTCTTGGCTGATTACAGGCCGACCCCGCCCTCAAGCCTTTCCTCACCTACCTCCTCTCGCACAACCCTCCCGTTGCCATCAAGACGGCACTGGAGGGCACAGGACCGTCTACCGCCTTCCTCTTCTCCCTCCGTCTCCTCAACCTCCCTCTGCCCCTCATCCCGCCGCTGTACAAGATGCTCGGGAGTGAGCTGGGCGAGTCAGGCGCTACGTTCGAGCAGTTCATCCTCTGGGGGCGCGGGTACAAGCTGGAGGGGAAGGAGGAGGCGATGGGGCTAGAGCTGAACACTGTGTGAGTTGTGCGAGGGGCTTGAGGCAATGTGCGGATCCGACGAGGACAAGAATGATAGTATATCCGGTTCCGGCTCCGAGTGGCACCCACTGACACCAGGTCGAAAACGAACAAGAAGACCAAGGGCGGCGTAGAGCCTCTTGCGGCCGGCTCGTTCCCGTACCACCAGGAGGAGGAGATGATTGAGGCGCGCGCCAAGGCGACGTTCACATACTCGCTCAAGACGGCGCCGCCACGCGACGAGGAGTCGTTCGGCGTTGAGCAGTTTGGGCGGCTGATCCTCATTGATGCTGCTAAGCTGGCGCAAGCCGTCGAGGCCATGGAGAAGGCGTAATAGTGTTACTTGATAGAGGCGGATGCACATGTTGTTCAGCACTGTAGGCTGGGCAGAAAATAGGCGAGAGGACGGGAAGGGTTTCGACGGCCGCGTCCGCTACTCGTGGCACTCGATGAAAGCGCAACACGACGATTTGCGCGCACAGGATCTCAGCATTAGGCACGGTCTCCTCTCGACACTCGTTAACAGGGACATTTAAAGATTGCATAGAAGGATATATCCTTTTGATGGACCGAGAGAGGCACTGCAGAAGCCTCCGCCGGTGAGTAGAAGGCAGTTCTTTTCTTGGTGCGAAGAAAATCGCTAGCGACTTGTTCGATGGACGTCGCTCGCAGAGTGTTATACACCGTGTGGGAAGGGGAGGAGGAGGTGTGGAGTACAGAGAGAGCAAAACAAAGCGCTGTTGCTCTACGCTGCAAGGAAACGAGATCGGGTGTAGGAAGATCTGCAAGTCAGCCTCGGAACTCCGGAAACTCTGTTTCAAACCACTCACTAGTGAAACTCTCGCGCTCGCACCCGTCAGTACTGCGACATTTGAGAGGATTGTGACACGGTTGCATCCGAAGATGTCCGACGCCTGTGAAGTATCGTCCCCGTGAAGTTGGGCAATGCCGCGGAAGGATAGCAAATGAACGCCGACGGCAAGCCGTCGCTCTGCGCTCGAGACGCCGCGCCGCACCGAGATGAGGGTGGGCACGAGGTCGGAGCGGGGGATGGGAGGAGTGAGATGAGGATGGGGAACGTGAGCGTGGCTGAATCGATGGTTGCATGACAATGTACATATTACCGGTCTGCTGTTAGCTTTGAATTCGTACAGTGGCTGGTACTCACAGAAGTCCAGACGATCCTCGGAACGCTTGACGGTGGACTGTACAAAGTTAGCTTGGGCGTTTCGAATATTTATGGATGAAAACACCCCCTTCTCGCCCCCCCGGCGAATTTAAACGCCGGTGGAGGTCCGGGGTGGCACCCGCTGCTTACCTTCCAAGCCTCTTCGAAATCGATGGGTAGGATGACATAGCGGTTCTTGCGCACCGCTGCGTGTTAGTGCATGCACACAAGGGCAGAGCATACCTTGCAGGCCTGCGGCTTGGCAAATAGACGCGATCTCTGCGGAGCTCAGCTTGTCTGGCCGCGACACATCTGTCGTCAGTTAAGGCACCATCTCCACAGCTCACAGTCCTCGAGATCGACGTCGGGGCTGAGATTCATCTTGCTCGTGACAGTCTGGAAGATGAGACGGCGCTCGCGGCGGGACGGGTTTGGGAACTCGATCTTGCGGTCGAGACGTCCAGGACGCAACAGTGCGGGGTCGAGCGTGTCCTGACGGTTGGTAGCCATGATGACCTGCTGTTAATATGCGCTTACGGCTCCGATAGGATGTGCGCACCTTAATGTTTGTTGTCTGGTCGAAGCCGTCCATCTGGTTGAGCAATTCGAGCAGAATACGCTGGACCTCGCGATCCGAGCCGGTCTGCGCGTCGAAACGCTTCGTCGCAATCGCGTCCACCTCGTCGATGAAGATGATGGACGGCGAGTTCTCTCGTGCCATGCGGAATACGTCGCGAACCATACGTGGGCCCTGCTGTCAGTTGTTACTCTAGAGGTGCAACTCACCTCGCCGAGGTACTTCTGCACAAACTCGGACCCGACCACACGGATAAACGACGCCGTCGTCGCGTTAGCCACCGCCTTCACCAACATCGTCTTGCCCGTCCCTGACGTCAGCGGAGTCAGCAGCGCACGCACCTGGAGGGCCGTAGAGCAGAACGCCACGAGGCGGATCAATGCCAATCTTCCTGTAGAGGTCCATCTGTCGTCAGCCACAGCTGCTTGAGTGGGGTGAAGGCGTACCTGGACGAGGGGCAGCTCGACGGCCTCGCGGATCTCCTGCTTCTGCTGGTCGAGACCACCGACGTCTGAGTACTTGACGTCGGGGCGCTCGTCGGCGCCGAGCATGGAGATCGATGAGTCGGCCTCAGGCGGCAGGATGTCAACCAGCGCATTTGAGTGACGGTGCAGGGCGACACTGCTCGATGGCTTGAGCAGCTCACGGTCGAGGGTCGACAGGATGCGCACAACGTAGTTGGAGCCTGTGATTAGCATAAAGCAATGAGCCCGCAGGAATACACACCAGTGGTGCTCCCGACAATGCCGCGGCGCTCGTCAATGGCCTCAAGGAACTGCCCGATGACGAGGGGGACGGACTGAATGCGCTTGACTTCCTCCTGGGCGCGCAGCAGTTCCTGGCGCAGGTTCATAGTTTCGTCGCGAATATAGTCCTGCCGTTAGCTGAGTCAAACAGCTAACTCACCTCCTGAAGCTGGAGAAACTCGCGCTGAGCCTCAAGCTTGCGCCAAGTCGAGTACAGCTCATCATCGTTCCTCGAAAGCGGGGAGTACAGCGCCTGCTTCTCGTTGAGCTGCGCCGCGACGGTGGGGTCCTGGAGTCAGCTTGCCGTTGCTTGCCCATCTCCTGCAGAATCTCACCTCGAACTTGAGGTCAATGCCGATTTCCTCCATGATGCTAATGGTGATGAAGGTGAGAGATTGGGGTGGGATGGGTGTATCATGACGGTTGATGGTGACGGAAGGACAACGCGTATGCTTGCGGAGTTCAATACGGATGTCCGCGTCACGTGTGATTCACGTGCATCGATTCCTCCACTCCGGCTTGGAACGGTTCTGCAGTCTGTCCAGCATCTCTCCGTCATCACTACAACCACCATGGGCAAGCGCAAGTCAGCAAAGAAGCCACAGGCAAAGAGAACGAAGGAGACGCTTTGTACGTTGGCTCTCTGAAAGTCTGCAGCGCGCTGAGACAAGCCACATCGTTCAAGTGCCTCTTCTGCCATCATGACAACTCTGTCACCGTCAAGATGTGAGCTTTCCTCCACCGACATGAACTGACAGAAGCGATAAGGCGGCCATGTTCGGGCATTTGAGCTGCAAGGTAGTACTTGCGGCGCCGCGCCAGCTGACAACAGGTCTGTGGGCAGAAGTTCACGACGCCAGTCAACAGTGAGTCACCTGCATATTGGTACCGGTGCGTCGCGAAGCTGACTCCAGACCTGTCTGCAGCCGTGGATGTGTACTGCGAGTGAGTTTACCTTGTACCGCGCGGAGGAGGGCTGTGGATAGAAGGCAGGGGAATGAGTGACTAACCCCCAGCTGGGTTGATGCTTGCGAGGAGGCACAGAAGAAGCAGCCCAAGAAGTTCAAGGCGCCAAAGGCACCGAGCCCTCTGCCTGCCGTGTCCGCGGCGCTTAATGACGAGGATGACGATGACGACGATCTTGACTTGGCCAGTGCGCTGGACAAGGCGAAGCGCAAGCCGACTTCGCGCGACTACGACGAGGACAGCGACGACGACCGGCATAGGCGCAAGCAAGCGCGGCGGGCGTACGACGAGGACGACGATGATGACGAGGAGTAGAGCTCTATAGACTGTATTGTATGCATATGGCATAGCCCGGGGTACCTGCGGCTTTCCTCGGAAGGGGGTTGATTGTTAACAATGCTCGTGAAGGCGTATCGTGCGGTGGGTAATAATAAAGTGGAGTATTGCGAGGCGTCTTCGCCCTGCCAGACGCATGCGCGCTATTCCTCATCCTTCTGGACGTTAACGCGCATCTCTGCCTTCGGCTTAACGCCCAACGTAGTGAACAAGCTGTTCTGAGACTGCCATTAGGTTGAACTGCAGACATATCGTCCCAGCTTACAGGATCCGAGATGACCATGTAACCCGCCTCGCTGAGCCTCTTCCCTGCCGCAACAGAGTCGAGCACCCCTATCATCAGATTTCATCGCAGCGCGGCAACTCACACTGCACCTTGACAATCTTGGCGCGCCGAGACGCCCCACGCCCACCAGCCCCATTGATAATCTTCTGCGTCTTCCCGCCTGCTAGCCGTTCCGCGACCACATGCGTACATCCGCTATGCTGATGTGGTGCAAAGCGACCACCATTGGACGTAATGAGATTCTGGAGCTGAAGATTGGAGACGGGACCGGTATGTCCATTGATGGCGATGGTGCAGCCTGCGAGGATGCTGTTGGTCTGGAGTTAGAGATCGTTAATGATGCGCAGGCTGTTTTAAAGCCAGTGAGGATGATTATGGTAAAATATGAGGTGGATTATGCACGAAAGCACAGAAGACAACACACCTTCGCTCGGCCCTGTGCTTCGACCTTGGCTGTGCGCACGCTCCAGTAGGTCGCAGACTCGCTCACACCCGCGGTACTGAGTCCCTCACTCCGTGCTGAAGCCCAAAAGCCTCGGTCAGCCCCACGTTGCTGGTGTCCTGTCGAGCATGACTGGACATGTGCCGTCCGTGCGAAGGCGTCGGAGTGTGTGATGGGGTTCTTTGCCGAGTCTAGGGTGTTGAGCTGAATGAGCTAGACCAGTGAATTAACTCACCATACGCTCTGTAACGCGGGCTCGAGAGTTCGGTGCGGTAACTGACACCTTTTTGCGTAGAGATGAAATTGAAGAGGAGGGTTTGCGAGACGCCTTGGAGGAAGACGCTAGCGGTTGTGCGGGGGGGGGCGCTGAGGGGTCTGAGGGAACAGAGGACGTCCGCCGCCGCTTGGGCGGTCGAGTGGGGAAAGATGGTGGTGGCGAGATTGCGACGATGTCTGGAGAGGAGGGAGGGTGATGTGGCATGACGTAAAGGCTTTGCAAAGAGCAAGATCAGTCGCGACAGCGTCAAAGATGAGTTTGTTGTTGTTGCCAGTTGACTGGACTGGTGGAGGCCACGTGCTGGATATCCTGGAACTCCAAAGTACATACATGTACATCCGGATTCCATCAGCTATCCCAGCCTTGTCCGCTTGCTAATAAGGTGCTCGTCGAGTTGAATTGAGTGTCACCTGTTTGGTCATAGTGAGAGGAGACGCGAGCGAAATACCATGTCCGCGTCAGCTGACTTTATGAGACGCGTCGCTGTCCGAGGCCGAGGACGATGGAGGGGGTGTGGGAAGCTGTAGTCACCCACCACGGAGTGGCGTTTGTATGGCGCTAAGGGGCGGTGGCATGCAGACGCGTGCGGGAGAAGGAAGGGCAGCCTACGTCGCCCCTGAGCCGCGGACAAGGACGGATTAGTCTTGTATACCAGGCAATTGCCTGGAATAGTAATCAGGGTAATATTAGATCGACGGCCCCGGTCATGCACAATCCATCGGCTCATGCAATCGTTCAACTCGAAGGGGCCACCTCGGACTCTGTCAGCGCCATCATCTCTCACTCTCTCTCTCTCTCTTTCTTATCCTCACCCTTGTCCATGCTCTCTCTCTCCCTCCTATAATGAGCTCTATAGCATCAACTCCAACCCTCATACACGAACGCGCCCACAAGCAGCTGTTCCGCCCCTTCCCAGCACCTTTATCATGGAAGCAATGGGGCTACATCCTCGGCATGCAGGGCGTCCTCGCCATGTGCATCAACTTTGGTGCCAACTTTGGAATCGCCACAGCTAGTAAGTGCTGACATGCTGGCTTCCACTCGAAACTTTGCTTACGCCAGTGTACTCTTCTCAGAAGGACGTTAGGGTGAGTGGCATTGGGTGGCGCGTGGCGCGTTTTGCATACGCGGCATGTTGACAAGCACTGACATCAGATGTGGGTGTTTAGCAAGAACACCATTGCTGGTGAGTATTCATGCGCAGAGGCCGTGGCAAGAAAAAAGCTGTAGCTGACGCCAGGCGACCTCGGCGTCACACCCATCATTCAGACGGCGCTGTCGATGCTTATCTCCTCTACACTCGTGCACACTGACTTGCACAACGGTATAATTCCTCCCCTTCCCTTCGTGTACCCGCACGTCGAGCACCTTCCAGACCCGCGCATTCTCCTCGACAGGATTTTCAGGCGCAAGCTCGCGGCGCCTGGCGAAGAGATTCTCGACGAGAAAACGCAGCAAGCCCGTGGAGGAGTATCCTTTTACTTCTGGATGCTCATCCGCTTCATCTTCGAGGGCACGGAGCGCAACATGCTCCTCTCCCGGCCAGGTTTCAAGAACTGGTGGGGACGTCTTCTCTGGACCGCCGCGCAAGGCGCTGGCTTGGGCATCCTTCTCGGCTTCCCCATATGGTGTCTCGCTATCGTCATCCTTAGTCCCATCTACGGCACTGGCAATCTGGGCAACCGCTGGGCTCCGCAGGCCATCAAGGGTGTGTACGGCGGCCTATACGGGTTATACTCGAACCCCATTATTGCGATGATTGCGCTAGGCGCCCAGTCGGAGCACCACTTGCTTGTCGTCCCTGTCGATGAGGAGGCAGGCGTCGCAGGTGTAGCGCCTAAGGCTCCCGAGGCGCCTGCAGCTCCGATACACACTATTGCCGAGGAGGAAGACTACACACCTCCCCGAGGCTCTGTTACACCCACGCCGAGTGCGCGCGGCCCATCCTCACCCTTCACCAGACCTTACCGCCTTGCCTCAACTGGGCACAGCACGCCAGCGCATTTCCGCGTCGGCGAGCCGCAGCTCACCGAGACGCTGCAGCCTCCACTGCGGCGCACGCGCTCGCGCTCCTCCTCGATCTCCAAACCGCCTCTTACCTGCAATGTCGGTGATTGCCTCCCGCCTCCCGAGACACCGACGCGTGCACCGACACGCCCTCGCGGGCTCACCGTCTCCTCATACGTCTCAGCCTCGGGTTCCAGCTTTACGTACGCGCTTAGCGCGAACGGTGGCCGCGCCTGCCGCTCCCGTTCCAACACCGTCTCCAGCGTTTCCGGGCTTCCCTCCACGACTGCGCCTTCAACGTCCATACTCTCCACGTCTGCGCCTTCAGCCTCCATGCTGTCTACCTCTGCGCCTTCTGGCGCAACGTCAGGCCTTCCCAGCCCCAGTGCGTCTGATCGCTTGACCGGCACACCTGTACCGCAGCCAGGCTTTGTGCGCTCTCGCGCCGATTCGGACACGCCTCCTTCCCGGCGCGGATGGAGAGCGTCACCTTTCGAGACGGGCGGCTCCGATGTGTTTGGCCCCACCTCGTCCGTCGCGCCGTCGAGTGTCGGCGTATCCTCCACAGTTGCGACGTTTTACACCGCGCCGACGAGCGTGAGCGTCACGCCCCAGCCTCAGCCCCTTGCCGTGCCAGAAGTGACAATACAGCGCCCAAGCTTCGACGTCGATGCCGAAGAGCGGGGTCTGAACGAGCGCACCCCCGACCCGATCCAGCGCCTCGGCGGGTCCCGTTAATGTAGCATAGCCTTTTAGTAGACGGACTATAATACTCTTATCATGCACCTGACACCGTGTTTCCAATGTCGACTTCGAACGTGCACTCGTGATGGCGCGAGTCGGGTGATGAGGTCGAGAAGCAGAAGCCCGGTGGCGGATATCATTCAGGCACCAAATGACTCGAGGGGCGTCATCACCAAACTCGTCTCCACTTGACTCTGGCCACTGTTCCGTCCACCACCATGTCAACCTCGCATTCGAGTGCGGTCTCGCCGAGCCCTGTATTGAGTCCCAACGGTCACGGGAGGTGCGCAGATAGCTGGAGCTAGCTGATTGCAGACTCACACCGCGGCAGCGCGAGAAGGCCCCCTTGAGTCTCGACGACGTCGCGCTGCCGGCTGGCGCCGACCATGTGAGTGGGGAGGCCGGCGGACGGTTGGGGGTTCGGTTACCTGGTGTCGATTGCGCACGGAGAGAGCGGTGCGGGCCGTGGGGCGTGTGCGAGTGTTGTAGGGCGAGACCGGCGGCGCGCTCGACGAGCGGTCGTGGACGGCGAACCAGCTGACAGCAGGAAATCAACCTCCTCATCGCCGAGTACCTTGCGTCCCGGCATCCGCGGTTAGCCGATGCGCTAGCAGCGGAGATTGGTCCGGCGCGCGACGAGGTGGTCCGGCAGGAGATTGAGGCGGTCGAGAAGGCTATTCTTGGTGAGTGTGATCAGAGCGGGCTGTGAGATGGGGCCCAAGTCGCAATTCTGGACGTCACCTCGACCGCTTGCGCCTGTTCCTATTAGGCGTGACGCCCTCGATTCGCTCTGCATCACTTCCACCCGCTGCACCGCGCACACTCGCTGCGCCCGTAACCCCCGCTGACTTTAGACGGCAACTTCAGCGCGCTCGAAGGCCTCCTCGCCTCCCCTGGCCTCCTCGGCCAGCAGACGCAGAAGGCGTTTCTGTACATGTGCTACCGCCAGCAGTTCCTCGAGTACATCGACAACCGGGAGAGCCAGAAGGCGTTCAACCTCCTCCAGAAGCGCCTGAAGCCGCTCGAGCACTACCAGCCTGTGCCGTACGACTTCTACTCCCTCGCCTACCTCACTTCCGCGAGCACGGTGCACGATGCGCCGGGGCTGCGCGACTGGGCCGGCGCGGGGCCGGAGCGCGAGCGCCTCGTCTCCATGTGGCGGGAGCTGACGGACGCGGCGAGAGTGAACGCGCATGCGATCGCGGGGGACGCGACGCCGTCGCGCCCCGTGCCACGGGACCGGTTGTTGATGCTCCTGCGCCAAGCCACGGCGTGGCAAGTGGACGCGGCGCGGGGGCGGGGCGCGGGCCCGTGGCAGCTGCAGAGCTTGTTGACGGACTACTCGTCGCCGTCCGTCCCAACGCGACTAGAACGGCTCGTGAGAGGGCACCGCGCGAACATCAAGTGCGTGGCGTTTCTGCGCGACGGGCGCGGTATTAGCGGGAGCAGCGATACGACGCTGCGTATTTTCAACATCCATTCGGGGGCGACGGAGCGCGTGCTCACCGGCCACCAGAGCCGGGTGTGGGACGTATCGCCGTCGCCTGAGGGTGCGTACATTGCGTCGGGGTCCGGCGACGGCACGGTGCGCGTGTGGAGCGCCGACGGCGAGTGCGCGAGCGTGCTCGTCGGCGACGGCGGGGACGTGTACAGCGTGCGCTGGCAGCCGGGGCGCGAGGACCGGCTCGTCGCCGCGTGCTACGACAAGATCTTGCGTCTGTGGGACGTCGGGGCGGACCGGCTTATCCGCACGTTTTCGGGGCACGCGCAGAGCACGCTCGCGGTCGCGTTCGATCCGGCGGGCAAAGTCATCGCGAGCGGGAGCAAGGACAAGCACATCCGCTTGTGGGACGCCGTCGGCGGCGTCTGCACCCAGACTATGACGGCGCACCTCGGCGAGATCACCAGCGTCGAGTTCGCACACGACGGCAAGTACCTCCTCGCGGGGTGCAAGGACAACTCGATCCGCTTGTGGGATCTGCGCATGGTACGTCCTCTTCGCGCAGCCGGCGCAGTGCTGATAACAGCAACGCAACATCTACCGCTACACGGGCCACCAGAACACGTCAAAGAATATCATCCGCTGCTCGTTCGCCTCCGAGTCGTCCTCCCTCATCGCCAGCGGCTCAGAGGACGGCCTCGTGTATCTGTGGGAGCGCGATGCGGAGGGTTCCGAGACATCGTCGTCGATGCCCGGCTCGCCGCCGATCCCCCCGGTTCCGCCCAGCGTGTTCCAGACAGTCGCGAGCAGCATACACCCCGCGCGGGCGCCCACGCTTCCCCGCGGACCGGCAGGCGCGTCGCCCCGCTTCGGCGCATCGCCCAGCGTGCCCGGCGCTACCACTGTGCGGCCTTTCAAGGCACTTGCGGGGCATGGAGCAGGCGCCGTGTTCGATGTGCGCGCCCTCGGCGGGACGTTGCTCAGCGGTGGCGAGGACGGGGCAGTGGGCGTGTGGGGAGCCGAGGAGGAGTAGCATCTGGTACAGCATGTATGTCTGTTTTGTCGTGCCAACGACTTGCGCATGATTCTTGAAGACATCCATCTAACAGCTCCCAACACTCCACTTCATTCATGACAACCACAAATAGCATCGTGATACAGCAGGCTACTTGCTATACAGTGGGCCGCACTAGATTAAGCGGCCATCGGCTTATGTAGGCGTGTGTGGCATATAAACATATTATCGTGTGGTAGAAGACTGGATGGCGGCGAGGCCCGTCGCCATGTCAATGAGCTTGGTCCGGCGCTTCTCGGCGCGATGCGGTGCCGCGCCGTTAGCGACACGGCGCACCGCCTCGCTAACGTGCCGCTCGCAGAACCGCTGCCCTGCAACATCGTAATACTCGGCCATGTTCTCGCGGCAAGACTGGGCGCCGCTGACTCCGCCACGGTGGTCACAGCGCAGGTGGCCGGGGTGGAAGCGCTGGTCGCCCGCCGGACTGGGTGCGAGGATGCAGGCGCCCTCGATAGGTTTGCGGCAGCTAGCGGCGGCGCACAGAGTGCCAGCCTCCTCGGCGTAGTGGTACTGGCACCACGGACGACCCTTGTGAACGTAAAAGTCGTCACCCTCGAACGGTGAGTCGCAGCGCGTACATGTGAAGCAGGCACGGTGCCACTTGCCCTTGAGCTGGCCGTCCGAAGAAAAGACAGCGCTCCGCTCAATGGGGAGCTTGCAACGCCGGCATGCTGGAAGGTACATCTTCTTCCAATCAGCCTCGCAAAGCACAATGCCGTCACGCTCAACGTAGCGACGTTGCCCGCCGACCGCGTCGCCGCACTTCTGGCACACGCGCTTTGGGCGCGAGGTGGGTGGCGAGGTAGAGAGGGGCGGCTCAGTGCGCGAGCGCTGTGGCGCGAATGATTGGGGAATGCGAGGCGGCTCGAGCTCGCGCACGGGCAAAGACGGCGACCTGGTGGCATTCGCGGGAGTGACAGTCGAGGCCGAACTTGACCGGGGCAGCATGTTGGCGCGAATAGGGTTCGGCTTTCCGAAAACGAGACGTTCCCCGTCGTCATCTTCGTCCTCCTCGCCTATCTCCGTCAACAAATTTGGCATGCTCGAGTCCTTGGCGGCCTTGGGGCTGTCAAAGTATCCCTTTGCCGGCGCGTCCACGGAGGACAAACCCTCCCAGCTCTGAGAAGGGGTCATGACCATCTCATCTTGCGAGCTCTGTCCGTCTGGTGATGGACCATAGTGGGAGGACGCGGTCGATTCAAAGCTGCCGTTGGTCGGGTACCGGCGATGGTTGTACTCTATGCGCTGGAAGGGGTCGTCATCGTCGGCGTCATTCTGAGCCCAGGGCAGGGCTGATGGCTCGCCTGCGCTTGTAACGCTGAGGTTGTCACTGTCGGCGCGGGGCGAGTAACGCGAGCCGTGTGTCTGGTCGCTTTTCGACACAAGGAACGCGTCGTACTTGTCGAAGAAGGGGCGATGGTTGTCATGGCTCTTTGAGCTCTGCGAGGTCCCGCTGCGCTCAAGGTGAGCACGTGAGACTGAACGCCCTTCCTCCTCTGCGCGAGAGGCAGAGCGCGATGGGCCCGCCCGCGAGGCAGAACGATAGTCATCGGCGCGAGAGCCGGCGCGGGCATCGTTACGCGACGCGGAGCGGCTGTCTGCGCGGAAGTAGTCGTCGGCGCGAGAACCGGCGCGTCCGTTAGAGTCGGCGCGGGACACTGCACCCTCACGAGAGCGCGTACGTTCGTGGCGTGCTCGAGCAGATAGCGGCGCACTTGGCATGATAACGGGCTCCTTCTGGGAAGGCTCGCGATGGGGGCGTGCGTCTGGACCAGTGGCTGTCATCAAGGGGCCTGCAGAACGCGAAACCGACGGTGCTGCCTGGAACGGCTTGGGGACGGGCATAGGCGGGCTGTCACCATGCGGTCGTGGCGGGTCCTGGTCGGCTTCAAAGCCGCGCCCGCCACCGGCTGCGAGGGCGACTCCGGCACGGACGCCCCACGCCGCAGCGGCAAAAGCGCGTCGGCCGACGCCTGCCATGCCCGCGTTACCTCCAGAGGTGGTGTCCGGCATGGAAGGGACTATTGGGCTGTGGAGGTCGGGGTAGCGGCCGAGGTCACTAGAAATAGGCGTGCGAGGCTCAGTGTAGTTGCCGAGTCGAGATGGCGGTGCGAGAGGGCCAAAGTCGCCGCGGAGAGGAGAGGGAGCTTTGGATCGTTGGGCAGACGGTGCGAGTCCACTGCTGATGGGAGGCTTGTTGAACTTTGATTTGGACGGGGCAGGCGGGCAGACGTGCTCGCCGAGCGAGTTGAGGGGAATCTCGGATGCGCACGAGCTGCACTTGACAGTGGGGAGGACGACGGAGGCGCGGTCCATCGCCGCTGGCGGGCGGTGGGCAAGGAGGGACATGGACTGGTGTTAGGAAAAGGTAATGGGTAGGTGATGGGGAAGGAGGTGATGTTAACAGCAGACGGCAAAAATGGGACTGGGAGGTGGGCGCGGCGCAATGAGGGTGACGCGAGGGTGTATGGAGGCGGGCACGAGACTGGTGTCGCAGCGTATGGTGATGCAGGTGTCGAGCAGCAGCAAAGACGCGACCTGGTTTGGTGCTGCATAGTTCATGACCAAGTCGCGGATTCGTCAACAGGCAACGGATGGTCCAAGCAACGACAAAGGACCTTGCGCGTCACGGCGACCGCCACGGACGCCGCCGCATGCCCGCATGCTCATCCGTGCAAGGGGATATGACAGGGAGGGACGGTATGGGAACGGACATGGTTCATGGGCCTGTCGAGTTGCGCGATCAAGAAGAACAAAGGCCAGAGCGCACAAACAAGCAAACAAGCAAGCAAGCAACTCACTGATGGATTACGGCTTGGGCGTGGTTGTGGCGTAAACTGATGGCCGAGAGCGATCCGCGCACACAGAGGTCAATGGGGGGGAGGACCGTGCTGTTCTTGAAAGTAAATGCTGTCGTTGAACGCGACGCGAGGGGATGATGAGGGGGAGCGTAGGGGGGAGGGGGAGGAGGGGGGAATGTTCGTATCGTGTCGTGTGATTGAAGGAAATGAGCACAGACGTTGGCGTGATGGCGGCGAGCGAGTGAGAGAGAGAGAGAGAGAGAGAGAGAGAGAGAAAGAAAGAGAGAGTCCGGAGGAGGAGGGGAGGGAGTGAGGAGGACGCTGAATGAGGCGCAGACGAGTGGCGTGTCGTGGAGGAGGAGGAGGAGGAGGAGGAGGAGGGGGAGGAGGAATGAACGAGTGTGGATGGTTTGGACAAGAGAGTGGAGTGAGGACGAGAGTGACGGCGAGGATGGCGAGGATGGCGAGGACGAGAGAGAGACAGTTGCCGAGAAACGAAGAGATGGTGAAGAAAGAGAAAGAGAAAGAGAAAGAGAGAAACGACGACGAGGACGAGGATGACGAGGAGTGACAGTGGTGGGGGGGGGGGAAGGAAGGAAGGTGGTGAAGGGATGATGTGAGATGGGAGACAGGAAGTAGACACACAGGATACTCTCAGCTCTCAGGGTCCCCTACCCTCATAGTAATCCGGCTCAGGTACTGCACATGCCTCCTCTTCCTTTCTTTCCTTTGGCCTCGATGCGTCGTCCTCGTCGTCGTCGTCGTCGTCGTCTTCTCCATCGTGCTCACTCACTCTCTCTCTCTCTCTCTCCCTCTCCTAATCCGCACTCTACCTCCCTCGTTGCACGCCACATCTACTCTGGGAATACTCATGCGGGTACAGTACAGACAACTGCACCCGACCTCCCCCTCCCTACCCAGAAGCACTCAGGCCTCCCGTCGGGAATGCACCCCGTCCATAAGACCGTGCGCCATCCAAGTTGAAAGACTTGTAACGCTTTCCAGGAGGCCCCGCCAGGCCAGGAGGTGGCAGGCGTCGGCCCGCGTCGTCCTCGTCGACCTCGAGGGCTACTCGAGGCTGCAGTACTCCCTCTCTCATAGTACCCACTCGGGTCCGATTGGATGCCGCTCGCCGCCCGTTCCCCATTCCGGCCCGGTCCCAGACGCGTCGGGCAAGGGGGGTAACGGCAGCCACAGGGAACGTTTCGGATCGCGTCCTTTTTGCCTCGATGGTCTCGATGGCCTCGATGGCCTCGATGGCCTCAATCGCCTCGATGGTCTTGGAACTCTTGCATCCGCACTTTTACGCGGAACGCGTCTGTCTGGCGCGCGTCAATGCCATCATCACATCCGCCTCCGCTGTTAGAGAACACATGCAGGAACGAATCGAGTAGATGAGACGTCAAACCAATACGGCATAGTGACGAAATGCTTTTTATCGGGCCGCGATTTGGACGTTTGAGAGCGTTTGAGGTTCCCAAGTCAAAAGTCGGAAATGCAACTCGGCAGAGTGGTGCAAGGCGTTCAAAACAACCAGTTCAACCTGCTTGGGAAAGAGTCGGATAAACTCGTCTTGTTGACGCCAACTCGCACAGTCCATATCGAGACGCAGACTAATAACTGCTGACGACGACGACGACGACGACGACGACGGTTTACTGGCTGGCTGCCCAAACCCACGTGCCTCATACATGCACGCATGTGCGCATGTATGTACGCAGGTGCTCATGATCACCAAGAAACTAGCTTAGGCTCGCGCAATCCTCCGACCAAGCTACGACCGCTGTATGCTCATGAACAAGTGCCTTCAATCCTTCGGGAATCGAGGCCGTCACGCCGCCTCGCGAGGCGCTAATCGGTGGCGACGACAGCACCTGCAGGCCGGACCGGGAGAACGGCATGGGCCACGCCACCCGGCGAGCAGTCAGGGCGTGGCCTGCGTGGTCAAGGTTGCAGAGGTGGGCGCGCGCGTGTCCGCCGAATCAGCGCAGGGCTGAGCTATGCGGGCCACAGTAGCTGCATCAAGAAGGTTTGGATGGTGAGGAATGGCGCGTCCATTCAAGCTCAGCCACATGAATCGTGTAGGGATGCGCGCTAGCGCAGTGCCGAATGCGTACTCCGTCACGACTGGCAGTCACCGCCGACGACGTCCCGTGCGAGGTACGGTGCGGGGGTTTCGAGCGGCGACGGCGGGAGCGACGTACGGCGATGCGAGCACAGCAACTTCTCGTTGCGATAAACATCTAGTGAACGGGACGAACCTTCTCCGTTGCTATGGCAGCTGATAGCTCGCGTCATTCCTGCACAACGCTGATCTCCATTCAGCGCTGCTTCCTGACAATCCTGCTTGCTTCTAACACTTGGTGCATCTAACTATCTCACCCCCACAGGCCATGCCCATATCCCATATATCTTAATCTTCAGAGAAACCCACTAAAGCCCCAGCCTACATCTTGGCACGCGCAAGGTGCTTGGCGTACAGCTCGCCGACAATCTTCTTAATGTCCGTCTTGACGAGTTTGCCATTCACATTGCGCGGGAGCAGGTCGTCCGAGACCCACACGAATGCGGGGCGCGCGTGCGGGCGCACGCGGTTGTGCACGTGCTCCTGGATCTGCTGGGGCGTCGCGGTGCACCCCTTCCGCAGGCTGACGGCGACCGCGACGAGCTCGCCCAACATGTCGTCGGGCACGGGGACCGCGGCGGCCTCGGCAACCCGGTCGTCGGTGTACACGGCATTCTCGACCTCCTCGGACGCAATGTTCTCGCCGCCGCGGATGATGATGTCCTTGATCCGGTCCGAGATGTACATGACGCCCTCGTCGTCGAGGTATCCCGCGTCGCCGGTGTCGACGTACCCGTTGATGAGCGTCTCGCGGGTCGCCTCTGGCCATTAGCTACCTTCCTCTTTTCTGCGTATCTCTGGCCGCGAACGCACTCTCGTTGTTGTAGTAACACGTCATGTTGTTGGGGCCGCGCGAGAGGATCGCGCCGACAGTGTTGCGCGGCAGCTCCTTGCGCGTCTCGGGATCAACAATCTTGATATCCACGAACGGCATAGGCCACCCCGCGGCCTTGGGGCGCGCGACGTAGTCGTCGCCCACAATGGCGGTGGTGAGCGCATTCGTCTCCGTCATGCCCCACCCGACGGCGATGCTCATGTCGGGCCAGCGCGTGCGGAGGTCGTTTGCCAACCGCGCAGGCGACGCCGCGCCGCCGTTGAGCGTGGACTCAAACTTGTGGTCCTTTGGCAGGTCGGGGTGCTGGATGATGGCGACGACGACGGCCGGCACGCCGCCGATCACGCCGCACTGGTAGTCGACACACGCCTTGACTGCGTCCGCGACGTTCCAGCGGCGCAGCAGCACGAGCTTCTGGTTCATGTGGATCAGCTTCTGCAGCCACCCTTCGCCGGCCGTGGCGTGGAACAGCGGAATGCACAGCAGCGCCACGCTCTGCTTTTCCGGCGGCGCCATCGCGAACTGGATCGCCATGTCGGCCGGCGCGCCCATGCGCATCGCCGTGCGCGCCATCACTGGGGTAAGCTCCTGTCCCAACTCTCGGCCCGCCACACCTCAAATGAACACATCAAATGACACTCACAAAACTTGCCCGAGTGCAGGTTGTGCAGCGCGGCGCGCTGGTTCGAGAGCACAGCCTTGGGGAAGCCCGTCGTGCCGGACGTGAAGAAGATGACGCCGTCGCTCTCCGGCCCAAAGTCATGCAGGCCGAGTCCGTTGCCGCTGACAATGTCGTCCGTATCCTCCTTGGCAGCCTTGAGGGTCGTGAGGTCGATAACGGGCACCTTGCAGCTCTTGTCGAGCCACGCGTGCTCGTTGAAGCTGAAGATTGGGCCGACGTTCTTGAGGCGCGGGGCCACGCGCCCGCACATGACAGCACTGGGCGCGTCGCAGAGCACGACGACAGGGTTCGTAATGTTCAAGCAGTGTGCAAACGGCTCGGGCTGCAGCGCGGCGTTCACCATAACCGGCACAGCGCCGAGGAGCTCAATAGCGCACCAGCTCACGATCCACTCGACGCTGTTGTATCCGATAATGGCGACGAAGGAGCCCTTGCGCACGCCGCGCGCGCGCAGCCACACGGCGAGCGCGAGCGAGCGCGCCCACACCTGCGCGAACGTCGTGTCGATCCGCTCCTCCTTCGGCCCGGGCTCCGGCACCGGCGCGTTGACCATGACGGCGTCCCCGCCCCGCGGGAGGCCGTCGAGCACGAGCTCGCGCATCGTCTTCAAGCCCTGCCGTCAGCGCCGCCGCTGCCCACCGCCGCACGCACCTGCACCCAGAACTTCTCTTGCACACCGTTGTGCATGATCGTTTCCAGCTCGAACGGGCCGCCCTTGCGGGTGATCGCCGCGTCGCCTGTCGTCAGCTCGGCGGGCGGCGCCGCTCACACTCCTCAATCGATGGCTTGCGCGGCTGGGTCATGCTGGATGGTGGGGGGCCGCCCACCGGAAGTAGCACATATGTACTCGCATCGGATCCACCCCCACCTTCGCCCAGTCGGCAAGCATCACATGACTGCCGACGGTGCTGGCCGGTTGGGTTATCTTCAAAGCCGAAGGCCGCCTCGCGTGGCTGCACTCGCCCACAAAGCGACAAGGTCAGAAGCGAGCAAGGCCGGCTACTTAACGGGTGATCCAAGATACCGGGGATATGAAGGGCCGGGCGTCAGGCGAATCTCACGTCAGAGTCATGACATACGCGTTCACATTCAAGCAAAGCACTTCGACTGGTGCAGCTGGTCGCTTGCATTGGTGATCACTGTGCAGCAGGGCACGACCAGAGCAGCGCGCTGGCTGACTATATCTCTGACCAAAGCTGGCTGCCTTTGGCTTCTTCCGCAGCAGATCAATGGGCACTGAGGGGCATTGCCCTATGCTCATAAACCTCGAGTGCGCTGACGTCCTCCCGGCCACTCGTCACGCCAAGAGCGGTGAACACCTCTGCCCACTCCGGATTGTGCCGGAACCAGATGCGATCGATGCTGCTCCACTGCAATGCCGAGGCGAAGAGGATCGACATTGGCTTCATCCGACTTGTGGGCAACTCCGACAGAGGCTGCGGTATGCCGCGCAAGGTGACAACGTTGCGGTTTCAACGTCTTCGACAATCTTCGGCTGTCGTGAGTAGCCCCTCGCACTCAAGACCATTGCAACCCGCAGTGAGGACTCCTCCATGACAGTGCGTCGTCCGTGCAAGTGAAACGGCTGGTCTTCCTGCACCGTGTGCGAGTCGCCGAACTTCCGCTTCGGAAGAGATGTTCTGGGCGATGGGATTAACAGGATGGGATGGGAACAGGTGGATCGAAACCCACCTGCCACGGATGTGTCGCGCGAGCTGCGAGATCGCATCCACACAGAGGCCTGCCGACGCCTATTTAATCACCGACTCGTCCTTGTCGACGCCTGCCTCCACATGCCCCCACACCCTCCGATATCTGGTGCTCCGACTGCCGAGCCGATATCTGTCATCGCACTCCGCCATCCGAAGGTGGAGGCCGCAGATGTGGCGAATCACACCCCGCACAGACTCGGCCGGGCCACCTCCACCGACCTCCACCGGCTTAACGCCGCGGTGGAGTGACATGACGATTGAGTGGAACTGTTGGAATTATCTCGCTGTATGATGTGAGCTATCGGCGCGCAGCATGTGTATAATAGCGAACTGGTTGCCACTGACGTACTCATCCTCTCTCTCACAGCTCACGATTGATGTCACACTCATGCCACCATGGATCACTCCCGCTCCTCCAGAACGACGCTCAGCACGCTCAGCGATAAGCCGGAGAAGCAGACTTCTGAGCCCGACGAAGCTGAGCTCGCCGCTCTCGGCCTCCCGCCCGATGCCAGCCCCGAGTTAGTGCGGCAGCTCACGCGCATCGGCCCGCCGCCGGACGGCGGCCTCACCGCCTGGCTCGTGGTGCTCTCCACCTTTCTCGTCCTCTTCTGCATCTTCGGCATGGGTGAGTGCACCCTCTCCCTCGCTCCCGCATCACCCCTGACATCAGTCACGTCCTTCGGCCAGCTCCAGTCCTACTACCTCACGAACCAGCTCGCGGCATACTCAAAGTCCGACGTCGCCTGGATCGGGAGCACGCAGAGCACACTTACTTTCCTCGGCTCGATTGCCGCTGGACGCTACTTCGATGCCCACGGGCCCCGCCTCCTCGTCATAGCCGGAACGGCACTCTCCATCGGCGCGCTCATCGGCCTAGCCTTCTGCACAGAATACTACCAGATCCTGCTCGCGCACCTCCTCTTCGGCCTGTCCGGCACACTCACCTACTCGCCCGCGACCGCGATCTCGGGCCACTGGTTCCTGCGGCGGCGCGCGACGGCCGTCGGCGTGGTCGTGTGCGGCGCCGGCGCCGGCGGCGTCGTGTACCCGCTCCTCATGCGCGCGCTCTTCGCCCGCCTCTCTTTCCGCGACGCGATCCTCTCCATCGCAGCCCTCAACCTCGTCCTCATGCTCCCCGCCTGCGTGTGGATGAAGGCGCGGTTACCGCCGCGCTCCCCGCCCCCGCTCCGCGCGCTGCGCGCGCCGTGGCGCGAAGCGCCGTACACCTTCCTCGTCGTCGGCAGCGCGGTGTACATGCTCAACGTGTTCAGCCCGTACTTCAACGCGCCCGTGCTCGCCGCCAACCTCCTCCCCGCGAATATGGAGGGGTACGCCGTCGCGCTCCTCCAAGCCGGCAGCTTTGTAGGGCGCGCAGCGGCCGGCGTCCTCGCCGACGCGCTTGGCGTGTGGGTCGTATTTGGGGGCACGTCGTTCGCGTCTGCCGTCGTCCTCTTCGCGTTTTGGACCGGTGCGAGCGGGACAGCCGTCGGCGTCCTCGGCCTCGTGTGCTACGGCATCGTCAGCGGCGCGTGGTTCACCCTCGTCGCCGCGGCGTGTGCGACCATCTCGCCCGTCGACGAGATCGGCATGCGCCTCGGCATGCTCTGGACGCTTGTTGGGCCGCCCATCCTCGCCGGGCCGGTGGTGTGCGGCGTCCTCATCACGGCAGACGGTGGGCGGTTCAATTCGGCCGGTCTCTTCTGCGGCGCGACGATGCTGCTCGCGGCTTTCCTTATGCCGGGGCCCAAGATGTGGGGGGCGGTGAGAAGGTGTTGGCGCCGGGAAACAGACGCTGAGACGGCCGTGTAAGTGTCTGGGCATAGAGACGTAGACGTAGACTTAGACCACAGAGCTTGACGTGTATATGAGCTGTTGTACAGTAGATGCAATGCATTGTTGGCACGGTGCTGTCGGGTTGCGAGCCCAATCAGGATCTAGACCCCACAGCAGCAAGCTTCGCATGGCTACATACTCTCTTGTCTAATACATCTCTGCTTCTCCTCCGCCACACACCTTCACTGCGACAATGCACGGTCCATCTGCGCGAACCTGTCATTACGCCCCTCAACGGCGGCCATACGGCTCGCGTCCTGCGTCGTCGGCGACCGGCTCCGCGGAGTGCGGCCGCGCTGACTGCGCGATGCAAAGCTCCGCAGACTTCCCATGCTCCTCCGGCTGAGCTTCTCGTCCTCTGGCACAGGATTGGACATGATGCGGTCCATCTGCGCGAAGCCGTCGCTGCGGCCCTCGACAGCGGCCATGTGCAGCTCGTCGCGCGTAACGCGGTCGTGTGTGGCTTTAACGAACACGACGTCGCCCGAGAGCCAATAGGTGGGGTATCGGCGGCGGCCGACGTTCTGCGCGAGTGTGAGTATGAGTGGAGACGAGCCACGCACGTTTATGATCATGGCCCAGCCGAGCATTAGCAACCCGCTGATGAGGACAATGTACACCAAACGCCAGGACATGGCGACGCCTGCGGGGAGGACACTTGCGATGAGGGCTGTCGCGCCGCCACTGGAGTCAGCCTGCTCTGGCGTGCACGCACGGAGGATGCGTCGTCCCCGTTACTTGCATGGCGAGGAGGGCGGCAGCCATCGCGAGCGCGCCATTGATCCACACGACATGCCCAAGCCCGCCAGACACGGTCGTCTCGTCGAGCCGATATCCGCTTGCGTGCCGGAAGAGCCGGGTGACCGCTACGCCGGCGAGTGCGCTCACGACCTGCCCGCCGACGAGGTGGCGCGGCTGGGCGAGCGGCGAGTCGATCGTCGCGAAGGACAGGACGGCGCTCGCGCCGAAACTCGCCACGATCATGATCATCCCTTCATCTGGGAAGCCGGCGATCATCACGATCTCGATGAGGGCGATGCCCACGAACGAGCCGACGAACGACAGCAGCCACACCTCGTACTTGAGTGGCAAGCGTGCGATCCACGAGAACGGCGGGAAGGGCAGCGGCGCGAACGGCGCTTTCGTCCCTGCTTCTCTGTAGCCGAGGAAGCGGCGGAGGATGGAGGGCAGGTACTCCCGCACATCGCGGTGCCAGGTCAGCCGCGCATGGTTTGGCTTCGCGGGGGCGGGGGCGGGCGGCGCTGGCGCTGGCGCCGGCGCGTGCCCGTTAGTCGCGTACGGGTTGTCGTGGGTCGAGACGCGGTGCCGCTGCACCACGGGCGGCGGGGGAGCGATGCCGGACATCGCGGAATGTTAGGAGAGGGAGGGGAGATGGAGCGATAAGAGGAAGCGAGCAGGAGAGAGACAGAGGGATGTGAGACAGTCCAGAGCAAGCTGGAGCTCGGAGTGGGCATGTCGCCGACTCGGAGCTCGACGTAGACTCTGGCTCTCGGGCGCGGCGAGTGGATTGAGCGCAACTGTGGGGCGACTCTCCGAGTCGGAGCGGCGTGCCTGCGGAGTCTCCAGTCAGCTGACCTACGCTCCCCGATCCGACGTCGACACGAAGGGGGTGAGACAGTGGGACACCAGAAATCGTGCGCAGAGGAAAAACGTAGGAGCGCGGTGAGGCGTAGTGAAAGGAGTTGTCAGAGTGAAGAGGATATGTCCTATCGTATCTACCGACCGTCGCAATCGTCTGAGTTCGCCGCCAGTGCGCTGACCAGCCTCCTCCAGCCTCCCTCCTCCTGGGACCCGCAAATGTCTACATACATACGCATGCTCGCTCCGCCATCTGCAGTCGACTCCTGTGCATCACTTTCATATCTAGGTGGCTGCAGTCCCGCACTCGTGTCCGGAGGCAGCCGCTTGTTGCACGAAACGACTCATCTGATCATCTCCCGCTGTCCGCAGCGCGCCCAGCCAGGTACAACAAAGCATGAGCAGTCAGATATGCGGCTCCTTCGACTGGGGCATCGGTCAGCCTCAGGAGAAGTCAAACTCCAGGTAACAGTGGCAGTCGAAAAAGCTGCAGGCGCACACAACCTCTAATCATCGTCCCTCCTCACCCACCACAGCACAACGCAGAAGAGAACGTTACATCACATGCTACAACTAGCTGTCTGTTAGCGACATCCTCGCAAAGCGGCGAAGGAGGAGCCCTCAGAAGGCCGTTCTTAGATACATGTTTGTCGTCACAAAGGATCAGACTTAGCATGGAAATGTAGACATCATCAAGGGGCATGGCGATTGTGTGGGCGTGCCAGGTGGCGCGCCACACTCGAAGAGCGACTCACAAATACATTCTATCGCGCGTCGTGGAAGAAAGCACAGAAGCACAGCGGAGAACTGCAGTCAGCATCATTCTTCGCATTGCGAGAAAGGAGGGAGCTCAGTGGGCACGTGTTTGGCTGGTGCAAGTCGGATCCGCAAGCCGCATGGCCTTAGGACTGGGGCGACAAGTAGTCATCATAGCGTTGAAAGTACTCACGTTGGGGGTGTTGGTGGATAGAGATTTGTGTCGCGCAGACTTTTAAACAAGCCGGAGGTGCGAAGGAATTTGTCGTATGTATTTCCCATCTATTTATCCCGGAGATCCGGAAATAGCGTTTCTAATCGTGCTGACGCTGATTAGATTAGCGGCGCTTCTAGAAGCGGTTGCGTCGTGGCCAAGAAAGCAGACTCGATATCCCGTGCCAGCTCCCACATTTGCGGGTAGGCGGTCGCGTAGAGTCTCAAGCCGGCCACGCAGCCCAAGCAGTCGTCGCGGCCTTGGCGAGCGAGGTACATGCCTCCATCATAGATGGGGCGGTAGAGGACCAGGCTTGGGTCAGCATGCGCCTTTCACATCAAACACTCACGGATCAACCCGAAGGTATCCCTGCTCCGTTGCGAGGGCGGATAGCATGGCAATGCGCATCGCCGAATGCATCGCCTCTCGCTTGAGCCGCTCGCGCACTTGCTGTGCCTCAAACGCAAACATGCCGCGCATCGTTTCCTCCCCACTCTCCTGGATCCCAAAGTCGGACATGGCGCGCTCCGCAACCAGCCAAAGCGCGTGGTAGAAAACATCTGTGCTCATGATCCGGACGGTTGTAAGCGCGCTCCAGTGCTCTGGCCACGGAACGGGCAAGCCGAGCTTGGACAGATACAGGTCGCGCCATGACGAGTGGTCGTGCACAAAGTCGCGCAGCGTGTTGAGCGGAATGCCGCTGGCTGAGGTGCGAGGAGCCCACAGCTCGCCGCAAAGCTTGGTGCAGATGCTTGCACCGGCACGCGCGGCGCTCAGCCACACCTCTTCGTCCGATGTGCTCGCCGATACGAGGGGCACCATGTCGTTGACCACGAGCTCCGGCAGCCTGAAGAATGCGCCTTCGAAGCTGGAGACCATCTGCATCGCCAACCTGGTGCGAAGCTTCTCATCCCGTACAGGAGTGGTGTGTAGGATCGGCTCCCGGAGTGAGTCGAGGTGCCGCGCCGCCAATGACAGGTAGCTAGCGCGATACTGCTTCTTCAGAATGACAGATTCTCGGCGGTTAGCTTTTGCCAAGGACGGGAGGCACTCACGGCCCAGCAACCCTTCAAGAATCATGAGTGTCTGGGCGTTAACAAGGGTCGCAACACGAAACGCCTTGGACGCCTCGACTATCTCGCGGGCGCGGATGACGAGTAGCTGGGTCATACGGCTGCGGCCGGGGTCACCCTCGCGGCCTGATATCTCCTCGCGGTCAGCCACGAATGTAGCGTGCTCGGTGAACCTGGCGCCGAAAGCCAGCACAACCGCCAACAGCGCCGGCGACAAAGGCCCCCCCATTGCCGCATCGGGGTCGAGATATAGTGTTCTAAACTCGGGCTCCTCAAGGATCGGCAATCGCGAATGCACCACTTGGAAGAAAGTGTCGATGAGGTCCTGTGCAACGCTGACGTTAGCTCCGCTTAAAGTTGCACTCACCGTTCCAGTTCAACCTCGCCCGCTGCCCAGAGACCGAGATGCGCGGCGCTCGGCGTCTCTTCCCACACGGCCCCGTTCTGCTCCTCCCAAAGGTCACAGGCCTTCAGACGAGCCTGCTCCAGCGATGCCGCATCCGAGTACCGCCAGTCATGATGCAGTACTGGCGTGGGGCTGAACAAGTATCGCAACAAGTCAGCCTGAAGATTTCCCCCGTTCTGTGGGGCGGGGCGAGTGATGACGACAGGGTGCGTAGGCGCCATCCAGTTCATCATCGCCATCGCACTGCAATTAGCACCGCAATTGTCCGAGATACGGGACCGAAAGTACGCACTCGTCCATCCGCGGGCCTGGACCTGAAACTGCACCAGTGCTGTCGCTGGATGCCGAGGTCGCAGTGCGTCCCGGAGCCGAGCGGTTGGATAGCTGCCGGCTCGGCATGGCAGGTGAGACGCGTGTCGTCTCATCGCCGCTCCACCGCTTTTCTTTGTCGTCTGCACTGCGAAACCGCCGGGGACGGCGGGGCTTGCTCTGCAGCTGTTCGATGTAGTTTGATGTACACTCGAGATCCTTGGCGGCGCACTGCTCGCACTGGTGTATGTCAGCAGTGCAAGCAGTGGAGAGATGGAGTTAAGGTGATGCAGTCCGTGAGCCCGCCGACTCGAATTCATAAAGTTGACGATCGAGCAGTGTGATTCAGCTACCCCACAGCTTCGTACCTTCCTCGAGGCTCTGACTGGAATTGCCACTAATGCCCATCACCAGTACTCACCCTCTGTGCAATCGTCATGCGCTTGCAGCGGATCTTCTTGGCACGGCAAGCGTCGCACGCCACGTTCTGCTTACGGGTTGCCCCGTTGTAAAGAGGCAAGGCGCTTGGGTCCATCATGTGGTGATGAGGACGAGTGGGAGTGATCGCGGAGGGGATAGGGGAGACGGGCCGGCGTGCGGTAAACAGATAAAGGAGTGACGTCTAGCCGGGGCGGCTGGAGATGACGGGGGGGAGGGGGCAGATAGTTGAGGGGGGGGGGGCGGACGAGGTCGAGAAATATCCGCAGTCGATGTCCAAGACGTCGGCGCCGAAGTCTCAAGGGAAGAGCAAGTGGATAGCTGTGTTTGCGGTGCTGATGAGAAGAATGTTGAGGGAGTTGTGGGGGAATGGAGTGCAAGAGGAGAGACAGTGTCGAGTCATCTCGGTCTTGCCCGGGTAGTCTGCAGCGATGGAGGTGACAGCGTCGCGTCTTGAAGCGTGCGGCGCGCGATTGCTCTACTCGTCAGCAATCTTGTCACTGCTGGTCGCCGTCGTTTCATTGACTTGACCCAACGGCTCTCGCCGCTCGGATCCGAGTTCGCGTGGTTGATAGGCGGCAGCGGATCAGCTCGCTTCCCAGGTCTACCACCCAGGCGGAATCGGAGAGTAATATGAACTCCGTTAATCCACGTGGTCATTGTTGGGTTCGGTCATCCGAAATTCAACCGAACTGCAGAGCTGTTAATCGATTAATCAACCCCCATCTCCTGCGGATCTCCGTGCGGAACAATGGCAACTACTATCATGATGCATGTCTCGCACAGATCAACAACACATCTTGGTCAGTCACCCCCTCTCGATTCTCTTCTCAATCGTTTTCCTCAAGCAAGTGCGGGCGTCGAGGAATGACCTCGCGAGATCTCACTGGGATCACCGGGGATGCCGCTCAGGCCGTAGCTAGGTTGTGTGCCTCGTTGATACGAACCGAACAAGCCACCACTCGCATCGCCCTTCTCTCCATCTCTCTCCATCACCCTCATCATCATCCATCACAACCACCCTCTTCATCACATCGCCCATTCAACTAACTCTCTCAATGCCGACTCTACTCTCGTACTCTTTCAACTAACCTGTCGCCGCTATGAAAGAGAAGCCGGCCTCCATCAATCACAATGACGTAGTCACTACTCCAACCAGTCCAGCCACTCCTGTTAGCGTCGTCCAGCCAGACAACGCCAGCACTAGGACCATAACGGGCTCGACCACGCCCCGCTCATGGGAGCTCTTCCAGCAGTTTATCGAGTCTGTTCCCGTAACAACTGCAGACTTCCGCAACTTTGCGCGCTTTGCGCCCCTAGTGTCAGCCATCCTTGCACCTGTCTCAACGCTCTTCGATATCCCAGCGCTGACAGTGAGTCTGAGCACGCCTCAGGACGCGGCGCCTTAGCGTCTACGTCTGGCTTTCAGGTGCTCGTGCACATTCCGAGCCTCGCTGATCCCTGCAACACTGGTTCTACGATCATGGCGAGCCGGTCAAAGACCCAAAAGCTTGCCTCGCTCTCTCCGGCATCGGGCTCGCGTTCAACGTCGTTGGCAACGTCCTGCTTGTGCTCCGCTTTAGCTCCCCCCATCGCCGTTCCAAAGCTGTCAGGTGGGTCTTTCTCGAGAAACTCAGTTGATAAAGCTACTCGCTATACTGCTGGGTCGCAAAGACTATCATCGCGATTGTGAATATCGCCTACTTTGGCGCATGGCGTAACAAGAATCCCGATTACACGTTCGACCAAGCCTTCTGGGCGGGTGTTGTTTCGGTCATCATCGCTGGCATCATCAGCACCTGCCTGTTCCTCCACTATGTGTTCGCATACAAGCACGATCACGCTGAGAGCCCCAAGCTTCTCGTCACGGGCCGCAAGTTCATGCTCTCCATTACAGGTCTGTTCGTTCTCATTGGCTTTCAGGCGCTTGCCTTCTCCCGTCTTGAAGGGTGGAAGTACTTTGACGGCATCTACTTCTCCATGCAGACGACGCTCACGGTTGGCTATGGTGACCTCTCTCCGACGACGACATGGGGCAAAATCCTCTGCTTTCCCTTTGCCGTTCTCACCATTGCCCAGCTCGCCAATCAAGTTTCAATCATCATCGACTTCATCAAGGACCGCGCAACGACGCGCCGTGATCAGTGGCGCAAGAGATACTCGATTGCAATGCATCGCGCCGCGCTTCAGGTCAAGCCGTATGGAACCCTAATCGACGAAATCTGCCTCATCCACCAGATAGAGCTACATCAACAGAGGTGCGTGGTCCCGCTTGGCTGGCCTTAATACACGGCTAAATCCAGTCTCATTCAACTGTACGACCTTATTTGGTCCTTCAGCGGCCTAATCGTCTTCTATGTCGTCGGCGCGGCGTGCTTCAATGCCATGGAGTATTGGGGCTATGGTAATGCCATATACGCCGTTGTCATCCTGTCAACGTCGATCGGCTTTGGGGATTATGCGCCTACCTCGGCTGGCGGCCGCGTCTTCTGGGTCATATACGCGCTCATGTGTGTTCCGATTATTACGAGTTTTGCCACCAACACCGTCACTGGTATTGTAAGTCATCTGTGCGATCGGATCTGACGCGCCCAGATGTACACTATCTCGGAGCACAAGTATCAGCAAAGCGGGTTCCGGTTGGCCCGGGATGAGGACCCCGAGGCGTTCGCGCCCCACTCGCACTTCATTCTGAAGAACCATGAGAAGTGGGACGGTGCGCGGAAGCGCTACCAGGCCAAACTCGCGCTGCGTAAAAAGGCCCTGTCGCAGGGCGTCGAGCTGTCGCGACAGCAGGAGCAGCTCATCACCCGCCTTCTCCAGGATCCCACTACCCATGATGTGGTTGTCGAGGCGCTCGGCGGCGTCGACAAGACCGAGCTGGAGAAGTATCGTGACTTGATAGGAGCGGACGCTCCCGAGAACAGCAGTGAAGGCACGCGCGTCAGCGAGTCGCCGCAGCCGACGCGGACGTCTGAAGGCAACGACGGTGGAATGAAACCAGACGAATCCGTCAAACCGAAGCTCCAGATTGATACCTTCACCGATAAGGCCGGGCATACCTCGGACACGGACGATCTAATGCCTGACAAGCCTGAAGCTGGGATTGAGTTCAAACTCTGCAAGGCGCTTATCGACCGCGTCTCGCACCTCGAAGCGCAGTCTCGTCAGATGCTGGTGGACACGATGGACGAGAATCTGGCACGCACAGTGTTGCTCGCTGATCGGAACCGTAGGTGACTAGCACTCTGCCAAGCTGACATGCAGTGCAAGTCCGCGACGCTTTGCACCTCTATGACTTTGGCATTGACTTACAAGGCAATTACAGAGCGGAGGCCGAGCGAGCGTGGAAAGAAGCCGTGGCCAAGCACGGGCTCGGCGATGCGAGCACAGCAGATCAGGACGACATGCTCGCGCGTGTGAGACGATACCGCGACACATTTGCGGAGATCCTCGTGCTCAGCAGTACGCTGCTGCAGCTGCAGGGTGACGACCTGAAACGATTCGAGCGCTGGCGCACTGGCGACTTGCATCACGCCGTTAAGGTTGGCAAGGCCGTCAAGGGCGCTATCAAAGGTGTTAAGAATCGCCCGCAGTATAAGCAACACCGCAAGAAGCGTCTCCGCCATCATCGGCACAGGGAAGACCATGCCTCGGAGATCCTCTCCGAATCGGAGGCCGAGATCGAGCGCGACCTGTGCCCGCCAGGAGAAGCTGAGCCGCGGCACCATCATAGGCGGCGCCGACAAAATTCATCGTCCCCACGGCGCTCTACTACTCCTATGTCGAACGGGGAGGCGCCCAAGCCGTCCTCGCCCACTAGAACACGCGCTCCGGAAGTACACGAGGGCGAACCTGGACCACACGAGAACGCAAGGGTCGCTCTGGGATCATCCAACCCTCACGAGCCGCACCCGCACGCCGAGCACATGTGGCACACAGAGCCATGCGATGAGCCAGACGCATCCCGTTCATCGTCTCCAGAACCGACGTCAGCCCGACCCCCGCCCCGCCGTCTCACATCTACACCTGTGACGCCTCCCCCCGAGCCTCGTTCCCCCTTCTCCGCGCACCCCGCGACCTCGCCCACGACGCACTGGCGGAAGCCGGGCAAGAAGGAGAAGCGCTTCGTGGACGTCATGGCGCGCTCGGTGCTGAAAGCTGCAGACCGGGAGGCGACACAGGCGCGTGAGGGCTGGATGGACTGGCTTGCCGACAAGGCTTACGACGTAATAAGCGATGCGGGGCATCGCGTGCACGTGCGCCACCACCGGAGTGCGAGTGGCCGTATGGGCTGGACTGTACGCGGCCAATCGGAGGAGAGCGGTGGCGAGAGCGAAGGCAGAGGGCGGGACCCACGCCCGGCGGGCCAAAGTGCGGACCGTGAGCACGAGGGGAGGGACGAGCGCGAGGAGAATGAGAGTGAGAGCGAGGAGGAAAGGCCGAGGATGCGTGGCGGCGGCGAGCGCGAGCGCGCCGGTGGCGGATCCGCCGCGTGGGTCGGCGGCGCAGGCGAAGGTGGAGGGGAGGAGAGTGCGCGCGTGCGCGCCAAAGAGAAGCGGAAGCGGCGGCTGGCGCAAGAGGCGCGACGGAGCGAGCGGCGGGACCGGGAGCGGGACGTGCGCGCAGACTCGTCGGATGAGGAGCGGCAGAAGGATAGTCATGGACGGCAGCGCATGACGCTGCGCGAGCATGTCGCCGACGTCGTGCACGAGGCCAAGGAGCGGCACGCGGAGAACAAGTCCATCAAGGCTGAGCAGGCGATGCGGTACGATGCGATGCGTGCGCCGGACCCCAATACTGTGCCGCTGCGGGAGGCCGTCGAGCCGCCCGTGACTGCTTCGTCCGTCGCCTGAGATTAGCGGGTCGATGGTTGCGCGGGTCGGTTGCATGTTCGCTGCAAGACATCGGTGGTATCTGCGGTGATTGGTATATGGTTATAATCTAAACACAAGCGCCTTTCGGTTCTTGATGGCAGGACGGACACACATGTGTGCTGGGGTAGCAATGCATTCAGTTATAAGTGTACTAGTAGACGCGCCGCCCGACCGAGCCGTTCCGCAGGCCATGCCGCGCCGGGAGGTGCAGTCCCCGCAACCCTGCTGGCGCAAGGTCCTCGCTCGAACTCATGTCCATAGCCGCAATGCCGCGCGGTACGGCCGACGTGACTTGGGCCTGGGCGTTGGCGTGGCTGTGGCCGTTCAGTCCACCGGCGCCGCCGAAGCCGCCGATGCTCCCGGCCTGCGAGCCGGCGTGGCTGCCTGCATGCGACGGCGGCTGTGAGCTCTGCGACCCGGGCTGGCTGGGCCGGTGCGAGCTGACCTGGATGAGGATGGCGCATTCACGCGCAAGCTGTGCGAGGCGCGAGAGCTGCTGTCGCGTCGGCGCGCTAAACGTGTGCCGGACCATGACAGCGCGCAGCTGCTCCATGACCCGCACGACCGTCTTAATGAACCCCTGCGCGTGGTCGTGCAGCGGCCACGGTGTAGGTGCGAAGGGGTTGGCTCGCAGGCCCGCCAGCGTCTCCTTCAGCGTCGACGTCACGTGCTCGGCCGAGCCGAGGGACGCTACGAGCTCCGCGTAGTGTCGCGCTGGGATCGAGGGCGGGCGGCGCCCGTCCGTTGCGCTCAGGAGGCGCTGGCTGTTGACAGAGCCGACCGAGTCAGCTTTGGAGTGCGTATAGGGTGCGTCCGCGGCGCCGATCTCGCCGGCAACCTTCAGCCAAACGTTGAATGCAACTTCAGTCGCTAGCTCGATCTGGTCAAGCAGGTCATCGTCGAAGAGCGTAGCGCTCGCAGGTGTAGGCGGTCGCACGTCGAAGCTGAGGTTGCGTGCGCTCCGGAAGCTGCTACCTGAGAGCGTGGGAGCGTGCCGACTTGGAGGCATGGGCGGCTCAGGCTCGGCGTGCAGCGGGAACGGAGGAACATCGGCGCCCTCTCCTTCTGCGCCCTCGAAGATCCGGCCCATATCTGGGCCAGGCCACTCGTGGCGCTGGCTCACAGGTGAGCCCATAAGCATGCCCTTCTCGACGTCCTGGGCGGAGAAAGAACCAGCATGTCGACGAGACTTGGATCGTGGGCTTGTGCCGACTGGCGGCATTGCGGTCGGTGCGAGGGTGGCGCGCGCAGGTGTGCGTTCCCCTTGCTCGAGGATGGGAGAAATCGGGGTGCGGCCCGTCATGCTGCTTGATTGGGACATGGGCGGGGCAAGGCGCAGCGGCGCCGTCTCTGGGTGCAGAACTGGCCTCATCTCGGCGAGGAGGGGCAACATAGTACGCCACGCGTGCGCAATCTCACTCATGCCACCGTAGATGGATAGCAGTAAGGAGCGTGTATAGCGCACATCAGCGTCGCGGAATGCCGGGGTCTGCATTCGCAGCACGGCAACCAGCTTGCCAAACACCTTGATTGTCTCCTTGGCGCTCTCAACAACAGCTCGGATCGCACTGGCAGGTGGCGCGACGCGACGCGACATTGAGTCGAACCGGTCGAGCGCATTGATCAGATGCGCGACGTACTCACCCGCTGGCTGCATGTAGCGAGCGAAGGTCGCCGCAACGTGATCCGGCACAGCAAAGTTCAAGTACTGACGAAGAGCTGTGTGTGTTTGCGTGAGCGCGAAGAGGATGCCGCGAATCGAGTCGACAAACATCAGCATCGCAGGCGAAACTTGCTTCGAGATCGTCGAGGGCGGCAGGGTGGAGAGCCGACGGAAGTACGAGTTGCGCGACTCGTCAACGGTCGGCGCATCCTGGCTGTCCCGCCGGTCGCCCATGTTGGGAGGCGGAGGCCGTTTTGGCATCACATCCATCGGCAGTTTCGAGGACATGGGCCGTAGCGGAGATTTGGCGTCCTCGAATGGTCGCTGCAGCTTGCTCTGCCAGCGCTGCTGACCTATCCCTAAACCCAGAGGACGTAGCTCATCCGTTGCCTCTCCTCTCCTCTCCTCGATGATTTTGGCGTGGCTCTGCCGCAGGTCGGGCAACGACTTCTTTGCGGTGAGCGTGCCGCTATGCCGTTGTGTCGCGGTGTAGCTCGCGCCGCGATTGTGTCCGTTGGGAAGGACGGGCGGGGGGTGGGGGAATTGGACTTGTGGGCCCGAGGCAGATGACGAGGTGGACGCGGAGACCGGCGGGGTGACAGATGAGGAGGACGTGGAGCGGTCGTGTCGGAATGGGTGTGAGGGTAAAGACAATGAAGAAGGAGCGGTTGGGATGAGACTGTCGCTGGAGCTGGGAGCACCAACCCTCTGTCCCAACCCCGTTTCGGGTGACGAGAAAGAGTGCGGGGATGCACGGTCCTCTTCGTTGGCAGTTGGGACCCAAGGCTTCATTGTCACCTGAGAAGACGTCGACGCTTCCGAAGCCGGTGGCTGGCTGTCGATCGCGAGCTCGGGATTCCCCATCGGCACGCTGCGATCAGCGGGGCACTCTCAGAACAACTCACTCGTCGCCAGGCAACAAGGTACTATCAGTGGCTTGATCCTCATCTGGAACACCCTTGATGGTGGCGTCCTCCGCGTAGGCCTGTCCAGCGAGCTGTTCGGCCGCCTCCACCTCCGCTGTCCTGGCTATCTCATCCCGAAGATACCGCCGCAGCGCCTCGATCCATGGTTTAAGATCCTCCTCGCTGCGTTGTGCAGCCACACTCTTGCTCTCCCTCTCCCCGCCTTCGCTTGTGAATGGCGGCACCTCGATGTCAATGAGCGGTCCAAGGATCTCCCGCGGCGGCCATACGAGAGGATTGTGGTCGACTTTGAACACCTTGAGGGCCAAGAAGCCGGCTAGGTATGTTGGCAGCGCAGACAGCTTGTTATGCGAGAGCGACAGGACTTTGAGGTGCGCTAACCGGCCAGGTCGAACAGGCATTGAGCTGATTTGATTCTTAGAGAGGTCCAAAATCTCAAGCGAGGCGAGATCAAGCAGTGGTGCCGGAACGGCTGTCAGCTCGTTGCCTTTGAGGTTCAAGTATCGCAATCTGTTGAGCTTAGAGAAGGAGGCGACGAGCGAGTTGTCGCGCAACGCATTGTAACTCAGCGCGAGGCGCCAAACGCCACGCTTGTCGCGCCCTGTTTGTGTGCGCAGAAAGTCAACCATGTCGGCATCGATGCGGTCCAACTTGCGGTCTCTGCTGATGTCAAGTGTGTCACCGTTATCCTTTGAATGCTCGAGAGCGCGACGACACAGCTGGAGAGACTTCGAGCTGGAGCCGAGCTCGGAGCTGATGCTTGGCATTGAGGGCGACCGCGGCGCCCCGGGCGATCGGAGAGGTCCGCGCGGAGGTCGTGGAGGAGGAGTGACAACATTGCTGCGGTCCGGTACGGTTTGTGGTGGGTTGGCAGGTGTATGGGGCGTGGTAGGCTGAGGAGCGCTGGGCTGGGAGCTCTGGGGAGACAACGGCTGCGTGGAGAAAGGAAGTTGAGCAGCAAGGGAGGGATGGGGGGAAGCATGAACGGGGGAGGGGATCGGTAAGCTGGCGTTGCGGTCAGGAGGCCGTTCACTCAGTGGAACGGGGTGCGTAGCGAGCCGTTCCGGATACCGGTCCATGTACCGATCGGACGCAGGCATAGCGGGCATGGGCTCGGGCGTGCTCCGCTCGCGATTGGGGTCGCGATTTGGATGAGGTGTCTGCAGCAGGTCAAACACAGCAGGGGAGAGGCGGCCATTCGGACTCAACCGACCCGAGATGTTCGAGTTGGATCGCAGACGGCCAGATGGAGGTGGAAGGGTGACGGGCAGAGAGGGAATCGAGGTGGAGCTCGAGAGCGCCGGAGCGGCGCTGGTGCGTGCCATCAGCAAGGGGTACTGGAGTGGTCGTGTGGCGGGTGGAGAGCGGCTACGCTCTGTGCGATGCGCGCATGCCCAGGATGAGATTTGAGTGGGAGTCGACTTGACAATGATACAGCTGGGAAGAAGTTGTCGCCGAATTGCGGTAAGATGTCAGAAACAATCCCAGTCGACACTGGGAATCAAGACACCAGAGCGTAGTGGAACCGGAGCAGATCGATGTGGAGACGAGTCGCGGCGGCCGGCGCCGATCGACTCGAGGTGGGTACCGGACCCTTGGCGAAGCTGCGAGGCTGGACTGGAAACAGGCGTGTGGCGAGGTGAGATGGAGAATGTGATGGAAAGATGGAGAGATGGAGGGATGGAGAGGAGGGAGGATGCGATGATGAGGTGAGAGGGAGCGAGGCAGTGAAGGCAAGGTGGGTGAGATTTCCGGCAAGGATGGCGAGGACATTGCCTGCTCAGCGAGCCAGCCCAGGTGGGTGGCGCAAAGTGGGGGGCCTACTTAACTGGGTCGACTGATGGCATGATGGTGCCCTGTGCGTGTGCGTTAGAGGAGACCCACCCACCCACAATCTTTCTCAAAGATCAACGACGCTTCCCGTTGCAGCCACTCTCCTCACAAAATCACAAGTGAACATGACCCGCAATGCAGAATGCAGGACTCACAACGCCACCCGCGGTCATGTAACGACTGCCGCTCAACTCGTGATGCCACTGCTTATGTCATGTGTCACGCCGCGTCTGTATCTCCTTTCGCCATTCCACGCCTTTCGTGCCATCATTCATCCAACGTGCCCCCGGATTAGTATCTCATCTCAAAACACACACCATGCAATGTCATGACTGTCATGGCCCCACAATAATCGGCCAGATCTATGCTGTACATGTCTACTTCTCTAGCCCCGCCACCATAGCGCGCGAAAGGTTGCGCGCCAGGGCTAGACGCACCACCTCGAGCTTCTCACGCGCCTGCGCCTCACTCTTCTCCGCACTCCTTGCCTTCATCGCGCCATTCACCAGTCCCTGGCTTTTAGTGTCCTCGGTGCGCTCCAGGTACCGGCACAGCATGTGGAGGCAGTCATGCGAGGCGAAGTCGGCCGCAGCTAGAATATCCTGCAGCGTCCGCATGAGCTCGAACGTTCCCGCAGGACCTAGGTGAATTTCCTCGTCCTCGAGCAGCTCTACGCTTTCCGCAAGCAGAACAGCCACAAAGGCGACAGGGGTTGTCGGGCTGTCGATCAGGCTCACCAGGCGGGTTGCCGCCCTGTTGCGAGTGCCCTCGGCCATGAACAGCAGGTAGTCACGGAACTCCGACAAGAAGATCAGTCGCTGCGCGTAAAGCGCATGCGGGCTGACACCCTCCTCCTCGTTGAACTCGTCCTCCAAAAGCATGGGCGCCTCGCTCAGAAGATTCGCAGGAAGCGAGTTGACCTGCTTGAGATACTCGTCTGCGCCGTGCTCGATGTAGGTGGAGATAATCTTCTCGGCGATGCAAGAGAGCATTTCGATGTCACGAGCTTGTGTCGCGAGCGAGGCTGCGCGACCATATTCCCCGCGACGCATGAAGGTGCCCGCCAAGATGGTGCAGATCTCGCGCCACTCCTCATGCAGATTTAGGCTCATGCACGTGTTCTGCAGATCGAAGAAGTGTTTCATTTCGCGGTCCTCGGTTTCATCGTCGTCGTCCTCCGCCTCGACGTCCATTGTCGTTCCCTCTTTGTCCTTGTCAGATGCGGAGTCAAACGGCAAAGCGACGCGGAGGATATACTCGCGCAGACGGCTGCGGCCTTCCTCGGCGGCCGTGGCAAGGTATTCGGCGACGACACGCCACAGCTTCCACTGGCTCGGGCTGTCCATAATGCTGTCGGCGTATGCGAGGAGAAGGTAGTCGCGAGTTGACAGCTCAAACTCGTCGTCATCAGGCACCATGCCAAGCTTGTCGAATACATCTGCAAGATGCGCCGCCAGCCAGGTGTCGATGTTCTGTGATGTGCGAAGGGCAGCTGCTACTCCCTTTGGCCCAAGGCAAATGTTGGAAAGGACGACGTCCTCCTCGATGGTAGTGTCGATCGGGATCTCGTCAAGAACTTTGGTCACAACGTCGCTGAATGTCAGAGCCACAATCTGTGTCTACACTTACGGAAGGTCATCACGTCTAAGCCACACTTCGACGAGAAGCCCCCACGCCCCGATGGCTTCGCGCCAGTCATTCGCTTCGGCTAGAACCCTATCCGGTTTGCCCTCCATGAGCTCCACCAAGCTTTTGATGTTCTCCTCCCACCCACTCCACTCCCGGCTCGCGTCTGCGCCCAGCCAGTTCGAGCGGTTCCGTCCACCGGTTATGGAGTCCACGTCAGAGCGGAGGCGGACGAGCCACTTCTTGTGCTCAGAGAGGTAGATGTGATCTTCCCGGTAGTTTTCAGATCGGGGGAATGACGACGCGTACTGCGACAAGGTAGCACCCAATTTGACTATTGGGGGGTGCGGATGATCCGACAGTGTGTTGAGGAATTGAGCAACCGTGGAAAAGAGGCCGCGAAGGACGCAGCGGTTGAGGAAAGGCCAGAACATGGGGTTATCCCATGGATGTGGCGTCCCCATGATCTCATTTCCATCGTCGTTGATAGCAGCCGGGGAGGACTCATTGACCCAGTCGAGCAGCTCCTCTCCCAGCAAAGTCTGCCCACGACCATCCGCCGGAAGGTAGAGAATGCGCATAAGGTTGAGTATTCCGTGCATCGCGCTGAATGTGAACTTGATGTCGTCCTGGCTGTTAGTACAATATTAATCACGAGTAACACACCGCAACGTCAACGGAACAACGGATTCGATCAATATCTTGTAGGTACATTTCGACGATTTTGCGCATGTGCACGATAGTCTCGGCTCTGGGAGGGCCTACGACACCGTCAAGTGCGACAAGATGCCCATCGGTGTCCCAAACGCCAGAGGCGGCATCTGGTTCGGGCAATCTTATCGCCGAGGCAATAATCTGCTGCAAGTTGGTGAACACGGTGCACGTTGACGAGTAGAAGTCTTCCAGTGCGGGAGGGAAGGTGTTGATCGCCGAAATGTACAGCATGTTGTCCGCGAGCGAGAGCTCCTTGTCCAACAGCGTCGCAGGGTCATCGGGCTTCTTGGAAGGCTAACGTTGGCTGGAGTCTGTCACTGGGCGCTTACCTGCTTAGCAATCCAGGCAGCTACGCCGCCGCCGACTGGTGCAGCGGCGGCCAGAAGCGTTCGCCCACTGGCCTTCCACTTGGCTTTGTCCTGTCTTGTGAAGGCTGGTGGGTCGAGGTGCTCCTCGTAAACATAGGCCTCATCATCATCAAAGGTGTCCATTGCAACATCGGTGGCAGAGGCGGACATTGACGATGGGGGAAGAAAGGTGTTGGCGAGAGGAGTAGGGTTCTTGGGGACGGAGTCGGAGAACGAGAACCCTTTGTTGGTAGATGTTGAAGGGGAGGAGAAGGAGAATGGGGAGCCCGTCCCGAACGCCGACATTGCGGAGAAAGCTGTCAAGGCAAAGGGAGCGGAGAACGACGGCGAGCAACAAGACTGAGGGGGCGCAGGAGTGGGGGATGGGAGAGAGAGAGTCAAACGGTTGGTTGATTGATTGAGTCGAGTGTGATCATCATGTTGTTGGTGCGGGGTACGTCAGAAATCCCAGGTGCCACACGCCTCTGGCCCCGAATTTCCGACTGGGTGGCCACTTCTGGTCACTGTCACCTCCATTCACTCCAACCATAATAATCGACTGTCAACATCATCTCCCTTTCGACAACGCTCTCTTTCTCTCTTCCACGACAGCCAGAACCTTTAGAGCGACAGGCTGGCCAAATCTGCGCCGTCTGGCATCGGCTCCCAGAAAATCCACGGTCTCACTTCTCACACCAACCTCCACCTTGGTGCAAGCATGTCCGACCGAGAGCAAGCAGCGTCGTCTGAGGGCGAGGGCGAGGCTATTCGTCCGTATGGCGAACCAGACCCAGATCTCGACTCCTCCGACGAGTCTGAAGAGGACGATCCCGAGGAGGCCCGCCGCATTGCTGAGGGTTTCATCGTTGATGGGGATGATGACGATGACGACGATGCGGACGAGGACAACGAAGAGGAGCAGCGCCGTCGCCGGCGCGAGAAGCGCAAGCGCAAGCGTCGCAGAGAGCGCGAGAGGCAGCGGCGCGAGGAAGAGGAGCTGTCCGAGGACGACCTGGAGCTCTTGAACGAGAATGCAGGTGTCGGACCATCGCGCCCGTTGAAGCGTCTACGCAGGCGGTCGGGGTCAGACGAAGGCGATTCGCGTCTCCAGGGTATGTTTGACGACGACGAGGAGCGCATGGCCGACGACGACGACGACCTCGCCGATTTCATTGAGGAGGACGAGGACGAAGAACAGGCGCGTAACGAGACCGAAGAGCAACGACGGGAACGAAAGCGCGAGGAGAAACAGCGTCGGCTCGACGCCGCTCGCGCGCGTCCAGAGCTCGCTGGCGTCGACAAGGAGTAAGTTCATCCGTGGAGAGTGTAAACTGACGCCAGCTCATGGGACGAGATCTTCGATGTGTTCGGCGATGGGCATGACTATGACTGGGCGTTGGAGGGCGAGGAGGGCATGGAGTTTGAGGATGAGGACGAAGGGAAAAAGGACCTCCGCCTTGAGGATGTGTTCGATCCCGCCGAGATCAAGGAGCGCCGTCTGCAAGATGAGGACCGCGCCATCGCGCAGGTGGATCGGCCTGAGCGTCATCAACTCGTCAACTCGACGCTCTCCGACAACCCTATCCTCGTCCCCGACACACTTTACCCTCCTCCAGAGGTTGCTGCAGGCTGGGCGCACAACCGCATTGGCACACGCACGCAGTACCTCTTCTGCGGAAATACTGATTTCCTTTGGCCTGAGCCGTCAGTGCAGGACCCGAATCCGGAGCCTGCGCAACCTCGTCTCGACCTTCAGGAGGACTTCATCAAAGCGGTGGCAAGCGCGCTCAACATGATGTTCGTGCAGAATCTTGAAGTGCCATATCTGTGGCACTACAAGCGTGACGCGTTCAGCGTGCTCGAAAACCAGGGCCAGACGTCAGTGCAGTTCCTCGACCGCGATGACCTGTGGACCCTGTATGGACTCGGCATCAAGTTCCGCGCCATCTGGCAGCGTTGTGAGCAGGTCACCGCGATGTGGAACAAGGTTCGCGCACGCCGACCAGACGTTGAAGACAAGTACCTCACCGAAACACTGCTTCCCTCTGTCTGCAACTTGTCGATCGAGGCCGCGGCCGAGGGCGCAGACTGGCTTGCATACCACTACGCGGACGACATCCGGGCTATCAAGGAGGACGAGGCGATCGAGGAGGGCAGCGGCAAGCGCTTGCCAGAGCGCAACCGCGACAGTGAGATGCGCAAAGGGCCGATCATGCAGCTCGTTAAGGCGTTTGGCATTAACGTTCCCGAAATCGCGACAGCCTTCAATGTCATCGGTGGTGATCCCATTGCGCCGCCTCCCACTCCGGACAAGATGCCCGACGATCTTGCTGAGGAATTCTGTGGCGAGGGGACGCCATACCATATTGCCGCTGACGCCCTTAACGCGGCCAAACGCATCATTGCGGCTGAACTCTCCCGCGATCCATCCATTCGTCAACAGTCGCGCGAGTTTGTTGAGGCGTGTTCCCTCGTGTCGACGACGCCGACTGATCGTGGCATGTCCGTCATCGACCAGTACCACGCATACTACACCTTCAAGTTTTTGACGAACAAGCCTGTGGAGCTGTTTAAAAACACACCTCAATTCCTGCACATCCTGAAAGCTGAGGAGGAGGGGTTACTCAAGATTGAGTTCTCGCTCCAGCCCGAGGGATTTGCCAGCTATGTCGACGCGCTTAAGCGCTGCGTCCAATCACAAGACTATAGTGAGGTCGCGCAGTCGTGGAACGGACACCGCGAGGAGATCATCGACCAAGTCGTCAAGAAGGGTTACATCCCTGCAGCCCAGCGCTGGCTGAAAGAACACATGCGCACCCAGGCCGAGGAGTTTGTTGCCGAGCGCTGCCGCGAGGAGCTTGAGTTCCGCGTAAACATGCGCCCGTACGCTACGCGCGACATGGCCGTGGGCGAGACCCCGACTGTCCTCGCCATCACCGTCGGTCAAGGCACGGTGCACGACGCCGTGGTGGCCGTCACTGTAGATCCCGAGGGTGCCATTCGCTCGCCGCGCAAATTCGACAATCTGCGTGACGCAGGCCCACGCTCAGCATTCATTGAGCTGGTCGAGAAGAGACAGCCGAAGGTGGTTGTTATTGGCGGTCTCTCAGTCCAGACCGGACGGCTACGCGACGACGCTCTGTCGGCTCTCAAGGAATTGGCCATGCGTGACTTGCCTGACGGCGTGCGCCAGCCTGTTTCCGAAAACTTCGACACGCATGAGGATTTCCAGGACGCCATGGCCGACTTTGAGGCGCATCTCCAGCGTTTCATGAAGCCCCTCATCTTCGTCAACGACGCAACGGCGAGGCTGTACATGAACTCGGAAGCTGCTGCGAAGGAGCACCCCGAGCTGCCACCCAACGGTCGCTATGCTCTTGGCCTCGCGCGGTACGCCCAGAATCCTCTGAACGCGTACTGCCGTCTCGGCCGCCGCATTGCCGATGTCACGTACATTGAGCACCACCAAAAGCTCGTCTCGACGGAGCGTCTTCTGACCCACCTTGAGCGAGGTCTGGTAAACTCGGTGAGCGCCGCTTGCCTGGAGGTCAACAGCGCCGTGCTCGACCCCTATACCCGCCACATGGTGCCGTTTGTGGCAGGACTTGGACCGCGCAAGGCCGACGTCCTCTCCAACGCCATTAACAAGCACGGGCCGCTTTTGAACCGAATGCAGCTGTCCGAGTACGGCACTTTCGGTCCGACCATTTTCGAGAATGTTGCAGGGTTCCTGTGCATCGACAATGACGTGAACGATTTCCGACTCGACAAGGATGACAGCCCGAGCGAGCAGGCTGAGCCCTTGGACATGACCCGCATCCACCCTGAGGACTACGAGTTCGCGCAGAAAATGTGCCAGGACGCGCTTGACCTCGACGCCGAGGACGTGGCCGACCAACACAAGTCACAGGTCGTCGTGCAGCTCATGCAGGACGCGGACCGTGAGCGGAAGCTGCAGGAGCTCAACCTTGATGACTTCGCATTCAACCTTCAGCGCCAGGGAGAAGGCAACAAGCGGCACACGCTCGGGGCCATCGTTTCGGAACTTATTGCGTGGCGCCAGGACCGCCGGCCCATGTTCTACGTCCCCAATGACTGGGAAGTGTTAACGATGCTCACTGGCGAGACGGAGCGAACGATCGGCCCCGGCTTGCGTGTAACCGCCACTGTCCGCCGCGCACTCTCGGGACGCGCATTCTGCCAGCTCGAGACGGGCCTTGACGCCGTTCTTGAACGCGAGTACGTCTCCGACGACCCGATCAACTCTGTCGACGAGGTGCTCAGCCGCGGCCAGGCAATCACGGCTGTCATCCTTGAGCCCAATCCGGGGCGCTTCCAGGTGCGCATTTCTACGCGTCAGTCGGACCTGGTGCAGAGCCAGCCGTTCGTGCAGCCTTTCCGCAACGAGGAGTACAACGACACCTCGCGGCAGCAGATGGCAGAGGAGGCCGCCTCGCAGAAGAGAGCGCGCAAGGCTGGGTCAGTCAAGCGAGTAGTCAACCACCCCAACTGGCACGTCATGAACTCCGGACAGGCGGAGCAATTCCTCGCTGGCCAGACGCGAGGCGACGTCGTCATCCGTCCCTCGTCGAAGGGCCCAGACCACCTTGCAGTCACTTGGAAGGTTGACGAGGACGTGTATCAGCACATTGGTAAGCTGGACATTTGTCGACAGAGCTGACGACAGATGTGCAGGAGATCGACAAGCCGCATGAGCATGCTCTTGGCCGCATTCTCCGGATTGGGGGAAAGTACACATACTCGGATCTCGACGACCTGATCATCAACCATGTGAAGGCGATCGCGCGCAAGTTTGACGAGATGGTCGTCAACGACAAATACAAGCCTGAGGACGAGCTGGAGGGCTTCCTCAAGAACTACGTGCAGGCGCACCCGGGCCGTTCGAACTATGGTTTCTCGATTGACTCAGACCGGCCGGGTTACCTCAAACTCGCTTTCCTTAACAAGAGCACCAAGGACGGCGGTGTGATCCAGACCTGGCCCGTCAAGGTGCTGCCAGGCGCGTATCAGCTGAACAGCGCCGAGGTGCCGGGTGTCACGGAGCTCTGCAACGCCTTCAAGGCGCAGTACTCGAGCCGGCTGAGCGACCAGGGACAGGGCGGCAAGACGCCGGGTATCCGCGCGGGCGGGCGCACGCCAGGCGGTCGGACACCGGGTATGCGTGGCGCCGCGACACCGTACGGCCAGCAGGGCGGGCGCACGCCGGGATACGGCCAGGCGCCAGTGCAAGGCGCTGTGCCAGGTGGCAGAACGCCAGGCTATGGTGCACCCGGCTTTGGAGGTCGGACACCGATGCAGCGCCCTCCTCCAGGAGGTATTAGTGCATCAGGCGCTCCAGGCGGGCCCGGTGGGCCAGGAGGACCGGGAGGGCCGGGAGGGCCAGGCGGACCAGGCGGACCAGGTGGACCACCCAACTTCGGCGGTTACCCTCCGCCTCCGCCACCATCGCACTTCAGCCAGTGGGGCGGGCCGCCTCCCCCGCCTCCTGCGGCGGGTGGCGCGGGAATGAACCCCGAGCGAGCGGCCATGATTGCGCGCAACGGAGGGTATTAGTGTATTCGTAGCCCGTGGAGTAACATATAGCCTGACCATCCGATTCAGATGCATGCCTTAGCATATCAGTGACTGTCTACCGCAATTTGTCTAGATGCGGACGCCGAGAGCTCCTCCTAACCGTGCCGCACTTCTCATTTAACGTGACGAGCAGTCACATGCAATGCTACTAGTATACATACTCTATCTACCTCTTCCTGCGGCTCCTGTGTGTCGCTTGCCTTCACTAAGTCTTGCCGCGCTCGGCTAGTCACGGTGATGCCGTCCTCCACCTCCTCCTCGTGGTCCGTCACCGCCACCTGCTCCCCTCTGTAGTCCTCCGCGATCACCGGGTACTGCGTCGTTCGGGCACTGGTTCGCAAAGTGTCCGTACTGGTTGCACCGGAAGCACAAGACCGAGCTGAGATCCTTAACCCAGCCACCGCGCCCTCCACCGCCGCCACCACCACCACCATCCTCTTTTCTAGCGTGGTTGCTGAGGAAGCCGCCGCTGCGCCAGCCCTGCAGCGACCCGCCCTCCTGCCACGCCGGCGCGGGCACAACGACGGCGTTCGGGTCGTACCGGTACTCGCGCCAACGGCCATAGCCTGCTGGCAGCTGGGGCGGCGGTCCAGCTTTCGTCGGATCGGGTGCCGGGGGATTGATGTAGGCCTCGGGTTTGGGGAGGTTGGGGGATGGACTGGTGTCAGCTGTCGCCGTCTATCTGGCGGTATACTCACTGAGCATTGGCACAATCTGGGCCATCGAGGCAGAAGCCTGCGAGGTAGGCCTGACAAAGTGTTCTCCGGACATGACGGCGTGGACACTCGGGACCCAGTCGGCAGAACCCGCGGTTGTAGTCGGGACACTCGACACGTCTGTCGCGAGGGTGATAGTAGAGGCATTCTCCGCCGAGCTCGCACTTGCCCAGCTTGACAAACCACACGCACACGGGCATGGTGCGCAAGTTCCAGTCGTGCGTGTACTCGCAGTTGTCACCGACTTTACACAGGTTGCGGAGGTAGTGCTTGCAAACGGTGGTCTTCTTCTCGCGCTCGCGGGGATGAGTGGGGAGTGGTGGAGTTGGTTTGAAGTTGTTCGGCGCAGGGGTCGTGTGTCGCAGGGGACAGAGGCCGGGTCCGAGAGGACATCCAAGAGGCTGCAAATTCATACGACAGATCTGGTCGTCTGCAGTCAGTACACATTCAGAAGAGGGGAAGAGACCGATGGGAGGGGGTAACATACCGGAATCAAGCTTCATGCCTCGCTCTTGCTTAAGATACTGCTCAATGTCGAGGTTGACCTGATGAAAGTCGGGTCGCACGAAGTCGGCGCTACGCCCGAGCACAGACGGCGCTTGTGCTATTTGCTGCTGCTGCATTGCGGCCATTGCGGATGAGAGAGTGAGAGAAAGAGTTGTGATCTGTCATCACCGTCGAGCGTTCTTCTGTTGGCGGATCCGAGACGTTGGGTGGCAATTTGCTTCCGCTCACGTGACCAATCGCTGACTGTGCTGAGTGTCAGTGGCCACTGCTCGTACTGCTGCACACTCATCTACACTGACACCGCGCTGGAACTCTCAACGCAATGATTCTCAAGGTTCGCGTGAGTAATCATGAGAGTTTCCTTTGGGCTCCTAAAGCGCTCATGAAGGAATACGGTGGAGAGGAGCAATGGGAGTCGGTGGGGCTGATATGTGGCGCCTCGCGTCGCGTCGAGCAAGGACGGAGGAATAAGGCTGACATCAGACTCTTACCGGCAAGGAGGTCAGCTCAGCTCATTTTATGGGGAGCTAATCACAGGTTGAGATCGACGTCCAGTCTGAATGGCCGGTGCGTCGCTCCGGGCTGCGGGGTTCTGATGAGCTGACACCAGATCTCGAAGGTTAAGGAATGTGTCGAGGAGAAGGCGGCCATCCCACCTGTGCAGCAGCGTCTCATCTTCGGAGGCAAGGCAATGTGAGTTCAGAGCTCGCTTCGATACGTCGATATGGACACGCGGGAGAGGGAGTTGTGGCAGGGCTGGCTGCTGAGAACCGCCGAGCTGCGGCATGCGGTTGGCATAACTCTCGGCCCCAACCACTACCGCACACAAGCTCTGGACTTGTCCGCGGCGAATTAGCTAGGGATGAGAGGGTGCAGGCAATGTGGCGGTGTTGAGGGGAGATGTCATGGCGGCGCTATGCGCTGCGCTGAGGAGCAACGCAGGGGCCTCCTGGGCGGCTGACCTGTGCGCGCTCTAGTGCTGGCGGCCTACTCGCTGACTGTAATGTTGGACAAGGTGCAGCGCATCATAACTGTGTGCGAGAGTCACTGGCATGTGCAGGGGAACGCTTGGCAATGGCGGCACGTTGACGTTGTCTCGTCGCGTGCGCCCATCCGGGGTAGCGTCCTTCGACGCTTGTGCAGTGATAGGGGTCGCGCATATCGAAGCCGGCACTTGGTCCTATGGAGCCGGCGATGCCGAGCCCTCAGACGAGCGTTGCGCCGTGGGCATAGACTCCAAGCAACGCTGGACATCACTGGGCACAGTGTGCACATGTAGGGCCTGCTGATGTTGACGCATTATTGATCCTCGCCTCGTGGTCTCTCATTGTCTCTCGTCTCATGTCCGCCACGCGACGCCCACAGTCACGCTAACCAACAGGGCCGACGACAAGACGATCCAGGACTACAAGATCTCACCCGGGACAACTATCCACCTCGTGCTCGCCCTGCGCGGCGGCTTGTAGACCACCTAATGCCCGGATGCACGTCCGACCTACGACCATCACCATGTAAATGATCAAGCGCAACAGAATTGATGTGCATGAGCCGAGCAATGAGACTGTGTGACAGGTGGATGCAGATTCAGAGGAAGCGCGGATTTGTTATCTGTGGGAAATGGCGTCGTGAGTCAATTATGATTTGCGGGCAAGTCATCGGCGAGTGAGGCGAGTGAGTACCCGACATTCCGGCCGACTCGATAAGTTCTGGCGTCCACCTTTCATTGTTGTCAGTTCTCCCATCTCCCAACTCGGCTCTTGACCCCACCTCCCTCTGTCTCCTCTCCTTCTCTCCCCTCCCCTCCCCTCCCCCATCCTCCGAAATGCGCGCAGGCCTTGTCCGGGCGACGCGCTTCGCACGCCCGCGCGCTCCAAACCCAGCCCCGTCGGCATACCTCGGCCGTCTCATCTCCAACTACGGACACCGACTACGCAGTCTTGAAGAAGAGGACATCGGGCAAACTGATGCGGTGAGCAACATGACTTGGGGCAAGAGGTGCAAGCATGAGGGCAAGAGCAAAGGTGGCAAGATTGAGGGAGGCAAGGCGCAAGTAGACAAGGTCGTGGAGGAACGGTGGGAGCGAGGGTCGCGGGCGCAGCGAGTGAACGCCTTGCACGTCGCTGAGCCCAGCTGACAGCAGGAATTTGTCATGAGCATTCTCCAGGCGTCGCCGAGCATGCGTGACTCGCGGGGGTACATCGCGTCTTTCGCGCCGCCAACGGCGCCGCCGGACATGGAGCAGCTCCCAGGCCCGACCTCGCCCTCTGACGCCGAAGCGGCCGCGAACCCACTCGTGAACAGCCTTTTGAACCCAATAGTGCGTCGCCCGGCGCTCGTCAAGATCCAGGGGCCGTTCAAGGACCACCAGCTGGCCTCTGTCGCGCGCGGTGTCCACTCGCTGCAGATGCTCGGGCTGGTTAGCGTGGTCGTGATTGACCGGGACGACATTCCGCCATTCGAGCCGCGCGACTCCATGGCCGCCGAGGCACAACGCACCATGATCCTGCGCGATGTCGAGCGCACCGTCCACTTCCTGACGAAGGCGCATGCGGCCGCTCGCCCCATCCTCGCAACTGTCGCGCGCATTACAGACTCTGGGGACGTGTACGTCGAGGCCGAGGGTCTCGACCACGTGCGGCGCGCCGTGCAGGAGGGCGAGATTCCGGTCCTCCTGCCCGTTGCACTCGACGACGGATGCCGCGCCCGTCGGATCAGCGCCAACGCCGTCCTTGCCGCTCTCGCCGAAGCCATGGCTAACGAGGCGCCTGCACCTCCCGCAGCACCCGCCACCGCCCGCCCAAAAATGGACTTGACTCCGGCGCGTCTGCTCATCATCAACCGCGAGGGAGGTATTCCCAGTTACGCGCGCGCCGGTCTCCCGCATCTGTCAATCAACCTTTCCTCAGAGCTCGAGTTTATCGAGCGCACCTGGCAGCCGAACTGGGCCTACACGCACCCAACCGCGCTCAGCAACCTCGCGTTGGCCGACACGTGTCTCACGCACATGCCCAAAGACGCCAGCGCTCTGATAGTATCGCACCGCTCGCCGACGGCCCTGATAGCCAATCTCATCACCAACAAGCCCGCGCACTCGGCCTCTCTCCCTCACGCACTGCTCACGCAGTCCGAGGGCCGCCTGAGCCCCGACACGCCGACGCTTGTGCGCCGCGGTCTTCCCGTCCGCATCCTCCGCTCCGTCGACGAGATCGACAAGCCCAAACTCGCCACCTTGCTGAACAAGAGTTTCGGCCGCGTCCTCGACGAGGAAGCGTACTGGGCCCGCCTCGACGCTGACCTCGACTTCGTCATCGTCGTCGGTGACTACGCAGGCGCCGCTGTCGTTACCACCGAGGGCAAGCGCGACGGGCTCGCCATCTGTTACCTGGACAAGTTCGCCGTGCTGCCCAGCCACCAGGGCGACGGCACCGTCGACTTCCTGTGGGTCGCGTTGCGCGACGAGACATACGGCCTCGGCCTGCTCGACGCTGCCAACCCGTCGGTGGGCAGTTTGTCGGGTGTCGGCCGCGGTAAGGACCTCGTGTGGCGCTCGCGCGCAGACAACCCCGTCAACAAGTGGTACTTTGAGCGGTCGAATGGGTTCATGACGAGCACCGACGGCAAGTGGAAGCTGTTCTGGTGCGATGCGGAGCAGCGCATGCGCGAGATCGCGCTGGAGAGCGGAGGTGTCGTGCGCGTCGTGGAGCCCACTGAGAGCGGGCGTACGGCCGCGTGGGCGCCAGCTATCGAGAGCATCAAGTCGGTCTGGGCAGACTAAGGCGCGTGAGCGACAAGCGCGACGCAGCGCTTGGGTGGGAAGGACTACGCTCTGATGCTGTTGATGCGCCGTATGAGGCGGGAAAGCGCCAAGAGCGCTGGCAGTACATGTTTGTAGATATAGATGAGCCAACATAGAATACATCGCATGCAGAAGTGCCATATGGATACTCGAAGATCATGCCCACATCCCAATTGGGCATGGGCGCCAGTCCTCGGCCTTGTGCCATCCCGGGATCTCCTCCCCGCCCGCAATCTCCTCGCGAGACTCGACCTTGTGCCGAAGCTTGTCTTCAAGCGCGTCGAGATTGGCCTGCATCCTCTCGAGCGCGACGTCAGGGTTTACGTCATCGTCGACATCGAGCCCCTCGAGCCCCTCCTCCTCTTGCTCTGGGAGCAGAGCTTGGAGCTCGGCCAACCCAGCGCCGTCGAGGGCGCCATACACGCGCTTCAGTCTAGCGTCAGATGGGCCAAAGGACCAATAGCCATCCAACTCACACATCGTCGCCGTGCACAAGCTCACGCGCGAGGCGAGCGAGGATGTCGCGCTTGGCGTCTTCTGGCACGCCGAGGTCGCCACCCTTCCAGAAGTGAAACAGCCACGTCCCCAGAGTCCAGCGGTACGACGCAAGCTCCTTGGTCTCGGCTTCGTTCAACTGCCGGTGCCGCGGCGCGGTCTCCAGGAGAGCCGTCGCCAGGGTCTCGGCCAGGACAGAGGGAGTGCTTTCGTGCAGGCTCATGAGGTGGCTTAGAAGCGGCGTCCACACGAGGAGCGCATCAGCAGGCGGCGCGGTAGCCTTCTTTCCAGGACGCTTCCTGCCGTCAGCTCAACAATGCTCCGCGCGTAGACATACTTGCGAGCAACTGGCACCAGACCGGTCCGCACAATTGCTTCGACGGCATCCTCGAGGTCCTCGCCCTCAAACTCGCGCCGCAGGCGTTTGATTGCCCGCCCACTCGCGCTTTCGACGGTCACATCGCGCGTGCGCACCCGCTCCTTCATGACCTTCTTCCACCGTCCCACCAACGCTTCGGATCGCTCGCGCCGCCCCCAGCCCGCCTCTGCGCCGTGGTTGAGAATCGGCACGAACGAGTACGTGTGCAGGTACGCCAGAGCATCTTGGAGGGCACGGTGGAGATGCGTGAGGGGCGGAAGATCTTCGTGCGTCGCGCGATGGCGGAGCGATACGAGACCGGGCGGCAGGTTAAGCTCCGCGGCCAGGTGGGAAATTGGGCGCGCGAACCCGCCTGATGTTAGTCGAGGACGGTGGGGGGCTCACCTGTTTGAAGGGGGTCTACCATGCCATTAACGAAACGGATGAGGGCCAACGCGTACACCATGCGTTGGGAGTGCGATTGGGACAGAGGTGGGGGATAGGGCAGCGAAAGGGCGGAAACAAGAGCGTGTAGAATGTGCATAAAAGCTGGGCAGGAAGGAGAGGAGATGTAGACGCTCATCTGCGGTTAGCCGGGGTGCGTAAAGCCATTTTGTCCGGGTGAGGATGGTCAAGAGGCGCCACGTTAAGGTGGATGGCGGATAGGGCCCAAAGGTACCAGGATAGCACTCACCCTCGACAGACCTGCAGCGCGACTCTCATCATTTGCGGCTGGCGAGAAAAGGAGGTCATATAGCTCGGCCAACTCGGCCTTGGAAGACCACGGGACGCGGCGTGGTTGACGCATGGCGGTAGGGGGGATGAGTAAGAACAAGAGCGAGGATCGAAGTGACAAATATGATGAGGTTAGGGCCTCCTGCACTTTCTTGTCTGGTGTCCACTCGGCCCGCCGACGACGAGCAAGGTGGTTGTGATGGTGCGCAAGAATAGAGTGATGGTGGACAGTGCAAGTGGAGGCTCAGGCAAAATGTTGGTGCTCAGTGCCTGGAATTTGGTTCCTCGAGGGAATATCTCTAAACAGCGGCGTTTCATGGTGTGGACTCAACCATCCAACTCGACGTCTAGTGATACATATCTCGGGCTCGTAAGTATGACAGCGACAATTCAAGCCTCTCGCGCTCAGCAGGTTCCACATGATTGAGAGGGATAGAGGGTGGCAATTCGGCGCTCAACAACCATGCACTCTTGTCCCAGCGGTTAGGGTCGTCGCTCGCGAGCGTGAGCAGGAGAGAAATGACGCCGGACGCGAGGAATAGCCAGCCCATTTCGAGGAGGCTGATGTCAGTTTAAGTGTACAAACATGACATTCCTCACAGAACGTGCGTCTTCTGATGGCCGAGGGGCGAGTTTTTATAGCTCCAAGCGGGGAGGATGCCGAGGAACGAGAGCGCAATGTGGACCTTGTTCTTGAGAAGGACATGGTCGTACTGTCGCCTGATGGCTGCGCGGACGTACATGGCCACAAGTAGGCTAATGAGCACAAAGACCCCGGTGTTGAGCGCCCACAAAAACGTTGTAGCGAACACGCCGGCAATGAACTCGGCTGTGCGCTCGCCCAACGCGCGCCGCGCATCCGGCTCCGTGATGAGCTGGTAGAGAGCCTGCGGGACATGTTTGGGGCCCTCGCGGAAGAAGGCGCCAGCTAAGAGGGATGAGTTGATGAAGATTATCGCGTGCAGCCAGAGCTCGAAGACGAGCCCCCCGCGTGTGAGCACCTCGAAGCGCCAAACTTGCACCTCTGGTGTGGGAGAGGCGAGCTCGTACATGCTCTGCTGCCAGCGATAGGTATCGTGACGCGTGTGGACGTAGCCGATAGTGTGGGCGGCAGTGAGCGTGATGAGAATGGAAAGAGTCTTATTTCTGCCGTCAGCGCGCTCAACGCGCAGCATACATAGATGTCGACACGTTGACTGGTTTGTACTGTGTCTTGATGACAAAGTTCCGATATGGCCCATCTCTGAAGGGAACCAGGTAATATAGGTGGTTATTCAGTGTGGTCGGGTGGAAGCACAAAGCGGCCGCGCCCACCGCGCCCACCGCGAGCACCACGACGTTCCTCCCTGTGCTGAGGTGCGGGCTGTGCCAGCGCTGGCGGTACACCAACACGGCCGCGCGGAGGAGGTACCACAGCAGCGGCGCGTAGAGAATGTATAAGGGCGCGTAGAGGATGTATAACGGCGCCCAGTCCGTTGCCCGCGGGTCTTTACTGCCTGCTGTTAATGTTGAGCTCTCGTAATGAATGCACGGAATTTCACGTCTCGACAGAGGATGATGTTGGCTATGACCTGGGCTGCGGCGAGAAGAGTGATCAGAGCGTGTGCCGCGAACCAGAAAGCGCCGGCGCGAGATGCTGGTGTGATGAAGAGGACGATTCGCGGACTCATGATCGATGTGGGAGGTGAGGTGGGAGACAGAAGCAACATATGGAGACGGCGTACAGTAGAGATATGTGATCGGGCGACTGATCCTGCCGGCAGCGTTGTGCCTGTCGAAAGCTGTCCGTCAAGATGGCGGATCAAGATTAGGCTGCACACCCGGAGCCGACGCACATGTCGTTCTGCTCGCTGCTCGGAAGCATGCCAAGGCTCGGCGCCACGGACACGGATTCGGGGCAGACTGCCTGATGATCTGCCGATTTGCGCACCTCGCAACGGCAAGGCCAGGATTCCACGAACACAAGATAAGAGACAAGATTAGATGACTACATGAAGATGATGCTGCGAGACAGGCATGGCATGGCGAAGATATTTCGTCTGGCTATTGGAGCCCAGTGGCCGGCGACGTAACGCGATGACGGAAGTGACAAAGTGGTGGTATTGTTGTACGCGCTAGGAGTTGTACGTCGTGGTTGATGTGAGTGTTACAGGAGAAACGGCAGGACCGGTGGAGTTCCGATATTTGATGAATGAAAGCATAATGCGTGAACCGTATCACGGAGGAAGCCAGACAGGGTCGACAATGAGATGACGCACTCTGGCCGGCCAGAACGCTGCTCAACTTCCAACGGCGCGTCCAGCAGGGTTATTGCTGTGCATTGCGGATCCGTGGGAGTCATTGGGTAGCAGCGTACGGGTGATGTTGAGTTGCCTGCGACATCATAGCGAGACACCACAGGCATTCATGAGGCCCCCGCTGCGCGCAGCTCTCTTAGCCGGTTCCGGATGCAACTGGAGTTAGATGCGTCGGCGTGTTTACTCACGTCGATCGGAGCGAGGTGTTGCTGGCTCTCCAGGGCGGCCTGCTCTCCCTCACGCCCAAGCCATTCGGGGTAGCGCATAGCGACGAGATAGTTTGCTAAGTGCGTCTCGCCGTCTGGGCCGACGAGTCGCGCAATCTCGCACAGCGCGCGCGGCACGTCGTTGCGGAAACGCTCCAAGCCCACCACGGTGACAACGGTGTGCGGGGCGGCGGGCTCGCCGTCGGGTCCAGGAACGCCCCAGTGCCCGCCGCTGCCGTTGAAGAAGTTGCGCACAAGGTGGTAGATATACTGCACGACAGTGAGTGCAAATGCGGGTGGGATGAATGGTGACTCGGCATCGAGGACCACGATGACTTCCCGACACCCATGGCCAACGCGAGGGCGGATCACCCACGGGTAGCGCATGGCATCGAGGGGAACATGCACGATCACGCGCCGCATGTTAGGGCTCGTGATGGTCATTTGTGGGGGCCACTTGGCACGGAAGTCCAGATACCCCACAGCAGTGGGTGCCTGGAGTTTGGTGAGGACGTCCTCGGCCTCGTGTCGCCCGCCGAGCTCGCGGCGGCGCATGATCAACACGCTCTCAGCGGGAAAAAGAGCGATGAGATGTCGCAACGCCTCCATCTCGGGACGAACGTGCACGTCAACGATGCGCATGGCGCGCACACTCGCAGTCCATGTGTCGGCTGAGAGGCGAAGCAGAGTCTGGTGCAGCTTGGGCACGAGGAATGGGAGACGGCGGTGCGGCGATTTTGGTTCGACAAGCACGACTACGGGGGGGTCGTAGGACGGGTCTAGGACGACGGCGACATGGTGAAAGAGTCGGGCTTCGGCGAGCGCTCGGACCCGTGATGAGACGGGGCGTAAGGACAGGAGGGTGTCGCGGTCCGCGCATGCCACGACGGCCTCAAGCAGGTGCGGGTAGGCGCCGTAGTCGAGAGCTACGGACATCGTAGTGCGAGGAAGTAGTGGTAAGGGGGATATGATGAGATGAAATGGGAAGATGCCAACAGAGACATGTGATGATGTGATGGAGCAGAGATCAACTGGTCGGCCCGGTTGAACGCCGCCTCGATTGATTCCGGTTGATCTGGTAATCAACCGACGCTGGCTCTTAGCCCATCTGTGTCTGCTGTCTACTCAATTCCCATGGACAGCAGTGTTGCTGTACATGTTGCACATGAATACCGCGCTTTCAGCGGCGCAGTCCTTGCTGGCACAGCGCTGCGCATCATCAAGGACAGCGAACGGCTTCGGCTCCAGCCCTGCGACCCCTTGCATCAGACCACCGGCAGCCCAACCTTTGCTCCTAGGTTTCGCATCGTCGCTGTGGCAGTGCTCCTCGCCATTGTAGGTGATGGCGGAGGATTGCGTTTTCCTCACACGGAGCGAGGCACGCGGCACCGGGAGGCGTTGCTCGCTCGTATTTGAAGCAGCTGCGTTCAATAGCGCGCGCCTGTCTTTCGGGGCTCTGGACCAAACTCCATCGCAGGCGCGCAACCCGTCAGCCAGTCCATCAGTCAAGTCGGGTGAACGTCATGTCGAGCCATCATTCTCACTCTCAGCCAAGCCGCTTTGCATTACCCAAGTCGCCAGCACTCGCGTCGGACACCATTGTTCTCATCTTGGTGATTGATAGGCTAGACTCACACCCGCGCCCATCTGCGAAACAGCTGATAGCTCTTTACATCTTCTGACGCATTATCCTGGCCTATTACGACTAGACGCAGCTGCCCTTTACGCAGTTTTTCCCTACCTCGCACTTGTTGTAGCAGTCGCCGCAGTGGTTATTGTCATTCTCGTTGTTGACGCAGAGGTTGGCGCACATCCTCTGGTCAGGCGGGCACTTGACGCACGCGCCCTCGCGGCACACCCGGAAGGCACCCTCGAGTTCGTCACACTGCGTGAGCTACCCCACATCGGAGTTAGAGTCCACAAATTGCTTACCCAGTTATAGCATGAGCCGCAGTGGTGCGAGGTAATGTTGCGGTTGACACATTCAAAGTCGCACCATACAAAGCCCGCCGCGCGCTCGGCGGGCGTTCCGCACGGATTCTCGTCGCGCGGGTAGTCGGGAGAGCTGGGGTCGTTGGAGCCGGGCGTGTACGGGTCCCTCTGGGGCAGGGCGTGAGCGACGGCAGCTGGGGTTAGCCATGTGGCTGGCGGGCAGAATCCCGGTTGAAGGTGATACTCCGCCTGATCTACTCACCAAGGGTGACGACGAGGGCAGCGAGGGGGGAGTAGACCATGATTGACTAAACGTGGGGGGATAGCCATGTCCCCCACCTCGCTTTATATCTTCATGGCAAGGACCCCGCTTTTGATCTGATGAGAATGAGACCAGACGGGCACCGCAGGTCGCACTGTCCGGCATAGAAAGCCGCTGCTGATCCCACCAGCCTTTCAAGTCGCTCGGCAACTGTATTAGATAACGGACACGGCATGCAATCTCGGCCCTGGAGATAATATGTGCCCAGACCGCGTTCCAGTGATGCGATAGTAATGTGGGTGCCTGTCCCGGTCGCCATGCCGACATGTCTCTTCGCGCACTTCCGCGTCGACTGACCACACGTAGGTGGAGGTGTGAAGCGTGAACCGGGTGTCCACGAAGTGGACTGAGCAGCAGCGGAGCCGGACCCAGGGCGCTCTGCGATGAACCGATGACTGAAATGCCAGGTCGCATGGTGCTTGAGTACATGCGTCACGGATACTGCCTTCCATCGGCCAGATCTGACCTCCCTTCCCGCGAGCCCCTGGCGCAGGCGACTGAGTGTCTCCATGATATAGCGCTCACGGCTTATAAGGAGGTTCCCGCTCCTCCAGCCTACCAGCTGCTCAGTATCGTCGCCAAGCTCAGATTGTGACACACAACCTCTCCTCCGACGTCCGCCGCACTGCCACAGTGACAACATGTTCCTTCCTTATGTAAGTAGGCATGAAGCGGCGTCCCATTGATGACTCACGTCTCAAACTATTGCGACACTCTTAGAGTTTATGGACCGTTCAGCCCTCCTTGACCCGGCACGCGGCATGCACGTCGTAGACGCTCTCGCAGCGCAGACCGTCGTTGGTCCAAGAACCGCCAACGCGCAGGACAAATCGGTGCTGCGCATCTTCCGTTCGTCGCATCGGCCGCTTAGCTCAGCTGGTTAGAGCATTGTACTAATACGACGAGCGTATTAGCCTGATATGCAAAGGTCGGCAGTTCGATCCTGTCAGTGGTCAGAAAGCGTCTCTTTTGGCTCCATGCATGAGCTTGGTCGCGGAGGAGGTTGATCTGACCCTGTACTGAAGGCGGGGAGTGTCCGGGCCTCAGCGGAGCTGTTGGTGGTGATTGGAATGGCTAGTGGCGCTATGTTGCGTGGCATTCCGCGCTCCATGTGTACCGTCTACCGGCGAGCCATTGTGACATTGGGCCATGCCGATCAGCCCTCAAGAGCTACCGCGGCAGGCCCCGCCTGCACCAGTCGTTTGGCGGACATGCCTCGGCCCGCACGCCGCCACGAAGCAGCCGGGCTAAAGACTACGGGGGTTGAGCAACTTGCACCATCTCCCTTTGCTCGCGCTTCCTGGATGTGTTCAAATCAAGATAGGTCCAAGCAAGACGAGCCCATCGTCCTCCTCGCCCACATGGGCCACTCGAGGACAGTCATGACGGACTGCGGAGTTGTCGGGGAGGAGAGTGAGCGGCGGCCGCGAGATCGGGCCTGGTCCGCCCGTACGAGTGCGTGCAGTGCATGCCATGTCGCAAGTCCCCAACCATGCACCGACGACCATGCACCGAGGGTACCGACTCAGCCGACGTCACCCTGTCCGCGACACGGCGACGTCCCATCGCACGACTGCCAATCGCTGCATCGCTGCCCACCGGCATGGCGACTTCGTCAGCCACACGTGATGGTGACGATTGGTGACAACCCGTGACTACCTTTTCCCGAGATCCAAAGGACGGCATGTACAATGTGATGAATGATATGAGCAAAGCGGGTTGACCGCTTTTCGACGCATGCTATGTGTGATCTGTTATCCTGTGCGACCCTAAACTTCGTGCACTTCTACCAGCTACCAGACTGGCGTTAGCTCGGTGCCAACTGCTGATCACCGATCGCCCACCGCCCACTTCCCACCGTCCGCTATCGCGACTCACAACTTAATGACACCTCGTTGCTCGTGTATGGCAAGTGCGGGGACGTGACCAGCTCACCCCACTCGCGCCGCTGCCAGTCGTCCTCCCACTCCTGGAGTGTCATGCAGGCCACGTGCTGCGCGACGTCCACGCCATACCGCTCGGAAATGTAGCTCGCAAGTTGTCGCAAACACTGCTGTGCGAACATGCCAGCTGTCGCTGCGTCCGCGTCGGGATGTAACCCCTCCAGCCCAACTATTGTGATACGTGGCCGCGCGGCGCTTTTCCCGCCGGTGGGGAACGCTTCGGCCACCCCTGCGCCGAGGTAGAAGCCTAGTTCGTCCCTCAACGTCGACAGCGGCAGTTGCTCGTCCGGGTCGGGCTTCTCCACAACAATGTACGCGTCCGAATTAGGAGCCGCGAACAGGTCCACGATGACTGGTGTCTCGTCTCGCCCTACTGGCCGGTCGGGCCATGTCAAGTGCACCACTGCTGTGGTGGAGGGCGCGGCCCGCACGGTAAATGTTGTGTCCTCTTTCGTCATGATGGGGAAGTTGGCCACCGCCACGCCTCTGGATAAGGTGGGAGCGCCGTCCTCGGCATCGGCAGCAAAGGGGGCTTCGGAACGCCATGCGGATACATCTTTGAGGAGGTTTACGACTTCTTGGACGCACGGACTTGGACGGGGGCCGTAGTAGTCGACGGCCTGGATGAGTGCGACGCGCTCCGGTGATGGGGTGGAGGAAGGAAGGTTGGGGAGGAAGTGTGCAGAGTCCGGAGTGCACATGACGAACCCGCCGGGTCCGACTGCAATGCCGACGCGGTGCTTGATCTTGTTGATTAGGGGTGTTGAGGTGGACGGGCTGATGAGAGCAATGTGGGCGAAGAGGCGGGCGTCCGCCTTAGCGTTGAAGGCCTTGTTGACGCCGCGCAGTGCCATCAAGCCCTCGTGATCAGCGAGAGCGAGCACACGGTCTAGGATATGAGGGAAGCTGGGCCCGTCGAGCGCGGCCCGGGTGCACAGGACATCGATTTCGGTAATGATCGCGTGGATGCGGCCTTTGACCGCAGTCGGGGAATGGCGCTTGTGCTTGCGCGGATGCGTCTCCTCAACGAGAGCGAGAATGTCGTAGACTTCTTGCAGCTGATTCCTGATTGAGGTGAACGCGGGGTCTGGTGTCAGCCATGCGATGGGTGGGAGGCGAGTAAGGCCGAGGGTTATCGACAGAGGGTGGAGGGTGGCGAGCAAGCTCACATTGTGTTGCGGACATATTTGAGTGGGAGGAGGAGCGGGAGCGAGATCGAGAGCGAGGGAGGGAGGGAGGCCGGACTGGAGCGATGGGAGAACGAGAGAATCTAGATGGAAGTTGAGGCATCGTGTCGAGGAGAGCGAGGAGGAGGAGGAGGAGGAGTGAGATGAGTGCGAGGATGCTGCTGTGGTGGAGAAGCTTGGGTGGTGTAGAGTGACAGTGACAGGTGACGGCCTCGGGCGCCACCCAAATTTGGCCCCGCCCCTTGGCGGTCCTTCGGTTACATACCCCCGTCAGCCCGTCAGGCCCGAAGCATACGACCCCCGACACGCGCAAGACACGCGGAGGACACGCGATCACCGTTAATGAACGCGCCTGACTTGTGCTCTGTGCGCTCTCGACAATCGAAGCTCTGTAGGATCGCTCACAACCCGAGAGCCGCTTGCGCCTACTCACGTTTTGACTAAGAGTATGTGCAAGCAATGGTCTGCGCACTATGCCTGCGGCTACTCTACAAGTCCCAGATGAGTGGGGCTAGCTCCGACCCAAAGACCCACAAAGAAGAGAGGCACCGAGCCACGAAAGAGGCTTCACAAAAATGGCGCATTGACCATTCCTTCCGTTGGACCAGCCGTTTGTGCGGGTGACCGTCATCTCTCGCGCGACCCAGGCATGTCGCGGGGGTGAGGCCGAAAAACCGCGCGGCAAGGCGTCGACACACAGCAATACAACGCCGAGACACGGCTCGCTGCGGTCCGAAGAACGAGGGCGTCACCAACATGGTCGAAGAGGTAGTGGGGCTAAGCGATGGACGCAGAGAGGAGGCGCCTCAAGGCCCCAACGACTAGGTAGCGGAGACGTAGTATGTCCTCTGGCTGCCATGCAAGCCATACGCTTGAATGGAGGTTGGAGATACCCCGGTATCTCGTCGCGCCTAGCGACTTATCGTGCCCGGCAACGGGGTTGGCCTCTCCCCTGTTAGCCGAGGATGCACTGGCTCCGCTTCCTCTTCCGGGGCGTTAGCGGGTGGGGGAAGAGCTTATGGATGGTCACCTCGTCGGTCTCGCCTGGACTTGCCACTCCGATATGCGAGATCGAGTTGCAGGCGAATTGGGGTAGATGCGAGTGGACCGAACAGGCGAGTATCAATGGCTCCTCGCTGCCATAATCGCACTTGGGTACTCGGCTCGTTGGCGGCAGGCGGATCACCGGCTTCGCACGATTCGTCCATCGGGCTCCAACAGTTCCTGGCTCTACACCCGTGTGCTTCGCCGTACTTTTCGCATGGGAAGAGGCCATATTGGGCGATGACGTGAGCGGTCGTTTGGGGCTCTTGTCACTGATGGCCGAAGGTGGTCGGATGTTTCGGGGTGGCATGGAGAGGACGTGGGCGTGGAGACGATTGACGGAGACGATCAGCGGCGAAACGGGGCATTGGTGGACCCCGAGCATGACGAGAAGCTTAGTGAGAAGGCGAACAGAGGACGATGGTCGGAAGGTCATCGGATCCGCTTAGCCGTTCAAAGCCGCTGCTCTGCTCATCAACTTCGCCAAGAAAAAGTGCAAGACCCGATGCGTATGAGAACGAACCTCACAGGAGCAAGAGCTGGTAAGCGTCAAGGAGATGAGACAGCGACCGTCAGGTCAAATGTTAGGCAAAATCACGGTCAGCTATGAGTCACAGTCAATCAAGCGCCTCACGACAACGGGGCCATCGCTTCTGCCCCCGCTTGCCGCGCATCTCCGGATCGCCATCTGTCGCATCGATCCTCTCTACGGTCACCGAAGATTACTGCGTCGAGGGCATGTCCCTCTTTTCGCCTCCGCCTGCAGCCTCCGCCTGCAGACATACGCTGCTCCGCCAGCGCGAAGACCTCGGTCCTCCCGCTCGGCACTCGGCACGTACCGCCCGCCCCCCTACACCTACTTCATACTGCGCTTCTGCGCCTTGCGCATTTCGCGCTTCCTGTCGAGCTCGTCGGCGCGCTTCTGCTCCTTGTCAGACAGCTTGGCGCGCTCGGCACGCTTGCGCGCGGCACGCTTCTCCTCTGCCGTCTGCTCGGGCGGGTTCTCCTCCTCCTGTTCGCGCTTGTACGCCTTAGCCAGCGAAGCGTCCACGTCCTGGCGCGTGCGCACGAGCTTGCGCGCGACCTCGGGCTTGATGAGCCCGGGGCGCGTGACGAGGTCCGCGAGGTTGAGCGCTACCTGGACCCAGGCGTTGACGGCGTCGGCTTCGGCCTGGGACACGGGCTTGCGCACGCTGAGGAAGATCTCGCGCGCGCGCTGCTCGGGCTTGTACGGCCCGTTGGTGGGGCGCTTGGCGGGCGCGTCCGTGATGATCAGGGCCTTGAGGACGCGCGCGGCCGTCGCGTCAGCCAGAACTTCGGCGACGCCGACGTTCGGCGTCTTCAGGATCACATCCGTGATGTCGCTGTGCTCCGAAAAGAGGGCGTGCGTCGTGGGGATGGCGGTGGCCTCGTGCAGGCGAGGGAAGGTCTGGGTTAGGTGACGACGGGGGGAATGACTCACCAGGTCGAAGCGCTTCTCGCGCAGCTTGGCCATGCCGTCCTTGTTAACGACGGCCCACACGCCGGCGCCCTCGCCCTGGAAGCCCGAAGCGCCGCGGCCGAGCGTGAACTGGAAAGTGATGGTCTCGCTCGAGTCGGCGAGCGGGTCGATGAGTGCGTCGGCAGTCGTCCAAACCATCTGGATGAGGTCGTGAAACGGCTTGAGCTTGAGCGTGACGTGGGCTGCGAGGACGTTGCGGCGACCTGTAGCAAAAATGAGGTGCAGCGCAGAGCTCGACGACATCATCGGCTGCACCTTGGTGAACTGGTCCTGCAGAGTCGGGATGTAGGGTGCGAGGCTGGGGTCAGTTCAAGTCGAGGTGCTGAGGTGCTGTGAAGCCAAGGCAAGTCATCCTTGCCTGCCTGCCTCCAACCCGACTCACGCATTCTTCGCCCGGCCCATGTTGAACTGCTTCCCGAGCAAGTGCAGGAGAAGATACCCGCCGAGGATGGCGAGCATAAGCGCCTCAAACTTGAAGGCGGCGGGGCGGAACACAAACATCTTCCACTTGAACTCGAGGCCGTCGTACTCGCGCTGGAGCGGCGCGGGCGTCGCCGGCGTGATGGCCGCGAGGGCCTTGATAAGGCCGGACATTAGAGCCGGGGATAGAGTAAAGGAGGGTGGGGTGAGAAGGAGAGTGTATAACTGAAGAGGATGGAGATGTGGAGATGGATGAGGAGATCGAGGAGATTGAGACAGCGCGTGGTCACGAGGTCTCCATGGCGATTGGCCGGAAGACCCGGGCCGCCCTGAGCCGCCCACCTGCGGCCACCTGGCTGACCTTCGTTCCATCCCTTTCTCTTGTGGCGCTGACTACGCTGGCGAGCTGGCGAGCTGGCGAGCTGGCGAAGCGAGAGGCGGAGATGGCGCACTGAACACTGAAGGAAAGATATGCGATTGAATGCTCGCTGCCTGGGACCGCCGCTTAAGAAAGTTAGTGGTAATAGATAGTGCGCACTTCTGAACCGACACCTCCGACTCCGCATTGATAGTAGATCAATCACCCGCCCCCATTTGCATCTTCCACTATCTGCTACTGACTTGACCGACCCATTTGCGCTTAGGCAGAGGCCTCAGCCGAGCCAAGACGCGGGCCTACGTCGATAAGGTGCGTAAGGCGCTTGTTGGCGACCTTGACAGCGGTGTCGGTGACAGTGCTCTGGCGGCCACCAGCAAGCTGGACAGGCGCAGTGCCGTCCTGGAGGCCGAGCTGGGCGTCCGACCAGATGGGCTCGACGGGCGCGGCGCCGGGCGCACCAACACCAGCACGGCCGCCAGCAGCGACCCAGTCAGCCTGGCGCTTCAGGTTGAGCTCGTTGAAGACCGAGTCGACCGACGAGACGAGGTGCTCAACCTGCTCGGCCGTGTGGCCGGGCGTGGGGGTAATGCGGAGACGCTCCTCACCAACAGGCACAGTGGGGTAGTTGATGCTCTGAACGTAGATGTGGTGCTTGGCGAGAAGCATGTCTGAGGCCTCCTTGGCGAGGGCGGCGTCGCCGACGAGCACAGGCACAATGTGCGACGGGTTGGGGACGACGGGAATGCCGAGGTCGGCGAAGCGGCCCTTGACGGTGCGAGTGTTAAGCTGCTGGAGGCGACGGTCGCTCATGCACTCCTTCTGGTAGGCGATCGAGACCTGGGCGCCGGCGACAACGGCAGGCGGGAGCGAGGTCGTGAAAATGAAGCCCGGGGCGTACGAGCGGACAACGTCAACGAGGTCGGACGAGCCGGCAATGTAGCCGCCAACGACGCCGTAAGCCTTGCCGAGCGTGCCGGTAATGATGTCGATGCGGTCCTGGACCGAGCGGGGAACTGGGCTGCTCGACTCGCGAGTTGCGTAGTGGGCGGCAAAGTCGAGGTGCTCAGCGACACCGGCGCCCGAAGGGCCGTACATGCCGACAGCGTGGACCTCGTCGAGGAAGGTGATAGCGCCGTACTTCTCAGCGAGGTCACAGATGCCTTCGATAGGGGCGACCGAGCCGCACATCGAGTAGACCGACTCGAAGGCGATGATCTTGGGAGTCTCCTTGGGGACCTGCTGGAGCTTGGCCTCGAGGTCGGCGAGGTCGTTGTGCTTCCAAATAACCTTCTTGGCGTTCGAGTGGCGCACGCCCTGAATCATGGAGGCGTGGTTGAGAGCGTCCGAGAAGATGACACAGCCCGGGAGCTTGGCACCGATGGTGGCCAGGCATGCGTCGTTGGCGACGTAGCACGAGGAGAAAACAAGGGCGGCCTGCTTCCTGTGGAGGGATGCGAGCTCATCCTCGAGCGAGAGGTGGAGAGCACCGTTGCCGGCAATGTTACGCGTGCCACCCGCGCCAGCACCATACTTGTTCAGCGTACGCTTCATAGTGTCAAGGACGACGGGGTTCTTGCCCATGCCGAGGTAGTCGTTCGAGCACCACACATCAACTTCCACGGCGGGGTTGGCCGTGTGCGCAACGGGGAACTTTGCCGCCATGCGGTTAATGTTGTTGAAGTAGCGGTAGCTCTTGTCCTTGTGCTTCTTGTCGAGCTCGGCCTGGTAGAACTGCTCGTACTGGAAGGTGCCAGCAGGGCGCTCCGGGATGGGGTTGACCTCCTCCGACTTGGGAGGGCGCTGAGCGCCCATGGCGGCGGCGGCGCGCGCCGCAGCGGCGTGAGGGCACTTGGCAGCGGTGGTTCCAGCGGGGTCGAAGGCGATGTCCTTCTTCTACATGGTCAGCCATTGTTCTGTGCATTTTCGGCAGCGTCGCTCGAGAAAGACGGTCTGCGTCTGCTGTTCCCCGTTCCTCCGGCCTCCGAGGCAGGCACCCTGAAGAAAATGCTGACAGACAGACATTTGCTCCCGCTCCCTCTGCATGCGTGCCCAAGTCGCGACAAAGCTCACCTTGTGGATCTCCTCAACCTCGCGGTTGCCGGCGACGGAAGCGTAGCCGCGGCGGAGCTGAGGACCAAGCATAGGGCACTCGGCGGCCTTGTTGGTGAGGGCCGAGGCGCGGCCGTTGCTGCCGCCAACCTGAGCGAGGGCATTGAGGCTGGAGGCACTGTTGCGGCCGAGGAAGGGGCAGGCGCGCGAGTAGCGGAGGAGGGAGTTGACCTGCATGGTGCTTGAGGAGACAAGACTGGACAAGAAGATGAGAGAAGTGAGGACGTCTGAAGAGTGAGGAGCGGAGTGGCAGACGGGGATATGAAAGAGAGAGAGAGAGAGAGAGGAGGACGAGGAGGAGGGTGAGATGGTGGTTAATAAAAGGATGGCCTGCCGGGTGAAAAGGATCCACTGAGAGCCGGGGACGAGGTACGAGAGCAGAGGCCGGAGTTGGGTCAGGGATTGCCTCCCACCCTAGGCTCCCCTCATGCTGGTATCCGCCAGCCGCCAGGGGCTAGGGGGGGTGCAGGGGGATGGAACGATGGGCCAATGGGAGGCGAGGTAGATCAACTCGCTGTGCATCCACTCGCGTAAAGCATTATCCCCATCAGAGGCTGATGTGATTCGACACGAGCCATGCTCTAAGCAGGCCACTCCTCGAAGCTGCATCTGCTGCTCACATGATCATGGTTCGAATCGACCCATCATCCGCTACGCCCTCCTAGCCCTCCTAACCTCGTCCTCAACGCCTCTCCGCCACCTCAGCGCCCCGCGGCTACCATACTCCGCACCCGTTAACCGATCTCCCGTCCCTGCCCACCACTCTTGTAGTCTCCATCTTTTGCATGTATTCTCCATCATTTTGGGCACACGAGTCCAGCTGGCCAACTGATTCCACCACGCATCGCCCTTCTCTTGTTTGGCAGCGGGAACGCGCTGCGGGCCTGCGGGACGCGGAATCCGCGCCTGTTTCGGGGTCCGGTTACAAACGCCCACTCACCTCCGACATGCTAATGCAAACTCTCAAATGAGTCGCATCTGATACGCTCCACCACTACTAGTCCAGGGGGCGGGATTTCCGCTCCCCGCTGGTCTAGGGGGTGTTGCGGCTTCGCGTCCTCGTCCGTCACAAGCACAAGCGATCCCATCAACGTCAACACCCCTCATTCTCGGCACTTGCCGCCGGCATCGACGCGTCGCTTTCTGATCTCCACTTCCCGCAGCGCGTCTTGTCGTTGAATCGTGTGTGGCCGTTTAGGCTGCCTTCGTAACGACACACAACTAAGCGGCCCCACAAGCACATGCCCACACCTGTGCCTCGATGGGATTCGAGTTACTGCCAAGCGATAATGGAGGACTCTGCGGTCGTCTCGTTACGAGCCGCGGTGTGGGCCTCCGTGATCCCGTGGACGTCCGTGGCGACAGTCTCTCCGCATACACATCGCCACTCCGCATAATAACTCGCGGATTATACAGCGGCGCGGCATTGCATTTCGCGAGGCTCAAGGCCGCGGTCAGCTAGTGTCCGAGATCCGACCGGGTAAAGCTCTCGCTAGCCGGCCGGGACGCCACTGGCCATCGCCGCTCGCGGCGCCGGAATGTGGCTGTGAGGTGGGGGGTGCATTTGCAAGCTGCAAGCTGCAAGCTGCGTGCATGGCAGCGATTGTAGGCTGAACACTGTGTCAGTGGCACGATGATGCTCGTCTCGTCTCATGTCTGCCACAAGTCGCACCAGCCTTTAAACAGCTTCCAATCACGCATCGTGACCCGGTTCCTAAGTTGTTATCTCAGAATAGACCGCGTCGGCCGCAACCCATCGGCCCCGATTGAATCCAGTGGAGCACATGCCTGTTGCTAGACTATGCGACGACGAGCGAGGTACGTGGGTGGAGCCAGGGCGATCAGATGATCCGGTAAAACTTTGTGCAGCGGAATACAGCGACGTACACATTCCCCACCCAAAGTCCATCTGCGCCGCTTGAGTAATGTGTCTTCAAGAATTAGACTCCGTGAACGGACACTCACACATGTCCGCTCGGTGGAGGCTAGAGAAGTTCACTCTCCGACTGTTGACAATCACCAGACCTCCGCACGCCATGCTCGACTCAGCCTACATCTCAATCGGGGCGAACCGCGCATTCTCGTGCGCCGCCGCGTTCGACGATGGTGTCTTCGCCTACGGCGCGGGAAGCACCGTCGCGCTCTGGGACATGGTGAGCCTTCTCCTTACTCCGTCGAGCTCCGCTGACGCCTTCCCTCGACGCGGCGCGCGCACCTGCTTTTTCTCGCCGTACTCAGAATGCAAATGGACGAGGCGTATACGCAACACTGACCGGGCATAATGCCCACGTTACGACGCTCAAGTGCAGTGGCGACGGCTTCGTATCGGGTGACCAGGCTGGCCAGGTCCGCGTCTGGGCTAGGGACGGAAGAACGGTGAGGCGACAGCATGGAGTGCATGCTGACGACAGTTTACTTGCACTCAGACGTTTACGGCTCATAAAAACTCGTCGATTTCCGCCCTCGCCGTTTGGGGTGACGAGGCGCTCACCGGCGGCTCTGACGGCATTGTTCGCCGCTGGCGCATCGGAAAGAAGGTCGAGTTGATCGAGACGCTCGACTTGCGGGGGAAGCTTCCCCTTGATCTTATTATTGGTACACTCCCGAACTCGAATGCCCGTGTGCTCATCATGGGCCTCACGGACCGCAAGGTGCAGGTGTGGACGCTCGTCGAAGGCTCCGTACGTTCTCCTCCTGAAGTACACTGACGGCAGTATCGCTACGCGCTCTCACTCGAGGGGCACGAGGACTGGGTTCGCTGCCTGGCTCTCACGGCCTACCCCGGAGCAAACGGATCCGACCTTCTCCTTGCCACCGGTGCGCAGGACAACTACATCCGTTTATGGCGCATATCGCCATACACCGGCGGCGGCGACATGTTTGATCTGTCGCAGCTTGACGGGAACGCACAAATCTCGACCAAGGCGCATGTACTCTCTGCCGAGGGTGACCGCTTCAACATTACCCTTGAGGCACTGCTCGTTGGACACGAGTCGGGGCTGACGAACGTCAATTGGTCCCACGCCGAGTCTCCACGTCTGTTGTCGTCGGCCAGTGACAACTCGCTCGTTATTTGGTCACCAACGGACGGCGAGCACGACCGTGACGGCATTTGGGTGCCGGAACACCGATTTGGCGCGTTCGGGGGCCGCGGTCTATCGTTCTTCGGCGCCGTGTGGGCTCCGCGTGATGAGGCTGTCATTGCCACCGGCTGGACAGGCGGTGTTGAACGCTGGGTCCAAAAAGGGGACGGGTGGGAGACAAGCCCCGGCGTATCTGGTCATTATGGAACCGTGCAGAGCGTTGCGTGGGAGCCAGCAGGCGACTACCTGCTGTCCACTGGGTGAGTACTGTCACATTGGAAAGTCGTCGCTAATCGCAGATCTGACCAGACCTCACGGATACACGCGCCATGTCGCCCTTCAGGTTCCAAGGACGAGGTATGGGCGGAGATTGCACGACCACAGATCCACGGGTACGACATGGTGGATGCAGCGTTCCTTTCCTCGTTCCGTTTCGCGAGTGCAGGCGAGGAGAAGGTCACACGTGTCTTTGAGGCAACAACGGGCTTTGCGGAGAGTTTGAGCACGCTTGGTGTCTGCAGCAAGTCGGCATCAGAGATTGTGCGTTCAGATATTGGTTCTGGCAGGGTACTAACCCCAGTCTCACTTGCCACGGGGAGCTACAGTCCCACCTCTGGGCCTCTCCAACCGCGCTCTGGGCAAGGCTGAGGCAGCGAGCGACATCCCCAAGTCAAAACTGGTGCCGAAGGATGCGGTCGACCGCGAGTCTGTATCGACGGCACTGACGAGCCTGCCTACTGAGGAGGAGCTGAGCACATCCACGCTCTGGCCCGAAATCGAAAAGGTCTATGGCCACGGCTATGAAGTGAGTCCTGATTCCGAGACTGCAGCTAATGGCAGCTCGCAACGCTAGCGACGAGCCACGCCGGTGACCTAGTCGCGACGGCCTGTCGAGCTACTTCGGCCGAGCACGCGGTGGTGCGCATCGTCGACGCCTCGACGTGGGCTGATCGCGCCACATTGCCAGGTCACACCTTGACCGTGACTCGCATCGCATTCTCACCAGACGACAGCATGGTGCTCACAGTCTCCCGCGACCGAGGGTGGCGGCTGTTCGCACGTGACGGTGAGGCTTGGACGCCAGCGGCGAGCGAGGAGCGGGCACATGCGCGCATGGTTTTGGACTGTGCTTGGGCCGGAAGCGCTTTTGTAACTGCCTCGCGTGATAAGACCGTCAAGGTGTGGCGCCGAGAGGGCGAGTGGTGGACGTGTACCACAACGCACAAACTTGCCGAGGCGGCCACCGCCGTTGCTGTCACTCCGCGCACTCAAGACTACCTTCTTGCTGTGGGCACCGAGGCGGGCAACATCAAACTGTTGGTCCTTGGCGCGGCGGACGAAGTCTCACCCCTCACTGCAGTACCAAATGGGTCAGGACATGCCGGCGCCGTATCACGCCTCGCATGGCGGCCAGACGGCAAGGCCCTCGCAAGCGCTGGCGAGGACCGCGCCGTGCGGATCTTCACTCTCCCGTGATGTCGCACAAAGATACTCGTAGACAGATGCTCGTAGATGCACACACAGGATTACATGGCTCTAATTAAATGGTCCAGTCTCGGTCCAGTCCTTAGTCGATCGAGTTGCCCGAGCAGCACGAGAACATGCCCCCGCTCTTCTTCTTGGGGGCCTCAGCCGTGGGACGCGTCGTGCCCGGCGCCGTTGCGCTGGTCGCAGCCCCGGTGGCGGTGGTACCGGCGGCGGCGGTACCCGACGCGGGTACGGTAGCGGCCTCCTTGTGGGCAGCGTCGGCAGCAGTAGGCGCGGCAGACACCTTCTCCGCCTCTGGCGCGGCGCGAGTAGCATGCTCGTCATTGCGCGCGGCGCCCGTCACGGCAGCGGCGCCGGCGGCGCCCGCGCCAACAGCACCAGCACCCGCGGCAGTCCCGGCACCCGCGACGGTCTGGCCCGGCTGGGCTGCGGCGGTCTGGCTCGTCCCAACGGCGGCGTGACCCGCCCCAGCAGCGGCGTCGGCTGCGAGAAGGCTGTTGTCAGCGGATGTCAGGGCGTCAAGAGAGTCAACGGGTGCTCAGTGGAGGGTTGGATCGGCCGGGCGCGAGAGGGCTGTACAGATGTTGTTGCATACTACGTGCCCCCTCGCTGACTCTGGGCTGGCTGGGCTTCCTGGGTCTCTTGACCCCCTCCTATCACACGCGGCGACTTACTGACGGCCGCGGACGGCCTGCGCGACGATCTTGGTGAAGTGCTGCGCGTAAGTATGTCGACACAATAGCTGCTCGCGATCGCTACTCACCTCGCCCTGGAAGCGGGCGACACGCTTCTCGCCCTCGGTGGGGACGCGGCTGCCGTCGCCGTTCGCGACGGTCGAGACACCCCACGGCGAGGCGCCGTGCACCTCGCCGTTGTCGGAGAGGTAGGGCTCCTTGTAGCCGATGGGGACGTAGATGCAGCCGTGGTGCACGAAGAAGGGCATGGTCGTGAGGTGCGTGAGCTCCTGGCCGCCGTGCTGCGACGCAGTCGAGGTAAACGTCGCGGCGTACTTGCCGTTGAGGGCCTGCGAGGCCCAAAGGCCGCCGGTCTTGTCGAAGAAGGCGGAGACCTGCGCGGGGGCACGGCCGTAGCGCGTGGGAATGCCAAAGATGAAACCGTCGACCTCGGTCAGGTGCGCGGGCTCGAGAAGCGGGTACTTGGGCTTGAGCGAGGCGCCGGCGTGCATCTTCTCGAGGACCTCGGCGGGGAGCGTCTCGGCGATGAAGTAGGGCTTGGCGATGCCGCCCGCCGCCTCAATGCCCGCGATCACCTCCTCGGCGAGCGTGGCGATGTGGCCGTACCTGCGGTTAGAGGGGGGGGGCGTGGAGACGGGAGACGGGAGACTCACATCGAGTAGAAGGGGACGGCAATGACGGGCTTGGCGCCAGCGCCGGTGGTAGTGGTAGCGGCCATGTTGTCTTGGAAGTTAGCCAGGTATACAATGAGGAGGTGGGATGTTCATAGACAGGAGGATGAGGGGTCGAAGCAGATAAGAGCAGTGGATGGCGGGGTAAGCGGCCCCGCCATCGACCACGTCTACCCACGTTCCCACGACAAGATTGGCAGGGAAGGTCCATCGCTCTCATCGAGCAGATCAGGCCGAGAACGGCTCAGAGGGCGAGCACAACACAGCCTTCGGTGCCCCGGCCATGCCAGCCACCGGCACTCGCTTTGCCGAGTCCGCTCCAAGCCTGCTCCAGCTCGCGAGTGAGCAAGGGGGGCATGAGCGCGGTGCCAGCCTCACACCCCTACCACGTCGCTCGCTTTCCGGGGTTGCCTCCACCTACGCGACAGAGGCACGCACATCCAACTCGAACAGCACCACAGAGGTCGAGGCGAGCCCAACACTTACTCAGAAGGGGTATGCGAAAGATGGAGAAGTCGTCGTGGTTGGAGTTGTCGAGAGGCTGACCAGGTGACCTTTATAGACGCCACTGCATCGGCTGGCTCTGAACCCAAGGCTAAATCAGAGGATGGCTGGTCCAGAGCCTGCCACGCAAGCATCGACAAGCCGCAATTGCTGTCCCTCGCCCCCACCCCTTGGCTGTTGGCGCCTGCGTTCTCGGATTTGCGGGAGGACGTTGTCAGAAAAACTCGGGCGTGGGGGAGATGACTGATGCTGCCAATTCAGGGACGAATCATGACGTCGATACCTTCCCGTTTGGGTTGAATTTTCCCAGCCACGGCCAGCCAAACCTGTCCTCCTGCACGTGTGCGACCAAAAGAAGACAACTCAATCGAGGTTGAAGCAAAGAGCACAACTGCGATGGCGCTCCGAGCGCAGCTGCGAGAGCGGCATGTCAGAGCGGTATGCATGCCGAGTAAGCCGTGGATGTGCTTAGCTGTCGCTGGGTTGAATTGGTAAGAGTCCCCGAATTCTCGAGCTTGAGCCTTCGTTCATACCCTCCACCCTGCGGCCTGGGTATGCTGATATGATGGGTAGTCACTCTCCCGATCGACTTGGACGCTCCGAGATGCCCCATCCGCTTTACCACCATGCCGGCATAGAAGCCGGTCAAGAACCTCCTATCTTCATTACCTGTGCGGCTCCGCTATCGGGTCGGTCGCGTTGGAGCCTCAAATAATGTTGCCCAGGCCGCGACATTCTGCAGTACGACGACGTCATTTTCACCACACGTGAAACTCGCGTGTCAACCCTCCACTCGGCATCATCACCTCTCCAGAGGCCGCACACTCGTCGTACACTCACACTACACTCACCAGCCAGCTCTTCGCCATGTCTATCTTTGGAGGAAACGCCAACAACGCCACGGGCGTTAACAACATCCCTGCGCCGGCGAGCGACGACGACAAGAACGTCCCCCCACCTGACGCCGCGACGCGCATTGCGGATTTCGTTCGGGTGAGTGGCCGCGGGGAGGTGTTGTGAGCACAGACCCAGGCGGGAGGGTCGGGTCGTGCTGGGATCATACGCACGAGCACAAGAAGATTCAGTGGAGCAAAGACCCGAAGAGAGTATGGACGAAAGCAATAGTGTCGAGCGTGAGGCCGCTGTGGAGCTCGAAGCGTGCGATGCTGCGATGCCCCAAGAGCAAATGGCCTGAAACGCGCAACTCACAGCCGTTGTTGGTCTCGTAGCAGGGGGGGACAGATCTCGTGGGACAAAGGCAATGGAGAAAGCGAACGAGAGAAGGAGATGACGAGCTTGGGAGAGAAGTATACGAGCGAAATCAAGCTCCACGAAGTCCAAGGAAGGTCGGCCCCCCTTCCTCCCCACCTCAATCTCTACAAGGGACTTGAATCTTGTCATCTTATTACTCACCTTTTCGCCTGATGCCCCCCTGCCTTACGCCCGTTGCTGACATGCAGGAGGACCCCATTGCCCTTTATACCTTTGACTCGCGTGTAATCCGTGACGAGGCTGGCTGGCAGTCCAAGGATAACATCACGGAGCTTTGCCGTCGGCGACGGGACGGGAGCCAGAGCTGTGTGAAGGTGAGTGCGACGCCAATGCGCGGATGAGAGTTGGGGAGAGGAGCTGGGGCAGTGTAGGTAAAGCAGCTCCAAACAACACTGGTGACTGTGCTACAAACCGGCAGGGGGAGCCCTCGGTTGGGCGGGTACGTCTCGACATCGTGGTGGTGGGGCGGGCGTGACCCCATACAGAATCTCTCCCGATTTTTAATCTGACACCAGGTCGCGGCCGAGAGCAAGGCTCTCTTCAAGATGATGCAGACGCTCGGTGCGTCTGCCCATCCTCGAGCTCGCTGACCCCAGGATTCTACTGCGCGCTCCCCGCTCTGCCCACTGAAACGCACATGGAGTGTCGCATGATTCCCCGCTCGTCGTAGCGTACTCGCCAGTACGCCATCAGCTCATTCACCAGCTTGATGAGGTCTGTAAACTAGTCGGAAGCATGCATACATCGCTCAATGTGCGTTTTCAACCAGTCAGGCTGGCGCACGTTGCGTCATGCGGGGTCCCCGCTACCGCCACCATTCCACGGATGCCGATGTCGCGTTGTCCACGAGCGCCTTCGTCTTGGCTTCACTCCATCTGTCACATCACTATGCCCGCGCCCCCCGTCACTATTTACGTGACCTCGCTCACGTCTCAGCCCAAGGTGCGCAAGCACATCGATCTGCTGCACCGGTACGTTGCTACGACGAAGGCTCTGACCGCAGTGCGTTGACGGCGCTCGAGATTCCCTATGAGGTGAGTGAGCAGCAGTGGGACTTCTCAGCAGGCAGAGAGGCTGCAAGGCAAGCGGAGGCGGGAGGTTGGGGGCGGGGCAGAACTGAGATGAACGGCAAAGCCCACCTCGCTCTTCTCCTCCGTGTCTTCCTTTAGCAGGTACTGACACCAGGCTTTTGACCTCGCAACCGATGAGGACGCTAAGCGGCGATGGCAGCGTGCTAAGCCGACGGACAGGGTTGTTGGGCTCCCAGGATACCTCGTCGGAGGAGAATGGATCGGAGTGAGTTTTGTCGAAGCATAAGTCAACATGGAGGGACGACGAGACCTACATGAGGGGAGCTGCCCCTCGCTTATCACCCCATGTCGCCTCCCTATTCTCCCTCTCGCCCACTAACCCCAGACAATGGACGACTTTGAGGACGCGGTCGAGATGGGCCATCTCGAAAAGTTCCTGAAGCAGGATATGGAGCTGGCCGACGTTTCTCAGACAATTGGCGAGGCTGAGCTTGACCGCCTGATGCGCGAGATGACAGACGCGGACCTCGACCAACTCGTGGGCGACCTGAAGGTAGACGAGAAGGAGAAGCCGCGGGACTCATCCAGTGGAGGCCTTCTTGCCGGCATCAAGAGTGCTGTCAGCAACGTTGCAAACGCGGCGGGTGCTTTTGCCGACGATGCGACCGGGCAGGCAGCGGTTGAGGCGCCCACACCGGTGGAGACGCCTGCGCCAAAGGAGGTCAAGATCAAGGAGTCCACGCCTTCCGCCCTGGCAAACTTCGCCAGCGTTGTTGGAGCCTTCGCTGACGAGACCACCGGTCAGGCTGCCGTGGAGGCGCCAACTCCCCAGGGTGCAGGCACGCCATCTGAGCCTTCGGCTTTCGGTGCGGCTATGGCGAATGTTGCTGATGCCGCCGGCGCGTTCGCCGATGAGGCGACTGGCCAGAGCGCGCTCGAGGCGCCATCTTCGCCTAAGGAAGGACCGAAGCCTGGGGAGAAGACGCTCGACGAGGTGATTGACGAGACAATGGCCAAGGAGAAGAAGGAGTACGAGGCCGAGAAGAAGGAGGAGGCCGCGGAGAAAGCCAAGGAGGAGCGCTCCAAGGTTGAAGCGACACTGGAGCGCGACAATGAGCGCGAAGCGGAGCTGATCCGCAAGGATGAGTAGCGCCGGTCATAATGCCGTATGCAATGCATGTGATTTGTCTTCGGGCCCATACCTGCCTACTCCCACACCCTGCCCCACTCCAAAGCTTGGCCAGCGGAAGAAAATTCGGACCACGTGACCTGAGACCTCCAGTGGTGGAGGTGTCAAGAATTTCAGAAATGGGTGGTCACCACAACACAACACCCATCTCCACCGCAGTCACCATGCCTCCCCGCGCCCAGGCCGGGCCATCCAAGACGCGCGCGACGCGCTCAGCGGCCGCAGCTCCGACCAAGGCTTCGCCTGCGACATCGCGCACCCGCGCTGCCCCCGCCGTATCTGCGCCCGAACCCCGCCGCTCTGGCCGGACGACACGTTCCATGTCGGCCTCCGTGCCACCCGAGGAGCCGACCCCGCCCCCTCGTCCTTCGGCGAGGAGGAAACGCGCCGCCTCCCCTGTGGTTGAGGAAGAGGAGGAGGAGGAGTTCAAGGTCGGCGGTGACCTGGAGCTTAGCGATGAAGGAGAAGGAGATGACGAGGAGGATGTGGGTGAGGACGAGTTCCCGGAGCTCGACAGTGGGAGTGATGGGGATGTTGAGGAGGACGGAGAGGAGGGAAGCGACGACGATAGTGACAACGAGGCGATCGATGACGAAGACGACGGCTCCGAGAGCGGGTACAACTCGTCGGATATCGAGCGCATGTACGAGGGCGAGGAGGGCGAGTCGCCGGCGACGTCGGTGGCATCCGACTCGGAGGACGAGGAGACCAAGGCCTTGCCTGCCGACGAGCGGCTGTCCGCCATGATCGCGCGCAACACCGTCAAGCCGGACGACTCTGTCGGCGCCGAGGGTCCCCTCTCGCGCGCGAAGGAGAGCACCGGGCGCCTCGTGCCCTCCAAGCTCGTCCCCGGCGGCTACCGGCGCAAGTACCGCGACATTGAGGCGGGCTACGGGTCCGAGTCCTCGACCGAGGACCACCCGAACACGATCGGAAACGTGCCAATGGAGTGGTACGACGACCTGCCGCACATCGGGTACGATGTGGAGGGCCGCAAGATCTTCCGACCGGCCAAGGGCGACGAGCTGGACAAGTTCCTCGCCAACACGACGACGCTCGGCGCATGGACGAGCGCCGAGGACAAGCTCATGGGCACCAACGTCGAGCTTACGGACAAGGAGCTTGACATCATCCGCCGTCTCCAGAACGCCGAAAACCCCGACGCCGACTACGACCCGTACCAGCCCACTATCGAGTGGTTCACTGGCGAGGGCATGGAGCGTACCATGCCGCTGAGCGCCGCACCGGAGCCGAAGCGCCGCTTCGTCCCGTCGAAGTGGGAGCACGAGAAGGTATGTCTTTGGGGTAGTTCCCAGCTGATTTGCAGGTGATGAAGATCGTGCGCGCCATCCGCGCCGGCCGCATTGTGCCGGGCAAGCCCGCCGCCGAGAAGCCCAAGGTGTACGGCATCTGGAGCGAGGCAGACCAGCCGCACGCCGACCATGCGATGTACATGCCTGCGCCGCAGCTGCCACCGCCTCGCACGGCCGAGTCGTACAACCCGCCCGAGGAGTATCTCCCGACCGAGGAGGAGCGCAAGGAGTGGGAGGAGATGGACAAGGAGGACCGCAAGACCGACTTCCTGCCGGCCAAGTACGACGCGCTCCGCAAGGTCCCCGGCTACAAAAATCTCGTGCAGGAGAAGTTCGAGCGCTGCCTCGACCTGTACCTGGCGCCGCGCACGCGCAAGGTCAAGCTCAACATCGACCCCGAGAGCCTCATCCCGAAGATGCCCGCGCCGCGCGAGCTCCGCCCCTTCCCCACCACGGGTTGCGTGCAGTACCGACACCCGGGGAGCACGCGGGTGCGCTGTGTCTCGCTGTCGCCGACTGGCGACTGGCTCGCGAGCGGGAGCGAGGACGGTGTCGTGCGTCTCTGGGATGTCGGGAACGGTCGCGAGGTTTGGCGCTGGAACCTCAAGGGCGGCCCGGTGCAAGGCGTCGCATGGAGTCCGAACGCCGACGAGGCGCTCCTCCTCGCCCTCATCGAGGGTCGTATTGTTCTTCTCTCACCACTTGCGCTTGTTGCCCCCGCGGTCGCCGCCGCGACGCTTACGCACGCCAACGTCGGCTTCGCGAGCTCGGCGTCCACGACCAAGACGACGGGCAAGACGGGCACCGAGGCCGTCAAGTGGGTGCGCCCGGGTGAGACGCAGCGCGAGCGCGGCGAGCTCGTCTACGTCGATGTGCCGGGGACCCCGCGCGCAGCCGCATGGCACCGCAAGGGCGACTACTTTGCCACGGTTGCCGCGGACGCGGCGAATAAAGCCGTGCTCATCCACCAGCTGGGCAAGCACGCCTCGCAGTCGCCCTTCCGCAAGACACAAGGCACCGTGCAGCGCGTAGCGTTCCACCCCTCCAAGCCGTGGTTCTTTGCCGCCACGCAGCGCTATGTCCGCGTGTACGATCTCGCGGCGCAGAAGCTCGTGCGTACCCTCCAGACAGGTCTCAAGTGGATCTCGTCGCTCGACATCCACCCGGGCGGCGACAACCTCATCGTCGGAAGCTACGACAAGAAACTCGCGTGGTTCGACATGGATCTTGGCACCAAGCCTTTCCGCACGCTGCGGTACCATTCGCGCGCCCTGCGCGCTGTTGTGTACCACCCCACACTGCCACTGTTCGCTAGTGCTAGTGACGACGGTACAATCCACGTCTTCCACGCAACCGTGTATGCGGACCTGACAAAGAACCCGCTCATTGTGCCGCTCAAGATTCTGCGCGGGCACCGTATTACCGACGGTCTGGGCGTGCTTGACCTTCAGTGGCACCCTGAGAAGTCTTGGCTGGTTAGCTCGGGCGCGGACGGCGAGTGCAGGTTGTGGTGCTCTTGATTGTAGGCATAGCATGGATAGCATTGGATTTAGCGCCGGGGTAAGCTATCTGTCAGATGACTGTGAGTGTGGTCATGGTCCTACTACAAATCTAGATCAATATCTCAAAGCATTCAACTGGGGAAGGTCAAACAGTAGACAACACCATTGGAAAATGTAAAAATATATACACTGTGAGGGAGTCGAACCCCCGCCGCGTCGATGGCAACGACGCATGATACCGTTTCACCAACAGTGTCAGGCTTTGCTGGTGAGCTTCTTTCAATCTCTCATACATATCTAGCAGCTTCTGGACCTCCGAAAGCTTCCAAACCGACCAGCAACATGGTGCAATTGGTATGCCGCAGCGCTTCGTGCGTGAGGTTCTAGAGAGGGGGAGTCGCTGCGACGAACCGTCGTTTTATCTTTCCCATCAGGAGTCCTACTTCAACGACGGCGGAAGTAGGGACGTAAAATGCAGGATACAGGTTCATTTGGGAGAGTGAGGGTGGGAGATGGTGAATCCAATTGCCATATTGCCATATGCAAGGCACACTGAGTTGTCGGTCGTGGTATCCCTCCTGAAGCTCTTTCCTCACGTTTTTGCTGCACCGTGCAGCCCGGCGGGCGCTTCGTAAGTCGTGAGATCAAGCGCAGTGAGATTGACCACCCATTCTGCTCGACGAATTCAGACGAAGTCATCCAGCGTCAGCCGTCCCATGTGCAACTAGAGACATTGGCCTCACAGCTGACCTCTCCAGGTACAACCGCGGTAGTAGCGTTTCCTAATATGAGCTTATCTGGCATTAAACTTTTTGCTGTCACAGAACATGTATGACATCAATCACAAACCTTTGCGCATGGTACGGTAGTACGACGGAACACCATCGAGCGCACGGTCGCTGCAACGATGAGGCGGTGAGGACTACTACTGTTCTGTAGTGCCCTGTCACGCTCTGCCACGAGCATGCCGACGCGCCCATATGCTCCTCCTGGTGAACTGTTAGTCAGAGCGATCGATCTGCAAAGGGCTTGTGAATTGCTGTCATGCATTCCGCTGATGCCGGCGCCACTGATGCAAGAGCGCGCATCGCAGTATTCACATTCAGGACGGCCCGCAGGGAAGCCGGTGGGAACTCAGCCTCCGGGTTTGCGTCCGTCTAGCAAAGCCCACAACACGACTTGCAGTGTGAGACATGGTCTCACGGGAACACTGTACTTGGGCTATGCCCGTTTGATGCTTCAGCGTGACGAGGTGACTTCAACATCTTCGTTTCTCTGCGTTTGGTTCGACGTTGGTCACATCGAAGAGCTCCATAACCGGACCAGAGCCCGTTACCGCTCTGCCGTAGACTCAGACTCGAAGCTGCCTGTAAAGGTGAAACGTCTGTGACGCGAGTCGAGCCAAGTTGGCAGCTTGGGGAGGGCTTGCCCATTCCAGAAATATCAAAGGGCCGGCTTCCGAGTTAGAAGCGGAGGCAACTTCCACCAGGCCCTGCCCCTAGTAAGTAATCTCGTCAGCAAAACGTCAATCCAGGACCTCCGAGTAGTCTTGGAAGTAGGAATACGAGGGCTAGTCTGCGTTACACCGTTACAATCACTCTTGTCCGTCCAGTCATCAGCCAGCCAGGTAAGCGAGAGCTCGGTGCACGAGGCAATGTGCAAAGTCACGCGCGTCCAAGCATTGCCAGGTCCAGGGCTGGATGCTCCGCTGACGCCGGCCCGGACGGGGTTAGGCGGACGCTTGCGCTGGGTCGTCAGTGCCGTGCATGCCAGCCTGAATCTGTACTTGGTTTCTTCCCAGACGAGCAACTCGCTGACTTGCGAGGTACATTGGGCCTGCGACTGCGACAGCGACGGCGGGTGAATCGGTCAAGTGCGAGCAGATCGCTCCCACGACACCATTGGCATCTTGCCATCACATCGTTCGCCATCCAGCGTTGGTGTGCCCGCTTTTCCAACACCCGAATCACGCTTTAACAGCACGCAAAGCACTGGTTGCACTTCTCGAGCCGGCCTCGACATTTCTTTCTCAGCATCGCCCGCATCGCCCCCGCTCGGCAGACGCCCTTCGCCGCTCACCCAGCGGCGTGTACCGCTTGTACAGTTTCACTTCGTAGTCTGCGCCGCGGCCAGCCCGCAACAATGGCGCTCTCCATGTCGGCCCCTCGTGGCCACTTCCCATCTCGGTCATATGACATGTCGCGCGTGCCGCCCGCGACCATCACGCCGCGCACTCGCCGCATCTCGAATCGCCGCCTCGGGACCGGCTTGCCCTCTGGTGGGCCAACTCTCCTCGCGACACTCACGCCTCTATGTCCACCCACGCCGCGTCGCTCGCGCATCTCTAACCCGGCACCCGACACGAGACCGCTGTCGCCCCATTCGCCCAACACCCCATATCTGAGTGAGTGGGACCTCGAGCCAGAGGACGATCGTGCAGCCCGTCGCCGCACCATTTCTCTTCCCACCCACGGCCGCAAGGCCAACCCGGCTCTCGCGCCTGAGGTGCCGTCTGCCAAGTGGCGACCGTGGGCATCGATCGACGCGCAGGCGTTTCCACACATACTGGATGCCGTTATCGCGAATGCCGACTACCGCTTGTTGCTCGCGCTTCGCGGCGTGAGCAGGGGGTGGCGTGCGCGCGTTGATGCTATGCTCTTTGAGCACGTAGCCCTGGTGACGCCGGCCGCCGGACCGCGCCAAGTCGACCGTGGTGTCCACTTTAGGCTACGTCTCGCTCTGCGCAAGCGCAGAGCTATTGACGCTGTCCTCGTGACCCCGCGCGAGCCCCTCCGGCTCCTCCCCTGCCTTCCTGGCCGGGTGCCCACACACGTTGCCGCTATACGCGTTCTGGACACGTACGACTACACGGCTGCCCAATCCACGCTGTTCGACGCGATAGCAAATGCGGAGGAGGACATTGCCGCGCAATCTGGTACGGATGCGCTCGTGCGATCCAGTCACGGCCTCACTGTCTCACGCTCGGCCTCACTCCTCAACGGCTCGTTCCCGGCTCCCCCGCCGGCCGTGCACGCTCCCACGGCCGTGCACTACCTTCCAGCGGTAGGCCTAAACCGCGTGACCATCGGGGTGGATGTCGGCACGTCGAGAGTCATCCTGCGCTTCGTACCGGCCTTCATCTCACCTTTCGTGACCGAGTGCGACACCTGGCTCATCGAGAGCACAGGGCCTTGCGAGATTGTCTTTGTGTTCGACCCGCGCGCCTTCGAGCGCGCCCCCTGCGTCCATGACTTGCGTTACAACCTTGCCTCGGGGCTTGCGGAGAGTTTCGAGCTCCTTGAGACCGTCGGCGTACCGCTGCCGAGAGTGACGCTTGTTGGGCTCGACGAGCTCACGGAACAGTGGAGACCCCCTTACGAAAGCGGCGATGTCGCTTTCGTCCAGCGGTTCGTCGCAGAGCGTGTCGCGGACGCCGCAGCCAGCCGCGTGTCGGGCATCACCATGGCCGCGTGGGAGGCACGCCGCGGAGCGGACACGGTTCTCGAGCGCGCGCCGCTCCCATACGCTCCGCTTCAGGATGATGACGAGTGAAGACCAACATACGTTTTGCAGAAGGCCAGTCAAACATCAGAGGGAGGTGCGCACAAGCCTTGTACCAGTGCATGATCTCCTGCGCCCTCGCACCGAACTCTCGCCCCGTCAGCCGTTTGGCGCTTCCACATACCATTTCGACCTCATTTCTCATCATCTAGCCAACTTGGGAGCCACTCTTGGACATTCTCTGTCACCACGAACTATGTCTCTCGTATCACTCTCACGGTAGCATCCCATTCCGCCAACACCCTGTACCCACCCCCACGCCCTGCGCCAGTCGCCATCTCCTCCATTCCCAGCCGTACACTCAGATCGTTCTCTGCTCAAAGCAGTCGTTTATGCAGTTGTGAGACTCTCAGTATGTCCCCACTGAGCGCCATCCCGAGGCAAACGTGGGTAGTACTTTTATGCAACCCGTTCTCCGTGCACCAAGAACGCACTCCTCTTTGTAAATCATTGCAGCAGTATCGTTTGTAACTGAGTGCCATACGGGGTTGTGCGAGCCCCGCCGTCCGTCCCAGCTGAGCAAGAGCACAGTTTGTACAAGGTTAGCGTGATTAGGCGATTAGGAGGTTTCGCCGGGGCACTATCGGTGGATTGGTCGGCATTCTCCGGCCCGTCGAGATAGTGCGATGGCGACATGCGCCAAGTGGCTGCCCACCTAACACTTCCAATCAAACGCGCGTTGGACTCTGGCGTGCTCACAAGCACGGCTGTACTTAGTTGGAGTCTGCACGCGACTTTTCGTCTCAACATCGCATACAGCATCATGCCAGTCGACACCGAAGCTCTCTCGCGTCTGGCTGTCACTGTCGGGCCCAGTGGGCGGACACTAGAGCGCAATGGCGAGCCATTCGTCCTGCACATGGACACCGCCTGGGAGCTCTTCCACCGCCTCACTCTTCCCGAGGCCGAGGAGTACCTCGACACGCGCAAGGCGCAGGGCTTCAACGCTGTGCTAGCCGTGGCCCTTACTGAGCTCGACGCGCGGGGCGTCAACGAGTGCTTCGGCCCTGATGGCGCGCTCCTTTCGTCCACTGAGGGCGGCGGCTCCATCTTCCACCCCAATCGGTACGGCATGCGGCCGCTGCTGAATGACGATCCGGCTCTGCCGAACGCCGCGTACTTCTCTCACGTAGACGCCGTCATTAATGCTGCCGCACAGCGGGATATTATCGTCTTCCTGGTCCCAACATGGGGCCGCTGGGTGAACGAGGCCTGGAGCGGCCCACCTGTACTCTTCAACGCCGAGAAGGCTCGGTCGTACGGCGCATACATCGGCAAGCGGTATCCCCACCTCCCGAAGGTGCTTGGTGGCGACTCAAACCCCATTTGGACGGACGTGACAGCGTTCAGAGAGCGGACCGCTGAGGCCAAAGCGCGCAGCGGGGCAGCCAACTTCGACGGACTCCCGATTACGGACTCGACCGCTGTGGTCGACAGCATGGCGGAGGGTATCCTCTCGGCGGAGCCCGAGGCGTTCCTCACCTACCACCCCACAGCGCTCGCTCTTCCCGGCTCGCCGGTGCCAACTGCCAGTGCATTCTTCGGAGATCGCAAGTGGCTTGCTTTGGACGCCTGTCAGAGCGGACATACGGACGTGGAGGAGCCCGCGTTCAACCCACCTCTCCACTTCTGGGACGCTCGCGCCTCTCACGTCCCGCTGGCGCAGATGTGGGCCGCGGGCAAGCGTCCAATCATCGACCTCGAGGGACACTGTAAGCATCACACGACTCTACTCAGCTGACGGCAGACGAGGACATGCGCATCGGTATCAACCCTTCAGAAAGGCCGCTGTGGAACGAGCACGACGTGCGCGCCGGCGCATGGCAGGCTGTGTGCGCTGGTGCCTGCGGCATCGTCTACGGGCACAACAATGTGTGGCAGATGCACAGTCCTGAGCGCGAGAAGCGTAAGCCGCCGGATAGGATAACGCTGACGGCAGTGGATGGACGCTTCAAGTCGGCATGCTATCCCGTACCCGACCTTTCGTGGCAAGACGCGCTCAAAGCCCCGGGCACTCGTGGGACCCGAGTTATCGCCGAGTACCTTGCCTCGCTCCCACGGGAGGTGCACGACACCAAGGCGCCTGCTCAGGACCGCCTCGTATCTGCCGCGGCGCCGGCGGAAGTCGTGCAGCGCGACGGCCGCGTCGATGTCATTGCGGCTGGGTCACAGTGGCTGATAGCCCACTCCGGTCACGGGTATCCATTTGAGCTTGACCTCAGCGGCTTCCGGGGTCAGGCGCGCTGGCTCGACCCTCGCAGCGGTGAGTGGAGCGACGCCATCGCTGTCGAGGGCGGGAAGCAGTCGTTCACGCCGCCCTCAAGTGGAAACGTTGAGAACGACTGGGTGCTCGAGGTTAAGCGGGCCTAGTCGCATTAATATTGTTCATATGCATGAATCTGAAGACATGTGCACGTCGCTTTTCTGCAGCCGCTTCGTCTGCGCGTCATACTGCTGCCAGTGCCTTCTCTACAACCGCGGAATGTGGAATCGCGTGCTGTACGCTACGCGTCAACGACGCTTTACGACGACTTCACGGATACGGACAGGCTTTAATGGCCTACGGCTTCTTGGACCACTATCGCCGTGGTCATCTAAGCTGCCACTTTTTGAAATCAACCGGACAGAGCATCGGTGCATGATCTGCACGCGATCCGCACATGTGGCACCACCTGCTCACCCGACCGTGTGATCCCGTCTCAGCCCCTAAATGCCAATCGGTTCGAGGCACTTGCAAAATTTGAGGACAGCTACACCGACTCCACCGAGCGCTCTGAGCTCGCAGCCCACCCTGAGACTCCCGCTCATTGCCACGCTCACAGCCACGGACGAGAGGGTGTGGACAGACAGGAGACTACGGTGGGTAGGATTAAGTACCGTGTCAAATTCCCACCGCTGATCCATCCTTTGCCCTCGCTCTCCGACCCCAAGCCTAGCTTTGATTTAATTTATTTAATTGTATTCTAATACGACTAGGGAGTTTTGTGGAACTCGTCAGACATGGAGGTCATTCAAAGAGTCCCCTCGCTCAAGTGATTGCGACATGTAGTACATTCCATACTGTCCCACAACATCCCTTCCTCTCCTCCTCTCTCTCGCACTTCTTGTCCCTTGCTACAAACCCAATATGCCCGTACACTCACTCCCATCCCTCCGTTCCTCCCTCCCTCCTCCCCCTCCCGCTCCCGTTTCTTCTATCTCTCCTTCCATTACAGCTGGTAACGGAACTTCGGGTCGCCCTCGATGACAACCTTGCCCTCATCCGCGAGCTTGTTGCGGTACTTGAAGAAGAAGCGCATGCCGACAACAGTGAAAACCTGGAAGCAGTTGAGGCCGACCACGCTCCAAACACCAGTGGGGTATCCCTTCTTAGCCTCCTTGTCCATGAAGAGGAGCGAGGCAAGAATACCGCCGATACCGCCGAAGGCGACGACGAGAGCAGAGGTGAAACCACGCTTGGACTGGTTGCGGATCGAGCACTGAGACCATGAGATGATGAGCCCGACGTTTCCGTTGGCGGCACCGACAGCCAGGAACGTGCCAGCGTAACGGCCAGCCTTCATGCGCTCGGGGAGCTGCGAGTAGAGGATTGTGCCGAGGATGCACTGGAAGCAGCCCGAGAGCATCATCCAGGCGCGCATGTTGCGGAACTTGTCGGCACAGTAGGCGTGGACCATTGCGGGGACCACAGCCCAGACGTAGGGTGGGGCCAGCAGGACCTGAGACATGGTGTCGGTGAAGCCCATACCACGGAGGATACGCGGAAGGAAGTAGGACATCGAGTAGGTGCCGAGAGTGGTGACGCAGAACCAGACGGCAAAGAGCCAGATCTTGGGCTCGCAGAGGTAAGAGATGAACTTCGCCTTGGTCATGGGGTCGGCCTCGGAGTCGCCACGGTCGCGGTGGATACGAGTGATGATCATGTCCTTCTGCTCGGGCGTCAAGAACGTCGAGCGGTCCGGGAAGTCAACGAGGAGGAGGAGGCCCATAACGGCGATCACGACCGTCAAGATACCCTCGATGATGAAGATCCAGCGCCATCCCGAGTAGTTCTGGATACGGTGCATCATCGAGATGCCGTAACCGAGGAGGTTTCCGAGACCGCCGACGGCAATGGAAGTGATGTAGAACGCAGCGCTGCGGCGGGCCATCTGCTTGCGCGGGTACCAGCAGGCAATGAGGTAGGCAGCACCAGGGAAGAGACACGCCTCGAACATGCCGAGAAGTGCGCGCATGGCAGCCATGGCAATCCAGTTGTTGGAGAAACCGAGACCGATGGTAACCAAGCCCCACAGGAACGTGGCACTACCGAGCCAGTAACGGGGACCGAACTTGCGAAGACCGAGCTGGGACTGGATTGTCAGCCACGGCTAGGACACAGCCAATGGCACAAGCTACTCACCGGCAATTCAAAGATAATGTATGGCGGGAAGAACAGAAGAGTGATGATGTTGTAGCGCGAGGTTCCGAGGTCAAGCTCATCCTGCATCGCCTCGTTGTTGGCAGCGCGAGCGAGCGAGACATTCTTGCGGTCTGAGGTCAGCAATGGCCATGAAAAATGCGCCCCGTAGTTCGAAACTGCGTCCGGAACTGGGTGTGGCGGACGGAATGACCTCCACCCAATGATGTTTTCGCCACACTCCTCACCGCCGTGTCTCATCGCCTTCGTCACACAAGTTGGCGCATCCCGGAGATCGGGCGGCCCTGTGAAACAACTTACCAATGGAACTGATGCAGTACATGCACACGAGAGGGGGGATTAGTCGCCAGTCGATCTTGCGCGTCGTTTTGCGGATGAAGTCTTGGTCGTAACCATGGTCGATGTCGACGTGTTCAAGGTGGTCGATTGGGGACGCCTTCTCGTCATCGTAGTGGTCGAGATGGTGGATCTCTGCCGAGTCCTTCTGATCGACGAGGCGGGGTGGGGCGCCGGTGGAAGTCATGGTGGATTGTAGTCCGGGGATAGGGATGCAAAGATTAGCCACACGCCTTATGTATCAATCTGGATCGGTCGAGTTGCCCCATTAGCTGCTACACGACTTCAGCCTGACCTGTGACATGATTTCATCAGCATTCCGGTTGGCGGCTCTACCTAGGGTGTTGGAGGTGGGGCAACGCGGGGCAGTTTCTTGGCCTTGAAGGCACCGCTCGAGATCAATGTCACAACGCCGAGGCGCAAACTCTGAACGATGCGGGGTTCGGTTTCTCTGCGCCTCACAATTCTCATGCATTGACGGCACCGTTCCTATTACTGGGTGTCAAGTGGCACTTGGCAGGGCGGGGCCGAAGTGGAGGGCAAACCGGGAAACAAGGGGCGTGGGACCAGGTGATCGGAAAGATCTTATCTTAGTGGTCAGCATAGCTGGGAGGAAGTGGGAGACGGGTATTAGGCTTTCGGCAGCCCTAACGCATCGGGCCTTGGTCCTGCGGCCGTATGCTCGGCCTGCGGTTGCTGCCGGGTGGGTTAAAGCGACAAGGAGATGTCGTATAGTCGTAAGCAAGCAAGCGGCCCTAAACGGTGCTGGTAGTCAGCACAGAGCTCGCAACCGAGCCCCCACCTCGGGAGGGGTCGGTTCAACCGTTTCGTGAAGCCGCGGCTCATGGCTTCGGTTGCATCACGGCCGTGCAGTGCCATTGGCGTGCGCTCGACATGAGCATGCACTTGGCAGTATGTGGGCAAGTTCGGCGCTCAAGAAGGGTGAAGGGCTCGCTCCATGGGCATCAGGTGAGCTATAACTCGAGGGATGAAAGTGTGATGTGGTGCGCCACTTGGCCCAGGGGACTCCGCATTGGCTGGGCACGTGCCTCACGTGGGGCTTGAGGCGCTGGGCTGCCTGACGTTCTGGATGTCGGCCCACTGCCCCCGGTGAAGTACATCCGGGTTCTGCTCTTCAGCCTGTGTCTAACATGTCAACAATGCAGAAGGGCCTTGTTGGAGCAGATGCGGAGGTTAATTACGACATACCCCGAACCCCGTGGACCCCTGTGGGTCCGTTTCCCTTGCGCCCCACACCACCCCAGAGATGTGTCCCTGCCACAATCCCGGTTTCAGTGCGCGTTTCTGTGTGGTACACCCGGCGCATACGCGATCTTTTGGAAACGCATAGCTACTGCTTTCCGATGTGCACGGCGTTTTCTAAGGTCTTTCCCGATTTGCTGGGGAGGGCGCCGCCGGCGCCCGACCAATGTTGAGATTCCTGAGTACTGAGAAGCCGAGCGGCTCGCGATACATCTGGAGCTGCAGGGCAATATCAGTCCCCCCTACTCTTCATGCCTCAGCTTTCCGCTGCGGGTTGGGGGCTTGCTAGCCATGATGCCGACTTGTGCCGGAATGTAGACGACCGCGGCGCCGTGTCCCTGAATCCAGACGTCTGTGCGTTTGGTTCGCGTTTGATTTCCGTGTTAAATGTCGTTTATCACTTGTGACCGGACACTGGCCTGTCATCCTTTGGTCAGTGGCGCCGGGTCATTCTACAACTGCAAGTCTAGCTCACAAAGGCACATGGGCAAGAAGATATGTTTCCACGGGTCTCTTCCGCAGGTCCGAGGGGCAGTAAACACAAGCGCGGCCATGCGCTCGCCTCGTGTATCCCACAATCCACACACCCCACCTTTCATCTGGGCAGTGTCATGACCGCGCCGAGCTCACGCTCCACCTCTCGGTGATGAACAGCGAACACCGGGCGCGTCGCTGATACCATCATGAGAACGGGCACTGCTTGGCGAAGCGACACTGTGAGTCACTACGTTCTGGACGGCAAAACCACAGGTGGTTCAGGAACCCGTGCAATGCCGGACGGCAAGTGGGCAACGGCAAAGGCAGGCAAAAAGTGGCGCAACTGAATGAGGGGCGTGTGGGGCGCTGCGAGGAATTACGCTACGTATCATTGGTGGCTGCTCATCTGACTTCGTCACGGAGCAATATCTCTTAATGAACTGCTTGGGAGTGGGCCTACTAGGCACTGCGGTATCGAAGATGACCAGCCCCCGGAATCTCGATTGTGTATCGTCGAAGCGAGACGGGTACATCGAAGGTCTCACAACTCTGCCAAGAGCAACATACTATGCAAAGTTGAACTGGAATCCTTCCTGCACAGGCTAGTGCACCATCCGCCCGCCGTCGACGCACCACGTCGCCCCGTTGACGTAGCTCGCTTCCTCGCTACACATGAACGTGATCACGTCCGCCAGCTCTTCCGGCAACCCGGGCCTGGCCATGGGAACGACCTCGGGCGCAGAGTCCTCCGTGAGCACCTCGCGGCCAGCCGTCATCGGGGTCTCGACAAGCCCGGGCGCGACCGTGTTACTGGTGTCAACTCCGCCTTGCGCTAAGCCGTACATTCTGACACCGTCTGCGCCGTGATCTAAGCATGCCTGCCGCGCTAGGGACACGACGGCGTGCTTGGAGGCGGTATACGGCGCAATGTTCCAACGCACGTGCAGGCCGAGGATCGACGCAACGTTGACGATCGCCCCCCTTTGCGCACGGCGCGGCCCGAGCTCGGTCTCCAGCGGTTCTTGACTGAGCATCTGCCGAATCTGCTCGCGGGAGCAGATAAAACACCCGCGCGCATTTACGCCCATGGTTTTCTCGAACTGATGTCAGTCTGGCCAGGCCAGGCTACCCACATCTGCGGTCGTGGTGTCGGCGAATTTGGCGCGCGGGCATCCAATGCCAGCGCAGTTCGCTGCATAATCAATACGGCCCCACTTGTCGACTGCTCCCTGGACGGCCGACTTGACCTGCGCCTCGTCGCTGACATCCGCTTTGATTGGGAGGGTTTCGACATTCTGCAGGAGCGCGATGGTAGTGGAGAGGTCCCCAAGGTCTACGAGAACAATACGCTTTACACCCTTCCGTGCGAACGACTGGGCGGTTGCCTGTCCAATCTGGTATGAGCGCAACGCCCGGGCGGGCAAGTTGGAAATGTCTGGTCCAAAAGCCCCACTAGAACTTACCCCAGAGGCTGCTCCAGTCACGAATGCAACACCAGAGAACATTTGGAAGGTATATGGTAAAGAAGCTGAATGGAGTCAAACCTCATGATATCCCGACCGCGTGGATGCGTGCGAAAGGGGCGGCACTACCCGCATTCCTTAATCCCCACTTTTCTGGCGCTTGCCTCAGCAACGATGACGGTGAAGGGAACGCGCAAGTTGGAGGCACCACTAGCACATATTCTTCACGCGCTGGAGAAACGGCGGTCCCCTTGGTCAGAACTGATAGACTGAGTATCGGACAGGAGTCCACACAAGTTGAGTATCGTTCACGACAAGGGGAGCATGAAACTCAGCATTATTGGTTCCATTCAGGAGCGACGTGCCCGGGCCAAGCCCATCCATACCTTGCCGAACCGACCGAGCCGACCGAGCAGCACGATGTTACTCAATTAGATCAGCTGAGGAGACTTCAGCAAGATAAGCGAAGCCAGCCGGACCGCGATGATCCTCTTGTTGTGTTCATTTGGCCTTATTGTAGTGGAACAACTGACAGGAAGTCAAGGTGAAGCTTGGCATCCTCATGTCGTGTCGGGAGCCAGTTCGGGAGCGGGGTCCATCGGGATCTTCAATCCATATCTCGCTGTGAATGCCGATATCAAGCTCACAGTTCGGCGATCGATGCGACTCAACGGTCTCACCACGCACCAAGGGTTGCGCAATGCCTGTTGAAAGATGAGAAGTAGCTCTGATCTGCTTTGAGCCGCACACGCAACTCCGCTCCAACTCATGGTCGACGACATCCACCAATTCCGCTCCCATCGGCCGCCGGGTGAAATTAACCGAGTCGCCGATGCAGATCCAGACATTCCTCGCGCCCATGTGTACCATTCATTTCAACGGTGGTCGCGTGAACAGCACTGAGCGGCTGTTAAGCACTGCATCGCGCCACAACACCGCGTATTTATCAGCCGTTTGGAGCTCGTCAGGACAGTGCCTAGCCAGAATGTGATGGAAGTGCAATGTGCGAGGGAAGTGTCTCTTGTAATGGTCGGGGCAGGAACAGGGCGGCTGTGAGGTACAGGCTAGTAATCTCTCGTCCCCGTCTAGGCACCTTACGTGCTGGTCTGCTGGAGTCGCTGCAACAACATCACCAACACCACGCGAGCCGACGATCGAGCGACGTTACTAGTGCTCCGTGAGGCACCTACGACCGACGACACACACCTTCGTCAACCCCTGCGACAACCACCACCAACAGAGTAGAATGAACAGTGGATCACAGCCCATGGGAACGAACCGGACATTCTGTAGCGGTAATGCTGAGCATCTGCAGACCGGAATGCAAGACCATGATCCTCGCAAACCTGAGCAAACCATACTATGGCGGCATGTTGTAACCGACTGCGTTGCCAACTAGATAAGCCCTGAGGTTGCTTCACCAATGTGCCGTCTGCGACCGACGTCGTCACCAGGTCCCCTCAACCTTCGAGTCCCATGAAAGCTGCGTCCTGTGTGCGCCGTCCCATGCAATCTCATGATACAAGCTTCGGCTAGCTCCGTAAGCGCCGTGCAATGCGAGGCTGAGGTGGGCGAGAAGAGCGCACGGAATTCGCCGAGATCTCCAGGGCTAACCTGCGCGGATGTCGGTCATGTGCTCACTTGTGTTTGCCCCACGCACCATCGCCGTCTAGACCTCATTCGCCAGTGCGCGCGCCACCGCTTGAGGAGGGGAGCCCGGCGTTGACCGTGATTGCAAGCGCTGCCTGAGCAAGACCGCTGGCCGCAAGACTACTGTCACATGCTCTGGATAATCTGCATCTGCCCACAGGATTGGGAATGGTGCTCTCGGCGACCAACGGCCCGGTGGAGACTCGCTGTCATAAAGAGTGGTAACGCCCGAGAGATTGCTCAACTAATCCCCGACATAATGAGCAAGAAGCCTTTATCCACCATCGAGCACCTTGAGCACGCTCCATCCGACCGCGAGGTGGACGAGAAGGGGTCTCTCGCCGAAGTGACGGTTGCGGCGCTCGAGGGTGAAGGTCTTGTTAAATCGCGCTTCGACCAGCTCACGATCCGAGAGGCCCTTTGGGTGTTTCGCCGCTCGCTAGTTGTCTGCTTCTTCGTCTTTACTGGACGTATGCTTGAATACTTCGAGATCGTCATGAGCGGTGCAATCCTCGCCAACCCAGGCTTCATCAAGCAATTCGGTGACCCAAACCGTGCCGGCAAGATTGCTGGCGTGGGCGCCCTTGATCCCAACTGGGGTGAGTAACAATGATACATTATCCGCTGACATCAGTGTCAGCTTGGTCTGTCATTCTGAGCGGTGGTCAGATCTTTGTCTTCCTCTGGATCTCATTGTGAGCTCTCCACTCGTCGGTACTAATTCGAGCTTCACGGACCGTTTCGGGCGCAAGCCGGCACTCCTGCTCGCGTGGCTTTTTATCGCGCTCGCAATGCTGTGTCTCACTCTCGCGCGCACACCCGAGGTGTGGCTCGTCGGACGCCTTTTCACCGGAATGGGCACGGGCATTGTCGCCGTCGTTGCCGGTCCATACGGCATGGAGGTGTGTGCAACACGCATTCGCGGCATCGTCCTCTCCGCCGCCATCTTATGGGGCGCTCTCGCCACTCTCGCCGCCTCCCTTATGATGAACTTCCTCACCCTGCGTGAGCCATGAACTGGCACCTACCCGTGTATGCGACATGGGGTCCTGTAGGCTTCATGGTCTTCTGCTTCCTGGTGGTGCCTGAGTCGCCGTGGTTCCACGCTCGACGTGGCAACAAGGACAAGGCGATGAAGAGTCTCCAGCGCCTATATGGCAACATCCCTGATTACGACTTTGACGAAGAGTATGGAATCATCGTCAAGACTATCGAGCACGAGCGCGAGACGATCCGACGGAACAAAGCGAGCGCCTGGACCGACCTCTTCAAGGGCACCAACGGTAAACGTACCTTTGCGGCCATTGTCATCGCCGCGTCTCTCCAGCTCGGCGGTTACCCCATCCTCTACACCTACTCTACGTACACATATGCGCTGGTGGGCATCAAGAATCCGTTCCAGACCAACGTCATCACTGCCTCTGTGCAGTGCGCGACAGTTATCCTCATGATGGTCACGTTTGACAAGTTTGGTCGCCGCCCGTTCGTCACATGGGCATACTCGTTCCAGGCGGTCTCCATGCTCTTGTTGGGGCTCCTCTCTTTCATTCCGTTGACGTCCGCAAGCCGAGTTCCCGTCATCGTGAGTCACGCTTGGCCTTACTCGGGGTTAGCTGACATGAGACGTTTAATGCTTGTTTCTGGGCGTTTTGCGCCACGATCTCGGGTAATAGTCAGATGATCTACATCACCGAGCTCCCCTCTGCCTATCTCCGCCTCAAGACTGGCGTACTTTGTCAAACGCTCAACAGCGCCCTGGGCATTGCAGCCAATTTTGCGAGCCCGCCTATGCTTCTCGCTCTTGGCCTCAAATCAGGCTTTGTCTTCTTTGGCGTTGCTACCCCAATCGCTGCCCTCCTTTGGGTGTACCTCCCTGAGACTAAATGGTCAGTTGGCATGCTCAAACATGGCTGATCCCAGGCGCTCAGCATCTGAGATTGACGAGCTGTACGAGCGAAAGATACCTGCGTGGCGCTGGGCGAAGACCCGTACCAATGCGGAGGAGCAGGTCGATCAGGCAATCAAACAGCGCGAGGCCGAGGATCTGTCCCAGGCAGCGGTGGTCGGCGAACGCCGACGCCAAAGCTTGGAGGAGTGAATTGTCATCAGATGGAAGATGCTGTTCTGCAGGGAGTAAGGAAGATGACAGTACAACAGCGAGGTGAGGTAGGACTGCTGTTCGAATTGTTGTGGTCAGAAGTATTACCTAGGCGGTTGTCGGATGAAATGCCATTCTGCGGTGCGACCGTAAAAACGCGGACTCTAGTTCCAGTACGCATATTGTGCACGCCAGTGAGGACGCTTACTCTCAGCCTGTATTGGGCAATATCTTACGTTGTCACAGGGCATGGGCACGTAGTTGCAGGCATTTACCTCTCTGCTTCAGTAGTACTTATACATTCAAGTCTCGAGGGCTCCGCTGTGTCGTGATAGCCCACTTCAACTTACGGCTGCTTCAATTATCGGCAGTATCCCGATTATACATCCCGTAGGCATCCGCTCTATGTCTCTATGATCCTTACTGGGCTTTGCTGGAGATATCCATGCGAGCCTTGGTCTCAGCCGCCTCGACCTTCTTAAGAATTGCCTCGTCTGTAACCTCATCCTTGTTGCGAAGGTAGACCTCCTTGTGCTCCTCAACGATGTTGTGGGAGCGGTTCAGCTCGATCTCCTTGGCAAACATAGCAATGACAAAGGCAAGGCACGAGGAGACGATGGCGGCGATGAAGAGCGGGCGCATCGCATCGCTGTATGCGAGGTTGACGAGGTCGTGGGGCTGCTGGCGACGCGCACGGGGGATGCTGCCAAACACACGCTCACGGTCGCGGTCAGAGAGTTCCGGGAGGTACTTCTTGAGGTTGGCCGGGACCTTGGAGTTCCAGACCGAGGCCGAGATCGAGCCAGCGAAAGAGCCGCCGAGCTGGGGAACCATGTGGAGAACAGCCATGGCGACGGCCAAGTCACGGTGAGGAACAGTTGCAGGCGCTGCAACGGCCGTGGTGGTCATAATAAAGCCGGCACCCATCGAGATAATGGTCTTGGAGACGATGAGCCAAGCGTCCGACTGATACTTGGCCTGCCAGGTCATGTAGTTGAGACCCTCGCCAATGACGCGAAGGCCGATACCCGCCAGCTGGATGTACTTGTAACGCTTGGTCCAGTAAAGAAGGAAGCCCGCGACGGTGGCGAAGATGCAGACTAATGTGAGCCAAAGGTTTGCAGGATGTCACGGAGTCACGCCTACTCACGACCGGTGTTGTGGATGTTCGAGAAGAACGTGTAGTTGCGGTCGCTCCACTGGGGCTTCAAGATATAAACCCACGAGTTGTAGTAGGCGTCGGTGAGCTGACCTGAGAAGAAGTGGAAGAAGGACACAGCCAAGCAGGACAGGAAAGTGGGGTTAAGAAGGCGGCGCGGGCAGATGGGGCTACGGGCGTAGAACATCTCCCAGGCAAGGAACGCGAAGAAGATGACGGCACCGACGGCAAACATGGCAATAAGCGAAGGGTCCTTGTAACCCCCCGCAGTGATGGGCTCGAGGGTTGGTGGGGCGAGGATGAGGCCGAAGGCGAAGGCGAAGAGGATGAGGCCAACGACATCGCCCTCCCAGAACAGCCAAATCAAGGTCTCCTTGCGCGTGCGCTTGGGGGCAATGCCCTCACCCTCAAGGATACGCCGGCGGGTGTACGACGAAGACGCGAGCGAGAGAGCGCCCAGCTTCTTGGCTCGGTAGTGGCCCCAGTACATGACGACAATGGCGGGCCCGCAGGCGGCGGGTACGATGATGCCGAACATTCCAAAGCCCCAGCGCCAACCCTCACCGCCTGCCATAGACAGTGCACGGATGTTGGCAGTGATGAGACCAGCGACGAAGCCGTTGAGGACGAAGGGCAGCGAGTAGGCCCCGAGCACAACGCCGCGCCAGCGCAGCGGCGTCATGTCACTAATGAGGATGTGCATGACCTGGTAGGTGCCCGTGCGGCCGGCGGTGTAGATGGCCTCACCACCGACAACGGCGTGAATTGTCGGCGCGGCGGCAACGATGATGTACCCGAGCGTAAAGAGAGCAGCGGAGATGAACAGGCCCGAGGGGCGGGACATGATGTCGCACACCTTGGCGAGAATCGGCATGATAACAGCAGCAATCAGGTTGTTGATGACAGCAATGAGACCAATGACCGTATGCTTGCCCCAGAAGGAGGTCGCGAAGGCGGCGTCTGTGTGTCAGCTTCGTCGGCGGCGGCAGCTTACAAATGCCAGTGGTGATGACGGCGAGAGACCACACGTATGCCACGAGCGCAATGGACAACCACAGGAAGAACAACTTCCATCCTTTACCGAACACCATGTCTACTGTCAGCGATGTCAGGCGCGGGACATACACAGCGACTCGATCTTTGTGACGCCGATCGGCTGCTCAAACGAGACCCGCGTGTCAGTCCGCGACAACCCGTCCGAAGTCAGGTTCTGAGCGAGTTCCAAGTTCTTCTCGGTAGGGGTGTCGAGTGGTGTCTCGACATCGTTGCGGGTCTCGACTTCGGCGGCGGAGGCCCTAGTAACTTCGGGCGTGCCCGCTCCAACAACGAAGTTGGCGCTTGGTGTAGCCATCTTGATGATCGAAATGGGGGCCACGGGGTAGATCGAGACGAGGCACAGACGTTGCTGTGGTGTCTAAGTAGTAGTGTGCTAGAGAATCTTCACCGCGCCGAGATGTGAGGTCCAAGATGTCCAAGAGAAACAAGCAACGCCGTCGGAGCACTCTATCCACGAACCAGGTAGCAGGAAATAGTGGGAACGGCGGCCGGCGGCGTGTGGGCTGCATGGGCGTTCTCGGCGCCTGTCGGGTCGCCGGAACGATGGAGCTGAGCCCAGTTATTTCAGAGTGGCAGTCACTTTCCACGCGTCTGCATCGCTCGCATCGGCCGACCGCTATCAGATAATGGATCCAGAAAGCCTGCAGACGGCGCGCGCTCATGCTAACGCATAGCGCACAAGCCCGCGCCAAGGGACAGCGCAACAGATGAGCGCTTGAGAGGAGCTGAGGCGCGGGAGTGAGTGCCACAGCCACAGGTGAGGTCGCTCCCAGCGGAGGACAACCTGAGGACGAGGGGGGGTCAGGTATGTGAGTGCAACAGGTCAGGGGCCAGTGGGGAGACGCTGAAGGGTCAGCGCTCCAGGGTGTGGAATGCCTCAGGTGCACGAGAGGCAGAGCAAGAGACATAAAAAACAGGCGTGGCGCTCAACTCGTTCTTTTTAATCCCTGCCAAGCCGCGGCCAGCGGGGAGGCACAATGCAGATCGGCATTCTCCCTGCCAGGCCAAGATGCCTGTCGGCCGAAACATCAGTTTATCTGATATGCAATGGTTCCGAAGCGACTGGACGGGCCAATGAAGACAATTTCACGAACGCCCACTGGTCGATGCGTCGGTGAATGCGCTCTTGGTACGCGTTGAAGTAACGCAGCACAGACACGTTTGACTCGCGCTAGCGGGGCAAATGGGTCACGGGCTGCCGTTCCGGCGAGAATTCCGGTAGCTGGCGCGCGGTCTCGCGCGCGTGGGCCTGCCGTGGCCTGTCTACTGGTCAAGTACAAGATGCCACGGGTGGGCACATCTTCAAGAATCAATTTCCCCACTCACACAAAACTCTTGACCAGAATGCGTGCCGCCCTTATCCTTGCTGCTGCCGCTGGTGAGTTCGTCGCCGGGGATGCCAGAGGTCTAGCATTGCAACCCGTGTACATACTGGAGGAAGACCGTCATGCTGTGTGTGCAGTGGCACCTATCTGAAAGCTGCCACTCCGAGGAGCTCAGTCTCTCGTTTTCGCCCCAACTCCAGCCCACGAAACGTCGCTCACACCAGGCGCCTCCGCCGCGTCCCTCGACGCCCCCCTCCTCTTCTCGCGCCAGTCGGCCGCCATCGCCGGCTGCGAGGACCAGTGCAACCCCGTCATGGACTGGGCGTACACTTGCCGCACCGACGTGAACAAGTGCATGGACGAGTGCGATGCCGAGCTTCTCGCTACCGCGGACCAGTGCGTTGTCTGCATGCAGACCACCAACCCCGAGGAGGCCGTCAGGATCCAGGGTCGCGTCGACCCCATCCGCCAGATGTGCGGCGGTGCCGCCGCTTCGCCCTCGGCCGCGTCCTCGGCCTCGTCGGCTGCCGCCGAGACGCCCGCTGCCTCGTCCGACCCCGCCGCCGCCCCCTCGTCGGCCGCCGCCGCCCCTTCGGCGTCTGCCGCCGCTTCTTCTGCGTCTGCCGTCGCCTCCGCGTCTGCCTCCGCCTCAGCCTCCGGCTCCGCCGCTGCCGCCGCGGCCTCCACCCCTGCCGCCGCAAGCTCATCTGTGTCTGCGCCTTCCGCCAGCAACACCTCGGGCGCCGGCAAGGTCTCGCTCTCGCTCGGCGCTATCGCTGCCGCTGCCGCCGCGTACCTCCTTTAAATAGCCAGAGGAGGATTATGATATGTTAATAATGCCTTTCAGCCGAGCGACAGGGTGTGCCTGCGATCTGCGATTAGAGCGTTGCAGAGGGCAATTTTCGGCTTGGCGTCGATCTTAACGTTAATCATCGCAGTCACCAGCCACGGAACACTGCAGAAATCTGCTGATATCCAGCGATGGTGCCTGCAACTCATGTTTCGGCCGACGGGCGTGCTGATAACCATATTATTTCATGGACCATTCGTAGCAAGCCTGTTTGTCGTGGGTGTTCAAGCTGCGCTTTTTAACGACTGAGCGCGGCGAGGAGTTTCATATCTATGTAAGCAGCCCGGTATGGGTTCGTGACAACGTCGCAGCACAAGCGAACGCTTCACTTCAAAGGTCCACCTGCAGACCTATCACATGCGCTCCTACTGGGTTGTGAACAGTGCACAGTTTTTTGAACGTTCACGGGGACAAAGACAGCGGTACCCTGCCTACAGTATAACTAGCTCATGTCAGTATCCAGATACTTGATCATTGTAACGTCCAGTCTGTCTGATGCGCGGCTGTTTTGGCTTCTGACATAGGAATCCCATTTGAACACCCTGTCGGGCCAAAGTTCATCACTTTCTGCCAGGTCAAGTTACACGAATCATCTCACAAATACTTCTAAATAGTGTACACCCCGGCGCCAACGCCCGGGAGCGTCGCAAACGCGGCCTCCTCCAGCTCCTCCTTATTGAGTTTCGCAAACGGCTCATAATCACGCCTCACCCTTTCCAGGAACCCTGGCACCTCGCCAACTGGCAAAAGAGAAATGACAGCGCCGCCCCACCCGCCACCTGTCTGGCGCGCGCCGAGTGCACCGTGTTTCAAGCAGACATCGCGCAGCGCCTCCACCTCGGGGACAGTGCACTCGAAGAGGTCGCGTAAGCTTTCGTGGCTGCCGTTGATAAGATGCCCCAGCTCCGCCCAGTCCCCGTTGGAGCGGCAGAGTTGCACGAAGCGCTCGACACGGAGAGACTCGGTGAATGTGTGCTGTGCGCGCTGAAGGAGCTTGAACCGCTCTGCGCGGACGGGCACAAAGTCCAGATATGTCTCCTCGAATGCTTTGGCAGACATGCCAGAAGCCGCCACCATCTCGTCCCGCGTCCATCCCTCCGGATGAGCGCCCAGAACGGACGGAAGGGCATCAAGGGCGTGCTGGTAAAGCTCGGCATTGCTGCCCTTCTTGCCGAGCATGTCGATCGCCTCCTTCAGCCAGATTCGGCCCGCCTTGCCAGCGGCTGTGGTTCGAGGCGAGTCGATGCCCCACGCGTGCAGCAGCAAACGGGAGGCACAGAGCACCTCCACTACGCGCAGGTTATACCGTTCCGGCGCGGAGTCGGCCAAAGAGTGCGGCGCGAGACTATTTGTGATGACGACGGCGAGGCCGGAGGGCAGAGGGACGGGCTCGGTGTCGAGTGTCGGGTGGAAAGAGAGGTGAAGGAGTGACCCCTTCAGACTCAGCGCTGATGCCGCCTGGTCCATGCCGCCAGTGCGCAGGCCCATGCGGTGCTCGCTCGCAATGGCCATGGCTACAACATCACCCTTCGTCACCTTGTCCACGAGGTTGTTGGCCGTCAAGAAGAGGAGAACGGAGGACACGACCATCGCGGCCGAGGAGCTGAGCCCAGCGCCCGGAGGAACGTTGCCCGTGATGAGCACGTCCAGGCCCGCCGGCTTACCGCCCTCGGGGAAGAAACGCTGGAGGCACTCGAGCAATGCTACTTTGAGATAGTTTTCCCACCCGCCACCGTCCTTTGGAGGCACAAGGCCGGCGTCCCATTGCTGTTTGTACGTGAGCGTAAATTCAGCCGGCTTGAACGACGCCTGCGTGTTGGCGACCCGCACAGTGTTGTCCTCGCGCACGCGGAGGGCGATCAGGATGTCCTGTTCGATAGCTGCGGGCAGGACGGGGAAGAGGGAATAGTCGACGTGCTCGCCGAGAATGTTGACGCGACCGGGGGCCCGCACAATATGGCTGGGTCTCGCGCCGTACCGTTCCGTAAAACTGGATGCCAGAGAGTCCCAACGCTTGCCCTCACGCAGAACCTCGCCAGCGGGGTACACCTCGCCGATATCCTTGAACCTGGGGACAGGGCGGTCGGCGTTGCGCACTTCCTCTTTTGGACGGAGGGGCGAGGACAGGGGCTTGAAGCCCTCCGGGCTCGGAACACGGGACACTGCGCGACTCGCGATATCGTGGTAGTGCACCTCTTCGAGCTCACGAAGGCGCGCGGCGGCCTGCTCGGCTGTGAGGTCGCGCTGAGTCTCACCGAGCATTTCGAAGCCCACCAGGAACTTGCGCACGCTGGCACTCCTCAGGAGTGGCGGGTAGAAATGGAAGTGGGCGTGGGCTGCATCGCTGTCCGGGTTCTCCGGAGCCAGCGGCGCCTGGTGCAGTCCCATGCTGTATGGGAATGGATTTTTGAAGAGGTTGTCGTAGCGCACCAACAGCGCCTTGAGGACGCGCGCGAGGCCCTCGTCCTCGGCCGGTGTCATTTGCGCCAGCGACGGGATGTGCCGCTTGTACGGGAGGACCATGGTCTCGAAGGGCCATACTGCCCAGAAGGGGACGACGGCGACCCAGCCGCCCTCCTCATCGAGCGCGACGACACGCTCGCCACGCTGCACCTCCTCGTGCGCATAGCTGCAGAGGAGACAGGGCTCGCCGTCGCCGCGGCATGGTGCCGCGTGACCGTTGACATGGCCGTTGGCGTGTCCGTTGACATGTCCGTTGGTTTCGCCGCTGCTATGGCCGTTGGCATGTCCGTTGATGCCTTTAGGAGCGGTCGACTTGCTGTGAGTGGCAGTGTAGGCTTTGAGATTCTTGAGCTCCGTTGCAGGCTCGTCCGGCACGTAGGACAGAGTCCAAACCTGCCCGTGTGGGTGCGGAGCACTTGCGCCCATCATAGATCCGCGGTTCTCAAAGATCTGCACGTATCCGTCGGGACTGCCACTCTCACGCAGAAACTTGCCTTCGGCGATGTACACATCACGCCACTTCTGGACGACGCTCACGATCTCGGGTACGCTCATGCGCGCGAGGGTGAGATCGTGCCGCGGGTGGAAGCAGATGACGGAGCAGCGGCCACGCGTGGGTTCGGAAGAGAAAAGCGATTCGATTGACGCAGTCTCGGCAGAGGTGGCGGGCGCTGGACCGACATTCACAGGCAGGGCGTCTGGCAGGAGCGCAGGAAAGTCATTCGCAAACACCTGCCGTCAGGTCACACACCACATGGTCGCGACTCACGTAGGTGTCCTTGTACCGCGGGTTGACATGGCCACCCATGCGTGTGTTGCCGGGGCAGAGGTAGCAGCCCTCCTCATAAGAAGGCAGCTTCTCTTTGTGGGGCGGTTCCACTTGGCCCTGGGTGTCAGCAAGAATCTGGCTGGATGGCAGGTTGCAAGGCGCCATGAGGAATGCAGCAGCCGGTTGATGCCACGGAGCAGTTCGCTCGCCGCGGTTGTTGCAGCGCGGTTGGTGGCGACGCGGTGTACTCTCGTCACCGCGGAGATCTTGCGAGCGATATCCGTGTAATTACCCGGCCGCTCCGCTCCACAGCTTTGGAGCAATGACTGCTTCGCCACCGGTCTTCATTGCTACGCCGCACCACCAGGATGCCTCGTCTCGCCACTCCACACACGCTCGCCGGGACAGTCGGAAGGACTCACATTCCATGGGCGCTTGGTCCGGTGCGGCGACACCAGGACGTGTCTCCCGATGAGTGGGTTGACTGACCGTCAGCTCTCTCCCCGCCCTGGAGCCTACATCGGCGGTGTGGGTGCTCCGTAGGCTGAAACTCCATACTGATGTAGTGAGAATGGGGGCATGCAGATGTGAACAGGTCCAGGTGACCTGTTATGAGGTACTGGCCTCGGTGTCACGGCGCAAGCCTTGGGGCTCGCGTTTAGCAATAACAAAAAGAGATTCCCGTTCGGCGACTGTATGAACGGGAATTTACAACGCTAATCACGGGAATATTCAACGTGGGCGCATTAGGGTCCGGCGAGATCGGCGCACGGCTCTCTCGGCCCGGCATCCCGGCAGTTATAGCGGATGTATTTCGGATATTGGTAGAAGTCACGTGACGCACACAGGGCAGCCGCGTGGCTAACGGAGGGCCGAATATGTACACGCAAGCGTCGCGCTTGAGTGTCGTTCGTCATCGTCGCAGACTGGTCGTAACTCTACACCTCCTCGAACAACTCAGCAACCATGGCAGCACCAGGAGGCGGCGGCGCCTACTCGTGAGATACTTCAGTGGCCGCCCGCTGACCGCAGCTTCTCTCTCACCACCTTCTCCCCCTCGGGCAAGCTCGTTCAGATCGAGCACGCTCTCGCAGCTGTCGCTGGCGGCACAACTTCGCTGGGCATCAAGGGTGGGTGTTAGCAAGCTGCTGCTGTTGCGCACCTTGTTTGAACTCGCGCGGGCAGCTGCTCGAAGAGGACGAGGCAACTCCAAGCCTGTCTTGCCAGGCGCGACGCTGACGCCAGCAACAAATGGTGTCGTCCTCGCGACGGAGAAGAAGGATGTTTCATCACTCATTGACGCGTCCGTTATCGAGAAGGTCGCTCCCATCTGCCCCAACATTGGTATTGTGTACTCGGGTATGGGCCCCGACTTCCGAGTGCTCGTTGCCAAAGCGCGCAAGATCGCTCAGGCATACTGGAAGGTGTACGGAGAGTACCCGCCGACCAAGGTGCTCGTGCAAGAGGTGGCAGCGGTGATGCAGAAGGCGACGCAGTCCGGGTGAGTGGCTAACTTCGGCGGTAACTGTGAGGCATGCTTACACGCAGTGGTGTTCGCCCGTATGGCATCTCTCTTCTCATCGCAGGGTGGGACGCCCACCGTGGACAGTCGCTGTATCAGGTCGACCCCTCTGGATCATACTGGGCGTGGAAGGCGAGCGCGATCGGGAAGAACATGGTGAACGGCAAGACGTTCCTCGAGAAGCGGTGAGTATCTGAAAGACTCTGTGCGGCGAGCGACTCAGGAGGTCTCGGCTGACCCCAGCTACAACGACGACCTCTCCCTCGAAGATGCGATCCACACCGCGCTGCTCACGCTCAAGGAGGGCTTTGAGGGGCAGATGACGGCCGAGACGATCGAAATTGGCATCGTGACAGTGCCTACGCCGGAGCAGCAGATTGCCAAGAGCGGCGAGCGCGCGCCGCCCACGTTCCGCAAGCTCACCGAGCAGGAGGTGCGCGACTACCTCTCGCTGTAAGATAGAGATGTAGAGTATGATATGCAGCATGACACAGCACGCGGGTTGCGTGAGCAGGTTTGGGCTCCGCACAGGGCGAGCGGGACGCCTTGTACGCTGATGTGGTCATGCCCGCAGCGTCCAATACTGCTGATTGCATCAACAGCTTCTGCTTCACATGGTCCGGAACACAATTTCTCCACGGCGACACGAAATCAAGGACTGTTGGTTCGCGCACGCCGTCGTAGGAGCGCAGCAATCTGAGGCGAAGGCGAGAGCACTTCAGAGTACGATCACGCCCATCATCAGTGACTCCGGACAACGGAAGACAAGTCATGGCGAGGTGATGAAAACGAACGAGGTTTCGCTGCGACACTTGCACCATTCAATGGGAAATATTTCTGCCTACCTTTGTCTAGTAGATTGAACGAACGCCGAAGGTTACGCCCCTCTCTTCGTGTCATCTTCTGAGAGACCACTACTTCTTCCCACATTGTAAGGTGGCGGAATCTGTGAGCATCTCACTCGAGTCTGTCACCAGTCGCCGGCAAAGACCACATGTAAACGACCACATTTATCTCACGCATCTCCACCACTGCCACTCCGTACTCCGATCTGGCCGCTCTAACCAAACTAGATCAGCCTAGAGTCGATCATACAGTGTGCATATCGACCAATGCAAAAGACATGAATCGTAACGCTCTATCAAGGTCGACGGGCGTCGTCGGTGGGTATACGAAGCGGCGTATACGCACGCGTCGGGTGGGTAGATGCAGAGATAATGGTGGAGATGTTTATTCTGCGAGTTAGCTCGGTTCACAGTTCAAATGAGCCTATTGAAACTCACGCTGGGCACACTGGACACCCGGGCGCTCGTCGTCGTCCTCGTCCATGTCGTCGCCGCTCGAGGCCGCGGTGCGGCGCTGACGGTCGTTGGGCTCCTCAAGCGTGACCTCGTCAAAGTGCAGCTTGGGGTCGAGCTTGGGGAGCGCCGGGCGCTTGGGAAGGGCTTTCTCCAGGAGAGGGAAGGCGGATGGGTCGAGGTGGTCGGGGAACTTGACGTTGATGCGCACGAAGAGGTCGCCGAGCTCGTGGTGACGGTAAGAAGGCATGCCCTGGCCCGAAATGCATCTAAGAGCTCCGGGCTTGATGATCTCACCCGGAACGATTGTGACATGGAGCGCGTGGTCGTCGAGGTGGGGGATAACAAACTCGCCGCCAGCGAGCGCAGTAAGAAGGTCGATCTCGACATCCGTGAAGAGATCGTCACCCTTGCGCTGGAAGCGCTCGTGTGGCTTCTCCTCGACGACGATAATTACATCGCCGGGCACGATGCCTGGCGCCTGGTCCGACTCTCCGGCAAACTTGATCTGCTGTCCGCTCTTCATGCCCTTGTCGATGTGGACCTCCAGGACCTTGCGCTCCGAGTTGACCTTCTTGCCGTGGCACACCTTGCAGCGGTCCTTGGGGTCCATGATCTCACCAGTGCCCTCGCACTCGTTACAGGGCTGCTGGATCTGCTGCATCATGGGCCCGAGCTGGCGGAACATGACCTTGACGCCCTGCCCACGGCATGACGCACACTGCTTGACCGCACCCTTCTTGCCGCCGAGACCGTCGCAGCCCTTGCAGAGCACCGACTTGGAAAGCGCGAGCTTCTGGACCTTGCCCTTGTAGAGGTCCTCGAGCGAGACACCGATACGGTGCACGAGGTCCTTCCCGCGGCGTGGTCCAGACGGCCGGCCACCGCCGCCACCGAAGAAGCCGCCGCCACCGCCGCCGAAGAGCTGCGAGAACAGGTCGTGCTCCATGCCGCCCATGCCACCCATACCGCCGCCGCCCTCGAGGCCCTCCTTGCCCGCCTGGTCGTAGATCGCGCGCTTCTGAGAGTCGGACAACACCTCATAGCTGGCATTAGAGCTGTCGGGGACGTCGACTAGGCTGACCGTTCGATACTTACGCGTGAGTCAGATCCTTGAAGAGCTCGGGGTCACCGCCCTTGTCAGGGTGGTGCTTGAGAGCACTAAACGTTAGCGTTCGGTCCAAGCTTAGTGGAGGCGCAATGCATGCTCACCTTTTCCTGTATGCCTTCTTAATCTCGTCATCGCCGGCGGTGGGCTTCACGCCGAGGAGGTCGCTGCAAGGTCGGATTAGAGAGGGGGGAACGGGAAGCGAGTGTACGCGAAAACGGTGATGCGATCAAGGGAAGACACACGGTCAGCTCTGTTTCTCGTTCTGCATGTGCCTCGTACTCACTAGTACTCGCTGTAGAGTGAAATGGGTCACAGGGAGGTGAAATGAGAGCGTGCGCGTATAGTAGAGCGTTGCATGACAACGGAGAAGGCGAGCGTCAGCATGATTTCATATGGGTGACCAAGCTTCTGCGCCCGCAGCCAACGATGCGTCTGACGAGCACCAGAGCACCTTCGATGGCTGCTGCGCGTGACAGCGAGGGAGGGATACTCACGTCTCCCGAACCATTGTGCTAGAGATGGACTTTTGGAGGAGGAGGAGGTGATGGAAGAGAAGATGAGATGGTCGACTATGACGGGGGGTACGTGATCAATAATGGAAGTAGGACGAGTGGTGATGATAGAAGTCTCTGGTACAGTCTGGGTGAGCAATTGGTGGCGTGGGGGATTACAGGCGGAGGTGTGCCATCCAGGGTCTCTGAGATTTTGAGGGGGGCTCAAAGGCGGCGATGTCAACTTTATCCGGCACGCACAGCCAGCCTGCTGCCGGCTCGCCGCCCTCTCCGCCCGCCGGCCTCGACCGCATGCATGATCTGTAGTTCATCCCCGTCGGTCGTGCCCAGCCCGCTGTGCGGTATGTCTACGTGCTCGCTTCGTTCAGTCTGCATTCAAGTGCATGTGAAACCCTCCAGTCTGAATGGCTCATTGAAAGTGTGTCAAGTCCGAGAGTTTGCAGCACGACGCGTCTCTCATTAGGGCACTTACGTTCCGCGTTCTTGGGCGCGGGCCCGGCGTTGCCCCAGCTTCATTCGCCACCCGGTTCCACCACCTCCACCACCTTCCAGCACGTTCCAACGTAATGCTTCCGTTACTCCATCACGTGACCAAAAGCCACGCGAGTATCGCGTGGTACTTATTCGAGCATCCGCTACCTCCCGATATTGTTGTGACGGAGAGTGCGGTGGCCAGTTCGTCATTCAGCCTCGAGTTACCAAGTCCCTTGCGCATCGTCTTCACGTCTCTCCGTCCCATCTCCTAATCCAGGTCTACTCTACGGGCTTTTACGCAACGCATAGCTCCCCTTGCCGTCGTCTTCGCCATGGCGCCGGCAGCTCCGCGCACGTCAAGTCCGAGCATGGGTGGGTCACAAGACCTGTTGTTTGTGATTGACTGTAGACCATGCCGACCCCGTCCTTGCCAAGCTCGCCGAGTCCGCAACATTTGAGTAAGCTTAAGCTGCCCAAGTATGCTTGCTGACATGCAGCTGCGACTGGCCCACTCTTCGCCACCACCTGTATCTCGCGCTGCTGGCCGCGCACCCCATTTTCCTTGAGAAAGGCAAGCCGCCCACCTACTCTGGGGCTGTGCCCGTATCAGTGTCGCCAACGAACACGGACGGGCGCGTGCCCATTACAATGGAGGACGATGAGCTGCGGCCTTCTACACCCGGAGGTCTTGTAATCCCCCCGTTTGCGCCGCTGGACCCAAATCGCCGCCGCCCGCACGTGCTGGTCATCAACGCCGGCGAAGGGCGGCTGAACGGCACCACTGGGCGCGGGAACCCGTTCGAGGACGAATGGGATGAGGAGGTCATCATCGGCGGGCGCAAACTACCTAGTTGGTACGACGATGAAGAAGGCAAGCGAGAGGTGGAGAAGGTGGCGCAGCGCATCGAGGACCTTCCCTAGTGAGCCACACGAGGTCGACAGCGTAGCTGACTTCAGCGCGCCTTTCACGGTTCAACGCCTTGCAGAGCTGCTGCTCGCACCCACACGGCTGCACTCCACTCTTGGCAAGTTCCTCCGCGCCGTGGAGAAGACAATCAACGTCACCACCGCGTACGCGCCTCCCTCGTACACCTACGTGCCCCCACCATCGGTCTTATCAATGGACAATATCGGCACGCCGTCGGCCTCGCCTTCACCTGCGACAATGGACGTTGACAGCACAGTGCCACCCGGCTCGATGACGCCCATGTTCTCTCCGATCCCGTGGGCGACAGGAGAGAACGATGCGCTCGGCGAGCCTATGATGGACGTGGACGACGGGCCAGGCGACGACGGCCTCATGTCCCCGCTCATGTTAAATGAGGGCGGGAGCGTGTTTGCGTCGCAGCAAGGCCGCTCACCAACTCCCGAACCAGAGGACGACGCGGAAACGCGCAAGAGTCCTGAGCGGGGAGGGCGAAGGGAGTCCGAAGGGGCCAGCGGCAGTAGTGGACGGCCTGTTGCCGGCGGCAGCGGGAACTCCGGGCGGGCAGAAGCTGAAGGCGGCGGCGACCCAGGCAACACGCCTTACCTCGGACGCGTGGACGAGTTGGACATGGGCCCGATCACATCCAACGGACACCATGGCGAGGAGCCGGCGACGGGCGTCGGCGAAGCTGGAAACATGACACCACACGGGATGAGCGACCAGCCTGTTCCCCTGAGCCGCACAACAGTGATTACTGAATCGCAGCGCGACATTGCCCCATTGCCGCGGCGTGGGGCTGTGTCCGCCGAAGGCGAAGGAGAGCCGGAGGATATTGCCACCGCAGCGGCGGATACTACGGAGGAAGCCCGGGCAGGGGCGAAGGTCGAGGATGTGACGCAGGAAGGGAAGGACGAATTGAAAGCCGAGGTCGAGCCCTCTGAAGCTTAGCCTGCGGCTGGGGACAGACAGCTCTAGGCAGGGGGCGAAGGCTTAGGCTTTGGCGATGGGTGCGGCAGAACCCACGACGTCCCGTCCGCGTGGATTGTATGTCTAGTGTCATGGACTTTGTCACAGGTGCATTCGTATTCTACTGTATATGCCTGCGGGTCTATCCAGGCGAGGCGGGCTGTACGCAGCCGAGATCGGATAAGATGTCTGAATAGCTAGCGTTTATGAACCAGCCTACTCGGTGGGAGCCTGCCACACCGGCTGGGCTTCGGGGTCGTTGTCTGGCGCGCGCATCGTGCTGTCGTCAGCAAGCATAGTCTCATCTTACGGACCTCGGCGTGTCGACAGCAGGGATGAAGTGGAGCGCCACGAACGCGAGGCCTACCAACCCCACAATCGAGCCGCACACCTTGAGCAGCGTGTGGTAGTTGAGCATGAGCACGCCCATGAGGAGGTAGACTGTGGTGAGCAGGGTCGCGGGTGAGAGAGGCAGGGAGGCGGAGGCGAACAGCCTCCGAGACAGGAGCAGACGGAGGGACTCACAGACACCCCGCCCAATGAACGAGTGCATGAAGCTCGCGTACTGCGCCACGAGCGCCTTTTGGTGCTTTGACGGCTTGCGCACCTCCATGCCGAGCACGACTACGCCGGCGAGAATCTCGTACACGCCAATAATGATCGAGGAGAAGGAGAGGTTGATGATGGAGCCGATGCCGCCGGCGATGCAGAGGCCGCCGACCGCCCTGGGGTGAGCGTGGGGAGGCGGGGTGAGGTAAGGGGGTTGTAGGGGGGCAACCCGAGATGTGAGAGGAGGGCGGAAGGGGTGGCGGAGGAGGAGGGATGCTGAAGAGTGATAGCGGTGCTGCTCACGGAGAGCATATTGCTGAGGACAGATCCATCACTCCAGCCTTCCGCATCCGCACACCGCACGCCGGACTGGGGCGCCTGGCCTTGAGACATGCCTCGTCGGCGTCAACGCCCCCGCTATCCCACGACGGCATTGGCGCCGCGCAGCGATACGTACATATTGGCGATGCTGGGGTCAGCTGTAGCCCTCAAACTCGGACATACCGGATCAGTTCTTCTGGGTTCTGCAGGATGCGCTCCATTGTCGTGTCGTAGTGTTGGATGCAGAGTTGAGAAACGCGACGTGCTCGGCGGACGGGAAGCGAGAAGGATGATGTGGAGGTTGAACTGGAATGGGGGGTGGGCGGACATCATTTCAGGGGCCGTCGTCATGTCAGCGGCGCAACTTTATTCCCTCGACGCGGGCCAACCTCGGCGCAGGTACACACCTAGTCTGCAGCTTGCAGGGTAGTCTTGCATGTCTCAGAGATGTTAAATGGAATAGTGACGAGAGTATGCATCATGATTGATCCCATCTAGATACTCGCTAATCACGTTCACCACAGACCGCTGGACGCCTGGAGTCAGTCTGGCCTCATAAGGCGGACGTACGTTCTTGTCGCTGCGCTTGCGCGGCGCCTCGACATCCTCCTCGTCCTCGACACCGCCAAACACTGCCGTCAGCTTACTGTGCCAACGGGGAAGCTGGCGACTCACTGGCAGCACCCATCTGCGACTTGCCGCCGGGACCTGGGGTCAGCTCGGGTCCACCGCCAATGCCGACATCGCCTCCGTGCGCGTGCTGCGCGGATGGCAGCACGTCCTCGAGCAACTCACCCTCGCGGACCTTGCGCGTGGGCCGGAAGTTGGGTGGGGGGTTGCTCTCGCGCTCCGTGTTACGCGCCTCAGCAGTCGCCGACTCGACCTTCTCGCCGGGACCCAGCTCGATCTTGTTCTCATCGGGCAGGTCCTCGATGTGCGCGCCGCCGTCAGCCTCGGGCTCGACGTGGAGCTTGAGATGCTCCATCCGGTCAATGTCAATGTCGACGCCGGGGCCGCCATCCTTAGGCGGCGCGAGGGAGAGCGCGTCCGCCTCCTCGTACTCCTCGCCGTAGAGCTTGAAGCTCTGCTTGCCCCCGGGAGGGTCAACGACCTTGCGCGATGGCCGGGTCGTGGCGGCTTGCGAGGACGACGAGGGCTTAGGGTCCTCGTGGTCGTTAATCTCGGCCTGGTGTGAGCGCGAGCGCCAATCAGGCGCGTCTGGATGCGATCTACGTGCTCCCTGCTCATCAACACACCTCAATCAGGTCCTTGACAGCCTCGTCCGTCGCTGCCTGCGACATGTGCCCGAACGACGCGTACTCTGGGCGTGAGTTCGCCTTCCATGGTCAGGATAGACATACTGGGCTGCTTGTCAGCTAAGCAGCTCCCCTCGAGCGGCACATACCAGCTTCTGGATCTCGGTGAAGTTCGTGTTGACGGTCAGCTGGCAAGATCTAGGAGTAAGCTGCTGGCCTCCATAGTCCACCTGGACCGGCGCCCACGCACTTGAGGAACTCGAGGAGCGAGCGCTTCGAGAACACAATCTTGTCACTGGTTTCAGTGCGCGCACCAGAAGCAAATCACTCACGTGTCCCAGTTGAGCTGGCCTGGCGAGGTTAGCTATGGGTCTCAAAGGGTGCAGTGGTGCCTAGGCAAGCAGTGCGCTCCTGGTCCACATCAAGATGAACCAGGAGCTCGTGACAAGCCAGTTCTGCAAAATAGTTGGGAGTGGCACCGCGATCGATGCACTGATCAACTACTGGCTCGGGCACTTCCGCAGCCGGTCCGCATATTCATGTTACACCTGAGACACGTACCGATGGTCTGGCCCCTGCTGTCAGCTATGCGAGCTCGACATCGACATTGACATCGACATCTCCGTCGCTCTAATCTCGACCACTGCTTCTTCCTCTTCGCAGGTCTCCCAGGTCATTCGCGCACACGCCTGGACTGTCAACTCACCAGGTCTTGGGCTCGTCCATCTTGAAGGGATGAATGGGGGTGAAGGTGTACTGGTTGCTGCTGTCAGCTGGACTAATCAAGGTCACTCACTCGGACTTGTCAGCCATCTTGGTAGTTGTGATCTGATCTGAGAGAGTGAGAAAAGAGACAAGGAGATGAAAGGGAGATCGTGTCGAGAGCGGCTGGGAGTACGATGACGCTGGCATTAGGGTCGGCTTGAACCCTTGATCGCCGGAATAGAGCGAGATGACCGTGGGAGAGTTGGCGAGAAACCTCCACCACAGATGTTCTGACGTCTTGAACGATTGCTCATGCCCGTGTAATTTCTGAGAACGTCTCCATCACTCATCCTCAGGCCGCTATTCTCTTGGTTCCTCACATCTGGTCTCTTCTTCGACTTATCGCCTCCCAGCGTTCACTTTCTAACAGCGCTCTTCGCCCTCTTCACCCGCTGTCACACGCCCCACCATGCGCTACGCAGTCATGGTCACCGGCCCCGCTGGCGCGGGCAAGAGCACCTTCTGCCAGGCGCTCATCACGCATGCCCAGACCATTGGGCGACAAGTGCATCTGATCAACCTCGACCCCGCCGCGGAACGGTTCGAGACTCCGCCAGTATTGGACATCCGCGATCTCATCAGCCTCGAAGACGTGATGGAGGAGCTCGAGTTCGGGCCAAACGGTGGATTGGTGTACTGCTTTGAGTGAGTTTGCGCTCTGAGGCTACGGGTGATGGCCAGAGGAGGAGGAGGCCTGACAGTCTTGCATCTGTCGCGGAATCCGAATCGCTCTTCCTCTTCTGCTTTACTCCTGCCCCCCTCCCTCACCTCCATCCGGCATCACCATTGATCCTGCCGCCGCTTACACCAGGTACCTCCTCGACAACCTCGACTGGCTGGAAGAGGAGCTTGGCGCATACGAGGACGAGTATCTGATCATCGACTGCCCCGGCCAGATCGAGCTGTACACGCACATCCCCCTCCTCCCACAACTTGCCACCTTCCTCGACCGACGACTCAACTTCCGCACCTCGGCCGTCTACCTCGTCGAGTCGCAATTCATGCAGGACCGCGCCAAGTACTTTGCAGGTGTTCTCTCCGCCATGTCGTGCATGCTGTCCCTCGGCATCCCCATGCTCTGCCTCATGAGCAAGATGGACTTAGTTAAGGACGCGAAGGGGCGGATCGGGCGCGAGGTTGGGCGATACCTTGATCCCGATCCGGGGTTGGTCGAGGAGGACGTGCACGCCCGCACGAATCCCAGGTTCCACGGGCTGAATCGCGCCGTCGCAGGCCTGATTGAGGACCAGAACATCGTCTCCTTCCTTCCCCTGGATGTCACCGACGAGGACAGTGTTAACACTATTCTATCGCATGTCGACAACATGATGCAGTACGGCGAGGACGAGGAGCCCAAGGTCCCCAAGGACATGGACGAGGGTGAGCTAGCGGTGTTGGATCCTAGCTGACGTCAGGCGACTTTGAGGAGTAGTGCGCGAGCGCGACAGTCCTTCGCCCTCTTGCTCCCCACACGACTTCACTTCATCGACTTCATCTTGACATAACCAGCATGCATAATATCAACAGGACCGCCCGCCAGCAGCGATCGCGCGCTTGCGCTGCGCTGAAAAATAATAACACTAGATCTTTGTCCGCAGGCCCCGCGCATTCAACAGCCGTTCAGTCCGGAAGCGCTCGTACACAACCTCACGGGTCGTCTGGCGCAGCCAGTCAGTTGCATCGACGATCGCATTCCGTACCGCCGGCAGGTCCGAGTGTGCGGGATCAGCCGCGTCCGCCCGGCCCCACCGGAACGCGCGCGTGAAGCCTGGTCCAGGTTCGGGCGCAAAGACGACGTACGGGAAGTCGGTGTCGGGCTCGGAGTCTCTTGCGTCGTCGCCCGAGTCGTCCTCGTACTGGGGTCAGAGGGAGTCCAATAATCACAGGCCAAGAGTCTCGCCGCCATCGGCCTAACAGTGATGCAACCGGCGAGCTCCCGAAACGCCCCACTCACTTGCCCAGCAGAAAGGACGCCGAATGGCCCCAAGGGGTCACGCCCAAAAACGGCCGCGAGGTCGCGACGGACAGCGGCGCGTACGGCCGTGAGTTCGGTGGTCGTGAGCGCGTCCGCATGCGTCAGAAGAGGGAGGACGTTGGCGCGGACGGAGAACTGGCGCATCTGGGGTCAGACTGGACGTGGTCCGCTGAGCCTAGCTGGGAACCGACACCTCTGCCCATAGGCAGCACTCACAGCCTCAATGTCGTCGGCGCTCAGCTTGGCGGCGACGCCGGGCGCCTCGGGCTCGAGCTCGCTCTCGGGCCGCGTGGGGCCCTTGTTCGCGGGCGGCTCCATCACTGTGTCCCAGTCGATCTCGACCGGCGAGGCGGGACACAGGATCGTGCGTGCGTCCATGACGTAGATGACTGGGGTGAGCGGCGATCCGAGTGCGGCGTGACGCCCGGCACACGTCCTCTAGTGTTCCTTCGCTCCGCCCTTCCATGGTCACACCTTCCGGCCACCCTTGTCTGGCTCCCAACGCCGTCACAAGCCTCTCCCTCGTACGCGCCTCGCTCCCTGGACCGGCCGCCGACCCAACATCCGGAGTACTCACTCAGATGCACCAGCTCCCCGCCATCGCTCTTGCGGCGCACAACCTTGCTCTCCTCGGCCAGCACTCTACTGAGCCGGTCCTCGACCATGGTGATGAGGGCGCGGAGGGCGCGCGCCCGCGTCTTGCGCAGCTCGTCGGGGAGCGGCAGCCCCGGCGTGTCGAGGAGGACGGCGCCGCGCCGCTCGTCCGCGACATTTATGTCGTGGCGCACGACGCTCGTCGTCGGCCCGACGCGCACCGCGAGCCGCGGCGCCTGCGGGTCGAGGACGTGCGTGAGTGCGTCGATGAGGCTGGCGTCAGCGGCACGGACCTCATCCGAGATGCGGAGGCCTCTCCGCCGTCCCGTCCGCGTCACCGTTCACCCTGCGCTGCACAACGCAACTCACCACGTCTTGCCCGACCCGCTGGGCCCCGCGACAATCACCGTGAGCGGCGCGGCGCGGCGCTGGCGCGCGCGCCGCATCGTGCCCGGCCGCGAAATTGGCTGGACCGGCACGATGTGGTGCGGCGAGAACGGGCGGTGGAAGTCCGGGCTGGCGCCAGTCGCGTCTCTGATCTGCGAGGCGGCGCGGGAGCGGCCGGGCGCCGAGCCCGCGTGGCCGTGGCCGGGGCCGTGGCCGCTGTCACTCGTCGCGCCGGGGATGGGGATGGCGCGCGGAGCGAGGTTGTTGTACTGCGGCACGTAGCTGTGCCTGTAGGCTGTGGGTGCGTGGGCGGGGGCGGGGGCGTCCCGGGCATGGGAGGCCCACTCGGCGTCGATGAGCGGCTTGGCCTCGGGGAAGGAGAGGGCCGCGAGCGTCGGCACCGGCTCGTCGGGCTTGCGCCGCGGCGGCTGCTTCCGGAGCAGGCTGATGGGCATGGCGATGAAGATGGCTGCGTTAGGCTGCCGCGGTCGTGGTCGTCGTGGTGGGTGAGGATGTGGACGTGGATGTGGTCGTCGCGAGAGAAGGGATCTGTGCGCTGTGCAAGTCACGAGTCACGAGTCACGAGGAGTGGCTCGCAAAGGAGGAAATTGTTATTGTTTGTGAGAGGACACACGCGTCAAGCGTCGGTGTCGAGTGGGCGGGGCAGCGGGCGATGGGCTGGGCCAGAATGAAAGTGGGGATAGGAACTGGTCGTCAAGACCGAGTCAAGGTTAGAGTGAAGAGAGATGGAGCAGGCGAGAAGAGGTAAGTGAGTGAGTGCGTGATGGGTGAGTTGAGTGCGCGGTGCGTGCTGCGCGGTGCGTGGTGCGCGGTGCGCGGTGCGCGGTGGTCGCGCCGGTCGGGGAGTCATGGCATGGCACGGTGGCGACGGTCATGTTGGATGGGCGGTGGGTGTGTGGGGTGCGAGACGCCAGGAGAAGGAGGAGGAGCAAGGCCAAAGGAGCAAAGAGGAAGAAGAGATATGCCGGCATGGGGCCATGGGCCATGGGGGTCGCCTGCATCGCCTGATCGCCTGATCGCCTGTCGCGTGTCGCGTGTCAGCTGCCCAGCGTCTCCCGATCTCCCAGCATCAGTCTCATGCTTCATGTCCCATGTCGACGCGCCTGGCGTACCTGGCGTCAGAGATCACTACAGTATGTCTGTGCGTCAGGGCTCTACGAATTCTTGACACGCGCAACGCGACTCGTCGACGCCTGAGCACCTGAGATTGGCCTCGATCAAGCAGCGAGGCAGGCCTGATACGTGATACATGATACACACACTCTCTCCTTGCTTCCCTGCGCCCTTGCTTCCCGACCCAGCAATGTCACATCCCGACCCTTCTCCCAACCTCAGCCATACAACCCCTCCGCTGCCTGCTCGTGCGACCGGTGCATATAGTATAGTCTATGGGACAGTGGAGACAAACGAGTGTCTTGTTGTAAAGATGGTCTAATCGTGGCAATGTGCGAGCGCTGAAGAGTGCGACGGCGCTTACACCACGCACTTCAGGTCGGCCTTCTCGACGAGCGCAAGTCCAGCGCCTAGCGCCCAGCCGAGCTCGACACCACGCAGCTGCTTCTCAACAAGCAGCGTCCGGTCGTCGTGAATCTCGTAGCCCAACCCAAGGAGGCCAACCATGAACGTAAGGTCAAGGCAGTACTCTGGGCGGTCTTTGAGCTCCTCCATCGCCTCCGTGTTGTCGCCCCAGCGCTTCTCCCACGCCGTGGGGCCGTCGCACACGTCCGACGCTATGCTCTTAAGGTCCTTGAGAGTCAGGCTGCTGGCCTTGGGCGCAAGCAAAGGCTTGATCCGGTCCGTAAAGTACGAAAGCGCGAGGAAGTCGCCGCGAGGGAAGTGGTCGATCAGCGCAGGCTGGTACACGCCGTTGAAAGAGCATGGTGCGACCTTGCACAGCGCGTCCTTGCCCATCACAAGCTCGACAGTACGCTTGCACGCCTCGTACCCGCCGTTCCCACCAGCCATGGTCACGTTGACGGCCGAACGCCCCGGTGGGTCAAGGGTGACGCGACGGGTCGTGCCGCGCGACAGGCAGGCGTTGGGCACCTCTACCTCCTCAGTGAGAGCATCCCATTCACCGCTCTGCGTGAACTGCCACATGAACGCCACGAGGTTGTGGACGCTGCGGCGCGCGCGCATCAGACCGTAGTTGAGGTAAGAGTGCTGGTAAAGGACGTGGTCCTTGCCCATGAAGCGGAGGTTGTACTTGTGGTCACCCTCGTGGAAGTCGTCGCTCGACGAGGTAAAGTCGGGCTCGAAAACAATCTGGGTAGAAGCGCCACCGAGGTCCATGACGGCAAGCGTGTCGGTCGTCTTGACACCCTCGCCAATCTTGCCGAGAAGGTAGTTGGCCGTGATCCAGGCGTAGACACCCTCGTCTTTGCCCTCCATGATCTCGATCGCGCCTTCGGGCACCGGGAACTTGTACTTGGTCTCGAGGTGGTTACGGACCTCTTCGAGGATCGCGCTCGACTGCTTCTCGCCGAGGAGGCGAAGACCAGCCGTCGCCTTGACCTCGACGGGCGAGCAGTTCCACAGCGACTTGGGCACTACACGCTGAGCCTCCTCCATGAGCTCATCAAGGGACGCAGCGGCCGCAGTGGGGTCATCCTTGTACGACGACAGTCCGGGCTTGAGCATCTTGAACGTCTCGTACTCGAGCTGGGGCGAGGGCCCGCAGTTGTGGAACTTGTAGACGTGAATGCGCGAGCCAGTCGAGCCGGCGTCAATTGTGAGCGCGTACTGAACGAGGGGCTTCTCGCCATAGGCAGTGGAGCAGTGAGTTGTGGACGAGGCGTCGGGGTCGGTCTCAAAGGAGGTTGGGTGTTCTTTCCCATCCGAGACTGGCTCGTTCTCCGTCCCATCATCCTCGTCCGCGGCAGGGGTCGAAGGTGGGGCGGTCTCGACAGGGGTCTTGTCGGTGCCGGCTCCCAGGTCAGGCTGATCCTCGTCGTTGTGATCAACGGGAGCGTGGTCGACGGGAGCGGCGCTTCCAGCTGGGGGAGGCGTGTAGTCCTCGTCGTCGCCCTGCTCCGCGGCAACCGGCTCGTAACCCAAGTCGGCGCTGGGGGTGTACCCATCATCGTTTACGCTAACATCCTTGCTACTCCCCATGGAGGAGAAGCCGATAATTAGGACGAGGGCAGCGACAGCGCCGATGGCAGCATACCGCTTCCAAGCGGCAAAGCCGCCGACACGTTTCCGCCGATGCCCCTCCGCGCTGGTGGGGAGGGGTGTGTACTTGCGGGAGGAGAACATGGATCCGGGCACGGTGGGCAGGGGCCTAGGACGGCGTCGGAGGAGGGAAGGCGGGGAGTGGGGGCTCGGAGTGAGCGGTTCGGGCGAGGGGGAGGAGTCGCGCGAGGGCGGGAGGGAAGAAGGGAGGGAGGAGGGGAGAGAGGAGGATTGCGATGCAGGAGGACCGTCTCGCATGCACTGGTCGGGGGGAGGGGGGTGAGAGGATGGGGGAAGCTGGAGTTAGTGGCAAAGACACAATGAAGATTCGGCGCGCGGCGGCGGAGGGTGGTGGTGGAGGGAGCAGGTGAGTGCAGGCGGTACAGCGGTGCAGGGCCGAGAGCCGAGGGAGGGCGTGTTCGGCGAGGGTCACACTTGTGGACGAGACGAACGTGTCACACTCCATGACCTACGCCCCGGGGAATTTGTGATGATGGGATCGGGACAACTCACGTCCTCTCTTGAGATGGGGGTGGTGATGGTGAGTAAAGGAGTGATGAAGAAGAGAGAAATGTCGATGAGAGGACTAGGAGAGAGGACGGTTGCTGAGGTGTCGTTGCGCTTGTGCTTGTTGCGCGGGTGCACTGTGCTCTGCCAACCTAAGTAGTACAGTAGGCCACCGTAGCTGCCCGCTCATGCCGCCCACCCACCGTAGGAGCGCGTCCCGTTTCTCCCGCCCCGTGCAATTTACAGTTCCTCTCGGCCCTTTCCTGCTCTCCGGCTGCTCCTCGCGTCCTCTGCCCTTGCACCCTGGGGCGGCCTGGGTGGCGAATTTGAGGATAATCGCCCAATCGTCCAAAGGTTTTATTAGACTTTTTTTTTTTCATCCGCCCCAGCGATCCCATTTTGTGCCTGGCATTCCTGTCGCCGCGTCTCAGTCGTGCCTGTGCGCCGAGTGCGACATGGCAAGTGCGGCACTTGTATATTGAATGTACTCTCACTCCCAGCACGAACCCGGCTCAATCCATGTTAAAAGCTTGAGTTAAAAGGAGGAGAGTACCCCCTGTCTGTCATCACTTGTACAGTATGCCAGGAGGTGTGAGTGCAACGATATCATGATATTATGATTATGAGGGCGAGAGGTCTGAGCAGATCAGCGTCAGGCAGGCGTCCGTGCCTGTCCACGTGGCGTCCCTTCCAGACGACATCTCGATATTTCGGGCTGTATGCAGCATCGGCCTGCAGACATTTGCTAACCAGGCGGCCTTGGAGAGCTTGAAGCTGAAAGCACATGTGTTCCAACTTTGGTGTGCTTTGGCTATCACTGATTAGCTAACTATTCGCAGGTCAGAAAGAGCTCACCAGGTATATCAAGTGAAGCAACTGACATCGCAAATCGCCTCGCTGATCGCCGAGGGCCGCCGCGCAGTGGTCGTTGCCAACACCATCTCAATACCTTCCTCGGACCTCGAAGAACCTCGACGTCCCCACATGTCATCGTCGCCCCCCATCTCCCTCTTGCGGCCGGCGCAGATGAGGGCCCAAAGGCGCCCGGGCCCTGGCCCTTGGGTGGCTCACCCTTCCTTGCGCCCCAACTCGGAGCACCACCCAAGCCTGCTCAACGTCGGCCTCCAACCACCTCCATCCCCTCGCCTTCTCCCCGGGCATCACATCGCACAGCGAGCAAGATGCACGCCAAAAGCAGCCCCGAGCGGGGATTGAACCCGCGCCTCTAACGGTACACGGCCTGTCGCAGGGTGTGTAAGATTAGTGACCTAACCTCTGGTCGATCGGGGCGTATGTCACGGATATGCCGCTCAGTTGGCGATTCGAGCACATCCCTGCTGCGCTGCCGCAAACGCTGCGGCACAACCAAAGGTACACCTTCCATCTGTAGCATGTAGCAGCTGTCGCGCTGTCAACACTGTTATCATGGCCGCAAGGATGAAAAGAATTCAAAGGATAGTCAACACTACTCCTCACACACCACGCTCGCATAGCCCCAGAGAATCCTGCGCCCCATCAAGCTTCCAAAGCGGTGCGTGTCTCACGCAATCAGTCATATGGAACTGATACTCACCTTCTCATGTCCACCTATCCTGCATTTGCCGTCCGCTTGCATATATAAAGCGCTCGCCGATCGTCGATGCCATGATAATGGCCTCGATATCCACTGCTGGGAGGGTGGAGCACCTCCACCTAACCAATTTATCCGGGGCATTTGTTTGTATTTGATCCCATGGGCGCTCGCCACCCAAGGTCCCACTGGAACAACGAAGTCGATCAGTCGCGACTCAACACACTCATCTCTCCTCACTGACCGCTAGCTCAGTGTGATCAACCCCGACGTCAAAGATTATGAGTGAACGGCCTGCGGGCGACGACGCAATGGCGGCGGCGGCGGCTGCCATGGAGGCGTTGCTCAACGGCGCTGGCACTTCCAATCCACTGTACGTTCACCGCGCCATCCCATTGTCTCTGAAATCACACATCCTCAACTAAACATCCGCCTGATCCTTTGCCGCTCTCGTGCTCTTCCATCCTTCACCTCACCTCTCTTCACTTTGCCATGCTTACATTCAGCTCTTCTGCCATCGCGGCACAGACGGCTGCAGCCGCGCGCGAGCCGACCAAGACCATCGAGCTCGCCAACATCATCTTCACTCTCCTCACATCAACCCTCTCTGCCGATGTCGTTACTGGCGTTATCAAGGAGGCCTTGGAGAGCCTTGGCGGTGACGAGGAGAGGATAGAGGTGCTTGCCACAGCCGTCCTCGAAACCGCCGATGCAATCAAGCTCATCAGAGAAGATGTCGACGACCTCGTCCCGAATGACCCGGGCGCAATCGACAGCGAGAGCTCGGAGAAGTGCTCAAAGGTTCTTGCCAGCCTTGTGGTGAGTGAATGGCCGCGCGCGCAACAAGCTCACAGCAGCAAAGTGGTGTGCTTCCACAGCACCTCGCGAATCTCATCCTTACTCCTTCCAACCTTATCCCCCTCCGTCTTCACCCAACCCCACGCAATGTCGACATGTTCCGTCGCGGTCTCGCGCGGTTGCATACCAGTGTACACTATAAACAGCATACGACCAACCTCCTCCGCGAAAACAGCGAAGGTTGGTCACGCCTCATTGTCCTCCTCACTGGCCCGGCTGCGCTTCGCACCGAACCCGAGAGCGATGAACAGCGTGCGGAGCGCGCCCGGCGGGTCTGGGCGAGCGCGCGCGAGCTTATTGGCTTCTTTTCCCTCGCACCTGTCCGCGTGTACGACGTCCTTCTCGAGGTCGCCTCGTTGCACCTTGAAAATCACTGGCGCTTCTTCTTGGATGTCTTCCGCGAGGCCGGCCTCGGTCCGAAGGATGCACCTGCGCCTCACCGTCTGGACGAGGATGTTGCTACACAAACCGAGCGCATCAGGCATGCGCTTGACGTTAGCCCCGACGACGACACAATGCTTTCGCGCACGCTCGCATTCCGCTTGCGATGGTACCGATACCGGAGGAAGGAGATTGGCGACGCTCCGATCGGGCTCCTGTTCCTCACAGCACTTCTTATCAAGTACGGCTTCGTCAAACCCGGTCATATCCTGCCTGCCTTGAGTCCGAGTGACGAAGAGATGCCCAACCACGAAATGCGTTTTGGGGACGCTATGCGCTCCAAATCAAGCACAAGGAATGCTCTTACCGACACTGTCCTCGTGGACGACACATTGCCTGCTGCAGGCTCGGACGCGCTCAGCGCGCCTACCGAGGTCAAAGAGAAGGAGGATGAGACGGACGAGAAGATGCTGCTCCTCCAGGCGTTGTTGGCAGTCGGCGAGTCTAACTTCTCCCTCTACCTTCTTGGGCAGTACCCCTGGGTTGTCAGTGCGTACCCTGCTGTTGCGGATGTCATCATTCGCAAACTCAACTACAACATCAGCGACCTGAGCGCTCGGCTGGTGCCGACCACTGGGTTCGGGGATGACATCGACTTGACACCGAACACCCGGGAAGTCGTCAACACAATGTTTGTCCCCACTCCGCCCTCCACTCCGTCGACCGAGTTCCGCTTCTTCTACGACAGGTGGACCGAAGGCCTGGAAGTCTGGGCTGAGCCTGAGGAAATACACACAAAGGGCGAGCGGTGGTTCTCGCTATTGAAGGGCCTGGCCGGCCGCGATAGCGAGCTCATGTGCCGTGTCTGTCGTATCATTTCCTTGCAGTTCCACAAGCTGCGCCTCACCAAGGTCAAGGAAAAGGGCTTTAACATTGCTCATCTTACTTACGACCAGAGGGCGGCGCTTGTGCTTACGACCAAGGAGCTCGCCCCGTGGCGCGGCCTCATTCGCAACACGATCCTGCCAGCGCTTAACGTTTCCGAGACCGCCAGCGCGCCGTTTGCGCTGGAGGTTTACGAGATCTTCTGCCACTTTGACTGGCCTACGACCTCGAGCCTCTTTGGCGAGTGGCGCGATGCGACGACAAATATCAAGGATCGCAACGCCCTCCTGCCGGCTGCTCATGCAGCCAATCGGGCCGATCGCGATGTCAAGGCGGAGCTGCAGCGTGTCACCGCGAATAAGTCAGCACCTGGCCAGTCCACTGGCGGAGCCACTGCCGATCGCGGTCCCGCCCGTGCGCTCGCCAAGCACGGCCACGGCAATCCCCTTGCACTCTGGACTCGTGGCAACGGCCAGGTCATGTCATACGGCATTGTTGGGAACATTGGCGAGTTCTTTATGGAGGTCGCACGCTACTCGGGCGCTCTTAGTAAAGAGGTCGCCGTGTTCACCTGGCTCGACATGATCGCGTCCACCAAGGTGGCTCCCGGTGACAGCCCGGACTCGGTCTTCGTCAAGACACGGAGCATCGAAAACTTGGCCAGTTTCATCGGCATTATCAACCGCTCGTTTGTCTTTCCATTTGAACCCATCCTGCATCTCATCGCGAGCGGCATCAAGAATCACGAGTGGTTCGTGCTCCCTCTCATTGAGAAGTTTCTTCCGGGCATGACGGGCGAGGAGATCGTCGAAAACCACGCTATCTCTACGGCTCAACTCAAGAGCTACGCAACAGGGCCCGAGATGACGCGCGAGTCATTCTACGCATCCGAGAACACTTGCAACGAGAACCGGAAGCCTATCCGCTCAAAAGATCTTATTTGGGCTTCGAGAAAGAGCGCTTCCCGCCTCGTAAAGGCGCTCATTGATACTCGGATGGCAGTCCCCATTCTTGTTGGCCTCGGCCGCCTCGCGACTGAGGCGCTGATGTACCAGCCAGGTCGCCCGATTAAAGCTATGAGCGACCTCAAGGACTCGACGCGGGACATATTCTCCTTGTGGCTGGGCTTTGTCTCAGACCGGCTCTCTGAACTCGGCTGTGCGGACCAAATCCCGAGCTTGAGGGAATTGCAGGGTGACGGGAACATCGACGAGCAGATGTGCTGGGCTATCCTGCGCCCCAAGCTTCGTTCGGCTCTTGCCAAGCACCACGCGGAGAGCAGTCACGCGAACGGCAATGTCATTGGGAATGGCATGGACGTTGACTCCGAGTCTGGCTGGTGGCCAGCTGCCCTCAACGAGACAGTGGAACATGCCGCCTCCTTCCTGGACCCCGGGGCGCGGATCAGGCTGGGGCCCGGTTTCTTGGTCCGCTTCAACTCGCTGCGCATCTCGGACATTGCCTTCAATGAAGACGCGTACAAGTCGGCGCTCACAAACATTGACAAGATCATCCGCGAGCTCAAGGCCCTCGTTGCGGCGGACAAGAATCTGAAGAACTCGCAGCCGGAGCTCGAACGTCTAAAGCGTCGCCGTGCGGAGCTAGATGCCGAGAAGGAGACACAGAAGCAGCACGTTGAGCGCATTCACGTCGATCTCCGGGACGAGAGTCACCACTGGTTTGCCAAGTGCATTGAGATGGGCCAGGACGGGGCGCTTCCAAACCTTCTCCACGATTATTGCTTCTACCTCCGTGCGACTCAGACTCCGGCCGACGCTATTTACGTTGCGCGCTTCATTCGCCTGTTGCACGATATCGACGTGCCCGGATTCTCCACTATCCACGGCTACAACCTGGTGAGTCACCCCTGAGAAGATTCACATTGACACCAGTTCTTCAAGGACAGCATGGCATCTAAGCTTTACGAGAGCACCGAGTCTGAGGCCCGCAACCTCGGCCGTGCGCTCCTTCTAATGCTCGAGGACCTCGACCCATGGCACCAGAGCCAGGACAGGTACAACACCGAGGCGCTTGGGATGACGACGACTACCGACGGCACTCCGGAGTACTCGAAGCACGGCATGTTCTACAGGGTCAAGCCCGGTCAGCCAAAGCGCCCGATGACCTACGACGGATTCCGCGACCAGTTCGCCAAGATGCACGCCGGACTCACGAACGCACTGCTGGCTTGTTGGTCTTCAGAGAGCATCTTCTGCGCACCCAAGAATGCCCTCCAGATTGCCCTGCAAGTTCTGCCCTTTTTCCCGATGATCGACGAGCACGCCGTCAAGATTGAGAAAGCCGTCAGCGACCTGCTGCAAAGCACAGACGGAACTGTCACCGCGGACATGAAGCCGGCTCTCCACTCGTACAAGTCGCAGCTCAAGAAGCGGAGAATCGACCGACCGTGTATCAAGGAGGCTGACTTCTCCCCCGTAAGTTGGACAGTTGCACCGTCGCTGACAACAGGCTGGCAAGCGTAAGAAGGATTTGCAGGCCAAAGCCGCCGCTGAGGCTCGTGCCAAGGCGGAGGAGGAAGCGCGCAAGAAGAAGGAGGAGGAAGAGCGCGCACAGGCGGAAGAGGAGGCTCGTTCCAAGTCTGCCGCTGATGCCGATACCAAAATGGACGTTGATGCGCCCGGGGATGTGAAGCCTGAGGCTGCGGCCCCGGCCCCGGTCAGCGCACCGTCCGGAACTCCGCCGTCCTCAGACGCGGCTACTTTGCGTGCCCGGCTCGAGGCGAAGATGGGTACACGAAACAAGAAGTTGGCCGCGGCCAACGCCGCGCCTGAGGCTGTAACCTCGCCTCTGCCACAAGCGCAGGCAGAGCCCTCCGCCCCCACCGACCGCTCTATGGCGCCCCCGCCCGAGCCGTCGGTTGAGGACGCGCGTGCCGCGGCGCGTGCGCGTAGGTTTGGCGCGCTGGCGCCAGGCCCCGGCTCGGCACCTGGGACGCCTCGCGACGACAGCCGTGCATCCACTCCTAGGGCGTCCTCGCCTCGCGATCGTCGGACACGTGCCGGCACGGATGACAGCCGTGTCTCGGAGCGGTCGAGGCGGCAGGAAGAGCGCGACCGGCGGGACCGGGGCAGGGACGGGGAACGGGAGCGTCGAGAGCGTGGCGGCCGCGACCGCGACGCAAGGCGCGATGAGAGGGGCGACCGCACACCGCGCGACGCCCGCGACCCGCGCGAGAGGGATCGCCGCTTGGAGCCTCGCAACGACGAGCCTGTGCGCGACCCCAGAGGAAGGGAAGAGCGGTACCGCGAAGAGCGCCGTGTAGACGAGCGCCCGCGCGCCCGCTCGAGGGAGGACCGGCGCGGGGACAGGGACGGGCGCGACGCCCGCGACCGCCGCCGCGACGAGCGGCCGCTTGAGAACAACGCTCCTGCTCCTTCTGGCGAAAACCGCAACGGCCGAGCCGAGCGCGATGTGCGCATGCCCCAGCGCTCACCTTTACGCACGGAGGACCGCCCTCTGTCCCGCAACGAGGAACGGCCTCCCTCTCGCAATGAGGACCGTCCTCCCCCCCGCAATGATGGTAGACCTCCATCTCGCCACGAGGACCACCCCCCTGCCCGCCACGAGGACCGCCCTCCGGCTCGCAACGAGGACCGACCTCCATTCCGCAGTGAAGACCGGCCTTTGCCTCGCAATGAGGACCGGCCTTTGCCACGCAACGAGGGCAGGCCTGACGACCGCGACCGCCGCATGCGCGATCGACGCGACCCGCGCGACCCTCGCGACCCTCGCGATCCTCGCGATCAGCCCAACCCGAACCACCTTCCGCCGCTTCCGCGCGACGGTCCGCCTCACCGAGGCGACCGCCGCGACATGCGTAGTCCCGTGCGGTTTGACGACCGCCGTGACCGGAGGCCCGATGGCGCGGAAGAGCGAAGGGACGACCGCCGGCGGAGAGATGAGGCGCGCCGCGAGGAGCCACGCCGGGACGCCCCCCCTCGCCGTGATGAGCCTCCTCAGCTCCAGGAGAGAGATGGTGACAGGACACCGCGCACGCGCGACACGCCTAAGGAACCCAGAGGAGCCGCTCCAGGCCCCGCTGGCACCCGCTCGCCGCCAAAGGAGGACCGCCCCGCCGGCAACCGCTCTCCGCGTAAGGATGCCCTACCTGAGCGCCCTCCGCCCAGTGAGGCACCACGTGTCGATCGCTCTGCGCCTTTCGCCCGGGCATCGCCGCCTCGCCAGGCCGAGCCTGCGTCGTCTGCACCATCGCAGTCTGCCGGGGGACGTCGCGACCCTCCTACTGGGCCGTCAAGCTTGCCTAACAGACCCCGCGGCGCACCCTTGCCTGACAGGGAGAGGCGGCCAGAGCCAGCTCCCGCTGAACCGCCGCGTTTACCCGTGAAAGCTCCGGCGCCGCTTCCGCTGCCTCCTCGTGAGCAAACGCAGGCCCCGTCTCGTGATGCTCCGCCTGCTGGGCGCGAGCCTTCTGCGCCCCATCCCCGGGAGCTGAGGCGCAATCATTCCGACCGTGGTCGTGACTTGGGTGGTCGTGGAAATGGCGGACCTGGCGGGCAGGGCGGCCAGAGAGAGCTGATGCCGCCAACGCAGGCCGGCAGCTCGCTTATGGCGCGCATGGGCTTGTCGTCGGCGTCCGCTCCCGTGCAGGAGAAAGAGAGCCGCAAGCGTCCGTTAGACTGTGAGTCCAGTACCGGTTCTGTCCCGTGGCGAAGCTAACAGGCAGCGGACGGTGCGCCCAGCTCGCGCGAGGGATCGCCAGGTCACAAGCGACGGAGCCGTCATGGAGGGGGCCGCGAACGCCAGGGCGCCGCCAACCGGCTGTTCAGTGGTGCGATGCAAGCAGCAAGTAAGAAGTAGAAGGGCCGCGAGTGTGCGGATCAGTAGACTAGCATTATTGCAAAGCATGTACGTTTATGTCTCTTGTTTCAAATAGATTTAGGCAGTTGGGCAGTTGAGGAGATGTGTTTCTAGTCTTGGCGTGTAACGGAATTTGAGGGTGGTCGCGCCTGCGTCAGGGAAGATAAATACGTGGCAGTGATACGACGCGCTCTCCCCTTTCCCTCTGCCCTGAGTGTGAGTGAAGGTGCCAGCTCCTGCTCCGCACTGCCACCCCAGTCGTCGTGTCGCATCAAGCACCTTCCTCATCCGTCCTCATTCATCTCCTCGAGCTCCTCACACCCTCTACTCTTCATCTCATCCGCGCCGCTCCATTGGCGCGCTCTCACTCGCACTCGAGTTGCGCGCCCTCGTCTCCGTCTCCGCTTCCGCCTTCGCCTCGGCCCCCGGCCTCGACTCTGGCACCCTCACGCGCTCCGCTTCCCTCATCTCGCCTCCCCATCTCCTTTCCCCCTCCGCACTTCCGCTCTGCAGCCTCATCTCCGTCTTCATCTCTTCTGCAGCCTATCCACGACTCACCTCCGTCCCCGTCCCCGTCGCCATCGCACGGACGAGCACCGCCACGCGGCGACAGTCCTAATACTGGGCAACTGTAAGTCTGCGTGGATTGAATGCAACCGCAGTTTGAATAGCAAGAGCAGCTGCGGCACCGCTTGTTGCCACGGCTGTCAGCTCGCGCTTGCCCCATAGACTCGTGCTGATGCCCGCTCCCAACTCTTCGATCTGCGCCTCCACGTCCATCTTGTGATCGACCCTCATCCTTATCGCTCGGCGTATGCGTATGTGCTTCGCTCCACGCACTCGCGGCGCATCTCTCCTTCGTCCTCCATCCCCCGTCCTTCATCCCTCCGCCCCGTCAACAGATGTCCTTCTTTCAGTCCCTCTCGTCCATGTTTGGGCGCGCGCAGCCGCGCCCAAACTCGCAAGACTCGTTCCAGCTCCCCACGACACAGTACACACAGGGCTTGAATCCCGGCTCGGGCGCAGTAAGTTCTCCGCCTGATTGCGCTCACGCAGCTCGACGCAACTCCTGGACCAAGTCGGCGCACTAGCTACCAGCCGCAGTCGGGGCAGTACCCTCCAAAGACGGCCCAACAGTGAGCCACCTCCCCCCATTTCCCACCCCCGTTCATCCTCCCCTTCCACCCTCTCCCTTGTGCCCCCCAACCCATGGGCCCCCCGCGCTCCTTCGCACCTCGCAGGTGTTTGTCGGCCACATGCCCGTTGTCCTCGCCGTGGTTTGCTTGTGCATGCGCTGACGCACAGACACCCACCTTTGTCACACACTTTCCACCGCTTGCGCAATGCGCTCGTTGACGACTTTCCCGAGCTCCTCGACTCGCTTAACCCACCCGCGTCGCAGGCAACTATTGCCAGCATCGAGCAAGAGCTCGGGGGGCCGCTGCCTCCAGCGGTGCGCGAATACTTCTCGGTGGTGGACGGGCAGGACCTCGAATCAAACGGCGCTGGCATCTTCTACGGGCTCTATCTCCTTCCTCTCGACGAGGTCATGAGGGAATGGCACTTTTGGCGCCAGGCCGAGGCCGACCCATCGACAGGCAGCAATCCTGCCGTGCTTGCGACCATGGCCTCTATACCCCCCCAGTGGGTGAAGAGCCTGTACGCTTGCAAGGGCTGGCTGCCACTGCTGTCCGACCGGTCGGGCAACTATGTTGGTGTCGACCTCGACCCAGGGGCACAGGGCCAGTGGGGCCAGGCGATCATCTTCGGCCGCGACTTTGACCGCAAGTGTGTCTTGTGGCGCGGCGAGGGCGAGTCGGGATGGGCCAAGTGGGTGTCGAGCGTTGTCGAGGAGTTCGAGAGCCACGAAGGCTGGGAGGTCGACAAAACGTCGGACGACGAAGAAGAGATTGGTTACAGCTCGTACTCTGGCGCCAACGTCTACGGTGACGGTGGCCACACAATGCGGCTCACTGGCGAGTACAAGGGCTGGAACGTACTCGAGGCGTGGTGGGACAAAAGCGTACGCAAATGGGAGGGCTTGGGTCTTGGCATGGACGTCACGGAGATTGAGCGAGGGCTCGCGGAGGCCCGCCGGATCCACGAGGAGTCCTCAAAAGGCAAAGGCAAGGAGTCGGCCCGCAACAGCGTCGAGGTCGCCGGTATCCGCGCCAACCAACGAACAGCCGATTCTGAGATTCCCGTTCTTGCGGCTGTCGCTGCGTCACCCGAACACTCTCCCGCGATTCCGCAGGGCGGGGAAGACAGTCAGACCCTCCTTCCGCCGACGTCTCCTGAAGTCTCGGCCATCCCCCGTATCCTCCACCCCAAGGGCACGCCCACGCGGAGTACGATGACGAGCCATCCGCTCGAGTCGCCCACGTCGGGAACAACTTCACCGAGCACGTCGTCTACCGCGGCCACCGACTTCCTCGTGCCGCCCTCGCATCGCGCGTCATCCAGTCGCCAACAGCAGCGTCGCTCGCGCCCCCCACCGCCGGCGGCAGTTCTTGACTTGCCGACGCGCGCCGATGTACAGGCAGCTCAGGCTGTGGCCAACGCTGAAGCACGAGGTATGCGGGGCGGGTGGGTGATGAATCTCGACGCCACGAGTAACGTCGCCAACCGGCGACGGACTCATAACATCTCACCGTCGCTCGACGCTGAGATGGTGGACATTGATCTCGAGGGTGGGCGGATGGAGGCGTTTGGTACGCCGCCAATGAGCGCAGTGGAGGAGGAGAAGCAGCAGCTGGAGGACAAGCTGAGTATGGCGCCAATCGAGCAGCGGCGGGACACGCGCTCCCCCTCGCTGCTGGGCATGTCGCGCACTCCGTCGCCACTGGCGCAGCAGACGAGCCCGCCTCCGGCGCAGCAGACGTCGCGGCCGGGCTCGACCGCCTCGCCTCCTCAACCAAATCGACAGGGCTCTGGATCACAGCGGTGGTCCTCGTCGTCATCATCTGAGGCGCACCGCTCCCTCGTCTCGCCCATCGCGACGCCGCCGCTCCGCGCCCCCTCCCCGTCGGCGCTTCCGCCTAACCTGGCCGCGGTAGCTGAGGCCGCGATCCGCCGCCCCGAGCCGGTTGTGGGGTACCGATCCGTCTCGCCCGTGCCGGAGGACTGGCACGAGCGGGAGGTAATCAGAGGCGCGAACGACCGGCGCCGTTCATCAGTAACGCCGACGGGCGTGATGACGCCGTCCAGAGGCGACAGCATGATGTCGGCTGATAGTGAAGGCGCGTTGCTCGAGAAGGACGAGCGAGGGACGGCGTCGCCGCCGAATGGGCACGGGCACGTGGTGACGCCCACGGCGGCCACGTTCAAGCGCAAGGACATTGCCGAGGCGCTGGAGGAGGTCAGCCTGTAGACGATATGGATGACGATGGAGTGGGGTAGGAGAGTGGGAGCAGACTGCGGTGGAGATACAGTGGGATCAGCCTGACATTGTTGTTTGGCTACATGAGGCCATCCATGGGCAGGTTGAGGCCAAGGCTTGGGGGCCAAGAAGTCCAAGAATTCCAAGGATTCCAAGAAGCCATGGCGACCTGAGGCCTGAAGGCCTGATGGGGTGGAGCCGGAGGCGCTTGGACCTTGGCACGCTGTCGGACTTTGGAGGATTATTTGTAGGATTTATAGGACGGATTTGATGTCGTTGGGTGTTGTTTCGGCGCGTGCAGGCGTGCGGGCGCGTCGGGCGCGATCGGGCGTTAGTCCAACGGCGCGCGTCGTCGCGTGTTCCGGATATCGGACATGGTCCGTCTCCCTGCCATTCTGCCATCAGTCAGTCTAGACCTGGGCGGGCGCCCTGACCACTCCCTGCCTGACTCGTCCATCGACGCGACGTGGACGCAGTGAAGGAGAGACGGGCGGGCTGGCCTCTCCTCCATGTCAGGATGGGACAAACGCCGCGGCAAAACTTTGAAGTGTGATGGAGGCAGGAGGCCTGGAGGATGGAGGAGGGTGATGGCAGTGAGGGAGTGGACTAGAGGCTAGAGGCGGAGGGAAGCTTGGAAAGATGGCCAAGGGCGGATCGAGCGAGGTGAGTTGCCTCGCGCTTGATGAGCTGAGGAGCTGATGAGCTGATGAGACGAGATCTCCTCGATCTCTGATCTCTGAAGCATCGTTTGCATCTTCCATTTGTGCATCTCTCATCTTTTCTATCGCCATAAGCCGGATGCCAGTGCACGGCCTTCGCATTCTGTGCCTTCATACACGTAGCCCGTGTCTAGCGTCTCTTAAACTCAGCTAGAGTCATTTTGAGCATCACGAGCTCACACGTCGTGCGCATGGCCCGCAGCGTGCACAATCGACGCGCATGCATGTGCGTGTCATGGCTCGCGTGAATGGATGATCGTCGCGAGGGGCGCAGGGGTGCAAGGAGAGGGGGGCAAGGAGAAAAGCAGGCACGCACCCACCGTGCTGTATGATCCCGCGTGTCGCGTGGCCGCACGGATCGCCCTCAGGGCTGCAGGGAGAGTGATGGCTAATATTGGCTAATGGAATATGTATTGGGCAATGATCCTAATGACTGAATCAGTAACGGTGGGCTGGCTGTCGGGGGCGTAGACTAAGGGCGCCGAGGGCAAAAGCGCAGCCACTGACGAGGCGCGTGGGCCAATCCGGTGTCTCCCTCTCCCTGCGAGCAATCACGGCCCGCCAGCAGCCAGCAGCCAGCAGCCAGCAGCCAGCAGCCGTCCTTCTTTCCTCCCCCCACTCCCCTTGCTCCACCGATCCACCACCAGCAATACACACGCCCTCATCGCCCTCATCGCTCCCATCGCCATCCAGGCCACCATCATCGACGTCCTCAACATTCACAGCCATCTCCCACTTCCAAAGTAGTGTCTTGCCACCACATCCCCCTCACCCTCACCGGCCTCACCCCCTCGCCTCACCCTCACCCACACCGGGCCACCCCTCGCTTGCACTCCCGCCTCCCTCCCTTTCTCCATCTCACCTCCCACCAACAACCCACTCCACCTCCCTCTCCACTTCTATTCTCCTCCAACTCGGACACATCCTCCCCCCTTTTGCCACGTCGCGTCATCCTCCCATCCACCCCTCACCCAGCCTCGTTCTTTACATTCCCCGCGCGCTCCCGCGATCTACAACATATCCCCCCTCACCATCTCTAGCTCCCCCCCCTCCACAGGCCATTAATCACCTCACCTTCAGAGCACATACTCGGCGACACGAACGAGGACTTTGCCGCCGTGTAAGATACAAAGTCGGAACTCTGCATCGCCGGCTTAATCGCACGTCGTCTCACGGCGCTCTTGACTAAAACGCGCTACCTTCCTCGTCCTCGTCCGCGTTCGTCCCCCCTAGCTGCTCAGCGGCATGGAGCGCACCGGTCGCTCGCCCACGGCCTACCAGCCGCTTCCGGCCCATCTCCACGCTGCCGCGCAAGAACCTCTCTCGGCAAACGGCATGACCACCCCAAGCTACGGCGGCCTCGTCGCCCCGGGCATCGAGTGGGAGTATGTCATCAACGCCGATGGTACCAAAAGGTGAGTGTTTTGCGCGCACCGTTGATCACCTCCCCCTGGCCAAGGGAAGGCGAGTCCCGGTCGTCATCGAGTTATTTGCACGCCCCTCCTCCGTGCAACGTCCGCCTTTCCTTTATAGCGATAGCGACCCACACTGACACGCTCCAGCCGCGCGCCTTCCCGTTCCCCTCAGCGAGGCACCGAGACTCATCGCTCCTTGTCAAATCCAATGGAGTCTTCCTCCTCTGGGCCCAACGACCTCCAGGTGCCATACACCGCGCCCGCTGCCTCATCAGCCCACGCATTCACGTCGCATCCCTCCTCTCACCCCCACGAGCCCACCATATCTGAGCAGGCCAATGCTTACATCGGTCGGAGCGTCACGCAGGCACAGGCAACCTCGCCTGCCCCCTCCCAATCCTTGCAAACCCCACATGTGCCCTCACAGCAAGGCTCGCCTCGACCAGGACGCGCCCCAGCCAGTCCTCGCCACTTTGGCCAGCCGCAGACTCTAGACAACGGCTCCACCCCCGGATCTTCCACTCCACGGGATGATTCCGTTGGTCCACCAAATGAGTCGGAGCGTCGGCGTGAGCGTGACCGTGATCGTGAGCGCGAGCGCGACAGAGACCGTGACCGTGAGCACCCAGCCCAGTCGGACCGTCACGCAAATACCCATTCGTCCTCGGCTACCTCGGGCTCAAAACCGCGCCGCCAATACCGCCAGGTTGGCGACTGGATCCTCCAGAAGACGCTCGGCCAGGGCTCCATGGGCAAGGTCAAGCTCGGCGTCAATGTTCGCACCCAGGAGCGATGCGCTGTCAAGATTGTCCCCCGCCACCGCGATGATCCCACCAAGGTCGACAGCTCTGGTCGCAGCAAGGATGAGTCAAAGGAGATCCGCACTGTGCGCGAGGCGTCGATATCATTGCTTCTCCACCACCCTTACATCTGTGGCATGCGCGACTTCCTCGTCCACTCGAATCACTACTACATGGTGTTCGAGTACATCGACGGCGGGCAGATGCTCGACTACATCATTGCTCATGGACGTCTGCGCGAGCGCGCAGCCCGCAAGTTTGCGCGTCAGATTGGCTCGGCGCTTGACTACTGCCACCACAACAACATTGTCCACCGTGACCTGAAGATCGAGAACATCTTGATCTCGAACAATGGCAACATTAAGATCATTGACTTTGGCCTGTCAAATCTGTACTCTCCTCTGCGTCACCTCTCGACGTTTTGTGGTTCGCTCTACTTTGCGGCGCCCGAGCTGCTCAACGCCAAGCTCTATACCGGCCCCGAGGTCGATGTGTGGTCGTTCGGTATCGTCCTCTACGTCCTTGTATGCGGCAAGGTGCCTTTTGACGATCAATCTATGCCGGCCTTGCATGCCAAGATCAAACGCGGTCTCGCCGAGTACCCGGCCTGGTTGAGCAACGACTGCAAGTCATTGCTTCAGCGCATGCTCAACACCAACCCCCAGGAGCGTGCCACGCTTGCTGAGGTGCTTTCCCACCCCTGGATGACCAAGGGTTTCGACGGCCGCCCACCAGACTCTCATCTCATTCACCGTGAGCCCCTTCGCGCCGAGGACCTGGATCTCAGCGTCATTCAGCGCATGCAGGGCTTCACATTTGGCACTCCAGAGGAAATCTACGACAACCTCGTTAAAGTGCTCAGCTCGGAGGCGTATCAGCGCTGCGTGGCGCAGTGGGAGGCGCGCCGCGAGTCTCGACGCTCCGGGGGTCCCGGATTGAACGGCTCCACGTCACAAACTATGCTGTCGGCTGATATCGAGTCGCCGAAGAAGAAGCGATTCAGCGGGTTCGACCTGAAGAAGAAGTTCTTCAAGGAAGAGAAGAGGGTCGAGGAGCCCGCCCAGGCCGTCAAGGAGCCGCTCGACCCAAGCAGCGGCTTTGACCCGCTTATCTCGATCTACTTCCTTGCGCGAGAGAAGAAGGAGCGTGCCAAGGTCTACGGCGACGCCCACTTTGCTTCTTCGCGCGGCAGCCTCGACGCGTCGTCTATCAAGCCCGCGGACTTTGGCAGCAACCTGCCCAGCATCCCGGCCCCGGCGGCCGCGCACGCCGCTACGAGCGCCATGGCATACGACGCTACTCCCGGCTCCACAAGAGACAATGTCGGCCAACCGAGGTTGCGCGCTGAGGAGCTTGCTGCAGCGAAGGGTGTTATGCAGCATCCGACTGCGGACTCTGCAAAAACCAACATTGCGGACGTGCCTATGGCAGCTCGCCGCGACGGCAGGGCTGCTCAACAACCCATGAGCATGGCGGCTGCGGCGGCAGCGATGGAGGGTGACAACCGCAGGATGTCGGCATCGATCGACCAAGCCGAGCGCCGCATCTCGGTGGGCTCGATGACGGGCCAGATGGCCAAGGCATCGCTCTCACGTCGGCCAAGCCAGCGCGACTCGAACAACACTTCAACAGGTACAGCCGTCAACCCGGTCACCCCGCCAGACTACCAGGTGCCCGTGGGCTACATCCAGGACAAGAGTGGCGGTATCCGCCCCATTGGCTCGCCCGAGTTGGATGAGATCGAGGTGGCCGACGTTGCCAACATTGACGTCAAGAGCGTGTACCTCAAGGGCCTGTTCTCGGTTTCGACCACGAGCACCAAGTCGGCGCGTACGCTGTTGAGAGACATCTCGCACGTTCTTGATCGCATTGGCATCAAGTATAGGCCAATTCGTGGTGGTTTCGAGTGCATCCACGTGCCCTCCATCGACCTCAAATCGGTGGTCCACGGCGACGAGGCTCGCTCGCAGCTGCACGTGCCGGTAGGCAACGAGTCGTCTACATCGAAGCACAAGTTGTCGCTGCGCAACTCGAACGCGGCGGGCTCAAACACCACTACGGGACGGGGCGACTCGCCATTGCCCGCAACGGCATTAGTCGTGGGCGGCTCATCGGGCACTGTGGGCATGCTCGACAGTGCATCTGGCGCGCCCAAGCCGGCCCGCGTCGATCTCGACGACGCCGACGCATGGGGCGCCCAGTTCGGCGCCAACAGCACGCTTTGCGTGCGCTTCGAGGTGTTTGTCGTCAAGGTGAGCGTCGAGCGCCACATCCCAGCTGACAGCAGGTACCGTGGCTCCCGCTCCACGGCATTCAGTTCCGCCGCATTGGAGGCGACGGCTGGCAGTACCAGCAACTCGCAAAGACGATTCTGCGCGAGATGCGGTTGTAAACTAGGCGTGCGCCGCGTCGGCCGGCACGCTACGAGCACACGACACGAAATTTTTGCGATACGACCTTCACTAGACCCCACCAGCACTAGCACCAGACCGTTGTTTGCTTTTATAACGCCTGCGCACGGCTACGGATCTCGCATGCAGCATCCCCGGGATGTAATTTGGATTGGTGTGGCGGCGTGGCGGCGCGGCGGCGTGGAAAGCGCGAGGTGTTGGGTCAGGTCACGCCTTTGCAACTAAACATCAGCTGACGCATTGATGTGTGGCATGACGCGTGCGGTATGCTGGAACGTGACGGCCTGACGTGACGTGCGATCTGCGCGCCTGCGCGTAATGCCATCCGCGCTCCGCGGCATGTACTGCAAAGGTTGGACCGTTCATCAGCGTCACTGTTGCTTCGTTATTAGCTCGCGTTCTCGCTGACTTGCTAACGCGATGAATGAGTTGCCCAGCGGCGCACCAACCAGGCGCACCACGCTTGGACGGTCAGCAGGGAGCACGGCGGCCTGACCTGGACGGAGAAGACGCCAACCTCGAGGCAGATGGGCGCTCAACAGGTGTTTGTGCTGTCGTCGGCTGACACTGTTTGAGTTTTGCCTAACCCTCGCGACGCACCGCCTGTGGCCCTCGAGCCGGGCGCATACTCACGTCAACCCCGCCGCACGCGCCACGCGCCGCACGCGCAGGGTCCTGAGTCGGCTGCATAGCGCCTGCTATCGACGCCAGCGGTCGGCACGGATCGCGCCTCCCTTGATGGTCTGATGTTCACGTCGAGTAAGAGTCACCGTCTTGCGCTCGGTTGCTGCATGACGCATGTGCGGCGTAGATGTGCACTGATGCTAATGCGCGGTAACGCAGCGGCGTGTCTAGGCCGCTGGCCGACTCCCGTGTGCCGTCTCTCCGCCTGACAGCCTTACTTTAGCACCTGATGACTCTGGTTGTGCAGACGCGAGATACACGCGAGGGCGTTGACGATGGTGTCTGTGGTGGCGATGCTGGTGGCTGACGGCGGGCAGGGCTCATCGGCCTCTTCGCCCGCTTCCCCTCATCATCCCGAGATTCTGCAACCGTCTCTGCAGCCTCCATCCTCACACACAGTCTTACTCTATCAACCCCCACCGCAACAACTGCGCATGTGACCCCATGACGCCAACGTTCTGTGCAAGTGTGCGGCCGTCCGTCTTCAGATAGAGGCGGTTGCCCATCCTCACACACAAACCGCCAAGATGCCTGGGCCTGGGCTGCTGATGGGCACTCCTACCTAATCTGACCCCTCGCTTGCAACACGTCTGTTCAGTCGGTAAAAGCAAGTCTCGATCCCCCTCGCCCCCTCTCCCCTATCTTGACAGCCAAGCCTCTCCTGACGTAATACTCTTCGCTCGGATCAGGACTACCCCCCGCTCTCCCGTTATCGAGCTGGCCTCACAGCATCTTCCGGCAGAAGAACACGCCCCAGAGCGCCATCGCTTTTCCTTTTCGCGACCACGGGACCGCTGCTCCCTATTCCAGATCTCTAGGTCGAGGTAGTCATGCCCACATCGCTTGGATTTGACCTGGATTCGGGCCCCGGTCCCTGCCGTTCTGCTTCCAGGCCTCCAGGCCTCCAGCGACTCCAACAAGGCTCAGGGAAGCGCTCGGGAGAATGAAGCATTGCACCATGCCCAGGGAAGGTCGTGCGGGCCATGTGAAACGCCCACCTCCTGCAGATCACTGAGGATCACCGACATGTGGGGCAGGCGTAAATCTCCCGGATCGGCGTGGTGTCGAGCTCCCGAAACGCCTGCGAAACCGCGGATCCGGGCGGGTACCTGCGACCTTTCCCGTTCCTGCCATATCGGGCGTCAGTCAGGCTGGCGTCCTGGCGTGCAGGCGGTGATCTGCATGCTGGTGGGGTAAGGTGGGTGGCTTGAACCTTGTGCTATGGGACAAGAGAACGAACAGGCGGACAGGAGAAGACAGGAGAACAGTCGCCGGAGCGCAGGAACAGGAACAGGAGAAGGCCAGTGGCGCACTCGCGCGAGGAGAAGACGTTTCGGGACATTACGCACAGTCTTCTTCGGATAATCGGCGACCACCGCCGGATCTCTCGGTCGGAGGAGCATCAGCTGTCGAAATGTACAGAAGCGGTGCGGGCGCATTGTTGTATGCCCCACCTCGCTCGCTTGATAGTACGACCAAGGCGGGAGTATGACGCCATCCAGAGCATAATCAGTCGCACTGACGCCGCCGATGGCCCATTACCACAGCTCACCCACTACTAGACGTCTATGACGACCTTCGGGCGCGCGGGCTCGTGATGAGATCCATACCAGATCGCTCTTCGGCACCGGCGCCATAGATCGGACCGAGCATCGCCTGCACTTGCACATGCAGTGCCTCAGAAAGGCGATTAGCCAGGTCCCCGAATCCCGGATCAATGGGATGGATCTCGGGGCGCTCGGGGACTTGGCCCTGTCGCAGGCTATCTATGCGTCTCTGCTCGCGCGCACTCGTGCACACAAATACTGGAATCGCTCACAGCTCGGCTCCGACCCGCTCCACTGTCACGCCAGCGAATAAGTGGAAGCGCACGCCGATGCCGTGAGTCACACCGTCACACCTGGGTGCCACGAGCCCACTCAGGAACACAGTCTCCCTTCTCTTGGAACCGCGGATCTTGTGCGGCTCCACCATTCGTTCGGGTTACGCACCGGCATAGCCGCCTGCAGCCGATCTGATCTGTTCGAGCGGGAGAAACGATGTGACGAGATCAACATGGAGCTGCGCAGTGGAGTGTGGCAGTGCGGCGGGACGGAACTGAGATCCTAACTGCAATCGGCTCGTCCATCTGTTCTTGGGAACCTGATCATGCCATCAGTGCACATGCGGAGACTTTTGACGGGTTGACCCGGGGTTGGACAGGGCGGGGGGTTTTGGGCCCAGACTATAATTTGGAGAAGCAGAACAGGTGCAGCAACGTAAGAGCCCGGGATAAGTTATGGGACCAGGCAGGGGAAGCATGACTAACTATAGGGACACCCGCGATCCTGTGACTAACGAGTACATCACCAAAGTAGCTGACGGAAATACGGAGACACACTCGGTGCGAGGGAGAGCGGCGGGAAGGGGGCGCGCAGAAGTATGCCTTCATTGCAGGACTAGCACCAGCACCCCGCGAGCGTCCCAGCGAAGAGCGGACGGAGAGGGAGAGGACCGCGGAAAAACAAGGAGATGTACAGTACTAGTGTCGGGCGCGCTTTACGTGATGGAAGGGAACTGCCGCAAGATGCGGACACGCCGGTGATTTGGGATGATTGCCGGCCGCGTGCACACCCGCGGGTACGTGTTGTACCGAGCTACCCACGGCTCGCGCCTCGTCGAATAGATGCAGACCTCGACCCGAGGCGGTACGGCCGGCGCCCAAATCTCACCAGGTAGTTGCAGTAGCGCGCGAGCGCCACTGCAGCACCTGCTAGGCGCGAGGATCCCGGTCGTAGTGGCGTGGCAGAGAAGGGGACCGAGAACGCGAGTGGCGGATGGGCGGCAAAACGGGAGGGGGGCTCCCGGGGGTGTACTGTGAGTGCGACGCCGGCGGCGGTGGGCCCGCGCGGTATCCGTGATGGTATTCCATTGCTCGCGGGTGATGCGAGTACGACGAGGGAGACGACGGGGGACGGTGCTGAGAATGATCTGGGTGGCGTTGGGGATGCGGATGCGGATGCGGATGCGGATGCGAGTGCTGAAGGGAATGTGAGTGTGGGTGCGAATAGTGGGACGAGGCGTGATGTTGCAGTTCGTGAGGGTGAGGAATGGCATGATGGCGGTGATGAGCAGGCGGGTATCGCGGGTGACCCGACGCAGAGTCCATGCGAGGCAGTCGTGGATATGCAAACTCGCGGGCAGCGTGATGGGACGGAGGCGGAGCCGCGCGCGAGCTAGAGGGGTACTGGGGCGGTGGCGGTGATAGGACGAGATGAGGCAGCCCATCATCTCCTGGCGGATACTCCCTCCGGACCCAATCGTGACGCGAGGATGGCGGCGCGGATGAGGCACTGGCTGGCCGGCCGCTGCCTAGCGAGAACGCAGAGAGATCGCTTGAGGGCGAGGGCACTACGTGGTCAGCAACACCGCCACCATCGCCCATAATGCTTCGTGCACTCACAAGTCATGTCCAAGCGCGACGGAATGTCGTGGGCACTGTACACGTCTTCGTGTCCCATACTGCGTCGCACCTTGCGAGGCCGGTCCGCGTCCACGGCGCCGGGCGAGCGCCGCGTTGCCGAGTGCCCGCCCATTTCATCGTGATACCCAGGGTAAGGAAAGTGTCCAGGCCATACTAGTCCACGCTGAGAATGATATGAGGGTGCAGTTATTGGTCCACCTGGTGGGCCAGCGGGGCCCTGCGAGTATCGCAGATGAGGCGGCTGAGGTTGAATGGCCGATGAGGGTGGGACAGGAGACAACGCGTCAGAAGCCGGCGAACGCTGCTGCTGGCGTGAGAATTGACTGTTGCTTGACGCGCGGCGTTTGTTGCCAGCCTTGCCCTGCGAATCGTTGCCCTGCCGAATTTTGACCTTGAGGCCTTGAGTGGCAAGATGACGCGTCAGCGGCGTGCTCTCGTGCATGCCCTTGAATTGCTTTGGAGAGTAGACCTCGAAAATGTCTGATACAGTGTCGCAGATCTCGCTTGATCCATCACTATGAATTGGTCAGCAGGGTCGCGGAGAACAAAATGGCGCCAGACTCACGGCGATGTCTCATAGAGCGTGAACTTGAGCCGAAATGGTCCGGGTAGTCGCACCGATAGCTTTGCGAAGATGCACAATGCCCCGGGTGTGCCATCCATGTGACGGAGGCGCTCTGGGGTCTGTATGACATCGCCAGCGGTCGCCTCAGCGCCGCTCTGCGTCACTTGCGGTTGGTAGCACGGCTTGCCTTCATCATACGAGACCGGATCTTTTGACACAAGCGATGCTCGTATGAAGAACTGCGTCGAGTCCAGAAGATCGCTGAGGTTAGCAGGCGGACGCCTCGGTACACGCACGGATATTGACCATCGCGTGAGATGAGCTCGAGGACAGGGGGCGGATCCACGGGTCGTCGATCGACTAATGTTAGCGGACGGGATCCAGCCACCCGAAGCCCGAAGAACGCCCTCGCTAAGTATGGCGACTCACTCGTCTCATTTTCTTCTTTGAACGAGCACAACCGGGCCCGCTGGGGCTGCTGGCAAATGACCAAGGCAAGTCTGCAGTGTAAGTGAATGAGGCAGAAGGCAGAGGGTGCGAGGGTTCTCACTGTGAATATGCCTGACGACGGGCTTCCCACCTCTTCCTTGCGCCTTCGTCAAGTTCGGTGCTGCGCGCCCGTTCGCTAGCTGGATCAGGTGTTGCAGCCATCGAGCCACCTGCACTCGCGCTGCGGCTTGCGCTCGCTACACGGGGAGGGTTGCCCCATGACTCGCGGGACTCGCGACGCGGCTTTGCGTGAGACTGCGACGTGGCAGCGGATGGGTGCCGAGGGGTGACCGGAGTGGACAGTGCACGTGCATCTTGTTGCGAAGACGTTGCCGAGGATGCGCTGGCAGTCCGCTCACGTCTGCTTGAACCAGTTGCGGTTGGAGCGGATAATGACCCCGACGGCATGGTGCCGTGATGAGACGATGTTATTGTGGTGCTGGACCGGTCGGCCAACTGCGACGGTGAGTGGGATTGGCTTGTACTGCTACTTGTGGCTCGGTTGGAGAGAGGGGCAGGTGGATGAACCCTCTTCGAAGGCGGAGACCCTCGGCCCATCCAGCTGCGCGTGGCGGGGGGAGCAGGACGGGAACGGGGGAGGGAGGGGGGAAGGATTGGGTGATGAAGAATAATGTTGAGTGATGTCGTGGTAGGCAGCGGCGACCGTAAAGAGGGGGTGTGAGGGATCTTTGGGAGGCGGTGGTAGCCGCGTCGGTGTGTGGATTCAGGAACCTGACACAGCGTTCACGAGGTGGCGTTCGATGGTGTCTCGGGGGCGTAGACCCCAATTCCAGCAAGCGCGATGCTGGTTACGGCGGGAAGCTGGTGATGCAATCAAGTGCGAGGGCCGCGGCACCCACGGGAGAGGGAGTGTTGTGCACCAAAGTCGTCTAGTCACGCGGCACGCGTGACCTGGTGGATGATGCTATGGCGTGCGGGTCAGGCGTAGGCTGAGTTGAGCGACCGTAGATATCCTCCGAGTCGTGTGTTGGTCGTTTGGAATGATGTCGGTGAGAATGGTCGTAAGGCAGGCGCGGGGACGTGCTCAAGCTCGGTTGGCTGGGACGTTTGGTTTGAGTAATCGTTGAACGGGAGCGTGATGCGCGTTGTGCGGAGCAGCCAGGTCTAGCGCGGTGGTGGAGCCGAGAAGACGTGTATACCGGCAGCGGGAATGATTGTACGGTGATGGGGAGACAAGAGAAAGTGCGGAGAGAGGAGCCGAGTTATGTATGGAAGTAACCGCAGATGTATTGCGGCAAGCAGTAATGCGGCGGTTGATGGACGAATGCAGGGTGCTGGGCCAGACCACCGGTACGGACCGAACGGGTAAGGGGCAGTAGAGTTTGAGGAGCGAGGGGTTGTGTCGGATGGATGAAAGGTTTGATGATGATATGAGGTATACGATGTCGATACCCAAGTCGGGCAACTCGTGGCGATGGGGCACTGGGTGGTGTTGCTTGTGAGACAAACCAACAGCCGGAGCGGCAGGTAACGAAGAGACGGGGCCACGAGGGGGCTAGGGTGGGGAGTGGTCGATGATGATACTGCGGTATGTCTCGAAGTGGGTCGAGGGATAGCTTCTATACTTATACCACCCGAGTGGAGCGTGCACAGGTGGTCCGTCGTCGAGGCCTCGGCGGCGGGGTGGCGCGGGAAGCGCCGTTTCGACAGCCGTGCGGCAGAGCTCAAGCCGAGTGTTGAGCTACAAGGCGGCCACGAAAAATATTGTGGCAGGTACAGAGCGATAAGATGAGGACGCAAGCGCGGACGGTTACTATACACCGCTCGCCACAGGTGTCGATAAACTGGGGGAGGATACCAGCGGCGTAAACAGAAAGCACAGCAGGAACCATGGTCAACTCTAGCTTGCCACCCGATGAGGGGGGTTCGCGTGATGATCGGGGAACGCAACGCGTGGTGTCATGCTCCTCCACGCATGCGCTCCCGTTTGTAGTCGTCTACCCAGCAACCGGCGATAGGAATTGGGCGTGGAACACAGCAACCGACATGGTCATTTGGGCCTGGTCCTGGTCCTAGTGCTTGGCTTGAGGGGCAGAGGCAGATCTCGTCGGCCAAGGGATGGCACCTGTACACGAGGGGCAAGTCCTGTATGATCAATATTGGGCCTAGGAACCCGTGCTATATTGCTCCCTGCTCACGATGCTCCAAAGCCTCCAAACCCTTCCACGGTGCGCAACTCGTTTCTGCCCCTAACCTACCCTGGCCCTCGAACTCTGGCCTGGTCCCTCTCCCTTGGCTTGGCCGTGTGGCTGCAACCCTGGCTGGCTCTTCTACTCTCCGTCAAACTCACCAAGCACCGACGTACGTGCTCCCCTCCCCTGTCCCAAGGGCCAACGTCGGAAAAGCTGACGTGCGACGCTTGCAGGCCTTACCTGGCGACGCATCTCGGGTCTAACCTTACCCTCGGGGATCGGTTGTAGAGCAACCGTCATTTGCGGACCCGAGGCATGCTGGGCCACGGCAGAACCATTTCTGATTCTACCGCTTCTTGCTGATGACCTCCCAACCCTCTCTTCAGCGACATACCAAGCCGCGCACGCCGCACGCCACAAGAACAGAACATGACACCCTTCCCGTTCTCAGCGCAAAACTCATTTCTACATGCATCCCATTCGCATACCAAAACGTGCCACGATCCCTCCAGTCTCCGCTGTTCTCGGGACGCCGAACGCACCTCTCTCCCGTTATAGTTCAGGCATCCTCAAACCTGACAGCAGGATGTTTTTTCAGGTGAAGAGTGAGCCTCACCAAACGCGCATGCCACGGGGATGACGCCAGCGCCTTGTTCCCCAAGTCGCCTTTCCCCGGGACCTCAAGGGAACGTAGCCACAGCAGGGCATGATTGCCAGCAGCTGTGGCATGCGTGGCCATTGAAGGTGTCACAAGCATCTCTGTAGCAGTACCCATCAATCCGGCTTCCCGCATCAATAGTGGGACGGCCCCGGGGCCTGGTGCCATTTGCGCGTCCAAAGTTCAGCTCGGTTCAAGGTCAAAGAACGCCATGTCAGGGCTAAGAAACACAACTTGTGGTTCCTGTTTGCCGCTCCAGCTACCATTTGGTTGGAACATGGCGGATCTTCCGTGCGGTGTTGATCTACACCTCACCTGGCTTGGCGAGCGAGTTTGCCTACGCAAGTGCTCCGCGAAGCAGAACATGAAAGGGATAACGCACCGGCTTTACCGGACGTTAAAGCGGCACCCGCAGCGCCATTCGGCGGCCAGTGGCGGGCGTCCAACCCCACAAGGACTGTGACCCGAGCGAGCAGATCGGCCAGACCTACTGAGGGCGATCTCCACCCAGCATAAAACCATGAAGGAAGGCGCTCTCGTTTTCTACGGCACACCTACGTGATAGGTCCGCCGGGAGGGATTTTCGAGCTTATGGACAATAGGATGCCGGCATGTCCGAACCGAACGGGTGGCAGTTTGGCAGTGCATCTGTGGTGTCGTTGGGAGACGGCACGTAAGAGCTCACTGACGCAGGGACGATTGGATGGTAAGAGTTGTGCCTGCCACGCTTGTTCTTCGTGCTCCTGAAATGGGATTTTCCGGTGTCTGGCTCAGGCCTATCAAGAGTGTGACGAAGAATGGGCGTGCGCCGAGGGCAGCAAGCGCATATGGGGTAGCAGAGGAGGCGGCTTGTATCTCCGCACCCCTCTGGGTGTGTCACACGTGAGCGAGGTCTCTCGGCAGCAACCGTGGTACGGCATAACGGGCATTTTGTTGAAACGTCCCTAGCAAAGCTCCTCCCCTCTATTCGCGGCATTCCCCACACACATACTTTATGCCACATCCTCGTTACGACGAATGCCACACCCAGTGTAGACATTAGGGTTTCGGGCTGGCGCCCATCTTCCGTCCCTGCCCGTGCCCGCTTCAGCGTGTGGGATGCGATAGAGGACTGGTGTGATCTGATGGAGAGCACCGTGCCCGCTAAGCTAGCCCTAGGAGTTAAAGATGAGAAGTAATGCAGCTTAGAGCCGTCGCCTCGACACCTTCGTGCTGCTCATGGTCTTCGATTTTCAGTCGGTGATGCCGCAAGGCGCCCCTCGCCCCTACCACAACTCACTCCACATATTTTGACTGCCGAGTGGCTGCTCAAGTTTATCCTGCGGAATGGTGGCATCCTTCACCACCAAGACAAGCTTCGCTGATCTCTGAGCCATCAACTTCAAACAAGATTTGAGCCACAGAATAGACCACTGGATCCATTTGTTGCTACGTGTCTTCCCGTTCGGGAAGTCGATCAATGCATCTACGGCATCGGCAGTTTCCCGACGCAACGCTGTTCACTCACGACCGGGGGCGACGGAGAGTAACGCGCCGAACGGCATTCCGGCGCGTAGGAGACCACGCCACAAAGCATAATCTGCCGCGCGAGCCACACCTACTTGTTCCCGGTGACGACTGACGGGCGAGGGTAAGGGGGCAATGGTCGGCAGCAATCGGTGCCTCGCCATTAAGCGCAGAGATCCAGCGAGCCGCAGTCTTGGCTCAAGCGAAGACTATGCTGGGCACCGTCTTGAGGCTTCCATACGTCTGTGCCTCCCTTTGGCCCTCAATCCAGTTGAGTTACCAATGCTTCCCACGGCCGTAGCGTTGATCCCAGCGGCGGCCGCAGTCACTGGGCGCACGTCAAATCTTATCCAATGCCTTCCTCATTGTACACAGTAGATCCGCTAAAATCCTACCACAGCCAGCGCCCAATGCCATCAGCACGTACCACCTCATCAGCATCCGGAACCTCGGTGCCTAATTTGGTCATGCTGTGCTAGGTACCAGATGAGGTACAGCCGGAGCTTGCAAGACACACTCTCGCCTTCGCCGGTCGGCCCAGCTGATTAATTATTGCCACCCAGGATAAACAAGCACAGAGTCCCAGCCCAAAGACAGGACGACGCCGCTCCGAAAGCCGTGTAGGGAGGTTATTTTCCATTTTGTCTACTAGAGACGGCTTCGAATCACCGCCTCAGGTCTGTCGAAAATGCACGCCAGCTGCTGTGTAGGTAGCTGATCTCCCAGGTCAAACGGTGCAGCGTTGGCGAAACGCTGCGGTGCCGATCAAGCGCGAAACGACGAGACAGAACTTGGTCAGATTGGCAAGGTCTTTGCCCCGGTCTGTCGGCATCTAGGACTGCCAAGTCAAAGAGAGTCGCCGCAATCATCTGTACCTCGACCACTATCGTATTTGAGCCGACCGGAGGCGCAGCTCACCACCATACCCAATGAATTCGCCCACCCACTAGCACCTGTAGCAAAGCCTGCATGAAGGAATTGCTGGCGTGCGCGTTGGGACGTCCGATTGCTCTCGGCGTCTTCCACGGCAGTTCTAGTAATCCATTCTTCTCCCGCGAAATCATGTCAAGCAATGTTAAACAATGGACCAGAGCTGACATGTTTCACATAGCTGTTCGAGGTTTTCCGTTTCGCTGTAGCCCCAGACTCATGCAGACTTGCCTACACAGTGCGCGACACGTGTCAAGCACTGCGTTTGCTTATTGTCTCACGGCATTTGTGCAACACCGGAGAATGTGCGCCTGCCATACATTCTGCCATACGTTTCCCCATCTCGCGGCCCTCCCTCTCCGCGCCTTTGCCATACTTGCCATGCAGGTGTTAGCAGGGTACTGAAGTCAGCGTCTTCAACAGCGCTTGATTTGTGCGGAAAATTCGCGAATTATGAGGAATGCGGAATGCTTGAAGCAGATAAAGCGGAAATGTGGCTAACACGGAACAGCGCGGTCATGCATTCCGCGGGGACTGACACTATTGAACATATGCTCTTACACGGACAGACTTCGGCGTGAGGAGACGTGCGACTCGGCGATAGGCCCAAAGTGGCTCGAGGGTGTGCCGGAAACCTTCCCATTTGCGACTGGATGAGCCTCCCCCACGCGCAAAATGCGGAGCACAGTGCGGGAGTCTGAGCGGGGAAATAGAGCGTCACGCAAAGGCCATATGGTCTGGGACGGTCGAGGTCGAGCGTTGACGGCTGTGGGCACATGCAATGTCGTTCAATCTTTTCCGAGTCTTCAATATCCACGACTTTTCGCGGCTTTCCTCAAGCACTATCTCGGAATTGTGATTGTTCGTATGTACTATCTGGCCACAGCTCTCCGAATCCAGCCTCAAAAAAGAATTATACAGTCCAAGTAGTTACTTCAAAAACAAACAAAAAAGGTAAGAAGAAGGCTGACATGTGTCGCCAGACTGACACCTTCGGATATCCCACACTGAGAGAGACCTCGCCTTCTGTGGCAGCTCTCTTTGAGAGGGGTTTGCTTCGCTTGCTTTCGTCCTGTAATCGGCTCCAGCTGGTTGGAAGCGCTGCAACTTAGTGTCCGGAAATTGACTCCAGTTGTGTTACAATTCGCTCTCGACATTAACGACGCCTTAGAAGCGTTTTCTCACTGAGTGAGCTTCGACTGGCAAGCGCTACACAAATCCACCGCCCCCAAACCGCCACTGTCGGAGTCACTCTCACCTCAGCCCTTTGGCGCCCAATGATGCCCTGGTTCGCAGACGACCCTACGCTCGAGCCTTTCTCGGTTTTCTCTTCGCTCCCGCGAGTTGAAGTGACCTCATATTGTCTGACATGTTCTGCTAGTGAGGTCGAGTGCCCATGCACACGCGCAACATTCCACCTCACCCTTCAGGCCTTCAGGATTCCTTTTCCTCCTGACCTGGTGTTACCCTGCATATCGTCCAAAGTAGCCGTTGAACGCGCCGCTGTGGCGCGCACCTCGGAATGAGAGGCGTCATTCCCATGCCCCGACGCCGACGCCGTCTGGATCTGGCTGGAACAGCACCGACTCGGGACGCGGCACCCTATCTGTAGGACCAGGCCGAGGCATGCCGCGCCCTGACGCTCGATCACCTTCCGATCATCTCTGAATCTCGGACAGATTCTCCTTCCAGAGCGCTTCGCGTGAGCAGAATCCCCGGTTTAAGGCTGTCCGCGACCTGTTCGCAGCCTCAGACGCCTCTCAAGCATACGCCACTGCAGGCTCCGGTGTGGGTCGCGGTGTTCCCTGAGCTCCACGAGGTCATTGACATCTTCCGAAACGGAAACTCAGCGACGACTTCTGCAGTGGTATCCTGGGCTGGACCAGACTGGCGGACTCCTGGGCATGCGGTGGTGTGGGCACTGGACGGTGACATCGTCGACCGATGCCACACCGAGATCACACCCACGTGAAATCGCCTCACAAGGTCCTGCAGGAGCGTTTCATGGTCTTCACGCCCATCCCGCAGACCTCTCGGCATGCCAGCATCATGCATGTGCCTGCAGCTGATTCCGGCTTGTGGGTACCTTGTCCCACAACCCGGAGGGCCGGATACGGCATGCACGCCCAATGTGACAGTGAAGTGCTCTGCGCCTTGGATACGGGCGAAGATCGCGCATAAGCTCTCGGTGGCAATTGGTGCGAAACATCCGAGCAACGCAGCTTCAGGACCAGGTGCGGAGATCTGACTCACCGCTGCCGGTATGGCAGAGGCTGCACGAGGTGTTGACGCATCTCACAGTGCGGCGAATGCCGCCGGTGGCACGTGAGGGAGACGCAGGCCCTTCTGGCATGTCTGAGCTATGCTTGCTTCTGAGATGGGCAAGCACCTCAATGCGCGCATGCCTTTGCGTTCCAGCGCTAGCACCAGCTTTAACGTCTTAGCTTGACCTTTATTTTCTCTCGTCAAGGCGCCTGCGCACCCCTGCCAGCCTCGTTGAGAGTGGCAGGGGAGATGTGTTCCATCAGAACACACCCCGTCCCTCGTCGACTCACAGGAACAACCGCATTTGTTTAGAGCCGACAGGGTACGCTGGGGCGTCGTCAGCCATGTCTCGCTGCGGGGCTGCGTGCTCATTTATCTTCATGTCATTATCGGGCGCCGATAAAGTATGCAGATCCCGTTCTGGGACCACATTCACGAGAAGCAGTGTTCATAGCTTTGGCCAGACCATCCTCTGCGCCGGCGAAGTCCGCCACCTTGAGCTCAAATACATGAGCTCCCCTCATATTCTGTGACAGCACACCACATGATTTCAGGCTTTTCCGTGTCGGGCGAGCTGACGTGAAACTGGGTGCATATGCATCAATATGAGCTTCGGTGTTGGGCTCGGGGAGGCGGGCACTGTGCTTGGCGGGCATTCCCGCATCTGGCGCTAGCACCGTCCGATTTTCCGCCATCACATCCTAGCTTGCATGTCCGAACGCACCCCGCCCTAAAAGCAGTCGTCCAGATCTTTGTGCTGGCCAGATCGCAGGGCTGTGAGCGGGCCTGGACATAGGAGCCATGTCAGCATGCTGCTCTGCAGCCGGAGGACTGCACATCGTGCCCTGTGTAGCCCTCGACCTGGCCGTGACCTTTCAACGAGGAGACTGATGAAACGCACGGCAAGACGTGGTGTTAATCTTGTCAGTGACAGCTGTAAGACCTCCTTCGCCGTGTCCACCACATGTGCATCGAGCCCACGGTGCGAAGTCACGCACTACTGATCCTTTTTCTTCTCAATCAGGCTTCCATCCGGCGCGACATCGCGCCCCTCCCCAAACTCCATCCCAGCTTTCGGCGCGAAGCGCGAGTACAGGCCCTCGCGGGCTTTGAGCCATGCCTCACGGTCAACCATCACCCAGTGGCCCTGCCAAAAGTTGAGGCCCACAGCCTCGTCCTCTCGCCACAGCTCCTGGCGAAGCATCGGCGGGGGCACGGCGACAAAGCCCATCTTCTCCCAGAGCGCATCGCCGCCTGGCGTGAACGGTGACGCCATGGCGATCACGCGTGCCACAGTCGCCTGCTTCCCGGTGTCGTGCGCCTCGTTGTCGCCCGGCGCGAGGCCGAAGGCCATGTCCAGCGCCGCGCCGAGGAGCTCGGTCGCCACGCCATGCTTGCGGTACGGCGCGAGCACATTAAGGTGCCGGATCTCGGCGGTCTTGGGTGCCTCGTAGTCGGAGAGCGGCTGAGCCTTGGCGCGCTGACGCAGACCCTCCATCCACCCCTCCTGCATCCACGATGCCTCACCCGACGAGGCAGAGGCAGAAGCGGGGGCCGAGGGAACCAGCTTGGAGATTTCTTGTCCGGCGTTGCGTGCGTCGAGAAGGACGACGCCGGCGATGGTGTCCTTGTGCTCAAAGACCCAGGCGCCAGACATCGCGTTGACATCGGGTGCGTAGTATTCCTCAACGAATCCCTTGTTCCATCCAGCGACCGCCGCCTTGAGCTTCGTGATGAAACTCGGCTTCTGCAGCCAATCGATGGCAGCCAATGTAGGGAGAAGGACAATGCACGGCCCGATACAGTACTGCGCATAGCCAAGAGTGCTGGTGATGGGAACCGTGTGGATGCCCATGACATGATTGATCGCAAAGCCCAGGATAATGATGCTGAGAATCAACATCGGCGAGCGGTAGACTGCTATTAGCTTCCCATCCGAAGTTGCAGGAAATGCCTAGTGATGGAACACACGACCCCGCAGACTGTCACACTCACATTTCTTGTTCGCGATCGCCAGGTCCTCCAGATACCCCTGCCCGACGAGCTGTTCGACCGCCGCGCGATCGCGGGTCTCCATCGGTCGGATGAAGTCACGGCCGTTCTGCGACTCCTGCATGTCGGCGTCGCCGGAAGCCTGCCGCGGAGCTGTCGTGGTGCTCATCGTCAATGGAGCGAGGAGAGGTCGTGTGAGAGTAGCTCTCGCTGGACGTCGATGCCGGTTAGCTGCACCGCGCTGGCAAGTCAGGAGGCAGCGGAGGCACGCATGGGCGCGTGGTTTGTGCGCGGTTTAACCGGCAAGGTCCGGGGAGCTTTGCCGGGCGAAATGAGATGGTGCCTGGCTGCAACGGTCAGGCACGTTTAGTAGGCAGAAACCGGCATGAACGTGCGCTGTTGTGGACAACTGGTCGACTGATATAGCTCGTATGCATCTTTTGGAGCTGCACGTGGGCTCCGTGGGGTATAGGGATATATTTCGTGATGAGAATAGGAGAACTCGGACAGTTGACGGGCCGGCTAGGCGAGCTTCTCCGCGCGCCAGACTGTTGTCAGTCGCATTGTCCCCTTGCATACAAACTCACAAGACGCGTACATGTTGACGCGATCGATGGCCTGGTTGTTTTCACGAATGTCAATTGGCTCAACCTTGAAGCCCGCGAGCTCGAAGCGCTGCCTGTACCAAGGGTACTTGGCGGCAGAGCGCCACACCGCGTGTCCGCCAACGCGGAGGACACGGTGCATCTCGAGGATCTCAAAGTCGAGTTCGGAGCGGAGGTGTTCAAGGGCGGCCTCGGGCGAGTCCTCGGCCCGGTCGAGTGCCGCATCAATCGGAGGAAGCGGGCGGTCGGCGGGGATCGGGTCAAACCCTGCTGTCAGTTCTTCATCTCGTTTGATTTCTCGCGCCTGAAACTTACAGTCCATAGAGTCCATGACGATAACCTTGGTAAGACTCTCATCAGGAAGGCCCCGGAGCACATTCAGAATGGTATCGGTGTGCAGCTTCAGAGCATTATTGACACGCGCATCACGCAGAGTCTTATAGCCTTCTGGCTTGAGGTATGCGGGGCACGAGGAGCGAGTATACCGCCCGTTCAGGCAGAGGAAGTAGAAGTAGTTGTCGTCCTTCATGGTCGAGTACCCCGGCACGGGGTCGAAGGTTGCACGAACAAAGTCAGCGACGGAGCCGTCGGCGAGGAAGCAGTTCATCTGGTTGCGGGGAACGCCGAGGGCATGCCAGTTGAAAGCAGGGTTACCGAGGACCTTTAGCATGATGCGGTTGAGGATGACAGGACGCAACCGCTTATCCCAGATGCGCTGCTGCTCGGCGGTGCTGTTTGCCTTGCAGAGGCGCTGTACATCGCCGCGCACGCCAGCGAGGAAGAACGCAACCTGGGCGAGGCGCAACGCCCAGCCCGAGTAACCGCGGAAATAGAAATTTCGTTGGAACTGGTCCGCATGCTTCATCCAGTACGCATACGCGTGGCTTGACAGGAATGGTGCCATCTTGCCAGTCAAAAGCTTCTCAAAGTCGGGGTGGGCGCCTTCCCCGAAGATGCGCCAGAAGTCTGCGTACTCGAGAGTCTGAATTGCGGCAAGCTTGAGCTCCAGAATGTGGCCTTGACACGGGTTCATGTCGACAGCATGAACGCGTGCACATTGCGCCGCGAGAGCATAGTGAAGAACATTGTCGCCCGCGGACGTAATCGCCAGCACGTGGTCATCCTTGTTTAAACCAAGGCGCTTGACGTCGATATCGGGGTCTTCCCACGTCTGCGGTCAACGCCACCCTGTGCACTGTTGGATGCAGAACTCACCCAACCGTAGATGTGCGTGCGGAACTCTTGATGCACCTTCTCCTCAAGGTATGGGACACGCCAAGCCTGAGGTTAGATGAGGGACCTTGTGCGCAGCTTACTTTACGGAGTTGGTAGTGGAACGGCGACAGTGGGGCGCCCGCCTCGAAAAGCGTCTGGGTGTACTCGCCTTCAGCGACGGCTCGCTCGATAGCGGCGGGCCCCAGGGTGATCTCAGGAACAGCTCCGAGTTTCTCTGGCGAAGACATCGGGGAGGTGGAGAAAGGTGACGAAGGCGTAAGCAGCCCGCCGCGGCCCTGACCCAGACGATTCCCTGCCTCAATCTCGAAGGCACGCGCGGCAGCTGTGGCGTCGCGCTGGCGCGAGCATCCGAGGAAAATGTAGCTGAGGTGAGTTTCAACCCACGACGACAAACTTACTAAGGGATCGAGATGAACCATGAATTGAGGAAGTTGTTGCGCGCGTTGTACGTCTTGATCGTGCCCATCTTGTACTCAAGGTAGTCACGGCGCGAGTGGTGCAGGTGAACATTGTCAAACTCGAACCAGCACTCCCAGAACCACTTGGACATCCATGACACGCGCTTGCTCTGGGTGCCGAGCGCCTGATATCAGCTGAACGCCAGTATGAGCAACCCACCCTCTCCTTGATCCCAGAATCACGCGCAGTGTAGAAATCAACGACGGCCAACAACCCGCGCTGCGGGTCAAGAACCTGGTCACAACGATCAAGGAGCTGGTAGAAGGGCGGAATCTAGAGTCAGATCCCATAATTCACAAGTCTCACCATGGACAAGGAGTACGAGAGTGTGATGGCCGTGATAGAGCCGCGGGGGTCGAGCTCGCCGCTCTCCCATTCGGGGAGTACAAATCGACTGGCATCCTGGCACAGCACATGGATGTTCTTCCACCCTTTAGCAGCGAACCTTTTCTTGGCGACCTCGAGGAGAGGCTCGCACAGATCGACGAGGTAGATCGCGTCCCAATACGTGTGAGGCAAGTACTCGTCCATGTGCTCGATGTTCCAGCCAGTACCGCCGCCGATATCGACCCAAATCCGCTTCTTGTGCTTCTGTGTCGGAGGAACAGGTTGGGCCTTGAGGTGACTGGCAAGGAGCTGGAGCATCGTCTCACGACCCTTGAGGAGGTGGGAGCGGGTGCTGTCGTACACATCCGCCTGACCTTCGTAGAACGCGTCGAGACGCGCCTTCTGTCCCCCCTCCTTGGCCGGAAGGAAAGGCTTCAAGAAGCAGTTCCAAGCAAAGACGAGTGGCGTGCGCAGCGCTTTAGAGACACCCAGGAGGACTAGGGCCCACGCAAGTGCCGCGAGCGACCAGCCCAACACAGCGGGGGTTACGTCAAGGTGTGGCGCGAGCAACCTCTTGATCGGGCTAACGTTAGCTGCGATAGCGATGGCTGCCTGGAAGGCGGACAGAAGCGGGGAGAAGATTCCACGTTGCCGAGCGATGTCTAGGATCATTGAATAAGACTCACGAAAGCCCAGTGAGAAGCACAAGTCCACTCGCAAGCAGCGCGCCTTGAGCCGGCTTGATCATGTTGAGATGATTGATGATCGGGTGAGGGAAGGTGCGTGCCAGTGTCAGACGCGAACGCGCTCTTGTAGCTGTGAAGTAGCGCGCCACGTCCGCGCGGCCAAGGCCGTCCCGATCGCGCGTGCTACTCCATCGCGACGAGAGTAGTTACTGCCCGGTAAGGCGGTTGGTTACTCGGTGACTGTACGGTGAAGTGATGAAGAACGTGCGAACAGGCGTTTGAACGTGGGTGGCCGACCTCCACTCTACTACATCGTTAGCCCCATAGCCTCCGTACCCACGGATAACTCCGCCTACTTATGTCGAGAGAGCGCTATTCGTTGGGTGCACTCACTCCGGCATGCTGGGCATGCCGCCGCGTTGGCGCCAGGTTATTACGCGCCAAGTGCAGGCCGTGTACGTGCAGGGTGGATGCGCGGAGAGTGAGAAGGTGACTGGGCACCACACAGATATCGCCCTCGCCCATCCTTGAACACCCGATGGTGCTCGATATTTCGCCGAAGAACTGTTTCCATCAGCTCGCCATCAGTCTGCGTCTCCACGCTCATCGTGCCACTAAATGGGAACAAATGTGAAGACAACCGTGAACGGATTAGTGCGGAACAAGCTTGTGCCAGTTCGGAGAAGTCGTGGGTCGACGATGCTTGTGAGCAAGCAAAAAAAAAGAAAAATTCGCAAACGGCGCGTACGGAGCAGGAGATTCGCACGGCGCAGCGAGCGTACTGTTCACATCGTCGGCGTGGTGATGTTGATGTGTGTTGTTGAGTCGGAGCTTGACCTCGAGAGCGTAGACCGGGATCTTCGGCCGGTGATCGGCTGACCGGATGACCCTCCACCGATGACACCTAGCCGATCCTCTCCATCGTTCTTTGTCCATTGTACATTGTCTTTCATTTCACCATGACCGTTGTCACTGCCCAGAACATCTTCCGCGCCGGCGCTGCTCTTGGTGCGTGACTCTTGCATGGCCTCTCCTTCCTCCGGCCCATGGCGAGCGACAGAGCCAGGAGGAGAAGGTCAATCCCCTTCAGCGGCTCACCTCAGCCGCCACTGGCATCTCCTTCGGCGCGTTCGGTGCCCATGCCCTCCGCAGCCGTTTCGACCTCCCCGAGTCGTCGCACCAGTCGTGGATGACCGGCAGCAACTACCTCATCTACAACGGTCTTGCGCTGCTCGCGCTCAGCGCACACCCGTCGGTCGCCCTCGGCCTGAAGCGCTACAAGACGGCAGCGGGTCTGATCGTCGGCGGCGTCCTCGTCTTCTCGGGAAGCATCTTCGGCCTCGTCCTTGCCCGTGACAAGGTCGGCAAGGTCCTGGGTCCCATCACGCCCATGGGTGGCTTCGCGATGATTGCTGGGTGAGTCGCGAAAATAAAGGCAGGCGCGCCATGACGAGACCTCGGGCGCTAACTCCACTCCAGCTACATCGCGCTTGCGCTTCCTTAACTGATGCCACGCAAATGCATGGGAATCTGGGGACTGAGCCATACCCTGCTGACTCACCATTCCCGGATTGTCACTCTCACCTTGGCTGGGAATGTGTCGTCCTCTCATATCTCAATGCCGACATACAACGCTAGATAACCCTGCTGACCCTGCTGACCACATCGTCCTCGTTCGCGAGTTGGATCCGAGGAATGAGCGACATGTAGCGGTATGAAGTATTGGGACCTTGGAGTTACCCGGAATTTCATCTGTGCTTTACGATCACGCTACAGCTCTGCGTACTCTCCGAGCATGGTTCCGCTAGTCGCCGCGGCTGCCAGCAAACACCGGCCTCCGGTGCCCATGTCGACCTGGCGGCACTAGGCTACACTTGCCACTCCGGTGTTGCCGTCGGAGCGGAGTCGCTTGGAGAACCGCGGTTCCAGGGTTAGCTTGTCGCATTGATCTAGTCGTCCCGAGATTGCGACGCTCTCTGCCAGCCATACCTCGCTCCGAAGGGAAGGCGGCTGCAGCATCTCACAGACCTGGGCGTGCAATACGTGAGGGTGCTCTTCTTCCGTCGAGCAATGCCCTCGTGCCATACTGTGGCGTGGGAGAGAGAACGCTCGACGCACCGCTCACGGTGATAGGCAGTCGGGCGGTGCGACGCAAGCGTGAAAGATCGGGACGGGGAGCAAGTCTACAGTGCTAGAATTGTACATGGGGTAGTCGTCAAATAACCAACTATGGTAATACGATGCCAGTGCTCCGTCATGCTCTGACCGAGAACGTCTGGACGACGAATGGAGCGGGGTCGACCATGAGAGCCGCATGCGGTCCAGCGGATGCGACCCATTCATCAATCGAGAGTTGCGTCAGGCGGTCGGGGCACCAGACGCCCGAGTGCTCCTGGAGCGAGCGTACTAGGCACCACCATGCCGTGGGCAGGCCACGGCGCGGAGGCGGTTCGAGAACCTCGAGCGCCATCGCGAAGACGTCTGCGTCGTCCGTGCTCTCGAGGCCGACAAGGGTGAGTCTGGGCTCCTCCTCGTCTGGGGTTGGAGTAAGGAACTCGACGAGCGCGTCGAGGAGGTGTTTCGCGCACTCCATCGGGCGCAGGTCCTCACGCTCACCTCGCACGTGGAAGACGAGTGTGATCTCACCGCCGGCCGCGGCTATCGCTCTGATCTCGTCGCTCCGGAGAAACTCCGCCACGGGATAGAAGGACAGCTCGGTGTCGCGGCGCCACTCGAAGTTTGCGACGACAGCGCATGCGCCCGACGGCGGGGCGAGGTCGAAGGCGCCTCGCGGGGCATTCTCGGGGTTCAGCCAACACACCCACGTGTCGCCTGAGACGGGCGAGGGGCCGGAGCCCCAGCGCTGGTCGAGGACCAGCTCAACGTCCTGGCGCCCCAGGAGGCTTTTTACTCGCCCGCCGGGTGACCAGAAGGAGAGGGCGGAGGGGTCAAAGTCGCCTCGCAGCTCCACCACACGAGCGAGGCGCAGTGCGCGCTCCCACCGCTCCGTGAGGGATGCACGGTCGGTGGACGGCGTGGGCCGAGGCCCGAGAAGCGGGAGCGCGTCCTCGAAGCAGTCGGTGGTGGTGCATGACAGTTTTGCGCCGATGGCGGGGGGCACCGGAGCCAGACGGGTCGGTAAGCTGAAAAGCGAGGAGTAGAGCGCGCTCAAGGCGCCAGGGGGTGGGACGGGGGAGTGTATCCGTACGCTGCCCGTTGTCTCGGCTGCGGGATGGAAGTGCGGGAACTCGAGGAGCGGCAGCGCGTAGTGGCGTACCGGGTGGCGCATGAGGGCGCACTTCTCGTTGGCGTTCTGCGCGCTCGCCGCCGACAGATCAATGGCGACGTGCTTGAACATCAAAGCGTCGATGAAGGCATGTAGCTTGCGACACGCGGCGCGGAAGGACAGCTGTGTTCGCCAGCCAGCGTGCTCCGCAATACGCTCGACGATATAGGGGTAGCGCGCGTAGTCGATCATTGTGGCTTGCGGAGTCTGGTGAGTGTTCGTGGGGTTATTAGAGACGGTGGAAAGTGGAATCCATCAACAGCGACGGAGAACGAGCAATGTGAGGCCAATGCGGGTGCTCTTCGCTTGCGCCCGGACCGCGAACCCGATCCCTCATATGGCCGACTTGCCTGGAGCAATTTGGGCATTCGCATCACATCACAGCGCACGACGTGCACCGCTCTGGCCCGTGAGGTGCGGACCTGGAGTGCATCAGCAAGCGAAGCTTTGTTCCGTTACTCTGCACAAGGTGACCATTAGGATTAATCGTAGTTTAAACAAATTAGTGTTTGTGCGGGGAGTGCAGACAAACCCGGTTTTCGCGGATGGGCGTTCGAGCGCTCAGCCAAAATACCTCCCGCGGTTTGACAATGATTGACGAAGCAGAGTGGAGCGCGCCAATAAAGCAGTGAACTTGGAAAACGACAGAGCTAAAGTAGACAGATTGGTCTCAGCGTTGCGTGCCACTGTGGTATGACTCGACCCGACCTCACCAGCGATCGGCAATGAGATGCGTCCACGCCACCCGGTTATCGCGAGTACCACGTCCGGCTGATATGGCCCCATGTTTCAGTTGCCTTCTGCTCCGAATAGACGTGATTCGTTAGTGTGGCCTCCTCACCGCCGTGCAGGAGCTCGCCGAGCTCGCCGTGGATGTGGCCGTTGCCCCGTCATGGCGGTGCTGCATGATTTTCAGCTATGATCATGGGGTATCAATGTGCGCGCGGCCGTGAACGGTGCCACGAGCCTCATGACCGAGCGCGCGAGAGATCATGAGAGAGCCGTGCCAGGCGAGAAGAAGATGGGTGAAAGGGCAATGGGCAGGAGCTAGCGCTCCTCGAGTGTCATTCCAGTGCCGAAGTGGGGGAGGAGTTCCGGCCGGACTGAACCTCATGGTTAAGTGCATGATGAGTGATGGAGGATGGAGATGGAGAGGATGAGACAAATGTCGCACATGGGGTGTTCCAAGTTGGGCACATGGACACGCTTGATTCTCGGTGCATGGTCTGTCGGTATGTCGGTGGAGGCCGTGATTGCATATCTGATTCCGGCGCGCGCGTACGGTGTCGAGTGACGACACGCCTTTGGCCGTGCACCCCCGTCACCCCCCTTCTCTCACGCTCTCCTTCCTTCGGCCTTACCACGACCACCACCACCAAACGCCACCAAGCAGCTCGCATTCAATCGCTGCTGTCTTGTTTCCTCTTCTTCTCTCATGCTCTATCCCACCTCGAGACTTTTACTCTCATCGAGGCTTCTCATCAACTCTTTCAACTCCTCCCCCATCACTCACATCGCTTCTCCCGCGCTCCCTCGCTCGCTCACACGCACTCGTCCTCTTACCTCTCTCGTGAGTTCCTCGTCACCTCCACTTACCCCTCTTGCTAACGTCAGCGTGCTCTCTCAACCGTACCTGCGCGTCCAACCGCCCCGGTCCCCCGTCACTCTTCCCTCGCTCGTCGCACCGCCTGCTTCTGCTGCTCCCTCTCTGCCCGCATGTCCGACGGCATCTCCGGCGGCGTCGCCGCATCAACGGCCAAGCCGGCCGACTACCGTCTGCCGACTGATGTTGCCCCGACGCACTATGAGGTCGCGATCTTGACCGACCTTGCGCGCGAGAAGTTCTCCGGCGAAGCTCTTATCCACCTCGACGTGAAGCAGGACACGTCTAACCTCGTCTTCAACATTCACCCCGACCTCAAGGTTACGCATGTTGCCGTCGGCAGCACCGAAGCCAAGGCCTCTGCTGCCATCAACATTTCCACGTCCAATCTGTCCATCGACAAGGACCAGGAGCGCGGCACGCTGTCTCTCAAGGATCTGCCTGGGGGCAGTGTGAAGGCTGGCACAAAGGCGCGTCTGTTCGTTCGTTGGGAGGCCGAGCTCGGCGACAACATGGTTGGTTACTACCGCTCGGAGGCTGAGGCGGATGAGAATGGCAAGAAGCAGACGTAAGTTGCAGTAGAATAGACGGGGGAAGGTAGGATCTGCGAGGACAGTCACTAATTTCAGCTACGCTCTTACCCAGTTTGAGCCCACCGCGTGTCGCCGCGCCTTCCCTTCATGGGACGAGCCGCTGCTGAAGGCCAAGTTTACCCTCAGCATGATTGCGCCAGAGAAGGAGACAGTGCTCGCCAACATGCCCGTGGCATCGACCAAGCCATGGAAGCCCGCGTCCAACGTCAGCGCCGAGCAGGTCCTCAACGACAACTATGAGCTCGGATCTCTCCTCACGCGCTCGTATGCCCAGGGCAAGACTGAAGGCAAGACCGAGGGCAAGACTGAGCACGACAGCGCTGCCGCTGCCAAGACTGAGGGCAAGACTGAGCACGGAAAGACCGAAGGCAAGACCGAGCGCGGCAAGACCGAGGGTGCTGCAGCTCCCAAGATGGAGGGAAAGACTGAGGGCAAAACGGAGGGCAAAACCGAAGGCAAGACTGAGGGCAAGACTGAGGGCAAAACTGAGGGCAAGACCGAAGCCTCGACGTCGTCGAGTAACTGGACTATCACCAAGTTCGAGACCACCCCTCTTGTGTCCACCTACCTCGTCGCGTTTGCCTGCGGCGAGTTTGCTTCGCTCGAGAGCGAGCACAAGTCCAAGCTCACCGGCAAGACCGTGCCTCTCAAAATCTATGCTACACCCAACGTGATCAAGCAGGCCCAATTCGGTCTCGACATCAAGAAATGGGCGCTCCCCGTCTACGAGGAGATCTTCGATATTGCCTACCCTCTCCCTAAGCTTGACACCCTCGTCGCCCACGACTTCGACGCTGGTGCCATGGAGAACTGGGGCCTCATTACCGGCCGCACTACCGCTTACCTCTATGACCCCGAGAAGTCGTCCCTTTCAGCCAAGAAACGCGTGGCCACCGTCCAGTGCCACGAGCTCGCCCATATGTGGTTTGGCGACATCGTGACCATGAAGTGGTGGGACAACCTTTGGCTTAACGAGGCGTTCGCCACTCTGATGGGTGAACTGGTCATCCCCGACCGCATTTGGCCCGAATGGAAGGTCCGCGCCGAGTTCCTCAACTCTCACCTGAACTCTGCGCTCGCTCTCGACTCGCAGCGGTCATCTCACCCAATCGAGGTTGAGTGCCCCGACGCTAACAAGATCAACCAGATCTTCGACTCGATCTCGTACTCGAAGGGTGCTTCAGTGCTGCGCATGTGCATGAGTGTCGTAGGCGAAGAGAAGTTCCTTAAAGGTGTCTCCATCTACCTCAAGAAGCACTTGTACGGTAACGCTGAGACCAAGGACCTTTGGGCCGGCATCTCCGAGGCATCGGGCCTCGATGTTGCGAAAATCATGGCCAATTGGACCTTAAAGATTGGCTTCCCCGTCCTCACTGTCGAGGAGCAGGGCGATGGCAAGATCAAGGTTACTCAAAATCGCTTCCTCTCGACTGGAGACGTCAAGCCTGAGGAGGACGAGACCATCTGGTGGACACCCCTCGAGCTCAAGACATTCAAGAACGGCAAGGCTGAGATCGACCACACGGCAGTCCTTGATGCCCGCTCTGGTACTTATGATCTCAAGGGCTCTGACGAGTTCAAGCTCAACGGCGACACTGTCGGCGTCTACCGCGTCAACTACTCGCCGGAACGTCTCTCCAAGCTGGGCAAGCAGGCGGCCAACTTCTCGGTCGAGGACCGTGTCGGTCTCATTTCGGACGCGGCTACCCTTGCCCGCGCTGGCTACGGCAAGACTTCGGGTTCGCTCAATCTCATCAACGAGCTCGTCGCCTTCGAGACTGAGAATCTTCCCCTCGCGCAGATCGGTGGTGCTCTGGGCAGGATTGGCCAAGTCTGGTGGGAGCAGCCGGAAGACGTGCGGAAGGCAATCAAGGCGCTGCGCAGGAAGGTGTTCAAGCCCGTCGTCGACCGCCTTGGTTACGAGCACGGCAAGGATGATTCGCCCGACACCAAGGAGCTCCGCGCCCTCGCCGTTGGCACGTGCGCAGTTGCCGAGGACGCCGAAGTGCTTGCAGAGCTCAAGGCCCGCTTTGAGCCATTCCTGAAGAACAACGATGACTCGAAAATCCCGGCTGATCTCCAGAGGGCCATCTTCGAGAGCGCGGTCCGCCATGGCGGCGAGGCAGAGTACAACAAGATCCGCGCCGTGTACGACAAGCCGCCCAACCCGTCGACTCAGGTTGACGCCATGTGGGCTCTGTGCTCGGCCAAGGACAAGGCGCTTCTGGACCGGACATTCACCATGCTTAATGATGGCTCGATCAAGCTGCAGAACATCTACATCTTCTACGCCGCACTTGCCTCTAACCCCGAGACTCGTCACCGCATTGCCGATTACTTCATGGACAACTTCAAGTCTGTGAGTGAAATAGCAGCTATAAGAGCAGGTCCCGTGTGGAATGAGGGTTGGTCGAGGATCAAGGGGTACCCGCACTGGGACGCTCCATGACGACGAGGCCACAATAGCTTGACAGCGTGCCTATCGCCACGCACGGTTTCCTTTAGCCATCTTTACCATGGTCCGGCTCACCCCTTGTCGCGCATGCCAGAACCGCGTGCTAACATTCAGCTTGACGAGAAGTTCAATGCCTCGTTCGGCTTGTCGCACCTCATCAAGTTCTCGCTCCAGTACCTCACGACTAAGGACGACTTGGCAAAAATCCAGACATTCTTCAAGGACAAGGACACGCGGCGCTTCAAGCTCACCATTGAGCAGGTGTACGACTCTATCCAGGCAAGCATCAACTGGCTCGAGCGCGACCAGGAGGATGTCAACCAGGTACGTGTGTGACATGGCTCGGCGGGCGCGCAAAACCCGCTCGTTCCGTCCCGGACTGTGCGAGCGCATGCGTCATCGTTCGAGCCATGTGTTGTTCAAGGTCCCAATGGAGTGGACGCTGACATCCGTTTAGTGGCTCAAGACGAACAAGTTCCTGTAACGGGGCGAGGATGTCAGGGGCCGATGAAGTTGAAGGACAAAAAGGAAGCAGACGGATGCAGTTGGGTCACAACCCGAAGAGATATGAGGGGAGTGAAGAGAGCAAATCGGTTATCTGACGATCTGACAAATCTCGAGCGCCTACCCGGCCGAGTTGAGCGAGCTCATCAGGAGCAACGGACGGCAACCCCACAACCGATAGCCCCAACGCTTGCGGGGGTGGCGTCGGGAATGGCTCAAACGCTCGGGTCCCGGCCCTGCGATCCTGCAATCCTGAGCTGCTCGGGGCGGCGTACGGGGAACGGGGTATGAGGGCTGTGCGGCCGATCCCATTGTGTTGTGCCGTCGAAGCGGCTCAGCGCGCAGCACCACAGTCGGGGGGCGGGGCGGCCTGGCACGCCTGTAACGGGCTTCGCGCCTCGCTCGGACCAAGCTAACTGCAGCATCACCACGACAGTGTTTGGTATACTGATGGATGTCTTCGTCCAGCATGATCCAGCATCTGCATCTGGGGCGAGCGCACGGGTGTGGTAGGCCCGAGCATCAGCCTCCGCCCTACAACCCCAGTGCGACGTGATCGTTCCACGCCTCTATACATATTGCTCACACCACTCATTCCGCTGACATCGCACCCATGATCGTCATACAGCAACCCACCTCTCCTCCGCGCACTCTCATTGTTCTGTCTCCACCTCTGCCTCTACATCCCACCTCGCCGCGCCCTTGCCCCTACTCTCGTCCAACATCGCCCATCTCCTCTCTTCGTCACACCTCGCCCGTCATTCCACCAAAAGAGGTCGAGCGCTCCCGCGCCGAGCGTTCCCTCCTCACTCTGCTTGAGCGCTCGGCCGGCTCCCCTCCCCCTCTTCCTATTTCAGCCCCCTCTTCCCCGCCGCGCCGTCCGCAAACTGTCCGCGTGCGCGACCCAGCCCGCGACTCGCTCCTCTTCGATGTGGACCTCGCTGCCCTCGTCGAGCGCAGCATAGCGTTGCAGGCGTCGCCCCCGCGCCGCGCGCCAAGCCCTCGCCGCGTCCCCCGTCGCCCCCGCCCGCACTTTTCCACCTCGCCCGCCGCATCGGCGTCTTCCCCGGCCCTGACAGATAGCGACTCCGAGTGCCCGACCGACTGCGCATGCGAGCAGCATGCCAGCTCTGTTCCGACCAGTGCGGGAATGAACCTCGCCAGCCGGCCCCGCCGCTCGACGCTGCCGGAGCGCATGCGGCCAGAAATCCCTTCTCCCGCGACACCTGAGTCAACAGGCCCCGTCCACAGCGCTGTGAAGGCTCCGATGTCACCGCCCCAACCACCTCCTGCGCGGGATCTTCCCAACCCTCCCAACCCTCCCAATCCTCCTAATCCTCCTAATCCTCCTAATCCTCCTAATCCTCCTAGCCCAGCCCGTGCTCAGCTTCATCCGCCAACGCCCATCGCCGCGCCGCAGCCTAGGCGCCCCGGCCCCCAGTGGCGCCCGGCTGGACCAAAACGAACACCTTCCCCCGCGCACCCACCCCGTGCCTCTCATGCCGCCCTCCAGGCGGCTATGGGGCGCGGGACAAGTCCCCTTCCCCGGACCGCGCCTAGTTCACTCCAGCGCCCGACGACGCCTTCGAGCTCCAACGCCTCCTCGCACCTGGGAGGGAACAGAGGGTCACCGCGTGCTGGTACGACCAACATAAACGTAACGAACATAAACGTTCGCCCTCGGCGGCCAGCGCACTCAAGAGCCGGGTCAGCAGGCCATCTTCCGGCCCCATCTGCGACGACGCAACCCCTCGCGTCCGCCGCCAGGCCTGCCCCGGCCCCGATGCATCCCCCCTCGAGTAGAGGACGGCCGCCTGCACTCGACACGGATGCGTCGCGCTCATGGCCCGCAACCGCTGCTGGGCCCCTTCTCTCACCGCCTCCCCTAGAAGCAGAGGCGTTTGACATCGAGCGGGCTGCACGCCGCCTGCGCGCAACCGAGGGCCGGGTGAATTTTGATGAGATTGTTCCTCCGCCGCCAGCAGAGGAACTGCGCCCCCGGCTCGGCGGGCGACGGTGGAGCTTGTGGTAACGACTTTACGACTTATGACCTTGTATGTACTTGATTGTATGCTGCTATAGATCGTTTGCGAGACCAGATGGAGCGAGGCTCTGGCTGGGGGCGAGCATTTAGCACCTGGAAGCTACCGACGCCCCAACTGTGCCCCAGTGCAAGACTGAGGTGCCAACACCCACCGCGGACAGCGGACGTGAACAACGTTGCCCCATCGACCCAACTGCTGACCAATACCCACGAGTTCACCAAGCTCATCCGGCGGTGCACCCGGTACCTCCTTCTACAACGGCGAGCACCATCTCGCCCGTCTCCGTCCCATTGAGCCATGTGCCGCCCGCTCCGAAGCCTCATCCGACCCGAAGTTCCCTCGGCTCAACTTGCCCAGCGGCCACGAGCCCGAACCCCGATCCTGATCCGAAGCAATATCTTCTATGGCATCACAGATACCTTCGGTCACGCCGCGCGGCCCATTGCCGCCCCGAATCACCGAGAAGCGGAAGCCGCGATGCCAAATCCAAACGTAGTGTGGCGCCCGCAGATCAGAAATCGAACAAGCTCAACGCGCCACTCGAGCTTCGCGCCTCGTGATCCGTCTCAGTGACGGGTGACAGGCACTGCGCGTGACGCAGATCCACGGCGTCGTCCGGTGGCGGCGAGTGCGGTCCGTGCGTCGCATCAAATACAGATCAGCGCGAGCGGGAGCCGGCGCCGACCGCACGCAAACCCACGCGACATACTGTGGGCCGGGTTTGCCGCCCTCATCCGCTCAGTGAGGGTTTGAGTGTAGGGAATTGGGTGGGGTTAGGTAGGTCAGTGCCCTCGCGGGTGAGGAAAGATGGTGAGTTTAGCAGGAAGACAAAACGGCAGCGCTGCATGGGACAAAGCCCTACGAAGAAAGCCCGGCCAGCGGGGACGAATTTAGTGGAGGCGGCGCTTGGCGCGGCACCTGCCAGTGCGGTGGGAGCGGGCGGCTGAGGTCTTCGAGCCGGCGGTGGAGCCAGAGGCCCCAGCAGCGGAGGGCGCGTTCGAGCTCGCGTCGGCGGCCGCCGAGCCGCTGGGGATGGGGCCCGCGGCGGAGGACGGGTTCGAGCCCCGGTCAGCCGAGGACGGGTCTGAGCTCGGGGCAGCAGCAGAGGACGGCTTCGCGCTCGGATCATCCGCGGAGGGCGGCTTTGCGCTCGAGGCATCCGCGGAGGGCGGCTTTGCGCTCGAGTCATCAGCCGAGAACTCATTAGAGCTGGGGCGAGGGGCTGAGGCGGAGGGCGCGGACGCGCTCGGACGGGCGTTGCCCCCGGGGCTCGCCGGGGACGATGCTGCGGATGAGGCGGCACTCGGGGCAGACGGAGCTGGCGTAGGAGTGGGCGCAACCTCGGGCTTGGGCGAGCCCTCTTCGGCGCTGCCGGCCTTTCCGCTCGGTGTGCCACGCGAGTCGGGCGTGACAACCCAGGTGGAGTTCATCGACTTGCTCCACCGGACACTGGTGAGCGTCTGCCACGGGATGGGGGCGAGGTCGGACGTGTTCGTGTTCCAGGTCTTGCCGTCGTCGGTGATCCAGATGTCCGTCTGAGCGCCGTCGCGGAAGCCATACTCGTAGTTGTAGAACGCGTTGTCAGGGCGTTCCTGGTGGATGTTGTTACCCTCGAGCTGGAACTGGTAGAGCATCTTAGGTGAGCATTACTCTTTAGCCAAGGACATATTTGATCGACCTCCCACACCGATCTCGGTACTCACTTGCTTGGCGCCAATGGTGCAATTGTTCTTGTCGAAGGGGCACTTGCGGGGAATCTGGGGCCGGGCAGGGTACTCAGTGCCCGTCTGTCCCGTTACATTGCAACGGTACACGAGCGTGTACATTTGCTGAACGTTCATCGGGTCAGGAATCCAGCCCCACATGCAGTGGCAGCCGCCGGCTGGGCAGGCGGGGAGACCGGCGGGAATAGAGTACGAGACCTTACGCGTCCACGGCGCGTTGTGGTTGACAGAGATGACGACAAAGTCCTCGGGCTTGACCTTGCGCGGGTCCGAGTTGTAGGCAATGCCGAGCGCCGAGCCCTTGACACTCTTGCTCTTGCCATACGCGGGGCCGGGGAAGACGTCGGTGGCGTGTACGGCGCCCATCTTGCCGTCGTCGCCGGCCTTGTCGCACGCCATGTCCTGCAGCGGCTTGGAATTGGGCGTCTCTTTCCGGTAAGACGTCAAAGCCTTGCCGCAAGCGATCTCGCCGTGAAACTCCCCGCCGGCAGGGAGCTCCATAAATTCGCCATCGGCTGCGGTCAGCAACGGGATATAAGCTGCGGTGGGGACGCACCAGGCGGGTCGTTCATGTAACCGTGAAACCACCAGTCTTTGAACGCCATTCTGTCAAGCGGCTTGGTCTGCTCCCACGACCAAGGGTCGTCGGCCATGAATCTAAAGTCAGGCTCGTCAAGGGAGAGTAGACGTACCCATACATGGACGGGTGGTAGAGGGCAAGATGCGCCATGGCGGCGGGAAGGAGGGCGAACGTGAGGAGCTTCATGGCGACGTAAGTGAGCGAGCGTGGACGGGTAAAGAACGTGAGTGTAGAATGAGCGTCTGGCGCCAGCACCAGTTGAAGGATGAATGGGGGGATGTGAGCATGTGGTACAGCTTATATCTCATTCGCGTCGTCTGGCAGCGACGATGGTGGCTTGGATGAGCCATGGCCGTGGTAAGACATGGTTAAGTGAGTTGCGACGACAACGAGGGACACAACAATCGATGCACCTTCATTGCATCCTCGCAACGCACACTCCCCGAAATGTAACTCGTCCTGCGTGTCAGATGGGGTGTTGTGTCGTCGGCGTCGCATGCATGGCCGTCAGAGGGTTAGAGGGTCACGACTGTCAGAGAGTCGAAGGGTCGGAGGGTTAGAGGCGATGCCACACTCCCGAGCCAGCAGTGTGGGACCGGATGAGCATACTTTGGATGCCAGGGCCAGGGCCAGAACATGGGTGGGGCCGAGTTCTAAAGACTCCGTCGGAACGCGCCAGTCCATTGAGTAGTAGACGCGTCGCGCTCCGTTCCGTATGTTCCACGATGTGACTTTTGCGGGAGGTGGGCCAGAACACGAGTAGGTGGGATGGTTAGTCGTGAAGTGTTTGAAACACGCCCTGAGGTTATAAAGTAGATCGCCCCCATGGAACCGTCAGGGGACGCTTCAAGCTTCAAGTTCGGGTCCGAAATCTGGTATGCTTGCTAGCGCAGCATCACAACAATGTACTGGCAGTTCTGTTCATACAATCGGACACCCGATGACAGTCTATCACGCGCGATCTGGCGCTAGTGCATGCCGGAAGCGCACAGACATGCGATCTCAGAGTTTGTTTCCGATCTGCGTCCACTCTGAAGTGATGCTCTTGCCACCCGTGAAGGTGCAGTCTGTCAGGTCAACGTCATTCCCCAAAGCATGCGCATTGCTGAAGTTGGTAACCGGACCTCTGCTGGGGTCGCCACTGAAAACGCGATTGTCGTCGCAAGTGCTCAGGTTGCCCAGTGCATACAGTACATACTCTAGTCGGACCAGTCTTCAATATCGTCCTCCTTGAGCGCCTCATCCTCAGCCAACCCTCCATCGGCTATCTCCTCATCCCACACCTCCCATCCCTGGCCATCAGGCACGCCCAGTTCGTCTTCTCCTGTAATCGCGTCTCCATACTCCTCCCCACCCGTCACGTCTCGTTCAGAAAGCGCATCACCGACGACACCTGCCAGACCAGAGGCCCCGTACGGAGGCATTGTTAGCTCCTGTACTGAGCGCGGGAGCAAAAGGCCTGAGTGTTAGCGCTCACGTCCTCACGGCGCAAAACCCACGCCTGCCTGCGGATTGGATCCTAATGGCCTCTGGGATGACCTCGCACGCCAACGTCCGCTTGGAAAGCAGGCCGCCCCATGCCAAACCATGCTCGGGGTCCAGGGTGCCGTCCGCAACAGCTGTACCTGAGGCTATGACTTTCTTGGCCATATGTGCAGCAGCCTCGTCAAGTCGCTTGCCGTTGTCTCGCTCGTTCCGGAAGGCCTCAAAGAACAGTGGCTTCGTAACCTTCTGGTTGGACCTGAAAATAAGTTTGTGATCCCTGTTTGGTACTCACCGCGGCACGGGTGATGGAAGACCCATGAGGGTTCCTCGCACTGTCAAGTGCAAGGCGTGTGAAATCGCCTGTGGGCTGGACTGCCACTAATCGTCAGTGAGACACTAGAGGTCAGCTGCTCACGATATCGTCCTCTGTCCTCATGAGATCGGCGAAGCAAAAGTCATCTAGAATGGCCGATAGCTGCTCGATTTCCGTGCAGAAGGAGGGAACGTTTTGGTGGATCCAGAGGGCGAAAGTAGACGCGTCGACAGGGATTGTGGGTGTCAACACCTAAAGTTAGAAGAAGAAAAGTAGGGTAGCTCACTTCCATCTGTATCATCGATGTGCGCCTCTCGAACGCATTCAGGTGGTCAGGGAGCGGGTCGTCAGGCGACAACTTCTCAACAGCCAGTTTCGCCTCCTCGTCCTCCTTCTCCCAGTTCGGATCTCCCAGCCCTGCGCGTCAGCTGTCGTGAGGGCGTGCGCAGCTCACGCTTGTTGTAAAGCACTTTGCCCAAAGCATGGAACAAGTTGAGGGATTGTTCCTGTCGACTAACAGAGTCGAGGCTATCGTCAATGGGGGTATGAAAGGACGCGACTCACGCAGCGCGGACCTCCTCGCTAACGTCGACCTTGGCACCTCGGCCGCCGCGACTGCCCTTGCCTGTCGCTCGCCCCCGATTTTCCTGCTTTCCTGTCTTGCGTCTCTTTAGCGTTTTTAGTGACCGGCCCGTGCACAGCAGCTGGAGCGAGTTGATCGCAGATCGGAGGTCGCCGTTGCATGACAAACCTAACAGCTGAACCGCTGCGGGCGATGGACGTTGCGCAGGATCTTCAATAGCCTGCTCGAGGACGCGATTAAGTGCCTTCTTCAGAAACGTGGGAGCTAAAGGCAAGAAGCTGTCTTTAGCACGATGCTGGACTAGACAGCTCACTCTATTTCCGCACACCATGGCGTGTTCAGCACCTCTCGGCCCACAAGATCCGCCGCGGTTTCCAGCCCGCCTCGATCACGCTCTCGCCAGCTCTCCTCGGCTCGCCCTCCGGCTCCGGCGTCACTGTGAACGATAACGAGCGGACACGCCGTCGGGGTGTAAGTCTCGCAGAACTGCAGTATAGCGGTATGAAAGCCCTCACGCGTGGGCAAATAGGAAAGGTTCGGTAGCGAGGTCATCAGGAGCACGCGTGGTCGCGACGGACGGAGTAGTCCGTCAGTGGGTAATGGCACATATGAGTTGCGCGACAGGTATGAGGTAAGCTTGTTGAGGCTCGACTCTACGTCTGGGGTGAGCTACGTCCGGTGCCTACCCCAAGCTCACCGCTTCCGCCGAGTCCCCGCTCGTCGACGCTGTCGGTCCACTCTACGAGGTCGACGCCAAGAGATCGAGCGAGCAGCCGCACTGTCGTCGTCTTCCCGATTCCCGCGGGCCCAGTCACGAGCAGGATCCTCTGTCCTCAGCGAGAGACACGTGGGTCGAGCACTTACCCGATATTTGCGCACGCGGTCGCGCACCATCTGATTTGGTCGCTCTCCTCGAACGAACGCTGCGTCAGACATCCCATGAGCCGCTTGACATAGCCAATCGCGAACTCGCTCCACCCGAGCCTTCCCCGGTGCAAGTTCGCTCTAATCTCAGCGTTGCTCATCCGGATGAGCGTACCTGCATGGTTGGTGCATACAGCTCCGACCACATGGCCTCAGGCCGTCGAGGCTGCTCATCTTCTGCTGTCAGCCTGATACAGATATTGAAGGTTACCTAAGGAACGTTTTCTCGGCTCATCGTCGTCGCTGTCGATCAACTCTATGATGTCCTCGTCCATCATGTCATTAGGCTCGACTTTAGCCTTGCCTTTCCCTTTGTTTCTCGCGCCGGCTTGCGGTTTGGGAAGAGATGGGGGAGGCATGCGTCGGGCATCTTCTTCCTTTCTCGGGGCAACCCTCACCGACGCCGGACCGCTCTCAGCCAACTTAGGAAAGTTGAGTGTCGGCTGAAACTGACGTCAGCTCGATGTTGCCAGAGTGCTGCTCACTGAGCTGAGGCTTCCCATTCTCTTGGGTGCCCTTTTAGGCGATCTTCCCGCCGATTTTGGTGGCATTGTTGAGGATTCCTAAATCGAGGACGTGGGCTGATGGGGAAGATGCGATGGCGATGATGGCGACGGTATCTACACCTGTTGTCGGACCAAACCTCGCAAGACTCACAATCTCGTGAGTGGAGGTCGACGTCACGCGTGTTATCGACGGAATCAGACCCACGTGGAGTGCCACGATTGCCACCCAGCGATCTCCAAGTCAACGATGACATCGCGAGCCTGCTCTTCCGCACTCGTCAACACCTCAATACCACATCACACCACGCTTCTCGGTACGGCGTGAACGCTGAGTCGTAGGCGTTACTATGGTGAGACTACGCCGTCGGTCAAAGACTCACACTAGTCCGCACTATTCAACTTCCAGTCGCTGCTGCTCGTCTTCCTTCTCCTCGTCTGCACATGTACCTACGTCCGCGGCGCGGCACCAAGTATTGTTGACCGGAATAGAGAGGGGTAAGTTTTCACGTTGAGACGGCTATGAGGTTCAGTTGCCGTGCAACTCGCAAGCTGGCACTTGTCGCTGACTGCAGTTTCCTTGGTCTGTTCTGGAAGTGCGCACGTATTGGCGAGCGGCTCTCACCATACGTCTCGCTCGCGTGCGTGATCATGGCGGTTATGATTATGTTGGGAAAGTAGACATGTATAGTATCTGGTTCTGTTTCATCGCGCCACTATCAACAATCAAAGGCGGTTCTGCGACTTGGCGCCGGCCGCTCGGCGATCGCCGTAGTTGGGCAACCGTCAGAGGCTAGTCCACTTTACTAGCGAAGCGGCTTGTGGACTCACGAAATCAAGGAAACGCAGATGTTCATCTTGTTGAGAGCACCCAGCTCGATGTTGGTGCTCTACAGCGGCCATATGTTTTGAAGAAGTCGTGAACCGAGCTGAGATCTCTGAAATGCCTTGCGGACCGCTCATGTTTCTGATTACGCATATTATTGCGTTAGTCAGCTTCTATTCACATCTCAAGAACAGAACAAAACGTTCGTCTTGCAGGTTCCAACATCACAAGGATACGAGGAGCCTCAAGACGTCGAGCCCTCCTGACTGACAACGATTACCGAGGCATTTTCATGATGTGTCATTTTAGGGGGTCCAGACCACGTGGTGGGTGACTGGCAGTGATTGCATCGAACGCGCGTTCGCCAGCGTCATCGTCGCGAGCGACGTTCGACTCTTCGACATCAACATCAGCACCTACCCCGTCCCCTCCCTCCTCACGCATCTCAGGCGCCCCGATAGCCCGCAGCTCGAAGTGCTTCTCTGACTTCTGCACGTCTCAAGCACCGCGCGCGAGCTCTCCACCTTCCTCCCTTATCGTACTCCCTTTCCGTCACCATGTCCTCAATCGGCACAGGATATGACCTCTCGGTCTCGACATACTCGCCTGACGGCCGCCTCTTCCAGGTCGAGTACGCCAACAAGGCAGTTGAAGCGGCAGGGTGAGTCCGGCCTCGGCATCGCTGACGGCAGCGTCGCCATCGGCCTGCGCTGCAAGGACGGCGTTGTGCTGGCTGTCGAGCGCCTTCTCCACTCCAAGCTGCTCGTGAAGGGCGGAAACCGCCGTATCCAGTCGGTCGACGAGCACATCGGGCTCGCAACGGCCGGCCTGCTCGCCGACGGCCGCCATCTCGGCAGCCGGCTGCGCGACGAGGCCTACAACTTCCGTGACACGTACAACTCGCCAGCTACGGTCCAGGTGAGCGCGCGCGTCCGGGCGAGCTGACGCCAGATTCTGTCCGATCGTCTGTCGGGATACGTGCAGGCGTACACGTGCTATGCGTCCGTCCGCCCCTTCGGTGTCTCGAGTTTGATTGCGGGCGTGGACAAGACCGGGCCGCGTCTCTTCTGCATCGAGCCTTCGGGAGTCTACTACGGCTACCGCGCGTGCGCTGTGGGCAAGGGCAAGGCGCTGGCCAAGACGGAACTGGAGAAGATAATCGCGCGTGAGGCGGAAGGCGCCGAGGCGATCACCGTCCGCGAGGCAGTCAAGGAGATTGCGCGAATGTAAGTGACTTCGCCAATGCCAATGCTGACCAGCAGCATCTACCTCGTCCACGACGACAACAAGGACCGCGAGTTCGAGCTGGAGATGACCTGGGTCGGCCCTGAGACTGGGTACAAGCACGCGGCTGTCCCAGCAGACTTGCTCGCTGAGGCTGAGGCGGCAGCGAAGGCGGCGCTCGAGGAGGGGATGGAGGAGGACTGAAGAGGTAGAGCGGCTCCCTGTACAGCAATGCATGTCTATACAACATCCGTGTCAACAACACCTCCATTACACCAGGGCGACGCGGCCGCGCGTCATGCCTCCCCGCCAGTTTCGCATGCCTCCAACGCGCGTGGACGTCTGCTTGCGCTGTATCTGGGCAAAAGCCTCGAGAACATGTGTGGGCAGCAGCGGCTGCCGAGCGCTGGGCGGCGGTGCGAAGAGGGAGCGTGGAGTCGGGTTAGCCCCCGCCCCGAACCGCCGCGAGTCGTCCGGCTCGCCGGACGGGGACAAGTCGTTGCGTGCACGCTTGCTCGGCGAGGCCTCCAAGCTCTGGAGTTTGCGCTTGAGCGGCGAGGTGGGAGCCGGCCGCCCACTCGATGCCGACTGCGCTCGCTTTTCTTGCTGCTCGCGCACCTCGAGCGCAGTCACGCACAAAGAGCGCACCATCTCGAAAGCAAGGAATCCGAGGATGTCGACAATGTCGTCGTTCGGCCGCACGTCCAGGTACGCGCTGAAGTTGATGAAGTCGCGGAAACGGCGAGCTGGTGTCAGTGGGGTTGCGAGGCCACAAACCTTTGCGGTACGTGAACGAGGCTTGGCGACAGTCAGAGTAGTGGACGTACTCGTCCTTCGTCATTTTCTTCGTGATCTCATCTGCGTCCTGATGGTCAGCACCATCGCGGACGCCCACTTACGCGGAGGCGCTGCATGCTGTCCTGGTGCGCCTGGAGCTCGTCATCGTCTTCCTCGTCCTCCTCCTCGTTACGGTTCTGCTGGGTGGGCAGCGTGCGTAAGAAGTCTGAGAACGGGGTAAGGAGCTCCCATGAAAGCTTCACGATCGGCTTGCGGCCCTTCTGGGCTTTGTCTAATGGTCAGCGCAACCCGAATTGAGCAGGCGCTGCAGCACGTACCCGCCTCGTCGACGTCGACATCGCCGTCCTCCTCCTCCTTGGCCTTCTTGCGCACGTCCTTCCAGCTGAGATACGTCCGCAAGCGGTTGACCTTCCCCCGATCGTCGCGGATCAGGAATATCAAGTCCTCGGCAGACAGGAAGCGTGAGGACCGGATGTGCGTGAGCAGCCTCGCGCGCGTGACCTGAGATGAGCGACTTCCACAATACAACTCACGATCTCGATAATCTGCCCGCGCACGATGTCCTCCACAAGCTTGACAGTTTCCGGTAGGGGGTCCTGGACTTCCCCAAACACGAACATCTGGAGTCAGAGCGCTCACGCGCATCGCGCACCATTTGTGAGATCTCGTTGGTGTACTTGTAGTCCTGTTTGCCGCCTGTGTCCAGTCCTGCCGTCGCGGCCGGCGCACCCTTCTTCTTCTTTGCGCTCTTGCTCGACTTCTTCGTGGCGCCTAGCCCCTCGTCTTCGTCGTCGTCGCCGTCCGCATCCCCGTCCTCATCGGGCTCGGGTGAGGGCGAAGCGGAGGGTCGACCAGATTCGCCTACGCGTCCGCCTGCGGCCGCGGGAGCAGCTGGTGTGGGGCGCGGCTGCAGCTGAACAGCTCCGCTTGGAGGAGCAGGAGAGTTGGAGGCAGATGGGGGAGCTCCGGGCAAGGCCAGACCCGCGAGTGGGCGCTTGACGTTGGGGATTGCGAGGCCCGACATGGCGCCTCAGCGATGGGGGTGCAGTTGAAGCGCTCAGCAGATGTCGTGGAGACGGGATTGGGATTGGGAATAGAGTCGATAGGTAGCCAGTGAGGCGATGGCGCAAAGGACAGAATGAGATGTGAGATGGATGAACGGAATGTTGGGTGATGACGGCGGACCAGGATTCCATAGTCCTCTCCACCCTCCACTTCTGATCACGAGACAAAAGCCGCCAAGATTCCGCTCTCTTGAGGTGCTGCATCTGGCTATGTTCGCGCCCCCGCATCAAGGATTCAGCAACTTCCGCAGCCCGTCTGCATTAGAGATCCCTTGCGCTTATTGCTCTGCACAAAGATGCATTAAGTGTAAAGGAAAATGATTATGACATGACAAGAGGTCCGTTTTAGCTTATGTTTGCTACGGAGCCAGACCGAAAGATGGACGCCAGATGCGGGTGACACCGTCATCGGAGGATGCAGACAGCTGTGGTAAGCGGCCATGTATAACTAAATGGGTAAGGCTTACCATATCTTTGCCCCAGTCGACGGCGATCACCTCTGGTGTGGGTACAGAGGGCACCGCAAGACGCGTCGCACAAATCGTGGAGGTGTGACGAGCGTAATCCGTGTCCCAGGTCATCACCCCCGCATGACTCGAGCCGCACGCAAGGTATCGCCCATCGGAAGAGATGGACATGCGGATGTAGAACGACCGAGTGAGGAGATCAGGATGCGCATATTTGTAGGGCATGATCGCTTCGAGCGGGTTGTCGGCCTGAGCAGCGGATGGCCGCAGGACGTGGATCTGGGAGTCGCCACAAAGTGTGTAGAGGTCTCCGGTTCGTGGGTCCTCGCAGAGAGCGTTGACGGATCGTGGCCGACGAGAGGGATTTTCACCCGTCACCGTTGGGTCGGGGAGCTCACCAGCCGCTGTAGCTTTCGGGCGCTGTGACGACACGGGAGCGGGCATGCGCACATCCCACAACTTGACGACACTGTAGGTCAGCACATCTTCTACTTCACGAACGCTCACCCATCAAAGGAGCCACCAGAAGCAAGAATGCCAGGCATCGACTGCAATGCGACGAGACTCGTAATGGTGCGTGACACCGATCGCTTGTTGTCAGCGCAGACCTCTCGAGTATGAGCTCACAGAATCGACGCTCGACCGCCTACTCGAGGAAACATTATGAGGCTGCTTAAGAGTCAAGACGGGTCCGATCCCCGCTGATATGTCAACTGGTGCGGCGTGGTTACGCCTCGTGCGCCCAGATGGCCCATCGTGGGCCTTCGAGCTATTGCCGGGGCATCGAAGGTCATAAAGGTGAATGTTGCCATCGCGGCCACCCGACACAACAATGTTAGATTGCGATGGGGTGTTGCTCGTGCGACTCGTATCCATCAGCGTCACCGACTTGATGGTCGAAGTATGCCCCAACAGAGTTGCTACCTGCTGCGGGCGGCCGTTGTTGAGGTCGTGAATTTTGATAGACTGGTCTGCCGACGCGGACAGCTGGCACCGTCAGCTACGACACCACAACTGAAGCTTACAAGGCGGTCATCTCCTGCCGTCCACTTGAGATCAAAGATTCCGTTGTTGTGGGCACCCCACCAGTGATCAGGCGCACCGCTGTTGAGAGGTTGGTCGACGTCGAGAACACGGATTGCGCCTTCCTCACCGCCAATAGCCAAAAGGCGCCGCCTCCCTGTGGCACGCGCTTCCTCGGCGGTCAGAATCTTGGCTGCATTGTTGAATGTCACGACCAGCGCTGGATCGTGATCCCGGTCGCCCATCGCACTACTGAGAGACGGAAGAGTGATGTTGCATGGTGTGCGATGAGGGGTGTTCGACGAGGAAGTCGCGAGGGTGGTGAGGAAAGTTGGACCTGCATGCGGCGCGCCTGAGATATGTCAGTGGTGCTGTCGCGTGGGACGTACCGATGTCGCGCGGGGGCTGTTGTCCAAGACGGCGGCGTTGCCTGCGCCAAACGTTAGGAGTAGACCTGACGACCACTGGGGCGGCTTCCTTGACCGAGCTGGGTCCGGCGACGCCGGCGCGGAGCGGCGTGCACGGCGCAAAGTAATGTGCTATGCTTCCGCGGCCAACGCTGGAGGACTGGCCGAGCGAGACGCGTGCACGCTTAGAGGGCTCGCCAGTGCTGGAAAGAGCCTTCTCGGGAAGCTGCCCCAACGATCTTCGACGCGGTTTGGGAGTCGAAGAGACGCGTTCGCTTTTGGTGCGGAAGATGGGATACAGCTGACTTGCGGAGGGGTAAGCGTTGTCCAGCTCATGGTTTGGCGAGAGAGTCGCCAATGCTCCTCTGTTTGGGGACATTTTGGGAGAGGAAAGCAAGTTGTCTGCGGGCGTACCACAGACAACGAGATGGAAAGAGGGGCAGGAAGTGGATGGTGATGGAAGTGATGGAGGGATGGATGGCTGGTTAAGCAATGTCCAAGCTCGGTGAGGGTGAGGGAGCGCGTCGTGACATCAACTGAACCTCCACTTTCGTAGCTGTAATGCCCGACTGATTTCCTTAGATCCTTAGACTAGACGCGTGACCACGTGCTCTGGCCCTGATGGCACTTCATTACCTCCACTCCTATTTCTGCTGTAAAATTGGTCCCGCTCGGCGTGCGTGGCCATACAATTTCCAGACCACCTGCCTCGTCTTCACCATCGCACCATCCACGCCTACTGTTGACCCTCTCATTTTCAGCAGTGGTTTGCTCGTCGCTCTGCGATGGGTTGCGTGGGCGGTGCCAGAGTTACCGTCCTTGTTTGAGGGTCGTCGGCGGGGTTCCTACCCCGGCTTCCCATAGTTTGGACGTACATCTACTGCGCTTCTGCCATTTGTGCTGAGAGGCAGGTTGACGGATGAACGCAATGCTGTCTTCCCTGGCGCTACTGAGCGCGATGCGTTGTCGCTGAAGCAGGACCGCCGCTGGAGGTGCGGCGACGAGGGTAATCTTTCGTTTCTCCAAAATGTTCAAGTCCAGCGGATATCCAGCCTCCTGGGGCCGCCGGCACCGAGATGTCCGGCCATCGAGGCCCCGCACTTCTCATTAACCAAGCAACTTCATCTTCTCCACGCGCATCTGGCGGCACACACTCACTGACATGCTCGAAATACCACGCACGCAGACCGTCGCCGAGGTCGTGAACCCGGGCCCCGACGCCCGCATGGCGATCCGGCACGATGCGCCAGTCGCCACCCCAGGTCCTGGCGAGGTGCTGCTCAAGCTCGAGTGCACCGGCGTGTGGTGAGTCCTGCCCTCGCAGATGCTGATGCTGCCACTCGGACATCCGCGCATATCTCGGCTGGGGGCCGTACAACGCGATCGTGGGGCACGAGGGCGTGGGCAGGGTAGTCGCGCCGGCGGGGCATGAGCTGCTCGGCGCGAGGGTCGGGATCAAGTGGCTGCACAACGCGTGTGGAGCGTGCAGCCTCTGCAGGAAGGGCAGGCCGAACAACTGCGCCAGCCAGACCAATACGGGAAAGCACGTGCCGGGGACACTGGCGCAATATGTTGTCGGGGCTGCCACGCACGTCTCGCGTATCCCGGAGGGGCTGGCGAGCGAGGTGGCTGCGCCACTCCTGTGTGCGGGCCTCACGATGGTCGGCGCGCTGAATCCGCTCAAGGAGCTGGAGAAGGGCGACTGGGTCGTCATCTCCGGCTCAGGAGGCGGGCTGGGACATGTCGGCGTGCAGCTTGCCGCGGCACGGGGTCTGCGCGTCATTGCGGTCGACGCGGGGAAAAGTAAGAAGACGCTGAGCCTCGAGAGCGGCGCCACAGCATTCATCGACTACAAAACAGACGATGTGGCCTCGGAGGTGAGAAGAATCACGGAGGAGGGCGCACACGCAGCCATTGTCGTGCCAGGCGACGCGACGGCCTTCGAGGCTGCGCCGCCGCTGGTGAGGAACGGCGGCGTAATCGTGTGCGTGGGATTGCCGCCGAACGACTACACCCTGCCTATAGGCGCGAGCATCCTCTCGGCTCGAGGTGAGTGCGCGGATGAACGGCGCTGCTGACTCCAGCTCTGACCGTGACGGGTGTGTCTGTCGGCACGGAAAAGGAGATGGACGAGCTCCTCGCACTTGCGGCAGATGGCAGGGTTACCTCCAAAGTCGAGGTTGTCGACTTTGAGCGGATCGGGGAGGTGATGGAGCGGCTGAAGAACGACGAGATCACGGGGCGGGTTGTAGTCCGGCTGCCTCAGTAGCAGGCAAGGCTGCGATAGTTCAGCGCTTGGGGGTATCGATGTAGGCCTGTGTGTCGGATGCAAAGAGCTCCCGGAGATAAGAGCAATTCAAGCGATCGCCCAGACAGCCATACGCAGTACCGCAGGTCCCGCAGCGCAATGCTGAAATGCTGAATATAAAGAAGCACCGGAGCGCAGCATGCCAGCGGCAATGACGTCGTATCTTGGTAAGCCGCAGCACACATCTCAACACATAACTTCGACGACGCGACACGTTGCTGGTGTCCCACCTTCACCTCTCTCTACACCATGTCCCTCTCCAAGCCTGGCGACATCACGCTCTCGCAGACGCAGCGGCACGTGCGTGTCTTCGCGAACGGCACGCTCCTAGCGGACTCGAAGGCGCCCGTCGAGCTGCGCGAGTTCCGCTGCCCCGTGCGCTTCTACCTCCCCGCCGACGACGTGAAGTGGGACACGCTCGAGACGGTCGGCATGCGCACCTCGTGCCCCTACAAGGGCACTGCGGACCGGTACTGGCGCGCCAAGGCCGGCGGGGACTACATCGCGTGGGGGTACTCGAACCCGCTGCCGGGCGTGGCGGAGATCAAGGACCACGTCGCGTTCTACAACGAGAAGCTGCAGATCGAGGTCGATGGCAAGCCGCTGTAGCATAGCGAGAGCACATAAAAGCACGTACTGAGTCGGATGGATGCGTGACGGTCTGGACATTGTCGATCGCGCCCTGCAGCGCACAGACGCTGACATCGAGGAACAGAGCTTATTCGGTTTCCGCGCCTTCCGTCCCTTCCAGTGACGCATCATGCTTGTCCCCAATGACATGGCTACTCACTCCTATTCTCACCCCCGCCTCCCGGCTTGCACACTTACCCACTACCCCACTTCAACTAAGCATGAGCGTCGACAATGCGGCGATCACGCCCGCGCCCGCGCCATGGCGCTGCCGCGCGACGGTGTACACCGCCGTGTTCTGGGTCTCCCCCTCCCAGACCGCGGACCCGGCCTTCGCAGAGGCGGCTTACGACCCGCTGGAGCGCGCCGCCCCCTTCGGCGCAGGCAAGCCCGAGGGCGGCGTCGGCAGCATCATGCTCATCCGGTACCGCGACACGCCCGTGGGGCCGTACGACGAGATGATGCTCCTCCCCGGCAAGTTCGGGTACGAGGTGGATGCTCCCAGCGCGGGGGCGGGCAAACGCTCGAAGAAGAGCAAGCTCCGCATCACGCGCATCTACGTCAGCCAGCGCAACACGACGTGGAACGGGCGCACGAGTGCGTCCCCCCGCAGGCAGCGCTTACGCAGACTGGAACATCCCGAAACACCTCGCGCGCTTCGACTTCACCGAGCACGCGGACGGCAGCGCCGAGTGCAAGGTGTTTCCGCTTGCGGGCGGGGGTGCGGGCGCGCCCGTGTTCCAGGCCCGCTTCGTGCCCTCGCCATACGTCCCGCCGCTGCCCGTGTCGACGCGCGCGGCCGGCTGGCTCGTCGACCTCGAGCTCGCGCAGCCGCCGCTGCCGGCCGGCGCCACCGAGGCCACCCCCGAAATTCTGGCGGCTGCGCGCGCGCAGGGCGAGGAACCGCACACGTCCGAAGTTGCCGGCACGCAGCGGTGGTGCGCCGCCACGCCGTACCAGTACTCGAGCGGGTGCAGGGTTGGGTGGATGGATCTGCGCCAGGCCGACGGCGGCAACTTTCTCCCCGGCGCAAGCAGGTGGGCTGTCGCTGTCAAGATGCCGGATACGGATCTGCGTCTCGGCGAGGCGGTGTGGTGGGACGAGCCGAGAAGTAGGTCGTAGGGATGGCGTTATTCTGGATTTTACTCGTCCCCCGCTGAGCACGAGTGTAGGAACAGAGGTGTGGACTGAAGGGGTTCAAAGGTGACACTGTGCGGCTGCGTTCGGCGACGGTACATGGACTAGGATACACTACATACAACGGTACTATTGCAACCCCATACTTTCACTCATCGCCGAAGCGGCCGCGGCCGATCCTCTCCTGCTACAGCACGTCTACCTCGTCGCAGAGTTTCATTTCAGCGCCGTAAACGATCGCGAGGACCCCCTCCGATGTGGGCGGCGGTGTCCCCTCTGCCGAGACCACGGCTGCCCGCAGACGTAGTGCAAAACCACTTCGGTACACAGTGCTTGCGTCCAGGCTGCGCGCAGTGCCCACAAGTCGCGCAACATGAGCTCGGTATTCCCGATTCCACAGAATTCGCGGAGCGCTGGCCCGGGCATTGTGCACTCGATATCTTGCGGACGAAGACCGAGGCTGCTTGCGTCGAGTTGCTGCATGTGCAAGGAGGCGAGGAGGTAGGGAACGCAATCGCGGCAGCGGTTATGCGAAATGTCGAGGCGCTCGAGCGGCCAGCATGGTACGGTCGCGATGTCGTTATGGTGCTGCGAATGTGCGCAGGGTGCCGGCGGGAAGACAGCGGAGCAGGGCGAGGAGACGATTCAGCGGGTAACACTTGCCCGGTCTCGGTATGATCTCCGAGGACGCGAATACTTGCAGGTGATGTACGTGCTGCAGAACGGTGCGTTTCGCGTAAGTCATGCGTAAGGGGAGATCGAAGGATATTTGGGCGGTGTAGGCTAGCGCAGAGTGCTGCAGATCGTAGAATGCGGTTAACGGAACGGAGGGCAAGGGCTTCGTCTGGGTGAAGGTAAGGAGAGGATGCGAACCCAAACCTCGAGAGGGAGGGAAGGGCGGAATGTGTCTCGTAGAGCGACATCACGTTGCTCATCAGGCTGCAAGGCTTGATTGTCGGGCAGAACCGAATGGCAGGCTAAAACAAGTACGATTATAGCTACTGCTCCGTTAGTTATGGCGGTGTTGTTGATGAGGATGTGCGCAAGCGTACCGTCATAAGAACCCTCATGGGCTGAGGCGCGGGTTACCTCCGTGTCATCATCAGCGATGCGGCCACCGTCTTGCGAGAGGTGGCTCGCCACGATCGCCACCCTCCTTGACTGCCATGGCAGCGTTGTCGACTCCGCCTCTGACCAGACAACATTGTGAGCGAAAGAGAAGATGATCAAGATGACATGAGGCGAGAAAGGAAGAACGAGCATTCACGTTGCAGTGCTGCAGTACTGGTGCTCGCGCCTGCCAACCTCCGGATATGCGGAATTGGCCACTCGGTGGCCGGTGGAGGTCCGGAGGCATGTGGTCAAGTCTCCCACGGATGTGTTTTGCCCATCTGTGCCTTGGCTGGACCGATGCGCTCAAGGCTCCGATACTGCACTTCCAACTCTGCCGTCATTCTCCCATACATGCCATACACAAGCTCGAATCGAGGGACCAGGGCCGCGCAACCACTGCACTGGGCCGTCAGTGGGGCACGGACTCGATGAGCCACGGTCTGTGCGTGCCACTGTGCGGCCTTGACACAGCGCGCGCTGTATCAAGAACTCGAGCGGAATTTAGCCAAACTTGGCCCTCCAGCACCGCATTCAACGCATGTGCTCGCTTTAGCTCTTAGCATTTGGCCATTTGGAATCATGGGTGTCCTCGGCACGTGCACAGAGCATTCGACGACGCAGCTCCCACGCACAGAGTAAATGCTCCGGCTAGGTGGAGAGCGTGAGAAGAGCCTGAACCACGCAGGCAGTACAGCTTGCCGTGATGGGGTTGGTATGGCGGAGTGACACGGCGGCATGCTGATGGATAGACGCCGAGCTTTACCACCGGATGACGGGAGTGAAGACGAGACGAAGTCATGCGCTGCGAGAGATGGAAGTGGTTGGGCAGCTGGGCAGGGGTACAGCTGGGCAACATGGGCAACATGGGCAGCAGTGCCACCGTCGGGTATCCAAGTAAAGGAACGCCGTAGACTAAGCTCTGGTTGGCCCTGCGCCTGCGAGCCGCAGTTGGTGGGCTTGGCGTCGGCACTGCCGACTGGTAAGGCTGCGCTGCTGGAGTAATGCTGCGGGGAGTGAGTTGACATGGAACGTGCGAAAGGGATGGGGATGAGTAGATTGAAGAAGAATAGGACGAGGTGGATACATGGATATGTTTCCGAGAGGCCAAAAGGGAGTGAGAGTGGCAGTGAAATGGATGTGTGTGAGCGGAGGAAGGATTAGGCCCTGATTACCCTGTGTATTACCCTGTAATCACCACCCTCTCTCCGCACCTAGGGCTCGTGGTGCGGCTCACCGTTCACCGTGCACAGCGCAGACTCAGTCGTCGTCATCTCGCTCAACCCTCGCTAGTACTAGTAATAGCAAGCTCTGTCTCGCTCGCGCGGTCAACTCTGTTGCTTTCTTCCACTCCTCCTCCTCCTCCTCCTCATCATCATCATCGCTCTTCGCTTCTTCATTGTATCTCTATCCCAACTACCCCCTCGACCAGGCCAGACTTTTGTCGCCCTTATAGTTGGCTTCCCCACAACACACGCCCCCCCGTCTCCCAGTGCCCTTCGGAGCAGCACCGCTGTCAACCAAGCACCGCCCCCGTCACTCTCGCACCGATCCTCGTCCCACATTAAAATCGCTTCCAACTCACTCGCCCTCTCTGTTCTTTTCTTCACTCCTCTACTTTATCATCTCCAGCAAAACGTGCGCTAGAGCAGCCTGCTCTCTTTCACATCAGAAGGCGCAAACGTAGCCTATTCCTCCTCGCCCATCGCAAATCTCCCCCCGACCTCCACCTCCCCAATCCATCCCCAACCACAACTCTGCCAACATGACTGACTCAAACCCTCGCGCAGTGAGTCTACTCGTCTTGCCTTTGCCCATCGGGATTGACGTGTGCTGACATCTCCCTATCCTTTCTACCTTGGACCCATCCACTCTATCGCACCCGCCAACTCCTGACAGATCCGGAGAAAGCTCGTCATCGTGGGTGATGGTGCCGCAGGGAAGACATCCCTCTTGAACGTGTTTGCCATTGGCGAGTTTCCGGAAAACTATGTAAGTGCCGCTGCACTGCCTCGCTGTCACGCGCGCTGACCACCTCGACGCTTTTGACTTGACTTGATGCACCACACGCTTCCCCTGCAACGTTACACTCTGAACGTGCACACAACACTCTCCTCACACGTTCTCCATTACTCTAAACCAACGCACACATCACATTCCGACACACAGGAGCCAACTGTGTTCGACAACTACGTCACCGACATCGAGCTGGACGGTAAGCCGATCCAGCTTGCGCTCTGGGACACGGCTGGCCAGGAGGAGTATGAGCGTCTGCGCCCTCTCTCGTACTCGAAGGCGCACATCATCCTTATCGCCTTCTCCGTCGACACGCCAGATAGCTTGGACAACGTGACACAAAAGGTTTGTAACCTTCCTTCACCGTCGCGTCCTTCGCTGACATACAGTGGATCGAGGAGGTGCGCAGCATTTGCGGGTCTCAGATTCCTGTCATCCTTGTCGCGTGCAAGTCGGACCTGCGCGACCGTGCAATTGAGAACGGGACGTACAGCCCAGAGAGCTTTATCGACACGGAAACGGTGAGCAATCACTGCTACTTAATGTCATAGGGCAGGAAGTTGACTCCAGGGACGACGTGTGGCGCAGTCCATTCGCGCGCGCGGCTACTACGAGACGTCCGCGCTGCTCAACCAGGGCGTTGACGCTGTGTTCGAGGCCGCCACACGCGCTGCCATGGTTGTCCGTGACCAGGGCTATGGAGGTGTCGGCGGCGAGAATACGGCCGTTGGTGGCCGCCTCCGCCAGAACGAGAAGGAGACCTCGAGCTGCGGGTGTTGCATCATCGCGTAGCCAGCCATGAACGCCTCATGACGTTCCATCACGACCCAGTGGCACGTACACGACCGCGCAATGTCGCCATGATATTCCCCACGGCCCCACGGTTTGCACATACACGCCCGCAAGCCGACGTCCCTTCCCCCACGACCCTGGCCACCGGCCGTCTGGTGCGCCAGTGCTTGACTGACCCACCTACTGTAGCATTTCTGTGTCTTGGTGTCTGTCCTGCCTGACCAGCGCCCCCTCGTCGCATACGTAGACTCGACATGGAGACGCGAGTGCTTGTGTTGAACAGCGTGAAGCGGTGGGAACTGTGTGGCTGGCCGATGCCGTTGGGCGCTTTTGAGGCGGCGCGGAGGCACTTGATCCGCAGCAGTCCGTCACGCTATCTATTATGTGATGGTCGGGCCTCACGCCTTACGGACTCATGTGCCAGACAGGGCCAACTGGCATCTACAATCTCATTTCCTCTTCTCGGAGATCGGAGAATTGGCGACCATTGGCCCATGGGCCACAAACGCCAACTAGTCATCCCGTTTAAGATGGGCAGAGGAAACCAGACAGCCAAAAGAAGGGCGGCGACGAGTAGTCGGATGGGCGTCACGAGACAATGCGACACAGGCCAATCAATCCTGTAGGAGCGAAACGCTGTCGTCGCATTTTCTCGCTCGAACGAACACCAAGCGTCTACATCATGTGGCCGCTTGACGGGGACGATGGAGCACAGACGGACAGTCCAGACGGAGCAAATCGCTGCACTACACCCTCTCCGGCGCCAAGTCGAACACCCAGTTTCTGCTTTTGTTGCGGTGTGCACACCATCACTTACCGGCGGTAAACCGCTGGGCTATCCTGCCACCCGAAGATATGGCAGTTGTTTACTCATATGTTCGAGTTGTCAGATGCGCAAACTGCAAGAGGTGCTGACCTGCCACTGAGGTAATGAGCACCTCAACGACGCCCCTCCATCGACCCTCACAGCATTCCCACTTGCTTCCAACCTGCAAGTGCCATCTGGGGCTCACAGCACGCTGTTGATCGACTCCCCCCCCCCTCCTCATGGGCGGCAAGCAACGCTTGTGGCAGTCCCAAGGAGATATGTCACTGAGGCGCAACATTCCCCACCACCAACAGTGCATACAGAGCAGCACACGTAGGAGATTGAATCCATGGCGGACATTTATCGACAGTTGCGGGATGCAAGCACGCCTCGCCGGGGTGTCTGCCACCCTTCACGCCACGAACCGGGCGATCACTGAATGCTTACGTCACCAAAGCCCATTGTCAACAATGAAGTCCGCCACACGAGAATTCTCCGCGGCGCGTTCCTGCCGCCAGTCAACCCATCCCAAAATTCGTCGCGTGGCTTTGATCCCGCCATCCTCTCGCGCCTCGTCGCTACAGTTTTGGCTGCCGTCGCTGCTCTCTTCACTCATCAAGCCAAAAGGACCCCGTCGACCTCTCCGCGTCGACTTTCCATCCCAAAAACAACTACACAACAATGGCTGAGGGTGCTCGTGGTGAGTGCTGCCTGCGGTGTGGGCGCCGACACCCGTATCCGTGGTATCGGCGATGAGAATCGCTCGTCATGTTCTTTGTCTGACGCCTAGGTGGTTTCGGCCGTGGCCGTGGTTCGGGGCCGCGTGGCCGTCGTGGTGCCCGTCGTGGCCCGAAGCGTGACGACGAGAAGGAGTGGTGAGTTGGTCTTTTGGAGCGCGGTGGGAGAGCGGGGAGGGAGGGACGAGGCTCGATTCGGGAGACAGCGAAGCGGATCAGGCGCCGATCGGCGAGCACCCGAGAGAAGTCCGGCGACGGTGCGACGAAGATGACTGCTGCGGCGCCTGTTGAATCGAGGCGCGCACTTTCGAGACAATGTCTTGTGGTCCGCCGTCTTGTCACCTGGATACCCTTCTTGGGACTACATGCGACCAGCAGTCCTCCCAAGTCATATCGCCCGCTCGCTCGATGCACTCCACCCCAAGCCGCATGCTTGTATTGTCTCCTGCTAACCCCCAAGGGTCCCCGTTACCAAGCTCGGCCGCCTCGTAAAGGACGGCAAGATCAAGTCGATGGAGGAGATCTACCTCTTCTCGCTCCCCATCAAGGAGTACCAGATCATCGACCTCTTCCTCCCCACCCTCAAGGACGAGGTCATGAAGATCATGCCCGTCCAGAAGCAGACTTCGGCCGGTCAGCGCACCCGCTTCAAGGCCTTCGTCGCCGTCGGTGACTTTGACGGCCACGTCGGTCTCGGTGTCAAGTGCGCCAAGGAGGTTGCCACCGCTATCCGCGGCGCCATCGTCCTCGCCAAGCTCGCTGTTGTCCCCGTCCGTCGCGGCTACTGGGGCTCGCACATCGCTGAGCCTCACACCGTCCCCATGAAGGTCTCGGGCAAGTCGGGCTCGGTCATGTGCCGTCTCATCCCCGCCCCCCGCGGTACCGGCATTGTCGCCGCCCCCGCCTCGAAGCGCATGCTCCAGATGGCCGGTATCCAGGACTGCTACACCCAGTCCAAGGGCTCGACCGCCACCCAGGGCAACTTCCTCAAGGCCACCGTCGCGGCCCTCTCGAAGACCTACCAGTTCCAGTCGCCCGACCTCTGGCAGGTTATCCCCGTTGGACAGACCCCCTACGACGAGTTCTCCAACCACCTCGCCATTGCCGCCCGCAAGGCCGCCGCCTACTAAGCGATGCGCTGTTTGTAGTGTGTGTGCTTCAGATGCCATTGGGTTTGGCATGATCGTTGCGTGTAGGATATGGCAGATGTGCAGTGTTGCGTTTAGTGCGATGGTCTGTTCGTAGCCGGAGGATTGGAGAGGAGTTAGACTTCGGCGTTGCCTTCTCCTTTGCCTCCCATCTCACTCGCTCAACTGCGAGCCGTGCAGCGATCACAGCGAGCGCGTGCAGGTCTGCTACGATTCGGTTTCATCGCTGCCGTTGAAGGGCAAAGAAAGTGTGGTATGAAGCACGTGAGTGTCACGCGAGAGTGACGTCCATGTGCAGTGCTCATCAGTTGGGTGGCGACAAGAAGAGGGCGGTGTTTACCCTCAATTCCCTATAACATCAACTTCCGTCACCTCGTCGGCTCATCATTCCCCATCTCTCCTCGACACTCTCTATCTCTCGCTCTGCCGCTTGCCCACTGCCGAAACACCCAAATGCTGGGCGGAACTCCACGCTGCGAGCGCTGCGGCGGCGCGGTCTACCACGCTGAACAGGTCATGGGCCCTGGCCGTCGCGTGAGTCCACAATAGCCTGCCACGCGACTGATCTTCCTCCGTCTCCGAGAAGATGTCCGGCAAGGGAGCACGAGCTGACGGCAGATCTACCACAAGCTATGTCTCAAATGCGAGAGCTGCGGCAAGAGGCTCGACCAAGGCTCGCTCGTCCAACACGACAACCTAGTACGTCATGTTGATCTCTATCCGGCCACATCAACGCTCGGGGAATCTACTGCCGCTAACCTCAGCCATACTGCAATCGCTGTCACACCCAGCTCTTTGGAACGCGCGGTAAGTCTTGATGAGAGAGCCACGACGATGCGGGAAAGAGGTGCGAGTCTTGGCTCTACGAAGGTGCGCTGGTGGCACCGATTGCCCAGCTGCCAGACCCTCACCTCCGTGCGCTCGCACACTCCTCACCCTATGCACATGGACCCACGGCCCGCTGATACTAGACCTGCGTCACTCGAACCTGTATTCCGCGGCATCGCCCGGGACGTCTCCAGCGCGCCCGCGCCCGTCGGGAGAACAGGAGACGGCGCCCCCTCCACGCCTGACGCCCCGTCCTGTCCAGGCGCCGCAGGAGTACTACACTCCGCCGGCAGGTATGGAGGAGGACGTGTTTGGGCCGACCAGCTCAAAGCCGTCGCTGCCGCCCAAGCCGAGCCTCCCAGCTAGACCACCTGTTGTGAACGACGGTCCCGCAGTCAAGACGTCGGACCTGCAGCCCGGCTCGCGCGCTGTCGGCGCCGGCATCACCGCTCCTCCACCAATCCCTCCCCGCCTCGGCAGCGACGAGGAACCCGAAGTCATGCGCGTCAACTTCCGCGCCGAGCGGCCCATGCCCTCGGGCGTGTCACCCGCCATAGCGTCTGGCCTGGCGACGCGCGATTCGCCTCGCTCCAAGGCAGGCGTGAACCCTGGTTTCGAGGACAGATGCAAGGGGTGCGAGAAGCGGGTGTACGCCGCCGAGCAGGTGTTTGCAATCGGGCAGAAGTGAGTATCACGAGGAAACCACGCTGACCCCAGATGGCACCGTGGATGCTTGCGGTGCAACTCGTGCCGCACGACTATCGACCCAGCACGCGTGAGCGACCGCGACGGCGTGCCGTTCTGCAAGAACTGCTACGCTCGCGAATTCGGGCCAGGCGGCATTGCGGGGAAACGATAATATGCTTTATGTTGCGAGATGCGACGAACACCTTGGAGCGCAAACTGGCGGAACAGCCTCGGCCTTGATATGCTCATCGATTGACAAGCTGAGCGGAACAGGGACGCACTCATAGTCTGCGAAACTGCCTTACGACCCAGGGCTGGTGAGCAGCTGCAGCTCACGCATTGTGCGGACGCAGATGCTCTAGCTGGGACCTGCACCAGCGACACGGGTTTGAGCGCGCCTTCTTCTGGCGGCTGGCGGGCTAATGGTAAAATGGAGTTACTGAGCCCACAGTCGAAAACCCGGCGCAAAGTGACCTTCCTTGCCACTCAATCTCCAAGCCCCAGGACTCCTTCTATAAACTCTCACTTCGTACACCTCTCTCATTCTCCCGCCGTTCATTTCTAACTCTTCTCACCACTGCCTCCCATCCTCCCAACTAAATCTTTCTCTTTACCATGTACCCCTTTGCACCCGTTGTCCGGCTCAAGGACGGTCACCTCCCCCGCACCACGGCGCTCGGTACGCCCTTCCCGCCCGCCCATCCGCTGACAGCAACTGCAGCCTTGCAGATCCTCTTCGTTCTAATTTGCGCCGTACCCGCCCTCCTACTCGTACCGCCTTCTCCGGTGCATTGCGTGGCACTGCGTACGTCTCGGTCGCTAATCCCTCAATCTCCTCCTACCTCCAACCCCTCGTTCATCGCAACTGTGCCGACTGCAACCGCATTACCCTCCAGATGGATCTCACCTTCTTTCCATCTCATGGCCCAAATGTCCGTGTAGTCTGTCGCGTCACCGACGCACGGCACGTTGCCGCTTCCGACTTGGCCTGTGCCCCGCCGCCTGCGCGTGTGTGCGCAGGCTGGGCGACGGTGTGCATGCACAGTAGCCCATTAGGATGCACCCACAAGGAAGCAGAGAAGGTGAGAGCTGAAAGACGAGGAGGTTATTGCACCCCACGACTCATCAGAACTTGAGACTGACGGCTCCATCGGATTATACTCCTCACTAGGGGTTCCATACCAGATGTCTAAGAGCACAGAAATTGCAATAAGGCAGCACTGATGGGCCTTAGCTTGACAGGAAGCACAGGCCGGGGCAGAAGGCAGATGCCCGCTCGAGAGGGGTGCAGTCTAGTTACGAGCAAGGCTGGGCTTCGACGGCGAAAGGGGGCTGACCGGGGTGGAAGTCACCGGAATGCGTGACGTTGACGGCTGCTTGGGCGACGCTCCGCGGAGCGTGGCCGGGATAGCGAATGAGGCAGAGGACTTCGACGAGGCATCAGACGGAGAGCGTGAAAGACTTGTTGAGCCCATCATCGTCGTACCGGCCATGTCCCACGACTCCCTAAGCAGCTCCTTCATATTCTCCCTGAGTCCGTCTATGCCCTGTCTCTGGCGAACGCTCTCCTCCATCCACCGCTTCAAGTTCGCGATCTCGCCCTTCATCTGCGGTGAGCGTGGCCACGCACGACCATACCTCCCCGCGGGCCGCGGCGTGCTCGTCGAGCGTGACGAGGATCTTGGCCTGCGTCGCCAAAGCCTGCAGTCAGCGCGGCAGGCCGCAAGGTACTCACATTCGCGGCGGCTATGTCGTGCTGCTTGAGGACGAGCGTCATCCAGTGGCTGACGAGAGTGAGGATACCGGTGGCGACTGGCATCAGCGCCGGAGATCCCGGCCATACTGGTGAGCGTCACCGCAGCCAAGATGACCGAGGTCGACACCGTGTTGGTGGAGGCAGTGTCGTTAATGGTAGAGGTAGTGGTGGCGAGAGACGGCATGGACACTCAGAAGTGTATGGTGGGAGTCGGGGAAAGGAGAACGGAGGGGCTAGTTATGTGCGCGCGACATGAGGAATGCAGGGTGGGTGGCAAGTATGACTTGGGACGCCACCTCTCTCGCGTATTGCTCGGGTTGGCTTGAGGATTCAACGCACTTGTCGCGGAACCCGTTTACCACATGGCAGTTCTGGACTCTGCCCCAGGCACCCCGACCCGGCCGTGATAGCGGCCAGAGGAGTTCCGGAACTTGATTTCGGGAGAGAAGAGAGAGTAGGGCTGGGATAGGTTGGATGAGTGAGCGCAGTACTCGCCTGTATCCGCCATGTCACTGCTCCACAGGCATTATGACTGTCGGAAGCCCACCAACTGCACAAGGTCGGTACAGTAGGCGTCAAGAGTATCTGATGTTACCACCTGCGGCCTCCGGGTGTCATATGATTTTGTGCCCCAATCCATTGAGACTGAGCGAGTTTCCACTCTCCACAAGGCCTTGCGGGGCCTTGTCGCAGGATGTCAAGCGCATATGCATGCAATAGAGCAAACTCTCGGCGTCTCCAACGGCCTTCGACAGCCGTTCCTGCGATCGATGGTTCCGCGGGAAACACAGAAACCGCGTGGTGCTCCTGTTACGTATTTGGCGCGTTCATCTCGCCTCCTCACACCGAAAGTTGGGCGTGTAGTTGCTACCGATGTGATAGCACTCTACCACTCATGGGCATCCGTCAGGTGCGATGCCTGCCTGGCTTGCTATGGGCGACTGCCCGTCGTCAGGCGTCCATCACGAGAGCTAGGTCAGATGCGAGGGGATGGCACGATTGCAGCCCGTAAGAGTAATGGGTCAAGACGCGTCCGAGCCGCGTTTGGGTGAGCATGCAGCGTTTGGGGTGAGTAATGACGCAACGTGCGGCCAAGTATCGGGACGGCTTCGGTATGCTGCGGCAGCGGAACGCGTGGCACGCGATGGTCGTGCTGGTATCTCGATCGCAACTCATCAATCAGACGACGAGGGTTAGGTGAGATGGGCGTCGTCGCGCCAGGCGTCACAGAGGGAGAGTGGAGAGAGGGTGTCTCCTTGGGTGCCCGCTGCAGATGATCTCCCGCTGTCTCTAGACACTAAACCGCCCACCGGTGTGTTGAGAGGCCCCCCTCAGCATATCCCTCGGGGTCGAATCTTGAGTAATGACTCTCACCTGTGCATGGCTCGTCGTGAGCCCACAGCTGCGGATGCTTCCAGCTTAGGAACAGAGTTGAGTTTCCGTCCCTCCCTACTCGGGTGCGCAAACAGGCCCCCGCATTCCATGGGCAGCGAGCTTAAGTGGTACTGCGGTGACAGAGCGGCCACCGGATCGGGCAGACCGAGGCGCCCAAAGTCTGTCAGTATGTCAGTACGGCGCGCTTTGTGACAGCTGCGCTTGCAAGTAGCCCCGGAATGGCGAAGAGTGGTCAGTTCCAGCAGTGACGAGGGTGACCAGTGGAGAGCTCGTGCAATTGCAGGGCGGCCGATGCCAAATCGTCCCGTCGGATCCAGGGCAAGGCTAGCGATCTAATCTACACGCGTAAGAAATTGGTGCCCGAATGAGGGACTGCACCTCGTGCACGACGCGCATAGAAAAGATTGTAGACTGGTGGACTGAAGTTGGGGATGTTGATTCGAGAAGTTGTGGAGATGTGCCTCGTCCCTGTTGGGCCATGTGGTATCGCCCGTCGTTACCAGTTACGGCGGTAATCGGCGGCTGAGCGGCATCAACATCAGCAAGAGGCTGATACATGCACACGACTGCATCATCACACATTTTGTCGCCACCATCATCCTCACTTGCACAGTCGTCGTTTGGCGCCCAGACGCCCCATCCCACGCCCGAGTGACCAAAGCACAGCGCATGGCTCCGCCGTCCACCTAATTCGACCCCCTGGATGCTGTCGGCCGACCAAATCTCTAATTCCCTCATCCCGGTTTTCCTCCGCCCAACCCTCCCGCGAGCCCTCCACCCTCGATTTCGGCGGTCTTGATCTTTCACTCCCCTTCACCACATTTACCACACTCTCATCACACTTCACTTCGAGGGGGCCTGCTCTCCCTCTCACCTTCTTTCACGATGGCGGGCGACTTCAACGCCGACGGCGCGGCCAAGTACCAGTTCGTTGTCGTCGCGATCGTCGCGTGCGGCGTCTTCGCCGCCGGCGTCATCACCGTTATGTACCGCCGCCGCCGACAGCGGATCCTCGCTGAGCGCATGGGACTCGGCGGCTTCCAGGGGAGGACGCGTCTGCTGCTGAGCGACGGCGTCATTATCGACATGCCGCCAGGCCGAGGACAGGCGCAGCAGCCCCGCAAGAAGCGCCCTAAGCTGGGTCCTGAGCCCAAGCTGTGGGACGTCGAGGTCGGCGACTGCGTCGTTCTGGACGCGCTGGACGCGCCGGAGCAAGAGGACAGCGACATGGACAGCTTTGAATCTTCGATCGACGAGGGCACACCTATGAAAGGCAAGGGCGTCAACAAACTGGACGTGGACGAGTGGCAAGTGAGTCTTCTTTGGCTGGGCGTAAGCAGTGGACGGGACGCGAAAGGGAGGGGCGCTCCTGCACGGCGGAACAGGAAGAGGAGACTTGGTGTGGAAATGGTGCCCCGAGGCCCGAGGTGGAACTGCATCTGCAGTTCCGCGGCCCCTCCAAGGCAGACAGGCGCCGCCCCTAGAGTCAGAGACGACCTTCCCGTCGCCAGCAGAGCACGCGACATGCGCGAACGAGCTGACGTGCAGCCTGTGGCTATCAACCTCCCACCCCACCCGCCCCACAACCCAGAGGACCCCAACTCTGTTCCACCTCCCCATCCAAACGCCGACATTACGCTTCTCATCGCCATGCCGTCCCAGTCGTTGTCGTGTCCTCCCGACGATGGTCAGCTCCCCCTCCTCCATCTCCCACCCTCCCTGTGTCCGCGTGACGCCGACGACTTCGAAGATGGCGGCTACTCTTTCCCTTCCGTGCAGCTCGGCTCGACAAATGTGCGGGTAGAAGCTGACTGGGCCGACCTGGACGCGCTCAAGCCACCCAAGCCGCCCAAGCCACCACGGACGCATCGTCCTAGGCGCCGATACGAACCCAGTCCCATTGAAGGCTTCACGCGAGGCCTTTTCCGCAACAGGGCTGTCTAGACATTTGTGTTGTATATTCACCTACTCGTCCTCTAATAGCCCGCGCGCGGGCATGCGCAATGCAACTAATATCTACATACGTCGGTAGACAATACAATCTTGCTCAAAGTTCAAGCACGTCCTCCTCCTCCTCGGCCTCCTCAGCGCGCTGCCGCTCGCGCTCGACGTGCCTGTCCGACTTGCGCTGCAAGTCAGGATTCTCGACGAGTATCTGCGCAGTGATGGTAGCGTTGCACCCGCTGAACGGACATCGTGCCGCGCGGTTCCCTCGGCGTGCGCTCGTAATGATCTCCATGATTGCGTCCTTTGAGTATGAGTGGTTGCACGTCTTGCTTCCGTCAGCCAGGTCCAGGAGTATCAGATCTCACCTTGTGACGGCGTTCTTGTAGGCAACAAGTGTAATGGGGCAGGTGTAACGCTGCGTTGTGCCACCGACCTCGATGTCGTCGTCGTCGTCCTCGTCGCCCGCTTCGCGCGGCAGCCAATGTGACATGGGCGGACATGCTTCGTCTTCGTGGTTCACTTCCCACACGGCGCTGCGGAACGACACAAACCCCTCGTTCGTCTTGTCTGCTCATCAGCGCGGTCCCAACCGGACGTACACTTCATGCGGGCAGTCTGCGCCTCGTACTCGGCAATACGATCCTCTACCTGCTTGGTGTAGTAGTCTTGCATGTTGCTCTTAGGTGTTAGTCGAGCCGGCCGATACTAGAGCTCACGATGTGGTTCTCGTGATTGATCTTGCCAATGATGTCGTCAATCACGTCATGACGCAGCTTCAGGATGCTCTTCTGGTCGATCATGCGGAGGATGCCCTCTTGGATCTCAGCGATGGCCTTCTGTCAGCTCGTTGCGGTAGGCCCAGCAAACTCGGCCTACTCACAGGATGGTTTTCTTTCGCCCGTTCCAAGGCGCACGCCACTTCCTTCCCCATATTGATACCAGAGTCGAGCTTCGTCTGCACCGTCAGAAAGTGCTTCTTGAGGTCTCGCAGCTGCGGTCAGTTGTGGAACGGCCAGTATGTGCCTCACGGTTTTGATGCCCTCTGGACCAACCGGAACGTTCACAAAGTTGTCGACATTCCACTGCAGCGCGGGGTCGTCGTCTTCTTCCAAGTCATCGTCTTCTTCCTCATCCTGGACTCTAGGTTTGGCTTCTCCGTTTCGGAAAGGTTTGCGATCATGATGCCCTTGGGTCGATCGTTGTGAGTCCACCTCCTCAGTTGTTAGGCGTCTTCGTGAAGACGACGCGGTGTTGTTGGAGCGCGACATCGTTGATGGTCAGATGCGACCAGCCTCCAGCTTCCAGATCAAGATGACTAGACCGCACGCGTCTGATGAGAGCCACGTGAATGTCACGTGATGAACGCGACGCGTCGCAACCCTGAGAAAGTACACTCACCCACCTCGCCGACATCATTTACTCCCACCTTCTTCATCATCGCCACTGCTGTCCTCATCCACGCTCCTCGCTCCCCTCATCTACTTTCCTAGTCAAAGCTCATCGCCTCGCGTCGGAGTCACTATGTCCAGCCCCCTCACCGCTGGTTTCTGCTGGGAAGTGTATAACAGCGCCGACACCCCGGAATGCATCCCCACCCTCCAAGTGATCAACATCAAGGCCATCCAGACGTCTAACTCAAGCACGGTCCGATTCCGGTAAGTCATCGAACCATCATTCTGACGCGACACTGTTTCTGGGCGGCTTGACAGAGAGCATGTGCATGCCACTCCTTCATTTGAGGGCCGAACTGAAGGAGGGATAGGCTTTCCCTCCATTACGCCATCATGCCAGACTAACGCCACAGTCTTATCCTCTCGGACGGCCAGCACTTCACCCAGTCGATGCTCGGGACGCAGCTCAACAATCTCATTGAAGATGAATCGATCAAGAAGAACAGCCTCATCAAACTGACCCAGTTCGTCATCAATACTGTCCAGAATAAGAAGTGAGTGACCACCTACTCCAGTCAACGGACCCAGGAGGTAGCTAATCTCAGACTCCTCATTATCCTCGGACTCGAAGTGCAGCCATGGCAGGGTGACAGGATTGGTTCTCCCGTCAACGTCGAGTCAGCAGCCCGCGATGTGAAACCCGCGGTGCCCGCGAGCACTGTGGCTGCCCCCCCACCAGCTGCTGCCAACCGTGGTGGAGCGTCCAACACCCGGGTACAGCCTGCTGGTGGAGCGCGTCGCGGAGGCAGCGGCAAGGGTGATATGGGGCCGATTTTCCCCATCCAGGGCCTTAGCCCTTACCAGAACAAGTGAGCAGAGGCCAGCATGGTGGCACGGAGATGAGAGGAGTGACTGATCATATAGGTGGACAATCAAGGCTCGCGTCACCCAGAAGTCGGACATCAAGCACTGGTCCACCCAGCGCGGCGAGGGCAAGCTTTTCAGCGTCAACCTCATGGACGAAACCGGCGAGATTCGCGCCACCGGCTTCAACGACACCGTCGACTTATTCTACAATATCCTTGAGGAGGGCAAAGTCTACTTTATCTCGCGCGCTCGTATCAACATCGCCAAGAAGCAGTTCAGCAACCTTGACAACGAGTACGAGATCATGCTTGAATCCAACTCAGAGATCGAGCCATGCGACGATGACTCAGTCCCGCAAGTAAAGTACAACTTCAAGCCGCTGGCCAACCTCGATGAGGTTGCTAAGGATGGCATCGTAGACGTTATCGGTGTCGTCAAGGAGGTGCACGACCTCGGCTCTGTCACCTCAAAGGCAACACAGAAGCCTTTCTCCAAGCGCGACATCATGCTTGTTGACCAGTCTGGACAGAGCGTTCGTCTGACCCTCTGGGGCAAAACCGCTGAGAACTTCTCCGCGACCGACGAGCCTGTAATCGCCTTCAAGGGTGTCAAGGTCGGCGACTTCGGCGGGCGCTCGCTGTCCATGTTCAGCTCGGCCACCATGTCGGTCAACCCCGACATTTCTGAGGCCCACGCCCTTCGCGGGTGGTACGACGCTGAGGGCCGCAGCAAGTCGTTCAACACGTTCTCCAACGCCAGCGTCAATGGTGCGATGGGTACCATCAAGCCCTCTGAGCTCAAGACCATCGGCGAGGCCAAGGACCAGGGCCTTGGCATGAGTGACAAGGTCGACTACTTCACGACTACCGCCACCATCATGTTCATCAAGCAGGAGACCTTCTCGTACCCGGCATGCGCGAACCCCGACCAGAGCTGCAACAAGAAGGTCATTGACGAAGGTGCGGGCTGGCGCTGCGAGAAGTGTGACCGCTCTTGGCCTGCGCCGATTCACCGGTGAGCTCCTCAACTCCCTACACGGCTGACGCGCAGCTACATCCTTCAGATGAACATCATGGACCACACAAGCGCGTTCTGGGTCACGGCGTTCAATGAAGTCGCAGAGCAGCTGCTCGGCATCTCAGCCAACGACCTCATGCGCTTCAAGGAGGAGGGTGACCCGCAGTTCGAGAAGTACATCTCCAAGGCACAGGGCAAGACTTGGACATTCCAAATGATGGCCAAGCAGGACACATTCAACGTGAGTGGTCGACCGGCAGTGTCGAGTGGACGAGCTAACATGTAGGACCAGGTCCGTGTGCGCTACCAGTGCCGCCGAGCTGGGCCAGTTGACTTCGTGGCCGACAACGCCGACCTGATCACCAAGATCAAGGCTATGGCCGTCTAGTACAATACCTGGCTCGGCACATGAACTTACTCTGTATGGTAGTTGTGTAGTAGACATTTTCGCGAATGAATGGCCGACTCTTGCTCTGAGCTTGACGTGGCACAACTGAATTAGTGTCGTGGCTCACATCGATGCACATCACTCATTCGTCGTACTCATCATCTCAACATCTGCGCCAGTATTATACAAATGACCATCTGTTGATCATGCCATGCGGGTTAATGCTGCTATGTGGGGGTTGTCTCCCGTACCTAGGGGTGCTTCTGGCAAGACAGCGACCCGGAGGAAGGGCGAAGGGGACACTGGAGGTGGATTGCGGAATGAAAATGCTCATGGGGTCGTCTCAGTCATCGTCTTGCTTCCTCCACATCTAATCGTCGTCGTCGATGACGATCACATCGTCGGCCGATGCCCCGCCAGACCGGCGACTGCCGCTCCCGCCGCCGCTGCTTCCTCCATTCTCCATGCGGGCCCGCTTCGACCGGCGGGGGGCAGAGAGCTCGACCTCAGCGTCGTCATCGTCCGGAACCTCAATGGGAGCTTCACTGTTGCCTCCACCCGGCGCCGGGCGCCGGGTGCCGGCGATCTGAGGAGGAGGGGCAGTCGATCCATTCACGGGACGGTGTATCGTCCCCGGTCGTGAAGTCGAAGCCCGCGGCGCAGGCGGCGGTGCAGCCACGGGCGTGTCCGCCTTCGGCTGCGCGTACCTGCTGTCAGAGATGCCTGCTATGGCAACTCACATCTTGACCCAGTCCTTGGCGGTGGAGTCATGCTTCTTGCGATTCTGCTTGTATTCGATAGCGATAGAGGGTACGAGGGGGTCGGCTGGGTTGGGGTCCGTTAGGAGGGAGGAAAGGGAGAGGATGACCTTGTACAAGGAAAGGGCTGGAGACCAGGCCGATTTCAGTAGCTATCATTAGCTGGTTCAAAACATGTGCGGCATAGTTCAAGTCTGACGCAAAGACAAAACAATGCTCTCTCGGGCAGCACTCACATCCAGGCCTAAAGTTAGCGTCTCTTTGGTTATTAAGGACTTACAGATTGAGCCTTGCGGACTGACGTTGCAATGGTATACTTTCGTCACAAATTGAACATGAGGTGGCGAGAAGCTATGGGTCAGCCTCGTAAACACCTCAAGCTCGACTCACGGATAGTCTTCGGGCACACGAATGTCGACGTCAAACAAGCCTCCCTCATAAGGCGACCCAGCTGGACCTGGAATCGTTGCTCTCCACTGGAAGATGTTGCTTTCGTTTGGCGCGAGCTTAATCGCGCCGAGGTTCTCGCGTGCAAGGTCCGAGATCTGGTTTGAGCGCTGCACAAGGTGTCACGGCGTTGCGTGGGAAAGCAGGGAATGAGATAGACCGTGAAGCAAAAGGGCGGAAAGAAGGGGGCCGCGGGGAGGTGGCGCGCGACCGTTCACCCAAGCAGCAGGCTGGTGCTCACCTCCTTGCGTATGCGCTTGGTGGCCATCTGCTGTTAGCCTACACTCGTTAGGAGATGACTTACCAAGGTACCACCTGTTCCGGGCGGTCGTCGCAAAGCCATTGCTGTGCGGTGTTGAGGAGGCGTGTAGAATAGTGGTCGAAGAGAAGAAGAGAATTGCGGCTGTTGTGGTGGTGGTGAGGTTGCACAGTGACGGGTTGACTGTGCGAGATATAGATGGCCCAGACTTTCCGTCCACGTGGCGTTTGATCCCATGGTGGAGGGAGGGGCTTGGTGGCAAAATCGAAGGTTGCTCGATGGCAAAGTCATGGTCGGTTGGACCGATGTTGGCAAGTGGCGCTATCGCAAACCAGTGCGATCAGTGCAACAAGCGCTTTTGAAAAGGTGTGGCGTAGACATTGGATGAGTCATCAGTTGACGTACAGCTGGCGGGAATATAGTATGATCCCAGGTGGCTGGCGTTCAGCACCTGAGACGGGTGTGCCACTGTCAATCATCGGGACGGAAACCACCTGCGGGATGCTCAGATAACCATCTAGTACATAACAAACGCGCAAAAACAGTGCCAGCAACCCCTTTCGCAGCTAGATCCCCCGCAACTTGATGTTGTACATGTCATTAATGTATATCATTATGTCGCGCCAGGCGCGTGTTGGCAGCTGGCGACGCTGTCGCCAGCCGTGCTCCGGATCTCTGTGCTGTCTCCAATGGCGCCTGGCCTTTTAGAAGTGGCCGCCCTTGACAGAGCTGCGGTCCGCAAAGGGATCTGACGGCCTGCGGGCGGAATACTGCATTCTGGGCGGGCGGGGGAGGCGGCTAGAGCTGAAGCTCGTGCGCAGGCTCGGCGAACCCTCGGGCGACCCAAACTCAGCTGAGATTGTCGGAGACTGCGGCCCATGCAAACGAGTGGTGGACGGTGTGGCCTCGCGCAGAGGCATAGGAGGAGACGGTGTGAGCGCTTGGTTGCGAACCTTGAGGTCAAACTCGGAGGGGAAGTACTTCTTCTGCTCGGCCAAGTCGGTGGCACGCTGCGCGCTCTCGATCTTGAGCTGCCGCGGCAAGAAGAAGATAAGCCCCAAGATGTAGAGGATGATCCACATCATCACGATCATTCCCCACCCCACACGGAAGCCGTAGGCCGGCACTCCGTGACCGCGACGCACCCACTCGACCGTGAAGCCGGACCAGCAGGCTGACCAGCCGACCGAGACGGTGACGATCCCGAAGAGCACATGAAAGAAGTTGCTTGGCCCGCGGCCACGCTTGGTCTCGAATGTGTACTGGCGCATGCGGTGGCCCGGCTTGTAAAAGTGCGAGAAGGCGCCGATAATGACCTGGAGAACGACCAGCACAAAGAGTGCGGTGCCAGTCTTGCGGTGCGCCGAGTCAATCTCACCGCCAAACGTTAGACCCAGGCCAAAGTTGACGCAGACGAGCGCAAGGGCGAAGAAACCCTGGTTCAAGATGTGGAAGTAGAACCAAGATTTCGTTGTGGTGATGCCGCGCGTAATACGAGGAACGACGACACCACCTGGCAACACAAGCATGGTGACAAGCACGCCACACGTTACGTGGGCGATGAGCGCTAGACTTGGTCCGCCGGTAGCGTTATTGGTCGCCTTGGAGGAGCCATACCCAATCGTCGTGGGGCCGGGCACATCGCTGTACTCGGCCTCGAAATTGATGAGCTCGCCTCCGTGCCATGTGTGCTGAATCAGGCCGGCGGTCGGGTGCGTGCTGTCGGGGCGCGTGTTAGACAATGCCCAGATCACAATCGTGTTGTTGGCCCCATCTGAGGGCATGTCAAAGCTCAAACTCGTTCCGGTTGTGTTAGACCAGGTTCTGCCAGGGTTGAGAGTTGCGGGCCGTGGAGGATTGGGATCAACTGCGCATTAGATCACATCATCACCAGCTTTCAAACGTACGGGATGGCATGACGTGTCGCGGCGCCTTGCGTTGGCTGAGAGTGAAAGTGCCGTCTTCATTCGGCCACATGATCACCAGCGGGCTCTTCGCTGCTGTCAGTTACATCCGGTCTCTAAACGAACGCATAACGAGGCCCCAGCCGATGGCCATCCACCCAAACTTCTCCGGATCGATTGGCCTGTCTGGGTGCGTATGGATCGTGTCTGGCATCAGCACTTCTTCCTCGTCGTTTGACGCACAAGTGTCGACGTTGTCGGCGCGCGTCGCCGTGATGCAAATCCGCTGCCGTCAGCTTCGGCTCCAATTGCCACTCACGTCATTGCACACATTCGTTCCAGCGAGCGCGAGCGCGCCCTGCACCGCGCACAGAGCAAGCAGCAGTGGTCGCCACATGTTCGAAATGAAGTTGAAGATGAGAACAGTCAGATCTTCACGACTTTGCTACAACGTCGAGGTCGAGGCCGGGTCATCCGGAGGACCCCACTAATGACCTCCCTGTTCACGACAGGAGATGACTGCACCCCATCGCTGTTCCGCTTGTTCTCGCTTGTTCCCTGTCGCCCTGCGTTCCAGAGCGCGTGACTTGAGCCAGGCCGCGCATTGGACATACGACGGAGGGCAGATCTGAAGTGAGCCCAGCGCCGGAGGTGTGCACGCAAGGTTTCGGGATGGCAGGCACGGCCCGGAAGGGATGGGCGTCACCCGCATGCCGTAACTGTCCAGTCTAGTGGTCCGCCTGCCAAGATGTTTTGCTACAGTCCGAGAGATTAAGCACGCGGATGAGCAGCTTACAGAAACAGGCGAGATGAGCGGACGGGGAGGTAAAGAGGGTGGGCGTCTCGGGGACAACCACATGTCGGATCGCGTGCCGTCATGGGCATGTCCACCTGAGGATGGGATCTGACACCGAGACAGTCATGTCCCGCTCAGTTTGCATCTGCCAGCCGCGATGAATGATGCACCGCGTTGGTCGCCAGAGTAGGGTGGTGAAGATATTGATGCACACAAGGAACACAAACGCGTCGTACCCGTTACGTTCCTGTCCTGCAGGACTATCATTATGTCATGTAACTCGATTCTTGCGTTCCCTGGACTCGATGGGAATCGTCGTCGCTGTGGTAAACATGTCAAAGGCACTCCCTCGCGTCGAGCTTGGAGGTTGTTTGATTCAGCACCCTCACACCCGCATGTCTTAAGATCCTGGGCCGGTGGCGCCTTCTTCCCGGTGCCGCGGCGCCGCTCATGTTCATTTCGTTGCGGTGGAGCGCGCGACGCGGCTGCACGGGGCCCGGCACCAAGTTAGGTCGTTAAGAAGGCTTATGCCCACATGTTCGATGTAGAATAATATCGGACAGCGTTCACACGGTCGTCGCCAACTGCATCGATCTTTGCGTTTTGGCTCCGGTACTGGTCGCATGGTCGGGGCATGCTGGAACATGTCAACTTGACTGGAACCCATCCTCACAACGGCTCGTGGCTTTCTTGAGAATGTGCCGTTATTCCCCCTCGCAACCAGCGATTTGGGTCCGACTGCCATATCCACCCGTACACCTCGTACGGGAGGGGTTGCGGGGCGACAAGCATATGTAGCCTGCCGTCTGATCTGCAGGAGTGGCATTCCGGAGTCAGCGCCACCGATCAGGCGGGAAGCTGTTGATCGTCAGCAGGGGATGGAGATTGACTGGGCCCGTCACCATGTCCGCGCGCAGTTACGCAGAGTCCAAAGTCGTGCCACAGCTTATGATACATTTCAGCTCTACCTGTCATTGTCCAGAAGGTGCGCGGCATTCGCAACAACCCCTTCGGCTCGCCGGTTGTGCACGTTGACGTGTTCAATGCGGCTTTGCAAGTCGCGTACCTGGTCTTCGAGCTGGCGTGCCCGCTCTTTGCCTCCCTGCTTCTCGGTCTTGATCTTCTCACCAGCGATGCGCAACCGATTGTCGTACTCCTTGACGCGAGCTTCCCACTTGCTCTCGGCGGCAGCGGTGCGCGCTCGCTCTTCAGCCAAGCGTTTCTCGAGCGCTTGCAGACTGGCAACGGCTTCCCGGGCCCGGCGCTCTGCCCTGTCTGCCTGGTCAAGGGCGCGCTGCAAGTCTGCAGTGCTAGAGGAGGAGGAGGAACCGCGGGCTCTCAACAAATTGAGCTCGCGTTGAAGCTCGGCGACGCGGCTACGGGCGTGGTCGAGCTCACCATCCTTCTGTGCCAGCTTAGCGCGCTGCTGCGAACGTTGTTGCTCAAGCTTCTTAACGCTGGCTTCAAAACCGTCAAGTGCGCGCCACTTTGCGTCGAGTTGCCGCTTAAGGCGGGTCATGTTCTTCTCCATCGCAGTCTCGACTTCCTTAATGCGCTTGTCGAAGTCGGAGCGCACACCGTGAATCGAGCGCATACGCTGCTGGAGCGTGTCCCGGAAGACGACAAAGTTGGACGGCGTCGTGTTGTCTTCGGTACCGAGGAAGCGGTTGACATCTTTGAACACTCTCAGAAGTAGGTCGGAGCGTTCTTGCTTCTGTCGCTCGCTCTCCTTCTGAACCTGCATTCGCGCGTTTTGCGTCTCAGTAAGCAGCGGCTCGAGTTCCTCGAGGCGCTCGCGCAGGGTTGACACTTCGCGCTCGTGCTGCTTGGCAGTCTTTGTCATGACATCGAGCTTCTCCGAGACACCCAGGCGGCCCTGCCGCTCGCTCGATAGGCGGCTCTCGAGGTCGCGCGTCTTGTCGATCTGGCTGTCAGTTACAGCAAGGCAGCGTACTCACAAGTTCGGCAAGCTCCAGCTCGCGGTCATGGAGCACCTGTTCCTTCTCACGCAGCTCGTCGCGAGCGCGGTCGAGGTCATCCTCACTAGCGCCAAGGTCGCGACGCAGGCGCTCAATCTCAAGCTCCAAACTGCGCTGGTCGCTAGTCGCGGCGTCACCCATCTTACGGCGTTCGTCCTCGAGCGAGCGCAGTGCATTCTGTACGTTTGTAAGGTCGCGGTCGCGCATGGCCACACGATCCCGCGCAGCCTCGAGCTCGGCCGTGAGGCGCTCTTGTGCCTGGTCGCGGCTGGCAAGCACGCGGCGGTGGTGGTCCGCATCCTGTGCGCGAGCCTCCGTTTCACGCTTGAGCGCAGCAGAGATCGCTTCGCGCTCTTCGGTGGCCTTCTTACGAGCGCTCTTGAGTGCGTCAATAAGCTCCTCAAAGTGGGATTTATCCTCGTCCGCGCGGTGGAGCTCCGCTTCCAGGTCGGCCTCGCGAGCCTGTAGCGCCTCGACAGTCTCCTCGAGCTCGTACACACGCTGGCCAAGCTGGTGTCAGACCTTCCCTCACCGACTGAACTCACCCGTTCTACCTCGTGGTTGGCCGCGATAATATCCTCTTCCTTTGTAGCATTGTCCATTTCAATGCCGCGGAGAGTTTCAGTGAGACGCTCAGCCGTCTCGCCCTGGGCGGCCTCCAGCTCAGCCACCCGGTCTCTGGCAGCCAGAAGCTCATCCTCACGCTCCATAAGGAGTTTGCGGAAGTCTTCAAGCTCCTGTTCGCGTTCTGCCATGACGTCCTTAAGCTCCTCGGCCTGGCTTCGAGCGACAACAAGTTCATCGCGCCACTCAACCTCGAGAGCGTTGAGTTCGCGCTCGTGATCCGAAATCTTGGCGTCAATCTCGTTGTTGAGCTCTTCGATCTCTTGATCGCGTCGCTCGAGCTCAATCAGCGCTGCGTCATGCTTGTCGCGCCATTCGTTAATTCGGTCCTCGAGTGCCTCGACGTCGCCGTCCTGCCCCTTCTGCGCGGACTCAAGATCAGCTTTAAGCTCGACAATCTCGGCCTCAAGCTTGGCAATTGTGCGCGACTCGCGGCCTCGTCCAAGGCCTACGCTTTCGGTTAATCCACGCGCCTCTTCGCGGACCTTCTCGAGCTCGTCCTGCGCAATGTCGGCCGTGTCGCGGAGGCGGCTCATCTCTTCAAGCTGATCGTCGATTTGACCACGCAACTCCTCAAGATCGTACTGAAGGCCGCGAACCTTATCTTCATACTCCTGGCGCACCTTGGTGAGCTCATCCTCCAGGGCCTGACGCTTCTCCTTCTCCTCGCGCCACAAGCCTTCCATTTCCCGAGCCTCGGCCTCGCCACGCCTTCGCCCTTTGTCGTCACGATCGCGAGCCGTGGCAGCCAGGTCACGATCCTGCTGGAGAAGAAGTTTCTTGCACTTTTTGAGCTCCTTGGCGATCGTGAGAATTTCAACACGCAGTTTGACGTTTTCGCTGACCACGCTCTCGAGGTTGTCAGGGGCCATGGACGCGAGCCGCTCCTTGAGAAAATGATTCTCGAGCTGGAGGTTGAAGTTCTCCTTTTGTAGCGCGTCCACGTTCTTCTGTCAGCCCTGTCCTTTCCGTTGACTCACCTGTTCCTGCTCGCGAAGCGTCATCTGGGTAGACGGCCCAGCGGCGACGCTGTGCCGCCCAGCAGTCTTGCTCTTACGCAGATCGCGGCGGTGAGACACGTTTAGTGACAAATTGTTTAGAACCCCATCGTCTTCGGTCGCCTCGCCGAGGCTTCCGTACCGAGCATCAAGAGCATCGTCACCTTCCTCCTCAGAGGAGTTATCACCATGCCGGCGCTCTCGACGCGCCCTCGGAACGGTGCTCGGTGGAGGTGAGTTGAGGAGGGCCGCTGCAGGGTGGTTCGCTGCTGCGGGTGTGTACAGTCCACCACCATGTCGGTCAAAGCGGTCAGATGCCGGAGTCTGAGAGCGGGAGACGGCTAGGGTCAGCGGGATGGTCAAGGCGGGGAGAGACCGGTCAAGGTGTCTAGACACGGGTTTCCAGACAGGAGAGCTCTACCAAACTCGAGAGAACGTCAAAGCATGGAGAAAGCGGAGAGAGGAGGAAGGGGCGAGGGAGGAAGCGCACGGCGCGAGCAGACCTCCACTTGCCCTACCTCTCGCTCAAGGATGTCCGTCGCACGCCTGGAACACTCACACTTCCTGGGAGTGGCCCCAAAGCTGTCCTCGTCGGCGGAGTGAAAGCTAGAGCCCAGAGAGCCGAGGGAAATGTCGGGGAGTGTTGCTGACGGTGGGATGGCTGTTGATCCGCTGGACGCGATGGACGAGTTGAGGACGCCCTCCAAGCCACTTGCGGGAGGCATTGTGGTAATGATAGTGCCCTCTTGCGAGGACGCCTTCTGGTGTGTCGTGCGATGTAAGCTAACGTTGATATGTCGGAGAGGGAGAAGAGAATGCGAATAATGAGAAGAGAGCGAAGGAGACGCGTTGATGGGATCGTGAAACGGGATGGAGGACCGCCAGGGGCAGGTGGCAATGTTGTTGACACAAAGATGAACGGAGTCAATTTACTTGTTTGGGCTGTTCCGCGCGTCAATCACGCGCCAATTATGCGCCACAGAGCCAACATCCACCAACGCCCAGCTCTATCAACACTAAGACTACTTCAAGCGAAACATCTCACAATACCATAATGATACAATGCATGCGTGTAACACCGTTCAATGATAGTCTCGTCGCCGTCGACTTGCAGAGCGCCACTCTTACCCGCGCCACAACGGCTGGCTCCCCTTAGCGAAGCCTGGTGGCGTGAGGCTAATGCCTCAGCAATTGCTAATCCTCGCCTCAGGCGCCCACGTCCTCCCCTCTGGCCGCTCCCCTCTGGCCGCTCTACTTGAACAACAGCTGACACGAGTACACCTTATCGTCGTTGTCCCAGTGCTCCCACACCGAGTCGGGGTCCTCTTCCTCCTCGACCATATCCTTCGCGGGAATGGCGAACGCGATGGTCTCGTACGGCTCAGCGGCGATAACGAGGTACTGGAAGGCGCGGTTCGGAACCTCACGCTTCTGCTCGAACGCGCTCATGAAGCGCCGCCGCGGCCGCTCGTCCGCCTTGATTTCGGGGTATGCGATCGTGAACAACAACCCAAGGCGCTGCGTTAATGGGTCACGGATCTTGACGATCTTGTAGCCTGTCGTTAGCGCGATCCTATGTAAAGCGGAGGAATAGGCTCACCAGGACGGCCAATCTTAACAAACACCTTCTTCTTCACGGTCTGCGTGGTTGTTGGCGCGGCTGTGAGCATGAGCTGCTCGTGCTGATCACGCGCGGCACGACGGGCAAGGTTCGTCTGGTGCTTCTTGCCCTGTGTGTGCGCAAGGTACGAGCCCTCATTTACGTGCAGCGTCAGGCAGAGGCGACACTCGAGCGTGCCGAGATGTGTCCTAGGGTCAGTAGCAGCTCTATTATCTGATGAAGGACGAGGTGCGAGGGCTCTGATTACGCGGCGCCCTCACCGCCCGCATCAAGCTCGCGTGGCTCATCATCACTACTAAATCGCTCCCTTCACATTCACTCACCTGAGAATATATGGGTCCTTGGCCAGGTCGATCGTCTCCATGGCGAGCTTGCGGAGGCGCTCGCGACGGTCCACCGCCGACTCAGATGCGCCCGCCACGCCGGCGCCGCTCTTGTTAGCACCCGCACGATTTTGGTAATCTGTTGTCAAAAACAGCTCCTCAGAGCGTTGCCATAAGAGACGTACCCATGGTGGATGCTTGGTTGCACGAAAGATGAACGTCGAGGCAGAGGAATTCGTTGCGGTTAGGTGGCAAACCTCAAGCAGCGGCGGACAAGGCCATATCTCCGAGTGTGGCACCGGAGCCCCGGATTCGCGCAGATTTCGAAGATCAGCCATGTCTTTCTTGCTGGTGCGGTTCTTCAACGACCTCATCTACTACCATGTCACTCTTCGCCTCGGCCTTTGGCTCTCCCGCCGCTGCCGCCTCTTCGAGGCAACTCGGATCTCCCGCTACCGGGGGCAAGAAGCGCAAGCGCCCTTCGGCGGGCGGAAAGGAGGACCAGCTTCGCGCGACAGAGGCCAACCTCGCCAAGCTGATGGAGCGGGTCGACGCCGGCCTTCCCGACAAGGGTGGGAAGGAGAAGATTGGCGGCGGGCTCGATAAGAAGGGGAAGAACAAGAAAAAGGCCGAGGAGGATGACGAGCCGACGCCTAAGAAGCAGAAGGGAAAGAAGGAGCCTAAGGGCAAGGCGGCGACGGGCAAAGCGACCAGCAAGGCGCCCAGGACCAAGTGGGCCGAAACGGACGATGCGAGCGGGTCGGGTGCCAACTCTGTCGCGGTTGCCCCGTCCGCGCGATTTACCGGTGCCAAGGCGGCGCGTGGCAAGCCCGAGCCGTTCGAGTTACCGATGCCCGCAATGCCGAAGCCGGCAAAGAAGGACGACGGCTTGACCGACATGCAGCGAGGGATGAAGACCAAGCTGGAGGGGGCACGATTTAGGTGAGTATGGATTGGCTGGCGTCAACCAGCTGTCCTGTGGGCATCGTGCAGGACTGTAAACTGACACCAGGTGGATCAACGAGCAGCTCTACAGCACTAAGAGCACCGACGCCGTCGACATGATGAAGAAGGACCCGAAGATCTTTGCGGATGTGCGTCGCGCCCTGCAGCCGTGAGAAAGCACTGAAGTTGACGACAGTACCACCTAGCGCACCGCGCGCAGACGGCGGCGTGGCCATCTCCTCCCCTCCCTCACATCGTGGACCAAATTCGGCCTCTTCCGCGTGGCACCGTGGTCGTCGATTTGGGATGCGGCGACGCTGGGCTCGCGCGTGCTCTCGTGCCAGAGGGCAAGGTTGTGCTTTCCTACGACCTGGTCGGCGACGCGGGTGTGCCCGGCGCCGACGACAGCAAGACGAGCGCGAGCGGCGGCGGGGAAGGCTGGGTCGTGCAGGCCGACTTCCTGAGTCACGTACCGCTCCCCGGCCGGCCTGGTGGACTGGCAGTCACGGACGCCAGCAAGGGCTGGGCAGACAAGGGGAAGAAGCTCGGCAAGAAGGAGAAGCGGGACAAGGCGGCCAGCGAGGTCGTCGACGTCGTGGTATGCTGCCTCTCGCTCATGGGCACAAACTGGATCGGAGGCGTGTACGAGGCCGCGCGCGTACTCAAGTTGGGGTGAGTGATAGTGAAGCGACGAGCTGACGGCAGGGGTACGCTGCACATTGCTGAGGTCACATCTCGTCTCGTGTCGCCCGACGCGTTCGCTGCCGCTGTGGCCAGCTTCGGCTTGGTGCTTGAGGAGCAGGCGCAGCCAAGCACGCACTTTACGCTCTTCCGTTTCACGAAGCGCGCTGTGCCTCAGGGCCCCGTGCGCGGCGAGGCGGGGTGGGACGCTCGTGTGCGAGAGGGAGAGGATGTCCTGCGCGCGTGTGTGTACAAGAAGCGGTAGTGCGTGTCCTAGAGGCCACCATGGAGAGTTGGACGGATGACAGGCACGTGACAGGAGGTAATGCTTGTAGGCGGACTTCTTGGTCGTATTCTCGACTTTATGCAAGTCCGGTTTGGAATGCAAGGTTACTAGTTGCCTCATAACCACTCGGAGTCATTCCGCAAAGCGCCTTCACCTTACTTCATATTTTACACTACGAAACTACGAGACCACTTTGGAGCAAATTCCTGTGAGGCAACTCACTTCTTCTGCTGCTGAGCCTGGGCGTCCTTGTTCTCGCCCATCTCCTCGGTGCCCTGGGGCTGTTTGCCCTTGCCCTGCTTCTGCTTGCCCTCAGCCTTGGCATCCTGCTTGTCGCCCTTAGCCTGTTATCAGCACCAGCTGGGGTTGTATCGCACCTGGCGCTGGGCCTGGGCGGGCTTGTCCTGCTGGGAAGCGGGCTTGCTAGTCATCGTGGTTTAGGGGTGTTGGTTGGGTGTGGGTTGAGTGGTGGTGTGTTAGAAGTACTGCTGAGAGAGAAAGAGAGAGAGAGAGCTTGGTGAGGTGAAGAGTAGGGCTACGGGATGAGCTTTATATCCTCAGAACTGGACCGGCTAGTGGGGACTGGGGTGACGGTGTTGTGGGGGAGGCGTGCGAAAGCACATCTAGCGGCAGAAGCGCAGACACGTTCCCATGCGTTAGTGTTCTCACATACAGACGTCATGAGGAGTGTACCATTGAGTAGTGTAGTCCGTGTATGAGGACGATACACGCTGCCGGGCCACAGCGGGAGCTGGTCTGAGTATACCGTTCACCCGTTTGTGAGCCCCGCCGAGCTAGGTGGATGGAGGTTGGGGTCAGCGGACCGCAGGGCAAAGTGGGTCCTCAGCACCGCAGACGTGGTTCCTGCGTCTCACGCTTATGATGTCTGCGGCGGGCCGATGGCTCTAAATAACGTTGGCTGCGTCAAAAGCTGCGAATGCTGAACGTCTTTGACTTTTCAGCGGTAGGTCGCTCGCTCAGTGACTAGTTATACACGATGCATGCCTATAGTCTAGTACGCCGCGGCGGCGACGAGCTTGGTGAGCTCTGCGGGTCAGCTCCACTGCCACTATCCCACCTCCACAAAACTCACGCTTAAGCTGCACGTTCTCCTTGACTACACCCGCCTTGACGTTGTTGTCACCGTTCTCCGGAACGACGGCAACCTCGCCGTCAACCGACCACTCAGCCTCCTTGCACCAGGCGGGCACCTCAGCAGGCTTAAGGTCGAGCCAGCGGGCAAGCTGAGCGAGGCGGACGCGGGAGAAGGACGCAGCGATGGTCGATGCAAACTGGTTGCGGAGCTTAGGCACGAGGTCTTCGTGGGCCGGGAAGTAGTTGGGATTGGAGCGGAGGACTGCGGTTAGTTTTAGACTCCAGACGGCAGGCCGCCTCAAATATGCCTCCTTCGTTTCCCCACACCGGTTCCGCTTCACACTCACGCTGTGCGGCCTCGCTCGACCCGTTGAACTCGGCCCAGAACTTGGTGAACTGGCAGGTGCGCACGAGCTCGTGGAGGTTCTGGAGGAAGGGCATGGCGATGATGAGGCTCTCGTCGTCAGAGTCAATGTCGTGAACGATCGCGGCCGGCTCGCGGAGGAGCGCGAGGCAGAGGTTGAAGTCTGGGCCGTGAACAGTGGCGCTCAGCGCCTTGATAAGGATGTTGAGAATGACGTCGGGGTTGGAGAGCTGGGGGTTGAACTGGTAGCTGACGTTAGCGACGATTGAGGGAGCAAAACACCGTCGCGGCTGAGAGAGCCATTGACGAACGAGCATAGGACAATGCGGCCGTCAGAGCTAGCCTACAGCTGACCAGCAACAACACCCATCCCGTCGTCACTGCCTCTCTCGCGCATGTTCCCAAATCGAACGCACAGCTTCAAGATAGCAAGGTTCGCCAGCAGGTCGTACTCGCTGCTCGCGATCTGGCTCTGGAGGTACTCCTCCATGAAGCTCAGGTTGGACGGGTTATACCTGTCTGGGTGTCAGCGCAGCCTCGCACCAAACCTACCAACGCCATGGATGAGCTCGTGGATGACCTCGGTGCGCGAGCTCGGCGTGTGCCACTCCTTGAGGTTCTTGGGGGGGACTGGCGACATTTTGCGTCCTTTTGGGATGGGTATCGTGAAGCTCGGCGCCGTGCTCGTCGATCGTTGACAATGGTGGCGGCAAGCTCAACGAGATGGCATCGAAAACGGTCGCAGCCTTATCAGAAAATGACGTGGACACGTGACGCGCTGATCGGCGCGTGCCGTGACGTGAGGCCGTCGTCCGCGGTCCGTGTTGACGTCGTTGTCATCACCAGCAGCACAGAGACATGCAATGAGCGACCACCCGCTCGGTACCAAGGTCCGCGTCAACGCTGGTACCGGCGTCGTACGCTGGGTTGGCGCCGATCCTGCCTTCGCCCAGGGCAAATGGGTCGGCATCGAGCTGTGAGCTACATCTCCTCCACCAGGCTGGAACTGATCGCAGCGACACACCTACGGGCAAGAACAACGGTAGTGTCAATGGCGAGTCATACTTCTCGTGCGAGCCGCATTATGGCGTGTTTGTCCGCCCGAGCCAGATGCAGGCGTTGGAATTACGGAGGGCGGTGCGTCTGACTTCGGTCACTGGAGACCGACGCAAGGACACAGAGGAAGGAGCCGCTGACACCAGCCGCGCACCTCCACGCTGCCGTCTAGCTCTGGCTCCTCGCGCATTACGAGTAGATCCACGACTCCAGCGCGTGCCGGAACGGGCGTCCGAACGGCGCCCACCCCGATACCTGCCACCCCGAGCCGCTCCGTTTCGAGAACGTCGAACGCTGATGTACCGCCCTCCCCGGTTGCAGGACCAACGGGCACGATCCGCGCGGCGACGCGCACTAGACCGCCAGCGATAAGGACGACTGGTCCCGCGGCTGGGCGGAGGGCGAGCGTCCTCCCGTCGTCGAGTGCGAGCTCAACAGTGCCATCCCCGCGCATTCCCGCGTCTCCAGCGATGAGCCGCCGTGCTTCTATGATCAGCAACAGCCGCACGCAGACGCCAGTCACGGCGACACGAGGTAACACGACGGCGCGTAGGGCGGAGAGGACCGACGAGGAGCTTATGCCACCTCCCCCGGTGCCCGAGCGCGTTCCACCAGAAACCCCCCGTCGTCCTGCAGAACCCCAGCGGAGCGGCAGTGGCCTCCCCTCGCCCCGACGCCTGTCTCGGCGGTCCCCGATTCAGCCTGAGTCTCCCTTTGTGGCCGTGGAGCGTGCCGACTCGCCCGAAGAAGGCGACACTACCATCCTTGCATCACCCATTAGCTCCTCCGTCGCCCTTTCCCCTTCCACTCGTTCACTCACTATCCATGGGAGCCAGTCCCCCGCCTCTCTTCAGCCCTCACCCATTCCTTCCACTCCCTCAAACCGAACCTCACCTCCTTCTCCTAGTCCTCGCCTGCCTGCAACGCTCCCTTCTCCACAAGCATCCACCAACCTCTCCCTCACTTCCCCACGCACTTCCACGACACTCCCCCCTGCCTCACCCCGCTCTCCTCTCACTACCCGGCGACCGCCCACTCCTGACTCCACGGCGGCCGTGTTTGCACAGAAACGTGAGCTCGAGGAGTTGCGAATCAAAGTTCGTCTTCTGGAGAGCCACCGCGCCGAGGACCTGGCGACGATCAAGAGCCTTGAGAAACGTGCTGCTGAGGGCGACTCGCTTCCGGCTATCCGCGCCAAGCTCCAAGGTGAGTTTATTGCTCTTCTTCAACTGACAACAAGCCAAGTTCCAGGAGCAGGCGACAGAGATCGCCCGGCTCAAGCGCGAAAACTCGGACGTGCGGTCTGAAAATGAGCTGCTCGAGTCGCAACGGCTGGACGCGTTCGAGCAGGCAGAGATGGCGACACTCGACCGCGAAGTTGCAGAGGAGAAGGCTGAGGCAGCGGAAGCCGAGGCCCAGCGACTCAACGAGAAGATCCTGGAGCTTGAGCTCGAGGTCGCAGTGCTCAAGGAGGAGAACGCTGAATACGAGAAGCCTATTGATGGGCTCGAGGGCGGTGTACATACATCCATCGCGTACATTCAGCTCGAAAAACACAACGAGCGGCTGAAGGATGCGGTCATCCAGCTGCGCGATATGCTTCATGAAACCGAGAAGGAGTACAAACTTAAGATACAAGACCTCGAGAAGGAGCTGAGCAGCAACACCGACTTGAACGGGCGCTTGGAGCTTACAACGGCCAAGCTTGCGCACGCCGAGGCGCAGGTGGAGGATTTGAAGCAGCAGTTGGATGACGCGCTTGGCGCCGAGGATCTACTCGAGGAGCTCACCGAGCGCAACCTGCAGATGAGCGACAAGATGGAGGAGATGCGGGCGACCATTGACGACCTCGAGTCCCTCAAGGAACTCAACGATGAGCTGGAGGAGAACCACGTCGAGACGGAAAAGCAACTCGAGGCTGAGATCGACCGCGTCACCTCCCAGCTCAAGGAGGAGGGCGTGCGATCGGCTGAGCTCGAGGTGCTCGTAGTCGACATGGAGGCGACCATTGGGCAGTTCCGCGAACTCGTCGGTAACCTGCAAGCCGAGATCGACGAGCTGCGTGAGCAGCATGCTTCGCAGCAGTACGACTCGGCAGCAGCGAGCAAGGAGAGCCAGGCGCTTCTTAACCTCAACCTCAAGCTGCAGAGCTCAGTAGTCAAGACGCAGTCCAAGACTGTCGATCTCGAGTTGAAGAAGCTTGAGGCCGCTCAGCTAGCTGAGCACCTCCGCATCGTGCAGGCTTACTTGCCCGATGCGTACCTCGAGTCGGAGGCAGACTCTGTCTCTGCGCTTCTCTTCTTCCTTCGCGTGGGCGAGAAGGTCAACATGCTCACCAGCGTCATTTCCAACATCCACGGCCTTCCCGGGGCGCTGCACACTGTCTCATCAGAGGCTCTGGTCGGGGTGTGCGAGCTTCGCGGCAAGCTGCGCACCTTCGCAACCCTCAACCGTCGCTTTGCGGCAATCATGCGGCGCACCCAACCAGACGACTACGTTGCCCTGGGGAGGGTGGTGGGCGAGCTCGCCGGCGTCGAGTCTCGAGTCGATGGGTGGATCGCGAGCGTCAAGACGGACGAGTTCAATGACGGCGAGTGTGCGCGCGAACTGGACGCGCTGCTCGCGCAGTTCAACCACCTCGCCGAGGTCATGTTCAACCACCCCCTCGACGCGGGCGAGCAGCAGGTCGCGGCGGCGTATACACTCGAGGACGACCTGGACAACTTTGCCGCCGCCGTCGGCTTCGTGCGTACCGAGATCATGGCGCTCGTCAACGATGGCGACGTCGACGTCGAGCTGGGCGAATACACTCTCGACGAGGCTGTTTATGACCCTGTACAGCGCGTTTTGAACCAAGTACGCGCGGTCAAAGCGCCGGCGGGCAAGCTCGTCGCCGTCATTGAGGAGGTCGCGGCGTCTGAAGCCGCTCTCGCACCCGAGTTCTCGGACGGCCTGCGAGACCTCGTCGGTTCCGTCAGCGCTGCGGTGGACATGGCTGTGCGCCTGGCACAGCGCGTGCGGCAGCATGTCGAGTCGCTCCGCTCGTCGAAAGGCGCCCTGCGTCTCTCGGACATCGACAAGTTCCTGGCCGAGGTTACGAAGACGGACGGGGAGCCGTGGGACGTCATCGCGTCCTTCGTCCAGCGCCTCGGCGCAGACCTGTCGGACGTGCTGCCCAAGTTCCGCGCAGCCCCGAAGTCGGGGCAGACCATCTCGTTCGCCGCGCCCGCGCCCTGGCTCGCGCGCGTCGCGGCCATCAAAGAGGCCGCGTCGTACAACGCCGAGGCGGAGCGCCGGGTGTCCCGCCTCTCGGACGAGCTGCGGGACATGGTGCGTGAAATCAAGCTGCGCGACCAAAGCTTGCAGGAGGGCAGTGTGAAGATCGAGACGCTCGAGCGCCGCATCGAAGGCGCGCGCAAGCAAGCCGACCACATCCTCGAGTTGGAGCGCGAGATCGCCAAGGCCCGCAGAGCCGAGAAGGAGTACGAGGACGCGATCGAGCAGCTGCAGGCCGACCAGGCGGACTTGGAGGCCGAGAACGCCAAGCTCCGCCGGCGGCCCGCGAGCCAGGGCACGGCCCCGGCGCCGGAGCCCACGACGGGCGAGCAGGTCGCGGGGCTGCGCGCCGCGCTGCGCCACTTGCGCAGCGAGAACGCCCTCCTCAAGTCTCGCGATTTGTACGCCGACGTGCACATGCTCCCGCCGTTGCGCGCGCTGGCGCCCGCGCTCACCGCGCCAGATATGACGCAGGAGGACAGCGACGCCGAGTCGGACGGGCCGGCGACGCCGCTGGGCAGCCCGCGCATCGCACACCCCGCCCTCCCCGCCACGAAGATCGCGCTCGAGACCGAGTCCAAGATCCTCTTGCGCGCTGTCGCGGCGTACGCGGCTTCGCCGCGCATCGTTGACATCAGCGGGGTCGACGGGTGGAGCTGGCACTCGCGCAAGAACTCGCCCGAGGCGCAAGCGTGGCGGCTGGCACGCGAACGCGGGCGGCTCGAGGGCCGCGTGCGCGACTTGGCGGAGCGAGTGCGTGCTCTGCGTCAGTAGAGGTGATAATTTACCATGCATCTAATACCTCGTTCTGGGACAGGAATGGGGATGCATGGCGAGAGATGGCTAGGCGATTGGAAGGGACAGGGATAGATGGGGCGTATATGGAAGGAGACCATTCACATGGCGGTCAGTGGCAGCGGAGGAAGGTGTTCGTTGTCCTGCCCCGCAGCAGTTGCCTACTACCGCTGGCTCACGCGCCGCAGGTGAAGACCACACTCCTGCCGTCAGTGACCTTCTGAGCTCCCACTGGGGGGCCGCGACACTTGCTGAAGCTCCTCGAGGGTCTCGCGCCGTTTTTTAATGGCCTCGCGGCGTGCCGTGATCTCCTCGTCAGGCTCGCACAGGTCGTGCGCGCGCTTCCGGGTCCCATCACTGACGGCGTTGAGGCCGAGCGCGTCGCGGAGTGTGGCGGGGACGCGGGGCAAAAATTTCGCAAGGAGGTAGACCGGAAGCTCGCGGCCAACCGTGTCCTGCAACCGAGCGATAGAGCGCTGCAGCTGCCACTGCACGAAAGCCATAAAATTGAGCAGTGCGGAAACGTAGGTTGGGTGCCACTGCTCGGGGTGCTTGGCGAGCGTGGCGGGGAAGTAGTTGTGTGCGACCGGTTCGTTGACCTCGCCACCCTCGGCAGCGGGATACGCCGCGGCAAATGTTTGCATATAGGCCTGGACGGTGCCGCGGGCGTCGTCTGGGCAATGGCGGATCTCGACGTGGTCGGGCCGAGCTTTCTCGCTCTCGATCCGGGCAGAGATGTAAGCCGTGACCTCGTTCTGCAGGGGGGCAGTGAGGGTATGCAGGGCTTGTCTTGGGTCAGAGACTGCTGCACAACGAGGTCGCAGTGTGCATCTCCGACCGGATCAAATCAAAAGGGTGTGAATAGCACGTACGTTGCGATCTGGGAGAGATCATCCTTCCCCTCGCAGACCTCGTCGGTGATGACTCCTACGAGGTTTTCGAGTTCGGCCCAATACGCTTTATTGTACTCGTGGCATCGTCCGGCCCAGCGCGCCACCACGTCCTTAAGAAGAGCGGCCCGCGCTGCGTGCATGTTGATACTAGCACGTGCATTGCGGTACCTGTTGTGAGCACGGTTCACACACGTCTCACTTGGCAAACAGAGCGTGGACTTCGTCCAAGTAGATGCCACTTCCGTGTGGTGCTTCGTCCGCTGCATCTTTCCGCAGCAGCGGAGTAAACGACGTCACCCGTAGGTCTCGTTCAAACTCCATCTGGATGTCGACAAAGCGCTGAGTGGGCTGGCCGCGATCCGTCAGGTGCTCTTCAAGGGCTTTGGCGATGGCCTCGATGATGCCGTGCAGGTAGTCTACGGGGTGTTCCACAGGAGGTGGAAGCAGCGCCTGTTGCTCGTTGACCTCGAGCGTGCTCTCTTGGATACGACGGCGGAGCTTTGGCACACTGTCTCAGCGTGTAGCGCGTGGCACAACTTACTTGCTCTTGACGAGCTTCTTGTACGCCATGTTGATACGCTCTTGCGTCTCACGCCAGCTGAAGGAGCGGCCGGCGACCTCGGCGAAGTCTAGCCATTCAGGCTGGCGGAAGAGTTCCTTGCCGTGGTCAAAGCTATCGGCCCTGTTGCGATACTCGCTCGGCTTGCGACATCGCACGGGGTGGACGCCGTAAGCTGGCACGAGCGAAAAGCTTTGGTTTCGGCCTAAGATAAGGTCTCCCCAGTCTGACTCCGTGGGGGTATCAATGTGGTCAGGTTTGGTGACGATGACTGTTGGTCAGACCGCTGGACCCTCTTGGAACCTGCACTGACTCATGCTCCGCTTTAGTTCCGGGTCATGCTTAAGAACAAGCTGCACCTCGGGAGCATTCGTGCTGGGATCACCTGCTGTCAGAGTTGGTACTGTAACACTTACTCCCACCTGCAGCCAGGCAGAGGAGGATGAGGCTTTCAGGTTTGCCCAGATACGTGTCCGCGAGGCTCGTGGCTGTCGCAGCACTAATACCAGACTTGAGGCCTAACGTCAGTATGTCCCACTGGGCCAGCATACCGGGTAGATCGACAATGGAGAGGTCAGGTTGCTTCGGCCCGGACACGATGAGCTGCACAATGTTTTCACTGAGTGCAGGCCCACCGATGTCATGGCTTCCCTTCCCCGCAGCACCCTTCCACACCTCATATGTGCTGGCATGAGTTCAGATCGCCATCCACCACATGAATTTACCTGAGCGGCAACGAACCATCCGTTGCAAAACGCGCTTCCAGGCCGGCAAAGTGAAGAACCTCCTGCAAGTCGTCAACACATTTGACCGGCTCCTCGGTGAACTGCATTCGCTTCGGAACACCTGGGGCAGGGTCGGCGAGGCGGATGTACACCATGGCCGAGAACGGCTCGCGCCGATGTCGCGAGTGGATGTGCGTGGGCCCACTGCCGTCAGCTACGCTGAGTTTCATTCCGTCATCTGCAACGTCATCTCGTCCCCGTTGACTCACAAGGTGGACGTCTTCTCAGCGCACCACAATGGCACGCGACAAATCATGGAAAGCCTGTCCTCAGCTTGAACTGCGCACCGGGTGGGAAGGCGCTCACAGGCTACTTTTGCCGACGCTTTGCCCCCCAACAGCAACGACAAGTGGGATGGGGATCTCATCAGCATCGTCAGGACAGCATGTCAGCAAATCAGCGATACATGGGAGCGAAGAGAGTAGAGTGCTCACGAGAGCTCGATGAGTTTGTCGAGAATTCGGAAGGCCGATACGCGTTCGTCGCTGGGCTGAGGAGGAAGGCTGGGGGGCGATGACGATAGACGGTGTGGTGGAGACGCGGCGGATGTCGCAGGAGGCGAGGGCAGCGCCTGAGGTGGAGTCGACGTCGACGACGCCGCGGTCTTGCGGGCCGTGGCCGTGTTGGGGCTGGTCGGGGTTCGGGGCATCTGCAAGGGTGACGGTGCTGAGCGAACCATGATGAGGAGGGTGAGAAAGAGGATGAAAGATGGGGAAGGAGGAGAAATGATGATGCAGGCGAGGAAGGCGACATGGAAAGCCCGACATGGCCGACATGCGCCCTGTCCCCGACGCGCCGAGGTCAGCTGCTCGCGGCGGGGTCAGCTGGTAGATGAGTGTGCTTGCATGGCGGTGGGCGCATGCTGTATCACGCATGCAGACGTGTAGATATATGCACGGAGGAGGAGGGGCGAGCGAGGGAGCGAGAGGATGAGCAGTGAGTGAATAAGTGAGAGAGTGAGTATCGCCAGAGAGATCATGAGCAGCGCGATGAGGTGAGCGGCTGGAGCGGCTGGAGCAGCTGGAGCAGCTGGGCAGCATGGGCAGCTTACTGACGACTGGAGAACAAGGAGGTATGAAGATATGGGAGTTGAAGAGAACGACCATTCAAGAATGGCCCAGTAGTGATGAGTGACGCGCGTCATGTGACATGGTGGGTGCCCTGCGATCTCCGCATTCCATTGTACGCACTGACCACCCCTCTGTCTGGTCATGCATTCCTTTTATTCATCTTGATGATCCAAAGCCTGTAACGTATATTGCTTGATATATCATGAGATCATGAACGAATGAATTTGGAAAGAGAGTAGAGCATGAATCGGGCTTGGTAATTTGGTACAGAGGACGCGCAGGGAGGGTCTGGAGTGATGTAAGCTGCGTACTTGTATGGAGGGTCAGGGTATCAGGCCCCAGGGGGGGAGCAGGGGTAAGACGCGTGTCCCATGTCCCAGCCGCGTGCCAGCCGCGACTGCGCCCCGGAAATCTCCTTCCCAGGCGCAAGGAGTGGGCCAGATGGGCCTGGCTCTTTGGGCTTCAGGCTTCAGAGCCAAGGCCGAGTTTCCAGGCGTTTCAGGTGGGGTGGGTGGCAAAAGTCAATTCAAGTAACTATAATCAACCATCTGGTGGTATCCGTTAACCGGAACGTCAGACCCTGAGACAACGTCTCCCATCAGGTCCTGAGATGGATTAGGCCAGTGGCCGGCCTGTGGGTGTGCTTGGTCGACCAAGCCGCGTGCCACCTGCCACCTGACCGCGGCTTGGCCCTGGACACTGGACAGCCCAGAGCCCAAGAGCTCAAGAGCTCGAGCCGCGCCCACAGACATGGACCATGGAATCAGGCATAGCAGATGCCGGGGGCGACCTACACCCTGCTCTCGATCATCCAACCTGCTCACTACTCATCTCAACCTCTTCCTCTCCATCATCTACTCCCTCTGTGTCCCCCCACCCCCACTTACCCACTTCTCCGCCCTCGGCCATCGGATACATTCGTCTTTTATCGTCTCGGCCGGCAATCGGCTTCGACTGGGGCTCAAAACGCGCGCGCGCGCAGCTGCACGCAGATACACAGAGGGTTCAACTGGGCGCGCGCACTGGCGCCGCCTCCTTTCGGATACCTGGAGGATTACCCCTAGCCAAGCCCTCTTTGCCTCTTTGGAAACGCGAGACGTACAGTCGTCGGCAAGCGCCAAAGCACCACCACCCAGTGGCCTGAGCGCCTTCGGCCGCCCAGTCGTCTGCACGCCTGATCGCCTAGCCCACGCCGCCCACGCCGCCCACGCCGCCCATTCGAAAGCCCACAGCCACCCGGTCGCCATCGGCATCGCACGGAGCTGCGCGCGTCTGTCCGACGAACCGACCGTCTCAACAAATCGACAACACAGCCCACTCTGCACTGTGACTTGTCCTCGCCAGATCACCTGTTCGGCATCTCAACTTGCACAAACGCCAGAGCCCTCTCGACCTGAGCGCGAGCGCGTTCGCCCCCTTTCCCTGGAATACACCTCTCATCTCACCCGCCCAGCCCCCAGCAGCCAGCAGATCATCAGCAGAGAGACCGGCCGGCTGATCTCGAGCTCGTTCCCCCCCCCCCCCCCCCCCCCCCCCCCCCCCCCCCCCGCGCCCCCGCACTCGTCTCTCCACCTCGCTCTCTCTCTGTCTCTCGAGGTATCTCATTCTCTCATCCATCAATCCTCCCAATCCCCCCCCCCTCCCCCCCTCGGCTTGATCGCCATCAACCTCATTCTCTCTTTCATCTGTTCATCCATCTCATCTTTAATCACCGCTACTGCTGCTCAGCCATCTACTAGAGGGCGCAGTGCGACCTTCCGACCCTTGTCTCTCCTTTCACCATCCACGCGCCCAGCCATCAACCGCCCTCCTTGACTTCCCATCCTACCCACCTCCCCCCTTATCGCCTCTAACACTCTCCCCAACCATACAACCCCCCCCCCACACACACACATTCACCGTCAACTTGTTCACTCCGCAGACATTGCCCAGCATTGCCTTCCACTCCCTTTGGGTTGCGCAATCTCAGCCCCCGGTGCAACAAACCATTTAAAGTGCTCGTGACACTTCCTAATCATGTCCTCCGCGGTTGAAACCGACGCGCGGAGGGCACGGCAGGTCAACTCTGCCAGGAAGAAGGTACGCTTCTTTTGGGTGTTACCACTACACCCATCACCGCCTTGCCTGCCTCTCACGCTCACACTCAGCTCAAGCAATTCCGCGCCTCCCGCACCTCGCACACCCCATCACCATCGCATGTCTCACGAGCCTCGTCCACTTCGTCCGAATCTGGCTCTGTCCTCAACAACAGCACTGCCGACAACACCTTTCCCCGCCGTGTGCCCAGCAGCAGCCATGGCAAGGCTCTTCTCGATGCTGTCACCGATGCCGAAGCTTCAGGCAAGATGGACACCATGTCACGTCACGCACGCCAGGCCAGTAGGCATCAGCGACAGCGATCTTCCATGACACTGTCATGGCCGCCTCAGCTCAACCAGAACGCGACACCCCGTCCCACTGTCGTCGGCCTGTTTGATTTGCCACCATTGGATCCCTCGGACGAGGCTGCTGCGAAAGCGTCCGACGCAGAGCAGAGTGATACCGCTACTTCCTCGCGCGAGATTGTGACAACCCCTGCGACCCCACCAGTCGAAACTTCCTCACTTTCGTCGGACCGCGAGGGAGCTGCGGTCGCCCGCTTGAACGCTTTCAGCTTTGGTGCAAAGCCGAGCTCGAACAAGCCCGCGCTCCTCCCAGCCTTTCCCATCCGCGAGTCTTCTCCGCCCAAGCGCTTTGGGACGGGGCGTCCCTCAAGCGTTCGTCTTTCTCGGTCCTTCTCACCGCTCGACCTGCTCGAGGGCTCGCCTCGCAACAGTCTGTCCTCTCCAAACCTCGATAACCGATCCACCTCTCCTCAGCCGCTACCTCCATCACGGCGGCGGCACTCCCACAATCGCTCGGAATCGATCTCGCTCCCAAATCTCAAGCTTGGCCGGCCTGCATCGCTTGGCCTGCCTTCTCCCGGGTACCCATCCACGCCCAACACGGATGCCAACTCGCGCTCCCGCTTGAGCACACCCCAAGCTACTCCGCAGAGTGGCTCACGCCTTAAATTCGAGCCGAGCGACAAAGAAAAGGAAGAGTCTCGTCGGCGCGCGCTCGACAAGCTCACCGGAGGGGGCGACAGTACCCCTAAAGCCCCGCAGCGCGAAGAACCTAAATCTGCGGAGATCTCGCTGCCCGCTTTTGAAGATGACGACGATCTTTCCACAACATCTTCACGGCCGCCTTCCGATGCCCTCACCTCGACTGCCTCGTCTAGTCGCCCCTCTTCCTTTACTTTCGGATCGTCGTCCTCGTTCAACAGCCTATCGGCATCTCCCCTGCCCTGGTCCCAGTTTGCCGAAGACAACAGCGAGCGCTGGAGTTTTGGCCAGAGCTTGGGCCAGAGCTTTGGGCAGCGCTTTGATCCCAAGGAAGATGCGCCGGCGTTCGGTTCCTTTGGCTTCGAGATGTCAGGTCCCTCCAAGACCTCATCTGTGCTTCTCAACAGCAGCAGCCTCGGCGTCCTCACGGAGGAAGACGAAACGGAATCGGATGCAGATGACGAGGGGATTGACATGATCTCGAATACATCGTCAACCGCAGACATGCACGAGACGCCTGAATCAACTCCGGCTGGACCCACGCCCTCTCGTCTCCGGGAACTGCACTTGGTCTCATCCGTCTCAAGCCAAGGATCTAGCAACCGCCGCAGCTCAAACCCAGATGTTGCACGGAGCCTCGCGTCTGCTCGCGAAACGCCCACAAAAGGTGGGTATGGAAGTATTGGACGTGGTCGGCCCCGTCCTCTAGCACTGGATACAACCAGCGCCTCTGCATTCAAGGCTGCCAATGCGGCGTCTCCCAGCAAGGGTGCACGTCCCTCAAGCCTCAACCTTGGCCGCCGACCCTCAGGTACGCGTGCGAGCTCCATATCGTACAAGAAGGACGACAGCGGTAGCGGGTCATCATACGATTATGCGAGTTCGCGCGGCATTACCTCGCCACCGTCAATCGCTGGAGAGATTGCCTCTCCCCCGTCGGTGATGTCGCCCCTTGCCGAGTGGCCCTCGGGAGCTCGCGGTGGGACTCGTCCGTGCCCTCGTCCCCGCAGTGCGATCCTTGGCACCTCTGGACGCGTCCTTGGCGAGGTCGACGAGGAAGGAGAGGACAATTCTTTTCGCTCCTATGATGAGGCGCTTTCGACTGGGCGAGCCAGCACCGAGGCGTCGCGCAACAGTTACGACGGCTCAAGTTGGCCTGCAACTGCTCGCCGTGACAGCCGTGACCGCATAGATGCCGAGCTGGAGCGTGATGCCTTGCGCGAGGACGTTGACCTGTGGCGCAAGCGATGCCGAGGCCTGGAAGAGCAGGTTGAAGCAGAGCGTCGCGAGAAGCATGTTTACCAGGAGCGTGCCCGGAAGCGTGAGTGTTGCATTGCGCAATGTGCTGACAAACAGTTGGCGACCGCCTCCTTGCCGTCTCTGCCGCGTCCAGTGCGATGACTCCCGCCAAGGAGCGTGAGGCAGCGCAGGACCGCCTCATCGCAGAAATGCGTGACCAATTGTTCAGCCTGACTGCGGCTTTGGAGCGTGAGCGCAAAGAGAAGAAGGACATTCTAGGCCACATGGCGGATCTTCAGGCGGCTCTCGATGGGTCGCGAACGCCACACGTCACGCCCAACTCTCTGCCCACCACGCCCAAGTCACGCCCGCGCAAGTCTTCGACAGCCAACGGGTTTGGAACTCCACCAGAGGCCCAGTACGCCGACGCTGATATCCTCGACGCCATGAGCGACGATGACCCGGCGCCTACCCCGTCCGGCGATGACAACAATTGGCGCCGCATGCGCGGGTTTGCCTTCCCCCAGGGTCCTGTGGAGAAGGGTGCTATGGAGAAGCTTGACCGCGAAAGCAAGCGCGAGTCATTCTTCGGCCTCTCGCGTCCCCGCGCCGTGCGTGCTGCACCGAGTATTGGGGGACTGGGTCTCGACTGGGCAATGTCGCCAACAGAGCCAGGCTTCGACCTTCCGCCAATTGAGGTTAACGAGGCCAACCGCGACCTCATCCGCCCCGCGTCAATTTTTCTTAAAACGAAGACTGCGTCGAGAACTCTACGGGAGCGCGAGGAGCGCGACCATCGCGATTATCGCGACCGCGTGACCGAGTACGAGCGCCCTCAAGCTCGTCCCCCTGCGCCAACGCGCCCTTTGCCACCCGTTGACATCACTCCAGAGCGCCAGTCTACAGCGCCCGCGAGCGGCTTTGGTCTTGGTTTCTTGTCTGGGTATCTGCCCATTCCGCGCACCACCCCGCCGGTGGTGCCCCGCGTGCTGGTGACCCCGTCGACCGTGTCGCCCAAGAAGGCACCGAGACTACTGGAGCGTGAGAACTGGACACACCACGTCGCTAGCGCGGCCGGGGCCATTGACATGCGTCACTCGTGCCGCCGCTGTGTGGGCGAGATTATCGAGCTATAGACGATCTGGGGAAACCTTTGCTTTGTACCACAATTACCCATGTATAAGGAGGTTTTTGCACGTGCGAGGTGCACAGGCGGGTTGAGGGGCTGACTGAATCAACCATCTTCGTATTGACCGTCGCGCCACAAACACTCTCTTATGAAATCCAGTGCGAATATCCGCAGACTCAGCGGGACATCCGTCCTCTGCCCTAGATCGAGATCGGAGACGAGAGGCACCCCGATAACATTCCCCAAGTCAACGTGACCACATCTTCTTGTCCGGCACCTCCTCTGCCCCAGCCGCCCACCGCCGTAAGCTCCAATACCTCGGTCTCACACATTCTCACGTCCACCCACATGCATGGCTACATATAGCCCCATGACCCGACACCCCGTTCTCTAGCACCACTAACACAACCTGCACCACCGAAGATGCTCCTCCCCAACCCCCTCTCCGTCCTTGGCCTCCTGGGGCTGAACCCCGCCATCTCCAACCCGCCCGAGTGGTACGATACCACGACGGCGCTGATCACGCAGGGCCCGCACTGGCTCCTCAGCGCGCCCGACACGACTCCGGGCGGCAAGGTCGTGCTGTGCGTATTCTCCGCACCCCTCCAAGTACACGTCGCTGACGGAAGCGAACACACACGCCCGCGCGCCGGCATCCTCCCGCGGCACCGCTGGGTCGTCGCGCGGCACGGCGACACGCTCCTGCGCGCGTACGGCACCGACCTCTGTCTCAGCGTTGACACATGTACGTTGGCGCGATGATGGCGCTGACGCAGACGGGAACGGGTGGGCGCCCGTCGACGGCGACAGCGTCGTCCTCGTGCGCTGTCCGGAGAGGGAGGAGCGCGCGACGCTGTGGGCTTGGGAGCGCGCGGCGGACGGGCATGCGTTCGCGCTTACGGCGGACGGCGAGGGCGAGGATCGCAAGTTTTGGCTCGCGCGGCCGGATGGCGAGGGGCCGGTGAGCGTCAGCGAGCGGTGGGGCGAGACCGTCATGTGGGGCGTCGAGCGGCTTGATTGGATCGACTGAGCGGGCGAGAAAATGTGAAAGTGTCGAGCGGAGATGGAATGGGTGTCATAATGGTAATGGAACGTGCCTCCAGCTGGCCTCGAGTGCAGCCAAACTTGTGATGAAAACATATGGTGGCGATCACAGCAGGCAGTACTTTTCGTCGAGTACGCCCAGCTCACGTACACCCCACGCAGCCCATGCCTCGTCGACAGCATCGCGCGTGATAACAATCTCGACGTTGTGCCACTCGCCGAGTTCGTCCTCGTCTGCTTCGTCGTCGTCGTCGTCGTCGTCGTCGTTGTCCGCGCCACGCTCCGCCTGCAAGGGCAGCAAACGACGCCGCGAGGACAGGAACCCGAGCTCGGTAAGCACGAGCTGCACGTCGTCTGTGCGGAGGTGACATGCGCGCGCGAGGTCCTCCAGCGTTGTCGTGAGGGTGTACTGCCCCTTCTGCACGAGTGGTCTCTTGGTCATTTCTGCTGTCAGCCAGAGCCCCCCTCACCTCCCGTACCTATCCCGTTAACGACCACGGCCTCGTCCGTCGCATCGGCGGGCCTGCGATTCCGCAGCGAGCGCCCCTCCTCAACGTCCTTCTTGACCTGCACGGGCTCGGCGTCGGCCAGCAGCCTCCTGCACACGCGCAGCACGACGGCGACCCAGAACGCGAGGTATCCCTTCAGCCCGAGGTCGGACAGGGGGCGTTCCGGTGTTCCTGGGGACGGCGCGCCGCGCGTGAGGTAGTAGCTGAACTCGATGAGGAGCTTGCCGAACCCCCTGCCCTGGTGGGGCGGGAACGTGACGATGCACGCGAGGTTGTAGTCGTCGTAGCTCGTCTTCTCTTTGCTGAAGAACGCCATGACTTGGTCGCGCTTACTCGTCGCCGCATCGCAGAGCACATAGAAGAGAAAGTTCTCGACGTGGAAGAACACGGACTGCGTCAGCTGCCGTCCTCCCCGGACATACTTTGTGGTCAATGAAGAGCTTGCCGAACAAACTCAGGTTCTGGCAGTACAGCTGCGCGTCGGCGCCGTCCACTTCCCAAATAGTATAGCTGCCGCGGCGGTACGCCTTGCGGCCCGGCGGCTGCATCTGGGCGCACGCGGCCGTGTGCCGCTCCCACCCCGCCCGCGTGTGCATGTACTTGAAGCACAGGTCGCAGACCCACAGGCGGCCGCGGGCGCCCTCGCCGCCCTGCCCGACGCCGTGCGAGAGCACGTGTGCGCTCCGCTCGTTCGTGTCCGACTTGCGCTTGCGCCCGCGCGGCGCGGGCGCCCGCCCCTCCTCCTCCTTCTTCTCCGGCATCGGGTATGGCGAGTAGTACCACGTCTGGACGAGGTACTCGCCAAACCGCACGTCTTCGAAGTTGCGCACGCGCGTCACGGCGTCGTGCTCGCGCTCCGGCGTCGAGCGCTCGCTACCCGGCGCGTGCGAGTCGTTCTGGCTGTCCTGCCGCGGCAGCTGGAGTCAGTAGCTGGCAGACGAAGAGGCGGAGGGGTCTCACGGCGACTCTGCTGGGCCCGGCTTCGACGACTTCGTCTCCCACTGCAGAGAGCGGAATCCAAGCATCGAGCCGCTTGTCCTCGCCAGGGAAGGAGATGTACACCTCGCGAGCGCCGAGCTTGGCGGTGCGCGAGTTGAGGATGCGTGCCGGGCCTACGGTCAGCGTTGCCGCGGGTGGTCAGCTCACGCGCTACGCCTCCTCGCGAGACGAGATACTGCCGCCCGACGACTACATCGCGCACCCCCTCTGGGACGCCAGTGAGCTCGAGGGCCGAGGTATGCGGCAGCGTGTTGGCTGCAGTCATTGTTGTTGAAGTGGAGGAGGTGGAGGGGTGCAATTGGTGACGAGCATGGGCCCAGCGGAAAGCGGACGGAAGTAGCGCGAGCTCAATTCAACTCCATTGATTGTTGTGAAATGGGACCTCCTGGCCGACCCACTCTGACTCCGCTGCCCCACTCCAAGCATTGCCGCATTATATGTTCATCCATCTATGCTACTTGCGCACTCCTACGCGCCACGAACCCGACCTGGTCAATACCCAGTGCGCGCCGCGCTACAATGACCCCGACGAGCTCCTTAATCAACTCCTCAAGCACGATCATGTTATCGAGCACGCCCGAGAGTGTCGTGGCAGTCGGCTTGTCTTTTCGCTTTTCCTGCTGCTCCCGATTCCCCTGCTCCTCCTGTCTGTCGGCGAACACGTCCTCGATCTCTACGGGCGTCGCGCGCCGCCACGGCCCGTCCTGCCGCACGTCGACGGCCTCGACCTCGACCGCAACGGCGGCGGCGGCATAGTGCGATGCGAAAGGCGTGTCGGGGGCAGGCGGGAGGGAGGAGGTGCGCGGCGGTGTTGCGGGGAGAGTGTGTGCGCGCAGGGGCGGAGGGCGCTGCGGCGAGGGCGGGAGCGTAGCGGGCGACGGTGTGGGCGGCGTGGGTGGCGTCGGCGTGGCTGTTGGCGTGGTGGGGCGACTCTTCCGCGGGCTCCAGAAGGAGCGTAGCGACGTCGCGAGCGACACGCTTTTCTTGCGCTCCCCGAAGGGCGAGGCGAAAGGGCTCGCGATGCCCAGAAATCCGGGACTCGACGCCGACGCCGGTGTTACCACGTCCTCGAGCATTGCGCTCATCGCCTCTTCGAGATGGTCGGCGAAAAGAAGGCCCTGCCGCCGTTCCGAGAGGAGGCGGTCGAAGCCGGACACGGCGGCGCGGAAGCGGCCCGAGTGTCGCACGAGCTCTCTCAGCACCTGGTACAGCGCAGGCAGGGTATGGTGGCGTGGCTCATCGGCTTCCGCTCTGCTCGGTGCGCGGGAAGGCGCGGCGTCAAAGCTCGTGTCGGACGCACCGTCGTCGATTTCGGACACCGGCTTAGCCCACACGTCTTCGTCGAAGTCATAGAGAAGCCACCCGGCCAACGAGCGGTGCGGGCAGCGCACAAGAGCGCTGAGCGCGCCCGTCAGCGCAATGTTTGTATCTGCCGGGTGGGTGAACCATGCCGCTAGGGCATCCAGCAGTGCATGCACCATCGGATCGGACGGCGATAGAGCGTGCTGGAACGGATCGAGTTCGTACTCGCCCACTCTGATGAGGACAGGCGTGCCGTCGTCGCTCACAAACTGGAGGGGCACGCGCGATGCGCGCCAGCACCCGTCCGCCTCCAGAAAGTTATGCGCATCCGTGACGTAGCTTCCCAGGCCCGAGGCCTCTGTGTTCTCCTGCACGGCGTCGTCGAGACGCGGCACAAGGGCACCATACAGCTCGTCCTCTTGCAGATGCACGTCGGTCGAGTTGACCGGAACGGGGAGGGTGGAGGGCACGGTGTCGGTGAACGAGGGGGCGGGCGAGGAATGTTCAGACGGTGGGAGGGAGGGGCGCGCGAGCGCGGTGGCTGACGGCATGCGCACAACCGACAGTAAACTTGGCGCGATGTATCGGCAGTGGTCGGAGAGCAGGGCTTGCAGGAGGTGCAAGGCTGCCGTCTGACTCGCGGGACATGTAGATTTGACGTTGTCGAGAATGAGGTCGCGCAGGGTAAAGCGTTCGTCGGTGTAGTACCCCAGCTTGACGATGGAGGGCATGAAGTCCATGGCGCCGGTTTTGCGCGCCTTTCGTTTCCTCGGCGACGTGAACACCGGCACGGCAGCATTCGCGTCCATGAGTACGTTGAGGATACGCTGCAGCACCGGCCCGTCCTCGAGGCTCGAGAGGATGACATCCAGGTACGTCAGCACGGCGACGGCGCTGCCATCGGTGCTGCTGCACTCGAGTATCGAGGGGTAGAGGACGTTGTCGACAAAAGCCGTCTGCAGGGCGTCGAGGGTTGCGTCAGCCACGGCGGGCCCGAGCACCTCCGTCGTCGACACGGTGCGCGCGTTCGGGTCGGCGCGCAGCGACGCTGCACGGCACCGATACATGATGTCTCCGAGAAACCCGAACAGCTTGAGCAGCAGGTCGAGCTGGGCATGCACCTCCTCGTCGGTGGAGAGGAGGAGGTCGTCGTCCAGGTCCTCATCAGCCGTTTTTCCAAGTATCATGCCTCCGTTCAACGTAGCGTCGTCGTCGCCCTGCTCGGCGAGCGTAGGTACACGCAGCTTGTTAGGCAGGAGAGAGTACGTCGCGCCGAGCCCGGCAGCCATAACGTCGGCAAAGTCGCCGTCAAGGATATATTCCGCGAGCGCGTCGCGCGCGTCCTGCAGCGGATCACTGCCGTCGGGACCAGGTGTTCCTGTGAGCGTATCCCCGCCGTCGTCGTCGCGCGACAAGAACGCAATGTCGAAGAGGAACAGGAGGCCGGCACGGGCAAAGTCGCCGATCCGCCCGTCGCGATGCACGAAGCGCAGAAGGTACGAGAAGAGGAGGTACTCGAAGTGCGTGGCGTCGGCTTCACGACGCCCTGCACTCGCGGCGGACGCGGCGTCAGACGCGGGATCGGTGGTGAGGACGGAGGAGCGGTATGTGGGTGTGGAGCGGCCTGTTGGCGTAGGCGCGCGTCCATGAGGCGGGGAGAGCGCGCGCTCTAAAGGAGGCGACAGCGCGCGGGATATCTGAGAAGGCGAGCGCGGCGTTGGAGAGAGGGCGCGCGACGTGAGGTGCGTTGAGAGAGACGAGGAGCGCGGTGGAGTCGAAGGGAGGGTGGTTCGGACCTGGGGAGGGGAGGCAGGCAGAGGGGATCGAGGGGGTGCCGGCGACGGAGGAGCGCCAGACGAATGGTGCGGGATAAGCCACCCGCGGTCGTGGAAGAAGATGAGGAGGAGTGGTGGACTGTGGTCAGCGCGGCGAAACAGGTAGCTCACTATGCCCTCATGCGCGAACATAGAATGCACATGAGGTCGACGAGGTCGTCGTCGAGGTCGTCAGGGTGGTGATCGTCAGCGGCCGCGGCTGCGCCGAACGCGCGCGCGGCGCCATCAAGCGTCTCCGTCTCGCCGACGCAGGAGCGCAGCAGCCGGCGCAGCGGGCGATGCACGGCGTTGTGAACCAGAAACCGCTCCGGCATGAGGACGACGAGGTTGTTGACCATGCGGAGGACCTCGGCTGGTGTGAGCTTGCTCCCACTTCCCACACTCCCGCTCGCACTTCGACAGTGCCGCTCGCACTTCGACAGTCCCGCTCGCACTGCCACTGCGTCGCCGGCCGTCCCACCACTCACCTTTGACGCCGCGCGGGCGATCGCGCTCACACAAGCGCTCCAGGGCCGCGAGCATGTCATGGCGCAAGAAATACTCGAGACAAGCGCCCGTCGTGTCCTCGTCCGTCCGGTTGCTCTCGTACACGAGCGCATCGGTAATGTGCTTGAGTGCGCGGGGAACGGGCGAGTGTGCGATGCCGCGCGCAAGCTGGCGCTCATCTGGTGCTGTAAGGGTGGCGACGACGGCGGACCACGCTGCGTCAAAGTCGGGAAGCGCGTCCGGGCGCGGGCCCGCCGCCGGCTTGGGCGCTTGTAGGAGGCGCGTGAAGAAGGTCGAGACCTCCATGGCGCATGCCGGCGGGTACGAGTGATGGGAGAGGTGAGATGAGATGTCAATATCGTTCGGCTTCGGGTGGCCATGGCCACGACTAGGCCGGGTTCAGGCACCCGGCCCGAGCGTGATTTCCGGCATCACTTCCGCTCTGTAACAAGGTAATGGCCATTCATGCGTACAACTAGCAGATTATGGGCTACAACGGGCTAGAACGCGGCTAGGCAGATAAATAGATAGGTAGATGGTGGATAGACAGCTAGGCTGTGAAGGTAACCCACTCGGGGCGTGTCACCTCCACGATGGGGGGTGGGACGTTGCTTGCCCCAACGTCGACCAGGCCGGGCGGCTGAGTGGGGATGCCCCCGTCGTCGACGTCGCTCGTGCTCGACATGGTGCTGGCGGCCGAGTGCTTTCTCTTCGCAGGCGGGGCAGGAGCCTTGCGCCGTGCTCTGGGCCGGATTGTGGGCAACGGCGTGTTGCTCGCGCTCCGGTCGAGGGGTGAGTCGACGTTCGTGCTGGCGGCAGAGCCTGGTCGCTCGAGCGCGCCCGCCGACACGTCAATGAGACTGGTCACGCGCACTGGGTTTCCGTTGGTATACGGTGACTTGTGCGGGTTTGGGAGGGCGGCCTCGAGCGAGCACAGGTTGACCGTCGTGTCTGGGGACAAGTGCCTCGGCCTCGGCGCCGCTGGTTCGGATTCAGCGCGCCGTTCTGCGCACTCCTTCACCGCAGACAGACACCGGTGGACTAGTCGCTTGGTAGTTGGGTCCACATCGTGGATGTGCTCGTTCGCCACGAGCGAGTTAAGCACCAGGGTCAGCTGCGAGCGCTTATACGTGTCCGTCTTCATCTGGGAGTTGCACAACAGCGGGTAAAGAACGCGCAGCATGGTGTGCCGCAGCTGGTTAAGCTCCTCCGGGAGGTCTATGAGCATGCGGATGAACACGTCGATGACGACCCGCAGGTCGTTCGAGTAGAAGTACTCCTGTGTGCCTGGTGTCGTGAAGAGCAGGTAGAGCATCTTCAGGATGATGAGCTGTGCGCCGAGGCCCTCAGGCGTCTCGACATCTTCGGCACGGTTGAGCATGAAGCACATAAACTCCCCGAAGGCCTTAGAGCTCCCGAGCCGCCGCATGAGGACGACGAGGACGCGATTATGTCTCTTCGTCTCTTCAACAACGCCGTCTTCTGCCGCAACCTGCTCCTTGCCGATCGTAGCCAATGACACCGGTGCAACGCTGTGCGCCCGCGGCCGTGTTGGACGGAGAGGTGCCGTTGGTTCGGGTGATGCGTTCTTCTCAGCCACGAGATTGGAGTGCGACGAGCAACGCATGCGTTCCGGCTTCTTGTGATGTTTCGGCAGCGACCACACCATGAACTGCTCGTTGAGAGCAAGGATGAGCTTGACCACCGCCTGACCTAGGACGTCGTCACGGTCGCTCCGCGACTGCTCGACAATGTCGAAGAGGTGGTCGATGAAAGTGTCCGTGAAGAGATCAAGCTCAGTCTCAGTGAGCCGCATGACCCGGCAGACCTCGTATAACAGCTGCGTTGCGGGCAGGTGTAGGCGGTGCTCGATTGGCGGCAGACCATCTACCCAACCTTCGTCGTCCGGGATGACCTCCACCGTCTCCATGAGTGTGGGCAACAGCTTTGCCCACTTTCGGTGCGACCGAAACAACGAAGGATGCCGCAATCCGTAATGCGCGATAAGATAGTACCAGATGTATAGTTCGTGGGGGTTTGTGTTCTGTGTGTCAGAGCAAGCTTGTGAGCCTGCAGTTGTGTACTCACGTTCACTGCCTGCGACATCATGATCCCCACCATCCGCTGGTCGTTGAACTGGAACAAGTCCGAGTCGAGGAGCAGCTCCATGGCGCGCCGAATATCTTCAGGATCTCGCAGGAAGTCGTCTGCGGTTAGTCCGTGATTCACAGATCAGATATCAAAGGCGCGGGCGGCCGGGGGGTGAGGGGGCGGCTGGGCGTGGGGCGGTGGGGCGGGGAAGGGATGGGAGGGGAATGGGATGGGAAGGGGAATGGGATGCGCGCCACACACACAAGCACAGCGCGCAGCACCCGCCGGCGGCCCAGCAAGCATGTCGAGTGTCGCAACGTTTGCCGCGCGCGCAGCTGGCAGACTCACCATGATACAGCGCACACCGCCGCACAAACTTGAGGATGAGCTCGTCTAGCTCTTCGAGCGTGTTTGCAACTTCGGATCTTGCTAGAACACGGTCGAGCTCCTCGAAGAATGTGCGCTGGCTCTCGAACCGTTTCCGCATCGGCGCTGCGCCAGGGCTTACTCCCAGATGTGCGCCGTGTCCGTTGAGACCGTTACTGTTGCCGTTGCTGTGCCCGCCATTCTCGGACGGGTCGCGTGAGCGCCGCCGCGAGTGGGTGCGGTCGTATGGCATGGCGTGTGGGTGCGGTGCTGGGGGATCGCGCGGCATGCCAGGCGGAGGGGGGAAGGGAGGGGAGGGGAGGAGAAGGCGGGGGGAGGGGGGGGGAAAGAGGGCGGAGATGGGTCGGAGGCCCTTTTGGGAGGGGTGGAGAGGGGGTTAGGGGGGTTGGGGGGAGGGCAATGACGGCGTGGGAGGGAATGCCAGAAGAGGGAACGGTCAACTGGCGGTCGGCGGAGGTTGCAACGGCGACGATGGCAGCAGCGGAGCGTGGGGCAGTCGCACGGAAGGAAGGGTGGGCGGCGCAGAGTGCCAAGAGTGAGAAGGATGGTTGAAGGGAGGTGGCGATAAGCTATGCAGTGGTGGTATGGAATGTCGATGCGGACGATGTGCAAGAAGAGGTCGAAGAGGCGAGAACAAGAATATAGCTGAGCAAGAGGACGAGGCTGATGGCGACGACGGGACGAACGATGGGCAATGCCCGGCGTATATGGAGGGCTCGGCGCTCCAGGGCGCGGGGGCGGGGGCTGGCGGCCTGGCGGCTGGAGTAACGAGACTGACGCATGTCTCCGAGATCGCCAGGACCGCCCCGTGCCAGGAACTACCGAGCGGAGACGGCATCAATTCCATCATATTCCATTCAGAGTCGCAGCCCTTCGACCGCAGCTGTACGCAGCCGTACGCGCACGCCCGTTCATGTGCCAGGCACTTGGCGCTCCTACCCGACGTTTCACGCTCATGACAGCCCGATACTTCGGCCCGCACAGCCGTCTCCACTCCAGTTCGACCAGCGTGCACCACACCTTGGGCGGCTCTGATGCCGAGTGATCACGTGGGCTTGAATATAAGCTACGTAGCTACACTTGGCCACTTGGCATGACTGGCATTATTAACCGTGCTCACATGTACGACACGTATATCCTATGTCCGAATGGGCACATATATATCCAAATCCGCTGGTCCTATGTACTTGCCATGGCTCAACCGGAAGCGCGCCGCAGACCGTTTGGTTTGTGCCGGTTGATGGGGGTTCGAATCAGGTTGTGTGAATCACAAGTAATGGCCGTACGGCCGCCGGGACTGTGGTCGTGTGAATCACGATTGATGGCCGAACGGCCGCCACGACCAGCCTAGCGTGGCAAGTACACCTTTTTAGTACACGACACAACAGCACAGCGGCAATGCTCTCAACGTCAGCGGCGCTGCATTGGCCTCTCTCTGGTGGTGCAACAGCTACGAGCATTAAATGCACAACATCTAGGATGTCTTATGGTGTCCAAATCTGTCGTCAGCGCCTGCTCGCTGCTCGCTGAGGCTGGCTCACCTTCACCGTCTGGTCCACGGAACCCGTCGCGATGACATTGATGCGGCGCGGCTCCTGGCTGCCGTTGGCCTTGCCATCGCTAGCCTCTGCGGCACCCAACAACGCCCGCCCCCAAGCCAAGCATGTAACGAAGTGGCCGTGGGCGTCAATAGTCTTGATGCAACGGCCATTTGTCAAGTCCCAGATCCGCAACGTCTTGTCGTCTGATGCGGACAGCAGGTGTTTCCCAGACGGATGGAAAACAAGCGCGCGAACCCAATTGTCGTGTCCAGACTACGTGTCAGCGCGCAGGTGACTCAGCTACTCACCAAAACTCGCAAGCATTGCCCCGAGATGGCATCCCACAGCCTGATGACCTTGTCGCGTGACCCAGTAGCAACAAACGCTCCTGGAGCTTTTGCTCGGTCGCCAGCAGCTGTGGCAGGCAACCCAGATAGCTCACGGATAGCCGGGTACGATGCAATGGGTGCGAAGACAGCACATTCGACAACGTGCTCATGTCCCCGCAACTCAGCCTTGGTCTCCCCAGATGCCAAGTCCCATACCCGCGCGGTCTGCCCTGTCAGTGCGGCCCCAACTTTCCCTCTCACCTGGTCGTTCGACGCGCTGACAAGCCATCGCCCATCCATGGAAGGCACGACTTCACGGACCCAGTCAGAGTGGCCGCTGACTGTCTTGATGCAATAGCTGGCGTCAGCTTGCCCGGTCTCCGCTTGTGCTCACCCAGTGGCCACCTCCCACACACGAATGGTTTTGTCGCGAGACGCAGATATCAACTGTTCTCCGGTCGGCATAAAACGCACGCTTGAGACCGAGTGGTCGTGGCCGTGCAGCGTTTTGGTGTTTTTGTAATCATTTGCGGGGTCCCAGATCTTGATGGTCAAGTCTGTTGAACACGTCGCTGGCATCAGCATGGCCGATGTCATCTTTACACACCCATAGCGTTGCCCTTGGGGTCAAAGTCCACGTCAGTGACGGCCTTGGTGTGGCCCTTGACCGTGCGTTCAAAGTCTCCGCTCTCCCAGTCCCAAATCTTCACGCTCGCGTCCTCGCTGGCACTGGCTAGCACGGTCCACGTTGGATGAAAGGCCACTCTTGTGATTGGTGCACGATGGGATTGGAGGGTATGCCGTGGTGGTGCGCGTGGGATGAAGGGCGCATTGCTAGATGTCGATGCCGTCGCGCGTGTGGGAGATGCGAGCTCTGCCTGCAAGGCGGCCTTTTGTGACTCGAGATCCATAATCTGAGCATTAGCCTAGCGCATGTAACGACATGCCTTCTTTTGCAAGCGAATGACGCTGGTCCACTTCTTCTCAAGCAGCCCCGAGTACTTGTCCTTGGGATCGCTTGGGTCAAAGTCTAGCATGTCTGCTTCCCGTGCCAGTGATGCAAAGGATTCAGTCATCCCGGCCGCCTGGAGGTAGGACAGCATCGCGCGGTGCCTGTGCGCGGCGCATCGCGATTGTGGACAAGGGCGGCGAGATGAGATTGAGATGGACCAAGGACGGAGAGCAAAGTGGAGCATGGGGGAAGGCGGCGTCAGCGGCGGCTCCTGCGTGATCTCGGGGGCCCTAGGCGCTGTGGGATTTGTAGTCGGCAAGCTCTGCTGGACTCACAGCTCATCTTTCTGCCTGTCCGACAGCAATGACATTATGCGGTGTTGATGGAGTGGGAGTCTGCCACTGAAGGCTCAGGCTCGGGGCAGACGAGCGACGGATGCAACGAGGCCGAGTTGTTGTAATGACAAGGCGAGGAGTCGAAGTGGTATGAGGGCAGCGAGGTCTTGCGCGCGTTGCAGGCCGCTGAAGAAGGGGTTGGGGGCAGGCAAACACGAGCAAGGAGGAAGGAGATCGACGGAGTAGGGGCGATAAGGACGGGGTAGGAGATGAAGGAGCGGTGCCGGGGGAGTGTGAGTGACAAGGGCGACTGTGCGCGTGATGATGGACAACACAACAAGGATGATGATGAGGAGGAGGAGGATGGATGACTCGAGGATGTTGGGAGTGTGGGGTGGATGTTGTGGCTTGGACCTTCTCTTTGCTGCGTGCCAGGCTTGCAAGTCACGAAACACGTCCCTTTGACCTTCCCTTCACCGTACACCTCGCTCAGCCGCCACCCACCGCCAGTATCCATATATCCCAAATCCAGGCACAAACAACTCCATTAGCTCCACGTGGCCTCCACCTCCTTGCTATACTGCTAATACGGCTAATAATCACTATCACACCCCCCAATAATCTCCAGCACCCGCCAACACACGGCAACTCACTCGGCCATAGCCGCCGCCCATCACCGGCTATACAAACGACGTCGTCTGGCAAGCACAAGAACCGTGTTCCTGCGTCTCTTGCATCGTCTCTCGTCTCTTCTCATTCCTATCCACATTCACTACACAAAGCATTTACAATGACCGACGTTTCCCAGTACAACGGCAAGTTCTTCCGCGCCACCTCGCCAGTCGAGAATGTCCTCCTCCTCGAGATGAACCGGTATGTGACCTTGCCTTGGCCTTCCTGGCCGTTGACAACCCCGCCCTACTTGACCGCTAACGCTTCCAGTGGCCCCGTCAACGCCTTCCACGATGCGTGCGTCTTTTGCATAGCTTAGCATGCTCCTGCTCTCTCTTACCACAGATTTTGGGAGGAGCTCCATGCGACCATTGACCGCGTCTCGCTCGACCCCGAGGTCCGCGTGATCGTCTTCGCCTCGGCCTTTGAGAAGATCTTCACCGCCGGCCTTGACCGTGAGCTTCGATCCCTACCCCGCTAACAACAGTCAAGGCGACGCACATCGGCAAGAGCCAGGCGCTCGACGCCGCGCGCCAGGCGTTCGACACGCACCAGCACATTTCGGTATGCCCACCGGGCCGCTAATACCCGGCTGACACCAGCGCTTCCAGGCCGCCATCACATCGCTCGAGAAGTGCCGCCAGCCGGTCATCTGCGCGATCAACGGCATTGCCGTCGGCCTCGCCATCGACATTGCGTCGGCGTGCGACATCCGTCTCTGCACCGACGACGCGACCATGGGCATTCTTGTGAGCCGCGCGCGGCAAGGCGGAGATCGCCGCTGACATCCAGGAGGTCAAGGTCGGACTGGCGGCCGACATCGGCACGCTCCAGCGCTTCCCCAAGATTGTCGGGAACGGGTCCAAGGCGCGCGAGCTTGCGCTTACGGGTCGCAAGTTCTACGCTGACGAGGCCAAGGAAATCGGCTTCGTCAGCCAGGTTGTCTCGGGCGGCCGCAAGGGCGTCATCGGTGAGGCAGCCTTCTGCGTTGCAGCCATGCCATATCTGTCATTCAGCTGACAGCAGACGCCGCGCTCAAGCTCGCCGCCGAGATTGCCCCCAACAGCCCTGTTGCTGTGGTCAGCACCAAGCACATCATGAACCGTGAGCACCTAGCGCCCTGCACATGAGCTGACAACAGACGCGCGCGACCACGGGTAGGATGGAGTGACGACGAATACTGACGTGCAGCGTCGACGAGGGACTCGCGTACCAGGCGGCATGGAACATGTGAGTGCGACGGAAAGATCTGGCTGACGATGCAGGGGCATGCTCCAGACCAAGGTGAGATAAACTTTGTTGCGAGTATATCTCGTCACATCTGGCACCAGCGTGCCAGCGCGGAGATCCTGATCCGATACTGACGACAGGACACGCAGGTCGCGATGAAGGCGCAGCTGGCCAAGCAGTCGCCCCGCTTCCCCAGCCTCGGTGCGAAGCTCTAAATTGAAAATGAAGATATGTAGAGAGACGCGTTTAGGTCGGCGTGGCGGATCGATGTAAACATGGGAACTGGAATAGCGTGCGTGCGCCCCAAGCCGATGCGGAAGACGAGGAACGGAGGGCGAACCTTTAATAGATAACGGCGCGTTTGCGTGACTTGTCATGTACAGCACGCACAGTACGAGAACGGGCAGCGAGACATGAAGCAACGCGTTCTAGGGACGAGCGTGAGATGGGTGGTGTGACTGACTGCATGTCCAGAGTGCATGGTGAGAAAGCCGAGGAGCGCGCGGAGCGTGGCGAGGAGGATCGCCCAAGATGAAGGAACAGGGATTCCTAGTGTTTAGTCCCTGATGGTCCCCTTGCTCCCCTCCAAACTCTCTCCCTCCTCGGCCACCTCGGTCTCCCCATCCTCGGCGCCTCCAAGCCTCTGATACACGCCAACAGGTATGTGTATGAGGACGGGAATGAGCAATTCAGCTGCTCGAACATGTCTGGGCCAGATGTGAAGCATGAACAGGGGCCAGTGAATGGTCAGAGAGTGAGACAAGACGCGAGAGTTGCAGTGAGACTGGAAGGCAACGAGGCAACGAGGCAACGAGGCAGGGAGCAAGAGGGAGATTGAGTGTTCCGACAGGTACGCCGCACCTTTTCTGCGCACACCGAGATGCAGCGCGGCATTCAGGCGGAAGCGCAGAAGCGCAGAAGATCCCGATCCTGCGTCAAGTTACGGGATCGCGCTAACCTCGTCGCAGGCGAGAGGGGGGAAGGCGGAGCGCGGAGCGCGGAGCGCGGAGCGCGCTGGCGCTAGTAGCCTTCTACCTAGGACGTCTGCCGCTCGGCAGGCTCTGATTGATGTGGGATGTGAGAGGCGAGTGCCTTGTTCCACAAGGAGACGTGAGGAGAAAACGGAGAAAGCTGGAGAACGGAGAGGGGAGAGAGAGAGGAGGGAGAGGAGTAGAGAATGAGAGAATGAGAGAATGAGAGAATGAGAGAATGAGAGAATGAGAGAATGAGAGAAGGCGACGACGACCACCCTTGTCGACGCCGTGAGTAGCGGACAATGATGCCACCAAAGGCCACACACAGGTCAACCTCACAACCCCTTGCCCGTCTCTTCCCTCTCACCCTGGCTCCCCCCCTCCCCCTCCCCCCACTTGCCCTGGGCCTTTCTGCTCTGTGGGCACTTTGTATTCACCGCGCGACACGCATCCTCCTCCATCCTCCTCATCCATCCTCCTCCTCCATCCTCATTCATCATCCATCATCCATCCTCCATCATTACCCCATCGCTCCCCGTCTCCATCCCCTCCCTCATCCCCCACTTCTCATCCCTACACTTGCAATATCCATCTCCTGTTGCACTACAGACGACCTTGCACTCACTCCAACACGACTCCACGAACGCGTCACGCTACTTTCCACCTTGAACTCGACGCCTCCTTATCCTCCCTCCTTCTTTCCGTCTCCGTCTTCGTCTTACATTGGCAACACTCTTCGTCTTCCCCTCCCACCAGCACTCTCCGCCCCCTCCCTCACGCCCGCCCGCCCCCAACGGGCGCACGACCCTGTACATCTTCCACAAGAGTGTGCTCAAAGGCTGCGCCGGGCCCTCTTTACCTCCTCCTCGCCCGCGGGCTAATCGACGATGGCCATCTTTAAGAAGAAGGGCAAGAATGACCGCGAGCATGGCGCGCGGTCCCCTACAAACAGTCCTCCTGTCCAGTAAGTTACGTCAATGTCAAGTCCGACGCCGTGTATGGACCTGACCTTTTCCACACTCCGAGGTCGTCGGAAGAATGTAGGCCAGCCAGTTGATTGAGCCTGGCGAATGCCCACAAACATGTGGTGGCCCAGACTCAGCGCCCTGCTCCTCCTCCGCGCGCCTCTTTCCGCAATAGCGCGTGACTGTCACCTCGCTCCAGCCTTTGCTAACTTGCCCCAGGGTTCAACAATCCATGATCGCTGCCGTGCAGCGCGGAGCGTCGGACACCTACCCTCCGCCCAGCGCGCCCATGGGCTCAAACCCCAAACGCATGACCAACTCTGTGAGTGCTTGGGACGCGTCGACGCAGCGAGGATGTCTACAAAGATCATGGCGACTGACTCGAACAGATACAGTTTGGCGCTGTCCCTCCGTCTGTTCTCCAGAGCGCCCCAACCGGTCGCGCTTCGCCTGGTCCAGGAGGGCTACAGGGCGGCGGCTACAACGTTGGCATGGGGTTACCATCGTCGATGCAGCAGGGCCACCTGCAGCACCAGCAGCAGGCATCGCTCGGCTCGATGAACGGCCCAATGTCTCCGTTGGCGATGGTTTCGGCCCAGAACATGGGCCCACCAAGCATGCAACATCAGCAGCAGCAACAGCAGCAGCAGCAGCAGCAGCAGTTTCAGCAGTTCCCGCAGCAGTCGCAGCACCAGCAGCAGGCTCAGCATCAACAACAGGGCGGAGCGCTGCAGCAGATTCCTCCGCACAACCCGGGTTACCCGTGGTCGACCAGACCTCTCCGTCTGTATCAGCCGCGCGAACACTCGCAGCCTCTCTCCCCGTTCCCGCGGTACGGACTCAGTGTGCCGCCCTACCCGTCGCACTCTGGCCACATGCTGCTGTTTGGCGGCTTAGTAGCTGATCGCGCTCACAACGATCTGTGGAGCTTGGACGTGCGCGACCACTCGCTCCAACTAGTCAAGACGCGCGGTGAAGCACCGCTGCCTCGTATCGGCCATGTGAGCGCTATTGCCGACCGTATCATGCTCGTGTTCGGCGGCGACACCAAGGTCGACGAGAAAGACAAGCAGGACGAGGGCCTTTACGTCCTCGACCTGCGGACGCAGGAGTGGTCTCATCTCCCCGTCGTGGCTGGACCATGCGGGCGTTATGGCCATGCCGCTTGTATGCTCGGCGGCAATTTCTACGTCCACGGCGGTCATGTCGATGGCAAGAACTTTGACGACTTGTGGGCATTTGACATCCGTCAGCGTGAGTAGTCGACGAACATCCGATGCTGACTGCTTCCAGTTGGGAGAAACGACGGACAATACACCTGGGAGCGCATCCAGTACAACTCGCCCGCCCCGCTCGCGCGTACTGGCCACACCATTGTGCCGTACCAAAACCAGCTCTTCCTGTTCGGTGGTACGGACGGCGACTACCACTACAACGACTCGTGGTCGTTTGACATCGCCACGAGCGTCTGGACTGAGCTGGAGTGCATAGGATACATTCCTATTCCCCGCGAGGGCCACGCCGCAGCCATTGTCGACGACGTTGTCTACGTGTTTGGTGGCCGTGACGTACATGGCAAAGACCTTGGCGACCTCGCTGCATTCAGAATTTCCAACAAGCGCTGGTACATGTTCCAGAACATGGGACCTTCCCCCATGGCCAAGTCAGGCCACAGTCTGTGTGCTGCGCATGGCAAGGTCTTCGTCATCGGCGGAGAGTCCAACTTGGCGCCAGAGGTGCCTCGAGACGACCCAAACGTGATCCACATTCTTGACACAGGTGAGCAGAGCTGGCATTTTCTTGTCTGCGAGATGTGATCTCATACTCATGCCAGGTAAAATCAAGTATCCATCCGACAGTCAGTCGCCTGGTGGAACACGGCCCCCTCAGCAAGCTCGGCCACGAACAACGTCGGATGCGACCGACCGCCGCCCGGCCAATGGCATTAGTTCCAACGGCAGCAGTCCCTACGGAATGGGGCCTTCAGGCAACGCACAGGCCGCCTACATGGCATCACGATCTGTTGACAACGTGTCGCGGGCCATGTCTCCTCCTCAAATCGCATCAGAGCCGCGCCCTCTGATCGTTACAAACGACACGGGATCCAAACACTCCAAGCATACGCCCCGCTCGGAGTCGCTTGACTCGACGGGGCCGCCCAGCGGCGGGCCGCGCATGAATGGCCAGGCCCAACCTATGGGCATGCCGCAGCAGATGCTGCAGGGCGCTTCGCTCCCGCAGGGTGCGCCTCCGCAGCGCCCACGCCGCGAGGGCGATGAGGAGTACCGCCGCGCAATGTCGCCTCCCGAGGTGACTATCAACGGCACCCCGAACACCTCATCATCAAGCCCTACCAACGAAAGCGTGGTTACGCCAAACGGCGACGTTGTGACGCACGTTGCGCCCCGTCGCTCTGTCTCGCCACCGCCCCCTGGTCACGTTGCGAGCCACACAGTTCACCCAAATCTTCGCAGCACCCGCAGCCCTCCTCCGCAGCTTCGTGCTGGAGAGGATGGCCGCCCTGCACTCCCTCCTGACGCTTTCTACTTTAGTGGCAAGTCTGCCACGGGCACCAGCCGCCCTGGATCCATGTTGGGCCGGCCTGGGTCTATCCTCGGGCGACCAGGTTCAATCGTTGGCAACAGGCCTGGCTCTGTCGCCGGCACCGCCGACTTGTTGCGCGAAATCAAGGCTCGTGAGACGGAGGCAGACAACGCCAAGCGCCGCGAGGGTGCGTTGCGTGTGCTCCTCAGCAGGGCGATCGAGCAAGGCTTTGTCGTGGACGATGACTCGGCTGATGTGCCGCCGCCAGATGTCTTTGGCGACAACGAGCAGCTTCGCCACGTCGCGCTGGCGTTGAAACAGCTCAAGCAGGAGAAGGCCAATCTCCAGAACGAGGTCACACAGCAGATGCAGCTTGCGTCCGAAAAGATCCATGACTCTGAGCGCATGCAAAAGGCGGCGCTGCAGGAGGCGGCGTACTATCGTGCCAAGCTCGCCGCTCTCGAATCTGGGGACACCAACGAAGTCTCGAAGCTTGATGCCACGCGCATCGCTGACCTTGAGCGGCAACTCGAGGCCACAACCACCGAGCACGCTGGAGGACAGCGTGACTTGGAGCGCCTCAAATCCGAGGCCGCGCACCATCAGAAGCTCTGCCATGACGCCACCGAGGCCGAGACCGAGACGCTCAAGCGTGCCGAGCTCGCCGAGGAGGAGATTGCGCGGCTGCAGGAGGAGATCGAGACGCTCAGAGATCAAGTGGCCAACCACGACCGGTCGACGCGCGAGCAGACCGAGCGGTTCATCACCCTCACGTCGACGCATCAGCAGCGTCAGGCCGAGCGTGACGACTACAAGACGCAACTCGATGAGCTGCAGGGCAAGAACGACGAATTCGCCAAGCTTCTTGAGCAGGCACAGGCGTCGATGGCTGCCACCAACCTCCGCGCCGACGAGTTTGAGTCCATGCACAAACAAGCGAAGGAGCACATCGCAGCACTCGAGCAGGAGCTGGCTGAACTCAAGCGCGCTCTTGAGGACAAGACACGCGAGGCCGAACAAGCTACCGCACGACTCGCAGAGGCCGAGGGTCTTCATACCTCTGCCCGCGAGGAAGTCACCAACTACCGCAGCCTCACCAGCGGTCGACTCGGTGAGCTCCTCGAGACGCACCGCGCCCTGCGCGACGACAACACGCGCGGCGTCAAGGGTCACCAGGACCAGATGCGCGCTCTTGAAGAGGAGAAGGGCTCGTTGCTCAAGCTCCTCCGCGACGCAGGTGAGCGTGTCGACGCCACTGAGGCCGTCGCCAGCTCGCACCGCAAGAAGGCACGCGAGCTTGAGCAACAGCAGCACACCCTGCGTGGCGAGGTACGCGCCCAACGTACAAAGCTCGTTGCAGCTCAGAACGAGCTCGCCAAGTACCGCGACCTCTTTACCAACAAGGATTCGGAGCTGCGCGAGCGCGACCAGGCCGTCACCGAGCTGCAGACGCGAGTGTCGCTTATGCGCAAGCTGCTCGGCGAGCACGGCATCAACGTGTCCGACGCCGATCTCGAATCGGCCGAGACATCAAGTGCCGGCGAGCTCGAGTCCAAGCTCCGCGACAAGTCGCGTGCGCACGACACGGCGCAGCGCGAGATCGACGAGCTCAAGCGCCGCTGCCAGGAGGCCGAGGACAAGGCTGACTCGCTTACTCGCATGGTTGAGCGCTACAAGGACTCTCGTAGCCCGAGTGCCGGCTCCATACGGTCTGGCGACGGCGAGGGTGGGGACGCAAACCATCGTGCGTCCGAGGCCGAGCGCAAGCTCGCCGAAGCCGAGGAGGCGCACCAGAAGCGCCTCACGGCGCTGCAGAGCGACTACGAGACCGCTGTCCGCTATGTCAAGGGCACGGAGAAGATGCTGAAGCGCATGAAGGACGAGCTCAACAAGCAGAAGGCGACGAACACCACGCTCCTGTCGGAGCTGGACGGTATGCGCGGGCGCGCAGGGTCACCACTCACGCGGGGTCTCTCTGGACGAACAACACCCTCGGACGGCGAGCTCACGCGCAAAATTCACACCCTGCAGAACCAATACACTGCCTTGCAGGCGGAGCTGCAGGCGTCACAAGACACGCTGAACGCGCGCAACCGCGAGTGGGATCTGCTGCGCGCACGTGTCGAAGAAAACGAGCGAGAAAACGAGGCGTTACGCGAGGATCTGGCGCAGGCGCACCACCGCATCGAGACGTTGCTAGAGATCAACCCGGCCGGGATCATGGGCTCGGACGACGAGGATGACCGGTTAGGAGGGCTGCGGCGGGGGTCTACGGCGTCGAGCGACGGCGGCACATCTATGGCGTTTGACAAGGTGAGCTGGGCGGTAGAGCCCGCTGACAGTAGTTTACGAAGGAGTTGAAGCAGTGGGAGCGGGCACGGTCACCGGACGCGCATGACGAGGATGTGAGCGAGCACGAGGCACGGCTGAACGGCAAGGCTATGTCACCGAACCCCGCGGCGGCGGCGTACCCCGCGCTCCCGGCCAAGGCGTCCGGCTCCGCAGCGCAGGGGCCGCCGCACGGCCGCAACGTGTCTGGCGAGTGGCAGTAACGGACGATGAGACGATTCCCGCGACGAGCATATGACTACCCGTAGTATCCATACCGTACAATGACGAATGCGGCCACGCTGCCGGTCTGCTTGTATCCCTTGTGTCCGGTTAATGCATTATGCTAGCATGAGGGGGTTGGGGCTGAGGTCTCAGCGAAGATTCGCCGGCCTGTCTTGCAAACTTGTCAGGCTGGGATCGGGGAATAGACGGGAGATAGGCGCAGAGAGGGGGCGGTGAGTGAGCTGGCGCGAGGGAAGTCGCACGAGTATCCGCAAGGAGCTGAGAGAAGATGAGTGCGTTCCGAGTGCGGTGCTGAGAGGGCGCGAATGCAAGCGAACTGAAGTACCGCCGAGTTGGGAAGCCTGCAGTGGGCCAGTGGGCACGTTGGCACCGCCGGATAGCTAAATAAAGATGCGGAAGGGCGATACAGCTTGCGACGCGATCCGACGGGCCGATGGAAGAAGCTGGGCGGTACACGGAAGCGGGGCGAGAAGAGCGAGGCGCGGAGAGCGAGAAGGGAGACACGGGCGTGAGAAGGTGCCGGATCAATAAAATTGGACGTGGGGCAGCCCTCCGATCTCCGAGCCCCTTGTGACTTTGGTTCAGAGTGGGGCGCTATTGACACATGAAACTCGGGACTATTTTGGGACCGGGCCGACTGCTTGGATCCAGATACCGGCCCCACTCTGAGACAACTCGCGCCAGGCCGAGCTATTGTCGCACCTTGATAGACTACTCGGTCTCTGATCTCTGATCACTGACGTTGACGTCTTTGAAATGGACAGACTCCCACATGCTGGGGACAGTGTTCCCATATGACCTAAGCAAATCACTGGTCGAATCGGCCGTGCATTCGCCCAAGGTCAGTGCATGGCGGGACCCGACCGCCTTGTCGCCTGATCTCTTCATCGTCCTCGATCCAGGCCGCGACCAGCTGACGACGAGAAACTCACCATTCCGCACGCTCCACTGCCAAGCGCGCAGTCGACTGCTACGAGGCGGCATAGGCGGGCCGCCACATTCCATGGCACCATTGCTGGCCGGTTAAACATTCCGTGGCGCACAGCACTGCCCGTGTCCTCCGTACCTCTGTACCTCCGTCCGCAGACAGATCGAGAACCGATTTGGCGATGCGCTAGAGGGCGAGGGCGAGGGCGGGGGCGCGGGCGGGGGCGCGTGGCCAGGCGTCATCCCAGATCTCGTGAGTAGCTCATGGCTCCGTTGGCTGACAGCTGACTGATGGCTCACCCACGCCCGCAATCGAACGCCGCCGAGTGTTTGTTGGCCCATCATACGTGCCACCACGGCCACCGGTCACTGGCTGCTGGCTGGGCGAGCGCGGCGCCCCAGGGCCGGATGGATTACGGCACCGCGCGCGCTTCCCCGCGAACAGGGTTCCTGGGCCGGATGGAACATGCTGCCAAGCGCGCAGCGTGCAGCTGACGCCGCGGTCGCCCGGTGATGGCCGTCGGATCGTCAGAGCACAGCAGGTGACGCTCGATGCACATGGCTCGTGTAGTTCTGGCAAGCGGTGTGTCGGTGTTGGAGTGGGAGATGGGCCATTGCTAGAAACCGGTGTTTGGCTGGGCTTGTTGGATCGACAGAAACACGTCCCCTGTTCTACCCACCGTGTTTTCCCTGCTGTATGATGACGCGTAACCGCCTGTCTGTCAGATGGGCTCATTTCAGGAAGGGGGGGGAAGTGGGCACGCCGAATAGAGAAGATCGCTAATGAAACAATCGCGGGCGCACGTCAGAAGTCTAATCCCCAACCCTCTTCTGAGTCCCGGAATAGCCCCGGCCGCGCACATCCGAACGCCACTCTTCCACGATCCAGGCCCTGACCACGGCCTACCTCGGACAACCATAGTTACCTTTGGGCGTGCAGCCCTGAAACCCACTGTCCCTGGATCTCCCCTCGTGCACGGTCCATCAGACCATCTCTGATTGTCGGTGATGCGATGCCACACACCACCTTCCTCGCTCGTCCTTGCTCCCTGGCCGCTTCCGCTCAGGTCGCAGGGCGCTCATCCCTGGCCTGCAGCAAGCACCCGGCAGCCACCAGCTTGGTTCAAAAGAGCCATCCCTCGTCTCGTCTCTCTCTTTCCATTCTCATCTCCTCCATCTTCTACTTCATCTCTCGACATCGACAACTCCTCCCCCCCCCCCTCCTCCTCTTCTTTCCTGTCAACTACCGGGCCACGACACCCCTTGTCGCTTCCATCTCACTCAGCTATATTCTTTTTCTCCTAGCCACATTAATCACCTACTCCTTCACACTTCCTCCCGCTTTCACTCATAATCATGTTTGCCAACCTCTTCACCGTTTTCCTCGCCATCGCTGCGGTCGTCCAGGCCGCACCGGCCGCTTGCCCTAGGACTTCCCCCGTCATGGTTGTCGTGAGTCCCCAATCCTCTCCCGCGGCGGCACTAATGGCAGCAAAACTGCGAAGTTTCCGGTACCGTCGCGCTTACTTTCGATGGTGAGTACTTGTGGAAAACGGTGAAACGGGTGGGCACTCCGAGTGGCGCGCCATTGGGCTGCTCGCGACGGCGACAACGCCCCGTTGCGCGGGTATCACCATGGGTCCGTCCATCCGACGACTGGGTGTCCGTGCCACTTCGCCACTCGGCCATGACCGAAAATCCTCCGAACACCCAAGCGCCCGAACAACAGCAATGATCTCAGAGACCCGGCTAACGCCAGACGGACCCGTCGGCAACGACCTCAAGATCGCCAACAGCCTTAAGGGCGGCAAGGGCACCTTCTTCGTGAACGGTGACAACTGGGGCTGCATCTACGACCGCGCCGCCGACCTCAAGGCTATGTACAACGCGGGCCACACCATCGGCTCGCACACGTGGAGCCACGCGGACCTTGCGCGCCTGAACAAGGACCAGATCCACGACGAGCTCGACCGGCTCGAGGTGGCGATGATGCGCATCCTCGGCGTGCGCCCCGTCTACTTCCGCCCTCCCTACGGCAGCTACAACAACCTCGTGCTCGAGGTGCTCCGCGAGCGCGCGTACAAGAAGCTCTTCATGTGGACCGACGATACCGAGGACGGAAACCGCAGCGGCGCCGACGTACCCTACGCCAAGAGCGTGTACGACCGCATCGCCCGCGACTACCCCAAGCCCCACAACGTCCTTAACCACTCACCGTACGACAGCACCGCCAACGAGGTCGTGCCCCACGCCGTCCAGCGCCTCCAGGCCGCCGGGTACAAGCTCCAGACGCTCGACCAGTGCCTCGGCAGCGCCGGCGACCACCCGTACATCAAGGGCTCGGGCGTCGACAGCAAGTACGGCTGGAACTGCAACTAAGCCCCTCCTCCGCCTTTCTCATCTGTCCATCATGCTCGGCATCTCTTCCTCTTGTCCCTCTCACGCATCTCCATCTCCAGCTGTACACAGGACACTGGAGTCCTCCATTCCTCATCTCATGAACATTGACACGGACACTCAGTAATCACTTTAGTAGTCGGCATGACACATGTGCATTGCAGACTAGTCCAAGCCACAGCGACCTTCGGTTGACGCTCGGGCTTAGCGCAAAGATCTACACCACACGGACGATCTTGATCTCGTCAAATCGTGTGTCTGTGATTGACATGGCAAGATTGCGAGACGAGCGCCGCAGCCGTAAGCACGCGCTGTCTGGCGTGTGCACAGCCGCACTCGATGCACTTCCAGCGCAATCCGACGGAGCTCGTCGCATCCCGAGTCCCCAACCAGACCTGGACGACGCGTGGCGTCAGTTCCGTCGGATCAGATAAGCTTCCTAAGGCTGCCCTTCGCTTCTTCCGTTCTTCTTCACTCTTCGTCTCTTCCCCTCTCCTCTTCTTCTTCTTCTTTTCCCCTTCTTCCTCTTCCTTCTCCCTTCCTTCCTTCCCTCCTCGTCCTCTCCCTCTCCTCGTCGCCTATCTTGTCACCCCCCCACCTCCCGGTCCCAGATTACGACCGAGTCGGTGCCAGCGGATCACCAGCGTGCCAGAGCCCAAAATCTGAAACGGGATCCGTCGTTCTTTGGGACGGTGGTGGCGGTTACGGCGCGGCGTTGAACCGCGGAAGGTCAGCGAGTTTGACCCGGAATTATTGGGTCAAATGAGCCGTGCGCTCGGGAGTGATGAGCGCAGAGAGGGACGGTGAAAGCTGGATTTCAGGAGGTGGTGGGAGACAGGTGTCGGCTCGTGTCCCGCGGCATTGCGATTGATCGCCCATGGCTATGGTGGCAGAAGAAGTCGCGGGGCAGACTCGAAACTTAGAGTGGGTCATGTCGCCTGAGAGGAACGACTAGGAGACGTGGGGCAGGACTCAATCGTCTCAGGCGTGGGGCAGTTCAAATATCTGACCGTCCACGTCAACCACATTGCATACACGACACACCGTCCCAATAAAATGCAATGCATCGCCCCGTCGCCCCCTCTACTACCGCTTGCCAGCCTTGCCCTTGGGCTTCCCCTTGCCCCCCTTCTTGCCGAGGCTGACCTTGACCGGTTTGGCGCGCATGCCCTCGTGGCTCTCGGCGAACGCGCTCCCCTTGCCGATGCGCGCCGCCTTCTTCTTCTTGCCCTTGCCCGCCGCCGCCGCGCTCTTGGCCTTGAGCGGCTCGGTGATCTTGACGGGCCGCGCGGCCTTCTTGGCATTTCGGATCGCCGCAGACACCTTGACAGTCGCGTTCTCGCGCGCCTCCTCGTCGTTGGCCATCTTGCGCCGCTTCTGCCGGCGCGACAGCCCGTCGTACCGCCCATGCTTCTCCTTCTTGCCCGTCGGCTCCGCCTTGCCCCGCACCGTCTTCGACTCGCCCGTGTGCACCGCCTTGCCTGCTTCTGCCATTAGCTCGCGCCTGACGCTCGACTCACCCTTCGCGGACGCCTTCTCCTTTTCGCTCTGGAACCAGGTGCGCGCGGGCCGCGAGAAAATCTCCTTCTCGTGCTCGACCATGTTCTGCCCCTTTTTGATCTCCATGTCGGCCTGGCGCAGCGCCTTCTCCTCCTTCTCCTCCTTGAGCACCTCGGCCACGTCGTCGCGCAGCTCGTCGAGTCGCTCGGCCTGCGCCGAGATCGCCTCGGTGGGAATGATGCGGTGGCGAATCTGGTCTTCGCGGCTCTGTTTAATCACCGCCTTGAGCATCTTGCGGTCCGCCTCGCCGACCAATGTAATAGAGCGACCCTTGCGCCCAGCACGGGCAGTACGACCCACACGGTGGGTGTACTGTGCAAGCTGCGACGGCATGTCGTAGTTGATGACAGTTTCGACACCCTTGATGTCGAGACCGCGCGAGGCGAGGTCCGTCGCGAGGAGGTAGTCTACGCGCCCCTCCTTGAACTCCTTGAGCGCAATGAGACGCTGCTCCTGCGTGAGGTTGCCGTGCAGCTCGGCGGCCTTGAGCCCACACAGGCCAAAGACGACGCGCATCTGGTGCGCGAGCGCCTTGGAGCGGAAGAAGATGATGCAGCGCTCGCGTACTGTGCGGCGGCACAGGGCAAGGAGCGCAGGCGAGCGCAGATTGTCGTCGCGGATACGAACGAACTCCTGCGTCAGACCCGCGGCCGTGTTGCGCTCTTTGTCGACGAAGACGCGCACAGGCTTGTCGAGTGAGAGCTTGACAAGCTCGTCAACACTGTCGTCCATTGTCGCAGAGAAGAGCATCGTCTGTCGACCGCGCGGGCACTGGCGAATAATCTCCTCGAGCTCGTCGGTAAACCCGGCCTCGAGCATGCGGTCCGCCTCGTCGATAACGAGGATGTCGAGAGCCGAGAGAGTGAACGAGGGCGTGTTTGTCAGGTGGTCGATGAGACGACCTGGGGTGGCGATGAGGATGTCGGGAAGAGTGCGGAGGGCGTGGGCCTGCACCGAAAGGGAGAGACCACCGACGAGCAGCGCGAAGCGAACGTCGAGCCCGCCGCGCTCTGCCAAAGCCTTGCCAACCTGCTCGCACTGTACTGCCAACTCACGGGTAGGGCAGAGAACAAGCACACGACATGCCTGGCCGCCTCGTCCGCGGTCACGGTAGCTCAGACGCTCGAGGATCGGGATCATGAATGCTGCGGTCTTACCGGAACCTGTGACCGCCGAACCGAGGATATCGCGTCCCAAAAGCGCTAGAGGAACAGCGCGCGACTGGATTGGAGTGGGAGCCGTAAAGCCAAGCGAAGTGAGCGCGCGGAGCATCGGTCGGGAGAGGTTCATGGAGGAGAAGGATGTTGGCAGGTCGGTCTGCTCGGCTGTTGGGTCTGCAGAGAAGAAAGCGTCCTTGCGCGCCTTTTCAGCGGCGCTCTCCTCCTCCTCATCAGAGGAAGATCCGGCGTTCGCGTCTTCATCGTCCCCGGCTGCTTCGTCGATGTCGTCCTCGTCTTCGTCTTCGTCCTCGCCCTCCTCCTCATCCTCATCATCCTCGTCCATCCCCTCGTCGAAGTCGACCTCCATTCCCTCGTCCTCAGACTCCTCGCCATTGATCTCAGCGTCTTCCTCCTCCTCCCCATCTGCCTCGTCACTTTCCTCCTCGCTGCCTGCATCCTCGCTCCCCTCCTCCTCATCGTCGCCCTCGTCCCGCCTCCGCTTGCGCTCGCGATACGGCCGCAACGCTTTTCCTGTCTTGCGCTCGATGATGTCGTCAACGGTCACTGGCCCCTCGGCGCCCTTGACCTCGTCACCGCCCCAGAGATCAAGAGTTCCCGGTCCAGTGCCATCGAGGTCGAAGGCAAAGTCGGCATCAAACTCGTCGGCCTCAGCGCGCTTGGAGGGCTCGGCGCGCGAGTCAACCTGCGGCCCTTCGTCGTCCGAGTCGATGGTCCCGATAAAGTCGAGAGACATGGTTTGAGTTGTTTTGGTGGGTGGAAGTGAGGATGGATGGAGATGGCCGAGAAGCGGAGAGCCAGGCCATAACATGGCTGGTTTTGAAATTCTCAGTCACGTGACGTGCATTGGGATTGCCACCCAACGTCACTTGACCTCCACTCTCCGCAAGGCTTCTTGGCTTCTCCCATCCAAGCATCCTCACACGATTCTCTTCGCAACATGCACCACACCACTCGACTCTACTGGTACAGCAGCGGCACGCGGAACAAGACAGAGTTACTGCAAATGCCGACTAATTCCAACCATGCACCCCTGAGTCGGCAGCAGCCAGCTACTTCACCAGCTTTCAGCCTTCATCGACCTTTGCATCTCCAGTCCGCAAGACGACTCACCGGAGTGAAGCATGTGGAGGTGAGAGAAGCGTCCAAAGTCCAGACGCATCCAGGCAAGGGGCTGCAGGGGTTAAAGGGAGGGGCGACGTGAAACATGAATGTCGTCGAGGACTGTGCAGCGCGTTTCGAACCATCCCACAGCCATTGTTCCCCTGCGTGGCGTCGGCGGTCCGAGCCACGGTCCTCCCCAATCCCCCGCCCGCAGCGGCTTTCCTCATCAGAGTATATCACCTCCTTGATGCCGCCATGCTCCGGCTGCGCCGGCTGCTCCGGCTGCTCTTCCCTCCTGCACCTCGGACGGCTTGGCAGATGCGTGCAAGTGGGTGACGGCGGTGGGAGTGTGGCGCTCCGACGACGCGCACGCCCATGGTACGAGAAGCTCGGCCCTGCGCGTCGGGCACCGTTTCATGTTGCAGCATTGGCCCGGTGCTGGGCCTACCTCCCTTCGACGGCGACGGCGGGGTGGGATGCGCCGGAATATTGGGTCTGGAAGCAGCCAACAGCCGATGAGAAGTGACTCAAGGTCGACGGCACGCACGGCAGCAGCAGCGAAGGAGGGCGAGGATAATACGCCACCGCCATGGCGGTGCGAAGGTGACTGACGCCACAGTGCCACATACAACAGCCACAGGCATCAGCTGCTGTACCACATTCATCACACGCAACGCGACAATCCTCTCTTGTCAACTACTCCTCAAACCATCCAACTGGCTCTACAATAGCCTCGCCGTTGCCGGTGTAGCATCCAAAACGCAATCATTCGTCTTGTGGCCTCTGATCGCCAGCGCAGGTCGCTCCCCCGCTCGAGCGGATCCCCTCACCTACCGCACAGGTCGCGTACTCGACCCGCCACTTGGGTAAACTACAATCTACCGTGCTTACATCTGCTCCTCTGATGTCTGTGTCGTCGACGACATTACTTCACACTCCTCCCTCCTCTCCATCATCCTCTACCGCCTCACCATCTTCTCCTCAACTCCCACCCATCGAACGGGCGCTCCCCCTTGTCTTCGAATATCGCAACCCCTCTGTCCCCTCCTGAAAGTCCAACACTCCCTCCCCTCCGCCCCTTATCACCGAGTCGCAACAATCTTTCTCCAACACACAGTCCTGCTCCACATCTGATCATCTTCCACAACAACAACAACCGCAACCAAAGGTGCAACCAGAGGCGGCAGAGGCATCCTCACAACCTGCCACTTCCGCCACGATGGTGACAGCAGTCTCAGTTTCACCAGTACGAACGGGTATTACCCGCTCGACTCGCCCGCCCATGCTGCCGCTCACCAAGTCGTCGCTGAGCACTTTCCTTAACGAGCCGCAGCTTATTCCTGCCTTGTCGTCCCCAAAGCATCCTTCACCACGCACGCCATGCACGCCACCCGCCCGTACACCACACAGACACTCCCACGACGGGAGCACACGCGAGCGCCACCACCCGTTCCTCGCACGGCGAAGCAGTGCAGGCACCTTCGGGGGTCGAGATTCGCGCGAGGACAGACCCATCGACAGTCCCAGTCCAACGCCGCCACCAGTGTCCGAGTCTGCGTCGCCGCCTGATCACCAAGCACCCTCGGCCGCTTCACCATCGAAAACCCTTGCTGAAACACCACGCCGGACGAGCCCTGCGCCAGGGCAAGGGGTTGTCCATGTCGATCAATTCGTCCCAAGCCGCTCTTCGAGCCTCGCATCCCCCCTTAAACCGCCCCCGAGTGTCGGCACACCCCTCCTCGCAGGGGTCGTAGAGCGACCCGAAGATGAGGGGCGTATGGCACAGATCAGCACTAAGCGAGCCGGGGTGGAGTCTCAAGATGTAAGCCACGGCATATCCATGAGAGAGGCAGACATCGGAGGGGTGAGGCCCCTCCTCGATAAGATCATGGACCCAATCTCTCTCGAGGTCCGGCCCCCGGGGCACGTTGCAATCGCAAGCACTGACACCCAGGCGCCTGATGCTGCACTGGTCGAGAGAGGCGAGGGAACAGGCGAAAGTCGTGAGGTCTATCGGCACGCCCGGTCGCTGGACCTCGACGCGGCGACACAGCGCAAAGTGATGATCGACTCCAGAGCCGTGGGCTCCAGAACAGGGTGGGATTCAAGCGCCACACTGAAGCTGACTTTAGGTTAGTTGATCATTACAAAAGACATAGCCACCACCAGTCGCTTTCATCAGCGGGCTCGATAGATGCGTCAGGTGCGCGCCGCTCTCTTGGAGACAGTGAGTCAGTTACTTCGGCCACTAGCCTGCTCCCGGCCGCGACAATCCGCATTCCCGGTCGGTCGTCACGTCCGCCCCCGCTGGATCTTGGGACAGCGTCAAATGCGCCTTTCAAGGCGGTTCAAATGCAGCGCATTCCGGACTCGCTCGGCACTCGGAGTGACCTCAGCGCAGGGCGCAAGGCGCAGCTGGTGCGGCGTACGCGCAAGCTCGAGCGGGTTCTTGGCGAACCCCTCGACGAGAAGCACGTGGAGCAGTACATTGTGGAGCCGAGTCTCTCCACGACGACGGTCATGACCAAGCTTGAAGAGGGCGTATGGCCCGAGACGCCCACCGGCGGGCTGCCGGAGTGGGCTCGCGCCGATGTCGTGCCCCGATGCGAGAGCCGGACGGAGCAGGCGGAAGAGGAATCCTCAGCGTCGCGGCAGCTCTCGCATCAGCGCTCGCGCTCGGGCCTGGCGCTCAGCCGTATGCGCTCGCTCATGAGCCGCGACACTCCTCCGCCCGCCAAGATTGTCGTGAACCTCACACGCGAGGTTCGCACCATCGAGACGCAAGTGCGCAGCCACCCCATGATGCGTCACAGCGCGAACCGCGACGACATCCAGCCACCGACACCGGACACCCCAAGATCCAATATTACGGCCTCGACGATCGAGACGTACGAGGAGGCATCGCGCCGCCAGCGCCGCCAGCAGCTTGCCAAGGTAAGCGTGGCGTCGGCCAGGCTGACAGACAGCTCCAGCGCCTACTGGGCGTGCACATCCCGCCACACGCGCTGCGTCCGCGGGAGGACGACCTCGTGCCCCGCTGCACACCGCAGCCGCGGAGCGCGTCCGAGAGCTCGATCTCCCTCCATTCTGGCATGTCGCATATCTCGGCGTCGGACACGGGCCGCGGGCGGCTCGCAGCCCGTCTGCGCCGGACGGTGAATCACACAACCCACACACCGAGCATCGCCGAGCAGTCATTCCAGGCCTTCAACGACGCCGACACGATGAGCCGCGAGGAAAAGGCCGTAGCGCGCAAGCGCGCGTCCAAGCTCGAGCAGATGTTTGGTCGCGTGCCCCCGCAAGACATGTTCCTCCCCGTGCGTCCCCGCACCAGCGTGGATGTCGATGGCGTGCGCGAGTTTGCGGCTGGTGACCTGACCGAGGCCGCCAGTCCAAGAGACAGCGCACACGCGCACGCCTCGGCGCTCGCAGCGCTGAGCGGCTCACCCGGGTCGAGACACTCCCGCACGCCGTCCCACGACGCGCATGCCGCGGTCGAAGAAACCCCCTCGGCGGCATTCACGAGCTACCGCGACTCGATCCGGTCGCTCATCTGGCTCGTTGAGAACGACCAAGGCCGCCTCGCCAGCATCGTCGACGAGATTGCCGAGCTGGAAGACGCTGCGCCGCAGGGCCGCCGCGCCTCCTTCTCTTCAAACGACATGCGCGCGACCGTCGAGGCGACCAGAGCGAGATCTCCCCGCTCGCCACGCTCGCCCCGCTCCCCCATGGCGCTCTTCCACTCGCTTGGGCGCGCGACGGGGCTTGTCGCCGAGCCACCTACGCCCTCCACGCCCGAAGTCAGTGCACACACCCTCGCGCGCCGGCGCACGCGCAAGCTGTCTGCCTTTTTCGGCGAACGCGTTGATCCTGCCCACGCCCACGTCGTCCACCACCAGCACATGCACAGCCTGCCCTCCGCGCAACCTCCACACACCCTCGCGCCTGCCATACCCGCTTCATTCCACGCCGTGCCCAACTTTGCGCCCAACGCTTACAGTCGGCCGCCATCCGGCTCTAGAGCGTCCTCAAGCCACGGACCACGCACCTCCGTCTTTGGCTTCTCCGCACTGGCGCCAGTCGGTGTCCCGCGCACTGCTGCTCGGCGCCGTGAGACGTTTGACGGGGTGCTTGGAGAGCTGTGGCGCAATGTCCAGACCGAGGCCGCCCAGGGGCGCATGCGCGCCACAGAGTTCGGCAGCCTCCGTGAGATGTGGTCCCGCCTCGGAAGACAGCGTGCTCAGTCCGGCGCATGGGCCGAGCTGTAAATCTATCACCGACCGCACCGTGACGACACGACACTGTACCTAGATTCATACACTACACTCACTTCCTAGGTGCACATTGTACAGGTCATGTACTGGTTGATAAATTATCATTACTATACAATATCACTAAGCTGCGGCCGATCGGAAGTGAAACGAGGAATCGAAGGCGAGGTGTGCGTTGTGTACATGTTCGTCCCCGTCGCCAGGGCCGCCGACGAACAGCTCGTCAAACTCACGAACACCGCTACTTGTGGCAATCACGCCAAATGCGTCTTGTAGCAGCCCGCCGAGGTAGTCGAGCTCGTCGATAACTTCCTGCATAGCGAGCGCGTACGCAAAGAACAGGAGATGACGACCGCCGCCACGCACGCTGCGCCGCTTGACGACATCCAGCTGGCGGATCGCATCGACCAGACGCTCACGCGCGGCCTCGGCGGGAGGGAGATATGGCGGCATGGGGATGCGCAGGCGGAAACCGGCAGAAAGCGTGTAGAAATACAGGATAATGCTGCCAGCCATTTCTCGTTGCTGCTTGTTGACCGGGAGGACGAAAGCCTGGCGGATACTTTGGTCCCTGCCGTCAGCTCGCGCCTTTAGGCCCGTGAACATACCATTCGGAGCGTGTGGTGACGCAGCGCATGCTATGAAGGCGGTCGAGCATCCGCTCGCAGCTCAGTAGTACCTCGTGGTAAAAATCAAACGCGAATGGACCCTTGAGGCGGGGCTCATTCTTTGCATGACCCAGCAGACCACGCAGCTGACCTAGCTGGCCCTGGAGATGAAGCTCCATCGCCATGAACTGAAGAACGTCAGGACTGAGGTGGTGCTCTGGCGGCGCTTGACCAGCGGTGGGCAAGAGCGCTGTGCGCTCTGTTGGCAGCTCTGGAGTTTCTGAGGAGTCCGACCAGTCTGTTGGGGTTGGGGTGGACTCAAAGCCGCGGGTGTACGTCGTAACAAGTTTTGAATAGAGGTACGATAGGTCCAGGAAGAAGCTGAGTCAGCGCCCGTCGAGGAAACACTCACTCTCCTAGACCCATGCGCAGCTCGCGGCGCGCCGTGAACGGCCACCACCATCGCGTGACAACTGCTGCCCACACCACGCCAGCCACAATCGACGTAGTGCGCTTCAAGGCGATCGTAACGGGCGACAAGTCCTCTTCACGCAAGTTGTACGAGTACAAGCAGGTCAAATTCTACCATCAGCACGCGCGGAGGGCGACTACTCACGTATGTCAAGAGGATGAAGCGACCCGCTTGGGCATATTCGGGCATCTGCGTGATGATGTAAAAGCACGGCAGAGAGAAGAGGAAGCCGAAGATGGGGAGTGCCACGGGATTTTCAGGGAAAAGTAGGCATGCAATAACCGCAACAGCTCCTCCCAAACTGCTGTGAGTATGACTTCACGGGGATTTCCACGAAGGACACGCACATAGTACCGACTATCCGGAAGAATGATCTGATGTTAGCATTGTCGACGTCCGAAGAGCGCACAGGAAATTGGTCTGCCCCACTGTCATACTCATTGTCGCGAAGTAGGCAATGAGCGCCCATTCGCCGCGATAGTCCAAGAAGAAGTGCCGTGTAGTGTCGGCAAATGCAGGTGCCGCTAAGATGGCGCCGCCAAGGCCAGTTTTAATGGCATATCGCAGGTCAGGCTCACTGAGGCGAGAGCCAACCTCCCAGGTGAACTGAAACAGCCGCTGACGCAACGACATGCCAGCGCGGGCGGGCGTCAATAGCGTACCGCGCTCATCGCGCTGAGTCCTTGGAAACAGAGGCGGCTGAAGTTTGCTGGGATCAATGGGAACAAGCTTTTCTGATGTCAGCACGTCGAGTACCGGCACGCACGGAATTGCTTGTACAGAAAGTTGGCCTGCTTCCTGTGGGACTTGCGCCATGGGGCAATAAATGAGCGGAGCTGGTCCCACGCTGTGACTGGAGGAGAATCGGTAATCTACTCTCAGCTTGCCAGCCAGTAGCGACGGCTTACCTCATTGACCGTTTCAAGTAGAAAGAGCAGTTCTCGTGCAAACTCTTCCATCGTGAAGAGGAAACTAGGGTCAGCGGCAGATAGAGGGAAAGTGCTCACAAGTACACGAGAAAGATCACCTCGTTGGGGCCGTCATCCTGGTCGTCCTTCACGAGCATGGAGGGCAGCTGGCGAGGTGCCTGTTGCGTCTCATCGCTGCTGCTGCTGTCGCTATCCGAGTCATAGACACCCTTGCGACGGCGAGGCCCAGCATAAATGCGCTTGATAGCCCGGCTCGACGATCGGCTGAAGCTTCTCAGAGCGGCTGCAACAGCTGCACGCGTACCCGGAACGTCTGCCTCATCAGTGGCGGTTTGAGAACGCGCCCCGATGACCTCCTCGATGGCATCGAGCCCCTCATCACATTGGGCCTGGTGTGAGCCTCCTACGCTCCGGCGCACTCACCACCAGATGGTCCATGTCGTCACCAGCCATGCGCTGGAGTTCTTGGAACAGCCTGACGCTTTGCGCGACATCGGCCTCCTCCTCGATTGAAATCGTCGGCAGGTCACCCAATTCGTAAATCACCGACTCCGTGACATGTTGGTTCCATTTCTCGGCCTTGTCGAGATCAATTCTGCCATCGCGGTTGGCACGCAGAAGAGCTTCCTGGAGGCGAGTACTGGAGCGCATCGCGGCTAGATGCTGGGCGAGACGCGCCATGCTGCCTAGTGCCGCATCGTAAAGCTCTAATTTAGCTCCTCGCATGCGTGGGTCGATCAGTCTCTCATGCTTTGCTTCAGCTAGGTTTGCCTTGAGGGACTTGAACGCTGCGCCGTGCGCCTTAACAGCCTGTGCTAGCGGCATACGGTTTTCCTTGGCATGAGGTTGCTCGAGAAGGAAGGTTGAGCACAATATGTCGAGAAGTGTGGAGAATCCGTCGAGAGACTTGGTCATCGATGCTTGCAGACGTGTTGTAGCAGAGACGGGCATGATCGTGAAGCAGACGACGTTGGTAATCGTGGCTTGTGTCAGCTTCCGGAGCCGGCGAGCTTACCTCCTATCAGTACGATCAGGAGCACCTCCTTAAGCTTGTCCCAGCCGCCCTCTTTTACTACCACCGTGAAAAGCGTCACTGCAGCCATCGAGCAACCTGACGTCAGAGTGTCCAACATTGCGACCCACCCGTGTTGAAACTCGGATTATTGACCCACTGCTTGAGCCAAGCAAGTGCACCCATCGCGCCACCAACACACACAAAGCACACCATCCAGTCACCAAGTTCGCTGGCCCAATCCCGTGCGTCTCCATTTGATGGGGAGAAGAAGTCGAAGAAACGGATAATACCGAAGGACACCAGTGAGACGAGGGCGGCCATCGTCGCGAGTATCGCGCAGTACCGAGTGGAAAGAATCATGTTGCCCATGGTGCGTGCTGGGTTGAACTGGCGTCAGCTTCAAGGATTGCGGAGTAACAGCACCCACATAGACGACGATCGTGGCTACCATGTGCGCCGAGTATGCCGGTACGGCACGCTTTCTTCCGTGCACGTCAGTTTCGCTGCGCATCGATAAAAGGTGCGATAGCTGAGGCACGAAGGTGAATAGCTCAGCGATGAGGTAAGCCAACCCGCACTTCAGTATCGGAGCCCAGTACGGTGGTGGTGTCCATCGCGATGGTTCTGAAGTCAGCAGAGAAGCCAGTTTAGGAACGTACGAGGCTTCTTTGGAGTCAAGGACGGCGTTGCAGGCGTCGGGGGAGCTCCACTTGGTGTGTTTTCGCGAGGAGAAGGGAGCGGGGATGCGACGCGCGGGGGCGCCATTGCAAGGGTAGACGGTCGCTCAGGCGTCTCTAGGCGCTCCATCTCTTCCCCGACGGCGCCCAGGCTAGGAAACCCATCTAGGGTGGGCGGAGATGAGCTCAGAAGCGCGGAGTATGAGGACTCTACGACCTCCTCCTCGGTATCTTCGTCGGTTTCTGTGACGCTGGGGACGCGTCCAACGCGCGATGACGCTGTGCGCCCTGGACGAGCAGGAGTTCCAGCGCCAATCGAGCCGTACCCAGAGCGCAAACTCCCGACGGCCGGAGAAGGATCTCGGCGGCGACTGGGCGAACGGCTTTGGCGGTCAGGCGCCGGCATCACAAGATCCTGCAGAGTCGCCCAATCTGCGAGGTAGTCGTTCTGCGGCGGCACGGTGGAGTTGTTATCGCGTGGCTGGTCGGTGCGAGGCCGTAAAAAGTCACGCGTTGGCCCTACCCACCCCGGCGACGGCAGGGAGGAAGGTGCGAAGGTTCGACCCCGGCCCCCATATGGCGAGGCGGAGGACGGTCCGGGCGACGCGAAGAGGCTGGAGCCGACGCTGATTTGGTGCGCTAGCCGCGGGCGCTTTACTTGCACCGATACAGAGCGCGGTGCCCATGGGTGTGGGTGTGCAGGCGCAGTCGGTGTCGTCGCTGCCTCGTCCTCGACCTGGTCGTCGGTCTCGCTCGACTCGTTGATGTCGGAGACAGCAGAGGATGGGATTGGGGAGACGTCCGTAGAAACGGCCGGAGAGGAAAAAGTGGGGGAGCGCCGAGGCGCGGGCATGATGAGCGGAGAGTCGATAGTCGACGAGAGGGAGAGAAAAGAGAAGATGTGAGAGGAGATGTGAGAAGGACGCGATGGTACAGTCTGATTGTGTATTTGCGGGGACTCCAGGCGTGACCAGGGACAGGTCACGTGAAACCACGTCCCTTGCATACCATTGCGATCGGCGAGAGCGTCATCCTCCATCAACTTCAAAGGATTCGGGACCAGCCCGCCCATCTACTGATCTCTCAGACTCTCTTTCGCTGATGGAGTCCGCGCTTCTCGACGCCACAGCATTTCCCCACATCTACGAGCGTGTTGTCGCCCATGCGCCATATGAGCTATTGCTCCGCTTACGGTTAGTGAGCCGCGCTTCACTCGAGTCCGCCGACCGCAAGCTGTTTGAGCACATCGCCTGTTCAGGCGATAACAACCCGCCCGTTTTTCGCTCCCTCTCATCCATCTCCTCCGGCTCCTCGGTACGGCGTTTGCCCATACCTCCGCTGGCCGAAGAAGACGTACACCCCGACAGCGGGCTCAAATACACGCAGATGATCGATATAGAGACATTCTCAGAGAATCTGGACATATACTTTATGGGCGTGAGGTTCCCAGCTCTCCAAACCGTTCGACGGCGCGCGTGGACCATTTTGAGGGCACCAGCCACGGTCGTCGACGTCCTTCGATTTCCGCCTCATGGGACGTTCGACTCATGCATCAGCCCTCTGGTTCCAGTACCCCCGCGTCACGTAATACTTGTGCTTTTCGATCCACTGTGGGATGGGCTCGCATGGCCTATCAATATGATCGCACCGTTTTGGGATGTCGACGTACACGCCATCATTGTTTTCCGCTCCTGTCCGCGGGTCGAGGGTCTCCCAATTCGCATAACGCGACCACAAGACGACCAAGCCACGGGAACTTTCCTCCGCTTCTTCCTTCGGCTCGTGGCTCATCGACACCATAAATCGTATAGTATCGTCGGGCTAGAGCACATTCCTCCCCACATCCTAGCAGAGGAGGTCGGTCTTACCTCTGACGACCTCCTCCTTGCGGCTGCACACCAGAGCACGGGCGACCACCAGCAGTGGGCCCGTGTCGTGGCTGAGCGCACTGTCGACGCCATTGGAGCTCTCCCGACCGACGCCGGTGAATTCCTAAGTGATGATGAGGAATTTCTCGACCTCAAGGAAATCGTCGAGGTGCTCACGTTGGCCGAGTATCGCGCTCGCGAGGGCGAGGAGGTGTGGGAACGCGAGTTGTTCGGCGACGAGCTTCCAGCGCCACTGATTCAACTGAGCTGAAGTCGCTGAGGCTGGTACCGGGGAGATGCCAAGCCCCCTTTCTAGAGGAGTTGCAAACTGGTGTCACATAGCGAAGCTACCACATGGACAAATGTCGCCGAACGTTGCAGAAACTGCCTCATAGCGGCAACGTCTGTTGCTGTGATAATTGCTTGTCTGCTATGCGTCTAAGCTCCTCATGAATCGTGCTGAATTGCTGCGTCATCAGCTTCTGTGCCAGCTTCTCACAAGACCGCCCTCCCGCCCTTGTCTGCAGTGCTGCCCTTTCTGCTCTACGTACACACTCACACTTTTGGGACAGGATGTTCATCATGTGAAGGGCCCGTCGGAGATCATCCTGGAGGTACTCGCGCGGGAACTCCAACTGCGTAAGTCGGTGTTTGCTGTACCTTGACATGGTTCTGACCCAATCACGGTGATTCCTCCACCGAAAGAAGTCTCGTATGTAGCGAGCTACCGAAAAGGGCCGGCAGTTTGGCTCGTCATCCATCTTACGCGTCCAGTAGCGTCGCATCGCAGAAACCTCCTTTTGCCGATCCCAGCGATGCGTCTTCGCGAACTCCTCCGAATCCACGAAAGTGCAAATGCATTCCATGAGCCAGTAGTCGACATGCGCCTGGCTCGTGCCCCACTTGCCGCAGCGGACGTACGAGTGCTGGGTCGGGCCGGGGTGCCTCAGGTGGGCGGGAATGTCGAGAATCTCCTGCCCCATGATGGCAACGCGGCGCCTGGCCGAAATGGCAAGAATAATGAGCGTGGCAAGGCTCTCGCGGAGCGCTTCGGTGGCAGGGACGAGGGACGAGAGACGCGCGCCACTTGGAGGGAGAAGAATGATGTTGATGCTGTAGGCGGTGATGTCCAGAGGCTCCCGCGGGACGAACAGGCCCGGAGAGCCGTCAGATGTCAGCGAGAGGTGAACGCTGATGAACTGCGAGCGAGCCTGCACCGCGCCCCAGAAAAAGGGAAATTCACGTCCAACTGTAAGCCATGTCGTGGCAAAACGGGGACCCTTGAGTTTGTTGCGCCGCGACCACGGCGTGTCGATCGGTGGGAAGCGCATGAACGGTAAGGACTTGGGGGAGGTCCGTGGGTAGCGGATGTCACTCTTGCGCCCCCCAAACAGGCTCGCGACGTTGCTCGCCCATGCGCTGCTGTCGCCGTTGGGATAGCTTGGCGTGTAAAGTTCGCAATGAAAGTAGAGGGGATATACAGTGGGCTTCGGCCCGGCCTCGGCCCACCAGTCGACTGTGGCCGTTCCTCTGAGCTTGGAGTGGGCGCGGATCCTCGCCCATCCCCTCTGTAACGCTACCGAGGTTATCGCGTACTCCTCACGGGGGTCATACAGGGCGAAGTCGATATCAAGGGGGAGGCGGATTGGAGACCTGTCCGACCGGAGGCGCGGTGCATAGAGTGTGGGGAAAACTTGAATGCCGCTGGAGGTGGCGACGTGGCGGACGCCGACAGCGACGTGCGTCCACAGTTCTTTCTCCGCTTGGCCCAGGAGGGCACGGCTCACGCCTCGGAGAGCGATCACCGCCTCGGTGTCTTGAGTCACGAACTCGAAGATGCGCTCGACGATGTGTGGGAACGCATTGTAGTCTATGCCAGGCATGGTTGGGGGTCACACAGCAAGATGAACAGATTGAGGGGAGAGTAGACAACATCCTCAAGGTCGCTTTATATCCATGAGGTGCGAAAGCCAAGTCTGGGTTTGACTGAGGAATGGTCTGCTAGTGGATGGCGAGTTGATTCAATCGTGTCAGGGGATGAGGGGGCATGCGGAGGTTCAATAGTGTGCTGGAGTAGCTAGCGTGCATAGCGTGGGCTGGTATTGTTGTGGACATGATAGACGTGATTGACAATTGACGTATGATGAACCTTTGACTAACGGGGGCTTGGCAAATTGGCTGCGACTGGGATTCTGAGATGTACGCGCCCCTGCATGCCCTGCAACGACTGAATAGAACGCAGTGCACACGTCAGCTGCTCGCCATCCTCACATTGAATCAACACTCTGAAAGTGTCCAAGCCGAAATCTTGCCTGCATATCGAGTGTGGAGGGGAGGGGCGGTCAGATGCTTCAGATACAGTACACCACCGCAGCAAAAGTCGAAGATGCTGGAAATTTTCAGTTATGATAAATCAAACATGTTGCAGCCAAACTGGTAGCCTCAGCAGTCTGTTGATCTAATGACACGGAGGTACGGAGGGTGGAAGGGATGTTTGGATCGCCGGGACCCAGAAGCCTTGTGCAATTTAACCATGTTAAGCAGCGGATTGGCCACGAGGTGGTGCGTTCAGCTTCCGGCATCTGGAACCCACTGCTCCTTGGCATCGCCCTCCCGCGTTTGCACCGCCCTCCACCATACTCGACGTAGCCTTCTACCCTGCTATCTGGGAGCCTATCATCGCCTATGCACGCAGAACGGATCCCTCCTCGTCCTGCGGCGGGTGAGCAGGGCGGGGCGCGCAGCCGCGGACGCCCGTCTCCGCGACGTCAAGCTGCTGCGCCAAACAACAGCGCGGGGCCTGCCGGCGCCCGCCCTCGTCCCCGTCACGTTAGCCGGCTCGCTGCTGGACACGACGACGGTCAAGGCGCTCGCGTACCCCACGCCCGCGCAGTGGGATAACTTCGCCCTGGAGTGCGAGAGCCTCCACCCCCTGCCGGCCCCCGCCGGGCCTGCGCGTGCTGCGGCGCTGCAACCCCTGTGTCGCCGCGTCAGAGGTGCATACTATCGTGGGCGTGTTCCGGTGTCCCGATCCCGTGATGCCAGCACAGTGCATCATCAACGTCAAGGCCGACACTCATGCTTTTGTGTTTGCGTACCACCCGGCGGCGATTGTGGATTTCGAGGTCTTTGATGGCAACATCTCTGTCGAGACGACCGGGAGGAGGTGTTCGTTCTCGTGTCCCAGGCCGGGGTGTCAAGTGACCGAGAGGCCACCACCGAGACGGAGGTGGCACTAACAGAAAATGCGAGTGACAGTATCGACAAGTTGTTCCTCACCACAAGTGTGGCTGCCAGCCGACCGGCGCTGGAGGAGGTTCACATTTGTAAGGCCCGAGCGCCCCCCCACCCCACGTGGCGCGGTACCGGTTCTGCGCGAGCGAGGTTGTCCTCTCCAGCGGCGACAAGGAGGCGTGGACGGCGGCCTTGCGCACCCCCACCCTCGCGCACATCAACGCGACCGCGACCAGGCTCGAGCGGTATGTCCATAACCCGAGCGACCTTTCGTGTCCGCGAAACATTAATTGGTCTGCGCCGGCTGTGAATGTTTTTGAGGTGCTCACTTTCGACGAGTATCGCGCACGCTTGGGCGACGAGATGTTCGACATCCAAGCGTATGCGAACTGTAGCGACAAGAATCAGGGCATGTTCCCGCGCGCCTCTTCCGGCTGGAATTAAAGGGACTAGTATGCTTGCACAGGACATGCATTTTGGTTTGGCGATCTCGTTGGACGCCCTATTAATGTATGGCTTCACCATATCACCACATCATTATCCACCCCATCCATGATCGTTGTATGCGCGTGTCGACTGATTCGATTGTGCCACACGTGTCAGGTGCCTGTCGATCCCTCTTGCAGGTGCTGTCTAAAAAGCCGCTCGCTCACAATCCACGGCAGGGATCGAACCTGCGACCCTCTGGTCATGACCGTAGTCGAAGCCAGAAACTCTAAAACCTCTGAGTTACGTGGATGACGTCAAGTGGCTGCTGGTCCTGCAAATTCTCGCCAATGAGAGGTCACCATTGTTCGGGTTGAGCCTCAGAGTGGGGCAATGCCATCCATCACAGACGATGCCAGAAGTCGCTGTGCGGTGCGGCAGTGCTTGCTATTCTGCGTGCGCAGGTATCCGACATCAACACGGTGGTCACGCGAACATTAGTCAGGAGTGCCGTCACTACCCGCCCGCTACGCAGATCTTCGCAGTGCCGTCGTCTCCGGCATACCCGGCTGACGATCTCGTCGATCAGCGGCGCCAAGCGGGAGCGTGCCGTGTCGACCGCAAAATCCGAACAGTGGCTTTTGCAGTTCAGTGGTACAAGTGGAGCTGTATGCATCTAGAGCCTAAGATCTGCCTGCTCTCGATCACGGGGGAGGGCCTGATCACAGGCGACGTCACTCATTAAACGCACGCGAAGCTCGTATCCAGCATCCTGGTCAATTTACTAGCTGGAGCTGGCCGCGCTCCGCGGCCGTGCAAGTTTCCGGCTGCAGGCGGGTAGGATATGAGGTATGGTAGGAACGGTGGGGAAAGCCGTCGTTCAGTCCGAGCATCGCCGGTGTCACCATAGAGAACCCGCCGATGCCCGAGGGTTTGTCACCGTCGGAGGATCTTCTCCGTCAGAGGTTTGGACATCACGTGGAAGGTTGACAAAGCCTCCTGGGCGTCAGCGTTGAGAGAGACGGGGCTACAGGAGGCAGAATGCGGATGCATTGAGCTAAGAGCGAGCGAGTCGAGCTGAGGATGACGCGGTGGAGATGACCGAAAGCGAAAAGTGGAGGGAGGAGGGGGCAGATTCTCGATTCTCGATCGCTTGTGCCCCGCCGCCGATCACAATCCCCCTCCCCCCTTGGGCGTGCTACCTCTCCCACCCAGGCCACCCCGCTTCCCCTTCGTCACCCGATCTCCAGTTCACCACCACTCTCACCGATCCACCGATCTCACCTCCTCCATTCTATTCCATCCATCCACAATCTTGTCAACAGCTTTTCACTATCATCATTCCATTCCGCCCGTCTCTTGTGCACCGCTATCTCACCAGGACGCAAGGTTTCTTGGCTCCCCTGCTGTCTCCCAACCAACGACCCCCAACATTCTTCAACCGTTCAACAACACTCCACCTCTTTCGTCATAACACGCCCTCACATGTCCGCTATCACGCTGCCCGTACGTCCGATCCCCCTCTTTTATTATCTCGGCTCTTGTGGCTTTGTTCCTCCTCTCCGCAGCCACACAGAACACATGCTTACCCCCGTCCTCGCTCCTTTTACGCCATCCCCCGCGCCCATCCCGCACCATCCTTCCCTATTCCATCACCGTCGACGATCCCCCCTCGCATCATGTCCTCCTCCCATCGATCATCACTTCTCTTCTCTTCTTCAACCCATTATGAACGGCCACGACCATGGCCACGACAACGTGCCTTACACTGGGTCTCCCAACCGCTACAACAACGTGCAACATCACCTCGGACTTCCCCCGCTGCGCGAACTGCTACCCGAACGCTACACCCCGCCGCACCGGACTACGCTCTGCCCCCTCAACCGCGCTCATATGCGACAACCGCGCACGCGCCGCTCCCTCTCTGTATGCGACCTCGTCACTGCTCCGCAGAGTGTGGGCCGCATCCGGTGCTACTGGGCCCTCCTGGTCCCCCAGTACGGCTCGGCACCGGGCGGCGGGACCAAGCTTGAGCTCAAGTTTGTCTACCTCGACCCAGTGCTGAGTACACATCTTGGCCCACAAAGCCTGGGCGTGCTCAATCACGGCCTCATTGACCTCATCCATCCCAGCGAACGAGAACGTGAGTGTGCTGACGAAGCGGGCTCGCTGGCGTCAGCGTCAATCCATGGTCCATCGAGCTCGAGAGCAACGGGGGCATGTCCGCCATTTTGCCGTTGAGAATAAGCCAGAGGGCTGACGAGCAGAGGCACGAAACGACCTCGCGAGTGCTATCCAGTCCGACGACTTGCAGGGAAGTGTGACGCGGTGAGTCAGCATTGTGCACGGAAACGACGCCTTTACCACGCCCAGTCTCGGGCGCTGTGGTTGCTCGCCGCAAACCACATCTCTCTGCGCCTTATCGTGGCGGGCGTCGATCAAGTTGGCGTCGTACTGGCGTTGAGCGGCGTCGCATTGTTCGCCGCCGCAGACGTCACAGGGAGCACAGCACACTGACACACACAGGATGCGATTCTCGCGACTGTCACGCATCCGCCAAATGTGCGGAGCACAACCCAACGACATTCCCATACCACCAGACATCAACGCCGTGACGGAAGACTCGGACTATCTCATCATCGATTTAGTGTTGAATTGGGTGAGTCACTGATCGAGATGCAATCGGCACGTGCTTATCGGGATCAGGTGGCGGACGGGTTGCTCCTGGCGTTCTTCCATGCGATCAAGGACTTTGATCCCCAGGGCAACAACGACCCGAGTCGTCGGCACGAGGGATGGTCGAACTTTTGCGGGTCGGTCGGCATGACGGACGAGCACATCCAAACGCTGCACCAGAGCATCTCAGCCAACGTGACGCCACCACAGCGAACACGATACCCACCCACGCGGGTGTTCCAGCTTCACTCGGTGAACCACAGCGCGCAGCCGACGTCGATGGTGTTTACGTGGCCACCAGCACGGCCAACAGATAAGCCGTCGGAGCAGTTTGATGGGCTGTACGATGCGGACGAGTACGCTGACCTGATGCGAGGCGTGGACATGGACCCGAGCGCGCTGGCCGCCAAGCCCGGGGAAGTACGCACGAACTGCACGACACGGTTTGGCGCCGAGCACTCGATACGTACGGAAGGCGTGTACCGGCACGTGACGTCAGTGTTCATCCCCTACGACCAGGTGATTTTTGCCTGTTTCCAAACGACACAGCTCTACGAGTTGCCGACAGGACACGAGTGGCCGCCGAAGCCTCAAGCTCCGGCTCAAGTCCCGGCCCAAGCGCAATCCCAACCTCATCCTCAGCCGCAAGCTGCACCGAACGGGCCGGACTGGCGATCAGACTACGAGCGGGGCTACGGGACGCCTGCGCCCCCGCCCGCGCCGGCATCCGCACCAGCCGCTCCAGCGCCTATATCCGCGCCAGCAGCGCCAGCCGCGCCGGCGTCGGCGCCGCCGTTCGCGCGGGGCGGGTATGCGCCGTACGAAGGATATCGCGCGCCCGTAGAGAACCACGCGCCGCGCGGCGGGAGCACGCGGCCGCTGGTGCGCCCGCCGGGCGACGTGGAAAAGTGCCGGGGGTGCGGGACGCGCGAGAGCCCCGAGTGGCGCAAGGGCGAGAACGGGGTCAAGGACCTGTGTAATGCGTGCGGGCTGAAGCTTGCGCGTGCGGTCGCGAAGCGCGAGGGCAGACAGAAGCCGCGCAAGAAGGACAAGTAGGGGCGGGGCGGGTTGGGGCGGCGCGACTGGGCGACGCGACTGGGCGACGCGACTGGGCGACATGTAGCCATATGCAGTGAGGCGTTGAGAGAGATGTAGAGATAAGACTCGCGATCCCGCAGCAGCACGCTAGCATTCCGCGTGTTCGGCCAGTGAAAGGTGGGAGCGGCGGCGGCGCGTGTCTCCGGCCTCCGGCATCCTGCATCGTACGGTATATCCTGCAATCCTGCGTCTTGCCGCAATCCTACGTCCCGCGATCCTGCCTGCGTCCTGCAGCCGTCATGCCGGCCAGGTGTGGGACACGATCGCCCTGACACGCCTGACACGCGTGAAATGCCTGAGATTGAAGTGCACGGACGCCGCAGCAGCTCAAGCGTCGAAGGCGAAGGGGTGGAGATGCAGCAATCCGCCTTGTCCACCTTGTCCACGTTTGCGCTCATTCGTGGCTCGCTGGCTGGATCGCAGCGGACCTACATTCGTGCTTGCCATATGCTGCTCAGCCTGGTGTCGGCTTCGCCGACGTGAATTCACAGGTGGGCATGGAATCGTGCGGGCGTGGGAGCATGGTCAGACGCGTATTCTGGATAACATCACAGGGCATCAATTGGTGATGTGGACATGGCCAATTCATGGCGTGCCTCCTCGGGCGCGGGGCGTGGGTATGAGGGGAGGGTGGCGTTGCGCCGGACGCGAGGAATGGACGCGTCTGGTAGCTGAGCGCTGGGAGCTGGGAGCTGGGAGCTGGGAGCTGGCTGCGCACCGCTGCAATACAATGGAGAGTGGTAATGGCCTGATGGAGACATACCGTGGAGTGGGAGGGACGGAGGAGCGTCACGCTCACGTATGATCGCGTACGCTCGATCGGCCTCGGATGTCTGTGCGTAGATCTGCATCATGCGGGCCTGCGGCCTGCGGCCTACGGGCTGCAGTCACGCAGCACGCTGCCGGTTCTGGGTCGCCATCTCGCCGATTGGGGCCACCAGTCGCCAGATCGCCAGACCCAGCGGGTTGGGTTGGGTTTGGGGTGCGCGCTATACGCTAATTGCTAGGCTACTGGACCTTGACGCATAACTTTGGTGGAGCAGGGCATGTGGGCATGTCAGGCTGTGTTGTAGGCAGCCGAACAAGGCCGATGCCGAGATCCGAGATGCCGGGCACATGGATGGATGAATGATGAATGAGGGCTGCGCCTGGAAAACGCATGAGCAGAGGCATGTCGGGCGGAGAGGAGAGAGACAATGAGGACGAATCGAGACAATGTCGGCGATGGCAATGGTGAGCCTGGAAATGGAATGTGGATGTCTTGGATGGAGAGAGAGGGCCCTAGGCCGGCCCTGCCTGCCCTGGGCGGGATACGACGCGTCGCGGCGGGAGCAGGGGGGAGAATCAGGACAGGGGCGCATGTCAGAACTTTGGGAGAGCAGGGCGGGGACGAGTTGAATTGGACGCGTTGATGCATCGCAACACAGGAAAGGGAGGCGCGTCGAGACGCGTCGAAAGCTTAACGCCGGGGTCTGGGAGGGCATGGGAGCAGAGGGTGCCAGGGTGGTCAGGAACCATCACAGTCTCGGCCTGCAGGGCGACGGTGTTCCTGTCTCATGCTCTGCCGACGCTCCTGGTCGACAGGCACGAGGAGAGGGACGGAGGAGTGATGGTGACGACGACGACGGAGAGGGGGAGGGCGAGGGACGGAGAAGAAGAGAAGAGGAGAGAGAATGGAGTAGAGTGGGTGGCCCAAGTGGCGTCGAGCGACGGCCAGAGATACGACGACGCCCCCGGTCCCCCGCCCTGTGTAGACTCTGAACGCGACTTGCTTTTGCAAGCCACAATCCAAAGCCAGAGTCAATTCAAACATCCTCTCCTCTCCTCTCCTCCCCCCCCCCTCCTCCCCCCCCTTGTCCCTGGGACAGAGGACTGCGACTTGCGCTCTCTCTCTCTCTCTCTCTCTCCATCCTCCTCCTCTTCAACAGACTTGTCCTTCTCACTCTCTCTCACACTCTCTCTTTTCTTCATCTACTCTTCTACTCTACTCTGCTCGTCACACTACTCTTCCACTTTCCTCTGTACCCCGTCTACACACCCTCCTCTTTGTCACTCCTCACCCGTCACCCCACACCCGTCACTGGCTTGACCATCATCCACTCTCCCCGTCGTCCATCCCACAGCTGATCGTCCTCTCGGCACGGGTCACGCGTCACGCACAAGATCCACTCGTGCACTCGCTCCTCCTTTTCTCTTTCTGCCACGAGAGCGACGACCTTCTCGTCTCCTCCTTTTCTCCTCTCGTATCTTCTCTCTCAACCCACTACTTCACACCATGCCAATCCTCAAAACTCTCCAGCACAAGGCCTCTCTAGGCCGCCTCCGCAAGCTTTCCAAGGGCGCCTCCGACGCTGCTCGCCCCACCGTCGTGCCCCCGCTCCCCACTGCATCAGGCAACAACAACGCGTCCGCCGCCGAGGTCCTCTCGCCCGAACTGCCCACTTCCTCGCCCAACCCCAACAACTTGAAGTTTTGGCGGAAACGCGCCCCGTCTCCTAGCCCCAGCCCAGAGACAAACTACACTCCCCAGCTCCAAAAGACTAAAAGCATCCTCCGCCGGCGCCCGTCCCGCTCTGCGAGCGACGACGAGCGCGAAGCTGCCCGCGTGACTTTTGGTAACCGCTCCCCTCGTCCGGGTTACAACCCTCCACCCAGCGCCTTCCGCACAGACGCTTCCTCCCCAACCCCGCCCCTCCCTATCCCCTCGCCTTCCCTCTCGGCGAGCTCGGCGCGGAGTAGCGCGTCTCCGGCGCTGTCGGCGCAGTCGCTTTCGCCTGGTCGTCAAAGTGCCCACCTTCCCTCCCCCGCGGCAAGCTCTGCGAGCTCGACCGGCTCCTACTTCCCTCCTGGCACTCCAAACTCCAGCAACTCGCTCTCGCCCCAGCCTCGCCCCCCTTCCACTCCAGTGCAAACACGTTCTGCTTCGCTCCACTCGCGCGACTCTGCCACTCCGCGTACCTCGACTCCCTCGCCCGTCGGCGGCTCGCGCCTCTCGACTGTCTCGACCTCGACTGCTGGGTATCACGCTGTGCCCGAATCGCCTGCCGATGCGGCGTGCCGCCCTTACACCCCCGTCATGCGTGGGGTCGCGCGCCCCCTCACGTTCCGCTCGACCAGACCCATATCGAGTGCCAGTGCGAGCAGCCAGAGCACCGTGCGCCAGGCGCCACAAACGCAGAGCCGCCCAACCAGCGCCATGTCCAACTCTACCGCGCGCGCTCGCCGTGTGAGCTCTAGACCCCAGATGCGCTCGACGAGAAGCACTAGAGCCTCCATCGCCTCCATCTCGACCTTCGCCTCGTCCTCGTCGACTGGTCACTCGTCTTCGCCGGGCGTGTCGCCGATTGCAGCCAATGGCAACTTTGCTACCATCTCGGGCTACCCATCCTATGCCTATGCGTCGGGCACCGGCAGCAATGGCAACAGCCCCGTGTACGGCGGGCCGCAGGCATTCGTCTTCCCTCCTACTGGCCGCTCGTCCGTGACGCCAACACCCGTCACACCGCCCAAGCGTGCCAGCATCCTGCCGCGGGGCGCGGCTGACGATGTGCCAATGTTCAACGTCATTCCTGCAACACCCGGCGCGGCCGAGGAGGACGCTGTTATGGACCAACCCACCCACCGGCGAAGCACGTCCTCTGAGCGCCAGCGTCGCCGTAGCGCATCGATGGAGCGCACGCTTGAGGTAATGCACGAGGAGGAAGAAGACGTGGAGGAGGCCGTTACCGCCCGCAAGCTTGACTTTGATCTCGAAGAGTTCTCGCCATCACCCCGGCAGAACAACGCACAGCTTGTTGGCTCGCCTATCCGTCTCAACACTGTGCAGCTTGATGACATGGACTTGAGCGACGCCGAGTCGGACACTGGCAGTGACGAGACCGAAGTGCGCACGGAGGATGAGCAGGCGTCTACAAGACCCCCCAAGCACCTCGCACTAGCCCTCCAGTCCGTCCCTGCGCCGCCTCCTCGGTTCCCCAAGTCGCCCAAGCGCGCCACGGCGTCGCTGTATCAGGCGCACGACGACGGGAGATCAATCTCGCAGTCGCTTGCCGAGCTCGCTGCCATTGCCTGCGACCTTCCTCCCCTGGGCGAGGACATGGCGATGATGGCCAACGCTGCTGCGCAGCGCCTCGCCGAGGCCCGGGCTACTGTCGACATCTCCGAGCCCGTCGCCGACTTCTCCTCGCCTCGTCCGCTCTCGGCTGCGCCCGTGATGATGGGCAACTACCACCGCCCGCAGGGGAGAAAGGCCCAGTCCGCCTCCCCGCCCTCGCGCACGCTGCCCCAGACGCCCATCGAGAACCCCGAGATGCGGCGCAAGACGATGGGGGCGCCTCCCAGCGGCCCCCTACCGCCTACGCCCTCGAGCTACAGCTCGCACGCGTCGCTCCCCTCGCTCGTCTCGCACGGCAGCATGCCCTCCTCGTCCTCGGGCTGCACCACCTCCTCGTGGAACTCGCAGCGCTCTGTGACGTCGTCGCCCGAGTCGGACAAGCTCGACCTCGCCTTTGACAACCTCATGCTGGAGTCTGAGCTGCCCGACAACCCGGGCCTGGGGCTGGGCCTTGGCCTCGGCCTCGGCCTCGAGATGAAGGAGACCAAGCCCGTCATCGCCGTGTCGCCGGCCGACGACGACGAGGTGCGCGTGCGCCCCAACCGCATGTCGAGCGCACACCCCCACCGCGTCGCGCTGTATGGCACGCCGCGCCTCGGCCGCATCGGGGAGCGCGACTCGTACTGCTCGGTCAGTACGGTGCGGCACACGCCGCACGGCTCCATCTCGAGCATCAGCATGATGAGCGAGATGAGTGACGACGAGGCCCTCAACGCCCAGGTCGTCGACATCACGACGTTCTCCCACCCCTACGTTGTTGGGCGGCAGGACGCGCGCGCGCACGAGGTCGGCGTCGCGTTCTAGTCTGCCCCATCGGAGAATCGTCGCGATCATAATAGAGGGGCAGTGCCCCAGTTGTTTACTAGTACACTTATCGGACACTGAATATATGCATGTAGCTATCACTGGACTCGAGAGCGGGGAAGGAGGTTGCGACTGCCAGATCTCGGGGCGTTTGTGGAGGTAGTCTCAAGGGTCTCAGCACTGATGGGCCTTACACTGAGATATGGGTACGCATTCGACAGCACCTCTCAGGGCGGAGGCGCTTCAAGCTCGTCATGCATGTATGCTCGTTCCGCGGCAGAGTAGCGGGTGAGTATTGATCGGTGAAGATTTAGTGACAGGCAGCTCGATCACATGATCCGCACTCTCACATGAATTGGCGGATGATCGGAGATCGGAGAGTTAGTCAAGGAAAATATAAAGGACGGGAAAACCGAAGAGAAAGGGTGATGAAAGAATGCAAATATTGAGAAGAACTGTGCCGGCCCAAGCGTTAGTTGTGACCTGCGATGGAGGCGAAACAAGGCAGAAATTGTAAAAAATATTAAAAATGATTCATTGGCGGCCATGTACGATAATTGCTCAAGAGAGCTGTGCTACCAAGGTCTAGGAAAGGCTCGACTGAGTGCGGCGTTGGAGTGCCGGAAAGGAGGGTGGGGAGCCGAAACTAGAAAGTGATGAAAAGTGATAGAGTTCTTGAAGGGCGTTTGTGAGGACTTGAACCAAGAAGCCGCTTGGATCTGGAATGAGCTTGACCGTCCAGTCGCTTACCTCCTGAGTGGCAACATTAGATGTCAACCGCGAGGCAGACGTAGACGTCGAGGACGTCGTTGGCGCACTTGCACACTGGGTTGGGAGCGGGGCAGCCCTTGCCTGTTATTAGTGCTGCTCTGAGAGGGAGGAAGGGAGGGGAGGGGAATCGTAGAGTGAATATAAGAAACGAGAGAAAGCTCACCCGAGGGAGGACCGTTGGGGCGCGTGCAGCAGACGGCACCGGGAGGAAGGCACTTGTCACCGCAAGGGTTGCCGCACGAGCCGCCAACGTTGACGTCGAGGCCTACCTGAGCGATAACGAGACCAAGCACGTTGGCGTACACGTCGGCGGTGACATCGAGAGGCTCACGGGCCTCGACGGGATGAGCGGTGGCCGAGGCGGCGAGGAAGAAGGCGATGATGGTCTGGACGAGCATTGTGAAGGAGATGAGGTGGGGTGGTGTTGAAAGAAAGTGTGAAGCTGAGTGGGGATGGAGAGATGTGAGCTAGAGGATAAGATGAATGAAAAGAGAAATGAAGAGATGAGTGATGGTGAGATGCGATGAGTGACAGCGCTGTCTTATATATCTCTTGTCCACCTCTCCCAGCCTCACCCACTTCACCCAGGCCAGTCGGCAGCATCAAAAAAGAGGGTCGAGGAAAGAGAAGGTGCCAGAGCGGACATATCGAGGCCGCAACAGCGCAATCGGGTTCGTTGGCGCTGTTCGTAGCCTCCTGACCGCCGGCGACTGCCTCCGCTGTGGGTGTCCCATTGGTGGGGCTTTCGATTGAACGCGTATCCTCCATCGGCATTTGGCTCCCCTGGAAACAAGATCGCCACGCCGTCATGTGCTGTGGCGCTGTGGCGATGTGAGATCGTGAGAATCTTGCGAGACTGCGGCGCTCACCGGTTGAACGCGCGACCATATGAGCGCCCCCATGATCGCCCGTGAGCCGCATGCAATGAGTCCGCCTGGCGCCGTGAGCCGCGTGAGTCCAAGAGCCTGAGCAGCATAAGCAGCCGTTCTCAATTTAGCCAACTTGACACATCCGTTCATCAATGTGGTCACGATCGCCACTTCGATGTGCGCGGAATCTTGGCAGGCTCGCGCACTGGCACACCGGCAGCTGGCGCGCTGGCGCCCTCTTCGCACTCTTTCAGCTGTACTGTGGTGGCCAAATAATGCCATTCGGCCGCGTACGGCCGTAAGCTGGTTTGCGTGTGTACCCGCGTGTTGAGGTGAAAGGCAGCTCGAGGGCTGGGGAGCTGGCCTGCTCATGCTGCTCAGCTGCTCAGGATAGCCCGGTCTATCTCAGATCCTCAGAGGTCTCCTCGAATTCTCGAAGCTCATCAATCATGATCAATCATAGGTACGGGGCTGAGGATTTGGGGAGCTGGGGAGCTGGGCAGCTTGGAAGCTGCGAGCATGGCGAGGAAGAACCAGCTTGCTGTGCTGAAGCGCTGAAGCCTCTGACGCCGGTACGCCGGTGCGCCGTGCATAATTCACCAGCTACCAGGACCAGGACGCAACAAGAGCCCAAAGGAAGACCGAAGGCACCTAGCTGTACCTAGAGATCTGGAGATCTGGAGATCGACACGCGACAGAGCGGGACGTCAGGTTTATACTGGTTATGGCCATTTGATCATTTGATTCTTGATTCCTTGAACCTCCGATCTCTGATCCAGCTGCCAGCTGCCTCGCGCCCGCTGGCCGCTAGCCGCTAGCCCGCTGTGTCGATGCATATGCTGCCCATTCTGCAGGTCTGCAGCCTGCAAATACCTGATCAACCTATCCTCTGGTCAGCTGGTCGTGAGCCATGAGCCATGAGCCAGTCATCTAGTGAGCCAATGAGCTTCTGACATGACATATGGATATATGGACAAGTGAGGCCATGTGTGGGCACGAGGGATGAATGGCCATCGACCACGGTACCATGATATAATGATACCATGGCACCATGGTACCATGGCACCATGGACCATGAGGCCAGGAAGCCGGAAGGGACGAGGGTTGTTGATCAATGACGCGGCGGCGCCGATCAACGGATCGCGGTGTGCGCGCGGTGTGACATGTGCCAAGGATAGCATGTGACAATAGTGTAACAATTTAATAGATCAATAATCAATAAGGCATCAGCAACGGATGTGAAGTACGAGATTATACCAGGTATACCGGATATAGCAGAGTAACCCGTAACGTCCGTAGTCCCGATGCGCCCGTGCGCAGCGGCGCGATGCGAGACAAAGGACAAGCTCTTTGAGCCGCCTGCAGCGTCACAGCCTTTCCAACGAATTTGAACATTGAACTGTGCGGTACTGTTAACCTACGGCCGGTGCTCTGTATTCGCAGATGCGTGTATGGCGGGCTCATGGGCTCCCGCTCGCTGCTGTGAGCCTTTAGCAGGCGATCAGGCAAATGGCCCATCGCCTATCGATCTATCGAATTATTGAATTATCAATCATCGACCATCGATCATTGACCATCGCTCATCGATCATCAGCATCATGCCACCAGCTCGTGCAGATCATCAACGATCGATCAGCTCATCACTGATTTACTACTGTCAGCATCTAACAATCAACAAGTATCGACCTTCGATCCTTCAATCACTGGATGAGAGCACAGCAGGGACAGGCCGGAGACGCCTCCAGGCGGGGCTGGTGGAGTGGCCTGAAGATTGGAAGCCTAACAGTTTATAGTACTTGCACGCCTACAATATACAGTTGTCGGTCCTGCATGCCCGCAGCCCAACGCTGCCCTCGCTGCCTCCCGACTGATCTACTGCCTATACTGATATATATGATATACTAAGTCTGAAGAGTAGTCGTAATCAACATCACTCCCCTGGCGCAGTTGGAGAGCTGGTTATCGGGCGACAATCTGAACATTGTATCATTAGAGGTGACTCGGGCGTCATTCAATAAAGCAAACTAGAGCTTAAATCTGTACCCCTTTGCTTCCTGCCATATAGCTGCAGCTGATTGGCGTGGATTAGTGGTTCATGGTCAACACTACCAGCCTCGAGGATGGCAGCTGATTCCACACACCTTGAGCCCGCGAGGCCGCGACCCCGCAAGGCCAAAAATCCCAGACAAGTGCCAGCCTACAGAGTGCCAGCTGCCAGAGAGCCAGGAGAGAGTCTCATGTTTGAAGGTCATCAGAAAGTCAGCTACCTAATCGATCATCAAGCGGAAGACAGTACCTCTGGTTGGCCCATCCCTAATACCAGCGGCCAACGTTATCTATCGTCTTGGACGTCTTGTGCGCAGGCGTTCAGGCGTGACAACATGATTGCGCTCACAAATAGTTGTCGTCCCGGCCAGTCAGTTTGTTGAGGGTGTGCTCGCAGTGACTATTGCTGCCACCGGCCAACTCCGCCTCACTGATCTGCACTCACGTGACATGGAGACCCCACAACACTCAACACCGGAATTTTACGCCACCTCATTTTCGTTGTTACGTAAAGTGGTCTTTTCGACTCACTGCTGCTCGCTGCCACCAGCACCTTGCACCCCCATCTCAAAGACATCTCTCGACTTGCATCACCCAAAAACACTTCCATCTTTCCCCCAAAGCACGCCGCTCGAGTCGACGTGCCCCCCCTCACCACGATCCCTCCGCGTCTGCTTCGCCGCGGTCTCTTCCTCACCTCGGCCCCCGCCGCCGCTGCCATCGCGCCGAGACTGCGTTTCATCCCCGTCCGTTACAACTCCGACATGGCGTCCAAGAACGACGCGCCGACCCAGCCGGTCGTGACAATGGAGAAGGTGCGTTGGCGGAGACAGAGGGCGGAGTCGTGAAAGGGAAGGGTGCTTTATTTCCTTTGCCCCGAGGTGTTGCATCTGCATAGCAAGTGGCAGGTGGCACAAAGGTGGAGCGGGTCCACCGCGCCGTCTAGTACGCGAGCAGCGCATGAGCCCCTGTCTCGTCATGTGCCCGCGACCACACTCAGCCTTTCCGGCAGAGACGACGGCCCACTGGTGCATCTCACTAACCTCAGACCGGCAAGCGTGACTACCTCGTCGACCTCGAGAAGCGCGCCCAGCAGTCGTGGGCGCAGCAGGGAACGTTCGAGACGGACCCCGCGCCGCTTCCCGAGGGCGTGAAGAGCTACGCCGACTTTTTCGAGCAGGGCCTCTCCATTGAGGAGGTCCAGGCCAAGTACCCAAAGTGGTTCGGCACCTTCCCCTACCCCTACATGAACGGCTCGCTTCACCTCGGCCACGCTTTCACCGTCTCCAAGATCGAGTTCGCTGCAGGCTTTGAGCGTATGCGCGGCAAGCGTGTCCTTTTCCCGGTTGGCTACCACGCCACTGGTATGCCCATCAAGGTATGTTGTGCTTGGCCCGCTCCGCCCGCCCGAGCTAATGCCAGGCTTCGTCCGACAAGCTTATTAGGGAAATGGAGATGTTTGGCGAGGACTTCTCGGGCTTCAAGGAGGAGGTTGTTGAGGAGAAGGCCGAGAAGGCAGCCTCCTCCGACCCGTCCAAGGCAAAGAAGGGCAAGCTCAACGCCAAGTCGACTGGCCTCACTTACCAGTTCCAGATCTTGGAGCTCATTGGCGTGCCCCGCGAGGAGATCAAGAAGTTCGCCGACCCCCTCCACTGGCTCGAGTTCTTCCCCCCTATCGCGACCGAGGACCTGACCAACCTCGGTGCCCGTGTTGACTGGCGCCGTCAGTTCCTCACAACCCCCGCCAACCCCTATTACGACAGCTTCGTACGCTGGCAGATGAACAAGCTCCACGACCAGGGCCGCATCAAGTTCGGCAAGCGCTACACCATCTACTCGCCCAAGGACGGCCAGCCCTGCATGGACCACGACCGTCAGTCGGGTGAGGCCGTCAACCCCCAGGAGTACACCGCCGTCAAGATGAAGGTCCTGGAGTGGGGCCCGAACGTTTCTTCCGAGGTCAAGCAGGCTGTCGGCGGCAAGACTGTCCACCTCGTTGCTGCCACCCTCCGCCCCGAGACCATGTACGGCCAGACCAACTGCTTCGTCGGTCCCAGCCTTGACTACGGCCTGTACGAGGCGTCTGACTCGGAGCTCTGGCTTCTTACCGACAGAGCTGCTCGCAACATGGCTTACCAGGGTATCTTCGACCGGCCTGAGGGTGTCTTCAAGAAGGTGGTGGACGTCAAGGGTGCCGAGGTTGTCGGCACCAAGGTCAACCCTCCCTTCGGCGTCGTTCCCGAGGTCTACGTCCTGCCCATGGAGGGTGTCCTCGCCACCAAGGGTACCGGTGTCGTTACCTCGGTTCCCTCGGACTCGCCCGACGACTACCGTACCCTCATGGACCTCCGCAAGAAGCCTGAGATGTACAAGATCGACCCCAAGTGGGCTGCTGTCGACCCCATCTCGGTTCTCTCAACTCCCAAGTACGGCGACATGGCGGCCGAGAAGCTCTGCACGGAGCTCAAGATTCAGTCGCAGCGTGACGTCAAGCAGCTCGCCGAGGCTAAGGAGCTCGCCTACAAGGAGGGCTTCTACAGCGGTGTCATGACTGTGGGCGACTTCAAGGGCGAGACGGTCCAGGATGCCAAGCCCAAGGTCCGCCAGCAGATCATCGACGCTGGCCTCGGTGTTGCCTACGCCGAGCCCGAGAGCGAGGTCATCTCGCGCTCGGCTGACGTGTGCGTTGTCGCTCTCGTTGACCAGTGGTACCTCGACTACGGAGAGGAGGAGTGGAAGAAGGTGGCTGAGGACCTCCTCGCCAAGATGAACACCTTCGTCCCCGAGACCCGCAACAACTTCGAGGCCGTTCTCAACTGGCTGAACAAGTGGGCGTGCGCTCGCTCGTACGGCCTCGGCTCGAAGCTTCCTTGGGACCAGCAGTTCCTTGTCGAGTCCCTCTCCGACTCGACCATCTACATGTCGTACTACACTGTCGCCAACCTGCTCCACACCGACCGCTGGGGTAAGGAAGGCAAGTATGGCATCAAACCTGAGGACATGACCGACGCCATGTGGGAGTACGTTCTCTGCGACGGCGCCTACCCTGCCGACGCAAAGATCTCCAAGGACATTGCCGCCGAGCTCAAGTACTCGTTCCAGTACTTCTACCCCCTCGACATTCGTTCGTCGGGCAAAGACCTCATCCCCAATCACCTTACCTTCTGGATCTACGTCCACGCCGCCATCTTCCCCGAGAAGCACTGGCCTCGCGCGGTCCGCGCCAACGGCCACCTCATGCTTAATGGCAAGAAAATGTCCAAGTCGACCGGCAACTTCCTTACCATGCGCGAGGCTACTCAGAAGTTTGGCGCCGACGCCGTCCGTCTCACTCTCGCCGACGCCGGTGACGACATCACCGACGCCAACTTCGAGGAGACTGTCGCCAACGCTGCCATTCTCCGTCTACACACTGCGTGCACCTGGGCTGAGGAAGTCAAGAAGGAGGCTGGCAACCTGCGCACGGGCGACTTCAACGAGCACGACAAGCAGTTCCAGGCTGAGATGGACAGCCTCATCGAGGGCGCATACAAGGCGTACACCGAGATGAACTTCAAGGAGGCGCTCAAGCTCGGCCTGTACGACTTTGAGAACGCACGCAACTGGTACCGTGTGGTGTCGCAGCCCGAGAACGGCGGCCAGGGCATGCACAAGGAGCTTCTCTTCTCGTGGATCCGCAACAACGCGCTCCTCCTTACGCCCTTTACCCCCCACTTCTCCGAGTTCATCTGGCAGGACATTCTCGGCGAGAAGACGTCGGTCCAGAACGCGCTCTTCCCCAAGCCTTCGGGCCCCTCCAACACCGAGGTCCTCGACGAGCTGGCGTATCTGCGTGGCGTTGTGGACTCGGTGCGCTCCGCAGAGCTCTCGCTCGGCCGCAGGAAGGGCGGCAAGGGCAAGCAGCCCACCGGGCCGGTCTTCGACCCCTCCAAGCCCAAGGCAGCACGCATCTACGTCGCGACCGAGTTCCCCGCGTGGCAGGTGAAGACGATGGACATCGTCGCGTCGGCATGGGACGAGAAGGCTGGCGCGATTGACGAGCCCGCGATGCGCAAGGCGCTCGCGGACGCCGGCTTGAACAAGGACAAGAAGGCCATGCCCTACGTCCAGCTGCTGAAGAAGAAGGCGGCGACGGCTGGCAAGCGCGCGTTCGCGTCCAAGCTTGCGTTCGACGAGCTCGAGGCCCTCAAGCTGCTCTCGCCATACATCAAGACGCAGCTCAAGTACGACACCGTCGACGTCGTTTCGGTCGCGGACGCCAAGAAGCACATTGAGGCGAACGGCGCCAGCGACGGTTGGTCGCCGGAGCGCGTCGAGATGTCGGAGCCCGGGTCGCCCGCGGTGCAGTTCTGGAACCTGTAAGGTGCTGGACATACAGGCTAGGGGCGTGCGGGGCACGCGTAGTAGAAGGCATACAGTAGAGTAGCCTACATGCATAGTTCTGTCGCAGTGGCGTAAGGGTGGCGTAGGTGTACATGCACATGGTATCAATGCGGGATATAAACAGTGTTGGAACTCTTAGCTAGTGGCATCCCTTGGCCCTCTTCTCGCGCTCGACGGTCTGGAGTTAGCCTTGTGGAGTGACGGAGATGCCTACCTTGACAAACTGCCGTGCATCCCAGTCGGACATGACGGGATCGATGTCGTCTCGGGGAATCATGACCTCAAGGAACTGGAGGAACCACCACTGGACGGCGAGGATGGCGCAGAGGATAGGCCCGAACACGGGCCCGCCAGCATAATGCGCCGCGAGGCGCTCATACGGCGTCTTCTGCGGACTCGCAAGTACGCGGTAGTACACGGCCTCGGTGCGCTCGGCCACCGCCTCCCACGAGTACATGGTCTTGACGCGCTCGTGCGCGCGAGCAGCATCATGTTGTCCGCTCTGCACGGTGCGGATAGCATTCCCGAGTGCGCGGACGACGTCGTCCTCGTCCGCGCGCGCGAACTCGACCATGTCTCTCGGCAGGACCTCGGGGACGCCGCCGACGCGCGTCGCGACAACGAAGAGGCCGGCGCACGCCGCCTCGATGATCGATGTTCCGAACGCCTCCGTCAAGCTCGTGCTGAGGTAGATGTGGCCGCGGGTGAGGGTTGCGCGCACGTCCGCCGGGCGCACGGCGCCGAGCAGCTCGATCCGGTCTTGCAGCCGGTGGTTTTCGCGCATCTGCAGTAGGTCGACCATTTTCGGGCCGTCGCCGCCTACGACGAAGCGCACGCGCGGGAACAGCTCGCAGATCACCGGCGCAGACGAGACGAGCAGGTCGATGCCTTTGCGGTACACGAGGCGCGAGATGACGACCACCGTGATCTCGTCTGTTGGGATGGGGGTGGGGGCGGGCGCGAACTGGCTCGGCACGAGCGCGTTTGGGATCACGCTTACGCGGTCGGGCGGGAGCTCGGCGCGCAGTACCGTGTTCTCGCGTCCCGTGTTCGAGACGCAGATTACTGCGTCAGCCGTGCGCAAGGCGCTGGCCAGCAGTTTGTTCGTCAGTACACCGACGGCATCGGCGAAGCTGAAGAGCGAGTGGTCTGTGAATACGGTGCGCACGCCGAAGAGCGGCGCGTGGTGCATCGCCTCATGCGCGAGCGAGGACAGCGTGCCGTGCCCGTGCACGAGGGTGATGCGCTCGCGCAGGATGATAGAGCGGAAGTAGGGGAGGAAGAGGAGGTAGTTTGGCAGCGAGGCTGAGCTGGCGAGCGGGACGAAGGGGACATGGTATACTTTGATGCCGGGAGCAAGGTAGCGGATGCCGACACGCTTGTCGTGATGATGGGTGATGACAATAACCTGGAGTCAGCGCACAGGAATACGCTTAATAAGGCCACTCCTCCTTGGCGCGCGCCGACGCGCATGCTCCTTCGATGTCGCGCCCCGCCCTGCACTCACCTTGTGCCCCCTCCTTGCTAACTCCACACCCAGGCTGTAGATATGCCCCTCCACGCCCCCGACATTTGGATGGAAAAAATCCGATACCATTCTGTTCACGAGAAGGAATGTGATGAGCCATGCATACCATACGAAGGCTACAATGCGCTCACGCTAATGCCACCTTGCCCGGCTTGCCGGCGGGCACGTCGCCGTCCGACTCGCTGACGCTCTCCTCGACCTCGGTCTCGTCGCTCGCGTCGCTGTCGGCGTCGACCCCGTCGCCTTCCGCAACAGGCTTGTTTCTGGAAGCCGTGTCGACGATGGTGGATGTCGATGAGGTGGCAGATTTGGAAGCCGGCGTTGAAATCTCCTTGAGCGCCGCGAGCATCTGTGTCTGCACCTTCTCGATGAGCTCGTTAATGTTCTCCGCTGTATAGCCGTCGGTAGATACGGGCGGGAGGACTGACATCAGTGTCTGAGCTCTGCGCCACGAGATAGAGGCTACCGCCTACTCACCACGCAGCTTGAGAGACCCCCGCCGGAAGTACTTGCCCGGCTTGAGCAGCTTTGAGTAGCTCTCACACACAATGGGCACGATGGGCACACCGGCGCGGATCGCCATGTGGAAGGCGCCCTTCTTGAAGGGGAGCAGGAACGGCTCGTCGCTAAGATGGCGAGTGCCTTCTGGGAAGACGAACACCGAAATCTGGGTGAGCAATCCGCTAAAGCTGGCGTTGCAACCTACCTTCTTCCTCTTCATCTCGTCGCCCGCCGCGTTCATCATCGCCACGGCACTCTTGTTATTCTTGCGGTCAAGGAACACCGAACCCGAGAGAATCACTGGGGTCAGCTTGCCCAGATGTAATACTCACTGAATGTCCCAAGGCCGGGGACCCACTTCAGCGACTTCTTGGCCATGATGGCCGCGCGCTTCGGGAACATGCGGCCGAGATACAGGATGTCGACCATGCTGAAGTAATTAGCTCCGTCAGCCGGGGTACGCACCTCTGGTGATTGCCAAGAATGACGGCAGGCCCAGTAGCCTGGAGGTTGAGCAAGTGCTCCTCGCCTTCCATCTGAATGTACCACCCGATGATAGGTGCGCAGAGGTAGTAGAAGGTGCGAGCAACGTAAAAGTCAACGTTGAAGCGCTTGCCGATGAGGGCCAGGATGATGGCCTCAAACGTCGCGATGAAGCCGACGACGGCGAGGACGGTGCCGTATACGGCCATGCCCAGCTTGTACTGAATCGCGCCCATGTTGTAGACGGAAGTGGAGGGGTTTGATGTGGAGGTTAAGAGAGTTGAAGATGTGGCTTGATGTTGATGATGCGGAATGAATGTTGTCGTCAGAAGGTCATTATACGTTCAGAAGAGTGGGCAAGGCTTGAGGGGGTGTTCTGGACAGAGAAGATGGAGGAGAAGAGATGAAATGAGGAGCTTGAGGAGGAGATGGAGGAGGAGGAGGAGGAGGAGGAGGCGGAGATGAGATGTAGTCAAGGAGGAGAGGAGGCGGGTGGAGTTGTGGGGGAGGGGGAGCAAGGAGACGGAGAAAGCGATGGTCAGACGAGGAGAGGGAGGGCGGTGGTCACCGCGTGTGGTGGGGAGGGAAGGTTCATGCCCGCCCACGGAGCGTCCACCCCAGCCTGCGCTCCAACGTCCGAAATCCCCGCCAAACCACGTGCATTACACGCATCGCCGACATTTGATTCCGCGCACCACCCAACTGTGGCTGCTGCGTCACTCACTGGCTGGCGTCCCTGGGTGGGTGACGCTTCACTCGCCGCCGCCCAACACCTCCAGCTCCGAGTCATCCACTCTCCCTCATACATCCATCCCATCTCATCAGCTCGCCACGACGGCCCTCGGCATCATGGCAGCTCAGACAGGGAGCCTTTTCCGTGAGCTCTCCCCTCTCCTGCTGTCAGTCAGCTCACCCAAGGCTCCGAGGACATGAGCCTCGTGCAGCTCTACATTCCCTCCGAGGTCGCCCACGACACCATCTATGAGCTCGGCGAGATGTCCAACTTCCAGTTCAAGGACGTGAGTCAGTGACATGCGCATGCAGCTGATCGCAGCTCAACCCTTCGCTTTCGACGTTCCAGCGCCCCTTCACCCCGCGCCTGCGCCGCCTCGCCGAGATGGCGCGTCGCATTCGCCTCTTCAAGTCGCAGATCACGGCTCTCGAGCCGCCCGTGGGCATTCCACCGCTTTCGGCTATCCCTCCCTTTACCTGCGTCGGTCCGCGGGCGCAGAACGCGTTCGATGAGCTTGACGATAAGCTTAAGGAGCACGAGCGCCGTCTCGCGGAGATGAACCGCTCTTGGGAGGACCTCGGCAAAAGGAAGGGCGAGCTCGAGGAGAAGAAGTGGGTTCTTCGCGAGACCGCTGCCTTCTTTAACGAGGCCGAGCACCGTCACACTGAGATCCGCTCCTCTTTCGAGGACAACGTCGATGGCACCACGCCACTTCTCGACGCCGCCGCCGAGTACGGCACGCTCCCCGGCGAGTCGATGGCTGGCTTTGACCTCGAGTTTGTAGCCGGTACCATCGAGCGCACGCGCATGCCTACTTTTGAGCGCATTCTCTGGCGTGTTCTTCGCGGCAACCTGTACATGAACTACTCGGAGATCGAGGAGCCTTTTGTCGACGCCGTTACTGGCGTCTCGACGTACAAGGATGTGTTCATCATCTTCGCGCACGGCGACGAGCTGCTTGCGAAGATTCGCAAGGTTGCTGAATCGATGGGCGGCACGCTCTACCAGATCGACTCGGCGCCGGACAAGCGTGCCGACGCGCTTCGCGAGACCCAAACCCGTCTCGAGGACGTCGACGCTGTGCTCTACAACGTGTCGCAGACCCGCCGCGTCGAGCTCAGCAAGATCGCTGAGGGTCTCGAGGCCTGGAAGGACGCCGTCCGCAAGGAGGAAGAGGTATGCAAGACACTCAACCTCCTTTCGTTCGACCAGAGCCGCAAAACGCTCGTCGCTGAGGGCTGGACCCCCACCTCGGACATCACCGCCGTGCAGCTTGGTCTGCGCAGGGCCACTGAGACGGCCGGCACTTCGGTTCCCGCCGTCTTGTCTGAGCTTCGCACAACGCAGACCCCGCCCACTTTCCACCGCACTGACAAGTTTACCGAGGCATTCCAGTCGATCATTGACGCCTACGGTGTGGCGACGTACAAGGAGGTCAACCCTGGTCTCTTCACCGTCATCACCTTCCCCTTCCTTTTCGCGTGCATGTTCGGCGACGTCGGCCACGGAATTCTGGCTGCACTCGCTGCCGGTGCAATGATCTTCTTTGAGAAGAGCCTCATCGGCAAGGGCGGCGAAATGTTCCAGACCTTCTTCTACGGCCGCTACATTATCGTCCTAATGGGCCTCTTCTCCATTTACACTGGCTTCATGTACAACGACATCTTCTCCAAGTCAATGTACATCTGGAAGTCGGGATGGGCGTGGCCCGAGAACCCGCAGGGTCAGGTCTCTGCAACGCCCCTCGACCGTCGCTACCCCTTCGGCCTCGACCCCCTTTGGCATGGCGCCGACAACGCACTTATCTTCATCAACTCGTACAAGATGAAGATGTCCATCGTTATTGGCGTCATTCACATGACCTTCGCCATTTGCCTCAACGTCCCTAACTTCATCCAGTTCAAGCAGCGCCGCCGCATCTGGGCTGAATTTGTTCCCCAGATCCTCTTCATGTGGTGCATCTTCGGCTACCTCATTTTGTGCATCCTCTACAAGTGGGCGACCGACTGGAGCAAGAGCGATCTGCCTCCTCCTGGCCTCCTCAACATGCTTATCTACATGTTCCTTTCGCCTGGCACCGTGCCTGAGGGCTCGAAGCTGTACGCTGGCCAGGGCTTCTTCCAGACCATTCTCCTCCTTATTGCGCTCATCTGCGTTCCTTGGATGCTCTGCACTCTCCCCTACCTTGAGTGGAAGGAGCACAAGGACATTGCAAGCCAGGGCTACCAGGGCCTCGCGGTCGCCGACAACGGGCGCGCCTCAACGGATGCTGAGCTCGAGGACGAGGAGGAGGGTGCCGGCCAGCCCGTGGCCAGAGACGATGACGAGCACCACGAGTTTGACATGGGCGAGATTGTCGTGCACCAGGTCATCCACACCATCGAGTTCTGCCTCGGCTGTATCTCGAATACGGCCTCGTACCTGCGTCTCTGGGCGCTGTCCCTTGCGCACGCCCAGCTCTCCGAGGTGTTGTGGGACATGACGATGTCCAGCGCACTTGGCTACTCGGGCGGCGTCATTGGCGGCACCCTCATGCTCGTGCCCATCTTCGCCATGTGGTTCACGCTCACAATCTGCATCTTGTGTGTTATGGAGGGCCTTTCCGCGTTCCTGCACGCCCTGCGTCTTCACTGGGTGAGTCTGCTTGTCGCGAAGTCATGTGGACGAGCTAACAACAGGTCGAGTTCGCCGGCAAGTTCTACCAGGCTGGCGGCTACCCCTTCTCGCCCCTCACCTTTGTGCAGGACGAGGAAGAGATGGAGTAGGCGTCAGATCTACCCTGCCATTTCGGTAACACAATATGTGGGGCGAAAAATACCTCTCCTTGCCGCAACTGGCCAATGCAAAGAATCTTGAAGACGTTGCCTTGCGCGTCATCGTGCGCGTTACCACTGACAACGGAGGCCTTTTCTGTTGCACTAACTGCAGAAAACGATATGACGGTGGCAACAGTTTTCTCTCCCGGGGCGAACTCAACCAGACACTGTTTGCTTGGGCCTCGCTGGAGTGCACATGTTCGGCGCGATCGCAAATCAAGCCATCTGCCATGAGGTCAGAGGTGCATACATTTTGAGGTACAGGGCTAAGATGACAAGGCAATACAATACTGACACTGACACCAACTGCGACTACGCACGCTTGCGGTACTCCCTCTTGAGGAACAGGCTGGAATGCCAGCCGAGCAGGGCTACACCAACCATAACGGCCCAAATGAGATTACCCCCGAGGACGTGCCTATCGACGCTGAGCGCAAAGAGGGCGTTGGCCGCGCCGGGTCCAATAACGCGTGTGCAGGCGGAGAAGAATGCCGCGAGGCCTGTCGTCAGGCGATCCTTCGGGAAACCCACCATTCAAGGCGCCGAGACTGCGGCGGTTGGGCGCGGCGTCGTTGGTCATGATGAGGTTGCACGCGAAGGCCATGTTGCTGACCGCGCCCAGGAGGAGGACGGCGGCGACGCCCGCCCACTCGAGCGCCGCGTGCGTGCGCGCGAGGACGTTGAGGAGGGGCAGAAGAACAAAGGTGGGGATGTAGAGGGCGATGAGGATGCGGAAGAGGCGGGTTGCGCCGACGTGGGCTACGAGTCTGGGGAACACAAAGAGCTGCACGCCGACGGTGGCTATGCCGCGGAGGCTGAGGGCACTCCCGATCTGCGCCTCGCTGAAGCCCAGGCCGCCAAGCTTGGCGGGCGTGAAGAAGAACAGCGGGAGGAGGGCTTGGTACGCGATCGCTTCGAGTGACATGAGCGCGAAGCTGTACATGAGCGGCCAGATCGCCGGGTCCCGAAGGAGCTCGCGAGCCGAGAGACTGCGCTCGTGAACCTCTTCCATCTCTCCTGCGGTTTGGGCGCAGTCGGGCAGAGTCTCCTCCATCCACAGAAGGGCCACGATGCCCGCGAGCGCCGGGAAGAGGCCCGCGACGAACGAGGGCAGGAAGTATGGGTACGTCGCGAGGAACGGAAGCGTGTCCCCTAGTACCGGGAATGTCACGGTGATGTTGGAAAGATAGCCGCCGACCATGGAGGCGAGGATGGTGCCGATTGCCAGCGAGAGCGGGAAGAGGCTGAAGGCGCGCGCCTGGTTGCTCTCGTCCGTGATCTCGCCGATGACGCTCTTGAGGACGGCGACGTTGCCGTTGGCAAGCCCGTTGATCGCCCGCGTCGCCACGAGCATGGTCAGTGACTTGCTCAGGCCGAAGGTCGCAGCTGAGACGGCGCTGAATGCACAACCCTGGGGTCAGAGTTGCCTGAGGTCGCTCACGATGAGGAGAACCGGCTTGCGCCCGATCCGGTCGCTCAAGCTTCCCCAGTGGAAGACAGTGAGGAGCTCGGTGAACGCAAACACGCTCTCGACCTTCTATCAGCGCTGTGCAGCGGAGGGCGCACGATGCCGGCGTAGAAGCCTGCGCGACGCGGGTCGTCCACCACCCCAATGTCGAGGAGCATCTGGTTAATGAAAGGGAAGCAGACGAGGTACGAGATGGGCTCGGTGGCGCGGAGGAAGAGGACGATCGCGAGCTGAGTTGATGGCAGCGGGGTGGGGGCCTTGACCTCGGCTTCAGGCTCGGAGTACATGTGAGCTGGTGTTGGCAGGGGATGTGGGGCATGGGTAGTGAGACCCGAGCCGTATCCCGCGCGATCGCCGTGGAGCGGCGTTGTCTCCGTCGGCTGCCGATCCCTCCTTCCCGCAGACGCTTCAGAAGCATGTTCCTCTGTCATTGTTTTCTTGCGCTGCAGTGAGGTGCGATGGTGGAAGATGAAGGATGGTGTGGACGGCGTCAAGAGGTCGAGAGCATGAGGGTATTTGAATCACACGGTCAAGACCGGCGATCCGGCGCCGGTGACCGAAGGCGCAGGGCGCAGTCGGCCAGTTGCTTGTTGCGCCTCCTCGCCTCATCGCTTGCGTTTACCCCTGCGCCTTTGCTCCACTGTTCTTAAGATGTGGAGATGTCTTAATTGCTTCACGACACGCCCCTCGTTCTGGATCTCACGCCCTTATCTGACAACTGTACTGCGCCCTGGTCTGCGTCTCCCCCAATCGCTCCACTGTATCCCAGCGATGTCTTCGCACGTGGACACTAATTTCACTGCAACGATCTTGCAGCAACCCAAAGCTTCTGAAGGGGAAGGATACCGAGCATGCTAAGGCGAAGGGCGGTGTAGGACGCGCTTGACCGTATGGCTTGACTTTCTGCAAGGTTCGCGCGCAGCACACAAGCAAAGTTGGGGTTGGGAGTGAGGAAAGCTGACACCTTCAAGCTCACCCCTGGCGAGCGGTGAGCCTACGCCGTGCTGGAGTTACCTGCCGCCCGGGGCAACATGACGACAACATGCGTTGACACCATGGCCATCTGACAACCTCCCCAGCACTTGCGATACTCCCAATTACACACCCGGTGCCACATCGAGCACTTCGCCGGCGATGTGCAGCCTCATATCGGTGGGGGTACAGCTCCCAAAGCCTTTGCTCCGGCTGAGCGGCCCGCCCTTCAAATCACTCTCTGGTTATAGTACGGCTTCTCCGCCCCGGTTGAAATGTGAGTGCCGAGGCGTGCTCCGTCACTGCCATACGAACCGTACGTCCTGTGGAACGGCCATCTCAGAAAGCGAAAGGGACGGCCTTCAATGCCACCGGAGCCAGATGTTGGTGAAGCGCTGGTAAACGTCGTGGAGATATTGTTCAAAGATGGTGTCGGCTTCCGGCTAGCCAAGCCCTCGACTCCGGCCGCTACCACGCTTGACCCACAAGCTCATTCGACACGTCCCCGATCACCTCGTCGCGCGGCCGTCAAGCGACAGCTCCGTCAAAGGACAACACTGCCAAGCCATCACCTGGCCACGAGGCTTCATAAAAGCGACACGTGCGTGGAACAGGCCGGACGCTGGACGTCTCATGCGGGTTCTCGGTTAACTCGTGATGAAGAACAAAATAGTGTACGGCGGTAATAGCAGACCTTACGGAGATCACCATTACATCTCGCGGCATGCACTCAGAAAGCTATAGAGACCAAGATACCACTCAACTTTCATGCTCGTCAGAAGAGTGGAGAGAAGAAGAGGAGGAACAAGAAAAGGAGGAAGAGGAGGACGAAGAGGTGAACTGCGCAGTAGAAGAGGACGCTCGCGAAGAGCGCAGAAACGGCGACTCCTCTTCCTCTGCATTTTCAGGCTCCATCGTTTCCAGTCGATATGTTTCTGTCCCAACCCTCGCGATGTACTCCGCCGTCGTGAGATACTCCACTGGACCAATGGGAGAGGGGCGAGGCTCGTCACTGTTCCACAACGACATGACCGAGCGGACACGGTCCTGGAACGAGACACCATCCGCGAATTTGACGACGTGGTCTTCCAGTTCCTCAAGACCAAAAGGAATGGTAATCGAGCGACCAGCATAGGCTGGAAGGGAGTCGAAGTTGACGAAGGTGCGCTTAATTGGACGATTTGTGCCTTGCACGAAGCATGCGATCGACCCCGCGATCCGCATGCACAGGTTGTCCAGGCTCTCTGTGGGGTTGAGCGACGCCAGGACATACACGATCTCCTCGAGGGTCGGGCAGTCGTCAATAAAGCTCACATCGAGCGTCGATTCCATTGGATGTACCGTGCAAGGAATGATGGAGCGGTGGTCCAGGTTGATGACCATCTTGCGCGTGCCGGTGGGGAGATCCTCAAATGGCGAGCCGCGCGCCATCGCCGAGGTGGGTGCCCCGAACGGATCCCACGCGAATAGCACGACACACTCCGTCGAGAAGGGGCATTTGGGCAAAGTGGTGTGCTCGCTAGGCACGTCGCCGTTCTCCCAGAAGCGAATCATCCGGGGCTTCAGCAGGGTGGTGTTGGCAACGACGAACAGGAAGCCGGTCCAGTAAATGTCGAGGACGGGGTCGATCGGGAGGTAGGGAGAGGGCGGGGGCTCAAGGCGCTCGACATTGCCAGCGTCAGTTCTCTTAGACGCCCTTCCCCGAGTGTACACGTCCCGAAGCGGAATGAACTCCAGGCAGTGGCTGTACTCGATAGATAATCTTGGGGGGCGCCTCCAGGAGTGCACGTCCTTGAGGAAATAGAACGCTGGGTGGTCTATAAATTCGTTATTGACACCTCCTTCGAAGTATCCATCCAGCGCGGTAAGATGCCGGCCTAGAATTATGCTAGCCTTCTCTGCCCAAGCTCGACAGACGAGCCGGAGGTGGAGGAGGGCCCATGTGTCGGCTTCCTCAAAAAGTTTGTCGACGAGGTGCGGATACATGCGTCCGTCAAAACCGAAGTCGCGCCGGGGCCTAGGAGGGCCGTGGCGGGCCATGAGAGGTTTGGACGCGGGTTCGGCAGCGGTTAGTTGCAGGCGCATGTCGGTACTCACCACTTCGTCGGTATGCATAAGCCCTCATGCCGCTTGTATGCGAAGAGTTTGATGTGGGAGATGAAGGCGGTGAATCCTCGTCTGGCGAGAAGTATCCCAGGTTGTAATCCTTGCGCTTTTTCCAGCGGTAGGGCCGGTGCCCCCTATTAGCGGTGGCGGGAATGAGGTTCATGATGTCGGGTTTGTGGGTGGAGAAGAGTCAGAAACAGAGAGGCGAAGCTCAAGAAAATAAACATGACTGCGTGGTGATCCGTGCCACGGGCGAGTGGCTGGACCCAGGGTATATCACTCGCGGTCCATGACTGGTGGGCGACGGTGTCCGAGCGCGAACAGGCCATACCGTCTTCGGGCCCCAACTCCCCAAAAGCTTCTTGTTCAGCCTCGGAGCGGAAGGGGGGGGGAAGTAGAGGGGTCAATGCACCGGTTGATGCGAGAGCAGCCGGCAGGCTCGCAGGTCGCGACATTTAGCAATTTCGGGATGAGTCCAGATATCCTCCCGGTTGTGGATCAAGGCTTCGAGAGAGGCGCCCCTGCGCTGGGAGCAGGCACTGCTGACACCATGAAGTACAGCGTAAGAAGGGGATGTAAGTTGCTCACATAGCTTGAGGGCTGATATGATTGGGAAGGGAGAGGTGAAAGAAGAGGAGGGCTCGGCAGGTGATGGAGAAGAGCACGGCCGCTCCGTTCGCCGTGAGTCTCCGACACCCTCGAATCAACTGCTCACAAACAAACATCTGGACCACCTCCCTCGTCTAAACTCACGACGCCCCGGCGCGCATGTGCCCCCACCGTCGCGCCGTTTAACTCAGCCAGCCACCACCCCGAGCCCTAATCAGCTCCCGCCACCGCGACAGCGACCCCCACCGCTTCAAGCGGCTCTCGGAACGCGGTAGGGGGGCGAGCTCGCGCGGCATCGCCGTGTCAGCGTGCTCGTGGTAGCACCACCTGCAGAACCAGGTGCGTAGGTCGCGCGTCACCCACTCGCACGGTTCTGGTTCAGCGCCGTCTAGCCGGTGGCATACCGGCGTAATTATCGAGGCGCGAGTCGCCAGGGCACCAGTACGGCGGGTGGGCTGCAGGGAGGCTAAGGTCTGGCGCGTTCTGGCAAAAGGGGGAGGAAGGGGAAGGCGATGAGCTGCAAGGGGAAGAGGCAGAAGAGGAGGAGTGAGCAGAAGGGGAGGGAGAAGAGGTGGGGGTCTGTTCCGGGATGGGCGTGAGGTAGAGCATGTGAGACATGGGCGGATGCAGAGAAGAGATGGAGCGCGGCAGTTATAGAGGCGTGCGGCGAGCTCTCTGTGAATCGTAAGTCACACTTGGATGTGTGGTGCGGTGCGAGGTGTGCCATGGATAGAACGACTGAACCCGCTGTTGTGCCACAGCCACCACCTCTCCCAAGGCTGGCTCTTGGCGTGCATCTGAGCCGCACTGAGATGGCTCGATGCTGGCCACAATGCGCTTGCTGCGACGACCTAGGACAGTCGATATAGCTGAGGCTGGGGAGAAACAGTCATAACATGTGCAGCGCTTGAATGACGTGGTGATCGTTTCAGTAACTCATGACGGACGAACGTAGACATAGTCAAGCGGTGACGCGGGGAGGAATGCGCCGGAGCAGATCTCCGCCGACTCGCCAGTGACACACACGGCGTGCTTGGCGGTGAGTTGCCGGCACCTAGATCACCGGCGAGCACAGCACGTGGTTCGCGTCTTCTTAGCGGATCAGCGGATGAGTCTCGGGTGGCGATGGCTCGGTGCCTGACCAACACGAATGAATGGCGTCAATGAATAATGGATCTGGAGAAGCGACTCAAAGAAGACAAGCCAGCGGACGCGTCTCGCGGCCTGCGGCCAACGGCCTACGGCCGTGCGGAGATGCGCGATGGCGCACGCGTGTGGTTCCGCTTCCCACGGCCATTGTCCCACTTTACGCCCTTAAGTAGCTGCCACCTCGCCCCTCCCTCCATTCAACTTCTTACCCATTCACATCCGCGCATCCAGAACCCGATCCCACGTCTTCGATGGCCAAGGTCCACTTCGAACCGCCCGTGCCCTCCGAGGCTCGCGATTCCCGTCGGCCCCGCGCACCCACATCCTGCGCACCTCTCACACACCCCGCAATAGCGCACAGCGAGACAAGCCCGTCCAGCGAAACGACGCCGTCCAGCGCGTTCGACATGTGGGCCGGCTGCGACCTCGCAGAGCATCTAAACTTCGTCCTCTTCGGCCCCGCCTTGCCCAAGAGAGTCGCCCAGCTCCGTGACGACCTCGGCGTGCGGAGCAAGCCCACGGCAGCCATGCGCCGCATCGCCCAGCAACCCCCGGCGGAGATCCAGCCGCCTGCCGCAGCGTTTGCCAACGTCACCCTTCCGGGAGGTTGGCGGAGCGCCCACCGGTCATGGTACGAGGACCGTTGTGGCCGAGTACTTGTCAAGCAGCCCACTTGGCTGGACGTGCTTTGGTGCAGCGCTGCCGAGGCTGCAAGTCGCGAAGGAGCGAAGGCGGCTGCCAAGCCGCAGGTGAAGGAAGAGCCGCACATTCAAGTCCCGAGTCAGATACAGCCACGTGAGTCGACTGCCGACATTGCTGACCGCTGTGCCGCCCGTTTTCTGCCGCACCAGGTGGAAGAACTCGTACACCCAGGACGTATGCGTCCATTGTAATCGCGACTGGGCGTTCATGCCGCGCAACACGCGCGTGTGCTCAAACCCTCCAAAGGTCCGCGCTGGGCGTGAGTAGTGTAGCTGTATTCGACTGTAGTGATCCAACTTGTATGTCAGTCTCAAGATCAAGTCAGGTAGAGTATTGTCAGCCGCGGTGTAAGATCGATCTGTCAGTGGCTCCGGATGCGTACCTTAAAATCACAAATGGGCATGCTCTCCTACAACTGCCGTACACCTCGAGCCATCTACGTGAGATTGATATCGTTGAGCGCCACAGATCTGTAAGTCAGCATATACGTGTGTTCAAACCCACGTGGCCGCGCGATGATGTCCTGCTGTCAGCGCGAACGAGCTAACCACATACCTTCATACTGCCGGACCGTCTCACCAGTCGCGAGATCCCAGAGCCGCGCCGCGTGGTCGCTGGACGCGGTGACGAGGTACGCCGAATCTGCGGAGAATGCAGCGTCCCACACCCAGCGCTGGTGTCCCTCAAGCGTGCGATCCAGCGTGTACTCGTAGTCCTTTGTGCTCCAGAGCTTGACTGTTGTGTCGGCGGAGCATGTGGCGAGGAAGCGTGTATCGGGCGAAAGAAGACAGCGGGTGATATACTTGGAGTGGGCGAGAAACGAGGTTACGGGGACGAGGGAAGGTGTCTCGCTGCCACTCTGAATGCGCCAGACGAACACCGTCCCCAGATTATTGCCAGCTACCAGCGTCCCGCCGTCGCTTGCAATGCTCACGGAGCGGATGGGCACGTCTTCGGCCGGCACAAGCTCATGCGTACACGTGTTCTCGCCCAAGTCCCAGATCTTGACACTGCCCACCTGGTCGCAGCTGATAAGCTCGCCCTGGTTGGGATGGATCACCACATCGTTTACCATTGTCCCCTCGTGCTTGTAGGTGCGCTGCACCTGCCCAGTTCTTTGAATAAGCACCCTCCAGAATCGGAACGCACCTTGTATCCCACACCTTGACTGTCCCGTCTTCGGAGCCCGTTACGATCCACTTGCCCTGTGCAGAGTATTGCAGTGCCGTCACGTTGCCTGTGTGTCCGTCCAGCGTCATTACCGGCGTATTTGATAGCGAGGGGATGTCCCATATCCTGGTGTCAGCGCGAATGTGCGCAGAAAACGCACCGTACTGCCGTATTGCCCACAGCGTTGCCTGCCGCGGCGAGATACATTTTGTCTGGGCTGATCGCGAGACGGTTCACTTGTTTCTGCGCGTCAGCGGGGCAGCGGCTGCGGAGCTCACCCATTGTGGTTGAAGCGGAATCTGGCGATAGCAGATACCGCTCCACGCCTCCCAAAATCGGATCGTATGGTCGTCTGCTATCAGCGGGATGTGCTTGCCTTGCCAAAGTGCTATCATTCCGACATTGGAGAAGGTTGAGGGGCACACTCACATCCGGCGGTGCACAGCACGACACTCATCTCGGCCGCCTGCTGTGATGGCGAGTCCGAGGCATAGGCTTGCCCCGGCTGCGCGTGGGCGGCGGGGGGCATTGTTGGCGCGATCGTTTGGGATGTCAATGTCGAGGATCGAAGACTGGCGCGCGTGAAGATGGAACAGTGACGTCTGACGCTCTGACGGTCTGACGGAAGCAAATAGGCTACAAGCACACGCGCTGAACCGGAGCGTTCTGGAGTCTCCTCCACACATCCTGCTGATGTCCCGTCTCATGTCTAAACGTCGGTCCTCCTTTCCTCAACGCCGATACGCCAACATGCTGACTAGGCCTGGAATAGCACACGTCATGCCTCCAGAGCCTCTGGACCACGGATCCTCGTCGCCCCGAACATCGCCCATGTACAATTTCACTCGTCAGCAGCAGAAGCCCAATCCCTCACCAGCCATCACAATGTCTACATGTCATGTTCATATCCTATTCATAGTACAAAGGCTTGTCGGGCTATGGGCGGCGTTCAGCCGGACAGAAACAGGCGTCTAGGGTGCCTTCGTCTTGCCTGCTTAGCTTGCGAGGCGGCTCTATGCGCGCTGGTCGCGCTTATCCGAGGGCCTTGCGGAGGGCTTCCTTCTCGGTCGGGTTGAGGGACTTTGGGAACACGACGTTCCAGCGCACGCGCAGGTCGCCGACCTTTTTGATACTGCTGGCCTTGGAGATGGGCATGCCCTCGCCCTTCACGACGGTCTCCTCTCCGGGCTGGACGATGTGTCCCGCGGGGATGGAGACGTCTATCCGACGACCATCGAGCTGCTCGATCTGCTTGGTGATGGGGCCGCCGCCCTCGGGGCCAAGCAGCGCCTGCGACAGCGTGAGGTTGACCTGCACGACGAGGTCGTCGCCCTCGCGCTTGAAGCGCGGGTGCTCCTTCTCTTGGATGACAAACTTGATGTTCTGACCGCGACCGTACTCGTCTTCGTTGCCGGCGCCCGCGAACGTCACCTTGGTGCCAGCCTTCCATCCAGGCTTGTAGGCCACCTCGAGAATCTTCTCTTCGCTCCGCCCGTTGCGCATGTGGCGCGTGATTTTGAGGCGCTTCGTGCCGCCCTTGTAAAGCTCTTCGAGACTGAGAGGAAGTGGCCGCTCGATCTCGGCAACAGGTGTTGGCGGCTCCGGCTCGGCGTACCCGCCTGGCATGCCACCCATGCCGCCCATGCCGCCCATACCAGGCATGCCACCCATGCCGCCCATGCCACCCATTCCGCCCATGCCGCCGCGGCCAGCGCGACGGCGAGTACCTCCGCCGGGGAAGCCACCACCGCCGAAGGATGCGTACTCGTCGCCACCGCCGCCGCCGCCGCTGCCCATCTGGGAGAAGAATGCACTGAGGTTAGCTCTATTGGACGTTTAAACTCACTTGAAGATGTCGTTGGGATCGGTCGCGTGGAAGGAGAAGCCGGGGCCGCCGCCGCCGGCGCCGAACGAGGAAAAGCCCGGGCCGCCGCCGCCGCCTCCGCCGGGCATGCCGCCCTTGAGACCTTCCTCGCCGAACTGGTCATAGATCTTGCGTTTCTCGGGGTCGGACAATACTTCGTATGCCTCGCCGACCTGGAGGGGTTAGCTGATGTCTGTGGAGCAATTCCGGCTCACCTTCTTGAACTTCTCCTCGGCGGTCGCGCGCTTGTCGCCGGGGTTCTTGTCTGGGTGCCACTTGAGAGACTCTTTGCGGTAGGCCTTCTTGATGTCGGCCTCGGACGCGTCCTTGCTGAGGCCTAGCGTCTGGCGTTAAGTGTCGTGTGACGGTGTGGCTTGGGGGGGCGAGATTAACGCACCTTGTAATATTCCGTATTGTTCACCATGTTGGGGAGGTGAGGGAGTGAGTGAGAGGGGAGAGGGGGTGTGGAAGAAGAGGGGGGGAGTAGTTGAATACGAGTCAAGCTGTGAATGGAAGCTCAAGGGGGCGGATGGAGGATGGCCGGATTGGTGGCACGCGCTGTGGTGAAGATGGCCTGTACGTCACAATCGAGACCTCTCGTTCCCCCGACCATGTTCCAGTACATACTAGCATTTTCTGCTCATCACATACAATATGGTCAATTAGCGGGAGCATATTTCTAATCACCTCTGTACGCAGGTGGACCCGATTGTGCTCCTCAAGAAGCGCGGCCGCGGCTCGAGAGAGCACCAGAGTGCTCAGAGAGAGCTTGAGCAATTGAGCAGCTGAGACTGAGATGTACCAGGCACATTGTAGGACATCAACTTCCAGTAATGGTTGGAATGACGAGAAGAGCTCGGCACGTTGGCATGCGGGCCTGCCTCGTGTCTGCCTCGCGTCCGTGCACAATCTCAACAAGGTCTGGCATGCTACAACACAGAACCGCAATATCGGGTCTCTGAATCGCGCCGTTAAATACATGGGTGTGTTGCGACCTGCGGGGCGTGGTCAAGGAGCTAGGTGAGGCGATGGACGAGTGGCACGCGACCAACATGTTATTGATAGAGTCGCCGTAGTGAGCTACCTTGATGCTACTCTTCGGCCTCCAGCGCCATGCGTACATCTTTCTCTGTCTTTATATGTCTAGCCTGATGTTCAAACACTCACTCCGAGCACGAGGTCTGCGAGAATGTCGCCTGCTGGAGGGCATTAAGTGCGGGATGAGGATGAGCAGCGATCTCACCTCCACCTCCACCACGCCACGTTGCGGATCCAACATTGTGGATCGTCATCGTCTTCGCCATCTCCGCTCTTCAGCTCATCCCTCCATCTCTCCTCCGCTTCTCTTCGACCAACTCGCATCGGGTCGAGCGACTTAATTGCTCGACCGCTCACCGCCTCGCCTGTCCGCCGTCGCCTGACTCCTCAAACTCATACACCCACTCCTCGTCCTCGACCCTCTCCGGCCCGCTAACCCCTTCCCCCTCCCCCATCCCTCACCATGCTCTTCGGCTTCGGCAACATCCTTCTCGCAGCGCTGCTGCTAGTAAACGCCGTCGCTATTCTCAACGAGGAGCGTTTCCTTGCGCGGAGTACGTACAGCCTATTTCGCATCGTCCAAAGCTGACCGCGCCTCGATGACCTCCTCTCCCTCCGCCATGTTGCCCCGCGCCTCTATATTGCCGTCACCCCATGCCTTCCTGAGATTGTTTTTTCCCGCTGTACAGTCGGATGGTCCACACGCGGCAACCCAGCAGCCAACTCCGGGTTCGGGAACGTACCCGATCCCACATATGACGGCGCCTACGGCGGTAACCCGGACGGCGTGAGCTTCAAGACCAAGGTCGTGAATCTTATCGGGGCAGTGCGGACATTGATGCGACGTGAGTTGTTGGCCCCTTGTTGAGGCTATATGAGCAGAAGGACAAAGCTGACCTTAGTGCCGCTCATAGTCATCAATGTTGTGGTGTAAGCTGACGGTCTTGACACGGCTGACGACAGGATTCTCTTCCTCCTCATTGCGGGATAGCCCTTGTAGCGCATGCATCTATAGACTGTTCTGGGAGTCCGAGACGGGGTTGCAGTAGTTGCCAGGAGAGATGCCCCGAGGGGGGAAGAGCTTATGTGAAAGGCATGCAAAGCAGCTCAGACCTTCCGATGCAATGGTCTATGTATTCACGTACACAATGTTTGGACTATCATGACAGGATACTCCATGCATGCATGCATAGGACGGCGAGCTCAAGACATGACTCGCAGCTCATGAAGGCAGCAGTTCAGAACGCGTCGCGTCAATTTCACCCGCCGCAAACAGCGTTGCCTCCACTCCATCACTCACATGAAACCACGAACCAGCACTTCAGCCAAGCCTCCCGCCCCGCATCCCAGCGCGGCGCAGCAGGCAGCGTATGCGCACAGCATCGCGGACCTCGAGCTGCCCAAGACGACACTGACCAAGCTCGCCAAAGGCTCGGTGCGTCTCCTCTCCACCTAGTCCTCCTCCTACCGTCCTTCCTCCGTCCTCTAGGCTCCACCCCGCCTTCCCCCTGTCGCTCTCCAGCTTACAGCACCCAGATCCCCGATAACGTCAAAATGCAGCAGGACGTTGTGCAGGCCCTCCTGCGCGGCTCGACGCTCTTCATCAACTACCTTTGTGAGGCGTGCGGAAACTGGGCTAATGGCAGCTGCTGCGTGAGCATCATCATCGCGTCAAGCGTGCCGCGCTGCTGCACTCTGCACATCGGCGCTTTCTTCTTCCCTACCCCCTCTCCCCTCCCCTCCCCCCCCCCCTTGCAACTCATCCTCTACCCTCAACCACGCAACCCAAACAACGCCCAGCGCCACCAATCCATTCCCCCTCGCCGCTTATCCCCACACACCCCTCCCCCCCCCCCCCCCCCCCCCCCCCTTTCGTCTGACCCCAGCGCACACGACCAAGCCATCGCGCGCTCCGGCAAGCAGATTACGGCCGGCGACGTTCTCAAAGCCGTGGCGGACATGGACTTCGGGCCGTCGGACGCGCTCCTCCCCCTTCTTGAGCAGGAGCTTGCGTGTAAGTTTACAATGCGGCGCCGCTCACGCTAGCGTACCGCGCCCTGCAAGCAGCTGCGAAGTCGCGCAAGCCGCCAGCGAAGAAGCGGAAGGCGGCGGACGCGAGTGAGACCGGTGACGCGGGCGATGCGGGTGAGGCGGCGGCGGACGAGGAAGAAGAGGAGGACGAGGACGAGGGCGACGAAGGGGAGGAAGGGGGAGAGGAGGGGGAGGGCGAAGAGGACGAGGCTGAGGAGAACGGCGCGTAAGCCGATTTCCAGCTGGCGCCGGGCTTGCGATCCCTCGCGAGCCCTCAGAATTCTTGCATAGCGCGTGCACACTTCTGAACTGTATGTATAACATCTGTCTAGCGTGGTTTCTATGTCCACGGCCTGTCCAGTAGCATGTTCCCGAACGTGCTCGACTCGACGCCCCGCCGAGCCCATTGGCCGGCCTGTTGCACGAACAGAAGGCTCGTTGGTCCATCTCGTCTGCGTTCATCCCTCACAGTGACAGAGGCGTACTTTCGGCTCAAAGCACGGAGGCGCGTCGGCGCCGACCGGCCCCAGCCAGTCGGTGCCACACCACGGCCGTGATCACAGTCTGTAATGGGGCCCACAGGCCCACCCGTAAGTCCGTTTTACACCAGGCCGAGGTTCATGTAACGAAGGGGTGGGGGAAGGCTCGTGTTGCAGTCCACGCTGGTCCCGGATCCCGCTGCGCTACTGAATGACTGAAGCAGAGCGCAGTGGGCATACAACGTGACTGCTCCACTCAAGTAGCGATCGATAGGCCTGGTTAGCTCAGTAGGTCGGTGCTCGCCCACACTCGCCAGCTCTCCCGCGCCAACTCGCCAACTCAAAATACACTGCTGACTGCATCTCTAAGGCACAACCTTGCCGACGATGTTGTAGCGCTGGTGTCAGCTTCGTCCACCTCTCTTCTTTCCGCCCTCCGCTCTACTGTTCTTCCTCTTCACCGCCTTCCCCTCCCACCACTCACCTTGGCAAAGAACGAGTCCCACTGGTCCAGCGTCTTCATCTGCGCCTCATTGAGCGTCGAGTAGTCGCTCACAGCATCCTTGGGGTCGAGCGACGACATGCCGAGCCCGCGGCTGGCATCACGCCCCGCGAACACATTGTATCCCGCCCCCGGGCCGTACATCTCGCGCTTGGACGTCACGTCGTACACCTTGCCCTTGATCGCGACCCAGATGGGCTTGGACGGGTCTTTGCCGTCGCACTGCGCGAGCTCGGACACGGAGATGAGCGTGGACTGGCGTCAGCATGGGGAGGAATGTAGGTGTAGTGTAGGTGTAGGTGTAGGTGTAGGTGGACATGGCGGAAGCGGCAAGCAAGCGCGGCGGCGCGGCGCGGCCGCGGTCGGTTGGCGACTCGCCGCCGCTTGGGCGTTCGGGACTGCGGAGGTGTGGTTTCCGCACATGGCCTGCCGCGCCTCCGCAAGACTTACCTTGGGCGGGGCCAGGTCGGCAGCGGGCGCGGACATGATGGACATCTGGTGTCAGTCGGTCCCGACTCAGCGGCAGTCCGTATCGCCCGGTCACATGGCGATGCGGAGGTCGCATGCTGGTGCTTGTACACACCTGAGCAGCGACGGCAGCACCGGAGGGCTTGGAGAGGAGTTTGGAGGGCGCTTCTTTGGGTGCGGGGGGCGGGGAGCCGTGACGCTTAGGGGTGGCGCGGGTGGGGGGCTTGGAGAGGAGGATGTAGGCGATGATGAGGGCGAGGACGGTGGAGACGACGACGGCGACGGGGTCGATGGTTGGCATAGTGAATGGAGATCGGGATTGGCGGCGACAAGCTAGCCGTTAAATGCGTGGCTCAGGTCCGAGATGGCCGGGTGGCCGGTGGGTGGGCATTCAACATTGCCCCACGGTTAAACCACGCCGAGCCAATACCATAAGCATCAATGCACCACTTCCATTCCATCGTTCCATTGCCGTTGCCATTTCCATTTCCATTGCCATCGCTTCCAGGCGCGGCCGAACATGCCATGATCCACTAGTCTATATGAAATGACCACATGCGCATCACGAGTTATTATCGTCATGAGGAGTGTCGCGTGCTGTCCGTTTGAACAGGTCTCGTTGTCAGCAGGCCCTGGCATCCCGTGCTCACCCATGATATCGCCCATCGTAAGCTTCATATTCTTCACGCCCGTGCCCGAAAGTGCGGCCTCGGCAAGCTCACGCTTCTGGTTTTGGAGCTACTGTCAGCCTCGGCAGTGCGGGAGCAGCTCACTGCAAGAATGCGGTCCTCAACTGTCTCCGGGATAGTCAGCTTGTAAATATTCACATCCAGCGTCTGCCCAAGTCGGTGGGCGCGATCAAACGCCTGGTCCTCAAGGCTCCTCATCAGCGCCGCTACACCCCATACACTCACGCTGGATTCCACCACATGTCGGCGAGGATGACATTGTTGCAGCATGTCAAATTGAGACCAGTCGAGCCTGCCTTGAACGAGATGAGAATCACCCGCGTGCTCTTCGAGGTGCGGATAGTGTGCAACACAGCCTCGCGATCTTCTGCCTTCAATGATCCGTCATCTTCGGGTCAGCATGTTGCTTCTAGCGCCGAGGTCGTCACACTCACAGCGCACGTATGCGATGCCCGCGTTCTGGAGGAATGGCTCCACCAAGTTGAGGAAGCTTGTGAACTGGGAGAAAACGATCGTCTTTTGCTTCTTTGCGCCTCGTTCGTCGATCTCAGCCAAGAGTTTAAGAATCATACGAATCTTGGCGCTGGACGGTGGTAGCCGGCCAGTCTTCGCGTTGGCCTTCGCCGCAAGCTTCTGACAAGACGAGCACTGCTTGGCCATGGGGTTCGTGAGGCTGAGATTAGATGTCTCATGCCATTCGTGACTTACACAGTAAGACAAATATCGCACTTCTTCTGCCCGCCCATTCCCATCCCAGCGAACATGTCAGCGAGGTCATCAGCCTCTGCAGCGCCATGGTCGCTGCCATTGTTGACCGGAACAATATCAAGGGCGTCCTTGTCATCGCCAATCGATTTAGTGACCAGGGACGGATGGTCGCAAGCTTGTCATCAGTGACTCTCAGACGGCAAACGTACCTTGCCGCATGCGAAGCAGAAGAGTGAGGACCGACGTGTAGTTGCCCATGACGGCACCAGCGTCGACGAACTGTCATAAGCACAGTCGTCTCCCTCATGCCTTACTTTGTTAAAAGCCACGCCTGTCTTGGCCTCCAGTGCTGCATAAAACGCGCTCTCATCCGAGTCGAATTCGCACTCCACCACCTCAACGTTACGCTCCGGCAGGTTGAGGATGGGCTTGCCATCTGAGGTCAGCCAGTCGCACCGATGATGAGTGAGCCCACCGATGGTGGCCGTCTTGGTTCGGCGCAGCATGATCGCCTTGAGGATAACATGCAAGCGCTTCATAGCAATGCCAGACCGTCCGTCCTTGACCTCTGCGGAGACTCGGGAGCGGAAAATCTGCCAGTTGTCCAGCGGCTTGGCACGTAAAAACTTGAACAGAGAGTACAGCTCCTCAACATTGTTCTGCGATCAGCTTGGCGAACAATTTGATGTGGTGACCAACCTGGATGGGTGTGCTGTTCATCAGCTTCGCTCAATAGAACCTTGCTTACCCCGTGAGACACCAGCGATACTTGGCTGTCAGCAGGCAAGCGGACTCCGCCGCCTTGGTGCGATGGTTCTTAATGTTCTGTGCCTCGTCTGGAAGGGTGAGCTGTGCCACCATACCTCCTCACCGATGACTACGCGGAGCCACTTCAGCTGGAAGAGCGCAGGGCCTCGCTCATTCTTTGCCTTTGCGCGGCTCTTCTTGATTGGTAATGGCACGTCGCTATCCGAATCCGAGTTCGTGTCAGATTTGGAGTTTGCACCCTTGGTGTTGCCCGCGCTCTTCGACTTGGTCTTCTTCAACATTGCCATCTCGGACGCAAGGACCTGGAATGTCGTGATGACGACATCAAACTTGGCGAGTTCATCGCCGCTCTTAGCGCGCTTTGTCCCGTGGTGGGTGGTGACCTTGAGGAGACCCTTTCTGGTCTTGGTTCGGCACTCTGTTGCCCACTGCTCCATCACAGCGAGAGGACAAACAATCCTGGAGGTCAGCTCTTCCCTCATAGGTACCCACAAAGTACCACCTTTGTACAGGCGCTTCTCCCCGTCGGTGGGTCTTCCCTCCACAATACGTGCTAGTGTTTGCACCGTCTTGCCGAGACCCATGTCCTGATGTAAGCTGCCGCTTGGTGTGCAAGCTCACGTCTGCGAGGATGCCACCACGCTTGCGACCTGACTCGCGCTCGCGCATCCAGCGAACGCCGCGTACTTGGTGCGGCATGAGTTTAATGTTGGTGGCGAAGCCTTCGATAATGTCGTCACCTTCCTCGCCGTGGGCTTCCTCTCCGTCGCCCACTGCGCCAGCGAGCAATTCGCGCATCTGCTCCTCAGCATCGTGGTGACGTTGATAGTCCTCAGCAGTCAACTGGGCATTGTTGATGTCAAAGTCCTCACGCTCCTCCCCATCGTCATCTTCGTCTGGCGTGGGTGGAAGAGGCTTGATCTGGGGCTGCTCAGGCATGGCGTAGATTGGCCACCCTAGCTCGTCGTAGCCATACTCGTCACGGCGAGCGGGAGCTGGAGCCGGAGCGCGGGCACGCTGACTGAATGGGCTGTCAACGGAGGAGTGGTTCTGGAAGGCGCCCTGACTTGGGCGAATGTAGTCCGCCATTCTGGAGCCAGCAGAGCGTCTGGATGCGGAGGAGGCGGTGGTCGGCTTCTTGGGCTTGGTCTGTAGGATACTGGAGCCAAAGGTCTTGTCAGAGTCCTGTTGAGCGTAGTGTGAGTGAGAAAAGGAGGATCGTGATGACTGGGACGATTGAGAGGCTTGTTGTGATGAAGGAAGGGGTGAATCCGAGAGGCGCATGTTCGGGCGCGAGGAGGAGGAGAGTGGCGAGCCGTGGCCAGAGTGCGTTGCGTAGCCGTGGTACATGTTGAGCTGAGATCGTTGCGAGGCGTTGACTTTCGAAGATCTATGCGACGCAGGCGGGTAGTCGAGCAGGTCGATCCCGTCGTGACCATTGCCTCGAGGTCTGGGCCGAGGTGCGGTCTCTGGAGAGTCGAGCAGATCGGTCAGATCTATCACATCTCTTCGACGAGAAGTCATGTTGTATTTCGCGTGGGTTGTGAGGGCCTCCGGTGTAGCAGGTGTGGTCGATATCGGTGCTCAGCGTCAATTGGGATGTCAGAAAAGTGGAGTGGGGCGAGCACCGACCTGACGTTGTTTGTTGATAGTGATCGCTCAGGCACTCCGCCCCGGATAGACGGATATACTGGGAGAGATCGACTGTTTACGTAACCACCACCTCCATTCCCCCAACATCCGCCGAACGCCCATTAACGACCTCAACCATCCTCCGTGTGCCATTGCACTCTCAATCTCACTCGGCACCGCGGCACTTCAACAGTCCCAGCATGCCCCTCACCGCCTTTCTGGGGGTGCCGATGACAGGCGCGCGCGTCATGGGCACCCTCGCGCGCTCCGCAGCCGTATCGACCGCGCGGCCATTCCACTCAACCAGTTTCCGCGCGATGTCGACGGTGCCGCGCCTCTCGACGGCTGTGTGGGGAAGGCAACGACCGCAAGGGACTCCACGGCTGGCGCTGACACGGTTTTTGTCGTCATCGGCTGCGCGCCGCGTTCCTATTCTTCCCTCCGAGGTGGGTCGATTCTCGAGTCGGTTGACACCAGAAACCGGGGAAGAAGAACGAGCAGGTCGAACTGCACGAGTCGCCGTATACGCTGCCGAATGCACTCACGATCGCCCGCATTGCTGCTTGCCCTTTCCTTGCATGGTCAATCGTCAAGGGTGACTTTGAGGTTGCAACAGCCATCCTGGTCACGTCGGGCCTCACTGACTGGGTTAGCAAGGTTCACGGAAGGGGCTGATGCCAGCTTGATGGATACCTCGCGCGCAAATGGAACCAGAAGACGGTGCTGGGCTCAATTATTGACCCAATGGCCGACAAGACGCTGGTGACCACCCTCGTCGTTTGCCTCACGTACAAAGGGCTGCTTCCTTGTGCGTATCCTCACTCGCGCTCCGCTCACGCAGTGCCGCTCGCCATCATCATCTTTGGACGCGACTTTTTGCTGTCCATGTGGGCATTCTACCTGCGCTACCAGAGCCTTCCGCCGCCCGTGAGCTTCCCCGCCGTAGCGAATTCTGACGGCAGCGAACCCTCAAGCGCTACTTTGACCCCACGATGCCATCCGCTGAGGTGAAGCCGACGCAGATCTCCAAGGTGAGCTAAGAGTTTTTCAGAGGCTCACGTAGATCAACACGGCGCTCCAGCTATCTCTTATGGGACTGACGACTGTGGCCCCTGTCCTCGCTGGAGCCGGACATCCCATCGACGTCTACCTCGAGGGACTGCAGTGGATTGTGGCGGGCACGACAATCTGGAGTGGGCTGAGCTATGTCGGTGCCTCTGGGTATAAGTTCCTCAAGCAGCCGGGCAAGAAGTAGAGCATTATACATCACAACAATAGCATGGACATCAGTACATCAGGTGGGGTGCACGGCATGCACGGGATGACCCGGTACAGGGAGGTTCATAGCGAAAACGGGTGGCTCGTGGAATGACGTCAGGAGTGGTGCTTCCGCGGTTTGCCACCAAGCGATGCCAGCCAGCCGGTGCCGGGAAGCGCGTTGCTGATACGGTGGGTCAACAAATCGCCAGCGTGACATCTCCATCTCTCCATCGCATCTCTCTTCCATCGCCTCGACCGCCGGCATCGACCATGAGCACGCTCCCCCAGGTAAGTCTGAGCGACCCTGCGTCTGCTACGCCATTCTCGCGCGCCGTCGCTGACAACAGTACTACAACATCCTCGTGAGACTGATTGCCCGACCTCGCTAACGAAAGAACATTGACCTCTCGGCTTCGGCGTGAGTACAACCCTTTCGTCCGCGAATTGCCTACACCGACGCACTCTACGCCCTTATCCCACTCGTCCACTGACGCCAGTGAGGACATCCGCGCCGCATACCGTCGCGAGTCGCTCAAGACGCATCCGGATCGCCTCTCCCCGAAAGCCCCAGCCGAAGAGCGCAGGCGCTACACCGAGCGATTCGTGCGTGCCTCTCCTTCTTGCGCCGTTGCTTCTCTAACAGCAGCAAGCCGTCGCGGACGCATACTACGTGCTCTCCGACCCGGCCCGGCGCGCGGAGTACGACGCGCTGCTGCGCTCACGCCCGACCAGCGCATTCACAGATGCCTCGGCCGACGCGGACGAGCAGGAGCGCGCGAGCAAGAACTTTTTCGAGGAATTTGCCCGCTACTTCCAGAACGCGACGGGTGGCGGCTTCGGCACAACGGGCAAGACGGACGCCGACTCGGGCGTCGGCTCGGAGCCCGGCACGCCGCCGCGCACCGGGCGCGCCCGCCCTGACCCGAACGGCGTGTTCGGCGATGTGTTCGAGGAGCTCCTCGAGCCAGAGGTCGCCAATGTCCACCGCCGCTGGTCGTTTGTCGGCGGTGCGGCCGGTGCCGCGATGGGGTACATTGTCGCCAATATTCCCGGCGCTGTTGCTGGCGGTGAGTGATGCCGGGCGAGTCGCCCATCTCGCAGGTGGCCAGCTGGGTACACGAGTCGACGCTGACCCCAGCTTTCGCGGGCAACCGCCTCGGTGCCATTCGCGATGCCAAGGGCAAGAGTGTTGCGCAGGTCTTCTCGACGCTCCCAGGCGCACAGAAGGCGCAGGTATGTCATCGCACACGAACCTCAGTGAGCTAACCACAGATTCTGCGCGCCCTTGCCGTCAAGGTGCTCGGGAGCATGCAGTGACGCAGCGATTTCGTGTCCTGTTCGTTTCTTGCCCCATTTCGTATTTTGATCTTCGATACCCTTGACTCGTGCAGCACTCTATAGCACGCGATGCATGCAATGTAAGATACAATCTATCTATTCCACGATCGTGACCTTGACTCCGCCCTCGACAACCTCCACCTGCACCCTGCCGTCAGTGACATCCTCGCTTGTCAGTCGGTGAACCCACTTCGTCAAGTCGTCGACGATCCACGCGGCGCCGAGCCCCTCGAGCTCCTCGCGCGGATGCGACGTGCACACAGCAAGCACCTGTGCGCCGCACGCGACGCCGCTCTTGATCCCCGTCGGCGCGTCCTCGACGACGATGCAGCGCGCGGGGTCGAGACGCAGCTTCTTCGCGCCCGCGAGGTACGGCTCGGGGTCGGGCTTGCCGAGGCTCACGTCATCCGCGGTCACGAGGGCGGGGTAGGGCGGGATGCCGCCCGTCGCGAGGGCGCGCGACGCGTACTTGCGTGTAGCGGAGGTGACGATGGCCCACACGGGCGAGGGCGCCGCGTTCAGCTGGTGTCAGGCACTTCCGACATGACGCTACGATGGCGCTGCGCTACGCTCCGACACAATAGACGAGGACTCACCGTCGTCAGCATGTCCACTACGCCGGGGAGCACGACGAGGCCGCGCTTGCCCTCGTCCTTCAGGCGCTGGGCTTCGTCCACGATCATCGTCTCGAAGCGGACTACCTCGCGCTGGGGTTAGTGCCGCTTCACGGGAAGACATACGTGCAGCGCCTCGGGCTCGGTGATCTTGCAGAAGATCCGCATGTTGTCAATCGAGCGCTGGCCGTGCGAGGCTGCGGTGAGCGGTGGTCATGGTGGCTGGGGTGTTTCGGAGGGGGCAGTCGGAGGGTATTGGAGACGGGAGGCAGAGGTTGACCACCATGGGCACTGCTGTATCATAGAACCACATGCTGTGGAGCTTGGACGGCAGGAGGATTCTGGACTGAAAAGCCGTGCGCACGCTCACTCGCTCGCACCACACCGGGTCCGAGCGGGTACCGACCAGGTAGTCTCCCGCGGTCTGTGACCCCTTCTACCCCGGCGTCTCAATGACCCGTTCCGACGAGCAGCTCTTCCGCTGCGCCGCTCCGTCTTCCCCTCCCCTCCCGTATGCCGCACCTCGACTCACTCTTCAGCACATGCTCGAGGTCGAGGTTGAACTCGCGCGCATACTGCTCCCATGTCGCGTTGACAGCCGGTGTCGAGTCGAGGAGCGTGCCGTCCATGTCGAAGAGGATGCCGTCGACGGTGACGGATGGCGTGCCGTTAGTCTGGGTCATCTTGCTCTGCGCAGGGTAGCAAAGGTGGTGAGGTTGGAGGCAGTGGTGCTAAGCGAAAGAGAACAAGTGGGAGAGTCAGAAGCTGCGTAAAGTCGAACGTTTACAAAGCCGCCCGCGCCGGTGTCGGCCCGGGCCTCATCCCGACACACAGCTGCTAATCTGTTAAATTACAGCTTAATCCTTTGGCTGGGGAGTCACCAACGATCAGCACTCCAATTACCAGCTACAACCGCTGTCTTCTGCCGCCGGCTTATCTACCGCCAGCCCCACCTAATCCGCAGCCTAAGACCCAGATACATGCTAATCTATCAACGTGGTGGTACATAACGCCTAGAGCGCGGGGACGTTGACGACGGCGACCGCCTCAGGGTACTCGATGAGCTCGCAGTCGGCAGCGTACGTCTTGCCGAACTCGCCCGTCGACACCTGCGTCTCGACACATGCGAGGTCGAGCGGCGCGTCGAGCACGAGCACGGGGTGGTGCCACACCCCGGCGCGGTAGTTGAGCCCAGTGCCGCTCTCCATGATGAACGACTTGACGGTCGCGGGGTCCGGGCGGTCGTCGGGTCCGTTGTCCGCCACGACGACGAGGAATGTGCCGCCAGGAGCCAGAGGCGTCTCGCCCACGCCCGCGAGGTTGTCCTTCCCCATAGGAATGAACGCTTGCGATGTGTACTCGTGCCGCTCCAGGTAGCGGATGTCGAAGCGCTGCCCGCGGTGCAGGCCCTCCTTCGGCGTGGCGCGGAACACGCCCAGCGCCGTGCGGGCGCCCTTCGCGTCCTCGTCCGCGGGGTAGGTATTGGTTACGCGGGAGGGCTGGGAAGCCGCGACGCCGATAAGGTCACCGTACGGTGCCCACGCCTCCTCCGTGACTGGGACGGGGTTGATGGCGGCGAGGACGGAGGGGGCATACTCCTCCGAAGCCGGCGGGACCGGCGAGGGCGATGGGGGAATGGCCGGCGTGTGCGCCTGTACAACGAAGGTGAGGTCGGCGGAAGTCGAGGTCGTCTCAGCCGCGGAGACGACGGCGAAGTCGATAGACTCGTTGAGCGGCACCACGGCATGCCAAGTGTTTGGGGCGATGGAGACGCCCTGCGCTGTCGTAGCGAAGTAGGCCCTGGCCGCGGTCGGCGTCTCGCCCTTGGCCACGACGACGAGGTAGCTCGCGCCGGGGTTGAGCGGCGTGCCGCCGGGCGCGACGCCGCGGCCCTGTGGGAGGTACGCCTTAGTCTCCGACGAGCGGTCAAGGCTCGTGACGCGGACGGAAGCGCCGTTGCGCGCATCGGCGCCTGGAGCGCGGCGCTCGTGCGTGATTTCGCCGTTCTGTGGCAGCGGCGCGAGGCGGTGGAACTTGAACGCTGTTCCCTGGTTCGCGTCCGTTACATGGATGCCGGCGGGGGAGCGCTGGCGCCCGTCCCAGCCCTGCACGACGTGCCCGAACTCCTTGAAGGCGTCGTAGGTGAGTACCTCAGCGCGCGGGGCGGCGGTAGACTCTGCGCGGTTAGATGAGACGGAAGGGTGACATACCGGTGACCTTGTTGATGCGCGAGTCCACCTGCAGAGCAGGGGTGGGGGCGGCGACAGGCGACATGTGTGAAGTGCTGGTGAGGAGAGTGGGTGAGGGAAGTGCGAGTGCTTGATGCCTTTATCTAGAAACTTGGATGCGAGATTAGATGCAGAGTGCTGTGAAAAGGTCGAATGTGAAGTATCAAGTCGCGGCAGTAGCTGAAGTGGGCGAAGTTGCAATATGGACTGAGAGCATTCCGGCACGAGCGGCTAGCCGCGGCTTATCAGCCGAGCCGATCGGACCGGACGCCGGGTTGCGGGCGACCACGGGGCCTCCCACACACGTCGGCGAGGGTCTTCTCATGCATCCAATGCTCGCGCACGCATTGCCAGATGCTGAGAGGCACCCGGCGGCATGTGGCCAGGTGGGCTGCCGAGCTGGAAAGGCGTGCATGTTCGAAATACCTGTGCCGCGGTTCCAACTCTTTCATATCGTCTCTTTCATATCACGGCTTTCATATTGACACTTCGGAGTGATTTCTATTGGACCAACAACGGTGTACCTACATGGACTAGGCGGATGCCTTTCACGCTGGAGTCCAATATCGCGTGCTCTCATGTCACGAGTTCTCGCAAGCAGTGCGAAGACGGGGAATGAAGCGTGATCAGCTGCGGGTCATGTCGGACTCGTAGGAGGTTTTGAAAGAGAGCAGGAGCCACCGCGCCCATGCCTTGGCGACACCGTGGGCTGGTAGCGGCGTAGATACGAATTACCTGCCTGTGGGAGTGGCCAGGACTTGTATACTTCCCCTCAGAGTTCGGAGATCTGTGAGTTAGGCGGCTGCCGTTGCCGCCGGCTGTGGACATCTATATCTCCTGCGAGCGCTGCGGCTCCGCCAGATCTCGTGCAATTCATTTTGTGGTGGGGCCTTGGTGGCAACATGGTCGGTGGAGTCACCACAGACGCCCCAGTGCAAGGTGTCGGGCCTGAGTGCGCGAGAATGTGTCTCCGATGAAAGCGTATCGTACCCGCTGATTCACTGGGAAAGACGGGGCATCAGGAGCAGGGGAAATATGTGGCACGAACCATGCGCTCTCTGGGGTCAACCCGCCGCCCAGACTTCCGTCTGGGCTGTAGGTAATGTCATTTGGGCCAACTCGCTATATGTAAGCCACCTCGCCGTTGTAGCAGACGCGGCTCGCGCAAGCGATAATATGGCCTCTTCTAAGCATCAGTCCTTACAATGAGTTCTTACAATGGTCTGGATTAGAAAGCGTGGTAAGCTGGCTAAAGGGCCACGTTCATGACACTTTCACCGCCTGGAAATCCTCGCTGCAGACGCAGCACACAGCCGCTCGAGGACACGTCCGTCGCGCTCCCGTTGCGCCGTGGAAGTCGAATTGCGGTATCTGCCCTCACGTGTCTATGCCGGCGGCACTTGCTCCGCTGAATCGAGCGGACTGAGTCCCCGCTCACTTATGAGCTCGGTCTACGACTCCGGGATGCGCGTTCCGCACGAAAGCGAGCGGTCGTTGAGCGTCGGGGCGAAGTTCATCAGGTAATCAAGCGGCCTCACCACTGCACACCGGCGACTCTGCTAAACGGCAAAACCCCGATCGGCAGCCGGCCGTTTTAAAGTGACGTAGCCGTCTTCTGCCGCCCACAACTTTCTCCAACTTCCACATCATCCTCCCACCACCATGGCCCCCCTCCGCGTCGCGATTCTCGGCACTGGCCTCTCCCTCCAGGCCTTCCACTACCCGCTCATCACGGCGCTGCCGGAGCAGTATGTCCTGCACAGCGTGATGGAGCGTAGTGGGAGGGGCAAGGCGCAAGAGATTTGTGGGGGCGACATCAAGGTCGTTAAGACCATTGAGGAGGTGGTTGGGGATGCTGAGGTCGATGTCGTGGTGGTTAGCACGCCGAATAACACGCACTATCCGTTCGCGAAGGCGGCGCTGGAGAACGGGAAGCATGGTGAGTGGGTCGGCGGCGTGGTGATGGGCGAATGTCAGGTCCGGCAGTCGGACCGGTACGCTCTGAGCGAGAGCGGCGATGCCGTCGGGCCGGTCACACTTCAAGAAAATGAGGCCGACATTGTCGGACCGCGTGGCTGCTTCCGTCTTGCGGGGCTGTGCTAACCCCAGTCATGGTCGAAAAGCCCGTCACTCCCACTGTCGCCGAAGCCGAGGAGCTTGCAGCCCTGGCCAAGAGCAAAAACCTCGTTTTCTGCGTGTACCAGAACCGCCGATGGGACGCCGACTTCCTGACGCTCCGGAAGGTGCTTGACGAGGGGACTGTAAGTGAGAGAGTCACCGGCACAGGCGACGAGTGGGCCAGCTCCAACTCCTGCTTGGCGATACTGACCCCAGCTCGGCCCGATCCACGAGTTCCACTCCCGCTTCGACCGCTACCGCCCGCTCCCGGCCGACCACAAGCCCAGCGGATGGAAGGAGACGCCCGGGGAGCACAACGAGGCGATCTACAACCTGGGTTCCCACGTGATTGACCAGGTCGTGACTCTCTTCGGCGTGCCCGAGCGTCTCATCGCGCGGAACTACGACGAGCGCGGCGTGGGTCTCGACGAGGCCTTCGAGATGACGCTGCTCTACCCGCCGCAGTCTGGCGCGCAAGGCCCGCTCGCGGTGCACGTCGGCGCTTCGATCCTCTCCAGCACGCCGCAGCAGCGGCGGTTCCTCGTCAAGGGGCGGGCGGGGAGCTTTGAGAAGTTCGGGCTGGACCCGCAGGAGCCGTTCCTGCGCGCAGGCAAGAAGGTGCGCGACTCCGGGTTTGGGGAGGAGGGCGAGGACGCGTGGGCGACAGTCAGCGTGTGCAAAGATGGACAGTGGAGCTCGGAGAAGCGCAGGAGCGAGAAGGGCTGGTATCCCGCCATCTACGAGAGCATGCACGAGGCGATCACGAGCGGCGATGTCACCCGCCTTGCGGTCCAGCCTGAGCAGGCGATCTGGACGATGCGGCTCATCGAGATGGGCAACACGTCTAGCCGCGAGGGGCGTGTGATCGATGTGCAGAAGGAGGCCAAGTAGTGTTGGAGGGTATGTATCCGTGCCGGGGCGTGGCGTGGCGTGAGACCCAGCGACGGTCGAGCCGGCGAATGCTGAGCGTGACGTCGACGGCGCGAGATGGCACGGGCAGCGCCTTGGACGTTTACATGGACATGAGCATGAACATGAACGTGACGAGTATATGAACCGAGCGAAAGCGACGAGAAGAGGGCATGGTTGTAAGACCGTGGGGGCCATGGACGTGGGAAGGCGCCCCTCCGTGGCGTGACGACAGTGTCGTGCTCACGGCCAACACTCAAGCCATGAACATGACCGTCTCCTGGTGACTCAGGCATCGAGGATTGCGGACAGTCAGCCTTCACCCTCAGGTATCCATAGGAGACATGACCTCCTCGCTGCTCGAGCTGCCCACGGACGCGCTGTCCACAGATACACAGCGGGCATGGACCGTAGCCGTGCCGCCAAGTCGGCGCACGAGATGTGCCGAATAATGCTTACGTCTCTATCGACTTGGTATTAATCCAGACCCCACCTCCAACCCCCGCCTCAGCCCCACTTCATATGCCCACGCAGTTTCGAGTGACCAAGCCTCACCCGGGGATTGAGGATCGGAACCGGTCAGCCAGCCGGCCCAGGCATGGCACGAGCGGTGAGGGGTGACTTTTCCCCTCGCACGGCGAGGGCCGCTCGCCCTGTGTACCCTGGAGTGCCGAGGGCGGTTGAATTGCTTCATACATGCTTGTTGCTGACGGCGGCAAGCAAAAAAACCGGGTCGGCCGCCACTTGAGGGGTGTGGCGCGAATCAAGGAGCTTCTGCGCCACGGTGCCTGAATTCGGGAGAGGGGGACAAAGCTCGTGCGATCGTGTGTGCGGATAAACGGCGTGGCGGATGATCGCCGTCTTGTCTGCTGCAATTCTGCAAATGCGAAAACGAGAGTGTGTGTGCGTTGTTTGTGCTGAGGGTCGAGGACGACGGGGAGGAAAGGGAACACGACGGCGACTGCGAGCTGTGCGAGACGTGAACAGGATATGCACCAAAATTCTCTTGTGATGTGTCCTCATGCACGAGCGGTGGTCGGCGGATTGCAGGAATTGATCGCGTCACGCGCGCTAATACACCGGCGATCAGCCCTGATCCACGTGCGTGATCAGTGACATTGCGGTTGCGCGTAGCGGAATGGCCTCTATCCATGCCGTCGCCATCATCGCCACCACTCTCCCATGTCGCGCGATTGGCGGACAGCCATTACGGGCGCCGGGGATCGCCTGGAATGGGGGCTAGTGGGGGTAGGTGGGGCGGGTGGGGAGCGAGGGGAGCGAGGGGGGAGCGATCCGTGCGATGCTGCCGCTCAAACTCTCGCGCGCTCGCTCGCTCCATCGGAAGAAGACGCTTGGGCTGGGTACGTGGGAGTGCACCCGCTGCCCGTTGCAGAAACATGGAGCGCTGAACGACTGTGTCAGCGAGCAAAAGGAAAAAGGAAAAAAGTGTTGCTAGGTGGGATCATTTCCAGGGGTTGCCAGACGTTTGAGGTGGGGCATCCAGTGACATGCCGACGGACCGGCAGCCACGATGAGTCAGAGGGTGTTCGGAGGGGTGTTCGGAAGATGCTGCGGCAGGGGCCCACTATCGAGCCGTTCAGGCCGAAGCCCAGATGCCCGGAGCGAGGAGGCGAGACGAGGCTGCCGGCGAGTGGGGGTAAGAGGGACAAGGACGAGCGGCCTCTTTGCCAAGTGTGGCGGAGGGTGTGGCGTTTTTTTGCCCTGGAGCGACCGAGGAATGAGGCTCGCTAGAACCTGGCAGAACACGCACATCCTCATCTCCCTTCGTATTCTCGGGTGCTTCCACTCATCCGTTGTGCATCCTCCGCCACGTATCCCTCGTCGCTGTCACCCCTTGTCCTCGTCAAGGATCGCTCCGAGCAGAAGGGATAGCCACAAACGCGGCGATCGTGGATCGTAGGGGGCAGGGGCCGCCTCTGCTCGCCGCTTGGGCTTGGGTGATGGCCGCCGCTCGGACGCTGCGGACGCCCGCACGGGCCTGTGTATCGTCCAGACCAGAAATCCCGCCATGGCGCGCCATGTTAAACTGGCAACCGCTGGTCAGCCTGTTGATTACGAGGGGTTTTCTCGTCCTCGAGCCGCACTGAGCAACGCGCGGTCTACCGACCATGTCTTCCCACGCACGGGCCAGAGGAATCACTCGCTCAGTCCGGCGTCGCTCGCACAGCAGCCCCCTTGCCCTCGCTCGCCATATGGGTCGGCAGGATCCGCTTGCTACTGATCACCACTCTTTCGACTGACTTGTGCGCAACCCACGCCCTATCTTACTCGCTTCATCGCTCATCGCTCGCTCGACCTTCATCTCCCCCTATCTCCCCCTCTTCGTCGTCCTCTCCCCCTCTCTCCTCCCTCCTCTTCCGAACACCTCTCCGTCTCTCCCCTCCTCACATATTCTCCGCTATCGCCCACCTCCCACTAGCCTTTCCGGGCAGCTTTCATCCCCGATCACTCACTTTCTCTTCACTACTTGTCCATTCTGAACCTCGAAAACAATGCGTCTGCTCCCCCTCCTCCTTCTCCCCCTCGCCCTCGCCTCACCCGCTGAGAAGCGTGGCGGCGGCGGCGACGACGACGACGACCGCCGTCCCCGTCCCCGTTGCTCGACCGGTACCGTTTATTCCGTCACCACGGCGTAAGTTGCGTTCTTGAAGCAGCTAATCAAGAGCTGGACTACTATTCCCCGGCCACAGGAGACTATCACCCGCTCCGTCTGGGGCTACTGCTACGAGACCTTCTACACCACCGTCGTCAAAGGTAAGTTGTGCCACGGCTGCCACAGCGGAGATCGCCACTGACGATCCTAGCCACCACTGTTCCGGGCACGAAGACGATCGTGAGTTGCATGGGATGGGGCCATCACCGACGCCACACATGGTGTGGCGGGGTGCGAGTCGGTACACTGGCTCTTCGGACTCTCCGATCAGAAGAAGTGCCACCTTCGAATTCTGCCGCCCCACACATGCCTCCACCCAGCATTCACTGACGATACAGACCGAGTCATCCACCCCCACTACGTTCACGCGCCTCCCTCCAACCACCACCACCAAGACATATACCGCGACGGTGACACGTAACCCCAAGGACCGGCGCGACGAGTACGAGGACGAGCAGAAGCGCGACGCCGAGGCCGAGGCGGAGCCCGAGCTCACCAACGCGCAGCGCCTGCAGCGCGGCCTGCCCCCGCGCTCTCCCGCCCACCTCATCCGGAAGCGCACCGGCGGCGGCGGCGGTGGTGGTGGCGGTGGTGGCGGTGGTGGTGGTCCCCGCCCCAACCCCTCGTGCACGCACTCGGTGACGACGATCTGGGCGACCATCTCCAAGACCGACCGCCCCTGCCCGACCACCACCGTCCGCGAGGTCTACTGCAAGCCCACCACCAAGACGGTCAACTCGTACGTCCCCACGACGACATTCCGCACCAAGACGACGACGGTGCCCGGCACCAAGACGTCGACGATCACCAAGCCCCCTCTGTCGACCAAGACTATCCGCACCACTGTCACCACCACTGTCACCGGCAAGCCGTGCAAGCGCGACGCCTACGGTAATATTATCGAGGAGTAGACGCGCGCACCGGACACTGCATATAGAGTCGATCATAGTATCTAGCTGGCTGCGCATGGACACTAGCCTGCGTCGTTCATGTATAATCGCTGCGGGTTTAGGGCGGGTGGACGGGTGGAACTGGAACACGCAGGATGTTTGCACCTGGCCCCCCGGGCCGCTCGACACCGTGAGTCCGCCCCCGCAGGCAGGCTCATGACCCCAGCACCGAGGCGGACACCAGTATGGGGCGCAGTAAGCTCAAGCGTCGCCCAATTTCGGACTAAGCTCAGCAAATGACGTCCGCCGTGGCGCCGCAGACGATCGACTCCACGTCGGTATCGCAGCAATGATGTCCGCACGCCGGAGGGATGGGGGGAAACGCGGGGTGGTTGAGCGGCCTGATGCTGAGGGGCTCGCCGAGTCCCGATGTGCTCAACAGTGAGCTGCGCCGGGGTAGATGACGTGAAGTGAGCCAGAGAACTCGCAGCGCCGGAGAACTGGCAGCGATCGACGGCTCTCTTCGGGTCTGGGCACGACTGTGGTAACCGTGGGAATGGCGACGACGTTGGTGCGGAACGAGGCTCTCTCATGCAGCAATACGTTCGGATGTGGCCCACCCCACCATGTCTGTGCTTCGGCCCAACCGAGACGCCTGTCTTGCCAGCATGCCTCGGATGCATCGACAATCTCAGCCACTGCCTCCAACCAACGTCGAATCCTCACCTGCTTGCAGCCATGCAAACTAAACCTCAGCCTCGCTCGCTTAGCCTCCGGCTGCTCACACATGACCATGGACGCTCATCTGATCACCTGGACTCACCCCAGTACCTGCAGCGCTGCTCGTCACAAACTGGAATCGAGGCACCGAGGCCATAGCAACGGCGTCAGATTGTGTCCGGAAACCCTGTCCGAAACTCGCTCTGCACCTCACACCTTCGCTAGCGTTCCGGCGGAGAGATGTGCGCGCAATGGACGTCACGCGCGGAATGGGTGGAACGTCTGGAACGCTCTTTGTTGCTGTCACCTGCACGAAACACGTTTGGGGCGGTAGAAGCTCTGCGTCACGCCGTGGAAGGAAAAGCTTCTTCGTTTCACTCACACTTACGTAGATGGGCTGCTCCGATGCCTTCATAACGGGCGGACCGCGCCGTCTAGGCATCCGCTTGTACGCGTGGCAGCCTTCCAGTCCAAAAACGTGCGCATTCAAGCTGCCGCAACGGGTTATATGCTGGAGCACCAGTGAAAAGACATGAGATTATCGAAAACTGGGGTTCATTACGACAGCGGTTCCGGGACATCAGTTCCTGTCCTGGCTGCGTACCTCCTGCCAGTGCGCATCACGAACGCGTCGTCGCGTCTACTCATATGCTCATGAATGGCACGCCGGGTACACTCTATTTAACGATGCTCGCGGGCTGCATTGTGCCCGGGAACGGTGTTGTGATAGTGCTGGCCATCAGCTGCCCGCGGCTGTCGGTGAGTGTCCGCTGCATCCGACAATGCCGACCATCACTTGCCAACCTCTGCCTGATCTTCTTGTCTGCCTCAAGGTGATGGCTGAACATACTGAACATATTGCTGCATCACCTACCGCTCTCACCCCGCGGCAACTTCCCCGCGGTGCTCGCTATCTTGCGATCACGACCCCACATAGATGCATGACGCAGCTGGCGCAGGTACAGTTCAGCCGCACGCGCTTATATGAACTGGTCAAAGGTTTCACGAGCAGCGCCGCACGCCGTGCAGGGGCAATATTGGCGAGCATAGCTCATCTTGGGCAGTGCCTGGCAAGCCTGTGGACATTGTCGGCGGTGGATTTGGCCAGCAAATTTCGTCCGTTTGCTGCCACAGCACTTTGATGGCCTGCGTTCCAACGATCCGGGCCATTCACTTGACTTGGACAGGGAAGAACGCCAAAATTGCAGCGTCAACGACGAAACGGCCCTTCAGGCGGTTCTGCCAAGCTGCAACCAATGCTCGCTGACGCCAACGAAATCCTCACCGTCGTCATCGATGAGCCCGAACCCGTCGCGCTATGATCTCCAGCCCTGCTGCTGGAGATTGCAGCGCTGGGCAAACCACCGTGTCCCGCCACAGCCTCCCGCACCGGGAGGCGACAGTAGTGGCGCTGTCCCGTGCCGATGCGACCTGGGTGGTGAGAGATGGTGAGAGATGGTGAATGCAGGGCCAGGAGGCACGGTGGCAAAGTGCAGGGAATAAGCACGCGTTTGAGCGTCCGCGGCGTCGTAGGCCCAACGAAAGTGATTCAGGGATAATCAAGAGGACGGGGCAGGTCTCGGGGATGCAGCTGGCCTTAGTCTGGCGGAACACGGGAGACTCCCGCGGGCGTCCCGCCATCGCGCTCCCAGACTGGGTAATTGAGCAAACCGCTGACTTTGATTTTGCGGGACACTGATGGCTCCCGCCCAGTGGGCACGCGTGCATTTCACTACCGCACCGTAGAACCACCCTTGGGCCCCTCTCGCAGCGTGCAGTCGTCTCACGCGCCGGTTTCGATGAGGGGCTGAGACGCGGCGCCATAGGGGCCATCAGGAACCGGAGGCTCAGCCACAGCGCCACGGTCGATCTCCATCATCAGCAAGTGGTGGCTCTGTGGCACAGTCACGCCAGCCTCCTCGTACTCTCCTCTCGTCGCAGGTCGCTGCAGGACATATTAGAACACCAGCCTCTGCGGTCCGTGTTCCTCTTCTCCTTCATTTGTTGCTCTCACCATCGTCCGTCGTCCACTCGACTAGCTCCAGCTGCGCAGGCACACCACATCTAGGCCGTCGCCAACAAGTCACAACTCGACCGTACCTATCCCACCCGCTGCCGGCACATCTGATTCCCTTGGGCCTTACGGATCCTGGGACTTTGCTTCAGCGCTGCCTGGCCCATTCCTCGCCCGCTTCCACTACAGCAACAGCATCACACGCCGACATGATGCCCTCGCACTTGTACTCTCTCAACTCGCCTAGCGGGTCTACGCCACATCTCGCCTTCACATCATCTTCATCTTCATCGTCGCTCACTTCACTCCCATCTCCAACTTCTTCATTCATTAACAAGTCTCGTGCCCGTATCTCCGCCCCACCCCCACCTCGCCGCCGCACGGCCTCGACATCCGCCACACTCGCTCCTCCCCCGCTCCCCACGGTCCTCGCGTCCCCCGACCCCGAGAACCGCGTCCGCACAGCCCGCCGCTCCGTTCAGTTCTCCAAGCAGTCCGGCGTCGTGAACTGGGCCCGCCCCATTGCGCCCAACCACGAGAACGCGCCTGCCGTGCCCCCACTCCCCCCCTCCTCCTTCACAATGCGTCCAACAGCCACCGCGCCACTGGACACGCCCACCTTTGGCGTGTCGCGCCGCACCTCGAATACGGGCTCGCTCTCCTCGTCGTCGGGCGAAGACGAGCTCCCCACCACCCCCCGCCTCCCTCCCGGTGCCGTGCCACCAGAGCCCCGTGCCTGGGCCGTGTCTGCGGACCTCAAGGGGCTAGGCGTATCGAATGTTCCCCTGCCTAAAATCAGCTCCGTCCCTCCTCCGCAGCACCCCGAGCTCATTGCGCGCGACTCGGAGGACTCGCTGGCGTCTGAAGCCGGCAGCCTCGGTGGGGAGTCGACGACGACAGCCGCCTCCTCGTCGCCCTCGACGCCCACCCGCCTCTTTTTCGTCTCCGAGAGCTTCGACGCCCTCTCGAAGCCCACGAGCCTCGAAGAGCTCTCGCGCCTCCGCGCCGCCGCGAAGCAGCTCGACCTCGAGTCCCAACGCTTGCGGCGGCACCGGGGCCAAGACCCGGCACAAGTGCGGCGCCTGCGGCGCAAAGCCGTGCCGCAGCTAACGGAGGCGGACTTGGCGCCGGCAGACCCGGCGCCACGGCCCCGGCCGCGCGCCGCGCTCCGGCACTCCCTCATCGCGCCGCCCGGATACTCGTTCCGCGTCGACGACGAGCCGCCGCGCGACCACCCCTTCGTGGCACAAGCCACGACGCTGGCCGAAGCCCGCGCGATCGCAAAGCTCAAAAGCCAGGCGGCGGACGGGCTCGGCGCCATCGTCCCGCCCCCGTCCGCCGCGGCGCGCCGCCAAGCCTTCTACTCGCAGGGCAAGGCCGCGCAGTCCGTCATCGAGTTCAGTCCGCGCAAGAGCGCATGGACGCCGCCGCCCTTCCTCGCCGCCCGCGCCAACGCGAGCGCTCACGCAGGGCACACCCCCGCGTCGCCCGCCGCCCCAGGCCCCCCCGTCACGGTTCTCCCTGCCCCGCTCCCCGTCCCCGGCCCCGGCCCCGGCCCCGGCCTCGAGAGCGACGCCCTCCCCTCGCCCACGCGCAAGGCGTCCCACAGCTTCCTCAAAAACAAGAAACTCTCGCGCTTGTTCGGCAAGGCCGCGGCATAGGCGCTGGCGCCTGAACATTGAGTACTTTCGCCCATATTGTTGTATAATTACGCTGCATGCTAGAGGGATCTCTGGTAGAGTTTGTGTACCGTTCTCGATACACTTGGTTGCGTATTCTGGCTTGTTCCTTGTAATTCTCTCCTTGATCTTATTTACCTATGTCTTGTGTCTTGTGACTCCTTCGCCTCCCGCTAGCCTGCCCACAGTTGAGCGGTCCAGCGTCGCACCAAGATCCAAGTTCGTCCCGCCCCGCTTCCCATTCCTCAACCAGCATCCCGTGAGGAGCCGGAACCAATCCCTCCCGGTTCCTGAGTCTTCGCACGTCTCGTTTGCCCGGCGATGGTGGACCGCGTACGACGCCCAGAGCCGCAGAGGAAGGCAGGGCTGGGATGTCACGCGTCGGCGGAAGGCGCCGGGCAGTTCAGTGCGGGTGACTCGGGCCTGGGATGGGATGATCGAGGCTGCTGTCGTGCATGAGCCGGTTGCACGGTTTTCGCCACTCATTTGACCAGCCCGCGAGATTAGCTGCAGCGCTGCCGGACAGACTGACGTCAGTCACGTGTGCGAGTTGTGGACTGGCCTGCGCGGCTGATGGTGCTGCTGTTCTCGTCGTGATGGCGACCGCCTGAGACAGAAATAACATTGCAGACTCGTGCGATGCACACTCTGTACGACTGGAGTAACGCGGTTTCTGACATGCGGATATCTCATCGCCAACAGTGCAAGCTGAGGGGCAGGGTTGCTGATGTGTTGTGCCGAAGAGTCGCGATGGGATAGAGCTAGAAATAGAGTCGCGATGGGACGGTATTGCGATGGGATAGCTGTGGTAGGAGACAGGTGTGATGGGACAGTTGTGCTGAATAATTAAGATGGGACACTCATGATAGGGCGCTGAGACGAGCCCATTTGGGCGATGAGATAAGTGTGATAAGACAAGACGGAAGCCGTCCATCGCTAGTTGCTGCCGGCCTGCGACTCCGCAAGCTCTGACGCTTGACAGCATGTGTTGAGCACACCTTTTATACCCAGCGCCGCGGGCTGCACATGCACACGCCATGTGCTGGTGCCATCGCCGGCCCGGCGGAATGCGCTCAGGGCTATTTCGACGCCGCCAAGCCTGACCCGTTGCAAGCGCAGAACGGCTAATCGTGCAGTACTGCGTAGCGCAGGGTCCGGCCGCGCGCAGTACGCGTCGATGCAGACGCGGCCGGACGCCGACGGGGCACGCGCAGTCCAGGCGATAGTGGGCATAGGCGACGCCACAAACTTGGCCCTTGATATCTGAATTGATTCGCGTTGTTTGGTCCACAATTCCGGGCAGCGCTAACCATCACGCGCGCACCCACGCGCCATCGATATCGGCCAACGGACGCACAGACGCGTGCCCCACTCGCACTTGCACAGAAGGGTCTCACGACTGCGGCACAGCCCCCGGCTAGCGATATCACAGCTTGGCGCTGCACAGATTCGCTTCGTAGCGCACAGATTACGCACAGGTGAACGAGTGCATACACGTGAACAAAGTCCGATCTCAACAGCCAGTCTAAGAGGAAGGAAAAAAAAGGTTAGACAAAGGCTTAGGCGAGGAGGGCAGCAAGGGAGCCGGCAACGAGGGCGAGCGAGGGGACGAGCGCACCGGCGCCGCTGCCAGCGGGGGCGTTGGAGACGTTGGGGGGCAACTGGAGTCAGTGCTTGCTTCGCTACACAGCGGAGTTTGGCGTATGAGCTACTCACAGCCGAGCCCGAGGCAGACGCGCTGGCCGAGCGGCTGTTAGAGGCACTGGCCGAGGCCGAGAGCGAGCGCGAAGCGGCCGACGAGCGAGACACGACGGCGGAGCTCGACGACGACGCAGCGACGGCAGTGCCCTGCTCAACGTCAAAGTAGCCCGACTGAGCAAGGATGCCGTTGTCGCGGACGTTGAGGAAGTTGATGCGGTAGTCAGTGCCGACGGAGGACGCGGAGGGAGTCCACGAGTACGAGCCGGCCTCGGTCTGGACGGTGGCAACCTCCTGGGTCGAGAAGGGCTGCTGGATCTGGAGGGCGAGGATGAAGCGGTCGGGGTCGGTGCTAACGAACTGGGGTTAGCGGCTGGAGGGAAGGAGAGGAGGAAGACTCACGTCCCAGGTGATAGTCTGGACCTGGCCAGCGGACCAGACGGTGCCGTTGGCGGGGGAGGTGATCTGGATGGCGCGCGCGGCGGCGGCGAAGAAGAGGAGAGTGGCGGCGAGCATCGTCGGGGATGACAAAAGGAGAAGGTGAAGAGTGAAGAGGGAGATGGAAAAGAGTGAAAGAGTGTGAGATGAAGAGAGTGTGGTGAGAGGACTCAAGGACAGATATAGAACTCGAGTGAGCGATGGAAGAAGAAGAGGTATGTGTCAAGTCGCACGTCGCACTGCTGTACTGTAGTTGTTCCTCAATCCGATCAACCAACAACGACTCGTTTTCCATGCTCTCCTCGCTCTCCCCGCTCTCGCTGACAGCCGGACAGCGCCAGATAGGTACACCGGTGTTGCGCTGCTTCCTGCACGCCGCAACCCCGAAAGCTGTACATGATCCGACACACCGGCGCGCAATGCACGCAACGAAAGACGCGAACCGCGTCGGTCTTTCCCTGCATCTGAATTCGGCCCTCCTGCCGGCGGAAGGGGGGTGAGGGGGTCAGTTGCACCGGCGGCGAACACAAAGCGCAGGTGCGTCAAAGAGGAGGAGATCGAGGAGAATGAATTGAGCAGGGCAGGTAAAGTTTTGCAGGTGGCGCAGAAATCCAGAGCGAAGAGAGCGTTGGAGCGACAGTCGCGTCCTCGCGATATGCCCTTTGCCAGACACGCGTTCAATTCAATTCAATTCCCTAGGGATTAGAAGGGAATTACAAACAATCACCGCTAATACCCCCTTATCACTTCCTTGGTGAAGAAGAACACGTATTTGTAAACGGAATTCACCTTTCCTTGGTATCTCCCCCCACCCTGAACAGTCTCCAGGCACCCACGTAGCTCGTCGCCCGTCTCGTTGCTCGCGACCGATCTAGCCACCAACATCTCATCTCCAACTCTCTCCTCGTCGTCCTCTCCTCCTCCTCCTCCTCCTCCTCCTCTTCTTCCTCCCTCATCGCCGACACTCCCTCGCGCTGGCCGCAATCACGATGCTTCTCCTCCCACTTCTTCTCTTCATCCCTCTTGTCATCGGTACGTCCTCCACCACTCCCTCCTCACCTCCCTTCCTCTCTCCTCCTCTCTTCTCTTTCCTCTTTCCTCTTTCCTCTTCCCTCCCTCACCCTATCCTCCCTCTCCTACTTCTTTCTCCCCACTACCCCACTAACACCCAGCACAAGGCCTGGGCGTCTCCACGTCCTACTGGCCAGTGCTCAGCCCCTCCCCCTCAACGCCCTGGGTGCGCGGGCAGAAGAACCTCCTCGCATGGCGCGTCGCCGGCGGCACCGGCGTGAGCGCCTTCGAGATCGAGCTGCACCACTGGTCGCGCAAAGTGATGCAGGGCGCCCTCAAAATCGCCCGCCGGTACCCCATGCAGGCGCTGCCAGGGCGCTACGGGAACTTGGGCGGGAGCCTCGAAGTCGAGATCCCCGCCGATCTGCCCGCGACCGACGGATACATGATCTCCTTCTCGTCCTACTACCACGGCAAGGTGTATGCCATGTCCGAGCCGTTTGCGATTGTCGACTCGCTGCCCTCGAACGCCACCGCGCCCACAGGCGTGCCCAGCCCAAGCCTTACGGCCGTCATCACCGGTCTCCCGCATCCCACGCAGCAGTGGCCGCTGATGCTCGACGGCCCCGAGGACAAGAACGACGAAAAGTAGACGACTTCCTCCTCTTGCCGATTGCTCCAGGACCTGGGAGCGCCAAGGGTGTTTGACAGAATCCCCGCCGACTGCCACTTTTAGACTCGAGTCTTGCTCGTAACTGTATGGACACTTGTGTATACCGCGGGGTGGGGCAACGGGGAGGGTTTGTACGCCAAGTCTGGCTATCGTCGGGGCCAAAGTGGCACAGAGTTGTCAATCAGAAAGAGTTGGCAGCGGCTGGACTGAACGCACATCTTGACGTATGCGCCGCTCTTCGTGCATGCGCCGCCCTTCGTGCATCCCTTCGCTCTTCGCACAGCGCTCCCTTCTTAGCTCCTCGCAATCTTCGCGGATGATCACCGCTTCTGTCCGCATATAAATCCACTGCAACGCATCCCTCCACGCCCACTCGTACATGCTAGTGCTAGTACATCCCGATGCCAAGTGATGAGGGGTATCTGTGCTGGCGGATGTCCATGGATTCGGGTCGTCTCGAGCAGGGTATCTGCAACTCCTCCTCGCCGCCTCTACTTCGCCTCCTCCACCTCATCTACGCGCCGCTCCATCGCCTCGTCGATCCCCCGCGCAATGTCGTCCTCGGGCACACGCACAACCGTGCCATCCGGCATCGTGCGCTCCACCAGCCCGTCAGAGCGCAACCGTGTGCCCGGCGCAGTGCCCGGACCCAGCGGCGTTTCGGAGGTGCCGAGCTCAGCCAACTCCTTCTCTTCCGGTGACATGAGCCCGCCCTCGCGCTCCGAGTGCAGCATCAGCGCCTCCGTGTGCCGCTCTACCGCGCCAAGCTCGGCTTGCGCCTTCGCGCGCGAAATGCCCGCGGCCTTGGCTGCCTCGAGCGCCGCTGTCGTCTCGGCCGACGCTGGAGGAAGGTCCTCCCCCTGGTCATCGCTTTCGTCACCAGGGAACGACCATGAGCTCGATGGCGTACCAACGTCGTCGTCGCCAGCGCTGGGCATCACGATCGCAGTCACCTCCTCGGCGTCCTCGGCCCACGCGGGCTGCGCCTCGAACTCGCGGTCGAAGGCCTCGGCCCAGTCGCGCGGCGTCAATGGCTCGGCGGACTGGAATGAGGACGACGATGGCGCAAATGCGTCGTCGCCGAACGGGTTCTCGCTTGCCTTATGGCTGTTGTCGACAGATGTAAATGACCCCCATGCGTCGTCGTCGTCAAAGTCGTTCGTCGCCTGGAAAGCCTGGGCGTTAATCGTCGGTTCCCAAGTGGGGTAGAGTTGACTCACGCCGAATTCGTCGTCGTCGCCGTCGCGACGGGTGCTTGCACTGGGTCGAAGCCAATCGGCATCATCATCGTCGTCATCAGACGAGTCCATGCCCGCAGACCTGGCGTTGCTAGGTCTCCAGAACTGCTCCATGCCCCCGTCGTCATCCGCATTCGCGTCGTGGAACGAGTCCACGGCCTGCTTGGCCACCGTGCGGGACAGCGGCTCGCCAATGCCGGCGTGGCCAATATCGTCATCACTCTCTGAGTCGCTGTCCGAGCGCTCCGAGTTGGTCGACAGCCCACTGCCATGGCCAGTCATTGGCTTGCCGCCAGCCAGAGGCTGCGAGTCCCTTGCTCGCGTCTCGCGGAGCGAGCCCTCGACAAACGCATCCCACGCATCCTGCGAGTAGGTTGGGCGGATAATCTCGTACAGGTCGGTCGGGCAGCGCGCGAAAAACTTGACCAGCTCCTCGGCTATCAAGCTAATGTGGCCCATGTACGAGAGACGGGGCTTCGGCGGCTTCGAGTTGACTTGCTCGTCGTTCATGCGCTGAGCATCGATTACGCGACTGATGAGCCTGGTGCGGCCAAAGAGCTCAACCACGAGTTCGCGGTTTGATCCCTTGCCAAGCTGACCGTTCAAAATTTGCTGGAGGATGTCGTAAACGAGGTGGTGCAGGAAGTTGTTGTTCGCGTGCTCGAAGAAAAGATCGAGCAGCGTCGGCAAGACATCGAACTTGATGAACTGCTGCTTGAGGCGCTCGCCGGTTGACATTGTCGACTCGGGCTTGGGGCTCGGCGAGTTGGTCTTCTCCGACTCCATAACGCTCCTCAAGCGCTCGGCGTCCTCGGGCGATGCAGGTGGGGGAGTAGCCGCGTCAGAAACGGTCGTCTTGCTCGCTGTTGGCGTGCTGCCCTGCTTCTCATCGTCATCGGACAGAGGCACGTCGTCCGACTCGGTGAGCGAGTAGTCGGTCGAGCCGGAGCTGACCGGGAGTTCGCGCGCCTTGGTGACATGGCCTTCAACCGAGGTGTCCCCAGGGGTGTCCCCACCCTCTTCCCCAGCCTGCAGCGCCTGGCCAAGCTTGTCCAAGCCTTCCAGGCCACCCAGCAGCGCACCATCTGAGGAGTATTCTGGCCCGGTACCGGGAGCACGGTTGAGCGTTGCCATGTTCGAGCTGTGCAAAAGCTCGGCGTACAGCTCGATCACGCGGAAGCGCTCCATGCTAAGCGGGTTGGGCGTGAGGGCGGATTTGACGCGGTCAACGGAACGAGGCTTGCCCAGCAGCTTCTGCAGGTCGCCGAAGCGATCGGCGAGTGCTGCGACAAGGTTGCCGAGGTGAACGATGGCGAGCTTGTCAGTGAGCTCAGGCATGATGTCTTCCATCTTGCGTCTGATGGCGTCTTCTGTTGACTCGTCAGGGGTGTCGTCGGGTGCGATCGAGCCCTGCATCAACTCGCTCTGGATACTCATCAAGCGATTGCGCAGTGTGTTGAAGAGGTACGGTTCGGCCAAATCCGAGTTGTTCCTCCTAATCACCTCGACAATAATATTGCACACGTAGCAGAGCGACGAGGCAGTGGATGCGACAGATGGTAGGCGGTGGATGACGAAGGGATTGGAGGGATGCGGGCTGCCGTCCTTGGTCTCCAGACCCTTCCACCCGCGGTCGGTGACCTCGACGTCGTCGGTGAGGTATCGCAAAAGAACTTGGATGCTCTCCTTGTTGGTAAGCTCGCGGACGAGGCGGTTATCGCGCGTCGCCGAGCCCTGCAACCCGCCCTGCTGCTCCATGGCATTTCCCCCCTGCGGGTTAAACGACGAGTTCGGCGCCGACACGCATATGGCGCCCTTAAGGAGATCGGTGACGATCTGGTGGATCGAGGGAGGGTGATGAGGCGAGAGAAGCTCGAGAAGGCGGGGGACTAGGCGCTGCTCGCTGAGCCATGACACGACATCGCTGACACCCGCTTCCTCCGTCTGGATGATGCGCGCGAGCATATCCTGTATCGCGGGGCTCTCAATATGGTCGACCATACGCTCAATGATGTTGGGCATCGATTGGATGAAGCGCACCATCTCGGTCGTGCGCTTCTGCAGGAGGCTCGAGTTGACGCGCATCCACAATCCGCGTATGACCTCACGCTTGCGTTCGCGCTCCTCGTCCTCGTCGGACCAAAAGATAAGCCGCGCACGCTCACGCTCACGTCGCACCGCGACATCGCGCTTCTTCTCCACGGGAGGAAGGACAGCTTCCCAGAACGGCTCGAGAAGCGAGTTTTTATGGCTCATGATCGTCTCTGGAATCGTCCACAACTCTGACGTAAGAATCTCGGTCGCAATCTGGGGGTATCTAAGACTGTTAGCGCCCACCGCAGGCAAGGCTTACTTTGCGCGCTGCGCGTCGACAGTTTCAGTCTCATCCGGGGCGTCGAACCCTTGTCCGAGACCGATGCCCAAGCCCGGAGCCATGGGGATATCCGACTCGGCATCGTCATCCTTATCGTCGCCGCCTGCTGGCTCGAGCGGCCCGTCCGTCGCCTTGAACGGGGGAAAGATGTCATCCGAGTTCAGGGCCTTGTGGTAGGCCTCGTCCTCGGCGTGCTCGGCTTGAGTGTCGAGCTCGTCGAGACCAGACGTGACCCATCCGAGAAGGCTCTTGATGCTCTCCTCTCTTGAGAGATAAGTGACGAGTCTGAGGTCAGTGTCGGCCCAGAATAGACATCGCGTGTGTGCAAGGAAGTGACGAGCGGAGGGAGTCAGTTTTCGTGAACGCACTTGGAGTTCTGCGCTTTGCACTCGGCCAGAATGTCCTGCTCGTCCAGCAGCTCCTCGACGGTCGGAGGGCTTTCGCGCGACAGGAGCTTGTCGAGCGTCGACCCGGACGCGAAGCCAAACTTCCACAGCATGATTGGCGGGGAGGCCCGGGGGGGGGGGGAGGGGATGAGGGGAGGGGGAGCGGAGGAGAGGGATTCGCCTGCCTACGAGGGCTAGGGCGCGCTGGGTGGGCAGCGACTAGCTGTCCTGCGCGTGGCGGAAAAGACGCTGTCGCGCGAGATGCTAGAGGCGTTGGGAGGTGGTGGTCGGCCCTGGGTGGGGGATGGAAGGTATGCGATGCGTGGAATCAAAGTTTACGCCGAGGAGATTAGTTTGTCAGAGCCGGGAGCGGGGGCGTTGCGATGGAGGTCGAGGCGAGCGGCGGGGTTTCTGGCATGAGATGCTCCTTGGAGAGCAAGTTGGACGTGGTGGTGAGGAGGCGAGGGCGAGGGTGAGGGTGAGGCTGTCGAGTAATGTACAGGGGAGTGGAGAGAGAGAGAGAGTAGATGGAGAGTGAAGAGCGAGAAAGAGATGATGATGGAGAATGTTGTTGAGCTCTGCGACAATCACCCAGCTGTCCCAAGCAAGGAAGGTCGTCTGCAAAGAGATTCCGTCACCGTGCAGTGCTGCCACCGTCCAGGGCCCAGGGGCGGCCCAACTGCGGCGTGCACCTCTACCCCCGCCTATACCGCCTAATACGGCAATTATCCCTGCGTCCAATATACTCTCATAGTATTCTCCGAGCCAATCTCCCATGGTGGCACCTCTCCATGCTCTCATGTCTTCAAAATGATCGATCCATTTACATCTGCAAAAAAATGCCACCACCTACTACTCTCCATCCCCTCTCTACAGCTTAGCCTGGTCCTTGTTCCGCGTGTGCTCCAGTGTAGGCTTCTTGCCACTAATGTCCGCCCGGATAACGCCCTCCTGCGACGTCGACGCCACCAGGTGCCCGTTCTCCGTGTACACGCACCCGCGCACGAACCCGCGCCCGCTCGCCACATCCACCTGCACAGAGTCCATGACGTGCAGCAGCGGCGCGCTCGGGTCAAAGTCCGCCGGCAGCGGGTAGAAGTGCAGGCAGTGGTCGAGCGATGCCTGGTGTCAGCCTGGTTGTGGTGCTAGGCTCACCATCATGCCGAGGCGCGGCTTGGACGTGCCGCTCAGGCCGACGGCGCGCGCGCCAGTGCCGATGAACTGGAAGTCGGTCGCGAATGCGATCAAAGCCTGGCATTAGCGTGGAGGCGGCAGTGCGATAGCGCGACCGCACGACCGCGCGACCGCGCGAGGCCACTCACGCGGACCATATTCGGCGTCAACTTCTCGTCGGGCTGCAGACGGGCGCGCATCCAGATCGCGCGCGAGGTCGGGTGCTCCTCGCTCTGCGGGCGCGCAATCGAGATAGTCACGGGCGACTGCTGGCGTTCCTGGGCATGAGCGTCTGCGACCGGAATTCGGGAGTTCATCACCATCAGTGCCCCGCGGCACCCGCACGCCGTCCACTTTGATGCAGGGTCTATCTGCCATCTCCCACACGGGGCATCCGGGCAGCTGGGAATCCCCCGTCAGGGCTATTCCGTCGCCGCTACTTTCCCCCTTCTCCTGCCCAATCGCCGAAGCCTCCGTCCACAACGCACCTTGATGTAGTTCTGCACCGCGCGGACCTTGGAGCCGAGGGGCACGCCCTTGGTGCTCGCGCGCTGCAGGAAGCGCTCCCAGATCTCCTCCTCGGTCGTCGCGTCCTTGAAGGGCACGACGTCGGTCGGCATCGACTTCTGGAACGCGGGCTGGAACGGGCGCCGGCGCTGCGTCTGCACCTCGGGCTTGATGCTGGTGCCGTTCGTCGGCGGGTCAAACTTGGCGGCAAACTTGTCAAACTTGAGCGTCTCAGTGATCCCTGGCTCGTCCTTCTTGTCGTCGTAGCTGTGGTCGACGGCCGGCTGCTCCGAGTCCGGGTCCCACACGCCAGGGCCGGACGGGCTGGCAAGGTCGGCGGGGAGCTTGCGCGGCGGCGCAGAGAACGAAGCCATAAGTATAAACACGGTGCGGCTGTCCTGCAGCGCGTGCACCAGGCGTGTCGCGTAACTCGCCCCTTGGGTCAGCGGGAGATCAAGGAGCTGGGAAAAGGCAAGAAGGTGGAGTAGATAGAACGCACCATCGCGAAGGCGCTCGACCGTAAATGTGATGGGCACCTTCGAGTTGGCGGGAAGGAGGAAGTAGCACTGTACGTCAGCCTCTGCCGCCCTCCAAACACACGTGCTGCGAGTGCAAGTCCTTGCCCTCGACGGTGTTGATGGCCGCCATGAGGGACTGTGCAACGACCTGCCCGCCGAACACGCCGCGCGCGCCGTACGGCGTCCACAGGTGACCTGACGTGAAAGCCTCAAGCCCACGGACACGAGCAGTGGGGTTGACGGCCAGCGTGTTGGTCACGGTCGAGACGAGGGAGGACATGGTGGCGAGGGTCCTGCGCATAGAGTAAACGAGTGTGGAGTCGAGCACAAGATATCAAGTGCGATGAGAGATTTGTGGGGCAGAGCTCGAGGGGAGGAATGCGGCGACTGACCGCACCTACGAGCGCGGAATCCGGTTATTCGCATTGGCTATTTCCCGGCCTGGGTGGTGCACCTCCCTCATCACTCCCTCCACTCGCACTGACCGAGGCTTGCGGGTACCCCCGACGGGCACGTCGGCCGCGGCGGGGTTGGTGGATATCAGCACTATGATTCAATCACAAAGGTCCTTTTCCGCACCGCTACTCGTTATCAAAGTTGAGCATATGAGTGTGTGTGTGTGTGTGGATGGGGGACGGGCCGCTCGGCTACGTCCAATCTAGATCTACTGTTCACTCTGCAATGTTGGTCCAAACGCGGACAACATCGCCCTCCTCCTCGAGCGCCGTAACGCCCTTCATCACAGTCTCCACCCTGTCCTCCGCAACGCTGCTCCCCTCCCCGTCCTCCGTGACCTGCACGGGGTCGTTGGCGAGGTACGCCAGCTCAGACGTCTGCAGCGCGTACAGCGCGTCGTGCGGCGGCGAGGTCAACAGTGTCGTGAGCGTCGCCAGGTCTGTCGGGCCGGAAAGCACCTGCCGTCAGACATGTTCCGCTCGTGCTCAGCCACTCACTTCCCACATTGTTCCGTCCTCGCCCTCCACCTCCCGCACATCTTCCGCTCCGCCCTCGAGCGCCGCCTCGAAGAGGTTGTCAAAGGTCGCGCCTTCCTGCCCCTCGATCGGAGTCACGCGCACAACTCCCTTGCGCTCAAACATGAAGCCGACTGGGGAGACGCGTGCGCCACCCTTGCTTAACAGCTCCTTAACGCGCCCGGCAGTGCGGGAGGGATTATCCGTGACGCATTCACTGATGTCAGCGAAGTTTGAGGCATTATTCTTCTAATAACTCACACCATCAGAGCCACTTTTCCTCCCGCAGCGACCGCTTCAAAGGTGACGGGCTTGCCCGTCCCGTCCGCAATCTTGCGTGCCTAGGGTCAGCTAACGCAGCCAGACGGAGGTCGGAGGTTGAGCAGTATGCGAAGATCTCGAGGCGACCACAGTCCGCACCTCCGATAATGATATGCACGAGGTACGATCGCTCCCGCGCCTTAGTCGCCTTTCTGCTCTGCTCTGCCATCCCATCCACCCACACTCCAACTCACCCTCGCAAACGCCTTCTCCACATTATCCTTGGGCACTCCAGCACCTTTCGCCGCCGCGAGCGCCTTAGCGAGGTCGGTATTCTGCTCCGGGTCCGTTCCCTTACGCAGCGCAACGTGGACCGCCTTTCGTCAGCGGTTGTTGCTTCGCGCACGCACAGTCATGAATCCGCCCCATGCTTTTGACCTCGCCGCGTCGGCGGCGCCCTTGCGGTGCCGGATCTTGGACCAGCGCGAGTGGCCGGACGCGAGCGGCGCGGACGAGGATACTGCGCGGGCGAGAGAAGCGTGCACAAGGCGCAAGGGGCCGGCTTGCGCAAGGCGCGAGGGGCCGGCGTGCGCGATGCGGAACATGGTGAGTGGTGAGGTGGAAAAGTCATCGGAAGGAGGAGAGGAGAGGAGAGGTGGAGGTCGGCGGAGGTCGGAGGTACTCCGCGGACCAAACAGCCAGCGCTGCAGCGCTGACGGAAGACTGCAACACAATATATGCTGGCGAACTACTGTCTTGAGATGCTTGATGATGAATGCTATTGATGTTCTACCGCCGCCCAACCTCACCCTCGATCCACCAGTTGTCCGCCTCCCACCCCTCCCTCACGACGCCGAGGTATCTCCCTTGTCCATCCAAGGCGAACCCCTCGCTCCGAGCGGCAGCTTCGACGAGCGCTCGCAGCTCGCCCTCGACAAACAGGTGGTAGTACCGGTGGTACACCTTGTCCGCTTCTTCATCCTCTTCACCCGCTCCGTCCTCTTCCGTCTTTCCGCCGTCTCCACCCTCTTCTCGCTGTCCGCCCTCTCCTCGATCTCCTCTTTCTCCGCCCTTCCGCCTCCCCTTCTTCCCCTTCCCCGCTCCCTGCTTCCCCGGCCCAGGCTTAACAACCCACGGCACCAGAACATCCTGCACGACATCCCCGCCTGCGCGACTCCCCATTTTGCGCTTACTCTCCGGACCCTGCTCCCACGCCCAGACGTAGATGAAGAACCGCGCGTTCTCGCCTAACGAGCGCAACAGTGCCTGGGATCAGTACGCCGAACCCCTCAAATAGCTCACTCGCACAGCATTTTCGCGCCGCTCCGGCGTCGAAAGGTGGTGGATGGCTGCCACGCTGATCGCAAAGTCGAACAGCCCCGCACGCCACGGCACGTCGCAAATGTCCGCGCGCACGCAGCCTACCCCGCCCATGCCAGACGCGATGTTCAGCAAACCCTGCGAGCGGTCGAGGGCAATGGCGGTCGAGCCTGCTGCTGTGATCGACGGCAGATACTTCCCATTGCCAGCGCCAGTGTCCAGCCCGAATGAGCCGGCGGGGAGTGAGGAGAGGAAGGTGTTGATCAATGGCCATGGCTGGCATTAGCGGCGGCGGCGAGGAGTCTGGCACGACGCTTCAACGAGAGAGGTCGAGAGGATGGTTGCAGCACGTCGCACGAAAGGTGCGTGAGTGGGGGCGTGAAGCTCAAGCGGCGTCGAGGAAGCGGCCCATCTTCTGGCTAGCATCGACTATCCCGTCATGCGGAGCAAGGAAGCACATTTGCTGGTCATGCCCAAAACCTTTCCTTCTCGTCTTGTCGCTCACGCGCTGAGACGTGCATGCTTTCCGCATCGGAAACTCACCTTGTACCGCGTACGCGAGAAGTGCGGCGCGATTGCCTCGTACACACCGTGCACCGCGTCCTCCTCGTACTGCGCGGCATCGGGCCCGAGTGTAGCAGGCGTCGGGACAGGTTTCGGGGGCATGCTTGAGCGACGAGAGGAATGCGTGGGGATGTCACCAGCAGTTGTTGACACGGAGAACCGGACGAGTGGAGACGAAGCAAGGAGAGTGGAGAATCCAATTGCCCGGCTTATCAGCGGAAGTAATTTTCCCCGACCTCCACCTCTCGTGCGCGGAGTGGCGGCCGGGCCTGCCATGTGCGCAGGGTGGTGCATTCTTAAGCCCGGATCGGAGTGGCGCGTCATACACCTATTACAGCATGCAGCATGTTGAGCGCTCGTAACGCGGTGAGGCAGGAGTGAGCGCTTGGTGGGGCATGGGAGATTTCGGCATGAGGCGTGAAAGGGCAAAAGCTCGAAGAGGGAGTCGCGACGGTGCCAGGCTGGTCGATCAGTGGCGGGGGCGCAGTGATCGTCAACAACGACGCCCATGTTAACGCTTGGCGCCAACACTTCTATCTACTTGGTGTCTACTTGCATCCAACCGCACTCGACCGAACTCACCCTCCTGACTCGCCAAATTTCGTAGCGCTCTACTGTCCCCGCTACTAACCTCCGGCCTGACGTCACGGTCCAAGCGGGGGATCCCTAGCGGGGTTGCTCCGCTCGCTGTACTAACTTGAGAGCAAGACTCCGCTCCTCCTTCCACCCACCTCGTTCAGTCCGCTATCTCGGTCAGCTCGGCCGGGTGGAGCCGTGCCTGGACGGCCGAGGCTACATCCCACCGCGGCGAGTGCAAACTCTGCGCCCGCCTCGGAGACGATGCTGGCGTATATAGATGTGGCGGTGGTGTGGTGAGGGGGCTATACTCATACTCATTCACGGCCTCGTGCCATACACATCTGCTGTATCGATACACGACCAAGCACTAGCATTACTACACGCCAAAACTCGTCTGCCACAACCACTGCCACGAGCACCACTACCACCCCTACCCCCATCACCACCTCACCACCCCCACCACCCCCACCACAATGTCCGCTCCTCTAGGCTACGTGCCCGAGAAGCCGGCCCGCGTCTCTGATGACGCGACGCTCAACAACCTCCAAACCGTGACATCGACCGTGTCGCGCCGTACGACACGCGACCTCGCCTTCCCGTCCCTCACGCAGGCCGTGACGTTCGGGAGCACGAACGAGTACCGCGCCGAAACTGAGGCAGGGTACATCCGGGCAAACGAGCTCGAGAACGGGCTCGCGCCCATCGCGAGCGTGGGCGAGCACGGCGTGCACGAGCCCGTCGACGCCGCCCTCGCACGCAAAATCACTAAAGCTGTCGAAGACAAGAAGATCGTGACTTGGCGCGAAAATGACCCCGAGAACCCGTGGAACTGGGGCGTCGCCCGCCGATGGGCGTACACCGCCATCGTATCCATCGCCGTCATGCAGGTCGCGCTGTCGTCTGCGATCGTGACGGGCGACTTTCCGGACCAGATGGAGGAGTTCGGCGTCTCCTCCGTCGTTATTGCCCTCACCGTTTCGCTTCCTGTGTGCGGGTTTGGACTCGGCCCGCTCCTTTGGTCGCCGATGAGCGAGCTCTTCGGCCGCCGCCCCCTCTGGATCATCCCCTTCTTCATCTACATCATCTTCAACATCCCATGCGCGCTTGCACCCAACCTCGGCTGCCTCCTTGCCTGTCGCTTCCTTGCTGGCTTCTTCGGCTCGGGCCCCCTCACTCTCGCCGGCGGCACCATCGCCGATATCTGGGGCCCGAAGGAGCGCGGCTTCGCCATCGCCCTCTTCGCCGCCGCGCCCTACGGCGGCCCCGTCATTGGCCCTCTCATCGGCGGCTTCATCGGCAAGTACGCCGGCTGGCAGTGGCTCTACTGGGTCAACATGATCGCAGCCTTCGTCACCTGGTGCTTCATCTGCATCCTCCCCGAGACATTCGCCCCTGTCCTCCTGAAGAAGCGCGCCAAGAAGCTGCGCGCCGAGACGGGTGACGAGTCCTTCGTCACTGAGCAGGAGGTCCTCCGCCTCCCTCTGAAGGAGATCGTAATTGAGACGCTCATTCGCCCCTTCCAGATGCTTGTCGAGGAGCCTATTCTCCTCCTGATGAGCCTGTACGTCTCGCTTGTCTACGGCCTTCTCTACGCATACTTCTTCGCCTACCCCGTCGTCTTCGTCGAAGGGTACGGGTGGGACGACGCCAAGACGGGCTTGACCTTCTGCTCGGTGCTCATCGGTGTCGCCATCGCCCTCTGCATCACCCCCCTCCTCGAGAAGCGGTACCAGGCCAAGCTCCCCAACGTGACCCCCGAAGACCGTCTTCCCGGCATGCTCATCGGCGGCCCGTGGGTCCCCATCTCCCTCTTCATCTTCGGCTGGACAGCCCCGCCCTACGTCACGCCGCACGGTGCCTCGTGGGTCGGCCCATGCATCTCAGGCATCCCCTTCGGCGCCGGCATGGTCCTCGTGTACTCGTCCGCCAACGGCTACCTCATCGAGGCGTTCCCTGGCTACGTCGCGTCCGCGCTCGCGGCGAAAACCGTTGTCCGGTCCGGCATGGGTGCCGCCATGCCCCTCTTCATCACGCAGATGTACCACGGCCTCACGAACGGCGGTGCGGCGTCCCTCCTCGGCGGCGTCGCTATCATCATGGCCATGATCCCCTGGGCGTTCTGGAAGTGGGGCCGCACCATCCGCATGCGCTCCAAGCGTGCCGCGGCCAACTAGTGGATATTTAGCGGACTTTTAAACTTAGGTACATATATCACAGCATAATGAAGTAATAGCAGCGACGATCACGGACCTCTGCAGTGGTCTTGTAAGCAGTCATACTGACACTGACAGGTGGCCATTACATCAGCTCGGGCTCCTTCATGTGCACGGGCACTAGGTTCAGATACAGGTGTATCAGAAGCACTGAGTTTGTGGGAATCTGCCGGCATGGCGGAGAGTTGTCTGACTGCTAACTGTAATGAGCGGAATGTCGCGTTGTGTCGTGCAGTCGTCAAGGCACTCCAACTAGCATGGTCAGCTCACTTAGCTTCCAACGGGTAGTTGCGACCTGCCAAGCACCTCGACGGGTTGCATCTTCTATGTAAGGAGAGACATCGCTAGTCGGCGAGCTCTAGCAGCGCAGAGCAATGATTGCTCCCATGCTAACAGCGCATCCCGCTGCCCCCGTCCAGCCTACCCCATTCGCTGCCTCCCTCGCGCCTGCTCCGTAAAAACTGTACGTTTCACCATGTCGGCCCTGCCGGGGGTTGCTCTGGTCCAGCTGACGACGCCGGGGAGTCGACGCGCCTTCAGTTGTTCGCACGGTATGGCGGAACGGACGCTCGAGGGCGCACTCGGTCTCACGAGGTCTCACCAGTCTCACTCCAGATCCTGACTTCAATTCAATGCCCAACCGCGGCACCCGATCTGAATGCTAGCACAGGCCGTTGGCCATCCAGCCTTCCTTTTCCAAGCTGCATCTCCACATTCTGCGCATCTGAATGCTCTATCGCCTCATCCACCATGGTAGCAGTTGGGCGCACGCCCGCGCTCGTCGCCGGCTTGCTCTCGCTCACGGCCATCTCCCTCCTCTTACTTACGCACTATGAGAGCGTCCCCAGCGTCGTCCTCAATCCCTTCTTCGCGCCTGATTCCTTCCATGTCTCAGGCGACCGCGAGTGTGTCGCCGATATCGCGCCGCTGCGCGACACCTTCGCCAGCAACTGGGGCGTGCCGCTGCGCACGTCGCTTGTGCGCGCCGGCACGGGCGCCCGCGTCCGCCGCGCCATGGAGCGCCTGCGCAAAGAGCGGCGGATTGTGCGTGCTCGACCGAATGAGCTGACCGCAGACAATCGGCGTCCTCGGTGGATCGATCACCTTCGGGCACGTGAGTTTGCAACTGGGCGGGCTGACGATAGGGCTTGCATAATGAGGACAAGCGGTACGCGCAGCTCGTGCAGGAAGGGCTGGCAGCGGCCTTCCCCGACGCCGAGATCGTCGTCCAGAACGGCGCGGTACCGGCCACCGGCACAGACTACTTCGCCGCGTGCTACAAGCATCACGTTCCAGCCGACGCGGATCTCTTCATCCTCGAGGGCGCCGTCAACGATCTCATGGTGTGCGTGGCGCACTTCCGCAAGAGGCAGCTGACCCCAGGCAGGCGAATACGGACGCGTCTGTGCACCAGGATGTGATCACGGACACAGAAACGCTCGTGCGCGAGCTTCTCAAGGGCGGCGCGGCCGTCATGATGCTCTCGACGTGGGGCATGACGAACGGGTACATGAACGGCGCGGACCAGCACTCGACCGTGGCCGAGTACTATGTGCGAAGTGGCACCGGGCCAGCTAACGCCAGGACGTGCCCCGTATCTCGACGCGCGCCGCGCTGTATCAGTACATCCAGGCGCACCCCGATGCGGCCGAGGAAATCTTCGTGCACGGCGACTTGGGGCACTACAACGCCCATGGGCATCGCTTCATGGCGGAGGCCAGTAAGTCCCTAGTTATTGCTCCTTTCTGACTGACCCAGTCCTTGACCACCTCCTCGAGCAGGCGTGCAAGCCGTCGTACACGCCGCCATACGCTGCCCTGCACGGCGCTGAGCTTTCGGCGCAACTCGACCCGTTCGCGCTGCCGCCTCTCCGCATCCGTCAGCGGCTAGGTGACCCGCCTCTCGCGGACCCCGACGCATTCTGCAAGTCAAGCAATGTACAGCTGCCCGACGGGACTTGGCAGCTGGAGGGCGAGACAGTGGAGGGTCACCCGCCATTTGAGAAGATCGTGTGGCACGACAAGCACTACTGGGCGGCTGAGGAGATTGGCGCACGGGTAATCTTCCCAGATGTCGAGGTCAGCGGCGGATTTCTTGGCCTTTACTACCTCCGCAGCGGTAGCATGGGCCTCGGCAACCTCCGGTGTTGGGCGGATGGGAATGAGGGCGCTGCGAAGCTCCTCATCGGGCACTGGGGCTATGTGAGCGTCGGGAGCGTGGGCGCCGTCGCGACGGGCCTCGCACCGGGTAAGCACACCCTCACGTGCGAGGTAGACAAGACGACCCACGCCCAGCCCGGCGACCATGTCGAGGGGAGCATGCACAAGACGCGCATCATTGCAGTGATTGCGTCGTAGGCGGCGCGGTCGGGGGTGCATTGGGAACTTTGGTGTATAGGGATGTATGTTGTGTCCAAGATAGTATACATGTGGATCGCTGCCTACCCAACGAGTGCCTACCCGAAGTTTGCCCACTCGAGGGAGTAGAACACGACGTCGCTCTCGCCGTCTTTCCTCTCCGTGCTCTTGACCGTCTCGTCCTTACGCACCCCGTCATCCCAGCAGCACAGCAAGCCAGCCTTTTTCGTGCCCGTTCCCAAGCGTCCCCACGCGACGAGCTCGGCTGGCCGGATGGGCTCGTCGCGCACGATCACCTGGCTGGTAAAGTGTGCGTGATAGCGGAGGTAGTCTCCGGGGTAGACGAGCCATTCGCCGCCAAAGCGCGGCCCAAGCCCCATGCGCAACCCGCGGGCATTAAGCGCGGCGAAAGTATCCGCGAGTGCGCGATCGCGCACGCTACGAGGGAAGTACTGGACGCTGGAGCTCGCCGACGCGGGGTCGCCGGCTCCCGCGTGCTGCCCCAGCCCCGTCTTTCCATCTCCCTCGCCCTCGCCCTCCACCTCCACCTCCACCTCCCCCCTTCCTTCCTCCTCCCACAAATCAACCACCGGCATGGCCGGCACGACAGCGAACAAGTTCGTGTTCTCGGACGTGGGCGTGCCGCGCTCGCGCGGCGCCACGGGCGGCGGGGGCGCCGTGGCCGCCGCAACGGCCGCTTCGTATCGCGCGCGCACGCTCTCCGCGTCCTCGCCGTCCGCGAGCGCCTTGTCCCGCGCGACCTCGGCGCGCTTCAGCGCGCGCGCGGCCCGCTTCTCCGCACCCACGCCCTGCGCTTTCGCGGCGCTCGCGGCCGCGCGCGCGTCCTCGTCCGCCCACGCGGCGTACGCGAGCGCGCGGTTCCGCGCTACGCGGGCGGCAGTGCGCTGCGCCACGGCGGCGCGCGAGGGCGGGCGCACGCGGGGTAGCGGGACGAGGTGGGCCGCGCCTGCGGTCAGCCTTCGTCCTCAAGCCATGCCTTCCGCCAAGTGTCCTTCCTCCTCCTCTCCACCCGGCCCGCCCCGCCCCGCCCCGCCGGCCTGTCCTCCCGTCCCGGCTTGTCTTCCTCCACTCACCTTGCTTCACGAGATGTGCCGCTTCTTCCGGCATGAGCGTCATGGGGAGGCCGAGGAACGCGTTCTGCTGCACGACGCCCGGGAGCGTGCCGGCGCGCAAGCCCGAGATGTCGTACGCGCAGTGCGCGGTCGCGACGGCTGGCATTAGCATCCTGCTCACCCAGAGCGGCATGACGCACCCTGCGCATCCCAAATCGTCGCGATGCCGTCTACGACGTAGAGGGGGATGGACTCGGCCATGATGTTGTTGAAGCACTCGAATGAGGAGACGGATGGAGGTGGACTCAACTTTCGGTGGCGAGTGGAGGTGCCACACGTCATTGTTTGATACGGGACAGGAAAGGCAGTTCGCCACATTCGGTCCAGGCCGTCCTGGCCACGGGTCGCGAGTCCAGACCGCCGGATCGCGTCCGGCCGCCATCTGCGTTCACTCACAGCCTCACGCCGCCTCGGCCGCCCCATCCCACGCGTTGCGCCACAGCGCCGCGCATGGCGACCAACCGCGCCGAGATCTTGCTGATCTACAGGGCCGTTCCTCTCAATTTGCCACCCAGTTGGCGTTGGCGGTGACTGCCATGAGCACAAAGTTCATTCCGCTCCGCTCCATATTTCCATCACCCCATTCTCGCCCGTCTACAATCTGCACCCTGTACCCCTCACACTCTATACCTCCATCACGTATGTAAGGCTACACCACTCCCCATCTAGTCACTAGGGCTACGAGGCTACGCTACTATACAACCGTCAAGCCAAAAGCTCTGGGTCTTACGCCATCTCGCTCACGCTCGCCGATGGGACGCCTTGCACTGGTACACCCTGGCCAGCCCCCATCTGCACATACGAAGTGTTGGCACGCTTGTTGGCCTGCTCGTCCCAGTCGTCGTCCACCATCTCGATCGACCGCTTGCGCGACATGGCAAAGCCCGCATTTGGGATAATCGTCGTTGCTCCCATCAACGCCTGGCCACCGGGGCCGTTGATGAGTGTTGTCGTGGCAGTGGGCAATCCTGTCGAGTCCATTGAACCAGTCGCCAAGAATTGCTACAGTCAGCCAAAGCCCTTCTCGTACCACCCACCTGTAGGACAAGCTGGTACTGGTCGTCAGACCAGCCACTGCCGGCGAGTGGGTTGGCAAGCTCGTCGCCGTTCGGCTCCCATTGCGCGGCACTCGTCGCAATCGCATCCATGATGCCCTGGTCTGACAACGGCGGGACGCCGGCAAAGCGTGGAACCTCGCCGCTCAACTGAATCGCCTTTAGATGAATGAGATGTTTGTCGAGGATGCAGAACAGGCCATGCTTCGTGAACGGCTTGGCTAGGACATCGTTCATGCCCGAGTGAATGTACGACTCGACGTCCTCTACGAGCGTCAGCGTTGCTTTTCGCGTGTAACTCACTCGTCTGCACGTTTGATGTCATGGAGATAATCGGAGTGTACGAGTCAAACTGGCGAATAAGGGATGTCGCCTTGCGACCATCCATGCTTGGACCGAAGAAGATGTCCATCAGAACCAGGTCGTACTTGGTTTTGTTCATTTTCTCGATACCCTGCTGGGCATTCTCGACTGTTTCAACGACACAGCCAAACTTCTCGAGGAATTTGGAAGACAGCTGGCGGTAGACGAGATCATCCTCCACAACGAGAATACGGGGCGTCTGCGTCCATGACGGCTTCATCGGTGTGCGACGAGCCACTGCAGCGCCAGAGGCTTCTTGTTGGCCGGGCACGGAGATCTGCGCTGAAGGTACCTGTGGTGGCTGTGGCTGTTGCATAGGCATGGCGCCGTACGTCGTCGATGACCGTGTAGGCGCGTCTGCATCCACGCTGGGCATGCCCGCGGGACCCGATACATTGAGTTCTGCCTGTTGTTGCTGCTGCTGCTGCTGCTGCTGCTGCTGCTGCTGTTTGGCCTGTTGCTGTTGCTGTTGCTGTTGTTGTTGTTGTTGCTGCTGCTGCTGTTGTTGTTGTTGTTGTTGTTGCTCCTCGATCGAGCCGCCCGTTGCATTGAGCTGAGGCCCTTGGCCGCCCATCCCATCCACAACGAAGCTCAGCGATGTGCTTTCACCGGGCTTACGGATCGGTACACCGTTGACAGTGTTTCCATCCTGCATGGTGGGATAGGCGGCGTTCATTGGGCTGCCGTTGTAGAGCTGCGTTTGCTGGGGCATTTTCGAATCATCGGGAAGCTGGGGCGTCGAGGTCATCGTCTGAGCAGGCTGTCTCGACGTTGGACTCGTTGTCGCAACAGGGGGCAAGCCAGCGCTATTGCCGCGCCCGTTGGGAACCACGCGCCGGTTATGGACTGGTAGAGGAAGGCGCGAGCCCTCTACGCCCGGAAAAGGAAGCGAAGCAGCACCGTAGGCGTTGGGCGCGGGCGTTCCATAAACGGTAGGCGGGAAGCCGGCCATCGGCGCTCCAGAACCAAACGCCGCGCCTCCAGCATGGGATGGGAGGGTGTGAGCCTGAGCTACCTGTTCCCACACTTGGTAGATCCTGCGGACTCGGGCGGTGGCGTCCGAGTCTGGCGGTGAAGGATTCTCTAAGAAGTCAGACGAGCTACGAGCCACATCCACTTACCCTTGTCCGTGGTGACAACGTGAGCGACGAGCTCGCGCATGATAGTCATAACACCGTTCTCACGGATGCGAGCATCCCGCAGCTGCTCCTGAGACTTGTAGAGTGCTTCTTCGAGGGCGATCATTCTGCTCTCCATCTCCATCATGCGGTTGACATCCTCGGTCGACAGTCCTCGTGCAGGCGAGTCGCTGCGGTCGTCACCAGCAGCCTTTTTGGGCACGACCGCCTTGCGCTGGAATTTAGCAAGCTGTCAAGAGAATATGACTTACCTTGATGCTGTCCAGGTCTGCCTTCCCTCCCGCCTGGAAGTTGGGGTGCTGGAACTCCCACACCTGGGCATGTCAGCTTCGGCGACACGACGTCGATCACTCACATTCTCCTTGATCTGTCCCGTCTCCTCATCGACATGCTTGATCTACGTGGTGAGCAAGGCTGCTGTAGTGTAGTTGGATATAACTCACCTTGGAGAAGCCATATTTGTTGAGCTGACGGACGAAGGAAGAAAAGTTGGAATGCCTGAACGTCTGTGGCCTGGAACGGACGTCAGCCACTACTACTACCGCACTGCACAGGGCTTGTTGTGCGGTTCTCGCTCTCGCTCCCGCGCACAAGCCGCGACTTACAAGACCTTGGTGGTGAACTCGTTCATATCCCAGACGACAAAGCTCGTTCCGCCGCGGCCCCAGCCAACGCTACCTCGCTCGCCCTTGGAGCGTGGAGCGCCTGCGGGCTTGCCTCTGCCATAAGTTGCGCTCTCGTCCTCGAGCATTTTGAAGAGCTTCTTGATAAACTCGGACGGACCCGGTTGCTGGCCCCCACCGGACCCCGCCGGCGTGTCATTCGCACCCCCGCTCGCCCCGTTGCCCGGGCCACTGGCACTGCCCGACTTTACGGACTCGTAGCTGTGAGCAGCCATGTTTATAGGCGGTTTACCGAAACCGAGAGCGGCGGCGCGAGGATCCCCTCGAGGATCTGGAGCAGAGACGTTGCGGTAGGCGCCGTACGCGTCGCGGCTCGGCCCAGCCATAGCGTTGTAGGCGTCTGCTGGGCCATAGGGAGAAGCTTGTGATGGGTGGATGGGTGCGCCATTTGGGAGACCTTGAGCACGGTATGCGGAGTAGGATGGATCGACGTAGCCTCCTTGCATTGGGACACCGGGAGGTACGGCGCCTGGGTGGATGCCTGGCTGGTAGTACATTGATGGGAGGGGAGCGCCGCCGGCGTGGCCGGACGGAACGCGTGACATTGCGGCTGGGGGTGTCGTACGAGGTTAGGCGGGGATAATGGTGGCGAGGGCGCGTGTCGGAGTGGTGGAGGAGGGAAGAAGCGAGTTGTTGTGGAGGGGGCTGATGGAGGACGAGGATGCAGGGGCAGAGGAGGCAAGCAGGAAGGGATTGAATGTATGCTAGGTGTGAGCGGGTGAGGGGATGATGGAGGGGGTGATGGCTAGAAGATCAGAGGAGGAAGAAGGAGAAGGAGGAAAGGAAGTGAGGAAGTGGATGAATGGCGAAGACGAGGGTGGAGATGATGGGCGTGGGTGGTGAATTGGAGTAGAAGTGGGGTGCATGTATGGGTGTGTAGAGTGTCCAGTAGGCCAGTAGTCTAGGAAGCCTAAGGGGAGTGAGGATTGCAATCTCCCGCTGTACCATATCCCACCCATACGCCACCACCGTGTCGTCGTAGTACCACCACCGTACATGCGCCGTACGCCGAAACCTTGAATGGCGCATGCCGGCCGACGGGCCACGGGCGAGCGCCGGGGCGGGCGAACGACGAGTGGAGGCAAGGCCGCACCCAGCAGGGTTTCGTAGCAAGGGAAGGGCACGGGCTGCCGCCCATATGTTTAGGGGGCGGCTGCATAGCCTACTCGACTTGTCCTCCCGAGGTACACTCTCTCATCATCTCTTCCTCTCATCGTCTGGGCGCTGGACGGAGACAACGAGCTCACGGCCACGCGGGTCGGAGACGGGGCGAAGGGGAAGGGGGAGGGCGCGATAGAGGAGGGCACGCAGGGCGCGCGACAACCCCCATGCATCACGCAAGCATGCTCGGCGCCGCGCCGTACGACACTCACTGTGATGCCCTAGAGGCGGTGACGTTGTCTTTGATGGTTGACGGTGGATCCGGTGAAAACGAAGTCGTGGTCTGGTCGGCGACGCGATTGTGGAATGGATAATGGGATGACGGGATGGATGATGGAGGCGGAGGCTGGGAGCATGCAATGTGTGCACGGACCTCGGACGCCGAGTGGCTGATGGGGTGGCTGGTGGCTGGAGGAGGAGACGGAAGGGGGGCGGGGGATGGAGGAGGATGGAGGATGAGAGGATGGGACGAGATGAGACGGAGAGAGGGAGTGATGGGATCGAGACGCCAAATGATGACGCAGGGTACTAGAGGGGGAGCTAGTATGGTGGCGAAACGTACCTGTGTAATAGAGCGCCGCTCAAACTCGGCGCTCGCGAAGAAGAAGAAGCAGGGCGTAGGCCCCAAGGCAAGTCGGCCGAAGCCAGCGGCGAGTTGAAGCTGTGCTAATGGACGACACTATTCCAGCTCAATTGGATTGATCTCAGGCAACCTCAGGCGGCGATCTCAGGGTGTTGTAACTGCCGACTGCCGTCTCCTTCTCCTTCTTCTAGCCCTCCTTCTTTTGCGTCACTGACGTGCTGACATTAAGAATGTTCCCTGAGATTTAGTCTCCCCTTGTCTCCCCCATCTCAATTGTCCCAAACTCTGCATCCCTCCTCCTCATTGCCTTGCCGTCGTCGTACTGTCGCAGAAACCCTGAAAAGACCACATTGTCCACTCCATGTGGTGGGCAGAGCCGTGTTTGCCGTATGCCCGTAATGCCGTACACCGTCTCCACCACACAATTTGCCGCCGCTCCACGTGGCGCTCTAACCCGAAATGCCTCCGCCCCACCTCCACATCCCTCCACTTCGTCATCATTCCAACTCTCCACATCCCTCACACCACCCAACCTTCCCCTCATGCCCGCCCCCGTCCTCATCGTTACAGGCGCCAGCCGCGGCCTCGGCCTCGCTATTGCCCGCACACTGCTCGCGACGCACGGCGCCAATGTCGCTACACTTCAGCGCACCCTCACGCCGGAGCTGAAGGCTCTCGCGGCTGAATACCCGGACCGGCTACTGACGATCTCCGGGGATGTCAGCAAGCCGGAGGACAACGCGCGCGCCGTCGACCAGACTGTGGCCAAGTGGGGACGTTTGACTGGCTTGGTGCTCAACGCCGGCACGCTCGACCCGATGGGTGCGTCTCCTGTGGAGGTGGAGGGAAGGGCGGAAGGAAGCAAGTCTGACGACAGGCAAGCTCACCGAGGTGCCGCTCGATGCGCTCGTGCCGAGCGTCCAGACGAACGTGCTGTCCGCGCTGTACATCGTGCAGCCGGCAATCAAGCATCTCCGCGCCGCGGCCTCTGCAGAGGACCCAGCGCGCGTCGTCCTCGTGTCCTCCGGCGCAAGTGTGGGCGCGTACCAGGCCTGGGGGATGTACTCGATGTCCAAGGCCGCGATGAACAGCCTCGCGCGCACATTCGCAGCCGAAGAGAAGGACGGGAACGTGCTCTTCCTCTCGGTCCGGCCGGGCGTGGTGGATGTGAGTCGAAGTCCCAGGAACGGCAGAAGGAAGGTGGCGCTGACAACAGACCGACGTGAGTGGCGCGAAGTCGAAGCGGAGCAAGACGTGTTGCGCCTGTTGCGCTTACCGCTCCACGGTTTTCGCTAACCCCAGATGCAGAAGCACATCCGCAGCGTCGGGCCGGGGGTCATGGCCCCGAACGAGATGGCCAAGTTCACGCAGCTGCACGAGGGCGGGCACCTCCTGCCGCCTGAACAGCCGGGGAGCGTCATTGCGGGTTGTGCCATCGGTATGCCGGCGTCGGTGTCGGGCGAGTATGTCGACTGGGCGGACGAGCGGTTCGCGCAGTGGCGCCATGTGTAGGAGAGTGGCGGAGATGGGGAAGATTAGAGATAGAGAAGAAGTAGATGGAAGATGTAGACATGAGAAAGACGGAGTCGTGGAGGGTGGCAGGCAGGCATGCAGGCATGGCAGGAGCTCGGTACTCCAGTGACACTACTCATGGCGCTGTGTGGCGGCGTTTAGCCTCGCCGCGCCGGGACTCGCCCGGCCTGGTCTGGCCGGATGGCCGGCGTCGAGGCCTGGCTCGAGGCGGCCTGGCGTCGAGATCCAGGGACGTGCATAGGCGCATACGGCGCATGGCATGTGGCAACCGGCATATGCCATCGCTGGCGATCGCTGGAATACCATCGCATAACCAGCGGCCAGCGGCATACTATATCGCTGGACGCCCGACACTAGCCACCAATGCATGCGGCGTACTATACAACACTCCCAGCCTCGCTCATCGCTTCCTGCGCTTCTTGTGCGCCCCTCCCCCTCCTCCCCCGCCCTCCTTCCTGTCCTTGCGACACACATCGCACAACCACTGCCCCGCCGGCGGCTGGCTCATACCAAGACATGCGAGATGGAACCATTCCATCGGACAGTCGTCGTTCTGCGTCAGCGCCGCTTCTCGAAAGCTCACATCACACCCGACCATCTCGCCATACGACACCTGGTTGCAGTAGCAGTAGCGGGGCTCGTTCGGGTCTGCCTCGATGCCCGGCGGCACGCCTTCGCTCATGACGGACACGCTGCGACCCGCGGGCTTGGGAGTCTCGAAGCCGAGCACGCTCGTCTCGTGCGCGCTCAGCGCCGAGTCGAGCGCGCGGATGTGCCGGTCGATCGCGTTGTACGCGCCCACGGCGATTGCGACTTTTTCTTCGCGGTTGCGCACGAGCTCGGAGATGAGGGAGGAGATGTCGGCGAGATTGACGCGGGAGGGCGCGGGCGCGGGCGCGGACGCGGGCGCGGACGCCTCCCGCGGCGTAGAGCCTAGTGCGGCTTCGACGGCTGCTTCAGCCGCGTGCTCTTCTGCTTCTTCCGGTGCGGCGCGATGCGCGGCCTCGGCGGATCCCGACACGCGCGGCTTGACGTCTGGTGTGTCCTCCTTCTCCATCTCTGGTGCCCGCTCCTCTGTCCACTTCTCACCTCCCGTCTCACCCTCCTTCTCACCTCCCGTCTCACCCCCCTTCTTCCCCTCCCCTCCCTCTGTGACCTTCACATTCGCACCTTCCCTCCGCTGCTCGGGCCGCCGCGCAACCGCCACGCGATACGCGACATACTCGCGCACGCGCGCCTGCAATCTCGTCTGTTGTGCTTCTGTCAGCCCCGCCTCTTTAGAGCTCACATATGCTCTCGGCATCGAGCTCGCGCAGCAGCCGCGAGTTGCGGTGCAGCTCGAGCGGGAGCTGCTCGACGACTTCGAAGTGGTCCGCGGCGAACTGTGCCCAGAGCGCAGATACCTGCTCCTCGCTCATGTCGGGTGCGGGGCGTGTTTTCGGGGCGGGCGGGTCGGCGGCGGCGGCGGGCTCGGGAGCCACGCGGCGCGAAGTGCGGCGCGACATTGTGAGTGGTCAAATGTATTGTAGATATGCTGATCGCTGAGAGAGGTAAGGGCGCGGTGGAGGTGATTCACAACAACGCGGAGAGGGGTGGGTGTCCGTCCCACATGGCAAAGTATCTCACGTAATGCCATGTGACACGTGCGTGGTATTGACCCCGCGGCCGCCAACGAAATGGGGTGCCCTCGGAAGCGCAGATCGAGGAGAATCGCAGAGGCCACAGGGCAGTTTTGAATGGAGAGTTGTGCCTGATCCCCTAGACCCCGGATGTTTGGCTTGAATTTCCGTATGCGGACTCATTGACTCGCCCAAACGCCAGGGATAATGCGCCGCTCCGCCCTGAGGCCGTCCCGCGACCCCGTAGTACCCGACGCGCCCTGCCGCGCTTGCCGTCAACAACGCGTCTGGGTGCTGGCAAGCGTTCCGCCATCCATCGATAGTCTGCACTAATGCATCGTTCCATCACGCCGCGATAAGGCGACAGGAGGGGAGCGGGAGAAGGATGAAGAATGGAGAACGAAGGAGGGGAGAATGAAGAGGACGATGGAAGGACGCGACACGGTCGGTGTCAAGTGTCAAATGTTATTGTACGGCAAGGCGTCGGCACGGCATGACCATGACCATTCACGTCGGCGATTCAACATCGCGTCAGAGTTAGTGTCATCGCTCAGCACGAGCGCCAGAGCTAGTTCCAGCGCCAGGAAGAGGAGGAGCTAAGGAGAACCAAGAGGACCAAGAATGGCAAGAGCTAGAGCGGGGGCCGACATGTTTCGGAGAAGAGAGGAGGAAAGAAAGGGATGGCGCGAACCGAGCCGTGTTGACCGCGTTAACCTTGGCTCACGCGCCTCACGCGCCTTGAGCCTTCCCTCACACCCCCCCGAAATCCACCCCACGGCCCATCAACGCCACTCGAGCAATCCACCTTTCCTCGTCCTCCTCCTCGTCCTCCTCCTCGTCCTCCTCCTCGTCCTCCTCCTCGTGCTCACCCCAGATCCCTCCTCCCTCCTCTTCACCTCGCCCCCCCCCCCTCACTCTCACTCATCCATTACTCCTCGTCGACAACAACTCTTAGATCTCTTATCTCTTACTCATCCTCATCCTCTCTCTCTCCCTCTCTCTCTCTCTTGCTCTTCATCCTCCCGCCCCCTTCACTCTACTCGCTTTATATACTCTACACTCGGCAGGCCCGCGTGTACATCAATCATCTACCTCGACATCCCTAACAATCGTCGCTCTTTCCTTCCCACACTTCATCAACCTCCTCTGCCTCCTCGCTCCTCGCCCGCTCCTCACGCTCGGGCCATCACTTCGACAAACCAACCCCCTCCCTATCGGCTACACTCGCTCGCCGATATCCTCCCCGCCTTCGATTCCACCTGGTGTGAACGCGTTGTCGGCTGGCCCCGACGCCTTGAGCAACACTTTCGTCCACCTTATTAACAATGCGCGTCGTATCCCTCGCAGCCCTCGCTGCCCTTCCCGCTCTCGTGGCCGCGGACCCAGCGTGGCATCATCGCCACCGCAATCGCCAGCCAGCCGCATGGCATCAGCGCTCAGGTTTGGCCGAGCGCCAGGGCGGCGTCCTCGCGTCCCTCATCAGCGACGTGTTGAACCCGGGAGGTGATGTTTCCTCCACATCATCGACCCAGCGCCCGACGTCCTCGCCTTTGAGCCAGTCCTCGACTTCCACACCAGCTTCGTCGACCCAGAGGCCACCTAGCTCGAGCAGCTCGGCTAGCTCGGCTAGACCCACATCGTCGTCCGCCGCACCTTCCTCATCCCCGACCAGCGAAACTTCTTCGGCAACTCCCACATCTGAGGCGCCTTCTACAACCGAGGAGCCATCATCCTCTACGTCGTCTTCAACTTCGTCGTCCTCGGAACCGTCCGTCAGATACATCACCAAGACGGTCGATGGCCAGGCTCAGGTCGTCACTGAGACTCCCGCGAACAGTGACAAGGCCGGCGGTGGCAGCATCGGCACCGGTGCAATTGTCGGCATTGCCGTCGGTGCAGGCGTGGTCGTCATCGCAATTGTCGCGGTGATCATCATGTTTGCGCGCCGTAGCCGCTCGTCGAGCGACGACGACGCTATCCGCTGGCCCGAGCTCAACCACCACGGCGACACTGAGGTCCAGCATGCGCTGCCAGTCCACCAGTCGGACAAGCACGGTGTCGGAGACCGCCGCATGTCGCTCGGCTCTGAACTCGACGAGCCGCAGTACCTGCAGCCTGAGAACGACTACCCACACAATGGCGCCCAGGGTGGCCTTGGCGGCTCGGCGTTTGGCGCCGCCGCCGACTTCAACAACTACGACAGCGAGAAGTACGCCTACGACCCGAACCCGCCGCAGCACCGTGCCGTTTCGCCCTACTCGTACGACGACGACAACTACACGACCTTCCCCCCGCCCGTCCAGCCGCAGCCGAGCCCTGTGCACGGTGTGCGCCCGGACTGGGCGACCGATGGCTCATACTCTGACGGCCACACCGGCCACAACGGGTATGCGACGATGCACCGCGGCAACTCGCCACCCATGGCTGGCGTGGGGTCATACTTCGCCTCTGGTCAGCACTCGCCGCCTCCGATGGCTGGCGTGGGTGCGGGTGGCATGGGCTACCCTCCTCCACAGCAGCCACACTACTAAGGGGCGAGCTCGCTGGCCGAGCCGTCTGGGCGGGGACGGGGCGTGCAGGTGTATAAACAGTCGTATGAACTCTGTTGCATGCGAGGATGGAGTGTGCTAGATGCAACAAGGTCTGAACCCAGTGGCAGTGTCGGAGCGAGACTGGGGGGTCAGTAGTAATCGATGAATCGGGAGAGCACGTGCAAATACCCCCGCCACACCTCCACCACCCGAAGCCTCCACTCGAGATTTCAGTCCTCAACCACCATTATCATGTCAGACCCCGCCGCCGCGCCCGCCGCCGAGGCCTCCACACCAACACCTACCCCCGCCTCCGTCCCCGGATTTGAGAGCTGGCGCCGCTCCCTGGCCCACCTGACTGGCCTGGGGCTGTCAGACGACGAGCGCCTCCTCCGCGACAAGGAGGAGGAGCGCCGGCGCCTCGAGAAGGACTGGGACAAGTGCGAGCGCTGGAAGAAGGAGATGATGACGCGGAGTGAGTAGCCGCGGGCCGCGGGGTTGTATGAGGGGAGGTGCTGACGCGCGCGCCCCATATCTTCTCGCTCCGATTCACCACCATCGCCTCGCGCTTCCTCGCGCTACTCTCAACGCCTCACTCCATCTCGCTCTGTTCTGTGAACCGCCGCTTGTTTGTGATCGCCGCCGCTCACTCCGCTCGAACTACTTCCTCCATCTCGCTCTAATGCACCGCCCCTCTCTCTATCACTGCCGCCGCCTCGTTCCGTCTCGCCTCGCTCGGCTTCACTCATCGCAGGCCCCATCATCGTCTTCATGCTCAAACACCTCCAGCTCGCCGGCTGCCCGTTCCCCTCGAGCGCGATGCAATGCCACCCATGCGACGCGTCGCGCGCCGGCGGCTTCTCGCCCGAGCACGGCATCCTGCTGTGCCAAAACCGCTTCATGAACCGGCGGCACATGGAAGACACGCTCGCCCACGAGCTCCTGCACGCGTTCGACCACTGCCGCTTCCGCGTCGACTGGATGAACCTGCGGCACCACGCGTGCACCGAGATCCGCGCGGCGAACCTTTCCGGCGACTGCCGATGGTCGCGCGAAGTCAAGCGCGGGTACTGGGCGTTCAGCGCACAGCACCAGGCGTGTGTGCGCCGCCGCGCCGTGCTTAGCGTTATGGCGCACCCGAAGTGCCAGGGGAAGGAGGATGCGGAGCGCGCCGTGGGCGAGGTCTGGGACTCGTGCTTTAGGGATACGCGGCCGTTCGATGATGTGAGTCCCGCGGCGGGCGGGCTGACGCCAGATTTACTAGACTACATGATGAAACTGCTGCATTGGAGATTTGGGCTTCGGGCTTCGGGCTATGGGCTATGTTGTGGCGTGTGCGGCGATAAGTGCGAACGATGATGCGCGCGTGCGGTGGCGATGAGTGCGCGCAATGGTGACCGGGTTCGGCGGCAATGAGCGCGTGACGATGATATGAGCGGGTTTGGCGGCAGTGAGCGCGTGTGATGATGAGTGCGGGGTCGCCAGTACATGTCGATGTCGCGTGGTTGGCACAACCGGCGGTGGGTGTATGATTCAGCTGTTGTTTCTTGCGATGCGGTGCCAATACGTCGATGCCGAGCTACGTGAAACCACCCGCCTTGCGCATGGTACTAATGCGAGGGGAGAGCTGCGCGCGTCGGCATCCCACCCGCACAGAGCGAGCCCGTGTGGCCGAACCGCTCGACCTTCATTTCACGACTAGGCACCTCATAGCGTGGGGCGCGCGCCCCCTTGGAGCGCGCGGGCGTCGTGAGCCGAACTGGCGGGAGCGGGGGCCGGAGACGACCCCCCTCTTTCGGCGCGGGTGCCTCTTCCAGGCAGCCAAACAAGACGGATGGCGCCTCCGGCTCCTCCGTGACCGGCAGGAAGCGGGGCTCTTCCGAAAGACACCGCACTTCGTCGCGAAGGCGGCTCGGGGTGGGACGCCAGTTGCCGACGCCGAAAATGGTCGAGTAGCGGACGCGCGTCTGCAGCCAGTTGATCTCCGAACAACTCGGCGAGTGAAGTGCCGCAAGGCGGTCGGCGTCAGGGCGACGCAGTGTCGATTGTCCATGGGAGTTGGTCGCCTTTGAACGCCGGGATGTGGGGTATCGTGCGGCCGAGATACTGGTGTGCGACGCGAGCCATTTCCCCCACTGCTCGCGGTACTTCGTCCTGCGGCGATGAATGTGAAGAGGTAGCTTAGAAGTAGCGGGCTTCGACGCCGACATTAGAGACCTCCTGGACTGTGGCATCCCAATTTGGGACGCCGCGGGCTGCGACGCCGGCGGCTGGGAGGAGAGGGAGCAGTGCATGACTTGGCGGTAGACGCTGCTCGCGTTGTCTGCAATCATACTTGGAGTTGAAGTGGCTAAGGTAGGCGATAAAGCTGTAGTTGATGGAAGAGAGATCCGAGGTAGCGGTAAAGGAATCGGCGGTGGGTTGGCGGCGCGATGCTGGATGGATGAAAGAGATACGAGATGCGGCATGCTGTAAGGATGCAGGAGAAAAAAGATGCGCGATGTACATTTATACTCACAGTCAGCTGACGAAGGTGGTGAGTGAGGGTGGGATCCATGCAGCGACTGAATGGACTAGAAGATCCAGTCAACTGCTATTGAATTGGCTGGGTGAGCGCGGCCGCGGAGGATTTCAGCTACCAAACATTAGTGTGTACACCGTCAGCCATTTCACGGCCTACGCAGTTGAAAACCCCGGCGCCGGCATCATTCATGGATCCTTACACACCACATTGGCCAGTGTCCGCGTTCCCTTTGTTCTATCGTGCACAATGAGGTCTCAAGGGTGATCACATGATCGTCGTTGGTCACCTCGTGCGTGCGGCCTCGCCGATGGCGAGCTCCAATTAAGTGGGCCGCTTCCGTGCGTGGATGAATATCCGAGCCCAAGGTCGCCGTGAAGTGCATCAAGTGTCTGGCGGTGGAACTGCGGCTCGCAACACGGAGAAGGTTCGCCCTCCTCTTCGATCGCGACAGATGTCGCCTGGACCCTCGGGAGATAGTGCGTGGGGATCGGCTGGTGACGCTTGACCTCTTTCGGGACGGCGAGCGGCTGCGGTATTGGAAACTGAAGGGACGAGCAGAGCTGGCTACGCATCTCGAGAGCGCCTTCGGATGACACGCTGCCCGTCGAGAGGGACCCTGAGGCCGACGCGAAGGACTGCAGGCGAAGACGGGCGATGTTGTCCGAGGTCGACGGCTCGTCCTTGAGCTTCTCCATGCAGACTGGAATACAGGCACCTGTGGCCTCGACTTGCGGTACAGGCGCGGCTGCTATCAGCTGCGATCGCGAAGAGTTCCGCTGTGACGCACCGCTGACCGACAGGCGTGGGGTCGCATCCGACTGGGCCGCATTCTCCCTCCACTCAGCGGCGAACTTACTCAGCCCTACAGACGATCTCGATGTCTGGCTCGCCCGCGCTGCATCCACAGACGCTGTCGCGGCACGAATCGGCTGAGGATGAGGTTGAGGCTGGGACGCCTCGGGGCGGAGATGGGGCGGGAGGAAGATGGGCGGGAGGAGGTCAGGCCGCTTGCTAAGGTCTAACCACTGTGCATTGCGCTCGGGTGATACGCTCTTCTCGCTGATAGCAGGCAGTGAAGCGCGATTTTTGCCCGTGTCCACAGGCTTCCCCCCCCTGGGCGGAGGAGGCAAGGACATCGAGCGGGGGGTATGCCTGCTCGATGACGCATCAACGGAGGGCTCTGCACTAGGTTGGATGTCCGGCAGCTCCAGCCCCAGGTGAGTTCCGCCTGGGAGGCTGAAGTAGACCCGGCGCAACTCTGGCGTGCTGGTCGGCGACGGATTGTACAGCGAGGGAGGCGAGTCGGTGGGCGGAAGGGTGTGCCGCTGCTCCCAGATAGGCAGGTGAATTTCGGGGCTAGAGCGAAGGAGACCGCGGCGTTCGTTCTCACTCTGCTCCGACTCGCGGCGCCCATGCTGTGGCAGTGGGGTGACATGAGTCGGTTCCCGCGGGGACTTGGCTGATGCGTAGCGATGGATCTCCCGAGGTTTGCTGTCGTACGCCTGCATGTGTCGTCGCCAGATGATGAACGCAACGGCGACCACGAGGAGAATCAGGAGGGCGAGGCCAACGCCCTGTCGTCAGCGGACTGTTGAACAAGCGCAGACGGGTATCAAAAATGTCCAAGACAGATTGCAGAGTGGAGGAGACTCACGACGCCAACGCCTACCGCGATGGTGGCTCCATGGGTGGAGCTCTCACTGCTTGTGGGCACGGGGGGCATGATGGCAGAGGCTGAAGTGGCTCTCGCCACTCAGAGCCTTCGAAGGCTAGAAAGTCGTCAGGTCGTCAGGTCGTGTCGGGAGTCAGTCGTCTTGTCGTCGTTGTGAGTGTTATGGACAGAGAAGAGGAAGGAGATGGACGAGGAGGTGAGGAGAATGAGGAGAATGAGAAGAATGAGGAGAAGGAAGAGAATGGGAAATTGACGCCTTCCCCCCCCCCCCC